GGCTAGAATATGCCCGTTGGTCTAGGATCTTTTGATCCCGCACAGTGGATCCGCATCCAATGGCTCTCGCCCGGTCAGTAGAATACATCCTAGTAGGGTGTCAGCATCGCCCCGATGAACAGAAAAAAAAGACTACAAACACTAAAATTACAAATTAAAAAGAGAAAAAACAATTAATACACTGAATTATGAAAACCAAAAATCTCCCGAAGTCCACCACCTCTACCTCCTGCGACTCGGGACAAGGACGCCGTTGGAATCCCACGGCTGAACTGGTCAAGACAAATGTGGACTCGTTGACTTTTAACCCCATCCAGGATCCATGGCTTGCCCCCCCCCCCAACGAACGACACTCGAAAACACCACAATAAAGTTTAAGACAAAGAATGAATGTCACTCAACGGGGAGTAATCTCCACAACCGCGACAAGGGCTCGCAAGATGATTTGCGACCTGCGAGAAAGCGAGTTCACGGATTTGCAGAGTCGACCACCCCCTTCCCTGGTTCCTCGGATCTACTATGCTTGGTGGCTTGCGGGAGCATACTAACGGCTTTTTCGGGGGCCGTAAACTTCTCCCTGCTCAATGAACCAAAACTTAATTATGGCTTCATACCGACGCGTGTTGCCCCCCGCATCTAGATACAAGGTTATGTGTATCACGTATTGCAAACATTAGAGGGTTACTTGGGGCAACACTTGACCTTACTGTCGGTAGTGTACTCCTGAGACGGTTACCTGGGTAAGGGAGGACGCAGACGGTATCTATTCGGAACACCTGTTACTTTATTGCCTGTTACCTAGGTGGTTGGTAGGGAGAGGTTAATTAACTATAGAGTCTCCCATTGGTTATATGTGCGTCCTGCTATCCTGAACTTTGATCCACCCAGGATCTTGAGCCGATGCTGCCGATCGTATCAGAATGATGAAAATCAACATCCTAGCTCCAGCTTCGGGTCTATGGGGTTCGAGAATTCGCCCCCTAACGCCTCTCGGGCAGCCAAAACAACAAGGATGTGAAGCCAGGGTTTGATCTCTCCCGAGCAGGGGAAGTTTATGGACCCAGACGGAACTCAAGGATGAGTACTGCGGAAGTATCAAGACAAAGAGCTGTCGTGGGAGCATCTTACGTTAGGAAAGAAGCCCAGGAGCTTGAAATTGAAACTAGATGAGAGGCAGCTGGAATGGATATGCAAGCAGGCAAGGCTAAAGAAGCGCATCTCGTCATCAACTTCACATCGCAATGTTTCTGTTTCTTTCCTTCCTGGCGCCGTGGCAATCCGTCTGAGCTATCGCCAGCCATCCCGGACGAATGAATCAACCAACCCGGGCGCAGATATCGTTGCACGGAGAATAAAGCCAAGGATAAAAAACCTGCTCACCGACACGCGGCCGAGAAGGTATTTCATGAAGACATACCCTTCTGGTCGATATGCTTCAACGCCCGTCTCACGGTCACGGTAGATGCCTAATATGACGTTTGTGGTCGTGGCTCGGCAGCAAAAGCCACTGGGATACTGAAGCATCGCGAACGCCTTTCACATGTACCGGGGCATTGTGATACCAAGAAACCCCTGTGAGTGGCGGGGCGGAAGCTCAGGTTCCGATGGCCTAGTGATTCGAAAGAGCTACAGGGAAGAGAAGCCGGGTATAGACGCGAAAGGCAGCACAAATAAAGTTAGGTAACTTTAATTACTCTCCACTAACCGATATACTATTTGTTTTCTTCGTATTTTTAGGCTTTTCTATTCCCTGACCTAGCCAAGAGGGTTATTGTCAGGGGTGTGAGAAAGAGGCTAGATACTGACGTTCCAGTACACACATCCCAAAAGAAGTAAGCTTTTTCTTTCTATCCAGGTCTCTTTCCTAAAGAGATCACCGATGCGACGTGATGCAACCCAATTTGTGTGCGGGAAATTAAGACGGACGGTTTCTGTGTCTCTGTCATGAGAGGACAAGATGGCGTCTATAGTCTATGCTTTGCAGAGATCTAGATCTGTGTGCTGTTGCAATTGAGTGCAGGATCTGTCATCCGGGTGCGATTGTGTCGGAAATGCATTCGGGGGCGCAACCTTCTCTTTTCCCTCGGGGGACCGTTCATCTCCGCCGTTAGGCGCTGTGGGAGTGAAGTACCTTGTCGAGGTTTGAGGTTTGAGTTTGATGAAAATTGGGGCCTCTACGCCCATCTGACGCTACAGCGACAGCGTATAGGAAGATGCCTTGTCTGTTTTAACTTTACCTTGCTAATTGATTTTTGTTATTTTCTTTTTTGGCTGCGATGTACTTCGAGCATCCTGGGCAGATGACGGATCCCCGCTGAAGAGTACCTAAGTAATCATTCTGATACTCACTAGCAGGTTTCCGGCTTGGTCTTGAGCAAATTATGGCAAATAATCAAAATATCCTGGTCAGTCGGGAAATAAGTTTGGGCAGGATCAAAATGTTAGTTCATACGGATGGGGTTCGGGGATGGGGCCCATGACCTGGGAGAAGGTAATTTGGCAAGATGAATAAAGTCCAGAATGGGAATTTTGCAGCTAAAGCAAACAAATACTGGGAACTACATGCGAGTTCTAGATTTGTATGGAGTGGATCAATTGATCACAAGGTCTAAACGTAGCGGATCATGTAAAATTCTCTTCTAAACCATTGCTTTTTGTATCGACTGACGAATGCAAATATATGACATGTGGATGTCTTTTTCGAAAATCATCATTATCAATCATACAGTACAAGGGAGAAGAGCCTCAGCCAAGAATTAGGCCCGCCTGAAAGAAAAAAGTAAAGGAAACTAGAAATTTCGTAACAGAAAAGCGAGAAACGATTTTAAGTAGTTCGCTTGGCGAATTCGACGCGCAGAATAAGATGGCGGTAACCGACTAAAGGAGAAGAGAAATAATTAGCATCCATATCATCATAGCCCAAGAACCCATTTCAGGGCCCTTGGTAGTAGAAAGGGGTAGGAGAAAAAACATACAGCCGTCCAGTTTGTCGCATGCACTCGCAGCATCGCCCCGATCCGCATAACTGATGAAAGCAAAGCCCTTGGCCCGCTGGGTCTCTCTGTCCCGGGCAAGGAAAACTCTGGTAACACGACCGAACCGTTCGAAGAGATCCCGCAATTCTTGTTCCTCTGCCAACTCGCTGACCTGTTATGAAGAAGAAGAAATAAAGTCAGAACCAAAATACCGAAGACGCGTAGAGCAGATTCCGAAACATCCAGAAATCCACATGGAATAGAAGCACATACGTTTGTAACACGCAGAGTCGCAAGATCGTCCTTCTCGAAGCGACCACCCATCTTCTCACCAGCAGCACCACCAGCCTTTCCACGCATGTGAGGAGGCACATAGCTGGAAGAACCAGCACCAAGGCCACCAGCCTTATCCTCATCGGCCTCACCACCAGCACCACCGGAAGCCTCCTCGACAGGAGCCATGGTATCCTTGAAGGGACAGCGAGCCGTGAAATGCTCTCCGGAACAAATACGACACTTGACCTTCTTGTCCTTGAGCTGGTCCTTCATGCTGCCCTTCTCTCCGCCCTCCTTCTCGGCCTCCTTAGCCTGTGCCTTCCAGTTGATGCTGGGACGGAAAACAATGTTCTCGCCGACGGAGGTAGTATCGAATGTAGGTCCGGGAGGGTGGCCCTTCTCGAGACCGAATTTCACCCAGGAGCGGCGCTCAGCGACCTGGGGGTTGACATGTTCGCGAACAACGGTGCTCTTGATGCGGCGGGTAACCTTCACTTTCTTGTTGTCATCGTTGAAACGGTAAGAGATGACGGTCTTGGTGCCATCTTTGTTGGCGATTACTTGTTGCGCGGGGAGAGCGGAGGGGTCATCGAATTCCTCGTCGTCGGCCCAGTCGGCACGGCTGTTAAAATTTTGAGACCTGGTTAGAGGATGATTTTTTGAATTGTTTCGGAGTTGTTTACTCACTTCCCGAGTCGAGACATAGTGTGTGGTTGTGTTTTGTTGCGGCGAAAGCTGATTTTCTAGGATTTCTTTCACAGGCGAGTCCGTTGTGGATTTCATTATTCGCACCGATTTTCTTGTGGCGCAGCGTTTGTGGCTGGTGGATGGGTCACGTGCAGCCACACAGGGGCCTCTACGGTCAACGATCTACGACGTGGCTTGACTCTACCGTGACTCTACACGATTGTATAAATCAATAAAAAATCGAAATAAATAAATCAATTTGTGAACTTCTATAAAAATCACTCTAAATATCTCAAGGTACTGGGGGCAGTCTGCTCATTCAGTATTTGAAATGCACACAAGACCATTGAATCCGACGAAAACGCAAGTGGGAAATTTCGAAGTGCGATTGTTCCATGAAAAATAAGCCATAAACACACTAGCTGCGCTTTGCTTCCTGTTCTCTTTTCATTCTATTCCCACCGTGAATTCCCCGAACTGATACTGCTCTCTAGATGAAACTGCTTAGGCATAGTCAACCTTGACTGAGCCGTGGTCTTTCCCCTTGAGCCATAGAGCATATTCACAATGGACCGAATAATAATTGGCATGTATTCGGTACCAGAGTTCGTGCCAATGCTGCCCATCAGCCCCGACCTTTTTAGGGATTCTTTTGCGTAGAATTTTGTCAAGTTTCGGATGAAGGGTAGCGTGTAGGGCCTGGTCTCTTGAAAGCAAGTTAGTATGTTTGATTTGTATGCTAATAAAACTCTCGCCTCTTGCAAGGTTTAACTTAATTTCGTCAAAGTACAAGGGTGGAAGATCTTCAAATCTCCAAGTATGTGGATTTATTTTCCCTTTCGATGTAGGCTTATGTCGAAACCGCTCCTGGATTATGGGGGTTTCCTCTGATATCTCGTCACCCTGCCACTATTAGCTTCGTATTTTTGCCCTAGTAATTTGATAGTACTTTTTACTTTTTTAATAAATCAGTACATGATATCAATTCTCTCCTTCCCGAAAAATTTACTCCAATGTCTGAATGGGTTAGCGAGAGCATTGTTATTAACCATGGCAGAATACTCACTTGAGATCTGAGTCGTGAAATTGGGCGTTGAATTTCACGTTTTTTACCATCCCATAATGTTTCCGTGCAACACGAGACTCAAACCCAGCTTTCTCTGCGCAGTTCAGAGTTTCTAGCTTGGCTTTATCCGACCAAATTGCGGGCGCCGTGATGATGTATGTAAAGCTCATGTTTTTGAAAGCCCCCCCGGTCTGGCGTTTCAGGTCTGACTCGAAACGATCAACAATCGCACGAAGATAATCCGTGGTGACACTCTGCACTGTTGCATGATGAGGAACCTCCCAGACAATCTTCATTTTCTCCATGGTAGAGAGAATTGAATTTGTCGTTTTGAGAACCGAGAGAGAGGTTATAATCATTGAAGACGTGGCATCGTGGACGGAATTTGGAACCCCCAGAGAAGTCGCGGGGTGGTCCCATCGTAGGAATATGCTACTTCCGTTGGGACATTCTCGGCCGTTTTACCACCAGAACTCTCAGTCACTATGGTGGGCCATTGCTTAATGGTGTAGTGCGACTCGGGCTGGAAGAATGTCAGTGATTTGTTCGTCTGTTTCGACACAAAAAGGGATCACTTGCATTTGAGACCTGAGCCCAGGCTATCGCCGAGAATGTCGTCGAAGACGTGGCATCGTGGACGGAATTTGGAACCCCCAGAGAAGTCGCGGGGTGGTCCCATCGTAGGAATATGCTACTTCCGTTGGGACATTCTCGGCCGTTTTACCACCAGAACTCTCAGTCACTATGGTGGGCCATTGCTTAATGGTGTAGTGCGACTCGGGCTGGAAGAATGTCAGTGATTTGTTCGTCTGTTTCGACACAAAAAGGGATCACTTGCATTTGAGACCTGAGCCCAGGCTATCGCCGAGAATGTCGTCCCGAAATCAATAGCAACAACAATCTCTCTCTTAGAAGGCATGATTGCTCGTGACTTTGCAAGATAAAATGGTCTTGATCTTTGGATCGGGCAGATGTTGAGATTTGGAATCAACAGCAGGGGAGATGTTTTCTCGATGTGAACGTGTCAAACTGATCAAGTATGATTGGTTGATATGAAAGGAGAAATTCTGGGATAAAGAGAGGTTCAAGTGGACATTGGACATGTGACAAGAGATATGAGCGATGTTTGTAAAAGTCGACGAGAAGGTGACTGGGTAGCAAAACTAGTCACGCTGTGGAATTTTCTCTGCTTGTCTAATTGAGTGAGAGAAGAACCATCTAATTGAGAAACTTAAACCTCCCCCCCCTTCATCCCACAACTGTGAAGATCTGAATTCCCTTTTCAAGCTTCACACAATTTGACTAGAGTGTTATGTTTTCTCTTCATCTGACCACCATTTCACACAGCATCTAGTTAGGACGACAAATTGCCGTATATCATGAACATGGATGGCTTTACTTCACAGCAGGAGGCCCGTCAGGAAGACGAACCATAGCCATCGACGCCTTCCTTCGAGGAAAACATGGGGAATTGGTGTCGGCTGATGATTTTCATGAAACGAACTCAACAGCAAATCGAAAAGGCACATCTGTTGCAGCAAGGAGAACTTGAGTCGGCTCAAGCCCGAGCCAGAGATCTGGAAGTAACAGTTGAAGATTTTCAACTCAAAGCTCTCCAGCCTGTGACAAGCTTCGACGTCACCGAAGAATACATATCCCATGAGTACTCCCTTCTCTACGATGGTTTGTTCAGTTGGGCAATTGATTTACCCGATCCCTTCGATCACCCATCGTACAAAGAATCAATTCAAGCTTTCTTGAGGGCCTACGGATCCGCCAACAACGATCTGGATTTGTCCAATGATGAATATGAAGCTTTATGGATCGAACCAGAGCTAGTAGCAGCCGGTTTGTTTTGATCTGGAAATTGTTGTTTAAACAAAAACTGGTTGGACTGCCTCCGAGCGAGCTAGCAGTTTTCCAAAAATCTTACCGAGGGTATTTCGACCCTAGATCCCAAAAAAGTAAGTCTGATAATCTGGAAAATTGTACGCTTACAAATCTGTCATGTATTAACTTGTAAATCTTATCCCAACAGCCCCGCAAGAGATTGCCGCCTGGAGACTTGATCTTGTCCGAATTTGGGCAACGTCTCATGGATATCAAGAGATGCTAGAAACCGAATGCGGAAGAATCTGCAAGGAGATTCAACGTTCCTTCGATCGCTGGGAATATCTGTTTTTGGGCACCGGAGAAAGGTTGATTGGGCTACAGAGGCAAATCTTGACCCCTGGAGCACAGCTCGCTACCAAGCTGCGATGCTCAACCGAGCAATTTGCCTGGGGTCCTAACGACACGATCTCAAAGACAGTGCGAGTCTATCATCTCGAAACTTACGACATAGTCGATTTCAATACCCACTACAAGATTCCAATCTATAACTTCAGCGGTTTACCGGATACAGCCGCCATTGGAGAGTTTATCATGATGATATTCTCACCCCTCTATCGAAAAGGGGACAGACATGGAGAGAGATCCCCTATCGTGAAGGGCCGGCTTCTCGTCCAAATTCACCGTCAAGTTTCAGCGGTTTGGAAGAAGCCTTGAAAAGATGTGGTTATGAATGATGAATCCAAAGGAACACAGGTCAAACAAGAGGCAGAAAATTCGACCCGATTTTCTTCTGAAGTGAAAAAGGAAATGGAGACTTGAAAGGGTAATTTCGTCATATCCCAAGATGCGAAAACAGAGGGCTAGAATGAGGCATGGAAAAGAAAGTGGAAGGACTCAGGAGACATGAACAAATTTTATGTGTGCGCTCTTGGTGATTTTCCCCAGTTTCGTTTTTCTTCCCCCCTGTTATCAACTGCAGATTTGTTGTTTTCTTTTCTCGTGCATTCTTTTGCCTAGTTGTCTTCAAGCATGAGCAGTCAAAAGGAGTGATCTCGTACTGATGTGCCTTCGATTTATGCCCGATAATGGTTCAAAGTCATTCAAATAGGCACCATTTCTTTCTCTTATCCCTTGGATATTCTCTAGTTTTCATATGATCAAGTGTCAAGGCTAGGTCCTTCATCGAGATTCATAATAATAAAAAAGGCGGCTTTTTTACGGAGAACTAAAGATTTAATCTTGGACATTATTCTTGTAATCTACAAATTCACTAAAATTGCAACCATAACTTACAGTAAATCCTGCTCTTCAAACCATCAATCTTAATGACAAGCCTTCCCATACTTCCTCAACCGCACATAATTATACGGCAACGGTGCCAGAAAACCCACCCCAACAGAAAGGATAGCAGCACCCCAAAAACTCGGATCATCAAACGCCACAACACCTCTCGTAAGATGATAATCAACTGCATTCTCCGCAATCTCCATCGCCACCATAGAGACTGTGCTCATTCCCATAGCCGTACGTGCAGCCATAGTCCACGATAACCGATCAGCACCGCGCTTAAGCAGGATTGTTTCGAGAATGATTGACGAGGTTATACCGGATGCCACTACACATAATATTATTAGTAAATGACTTGGCAATTGTATACATAAGGGGTTAAAGAACGAACTAGAAGCCAGCATGATGGTACTCATCCCTAGTTCGGGATAGAATGATTGGAGAGTCCACATTGCCGAGAAGTCGCCTGCTGTGCACCCAATTAGACAGCGGAGTGTGTTGATTCGTGCTCTTTTCCATGTCGAGCGACATGTCCAAAAGGGGAGATTAAGAATGGAAGTAGATGTTGTTTGGGCTGGTGGGTTTGGCTGTTTTTGATTGGGGGATTTGTGGCAGGCTCGGATAGGGGGTATGCTGGAGAAACATCTTTTGGGGATTAAAAAGGCATGAGGCCTGTTTAGATAGGGCTTTGGTAATTGGAATATGTGATACATTTTGAATAGGTTGGGAGAGTTATGTTATTCAAGTTCTTTGCGTCTGGCTGACCGGTCTTATATGGGTGGGTCTATAGGAAACGCAAAAATGGCGCATCGGCGACCTTGGTCTTGGCACATTTCCCCCAAATGCCACAACAGGTCACAAAAGAGATATATAGAGAGCAACATTGAGATTTCTTATATAAGAGGATAGTTAGCAGAGGAAGACATGGAGTAAAATAATTAGAGTGAAGAAGAAAGGAAACAGCTCTAGAAGAGCCTAGAGAAGCAGCAAGATCGGTTGTCCCAATGTGACGGAGAAGCCAAGACGCATAATATGCTTAGCTCCGAATAAAGTAGAGCTTTACTATATACGGCAGATCAAACTTGCCAATCTATGCCAAGAGTTTCAATTATTTCAATATCAATATAAATGCGAGTCAATATATTTTGGCTATGATAAATAACAATGCTTCAGGCTAGGCAACATGCTCAATACAAGAAATTAAATCCACCATTCCTACCATTCCTAACATATATACAACACAATAACAATCGAGGAGAGTCAACTAACAATTAACGGCCGAAATAATGGAGTTCAAGAGGACGCAGAGCACAATATGTTGTGAACGCGAAAGCAAAGCCCAATTCAAAGCCGACATCACCACCGTAAGGAAGAGCACCGGCGTGCTTTGCGATGGGTCCAACCCACCAGGTTTGACTCATACCAGTGACAACACCGGCGATACCAAAGCAGAAGGCGAAAGACGCGGCGATACCGTATGGAAGTTTCTCGCGCTTATCATAGTCTTCAGGTCGATATCCGCCAAAGCCACGCTTGAAGAAGAAATGATCTGAGACCGCGATACCAGTGTAGATAGCCAACCAATAGGCGATGAGGTTCATGAAGTTCTCCAAGACAGTTTCGAAGTGCGAGTAGCCAGGAATGGCAATTGCCAAGGAAACACAAGAGGCGAGGAAAGTCCAAATGAAACGGGGAACCATCTGGGTGTAACGGCTCAGGACTTGCAGAGTCAGAGAGACGGAGTAGATGTTGGGGCAGTTGTTGGCAATTATGGAAAGGGCGAGAATGACGAGGCAGAATTTACCAAATCCACCGAGAGGCTCGAGGACAGCGGCAATCAAGCCGCCATTGCCAGATGCTTTATAACCGGCCATGTACTTGTTGCTGTCGGATGCGTAGGCTGCGGAGATAACGGCAATTCCGAGGAATTCAGTAAAGATGAGGGGGACAATCAGTCCGATCCAGGTTGAGAGGAAGACCTTGCGGCGGCTGCGGTCAGCCGGTTGGTAGACGGTGTAGTCTGCGGCGTAACTAGTCCAGCCAGTTGCGAAACCGTATACGGTCGAACCAAAGGACAGACAGTTACCGAGCTCAGAAGTACCGGTACCCATAGGGATGTTGCTAAAGGCGCCGGAGTGGGCGAATGTTCCGAGCACAATGATGAACACGATGCAAGTAGGGATCCAACTCCAGTACTCATAGATGTGAACGACCTTGTATCCGGCAAATGTGATGAAGAGAGTGCAGAAAGTAACGATGAGAATACCAGCGAAACCGGGAACAGTGCCATTGACTGCGTTAAGGAGTTGCGCGCCGACAATAGCATTGGCAGCTGACCAGCCGACACAAGCGATGACGTTAAGGATGGCGACTATTGAAGAATGTCCGCGTTAGCCACCATTGTCGCGATGTAACCCGATATACCCGTAGGGCTGAATATGACTTACTGAATTTCACAGGCCACCATCCAAACCAGAAACGGGAGAGAACCATCTGGCGCAAACCGAAGGGAGGTCCAAAGCAGGAGAAGAAGCAAACGGACATGACTCCCAGCAAGTTGAAGAATAGAGATACGAGGATCGCATCAACGAATCCCAGGTAGAAGGTGGTCATACCAAGAACACCGATGGCGAAGGAGCTCGAGACCATGTTGGCGGCCAGCCACTAGGTTTGGTCAGTGGGAAGCCCATGGGCTCATCGCAAGAGTTGCATAACACACCATGCTGCCGATATTCAAGTAGGAAATATCCGTCCGCTCATTATCCGGTACACGTTCCACACCACGCTGCTCGACGCTAAATTTACCCGCGACTCGCTGGACCTTCGCGTAGAGCGAGTTACCATACTCGAAGCTTTCGCCCGGTACAGCGTTATCGCTCACATGGTCGCTTGTCTGGGCGCTGCGGCTTTCGTAGGCATTGTCGACGGCGGGAGCCTTCTCGACGTCCATGGCCCCGTGGGGCATAGTGTTAAATTCGGAATGCATGGTTTGTATGGAAGTGATCGTATATAGTGTAATATAGCTTCGTTTTTCCGGGGTCCAATGATTGTGACGTCGGGGCACAAAGTATTCAGGTGCGAAAGACCGTAATAGAAGTAGAAATCAGAATCCTAGAGCTCTGCAATCTGCAGCTCAAGCGACTCAATTCTCAAGAGATAAAAGGCGCGTGCGAACCGGTCCAAATCCACATTGTTCAAAGTAGATCTTTTTTTTTCTTCTTCGATCCACTGCAAGGAATACCGTATTAATATAGTCACGAACAAAATTCTTCCAGTGCGCGTCGCCCCACCGCGATTAGAGCACAGTGGCAAGGGAAAAGATAGGTCCGGGTTGTCGCGTGGGCCCCCGTCAGAAAATTTCCAGAACAGAAGCAAATGAGGAGCCCCGTAGTCCTTCTTGGTACTCCCGACGGCCAATAACCGTGCAATGTGTGGATCCTAGCTTATCAGCAGCCCGAGGTTTCATTGCCCTCGCTTGTGTCGGCACCAGTCGGGGATTGGCCAGTCTCCATTGATAACGCGCACTGATACGCTCTGACAGCCTTTTTCCGCGTCGCAATGTCAGCTATCAACGTTTGAGCCATTGACGATCCAACCACCAATTACCCAAAACAATAATAATGCCCCTGACATGATATGCCAGATATCAGGTTTCACTTGCATATCCAGTCATCGAAATCTAAGCTTTCTATCCCCAATGTGTAACGGGAGACGCCGATGTGCGTCTGATGCTCACATGGCGACCATGCCAAATGCTGTGGCATTCCAGAACAGTTCGTGCGGGGGAACAGGATCCTCTTGCTAAACTTAGATTGCCTACACACCAATTTGAGGTAACGATTCGCGGTTGAAGCTCGAATTTCCCCCTCGACATCCGTGCGATCGGGGTATATGCATCATCAAGCATACAAGATCGCCTGCAGCATCTACAGAAAACGGAGACATAGGCATCGCATCTTGATCCAGAAGGTTGAGCCGAATTGGCCCTCGTTCAGATAGACAGCAGCATGTCATACAGGATCGCGCCCCTATGATAGTTTATCAACGGACCAGTCTGGCAACCCTACCCGCAGAGCTCTCAGCTTTCTCCATATATTATTGATAGCGGAGATCCCCGTTACCAACATCATTGGGACGATCGGGATCAAACCCCGGATCTACAGATATCCTAGATATAATTAAATTCTATGACACAGTTCAGTTGTCCATTGGCTCGTCTCCTAAACTCGGCCATGATGCCGATTATGCAAGGCCCCGATCCCATTCTGTACTCCGTAGGTTCACCCGAATTCGCCGTCTTGGCTTCATATTGCTTGTTTTTGCTTCACTACATCTTCTATCTTCTCCTTGTGTCTCTATCCCATCCGCTCTAGTTCCTCATCTAGATGTATCGGAGGTCTCCGATATATCGCTTCCAAGGCCATCAGAAAGGTAAAATATGCCACATAGATCTCGGACATCTTCGGCTCGCGGTCAATTCGATGATTCGATGAGATGTGCGCCCGTGCGTTAAGGGAAGGTCATGCGAAGCGGGGGTGTAGGAACCTGGTTCCTAGTTCGGGAGTAGCAAAGGAGTACGCATTCTCTAGATTATCATTCTCGTCGTTTCATTCTACCAAGTCTCCGGCATATTCAATTTCCAAGGTCCTGATTTGAGACATCCCGCTCTACATGATGAGTATTGTCAGTATCTAGCATTCATAATGACTGCGGCGATACACATGCCTCGGTGCCCCTTTTGGAACTAAACTATCACCATAGATTATTTAGATGCAAGACGCGCAAACCCAAAACATTGAACCCTGTCAAAAAAATCCTGCCTACCTTGAACGGTCTCCTCAGAAAGTTTTAACGACACACATATCCACCCCCATTCGACCTTCGTACAGGGCTCAAAGCTGCCGACCGACTTTACCAACCTTGAACAAATCTTAGAACGAACGGAACTATCATCAAAACACGAGTTCGAAGTGTGTCAATAGCGCTGGCCACTTACATGAACGCTGATAACTGGATCCGTTATGAAGGCTGATACCGTCCATTCCGAATATTGCTCAATCTGGTCTGCCGTCTTCTCCTCTGTCTCGACAAGAAACTTGTCCTTGGAGTTGGGATTGCCGGACTGAAAGTAAATACCAGAAATAATGTGGCCGAACATGAATGCCCGAATTTGTCGGCTGACTTCGTATCCAACGATGCCATTCCCAAGTTAACAGTTGATATGAGAATCGGTGCCGGCTTGACGGAAAACTATATTTGGCTGACAGCTCACTCGAGCTTCTAGCATTGATCCCATCCTGGTTTAAGCGTTTGGAAAACGAGTCTCTTGCATTGATCCCATCCTGGTTTAAGCGTTTGGAAAACGAGTCTCTTGCATTGATCCCATCCTGGTTTAAGCGTTTGGAAAACGAGTCTCTTGCATTTGACGCCCAGTCCGTGTTCTCATTGCCTTCGAAGAATGATAAGTGATGAGTGGAGATCGAAATTATGCCCCTCTCATCGTGAGCGCTGCCCTATCAATACTTTGTCATGGCTGTCACTCAACTCAAATTGAAGGCAAGGCTGAATATGCCCAGAATCCTGAACCTGCAGGTAGTCCACTCAGCGCATGAAGTATGCTGTACGACCGCGATGTTTTACATCGAACTGATTCTAGTGATTTCTTACATACCTAAAGGCGTCGAGGCTTGTCTTGCCTCGTTACAAGTGGACGAGATCTTGTGAGCTGGGGGAAACTGGGACTTGCTTGTTTTCAGCAGACATACTATCCCTGTCTCCATAATCGACTAGCCACTTATCATACCGCATCATATACATCTGGGGCTGACCGTCAGCACGAAGCCGCATCGGGTACGTTTCTTTCTTGTATCATAGTTGCTTTGAACGATTTCCCTCTATTTTTCTTGTTTTTTCCAGGAAGTCCTATATAATAGTATAATCGGATCGTGTCATTGTGACCTCTTTGGGAGGTACGTCTTCCTCGCGAAGATACACATCCTTCGGAATGGATTCAGTACCATTTGAGCTGTGTTCATCAGCTTCGGCCTACTAGTGACCCACGGTATGTGCCCTGGTCGAATGGTCTTCCGCATTTATTCCGTCGTATCAGCATATTAACTAAATTCTATTCTAAGGGTGCACCGGACTTCTTCGCATATTTTAACACATTGACACGGGCTCCCAATGAATTGGCTCCCCTAGCCGAAGAGATGGTGTTTGAGGGCGAGTCTCTCATCAGAGATTCGCGCTTCTCTCATTCGAGAGCTCCGCCGCCAAATTGGCAACGCGACACGGGCTGTTCAATCCGGCCCTTCAGCCTCCGTTTATAAGTCTGATAATATTCAAAGAAGAATATTGAAGGGATTGTTGGAGTTGGAGTTGGAGTCAGAAATAATCATGGAACAGTCTACTGGATAGGACCAAACCATTTGCCAAGCCTCCTTGAGACAAGCATTGAAGTCCCTCGATGGATGCATTCTCTACTTCGACTGGACACCAATCTCATGGAGGGCTAAGTACCTGCTCATCGCCACTTAAAGCTTTCCCTCTCTACCACCTTCTCCACTTAGACCGACGCAGAATGCTTCTCTATGCTTTCTCCTTTGAATGCCAGAGAGGACCAACCAAATCATATTGTTACTTCTCAAATCATCGAAGTACATATTTCGACTTTGAGATATCCAGCCAAGAGATAAAGACGCAGATATCCTTTGTAAATACAAGTGCACCTCTACTGCACCCCTATACTATATGAAAAGGGCAGTTCTCAATATGCCCTAATAATCACCTATAACGTTAGCGCGGTGGGACAAAATCTACAAAATGCCCCACTTCCAACGCGGCCTCTGTTTTAAAAGACCTTATTGGCTACATTCAATCTACAATTGACCCATTGGGCCCGTACGATCGGCACCTGTTCTCAGCAAATGACGAGTAGAAATAGCCGTTCGTCAAAGGAGATCTTCCTCGGTCTCTGTCACTCGCTACTTCTCACTGATGTAGCAACCGGTCCATCATTTCTAATTTGAGACTGCTGTGTTTCCATTCAGTACCCTCCTCCTATTCAAACCATGTAGATAGCATATATCAGACGGGAGTGTTTACCATTTGCACATATTTTCTTATTCCAAAGCTCCAAGTTGGAATGAATCCGCTCCACCATACCGACAATTAATGACCCTCATGGGTGTATATGACTGACATTTTCTTTTGAAAAGAATAATCCCATAAACCGAGGATGCCCAAGTACGCCCTAACAAGTGTTGGTGGAAACATCGGCACTACCGCAGCATCGTATGCTTTAGAAATTGTCCTGGTTGCACGAGGCTACATGGCTGAGACTAGCAATGACGTTGAGATTCTTACTGGACGTAAACCACTTTCGTTCCAAGAGACGTTGTTGAGATATAAGCATGCCTTTTCTTAATTTGGTGTCTTTGGGAACCGCACGGGCGAAGGCAAGAGGAGAGAAATTTATCAGTATAGGTAGACGCACAACTCACCTTAGAGGATTTTACGTCTTTCTTGTTCGAGAGAAGGATTACAAGATAGCTTCAGCTATTTTCGGGGTTCCTTTGAATAACATAGGAACGAAATATAAATCAAATATGAAATTATCAATCTATAGCAACGTCATTAAGGAGAGTCCAAATATCTATCAGCCTTCAAACAATCTTCTTGCAAACTCAATAACTGTTGTCCATGATCTCCACCTCCCAAGGGCTGACTTTCCATAAACCACACTAATTGATCCAGCAAGAACCACCCTTCTGTGTCTGGGGAGGACCAACATCAACAGTACTGGGACCAGTTATTGTCGTAACCGAGCCATCAACGCCATCAAATCGGCAAGAAACATCATCATCAACCTCGATATGGGAGACACTGAAGACATTATCTATTATAGTTAGTACTTTGCCCTTTACGATCTCAGTTTCAAAGGACATACTAATGAGTTGATAAGATCTATCAGTGGGCAACTCTTGGATGAAATCAGCATCACCAGCACCAATAAAGGTAACCAGGATATTATCGCTTCGGCGACGATGTGAGGGCAATTGACGACAAGTTCCGGTCACCTGGGCCTGAGGAGGGCCGACGTCAACCTCGGCAATACCATACACGGTGGTATGGCTGTTGTTAATGCCAGTGAAGGTGCATTCGATATTGGCGGTGTTAGATGAGATCTTCGAAATACTGAGAGGGTTGGCTGGGAAAGTCAGTTTCTGCTTTGTTGCAAGGATTGCTAGTATATTAAGGTTACTCGCTGATATCTGTTGGGGCATTGTTTGTCAAAAAGACCTGGGTGAATTGAGCTCCTGCGGCGCCATGGAAGGTGATTTCAACATCATCTGCTCGCTTCATAGGAGCAGCGCTCGCAATAGCAAGGGCAGCTGAGAGAGTCAAGATCTCTGAGAACTTCATTTTAAAAAAATTTATATTTGAATAATGGGTATTCTGGTTATTGAAATGTTCTTGTGTTGATGATAGAGCAGATTTGCCAGACACGATCATGATGGGCCCTTTTATACATATTCTTTGCTCTCATGTTCATTTTGAACTTCGGTACTTCCATGAGTCTGTTGATAAGAATAGTATCTCAAGCCGGTGGCCTTGCATCAGCATATGAGCAATGACGTGAAGACATTACGCAAATTGAGACAATCTCAAGGCTCACTCATCCTACCGTAATCACAAAGACACAACCCGAGAGGCTGAGCCTCTCGTAATCCTATACAGACCTTCAATTCACACAGGGGACCCATGGCACCTCCAAGATCTTGGCATTCCTACTGACATATACTAAATACTAAATACAGGGTGCCAGCCAGCTATACAGTCACGCGGGATATTATGACCCAAGGGCTCGGTTGGCTCTGCAACTTGATATTCGCCGCAATTCGCCAACGCCTGCCCCACACTTCAACGCTGTCCTATGGTAAAGATATTAGGCCACCATAACCAAGCCCTCAGACTTATATACTACAAGTAAGCAATGAATATACCTCGCTGGGCTTGGATATTTGGCGGGTGCTTTAGACGGAGTGAGATTTAGTTTTGGTTTACAATCTCATCTCTTTAAAAAGATAATTGCCAAGAATCGTATACCAGGGCCTCAGATGTAGTTCCAACTCTGACACTACAACGATGTGAACTATAGGGAAATAGTGTGTGGGGGGGAAGCTTCGATTACTTGTCTATTCGATCATAACTGATACTTCGTTGATTTTGATCTTCCTCTTGCCTATCAGAGCTATCATATCTATTTAGATGACACGAGGTGGTATGACGTATACCTCTCACGGCCTTCCAATCTCATCAAATCTCACACGTATACTGAAATACGTGTTGTCATTGATTGGGTTTCAGCTGCCTTGTCCTATAAACTGGAGTAATCAATCCGATCTTCATAATCAAAGCTGAGTAACCAGTTTGAACAACTCTGGAACAAAATCTCGCAGGGCGCAACCTTGGGACTATGACTTGGAGTTATTTACTGGAGCTCTCCAGGGCTGGGGGCCTTAGCTGGGCCTCTTGAGTTTTGAATATTGATCATCACCGGGAAGTCATGAAGGAAAAAAAGATATTGGAAGAGAAATGATAGTAAAAAAAAGAAGTTATTTTCAAATTTCCATGGATATATTTTGCTAACCAAAGAAAGCAGGCAACTAGGGCCTCGATTCATCTTCAGATCACGCTATGGGAATGAAACTCAGGGAATCTACAAAAAAACGGTCAAAAATTACAGCTTAGCAATCATCTGGTTGCCCTTCTTCATCAAAGCAGCAGCATCGTTGACGAGCTCGTCCACGATAGCCTTAGCGGGCTTCTTCTCATCAACAACAGCAGCGACCTTGCCCATCAAGAAGGGGCGGGCATTGTCGAGGGTATCATCATCAACATCATCGGGCAGGTTCTCGAAGTCGTGCTCAACAGGGATGACACCCTTAGCAGTGAGCTGCTTGATTTCCTCGGCGCGGTTTTCCTCCCAGTTCATGATGTAAGGGTTCTTGCGAACACGCAGAGGGCGACCCTAGATTATTTGTCAATATACCAATCTTGTTTTCAGCATTGTGAAGCAGGGATACGAACTGTGAAGATGATTGTGCGGATGTTGTCCTCGAAACCGGCAGTGCGGACGGCCTCCTGGTGAGCCTTGGGGGCACCAGCCTCTTCAGACAGGATGAAGCGGGTGCCGATCCAGACAGCCGAGGCGCCCAGCATGAGAGCGGCAGCAACCGAGTTACCGTTGTACAGACCACCAGCAGCAATGACCTGAACGTCTTGGCCAGTCAAGGGGCTCTTCTTGCCCTTGACCAACTTGGCAACAGTAGGGATCAGAACGGTGGTAGGAACATCACCGGTGTGACCACCACCCTCACCACCCTGGGCGCAAATGATATCAATACCGACATCCAAAGCCTTGGCGACGTGCTTGGGGTGACCGATCATGTTCATGGTAAGGATTCCAGCACCGTGGAGTCTGTCGACAACAGCCTTGGGGGGAACACCGACGGCAGAGACGAAGAGCTTGGCCCCACTCTCAATGATGATATCCACGAGCTCGTTAAGCTTGCCCTTTGTGTAGTCGTAGCTATACGATAGTGCGTACATTAGCCGGACGGTTCCATTGCTTTTGCGATGAGTGGGAATACACGTACTTGGTCTTACGGGCGCTGCCACCGACCTGGGGCAGAAGAAGGTCGACACCGAATGGGGCGTTCTTGTCGTTTAGGTATGACTTGAGCTCGGCGACTTGCTCGCGCAGCATGTCAGGAGTGTATCCAACACCACCAATAACACCCAAACCGCCAGCATTTGTGACAGCAGCTGCCAGCTTGGGGCCGGCAGCCACGTTCATACCAGCCAGCAGAACTGGGTGGTTGATCTTGAGCAGATCAGTGATCGGGGTGCGAATTACCTCTGCGGGGGCCACATGTCAGTCGCATGATCAAAGAGTATGAGGTCATAGTAAGCTTGGATGTGAGAACCGCCAGGTTACACAACAAACAAACAAAAGGAAAAAAGGCAAAAGGAAATACGTACGGGGAGATGCCATTTTTGTGAAGGTATGTGGATAATAGTGAGAAAAGAAAGAAAAGAATAATCTGGGGAAGGTGGACCTATAAAAGGGAAGCAACCGAGGCGTGAGCGCAGGAATGAGCCTCGGCCCATTTGAAGACACAACTGTAACAATCATACCCTAGGTTCAACTTGGTTCAACTTGGGGGCGGGGGTGACACCTTGACACCTTGACACCTCGTAGTTCAGGCAGGAATCATGAAACTCCATCTCCGAGGTCACTTCCACTGGAACATCCAAAGGATCGAATGATCTAAACCATACTTTCTAAAGGAGCAGCCACCGCCCCCAAAAGAACGTGTTTCATCACAATCATGAGCTTACAAGCTCCTCGAAACAGAAAGCTTTTGGCTGGGGGCATTCGTAGCACTTCATGTTTACGGTTATTGCACACCCCTCGGTTCCCGTCATTGCCGACAACCCCGAATGTGACGCGACAGGGTGATCGACCTCTGCACGGATGTCGGGTGAGAAGGTAATTCTATTTTAATGATTATATCATCATTGCCAAGTGTTTGTATGTGATATCTAACATGAATTGATAGTATAAGTTTCTATGCAAGCTCAAGTATGTACCTCTCCAATACTTATTGCCTCTTCCGGCCTTATCGGTTTATCAATGGCGCAAGAGAGAAAAAAAAGCGGGACACCATGCACGCATTCTTTTCTCACTCTATTACTTCGCTGCCCACCCATTTTGCAGCCATTAAACTAACGCCTTTAAGGAGTGTCTCCTATGGGAAATCCAGTGGCTGCGCCTTTGCGCTTTGAAAATGGACAACCCAGGCGCTCGAGTGCATTATCGTATTTTAAGTCTTACGCGAGGCGATTTTCCAGCGGGCATTCGCCACTTCAAAACTCCAATATGAACTCCACATCCGAGACCCTACGGGTCCATAGAGCATTCATTGCATTGGGAAGCAATGTAGGAGACCGTGTTGAGATGATAGAAAAAGCTTGTCTTGAGCTGGATAAAGCCAATATAAAAGTCAAAAGAACAAGTTCACTCTTTGAGACAACGCCGATGTATGTGCTTGATCAAGGCACTTTTATTAATGGAGTCTGCGAGGTCTGTTTACCATTTGTTTCTCTTTTTGAATCATTTACAACTAACGCACATCCAGGTTGAAACAAACCTCTCGCCAATGGAACTTTTGGACAAGCTCCAAGCAATTGAAAATGAGCTCGGCCGTATGAAATTGATTGATAAAGGCCCACGATCAATCGATCTGGACATTCTATTATATGATCAAGAGATATTTTCTCATGAACGTCTCAACGTGCCACACAACCTAATGCTGGAGCGAGATTTTGTGCTACGACCTCTTTGCCAGTATGTGGCAACTCAAATCCAAGTCGCCTAGATACAACCCAGCTAATTACTCATAGATTAATACCTCATGAAAGCCCACCCAAAGCTGGCAAAAATTCAAACACATATAGCGAGTATTTGAAAGCTCTTCCACCACCAGAGCCAACCCCATACTCAACAACGCCCATCTCGCCGCATTTCCCATCCCTCTACGCCACTGATCCCAAACGCCCAACACATGTCATGGCAATCCTCAACCTAACTCCAGACTCTTTCTCTGACGGCGGGACTCACTCTCCAACTGACTTCACCCAACTCACCGAAACAGTCCGCTCATTCATCGCCAAGGGAGCGACAATTATCGATGTTGGTGGCGAAAGTACTCGTCCTGGATCAACCCCCGTCGGCGCAGACGAGGAAATTTCACGAGTCGTCCCGGCAATTCAACACATCCGCCAGAACATTCCTGAAGCCTCGAATATCGCCATTAGCATTGATACCTACCGTGCTTCAGTAGCCGAAGCAGCCTGTAACGCCGGTGCAGACATCATCAACGATGTCTCCGCTGGTCTCTTGGATCCAGAAATGCTTCCCACAGCAGCTCGTCTCGGCAAATCAATCATCCTCATGCATATGCGAGGTACACCGCAGACAATGACCCAGCTCACCGATTACCCCAATGGTGTCATCCCAGAAGTCGCCGCTGAACTACGGAACCGTGTGGCGGCTGCTGAGAGTGCAGGCATCCGTCGCTGGCGCATCATCCTTGACCCTGGCCTTGGATTCGCCAAACATCAGCCACATGATCTCGAAATCTTGCGTGAATTGTCCACGCTACGGGTGACTGAAGGTCTTGAGTGCCTCCCTTGGTTGATGGGACCCAGTCGAAAAAGGTTCATTGGCAATATAACGGGTGTAAAGACTGCCAAAGACCGTGTCTGGGGCACCGCTGCGACTGTGTCCGCCAGTGTTTCTGGAGGAGCAGACATTGTCCGCGTACATGATGTGCAGGAGATGTCACACGTTGCAAAGGTTGCCGATGCTATCTACCGTGTGTAATTTTCATGGATGGCAGTAATAAGCCCCATAAACCAAATTCCCCGTCAACCCAGGGAGCCCCAATCGGGGATTGCATATCTTCATTTTCAACATTGTACAAGATACTCACATCGCGTTCCTTCATTCATCATGGAAGTTTACATAGAGGCACGGACACATTGCACATGGAGTTTGATTTTGATGTACTCGCATAACCTATTCAATATTCTAATCACCGAAATTTAAATCCCTAACATCAATTCATAAAAGCCAAGACATCTCTCCCCAGGCTCCGGCTCAGCCTAACTTCCTGTTCAACCCTGAGCTCAATCCACTCCTTCAAAATCCCCATCAGCATCTCACTCCACCACCTCCCACCCCTGTAGTGACATCGTCTCCTTTTCCCCTCTTTTTGAAACACAACCTGCACACAGATCTGCCACACAGAAGGATTCCACCCCAAAACTCTCATCTCCACCCGATGCCGTCCAGCACGCAGAAATGCTCATTCAAGGGCCCATTCAATAGCCTCAGCCCCATATCCTTCATAGTCACTGAGAATATCAAAATCCAGTTCCGTACAGAGGTGATAGGACATGGCTTCGCCTTGTGATTTCAAGAATAAAGCCCCCACACGTTTCCAATCTAGTAAAAGTGCGGAGCAGGCTAGCCTTGGTTTTCTCAGATAGTTTCCCATCTGCACTGATAGTAATACCTTCAATAGCGCCTCCATGGACTTTGATTTCCTTTCTCCAGATAACAACAAATAGGCTCGTGTTGTCAGCCAGATGCTTTCGCAAATCATCGCTTTATTTAGGACTCATGGACCGAGGGAATGAAGCGCGGGGGTCAATGTATGATCGGTTATTTTGGGGTTGATGAAAGAAGGTTCATCCTCAGTAGACTCAAATGCACAAAACTCCAAGTACTTAGAGCAAAATGGATCGAGGGTGGCCATTGCAGCGAGTTTTTGAAAGGTGGAGTGGTCGAGATTGTGAATATGTGGGATGGAAGGAAGGAAGAAAAGAAGAAAAGAAGAAAAGAATGGATGAATGGAACCTTTTTTTTAAAAATATGGACTAGTGATTAAGAAATGAGAGAATCTAATATATATGGAATGATATGTCGCGCTTTCGGAGCTCACACTTCACTTTCTTGAAGTTACTAGTACCCAGCGCTGCAGCCTACACTATCTAGTACTACCTACATGCAACCGCAAGGTACAATGATAGTACCCACGAGATGGCAGATGAATGGGGATATTGAGCAGAACCTTTAGAGCTACAAGTTTGACCATTGCCTCTATTGTTGTATGAATGTAGGTAGTGGTCCTTTCCATGAAATCAAAATCGTCGTATATCTATCCAAACGGACGTTTTTCTCTATGATCACAGAACTATCAACACCATATATCTTTTGCATTGACTCAAAGTCCTATCAGAAACAGGAAGAAAACGTATCAGAAAGTAACAAAAATAAATAATGTAATAAAAGGTCCTTAACTCATCCCAGCGTTGCTGCGAAATGTGCGATAAAAAGGGGAAAGGTCGAAATATCGTCAACCATCAACCATCAAACATATCGTACTACGCTTTCCAGCGATTCTTCCTAGACCACGTACCGTTCATAACCGAATTTTCAGATGATGGAACAAAGGAAAGAGATTGGAAATGATGATGGGAAGGGCGCTCGGACACAAGATATACGTCACGCATCATGGGAATTTGTAGGAGGGGGATCAATGGGGCTTGCTAAGTATTGAATGTAACAAAACGCGTCATATCCAGGGATTAAAAACAAAATCAAAGGTAAGTCTAAGAGTTCAGATAGTTGCGGATGGCACCTGGTGATTCAGCGAGTCAGAGATTGCTTTGCGTGGGAATCATGAAAGAAAGAAAAACATACCTTGAAGCTTGGTGGCTCCTTCGCCAACAAGGTGAGACAAGTTCTCGATATCATCTCCAGCTGTGATACCGAATCGACGGACAAAGTCCTTAGCAGCGTTCTCCAGGTCTCCGTAGCCATCATCGACAGGAGGAAGATCATCCTCGGGCCGGCCGAAGTAAGCATTGCTGGATATAGCGGTAGCGCCATCAAATTGGTTGAGCCGTTGCTTAGCCTCGGCCTGAGCGTTAGGGTCGAAGCGCTCCCGTCCAAAGAATTCGTCAGAAGAGATACCCTTCTGAGTGCCAAATCGTGACTTGGATTGAGCGAGTTCTTCCTCTATTTGTGGTATTAGCGGGTTTCTATTCTCTGCAGCAGGAAATCGTGAATCAACTCACCATCGGCAGCGGACCTGGGGGCAACAGCACCGAATCCAAGCTTCTTGGGGGCAGGAGGCTTCGCCACCTGACCGAAGCCGAGTCTGTTCATACCCATACCTAGTCGCTCGACATCGCTGGAGTTACGTTCGTGGCCCTTGCCAGTAGCACCGAATCCACCACGGTTGGGGCTGACGGGGGTAGGGGCAGCAATCGGAGTAGCAGCAGTGGAAGCCTTGGCCTTTGCGTCGACCTCGGCCTGCTCAGCTTCAGGGTCATATCCAAGCTTCTCGATACGCTCGGCCTCTTCCCTGGCCTTTCGCTCAGCTTCCTCGAAATCGATATCATGAGCAACAACCTTCTTGGCTCCAAGCTTGGGGGCCTTCTTAGCACCCAGCACGCTTCCCTTCTTCGCACCACCAGCGGCGGTGGTCTTCTTAGCAGCGGAATTGGCGCGGATAGCGGCCGGGGCAGCAGGGGAGGCCTTCTCTTCGGAGCCAGCCAGGGGAGACTTGGAGCGAGAGCCGTTCGAATTGGCGGTCAAGAAAGGGGAACCAGTGCGGCTGACAACAGGTGGCGTGCCGGTGCGGGAAGGTGGGTTACTTGGGCGCTTGATAGATGGCTTGTCCCATGACGAGAAGAAGTCGTCGTCTTCGCCGGCAGGGGTAGCAGAGCCGTCGGATGGGGTGCCAGCGGGGAGATCAGTGATAACAACCTCCTCGGGGTATCTACAGTGAGTGGATTAGTATCTGGGGTGGCGATGTTGAGAAGTTACCTAGGCAGGTAATGGTGCACTCACTGTTGCGCATCCACTGCAGCTCGTCTCTTCAATTCTTCCTTGTACTTGACCGCTGCATTGGAGGTATACTTAACCTTTGCATCTTTGCTTGCCAGCGCAGCAGATCCACCGTGTGTCTGGAAGTATTTGGTCGCAGACTCATTTCCACCAACCTTCATCACACGCAGCTGCTCCCATTGCCATTCTAATCACATATATCAGTCTCATTCGAATCGTAGAAGGAAGGAAGTAAATAAATCGTGCCTCGCAAGGGAGTACATACGGTCGAGATTTGTGGATCGAACAAAGGAGATGTGGACACCGAGATTGCGATGGTTGGACGAGCAATCAAGGCACAGGTAGATACCAAAGGGAACCGATGACCAGGTAGGATTCTTGGAGCTGCAGTCGAAGCATAGCTAATCGTTGTAAACTTGTTAGCGAACAATGGCCAAAATGCACCGAGAACGGCGGGATCGGGGGGCGCGGGGCGAGAGCGCACCTTGTTTGCCGGCTTCAACTTCAACTTCTCAAAGATCTTTTGAGACTGCGCCTTGGAGGCACTCATTTTTGACGAAATAGATTATGGAATTCGAGTAGAGGACAGTGTGAAGAGTAGTAGAGAGAAGAGGCCGAAAATGATGTATTGGGAACGGCGAACGTGGTCGGACTCGGGAATGCCTGTGCCTGGTGTAATTTTGCAGTTCTGCAGACGTTTGGCGGTGGGGCATGGGTCCTTTAACTATGGGGAAATTGGGAGTTCGAAATAATATAAACATTGTATTCTTACTGGCTCTGTTACTATAAATTTGTACAAAATAGACGGATCTTATTGTATATCATATAAAGAAGTCTATTCAGGGGGATAAATTTCTTTTTTACGTTTTGATCTGGCTGAAACAACAGAAAAAAATATCGCAGACTGTGGGCACCGCCACCCTCATTGCAAATTTACAATACTGTAATTTTCAATGGGAGCACGTGAGTCCGCCTATCGTTATCGCGGACTCGTTCATCTTCATCTTCAGGGTCGATTCAGTCGACCACTACTGGGCAAGATGAATCTCCAACACCTGCGAGCTCTACCAAGGGCCTCTACGAGCGCTTCTTTAGCACTACGCCCCTTTCCGCGATCCGAAATAAGTCGACTATACGCCACACAGAGCAACTCGGGTAGCACAACGAAGAAACGGAGGAACATCACAGTATTGTCCGACGATGGACGATATGAGTGGGGCGAGTTGAGCGGAGGAGAAAAGGTCTCGCGAGCTACACAGCAGTCCTTCAATTTTCTTGTCGTGATAGCTGGTGTTGTGTTGACGGTATGACGCAGTCTTTCCCGCTCGGGCGCATCAACGATAGTAAGGCTTCTGGTTCTGACATTGGATGGTTCTAGGGTGGTGTTTTCACACTTTTATGGCAAGACGTCTTTTCGCCAAACAGTCGGACATGGCAATTTGAGAAGGCTGTTGATCGCATCAAGGATGATGCGCGGTGCACAAAGCTCCTCGGTGATCGACGAGAAATCAAAGCGTTTGGAGAGAATACTTCAAGCAAGTGGGCGCGGCACCGTCCCATTGCGTGAGTTTGCGTCGCATGGCATTTTCTCGAATCATAAGCTAATGGCTGTACAGGACATCTGTCGAGAAGGATCGCCTGGGTCGTGACCATCTCCGCATGAACTTTCACGTAAGATACCCTCATTCTTTATGTCTTAATAGCTGTACTCATTTTCTCTTTAGGTTGAGGGTCCCCTAAACTCAGGCACTGTCTTCGTGCACATGATGAAGCCTTTGGATAAAAGTGATTTCGAATACCAACTCCTTGCCTTGGATGTAAAGGGTCACTCCCGGGTTGTACTGGAGAAGGCCGTGGAGAAGCCTAGTGTGGCTAGCTCGTTGAAGCTTTTCGGCATTCAGTGGCGGTAATTTGTTTTCAGATGCATACGATATCCCTCTATATTCTATCTGCTCGGATAGTTCTTCGAAGTTGATATCGTGAAACCCTCAAATATGGGATTGGATTTAGCACCATCCCGATGCTTGGCCTACTGTCGCCAAATGTCTTTCCATTTATTGTATTTTTAGGGATGGTCTAAGCACTACCCAGATCGATGTACTATATCTTCTACTGCAGCCGAATTTAACAACCATGGACGATTGCAGTGCGTTGTTCTCAGCACAATAAACAAATTACCCTTTGGAACAGCCAGACAAAGTTTCAACTGAAAATATTGACAGATTTTGGCAAAGTTATTGACATAAATACACATAACGACATCTACATTTTTTAGGGTGTTTATACCACACGAGGACCATCGATGATAGTCTTAGCCTCCTCGGAGCGCCACCAACTCTTTCCTTCCTCACCAGGGAAAGCAAAGGCATCCATGCTCTCGGCCTTCATCTCCACACTGTATCCAGGCTCCATAGGAGTAACATAGTATCCATCCTTAACGCTGGATGGGTGAACGAAATGCTCATGCAGATGGTCAACATACTCCAACACACTTCGCTTGCCAGTAACAACCACGTAGTCAATGGTACTCAAGTGCTGGGTGTACTCTGGCAGACCAACACCACCGGAGTGGGGAACAATAGGAACGCCGAACTTGCGAGCCAAGAGCAGGATAGCCAAGACCTCGTTAACTCCACCAACACGGCAGGCATCAGGCTGGAGAACAGTCAAAGCACCAGCTTGCAGTAGCTGCTTGAAGATAACGCGGTTCTGGCACATCTCACCAGTAGCAACACCAACGGTCCCGTGAGGAGTGTTCTCAAGAGCCTTCTTAATAGCGGCATGGCCGAGAATGTCATCGGGGGAGGTAGGCTCCTCAATGAACCAAGGCTTGAACTCAGCCAACTCCTGCATCCACTCAATAGCCTCAGGGACGGACCAGACCTAATTAAAGACAAATTAGTAAGATAACAATAGCTTATCAGCTTCCATAAACTTACCTGGTTAGCATCCACCATCAAGATGTTTCCCTTGTCATAACCAATAGCTTCACGGGCAATTCTCAAGCGAGTCTTATCATCCTCCAAGCTTCCACCAACCTTCAACTTGAAGTGCTTATATCCCTGCTCCACACTCTCCTTCAGAAGTCTCTTCAACTTATCCTCGGGGTATCCCAACCATCCGGCACTAGTAGTATATGCCGGCACGGCCTTGCTAGCCTCAGCCTCCTTAATTCTCTCCTGCTTGCCAGCTTCGATCTCCTTCAGCATAGACAGAGCCTCTTCGGGAGTAATAGCATCAGTGATGTATCGGAAGTCAATGCAGCGAACGAACTCCTCGGGAGTCATATCCGCAACAATGCGCCAGACAGGCTTGCCGAGGGTCTTAGCCCATAGATCCCAAAGGGCATTAACGACTGCACCCATAGCAAGGTGGATGACTCCCTTCTCGGGACCAATCCAGCGGAGCTGGCTGTCGGAGACGAGGTAGCGCCAGGTCTTGCCCCAGTCGGCGGTCAACTCGTCCAGGTCTTTTCCAACGATAAGGGGTGTGATGAGCTCAATGGCGGAGCAGACAATCTCATTGCCACGACCAATTGTGAATGTCTATTTATCGTGTTAGATAATGCATTGATTGTGCTTGATTAGTTGGTTTTTACATACCATGCCGTGACCGCTGAAGTCAGAGTCAGTGTGGATAATGCAGTAGGCGGAGGAGTAGTCGCCGGCAGCGTTCATGGCATCGGAGCCGGTCTTGTCGAGGGAGGTCTGGATATCGGTTAGAGATGCCGGTGTGGTCGTTTCAAGATCACTAGACGTAATGACATACCGGAAACCTCACGTCCCGCGTTGTGAAGCCAGTGATCTTAACCATGGCGTCGGTTAATTGATTGAGAATAAACAATTATGAATGATTGAACGAGTCAATTGGACACGAATGCTTAGTCCGGTGAGATACTAGTGACAATATCCAAAAGATCCGGGTATAGGCGCTTGCAAGAAGCAAATGTATACTTAATGGGTGATATTTCACCAGGGGAAAGACGATAAAAGGGGTATAATATATTAGAGAATGCGGCAAAAGATTCAAAAAAGAAAACGGGAGAAATTGCGACGCTGGGCCCGTATATAGTCTCTGTAACCCCCGCGTTGTTAGCACCTTTGCCTTCGCCCCTCATCTCCGGGGCCCGTTTCCGCAAATGCGGGGGTTTCATTGGAGGATAATTCCCGGAGACGGGGAAATGTATTTTTCCACCAATAAACGCATGAGAAGGAATATCGGAGCACCTCCGGTTGTCTGGGGTTGACATCGCCCTAATAGCGTTAGGTGACATTGGGACAGATTTGCTTGGGGCAAAGGATTCCAGCTAAACTATAGATTCAGAGTTGGTTTGATTTGGATGGGTATGGATTTCCATTAAAGATGCAATGTGTGAATTTGCGCTTTTAAGGTTAAACTAAGGTTTATCGACATGATGCATGCGTCTGCATCGTGCTTCTTATGCTGATAATCCACGCTTCTCGCTCTCGGAAAAGAAGATGAGCATTCGCCAAAGCTTGCGAACCAGCACTTCGGCTTCTTCGTCCAGTGCCTGTACGTTTCAGATTAGCATATTGTAAATTTGTAATGGCATAAATAGTAGGGGAAGGGGGGAAACTAACCTCTGCAAGTTGATCGGCCAGTTCCTGTGGCGATCCATGCTTGCGCACATGCTCTTCCACAACATCGACCAACATCTGCTCTTGCACACCCAGATACTCGACGATCTTCTTTTCCACGAAAGGCTTGATCTGGTCGCCGAGAACAGCTTCGTCTACAAACTCCCACTTGATCTCCCACTTCCATAGACCCTCTTTGTCGTTGGGGATTTCTTGTGCCAATTGGCGAGCAGCCTGGGCCCGTTCCTCATCTGAAAGACCTGCAGCCTCTGCAGCAGTGTCGAATTTGATGGGAATGAGAGGGCGACGGGTGGTGCTGGCGGGTTCCTCCTCGTCTTCCAGCAGACCTTCGACCTCAGCGGCGGTGCGGCGGGTGGTTGCGGCTTGGGCTTTCTGTGCTGCTGCACCGAGGGACAACTTGAAGCGTTGAGGTTCGCGAGGCGCCTCCGCGCGAGTCTCCAGCTCCTGAGCTTGGCGAGCAAGGAAGTCATCGGCAGCACCACGGGCCTGCTCCTGCTTCTTGGCAGATTGGACACGCTCACGCTCCTCGGCCGCACGATCAGCTTCATCCAAGTTGGCTTCGCGAGCACGGAAAGCGGCACGGCTGCGGAGCCAGGCACCGCGGTCTGCATAGTATTCGGTAGTTTTCCGATTTGCCTCAGTATCGTCGTTCCATTCCTTAAGTCGCTCATCCATCTCATCATGAGCAGCCAGCAACTTGCCATCTTCTTCTTTATCACGCTTCATCTCACGTTCCAAAGCAGCAGTTCGGCTTCGCTCACGGTTCAGCCATCGGCGCTCTTGGTCGAGGAATTGCTTCTCCTGCTCCGCATCACGTTTGGCCTGGCGGCGACGCTCAAGCTCTTCATCGCTTGCATCTGAATCTTCTTCTTCGCGGTCAATATAAACTTGAGACCCATTGACAGATCCACCATTCACAAAAGAGACACCCTTTTGGTAATCCTTGGGTATTTGGACGCCAAATCCCTTGGGGCCAGATGGAGCATTAGGCACACCACGATCACGAGGACCAAGGGGAATGCCGTTTGTACCTCCACTAGGGCCACTTGGAGCCGATGCAGGAGGGGACGCAAGTCGATTGTATCGCGATCCAGCATTGCGAGCACGTTCCATAGACTCAATTTCCTCCTCACGCTTCAAACGCTCAATGTCCCTCCGGTTGCTACGCTCGCGGAAAGCAGCAATTTCCTTGGCTACATTCTCACGCATCTCGGGAGGAATATCGGCCAATTCATCTTCGACGGTGATTGGAATAGTGACAACTTCTCCGTCCTTGGTAGTCTCGACATCCTTCATATCAATATCACTATCCCGGTCAAACGCAACGGTGTCCACCTTTTGGGTGGTACTTTCTGGGTGGAACAACTCATGTAGGACCTTCTTGAGCTCACCGCGGGCTGCTTCGAAGCGTGCTTGAAGCTCTTCGGGGTCCCGTTCGCCGCGGCTCTCCTTGAATCCTTCCAAGTATTTAGTTGTGCTTTCATCCACCACAACCTGAGATTAGAGTCAGTATTAGAAATTCGCCACTATAGAAAAATGGATCGACAAAATCAACGTATCAGGGCAGTCTTACAAGAAGAGTACTTTTCTCCACTTCTTTCTCTTCCTCCTCCTCCTTCTTTACTTCGCCTTCGGTGCGTGGCAACTGACGCTTCACTGGAACCTCGATATCTTGGAGCACCTCAACCGCCGTCTCAAGACTTTCTGCGTCATCGAACTCGGCAAAGCCAAACCGACATGGTTTCTCGTCGGCATCTGTGGCACGAATCCACCGTCGCAGACGACCTGCAGATTGCAGGATGCGCTCAATTCCGTCATCTCCACCCAGGCCCTCCGTAACACCACCAACAAACAGTGTGCGCACGATCTCATCCCGTGTAGGCGGCTGGAGCTGCATCATCGCATCACGCGCATGGTGGCGTGATCCCTCCATGTTAGAAGATCCAAGGCCAGCACGTCTTCCTTGTCCTTCTGACCCCCGCTCACGACCCATCTCCGGGCCTGCAGGCTTTGCCGGACCCGATGTTCCCAACCGAATCACCGGCGCGTTGAAGTTGATGTTAGGCATGTTCGCTGGGGGCTGGAAGTTCGCAGGGAAGCCGCCTGGGCGGCCAGATTGTTGACTGTTCGCCTGTTGCATGTTCGCTGGAGGGGCTGTTCCGGGTGCAGCCATCCCTGGAGGAGGCGCTAGAGTAAGTTAGCTTTGATCAAACTGCGAATGGAATAACTAGGGAACTTACCCATGCCCGGGGCTGCGCCGGGTGCGCCAGGGTATGCGCCATAGTCTGGTGGGCGACCGTAGGCGCCAGGAGCTGTTGTGAACGTCAGTATTCGTAGCTCATTGTTCGCTCCATATATCGTGGCCTGCCGATTGACATGATTGCTCTTTGACAGCACTTACGTTGGTAAGGATTATACATTGTGGAGGCACGCGCGTGTGGCGTGGCAATGCTTGAAGTTGAAAGTAGAATTGAAGAGTGAGCTGCAGATGACTCCACCAGGCTGTCGATGTTACAGGTGCAGCATCCAGTCCAATCTCAGACCTTAAATTGGATGAAGCGCGAAAAGAGAGAAAGTTGCGGACTTGAAGTGGGTCCGTGCGCTGATCTTGGCGGCTCCCTTTGCAGTACTTACTTCTCCTTGTTCATCATTGATCAATCCTAGTTAATTCCTAGTTATTGCACAGCTATCATGCAGTAATCAACTGAAATTATTTTCGCATTTAAAATTGCAACTCGATGCTGTTTTTAATCATTGCCCGATACTCATTTATATAGTATTGATAAGTATGGGAAAGGCTACTACTACATTTGCAGAACTTTGAAGTGTGCATCTCCAAATGTCGATTATACGTTTAGAAGCTATTTCAGGCAATTGAACCCAAAGCTACTGATGCTGCCTACTGCTGCCTACACAAAGGCCTATCTATACGTTCTTCAAATCCGGAGTCCGGCCAATTTTGCCGTTTTAACTTTATAAGTGGGTTTGGTACAGGTCATAAATTCCGCTTATCTGCCACATAAAAGCTAGCCATGTCCTCTTCATGACAATCACTAGAGCCCCAGTCAAGTCCCTGTGCGCGAAGCAACTCTTTTTGTTCCATTGTGAATTGAATTGATCTATATTTCCATTGAGATGGCAGACAAGTCCCTCAAATCCACCTGCCACTGTGGCGCTATCACCGTGATCGTGCCTCGGCGACCAGCGGAAATAAACGAATGCCAGTGTACAATCTGTCGGCGGTATGCAGCCGCTTGGGCGTACTACAAAGTAGATGAAGTCAAATTCGATATACGAGATGGCGCCAAACTTTCTCAGTATGTCTGGGGAGACAAAGAGAAATCCTTCAACTTCTGTGAGAATTGCGGATGCGTGTAAGTTATCGTTTATTATTTCGAGGTATAAATCTTAATGGTTTGGCTAAATTGCTTTCTGTGAAATAAGCTGTTATCATTGGCCATTTGAAAAGATTAATCCAGATGGTAGTACGGCTGAATTTGGCGTCAATACAAGGAATATGGACCCCATGGAACTCTTGTACGTCAGCCGCAAGGTTGACCACGCCTGGGTGCTCGCGCCGGTGAACAACAAAGCCGTGGCACATGAGCAGGACCAGGCAAAGTACTGAGAATTGAATAAAATATACAGTTCATTGACACTGATCGATGCTAATTGATATCTATCAGCATTGCGAGAGCTCAGGAAATGTGCTAGATAGATACTACATATTAGATCTCTATCATTGATAATTAGTACATTGTACTATCCATACCTACCCAGTAATACCTGAGTGATTGACAGGTACATACTACTAGTATAGAATATACCTACTAGATATACCTACTAGATAGTAACAAATCACAACTTATTTAGAATAAAGTCATCATTAGCTTCTAGAAGGAGTAAATACATACATATGCAAAATGAACCTTGGAAGGGATATTATCAAAGTTAGTATTAGTGCCCGAGTTCCTGATTGAATTCTAGAAAAGTCTATATTTCCAAGATTCTCATGTGTTTTCCGCACCGGACTACAAATATCCGGAGAGACAGTACTGGCGGCTAGCAGGGCTACAACGTCTCACCGGGACAACCGTTACGCCATAACTCCCGAGATCCTGAATGGCGTAGTAATAAGCAAGCAATGCCTGGAAGAATTTAGTTCCTTTGAACTCAAACTTCCCATATCCCCGTAGTCACGGTGATAGATTCTAGTAAATCAAGACTGGGCTGAAGAAGTATGTATACAGAGAAGTACCTATTACTTAGTATAAAAAAACACCATTGAGAGCTCCGGCTGCCCACGGCAGTCTAGTATCGACCAAAATAAAAGTAATCCTGAATAGCCTGAATACACCAGGCATTAAAACTTGTCGGAAAAGAAAAAGAAAGATACATAATGAGTAACATATGTCGGCTAATGACCATGGGGATTAGCAAACCAACCTGCTCCAGACCAGGGCCGAATGCGGCAATGATGATGCTTGCCCCACGGAGCCCCTCCACCGGACCCCAACGCGCCGGTTTATGACTTTCTTCTTTTCCCATTTCTTTACCCGAGTCCTTCACTTCTTTTCGTCGATTCCGTGATACCCTGTTTCCTATCTGTCCTACACTGGTAAGTTAGCCTCCTCAGCATTGATATTCGCTCCCTCGAGTATTTGTTTTCTCGTTTCCATTTGCCCCGCCCTAACCCGGAAGTATCTAAATAGCATCGTCCATAATGTCTGCTTTCGCGCAAGCCACTGAATTGGGCGCCTGGAAGGAGCTCCAGGAGCACCACACCACCCTGGGTCGCAACATTGTCCTGAAGGAGTACTTCGAGAAAGACCCCCAGCGTTTCCAGAAGTTCAGCCGTACGTTCAACAACACTGTAGACAACTCAGAGGTCCTATTCGATTTCTCTAAGAACTTCCTCACCGAGGAGACGCTCTCTCTGCTGGTTAAGCTGGCTAAGGAGGCCGGTGTTGAAGAGCTGCGTGATGCTATGTTCCGTGGTGACCACATCAACTTCACTGAGGACCGCGCTGTCTACCATGCTGCTCTTCGCAACACCTCCAACGAGCCTATGCAGGTCGATGGCAAGAGCGTTGTCGAGGATGTCAACAGTGTTCTCGAGCACATGAAGGAGTTCTCTGAGCAGGTGCGCAGTGGTGAGTGGAAGGGTTACAGTGGCAAGAAGATTAACACCATTGTCAACATTGGTATTGGTGGCTCAGACCTGTAAGTTTTGCCCTAGTTTGTCACGATCGGATGCTTTTATCCGCGAGGTTGAACTATAGACTCACTTTGTTTAATAGTGGCCCTGTTATGGTTACTGAGGCTCTTAAGCCCTACGGTCACCCCGACCTCAAGCTTCACTTCGTCTCTAACATTGACGGAACCCACGTCGCCGAGGCCCTTAAGGGCTCTGACCCCGAAACTACCCTCTTCCTGATCGCTTCCAAGACTTTCACTACTGCCGAGACCTGCACCAACGCCAACACAGCCAAGTCTTGGTTCCTCGAGACAGCCAAGGATCCCGCTCACATCGCCAAGCACTTCGTTGCTCTCTCCACCAACGAGGCCGAGGTGACCAAGTTCGGCATTGACAGCAAGAACATGTTCGGCTTCGAGTCATGGGTTGGAGGTCGTTACTCCGTGTGGAGCGCCATTGGTCTCTCCGTTGCTCTGTACATTGGTTATGACAACTTCCACCAGTTCCTGGCTGGTGCCCATGCCATGGACAAGCACTTCCGCGAGACTCCTCTGGAGCAGAACATCCCCGCCATTGGTGGTCTTCTGAGCGTGTGGTACAGTGACTTTTTCGGTGCTCAGACTCACCTGGTTGCTCCCTTCGACCAGTACCTCCACCGATTCCCTGCTTACCTGCAGCAACTGTCCATGGAGAGTAACGGCAAGGCCATCACCCGCAGCGGCGACTACGTCAAGTATACCACCGGCCCAATTTTGTTCGGTGAGCCCGCCACCAACGCTCAGCACAGTTTCTTCCAGCTGCTGCACCAGGGCACTAAGCTCATTCCTGCCGACTTCATCATGGCCGCTGAATCCCACAACCCCGTTGAGGGCGGCAAGCACCAGCGCATGCTGGCTTCCAACTTCCTTGCTCAGTCAGAGGCCCTGATGGTCGGTAAGACCCCCGAGCAGGTTCGCGCCGAGGGTGCTCCCGACCACTTGGTTTCCCACAAGACTTTCCTGGGTAACCGTCCTACCACCTCTATCCTCGCTCAGAAGATCACTCCTTCGACTCTGGGTGCCCTGATCACCTACTACGAGCACGTTACCTTCACCGAGGGTGCTATCTGGAACATCAACTCCTTCGACCAGTGGGGTGTTGAGTTGGGCAAGGTCCTTGCCAAGAACATTCAGCAAGAGCTGGAGACTAGCGGTACCAGTGGCAAGCACGACGCTTCTACCAGCGGACTGCTTTCTGCTTTCAAGCAGAAGGCCAAGCTGGCATGAAAACAGTTTAAGTCGACAGACCAGGCGGCTATGATGAGCAATGATTGATATTGATATCTCGACCTATTTCTTTCCAAATTCCTAAAAACTTGAACATTTTCAACTTGATTAGAGTTTTCTGTAATAATCTAACATAACACAATGTATGATAGAAGAAATCATCTTGAAGCGTATGGCGATTGAAGAGTAGTGGTGGTGGATCAATCCCCAAACTGATAGCCGGTGTTGATATGGACAAGTAGTCTCCGCCAACGGTGGCCAAACTTGCTCCGTTGCTTCTCCGCGCGCCGACTCCCCCATTCTCCCACAACGCCACAGCGGGGGCGGCTCTTTTTTTACAACGATTAAAACCTCGAAAATGTCACCTAGAAACCTTTTGAGTCGGTTTCCGACCACCGTCGCTCTTTCGCTTGCGACAGCACTACTGCCCGCAGGGTCAGTCGCGGGGAGCACGAGCAACAGTGGCCGCGAAGGATACAGAATTGGGGACGAAGTCCCAGTATCCTGCTTGAATCGGACCCTGTAAGTGTAGTAAACATTCAATCCAATCTCCAATCTATTGATCCGGTATACTAACGCGAATTGAAATGTCCACAGGGAGGGAGAACATGTATGCGCCTTATACTCCTGAAGAACAGAAACGCTCCTATACAATTTCACCTACTAACACGCTGTTCAGATCACAGATAGCCTGGGCAAACTCCAATATGTCCCCTTCGTAACATGCAACGAAACATCTCGCCCTCTAGCCCTCCGCTATGGCATCTCTGAAACAATTACCTGCACCATCCCCTCCCTCTCCGACAACCTCTACCACCTCTTCGAATTCTACGTGCATTCCGATGTCCCAATGACCTGCCGCGTACCTACCTCCCCTCTCGTCTCATCCCCAGACACACCCACAGAAAAGAAAGACTCAGAGTCGGCCGTCGGAGACTCCGCTTTGCTCAGCGAGAACGGTCCCCCCTTCACACCCCTCACGATCGCTTTACAAGGTACCCTGCAGCTCAGCCACCTGCACATTTGGTCTGATATGAATATGCTCATGCACGACATTGCCTCGGATGCAGCTGCCCTGCAACAGGGCTCTTCCAAGGCAAGCGGACAACCAGGTCACGTCGTTGCGGGAACAGCGTACTCGACACCAGAGTTCGAAGCCGCAGTGAAGAATATCGAGCTGGACGACGACGAAGAGGTAGTTGCTGTCTCGCAAGCTGCGCGGGAGCCCTGGACACTGGGCCATGGGACAAAAGTTATTCGCGGCGAGCCGTTCACATTCTCATTCCATGTTGCGTGGTTGGAGGGTGGCGCAGGAATTGGGTGGCCTGACCGGTCCGAGGGATCTTTCTTAGATGACCCTAGCGCCGGGAAGGGCCATTCGTCGGGCCATTTCTTCTCCAGCATGTTCTTTTTTATCATGGCCGCTTCTGTTGGTGCGTTAATTGCGCTTTATTGGGAGCGGAATGGACAGAGCTTCCGAGGTCGAACCGGGTGGAAAGGGGATGGGATTCTGGGTGCACCGCCTTCGAGGGGTAAGGGATCTTCTGTCACATTTGGAAATGGGGGTCGCATCAATGGTTATGGAGGATATTCTGCTGCTGCTGCCAACGGAGCAAATGGGAATGGTGGTGGGTATGGAGGGTTCCCTACTGGTAAGAGGGACTGATGGATAAGAAAGCGTGGGGGAGACTGCAGTTATATATCCTCGCATGTATTGTGAACATAATACTATATTAGAATTGTAGTGTCAATTGAACAAAAAACGCTCAGACAATTGCGAAGGTTGAATGCTTCAAACAGATTTGTTTATAGTAGTATCAGATGTATTTATGATATATCTAATGCCAGTAAACAAGGTAAAAGAAAAGAAATTCACAAATAGCTAGTTATACATGTTAAAACACAAACCAGGGACCCAAAATAATCCCCAGACAAGGCCGATATCATCAAGCCCATAATAGCCAGTCCAACCCAAGAGTCAAGTCTCATATATACAAAACAGCAGATTGGTCAGACAGAGCACCAAACAAAGAATCTAGACAAAGTCTACCAACCCTGCGCCTGCATTCTCTGAATCTTCTTCACAGTCTCATTAAACGAAAACTTAAACAGCTTGCGCCACCTCATCCGCCTCTTAATCTTGCGCTCCATTCCCTTCCTAACATGAAATCTCTGAGCATTAGCCTGGTGCTTAACTCCATTCCGAGAACAAGTCGCCTCCAACATCCGAATAGCAGACGCAAGATCAATGCCACGCTCCGGCTCAACATGAATCTGTCTTCCGAGACTAGGTCCGAGCTTCATATCTGTCTTCCGACCAGCCAGGCCGGATTCCCGCGAAGATGAAGACCAGGTTGTGCCCGCAATAACATCAGCAATGCGGCGAGTCTGAAGGCCCCGGTTTGGCTCGGCGGGTTGAGTGCGAGCACCTAGATCGAGCTTGTTGAGGATCTCGTTGAAGTCTGAGGCGGCGGATTTGGAATCCTGTGCTTTGGGTGATGTTGTGGTTGTGGAAGCCTCGGTGGGGGTTTCTGTGGGCTTGGCTTGTTTTGTGTCAGGTTTAGGTGTCGAGGAGGAGGAATTGTAGCGTAGGGTGCTGAGGATGGGTTGTTGGATGCGAGGCGTGTTGAGGAGCCATGGGGTTGGTTTGGCGCGGAGGCCGCGGGCCATGAGGCGGAATTCCATTTTGAAGGATGTGCAGAGCACCTGAATTGAACAGGCAGTTCAATTGACAGGGACTTTAAGCTGCTCTGAGGACAAAGGTGGGTGGTTGTTGGATTGGGAGTTCCTGACGTCGCGACAAACATTTGGTGCAGTAAAAGAAAACCCGGCCAAATTCGAGATCACGTGCATCTCCGCATAATCATCGTTGTCAATGAAGAAACGTCCCAACTATGTAGCTACTTTTTATACATATTGAGGTACACATTTCAGTAATCCCAAGAGCTTTATAAAGTTGAATTCTTATACTGATCTCTGTTTTATAGTTTGAAAATGTCATCCATCAATATTACAACCCTGCCGCGGATTAATCGTGATGCCCTAGCCGCAACCCTGCAAGCTGGTACCACCCCCGCTAAGTTGGCGATTATTGATGTTCGCGATTCAGGTACGATAACAGGAATCGATTAAGGTTGAATAACTAAATCCTAACATGTCCAGATCATATTGGTGGCCACATTAGTGTATCTACTTGGGTACCCAGCTCCTCCCTTGATGTCCGGATGCCAGAGCTCGTGCGGACCCTGAAAGACACCGAGAAGGTCGTCTTCCACTGTGCTCTTAGCCAACAACGCGGTCCTTCGGCTGCCTTACAATATGCGCGAGAGCGTGAGCGTACTTTTGGTGCAGATGAGGGCCGTAAGCAAGAGGTCTGCATCCTTGAAGGTGGCTTCGTGAAATGGCAAGAAAAATATGGCAAGGACGACGCTTTGACTTTGGCCTATGTCGAAGATATCTGGCAAGAGTACTAAGCTTCAAGAGTGTCAAGCGCTGGTACTTGAGAGCCTTTCAACTATGCATTGGAATGGATAGAGGTGTCTTTTATTAGCGATGCTTCCCTTGCTTTTCTCTGCCTATTATGTGACATGACCAGATTAGAGAGATACCACCGAGCCGATAAGTCGGATATACGGGATGATTGAATAATCTAGATATCTGAACCCCAAGATTCTTTGAAATTTTTTACCTCGATTAATGGTACATAGTGAAGAACGTACTAGAGTAAGCCATCCGGAGGTCGATGGCGTAGTAGTGTTCCATACCTAGGTCGGCACTGGTTCGTCTTCCGCTGTCCAACGTTGAAAAGATAATGTTACAGTTTTTATTACAATATACACGAGTCTTCTACATCGAGACGCTTCCTCCAAATCCAACGGGGCGTCTTTTGCCCTCATTCTCAGGCACAATGGTCAGGACCTTGTAGATCTGACCCATAGAGCCACCACCCTTCTCAACCAACCGTTTCCATCCTGTCTCCAGCGTCTTCTTATGCTCATCATCTCCAGCCTTGCGAATAAGTTGCTCCATGCGCTCTGTGATGCCCATTGCATTGAGGAAATCACCCTGCTCAACAGGACCATGGACTTCAACACCATCACTTCCTGCGATAGCAGCCTCAGCTAGAGAAGTGAAGTCAACATCAGCACTTACATCAACCTGTCCTGGAGACGAGAGGGCAGGAACAATGCGGTGGTGCTGGATTCCACGCAGCGAGTTGATAGGAACAGTCGACATAGTGCCATAGTCCATGATCAGAGCAGCACCAGAAGGGGTCTTCTTCTGCGGTGCCTTGGGATCAACATTTCCTTTCTTTGTAGAAAGCGCGGAGGCAGAATCGCCACCGATACGGCGCGCAAAGTCAGCAGCATAGATTCTGCTTTCGGGGCTGACTTCGATAGTGGAACCGGGCTGTGACTTAAGTGCGCGGAAGCGTTCGGAGATTTCGGGAATGACGAGAGATGAGGGCGTAGAGGCCTTTGCTTTGCTTAACTGAAACTCGGGCTCTCCTTCGATGTTTTCCTCAACGGCCTTGGGGTTCAGGGTGACAAGCAATTCACGCCATTGCGGTGTGTTTTTGGGCCTGAGGGGCGTGTGTAGCTTTTGTGGACCGGTAGGGGTCATGATCTCTTTTTGCTCGGTGATTTCATTCTCCGGCAATGGAGGAACAGACTCGAATGCATGAATAGGAAGCGCATCAAAGAATTCATGCGCGAAAATGAAAGGAGTTTTTCCTTCCTCTGCAATCGTCATATAAAAAAATTAGCATTATTATTTTCCCAGCTTCAAATATAAGTGTAACGAGCCGACTAACCATGTGGTAAGAGACGGATATCCTCCACCCAGATAACAGGGACATCAAAGTATTTGCAAGTGCTGCGGTGTCCAATATCTGTTTCTTCCATAGCAGCATCCCCGCACAGAAGCTTCCTCTGCACTTCTCGGAGAGTGGCACTCGCTTCAACTAGATAAATCGCTTCAACACTAGACGAAAAGCTCTTGAAGTTTCGATAAGTCTAAAGCATCCTGTCAGTAAACTTGCAACTTCGAGCTTCCATCGGAACCACCTACCCGCAGCATATCATCCATTAATGTGCCCTTTCCAGGTCCCACCTCCATCAATTGAACGCCGCTTCTTTTCCGGCCTTGCGACATCCATTCTGCAATTGTCCAGATTCCAATCAACTCGCCAAAAACCTGGGATATCTCAGGAGACGTAACAAAGTCACCATGCTTTCCGAATACTTCACCCGTCTCAGGTCGTGATGTGTAGTATCCACCCTCGGGCGAGGTGAGGACTTGGCGCATGAAAGCTGCGATGGGAATAGGGCCCGTAACCTGTATGTTTACGACGATGATTAGGTCTGTAGGTCATTAAGGTAGGAGTTGTGCGGACAGACCTTCATTGCCTGGGCCAATGTACGGGCCAGTGGCGTTGACCATTCTCTAGTCTCGAATGTAGAGTTCCATCTTCGCGAATATGTCGAGAAAATTGGGTTGCGGGATCTTCTGAGAGTATGCGCCGCTGCGCGCCGCGCCGAATTCATTTTGGGCGGAGTCTCTGGTGGGTTCGGTTCACTTCCAACGGTGGTCACCAATTTCTTATAAGGATGGTTATAATTTGTATATTAGGAGGCTTAGGCCAAGAAAGCAGTGAAACAGCTCGAGATCAGACGAAAGCTGAGGTACTTGAAATTTGGCTCTCTACGGGTTCTGCAAACCTCCGCAGAAGCTCCGCGGTCCGCGATAAGATATCATCACGTGTCTCTATAAGAAGCATGAGACCGTTTGATCGTTTACAATTAATAGACCTACTGTACTATAAAGTTTTTGATTTCAAGTTAAGGGTAAGAAACGAAAGAAGAAAGGGAGCAATTGAGCTATAATCGACAGTACAGGAGGGAAGGTGAATGATAACCTAGGAAACTTCCAAGATTTGTGACATGATAGATAGTACAATGCCATGTGTGGGTCATACAGATATCCCGCCTTCTAAATACGATGCTGCTAAATGTGCAGGTACCTATCTTAATCATACTGGCTAGGGCTTTTCTTGGACAGCCTACCAAACTGATGACTGGAGATTGCCTTTGAATGTTTGAATGCCGCCCCGCAAGATAGCATGTTGGAAAACAAGGGAACATGGCCAGTGTCCTTGTATCAGCAGCTAGGTCGGAGCTTAAATGGACGATGAGTTGGATATGGATGATTAATGATCCAAGCTTTTGGTAAAGCCATGAGTGGAGCTTGTCTACTCAAGATTCGACAGGTCAAAATCAACTGGCTTGATATTACTCTGGCCACTTCTAAGTATTCATACATATCATGATATTGGATCAAAAAGGCTAAAAAGAATACAAAAACACTCGCATCAGCAAAAGGATCAAGAAAAGACTTCATCTTGATAGACGTTCACACACCACCTAATTAATGATATCGTCGACCTTGAGTCTTGCGTGAAGCTGGCGCATCGTCCATCATCATTTCGTCACTGTACAATCCCGACGAAGACTTATGAGAACGAGGAGAACCGTCATTTCCGAACCCGTAGTTACCATTTTGCACATCAGGGTCTGCTCGACGTTTCTGTCGCTCGCGATCGGCCTTTGCGCGCAGGTCGTTGTAGGGGTTGTGAGTCGTGCTGAGAGGAGACCCACCCGGTTGAAGAGTCATGGATAGCAGGCGTCCATCAGCCTAAGATTAATTGTTAGCGATTCGTATTCCACGGTTCTCATTCAAGTTCTAGTGTCATCGCATACCCGTTGGTTGTGGAAATTGGCGACCAAATTCTGAGCTGAGAATTTGTTTTCAAATGCGATCTCGGCCGTGACAGTCGGGTTGTGAGAGATGACACGACAGCTGATCATGGGACCGCAGGTAGATTCTAAGGCGGACTCGATATCAGCAGCGGTGGTACCTGGCGCAAAATTGCTGCCGATCACTATGAAGGGCCCGGATGCGCCCTTGATGGACAGACCGCCCCTCTTCGGAGCGTGAACCGTCATTTGACTAGAACCGGACTCGATTACATTCTGTAATCTCTGAGGATTGGCGACACGGTTCCGGTTTCCATTCTTCATGCTTCTGGGTCCGGTGGGGATAGCAACGGAGGCTGGGTTTGGCTTGTTGGGACGGAGATTCGCGGTAGAAGCAGAGCGCTACACGATGATATCGGTACCATATTAGAATGAGAACGAATTGGCTTTGTTTGAAGCAATATGCGATCATAATTCTTGTCTGACCTTGGGCATAGTAATGCGGCTAGCTAAGCTCCCCGGCTTCGCAGCTTGCGATTTCTGGATACCTGCGCCGGGCGCACTGGCGCGGCGATCTCTGCGGCCCTTGCCGAGAATTTGATTCGCTAATTGTTCATTTTGTTTCTTTTGGCGACCTGACTCGAGGGAGAGTTTGTCAGATTCCCACGTAGTTAGAAGTATTGAAAGGGAGGTAGCAAGATGCTTGCTTACCTGTCCGGATGATGTCGTCGAATGAGACAGGTGCAGGTTTCTTCTCCTGCGTCTTCGCCATATTTCGAGGGATGGGAAGTTGGGAGGGGATTTGAAATAGACTTTGTATATGAGATCGTAACCACAGGCGAATGGCTTTGGGGGAGGGGAGGGGAGGGCGGAGTTCAAAGAGAAGGAGCTGGATCGGAGATTGGAGACAAAAAAAGCGCGACAAGCTCTGGGCTGGGGCTATGATCGGCTCCACTTTATCCCCTTCACATTACCCACTCCCGCATCCACTACAATATACAACAAGTTCGATTTCCATAATAATATCCATTAGTGTAGAGTGTGGTAGGTCTAATATCTTCAACTAAATCAAATATGATTATTTTCTTCCTCCCTAAATTAATTAATAAGTGGTTATTCACAACTTAGAATAAAAAAACATGTTATTATGTAGAAGCTTTAAACTCAACATATAAGTATGGTGCAGCGCGCCTTCCTATTCAGGACAAACCAGATCAGGGCTGCAATCACCGCCAAACATCCAATGTTGTTCCAAGTTTCTTTTAAAAGGAAAAGATTGCCTTATAACTTCTATGAACTATCTTCCACGCACGAAATCATCATTGCCTATACATTCATCTCTGTCTGCAAAGGCTTTGAATGCAATATTGCTGAGCAATATGGAGCCGGTGAAGAGATACTGGTCTGGTCAAGGATCAGAAAGTCAACCTAAAACTCGCCGCTCAACTTTTTCCCTTCCTTTCAATATCTTCCGGACATATAAACGAAGGCCTAGGTAAGCATCAAATGTTGAAACTCGAAATAGGGATGCTGAATGAAAGATGTCTCCAGTATCATAGACCCGCCTGAGCTGCCACTTCCAACATGCGCAGAAAGAAATCACTACCCTGTATTCGACCCCAATAACCAAGAACACAATCCACCGTATAGTAGATTGTACCGCCGCATGGAAAGCCAAACCTCCTCCTCAGACTCGCAGAAGCATGCAAACTGGGTCCATGGCCTTCCCAAAAAGTCACTCCGCAAAGCTCAGTCTGGTATCTTAGCCTTCAGAGCAGGGTTTGCTCGCCGTCCTCAGCCAAGTATTAGCGTCGAAGATATGGCGCTTCGTCATGGGCAAGGGGTCTCAAGTATTACCACTCAAGAGGATCTGAGTTTTGGCTGTGATCTTTATCGGACGGCCATTTCATGGTCTTCACCAGAAAATCAGCTCAGTATCGATGCACTGATGAGAGCAGAGCCATTCCATCCTTTGACCAACATCATTTCAGCCCCGGTAGTCCTACAAAGCTTTGATGGATCCCTTGATGACTTCGGTACCGGATTTGTTGGCAGTACGAATGCGCCTGTGCATCTACCACCCGCAACACAGTCCAACAATGAGCAAGCCTTTTACTCTCATCGCTCTACAGATACAAGGGCAAGTAAGATTGATGGAACAGCTACCGATTCAGCACTGATTAAGGGCACATTACGCAAGGTATCTTTGACGGCATCAACAGATTGGGAGACACTGGGAACTGCTTCGACTGGCTCTGTTGATGACGATGACGGAAAACGGTTGCAAGACCTCACAGACGTGCGACACAAGGTCTTGGACAAGGCAAATTCACCCAATCGGTCAAGCCAAAGGTCAGATATGACGACAGAATGGTCCACACACTGCGTCAAAGGGACAAGCAGCGGTGACGAGCAAGAGAATGCTGGGCCATCGAGGGAAAGGGAGAGGCCAAAATTTAGAAGAGACCCCTCTATCATGCGAACATCATCGAGTATGTGGAGTACTATTAGCTCAAATACCCCACACAGAGGAAGCATTGGCTTCCTGCAATCCGAAGCCTTCGTTACACAGGAAAGGCTGATTCCCGACGAAGAACCGCCTACAGTTACAGCTGGTACATGCTCTACTTCAAGCTTGACAGAAGGTTCTGTTGAAGCGATCATTGCTTTTCCTGGTATCCATCATGAGCTACTAGATCAGTGGAGAAGTGAGTCAATGGATGAGGAACAAGTGGAGGATGTGGGGAATATCTTCGACGCCGAGAGGAAGACAATCGTGAGCCAAGGTCAATTTGCCGTTGTGACTACATTCCCCAGAGCGTCGGATCCAGACTATGATCGCCGTGATTTACCATATCTTATTGATGAAAACGCAACTTGTACGGAATTTCCTCGCTACAATAGCAACCAATGGGAAGAAATTCAAGCGCAGTACTTATATCCAAGGCCAGAACGAGATGTCCTGAGAAATAGCCAGGAAACGAGTCAACAAAATGCTAGATCAAGCCCATCTATGGACTTTGACTCGGCGTTCCTGTTAGGCTCCATACAAGCTCAACAAACGGAAGCAGTATCGGATCCCAGGAGCCAGTCTCAAAACCAACGTGCTGACACCCGTCATTCGTTTGGCCTACACATCTCTCTGCCAAATGTGAGTTTATCAACCGTGTCAAAGAGGGTCTATGGTCTGAATCTTAATCAAATTGATATAGGAACCGGGAGAGATATCGGAAGCGAACAGAAGGCGTCAACGAGATTTGCACCAATTTTTTGAGCAGCAACTTTTTGCTGATACCCACTACGCCGGCCCCTACTGGAGATGGGATATCGCGGGAACACCGTGTGATGATTCAGATTATTCGAATAATTTTTCGGCAATTTTCACACCAGGCAGCACGACGTCACAGGATGAAACATCAGCGACATCCATGTCCAGTCTCATGTGGTCTCCGCTTCACTCACCGATTGATGAAGAGGTGTTTTTCCCACCAGTTACCCGGAATGAATACTGGACCGCTGCTGGCAAGACAAGCAGTCTTTATCCCGATGGAGGCGATGAGCCAGTGAAAGCCGGAAGGGCTCGCGGTAACGGAATGACCTGCAATAGAAATGGCCGTTACTCAATTGCGGCTCCTTTGGCCGATGAAGACCACGGAATTCCGTGGGCCACTTCCTATTCGTCCCACAGCGCGGTGCATGCTATGATAGCAAGAGGGGGAAGCGATTCTACCGATGATTTCTATCCTGGATGAATTCTTCAAAGAATAGACCAGGATTAAAAAGGTTAATTTGTCTTTGTGCATATCATGCTGATTAGGGAGGATTCATATTGCGATGATTGGAGTTTGCAAGAATGATTCGTTAAACGTTGGACTCCAAGGCATGATGGATGGGCTTCTTTCGCCGTTCCCAAGTTATCTTCTCTTGCCTATTCTTGTTATTCAGAGCTAGTCCTTGTATCCTTTTAAATTAGCTACTTCAAAGTAATTATGTTTTGCGTGATTCATTTATCAAAAACGAACCAATATGTTTATCGGCAGCTAATGGTGACATTGAATTTCACTTGGCCAAGACAGATTATGTTTTGTAAAGTATTTACTTAACCCAGGCGAAGAGTAAATCCAGCACCAGCTTCACCTGAATCTCCCCCAGGAGCACCACCAAATACCCCAGCAAAATCCAATTCAGGTGCTTCTTGGCCCCTCTTCGGCGCTTCAGGCGTATGATGACGTCTCCGCTTCTCCATCCCAGCCTTAGAAGGAAAAGTCGGGAACATCTCCTTCGGCTTTGGGCGTGGATCCTCCCGGAAGTATGGATGAGCAAGACACTGCTTAGTCGTTGGCCTTGAAGCCGGATTAAGCGCCAGCAACTCAGAGATCAAGTTCAGTCCCGCATTAGTCAAATACGGGAATCGAGACCGAGGCAAAAGAGGTAGATTGCCCGACGATGAACTCGAGTTGGACGGTATTTTTAAGGATTTGGCATTTGGTAAAGACCTGAAGCCAGGCCAAATCTGTGAATTCGGGGGACCAGTAAGATCGAAGATCTTCGACACCTGATCAACTTCGTTTTTGCCTTGCAGTAGAGGCTCTTTGGTGAGTAGTTCACCGAATATACAGCCGATACTCCACATATCGATTTCTGTACCGTAATTGTCTGCGCCGAGGAGCAGCTCCGGAGCTCGGTACCAGAGTGTTACGACGAGTTGAGTCATTTTTGGGGGAGGGTCACCGTAGTAGCGGGCCATGCCGAAGTCTGCGATTTTGACCTCGCCGCGGTTGTTCATGAGGAGGTTTGATGTTTTGAGGTCTCGATGCATGATCCATTGGGCGTGGAGGAAGTCAAGGCCGCCGACGACTTGGAGAAGAAGAGTCTTGATTTCTGATGGTAGGAAGGGTTCGCGCATTTCGTCGAGGAGGGCTTTCAGGTCGTGTTCGAGGAAATCCATTACCAGGAATACACTGTTATCCAGTCAGCTTGTGCTGTTTGAATGCGTGGGCAGGTCGCTGGGAATCAAAGACTCACTCATCCATTTTGTTTCCCATAACCACTTCTCTCAGATATACCACGTTCTGGTGTCGAGCTTCCAAGAGTGTCTGGATCTCCCGTAGCCCGGTCACAGGGAACCCGTCCGGCGAGTTCTCGATCTTCAACTTCTTCAACGCAACGACTTCCCCAGTGGTGATATCCCTTGCCCGCGAAACCCATCCATAAGAACCCTCTTCGATATGATTCAACCTCTCGAAATTATCCACATGTCGACATGTCCCCCACTCCCGCACTGGGAACCGTAACAGTGTCGACAGTTTCTTCTGAGCCTGTTCCTCGTTTCCCGGAACCTCTTCATCCGCAGTCGCATCGGGGTCATTAGACAGCCTCCTTCGCTTCTTCGGCGGTTCAGAATCTCCATTGGGTGCTTGGGCGCCATTAACCGTTTGGGTGGTTTGAGCTCTTTTAGCCTCGTCGAGCTGGCGTTGTTTCTCAGCTTTAGCGCGTTTCTTTTCTTCCTTTTCGCGCTTCTGTTGCGCGATAAGCGCCTCGGTTTCTGGGTCTTCGTCTGCCCATCGCGATTTGGAGGCAGACATTTTCTCTGATGCCTGGCCGTTGGCGAATTGATCTGGGAGAGATTTTTCGGTTGAAAGGACGGAATGACGTTTCTCTGGGGAACCTTGGGTTTGGACACGGGCCGAGTTGCAGCTCCGATTTGAAATCCAATTTGTCCCCGCCTACTAAAATGTCCCTGGATTCCGCGACGCCGCCACTTTTTTTCTTTCTTGACTAATTGCTCCTTCGTTAATTGTCTTGGGAATCAACGAATACTGCGCCTTTTGAAGTCCGCAGTCTGAATCTCCTTTGGCTATTGTCTTCATCGGTCTAAAATCTTGCGCTTCTTAAAGCCTTTTTGTCGCCGGCATCGGATCTACTTCCCCGCCATGATTGAGCCTTTCCAGGTCAGTTTTGTCGCACATACTACGATAGCCGATATACTGATATTTATTATGATCTAGACGACCTTTTCGGTCCCTATGACCTGCGAAAGCTGTGTCAAAGATATTTCCACATCATTGTACAAGCTCGATGGTATGGTGCCACTTGCCACCCCTCTATCGACAATCCGAGGCCTTTAGCACAAGCTAACGGTCAACTTTCTTTTCTATAGGGATCAACAAAGTGGATGCGAATCTTAAGGACCAGCTTGTCTTTATCGAAGGCACCGCGCCCCCAAGCTCTATTGTATCCGTGATCCAGGATACAGGCCGTGATGCGATTCTGCGCGGAAGTGGCACAACAAATAGTACGTATCATCACCAATACCTACAGGGTATCTGCTATCTCTTTCGCTGTCAGCAACGATCTAACTCGAGTAATTATTCCAGGTTCGGCCGTCTGCATCCTCGAAACACACTCCAACGCCGTCTCCAATAAGATCCGAGGCCTAGCCCGCATGGTCCAGGTCTCCCCGAATATAACCCTGGTCGACCTCACTATCAATGGTATCGCACCCGGAAAATACTGGGCTACAATCCGGGAAGCAGGTGATATCTCCCAAGGCGCCGTCTCTACTGGTGGTATTTGGGAATCTCTCAAGGCTAAGGTCATTGGTAACGATGCTGTGCCGGAGAAGGAGCCTCGAGGAATATTTGGGTCCGTCGAGGTTGACGATAAGGGTCGTGGAAATGTTTTCCTTGATCGACCGGTAGCAATTTGGGAGTTGATCGGACGGAGCATGGTTGTGTCGTCGAACAAGGAAGGACCATTCCGAAGGGAGGATGAGAATACCCTTGTTGGAGTTATTGCGCGCAGCGCGGGCGTGTGGGATAATGATAAGATGGTTTGCTCTTGCTCTGGTAAGAATGTGTGGCAGGAAAGACAGGAGCAGGTTGGCCAGGGTATGGCGTAAGTGTATATACATGTAGATGTGGAGGTGATGAATTACGACTATAAGAACATTGGAACTGTATTGAGAAAGCAAACGCATTGAATTGACGAACCGAATCTCTGTATGACCAATCACCAAGGAAAGAAGGCAAATGTGTATTTGCGTATGTGTATGTGAGAAAGCAAATGAGTCGTTGCGCGCGCGTCCAGACATCAGGATAAAGAACTTGAGTAGCGGTGTTTTGGCGTATGTTCGGAATCAAAAAGACAGTATTGCATGCATCAAATGTCTGCAATGTATTGCAACGCCACCTGTGCAACAACGTACCTCAGCCTGGCTTGCGGATCATTTCGTGGTCTGTGGTACCTATCGAACTCAACTTTAGCCTGGTGTAGCTTGCTCGCCAGTTCCCACTTTTTGAATGCCACATAACGATCTAGGGCGAGGATGCGAGGATGTAGTCCACTTCTGGAGTGGGAAGTTGCTGTATCGAGTTGACTAGAAGCCTCCTCTTCTCATCCACTTTGTAGACGATGTCCGCAAACTCTAGATTGGTAAACTCTATGTTTGTCCAGCCGTCGACATTTCTGGGTGTCTCGTCGTGCTCGGGGTTTCTGGCAGAAGCTGGTGGTCGGTCTTCATCAGGCGACTGATCTATGGGAGTTATAGACCTTTTGGTAGTTCGGGATGCTTCAGATGGCGCAGTGTGAGTGTGTGCCATCGGTGGATCTGGTGTAGAGTTTTGGGTTGTAGGAGGGGCTCCACGTAAGCGAGCAGATTGTCGCCGTGGGCCCATAATGATATTTTACAATTCTGCAACGATATTTGGATATGAGTGAATGATATTGGCCAGCTTTTGCAATTGAATGTGACGACACACCGTTGACGTGGTGGGTGACTTCAATTGTCCCTGAAGTCGCGGCGTTCGAGAAGAGACTGAAGCAAATGTAATATTGTATGGGGGTGGAAGACAGAGCAAAGGATTTCAGCTTGGAGAACATTTGGAAAAGAAGACTTGGATGAGATGTGAGCTCTCAATTGATGGTTATGGGGTGGCGTTGGTCCCAAAAGGGTAACTTTGAGGCTTCTCTTGGATTCAGTAGGAGCTCTGTATACAAAAGTAAGGAAAGCGTCAACGAGCCCAGCACGGATACATACCGCACGCCTCCAAAGATTATCCCTGCCGGATATTTCCTGGATATTTGAAGAAATCTCAACAATTTTCAGGCCTTATATTCGCAGAATATAGAGCTATCTGACTAATTATCTGGGGAAAAGTCCTAGATGAATATATGTCAACCTTAGAGCCAACGGAATTGACCAGTGGATAAAGTCTTGCTATTCACACTATTAGAGAAGTGATTCTCCATATTCCAAGATACCTTGTGAGCTTCGATTCGAGGGCCAGCCTAGGAGCAGATGAGAGGGTATATCCAAGTCCAATGGCACCAATTGGATGAAAATATTGCAGCACGGAATGAGCAGATACATATGTATCTTCATTATTGACCACTCGAACTTCAGAATTTATGAAGCTATTCATCTACTGCCAGTGGGAGCACTAGCTTCGACGTGATAGACACATTACTCAAGACCTTTTATAAATCTTCATTTGCAGGCTAAGGAAGCTTAACTTGGAAATCCGAGATTCAGTCTAGTTTCATGGCTGGATTCAAAGGCTCTTCATCAGTAGAAAAAGAACGCCTGCAAAGCCTGTTGAGCTTCTGGTTTGCCAAATAAAGCTCGCAGCTGATATCGATGCGGAACATTCGTAGGCTTTTTGTTTCATGGTGCTAGGAATTCCCTATGTGCTGTGAGGAACGTGGACAAAGCGATCATCTAGCGATCCTACTACCATACGAAGTAGAACGTTACTTGACTTAATCAGTTCTTCAAGCTAAATAAAATGCATCGATACGTAATAGCAGTAAATAACGTAATTCCCGATCGAGCCGTACACCCCAAACACCATAGTAAATGCGATTTTTTAAGTGGCTATATATCAACAATGAGAACACATTGCTACTTGAGCTTTGGTAGAATATTTCCTGACAATGTACAAATTTGTATAGGTCTCTCAATAAAAAGAACAAATAGTTATTTACATACATTACCAAAAATACACGCCGACAGGGTGATGCATTTCTATATAGCTAACCACGTTACCTCAAAATAGATTTTGCCCCAATTAATATGCTTAGAGTGCTATATTTGACACTTGAATAGCCTGTAAACTTATACAAACTTATACAAACTCTTATAGGTTGAAACATCACAATCTAAAATATCGCACTTACTATGGTGTTTGGGGTGTACGACTCGACCGGGAATTACGTTATCTGAAAAGAAGCAACAACCTCGGAAACAGGGTCAAAACCTCGGTGATGTAAGATTTCGGTCAGTCGTTAACTATATTTAATATGACTAAGACCCATATCATGATATTAATGATAAATTTTTGGGTTTAAATTTAAATATCATTTTTGCGCTGCATCAAACATAGTCATAGATCTCGAGCTTGGCCCAGGTACATAGAGGAAGTTCGTCAAATACTTAGTACTTCTTGAAGAATGCCTCGAATGACTGTATTATTACTAGTATTAGCACACATGTGAGTATCATTGAAGTGAATTCTTGACGTTTCCCAAATTCCGATACATATCACCATATTAGACTTGTCCTGGCTCTATAGCGTGGCAAAGTAGCACGAACTGATGATCGACACAGGGGGATGACGAATCGGACTTCGCCCCACCAAGATCTCCGGGCTGAAGGGAAAAGACGTTTTATGTATGGATTATTCCTTGCCCGTGTTTAGGCGGCCAAATCCGAAGAAGTATGCCAATTATGGATATCGAAACTGGTGCTTTTGTTTGCGATATTTTTCTTATCACTCAAATCCAGACCAGATCTATTAAACCCTAGCTATTGATCATCGAGACCCCCGATTTGGCATTCCACACCCCCAAATTATGCATAAAATCGATCAATCCAGGCCCCAACGGCCCAAAGTGACTAAGTCAATCACGTGCTATGAAAATGGATGGTGCCCCGTTCCCCGCGAACTCCATGACTCCAGACTGCCATGATGCAGGCCTTCTCCTAGTAACAAACAACAATGCTAGCTCCGAATTTTCACGTCAACGCGCCCGTTCCTCCAGATCCCGTAGAGAAGGCCCCAACTTACTCCCCAGACGAGGTTCCGTCGTGTGGCGGCCATGGCACCCTCGAGATTCTAGAGGTGACTCGATACCTCGAAAACCATGGCGTGGAGTGCTGTGTTGTTGGAATATCAGCGCTGATGTTCTACGGTGCTGGCCGCGCTCGAGATGTATGCAGATCTTTCCCCTCTTCCTATAATGTTCTAGTCCCATCAGAGGAAGAAGAAAAAATAGAGAAAAAGCCCCATGTAGCTGACTGGCTTTCTAGGAATGGGAACTTTGTGTCCCTAACGATAAAGTTAATGAAGCCGTCTCTCTCCTCACGGCTGATTCCATGGCCTCCAGGATTCACGCTATACCTCCCATACCTATCCCACAACCTTCGTCGCTAAGCCATACCTATCACCGGTTCAAAGGGAGGGGCGTCCACTTCTACTTCCTTATTGTGCCCGCATACGATGCCCATATACCCAGTGGGCCTTTCCGCATACAACGCAGCTTAAATGGTGTACCATATCCGACATTACCTGTGTTGATGCAAAGTTTCTTGGATACGAATGACGATGTATCGCTGTGCGATTGTATTGATGGATCAAACATGTCAGAAGAGTGGGGGATTCAACACCTGAAATTAGACGGGACAAATGATTTAGAATGGACACGAAAGATGAACATAGCGGCAGCGGAAGCTTCAAGGGGGAGAGGGTGGATGTTCGTGCATTATTTCCCCACATCAACGATAAGCAGACGAGAAAAGTGGGAGTCGCGAGTACGGAATAAGAAAGAAAGGTTGGGATGGACGACACCGCAGGGTTTATTTGATACCCGTTTTCGATTGAAGGGATCTCCAGATCCATGGACACAGAAGCTTATATCAAGTTAATCTATAAAGAAAAAAATAATTATCAAATAATAAAAATAATTATAATTATCGTGCATAAGGATATGGTCATGACGCATAGCTAGCTAGGGAGGGAATCTCAAATCAAAATCAAAAATCAAATACCAAGAAGAACCCTCATGGTTTCGACTTGGTCTGGAAAGGTCGCATATTTGGAGGCATATTGGACCCAGAAGTACTGCCGCTGCTCAAGATCGAAGCAATCTCGGAATGCCGGTATTTGCAGCGCATATTGGGTAAGCAGGAATTCCAAGTCCTGAAAATCTTTGCTATCTTGTTCTCCACGTCTTGAGAATGCATCAAGCTTTGCATATATCTGGAAGACCAATCCTAGAACCAAAACAGGAGACCCTAATGGAGTGGGTCTATGAGGATTGATCGGCTCGCGCGAGGATTGGAGATCCTCCGGCGTGCCTAGATTTCCTGTACATTGTACTTTATTAATCGTATGTTCCCTCAATTATAATATCGGCAGAAGCCGGAAGAGAGCGATTTCATCAAAATCCTCCAAGACAAGAAGCACTCACCACTAATAACAATATCCATACTGACTGCCAAATCGGGAACATGGGGAAACTCCCCATCGACACTGCGGCCCGTGTCTATAAATATTTGGACGGAGGTCCGGCCATGGATAGCTGGGAAATGAATACTATCAACGGTTAACAACAAAAGTACCCAACACCCAACAGTCGCAATCAATGCTTTTTTTTTTCACAAGATGACGAAAACGAAAAGTAGGTCACTTAATACCGGGGCTGAACAGTCAAAATCTGTTTTAAATGGTCCATCGAAGTGGCAACTGTAATATCGATATCCTGGGTGCGGCGGCGACCACCCCGCAAATAGACGGCCCATCCCCCGATAAAGGCATACGTGACCTGATTTGATTCGAACAGCGCTGCCACGAACCTCGCCGCAAGCCCTAGATGCAGAAGATCGGCTGTGTTCGATGGATAATAGAGCTCTGCGAATCGGTCCGTGTTATAGATCTCAGCCATGTTGGGCGAGAAGATCAGGAGCTTTGTGGGTTGTGAGAAAGAAGATCTGCTGATACCCAAGCATCCGGACTGCCATCGTCGGTTCGCAAGAGCGAAGGGAGGGGGGAAGGGATGCGACCACGCTATTCACCGGTGAAATTGGCCCCCGGCGAAAACCAAATCCTCGTCCGTTCCAGTGCAAGATGGGTGCTAGTGTGTGAGTTAGTGTTACTTAATTTAAGGATTCGCGAATCGTGAGAGCCGCGAGCGTCAGCCCACACGTGACGTGGAAATTAAATTGACCAGGTGATGGCGCATCTTGAAGGGATTTTGCTTCTTGAGTCTATCTTATCCTATGCAAGAGTTCCTTCATACCCTTTTTATGAAGTTTTATCTATATTTCAAGGAGTTTGAAGCTGGGAGGTGTACTGAATCCAGCTGCTCTAACCGGTACCTATACATATAGAATTCCAAATTGAGTGGACGAGGACCAAGCGGGGAGCGTAAGCATCAAACAATCCCTTCCGTCCCTCGTGCATTTGCTAAAAACGCCCTGATGCTAAATAAAGAAACATGGCCATGAAATTAGCCATGGAGAGGTTTGTATTAGCCGCGCGGACAAGCCTTAATCAAATCCCCGATTGACCCACTAAGGAACTCAATGGAGACTGACTACCTTCTCACACAGGGAAAGCCTTTCGGGACGTTGCCTAGCTTGCAAGGCTGCCTACCTACGGTCGCTTGCTGTGGCCTTGTGAAAGAGGGGCAGAGAATGATGCTCAAACAAAGAGCTGGACACCTGTTTTCCCAACAAATATCTACCCTGATGCTCTAATTCCTATACTCTTCAGCTAAAAGAATACCGCGTTTTTGCTGGTCTCGACGACTTCAAATACTGTCTTTCAAACCGCAGCTAGTCAACCATGGAATCCATCAGTAATGAGCTCCTGCTTCTTATCGCAGAACATGTTCGGCATGTCAACCAGAGAGATTATTTTCGGATGCTTCGCGTATGTCGCAGTTGGCACGCGTTCCTTTCACCTAGGGCCTACAATCGTATCTCGATCGGTCATGACCAAATCTACCCTCTTGTCCGTTGCGTATATGAAAACCCCAATATCGGCGCTGCGATTCGCGATCTGGACGTCTGGTGGGCATCCGGGTCCAATGACGGATGCGACGTGGAAATGGTCAATGATGCAGTCCGACGAGTCTGCGATTCTCCAGCCGATCGCAAAGAATGGAAAGGCGAGCTGCGACAAGGGAACCCAGACGCTTGGTTCGCTGTACTAGTACAGTCACTCGAAGCCGTCACCAGCCTAACTCTACAATATTCCTACTCTGATTATTTCATCCCCATGCTGAGCCGAATGGCCAACCGCGACCCGCCATTCAATGAAAAGCCAGTGCTGCAGCATCTTGAACGTGTGACAGTGCGAGTCGAAGATATTAAAACAGCATATGAATCGTCAAGTTTCCTCCAGCTCTTCCGGCTACCGGCAATGCGGATGCTCGAGGCTGACGCAGTGTACGAGGCTCACGAGTCAGATTCGATCTATCCGAAGCCGGACCCCGGAACATCGGGAATCAGGGAGCTCCGAATTATGGGCAATGGAAGCAAAGGCATGGCTGACTACATCACTTCCTGTGCTAACCTGGAGATCTTCGATTATGATCACGACAACAAGGCTGTTTGGGGCGAGATCTACCTCATCTTTCATCCTGGAGCATTCTATGCCGCGCTCGTCACCCAGAAACACAGCCTACGGGAGCTCCGGCTGAGTGACCATGGAGAAACTGAGCCAGAGAACTGCGACGACTACGACGACTACGACGAGGGAAACGAGCACTTCAACCTATTTGGATCGCTCACCGAGTTCCACCAGCTCCGTGAGCTTTGTATACCCGTGCGCACCCTCCTTCAGTTCGGTCTCGGTGATACCCCCAGAGTCTCTCTCCCAGACATCCTCCCGCCAAACTTGGAATATCTAGATCTGTATCAATGTCTAGACAAAGACTTTGATGTGGTCATGGCAGATCTGAAACGAGTAGTCGCACAGCGGACAGAGAGGTTTCCGAACCTGACAAAACTCTACATCAGGCTGTTAAATCTGGAAAAGATTCCCAGGCCCATAAACTGGTGGTCGTTTGAGATTCCTGTATCTACGCACCAGGCTTTCGCTACACTTACGGAAATCTGTAATCAATCTGGGATAGACTTTCGCCTCAGAAAGTCAGCATGGCTAGAGGACTAGGAATGATTTATAGAGAAATACCATAAGTTTTAGGATGTGTATTGCTCCACTTATTTTGTTTACCAGTGTAGCCTATCTGGTTCATGGCCAAGAGCGTTCAAGAGTCAGGAGTGGGTTTCTTTTTTTTTATTCTTTGCTACTTGCTTCATGAGCTTGCTAAATGATCACTAGAATCAATAACGATTAAGCAACAAGTGCGAGGCACTAAGCTATTTTCAGTAAATGGCGGATAAGTATCCGTATCCATGTATATGTGAGACGGGGTCGCAATTTGTCATCCTTGCCAATTTCAAAGTATTCCAAACATCTTACTTCCTCTTTCATTTTCACATTTATTGATTCAAGGAACTACTGTTTTAATACCATCTTTTATGTTCGAATATGACTACCTCCAACGACTCCGATAAACCATATATCCCACTTGCTGGCCTAGCCGAAGATGGCTGGTCCGAAGGAGATAAAGCGACAGCCACTTGCTATTGCGGCGCTGTACAGTTATCATTTGTTAGTGCAAATATTTCAAGATCTACTTGCTGGGTACTTCACTAACTCCTGTATATCTAGCCAACCGAGGGTCCTGGATTAGTCGACACATTCGTTTGCCATTGCACAGACTGCCGAAAAATCACAGCATCGATGTTTGCATCCAACTTCATTGTCACAAACTCTCATCTCGTGCATGTACGAGGCCAGGAGAAATTGAGCACATTTAGTCAGTCGAAAACAATAGCTTCCGGGAAGGCCATGACGAATTATTTCTGTTCAAAATGCGGATCCCTTATGTACCGGGTTGGCGAAGCATATCCAGGAAGCAGTATTTTGCGTCTTGGAACTGTGGATGATTTCAAATTACATGAGACAAAGTTGAAGCCGAGGGTCGAGCAATATACGAAAGATCGTGTGGAGTGGTTACATGATGCAGATGGTATCAAACAGGTGCAGGGTTCGGCCTTTAAACCACGAATCAACCTGTAGCCCCGGGCGATTCTGTTAGATGATGAATTTGGGCCCATAGGTTGGATCATGAAGAGCTAAGACCTTTTTTCAGCTGGCGCAAGAGACAAGAAAGATGGCCCACAACGATTGCTTTTTTCTGCGTATCTAGGTTGTTGTTGGGCTTTATCATACTTTATCGTGGAGGGGCCGGGAGGTCTTCTTAATATTTTCATTGAGGTATATCACAGCAGAAAGCATTAGCCCATTCGCAGAAGAAGCTCATTTTGAAGTATCCAAATCTGAACTTGTAGATACTGAACTTAATAGGTTATGAAGACAACCGAGGAAGGATAAATCCTTCATTCACTTTTTGCTCGCAATATTGTTCGAATAGCTGGGAATCTGGTGGGGAAAAAAAGGCCCAGATCTCCGATCACATGAAGTGTCGGACCTTCGATTTAATGCTGCAAATACAACAATTCCAGTGCCGGGAGTGCATGATGTTCAATATGAAGATGGCAAGGTCACATCCATATTAATGGACTATATGCCTGGAAATCGGCTGGACGAAGTCTGGAAGATACTAATATCTCCTCAAAAAATATCGATCGCTGAGCAGCTCCGTGGCCATGATCCAGCTACGCAGCCTGAAGGTACTTACATTGGAGATGTTGATGGTAGGACAGCCATCACAGGCAAATATGTTTCAATCGAGGGGGGACCATTCGATTCCGAGCAGGAATTTAACAAATCGATTCTTGAAGATTTACCCCCGGGTCTACCTGTGATTTATCAACATTTGGCGGAAAACGCACTGACAGATGGTCATGAAATCGTCTTCACGCATTCCGACTTCGCTACTCGCAACATCCTTGTTGATGAAAACTGCCAGGTCACGGCTATCCTTGACTGGGAATGGGCTGGATGGTACCCAGAGTACTGGCAATATTACAAAGCCTATCGCAATCTGTTACCAATGCCCGACTGACCAGACTACCTCGTCCGCATCTTTCCACCCCAATACGAGAAAGAGTACATTCCCATGTCTTGGTTGTCGGGATTTTGTCGGAGTTGAGAAAGCGGTCATAGTGATGATTATTTTAATCTTGTTTGAAACTACAGTATTTACATTTGGTAATGAGAGGAAAATAGAGCTAATAATTTGTGCCACTATGGAATTGGAGCCATATTTAGCTTCAGAATCTGCTGTATAGTAAACAACCGTGCAATGAACCATCCATGGATACAATATTTTGGATTATTCCTTCCTAGGGACCTTGGAATGCTTGATTCCTTGAAAGTTCTCTTTCCAAGCCTCTTTCCAAGTCCCTTTCCTCTCCCCTTTCCTATCCTATTTCTGCTCATTTATCCTGCACTCACTATTTACATCTCCTTGGACCATGAACACTCGTACCCATCATTCCCTCTCTGACTACATACATACTATATCGACAGAATGGTGGGACTACCTGAGACCCTATCACATGCTGCTAGCCACATGGCTGATGCACACAAGCAAAAAATACAAACTTTGCGACAGAGATCAATTTCACAATCAACGCGGTCATTTTCTGACTTTCTTGAGAAGAAAAGAAAGTACAGGTTTACGCATGATTTGTCATTGATCTCGCATTCCGCAAGGTTACCAGAAGTTATACCACCAGATAGAACGCCCTATTTAGTTGGCTGGGGTAGTTATAAAGACTTTCTTGATGGACAGCCAGCCTTTATAACGGCTTTCAACGTTAATACAGGCAATTAAATCGTGCGATCAGGAACGGGGATATCGAGAGAAGCACAAAAGCGCTCGCAGAGAGCTTGCAGTATCTGTGGGACCGAGAAACCTCATCGCAGAATGTCTCGATGTTACGGCGGACTAAATCGGATGAAAACTCCCTTAGGGGCCTTTCAGGCTCAGTCGGATGTCTAGGAGAACTTGAAATCCAAGACCGAACCTGCCTGGCGGTTTGTTTCCAGATTTTTGAGTCAACTCTTCCCCCCCTAGAGTTGTTGAAGAACGATCACCGGGCTCCAGATTTTCCAGTGTGACCTAGAAAGACAAGTAGAAAGGCAAATGGAGAAACTTCTTTTTTTCCAAATGCTTTACATTATGCTGGTGGGTTCATCAAAAAAGAAAGAAAGGTTACATCTATCTTAAGATACATAGTAGGATACTAGGATTGAAGCTCAACTTTCAAGGTTGGCGATATCGTGAACTTCTGCCAGTCGAACATAAAAACTTTAGGCAAAAATGAGTTGATCCGACGGTCGCTATTACCTATTGTCACACCTAGTAGTTGAGTCCTCGAGAGGCTCAAGATACTCTGATTTCTTCTTGTAATTTGAAAGAGACATGTGGAGTAATTGTCCATTAAATATACAAATATCAATACATCATGATATGCTGCAAGAAAGTGAAGCTTCAGTTTTTGTTGATCTTTTCTAGTTAAACCTCTGCCCTTTATTCACGCAAGTAGATACTCAAATAGAACTCTAACAAACGTCCACAAACCACACAAGGCTATATTAGACCATTATCGCATTCCGTATAAGAGAAACTGTAGGTAGTAAATAGACCAACATTTGAAAGCTCCGTCTGTACCCCGGGAAGAAAGTTGGCCAATGACAGCCCCATAATCAACGGCTCCACTCTACCTGGAAGCACCATCTGTACACCTCACACCCACCAAGACACAACACACCACCACAACACACTACCACCACAATGACAGACCTAACGCCCAACCTAAAGAAACTCCTCTCATCCAAAAATGCACCAACCTCCAAAAATCCCCCAGCACCCACCGACGAATTCCTAAAAGAAGCATACAGAATCGTAAGTCCACCACAACCACCACACCCACCACTCAGCTTCACCCTACCGTCACCTTCACCCAACTAACAACCATAGAATTCCCACATAGTCTCCCTAAAAAAATACCTCTCCACAATCCGCCCCGCATACCTAACAACAAACAACCGACACACCCAACCATCACAGGCCCAAAACCTCACAGACCTAGAACGCGACTCAATAGACAGCTCAACCGCCCTCCTCCTCCGCGACCTAGCAAGCAGCATAACCAACCTTTCATCTGCAGAAACCCTCCGCCAAGAAACAGAAGCTTCTATCCTCCGCAAAAAATACGGCCACAGCGCAGCCGGCGCGCTTCTTTTCCGCTGGGCAGGCGGCGCAGATACGCAGAATGATAATGCGGGAAAACCGATTGAGCAGGTTAAGGCTGAGGAGAGCGCGAGTGGGATTCGAAGTGTGAGGGAGAGTGTGCTTTGGTTTTTGAGACGGGGGCTTGAGGGGGCGGCGAGTTTGCAGAGAAGTATGGTTGAGAAGAGGATTGAGAGGATTAGGGAGAAGGAGAAGAGTGTTTTGTATAAGAGTTCGAATGCGAATGCGAATAAGGGGAGGGGGGCGACGACGACAACGAATACTACTGGTGGTGGTGGGAATGCGAACACGAATGCGAATATGAATATGAATGCGGGCGATTCAGAGAAATGGGCTGGGTCTTCGATGTCAGCACCTGATGCTGTGCATCTTAGTGAAGCTGATACGGCACGAATAGAAGCTGAGTTATCGCCTGAGCAGCTGCAGCTTTTCGCAGAGGAGAACGATACAATGTTACGGCATTATGAAGATACGCTGGGCAAAGTGCAGTATGTATTTCTTTTCATTACTTTTATTTCCTTTTCGCCGCGCGCGACTGGATGGATAAACAGTATCAGTAAGCTAACTTGTTGTACAGGAATGCGGAAAAGTCTCTTGTTGAGATCTCGTCGCTTCAGAATACGCTCGTTTCGCATCTTGCGACGCAGGAGGAATACGTCTCGCAGCTTGTTAGTGATGCGGATGCTACTACTAGCAATGTTGGGAGGGGAAATAAGGAACTGAAACGCGCTACTGAGCGGAAGAGTACGGCGCAAGCTGTGTTTTGGGGGACGGTGGGGCTGTGTACTTGGTTGGTTGTTTGGGATTTGGTGTTTTAGATCCTGATCCTAGTATCTATGCGATGGGTGGTGTTATGAGGTCGAGCATGCATTATGGGCGTTGCTGCTTTTGTTTCTTTTTTCTGTTTCTGGCATTGGCATTGTAGCCTGAGTTTCGGGATAGTGTTCTATCTTGCCTCATACCCGATCAATACATGGATGATTTTCTTGATTTGACGATCAAGTTTCAAGTTCAACATGATACTGCACATTTGCAGTTCCTATCAAAGACACACATATAATTAAGGCCAAATCTACATGTGATGAATGCCAGACCTTCATGGCTATCAACACAAAGGAATCAAGATGAGAAGAAATGCAAAAAAAGAGCCGAAATTGATATAGCGGCGATATCAAAATTGAGTTGATGGGTAATCCAATGAAAATACGAATCAAGACGCCGGTTCAACTGGCTTTGTTATCCAGTGCTAAAAATGTGTGTCTCTACAGCAATATCTAAGAAGTCTCACGCACGACACTATCGACTGCCTCAGCGAAGTAGTCGATGTTATTTGTGTTCAGACCAGCCATTGAAATGCGGCCGTTCTTAGTCTATAAGAAAAGATATTAGCCAATCGGGTTCACCATAATCAACATAGTAATCATGCAGGATAGGTTGGGGATGAAGCATCGCAAAACAAGATACTCATGAGTACTTGCTTGACAAGCGATAAAGAAAAGGTAAAAGAGGAGAAAAGTGGTGATCAAGACTTACCATGTAAACATGCCACTTATCACGCAACACCTTAACTTGCGTCTCAGTCAATCCAGTAAAACTGAACATACCAATCTGCGAAGTAATATGCTCCCAAGAACCAGGCGTACCACGCTTCTCAAGACGCTCACGAAGTCCACTCCTCATCTCCAAAATACGCCCGCTCATAGTCCTCAAATCATCCTCCCACTCCTTAAACAGCTGAGGATCATTAAGAACCTTCGCAGCAATCCTAGCCCCATAAGCAGGGGGATTAGAAATCTCCGATCGCTGCAAAATAGCTAACTGACTCGCAACATTTGCATTAGCAGTCCCCGCCTCAGCACCAGCAGAAACAAAATGGAAAGCACCAGTTCGCTCTCCGTAGAGGCCGAAATTCTTTGCAAAGGACTGCGCAACACAAAGCTCAAAGCCCTGCTCGATAAAGTACCGAATAGCCCACGCGTCACGGGTAAGGTCACCTGATGCAAAGCCTTGGTATGCTGTGTCGAAGAAGGGGAAGTGTGCGCGCTCGCGCATAAGAGTTGCGATTTGGCGCCATTGGTCTTCTGTGGGGTCTACGCCGGTGGGGTTGTGAGCGCAGGCGTGGAGGAGGATGATAGATCCGTTCGGCGCTGCCCGCAGCGCTGACAGCATGCCATCGAAGTCGAGGCCCTTGGTCTTGGCGGAGAAGTAGGGGTATTGGGCGATTTTGAGCCCGACGTTGGAGAAGATTTGGTTGTGGTTAGCCCATGTTGGGTTTGAGAGGTAGATGGTTGGTTTTTGGGGGTGGAATTTGGATAGGAAGAGGCCGCCTAGGTGGACTGCGCCGGTTCCCGAGATGGTTTGCAGGGTGCAGATCTAGATGGGGGAGGTACAAGATTAGCGTTGTTTCATGCAGTGTAAGTTGTTAATTTGTTTGGGAGGGGTGGGCGATCTGGAGGGATTCTGTTTCGGGTCGACATACCCGTTTCTCTTTGATGGCGGGGCTGTCGGCGCCGACGATGAGTTTCTGTGCAGCTGCTGTGAGGTCGGGGAGACCGCCAATGGAAAGATATTCGTGGTTGAGGTTGGGGTCATTGTGAATGGCGTCATCAGCCTGGAGGTATTAATTTGTTAGTGGAATTGCGAGAATGAAAAGGAAAAGAAAAGGATTGGATTGGATAGATAGTATGGAGGGGCAAATGTATCTTACCTTCTTGACAACAGGCAAAACCCATGGCTTTGCGTTGTTATCGCGGTAGGCACCAATGCCCAAATCAACTTTTTTATCGGAGGGGTCCTCACGATAAGCCTTCATAAGACCAAAGAGAGGGTCTTCGGGGGCAGCAGCCACCGTGGACGCGGTGAAAACGGAGGGGTTAGAGGAGCCCATGATGTGTGCGGAGAGAGAAGAAAGACGATTTTGCGCGGAAGAAGAAGAAGATGAAGGGGAAGTAAGGGGTTTTTGATGAGCCATGATTGCTGCAAGTATAGATTACCGCGACAACGTTTTCCCCGGAATAATGCGACCGAAAAAACCTTGGTAAACTTGCTGCTTGCGTTCACCGGATGAGGAGGAATGAGGGGGTGGAGAAGGGCGGGTGGAATCACGGTTGGCTTGACGGTCAGCGTGTATATACTGTACAGGTATCGGATGATATACAGGTTCAAGGGAGTTTTTATTCACTTCTCTTTTGTTTAAGGTAAAAGTCAACATCCCTAGTTATATAGACAGCTGGACTGAAGCTATCGCCGAGGAATGGATGGGCCGAGGGATGTTTCCGTGTCTTCTTCGTCGCATGACGCAGCACTAAACCGTGTGGAGTTCACATGAAGAATCAACTGACACTGACATGTGCAAGAATACTAGTAGATGTAGATATAATCAATTACTATAGTGAAGTAACATAAGTATCTATGTAAATATAGATATATTGAATTTATTCACAACTTGCCTCTCAATACAGATACTACAGCAGGTATGTACCCTGTAATATTGGCATGCATCACGAAAACAACCAAAAACCACCTTTTCCTCATATTTTACCCGATGGACTGATCTTCTCTCCGACAGGCTCATCCCGCCGCCCACTAAAACTGTGTGTCATCTACCGCCGAGACAAAAAAAAAGACGCAGTGGAGCCCCTTCTAGAACCAGAATGTCACTGTAGAACATTAATAATAGTCTTCGATATTGGAGCAGACGTGAACTTACTGGGGGTTTGGATAACCAAACGGGTAAATAGTGCTTCTAGTATACTACCTAATACTCCAGGCTAGATATGTAGTAGTAAGTCTCCGTGCGGAGTCATTTTATTCCCCTGCTTTACCCCTATCTTACCATTTAGCATTTATTACTACGGTAGGAAATATGGCCCCGTACCTAGTACTCATTCACTTCGTATCTATCCTTCGTTTCGTATCAATGGTTAATTGTTGATAATTTTGTTAAATCCCAAGGTCCCTAATAACCGATAAACACAACCAACTTCATACATTCCTCCTAATAAACCCGGGTTTTCCATTCTACTATACAGTATTCTATTCTATTTATCATTCTTTCTCATCATAGATCCATTCGAACGTGAGGAGAACACAAACACCTCTTACCATACAGTAGTGAAATATCCCCAAATTCCTCCGACAAAATTACCCCGGGCGATCTCGTCCCGGGCCCTCCGCACAAAGCCAAAACAGTCCACCCGGTGCCGCCCCGGAGCCTGAACGGACTTGCTCCGACTATTGCCGCTATCTTGTATATGGGCCATGGACCACCACAAAGAAGTTGGGGTTGAAGTCGGGGTCGGAATTGATGGCCGAGTTCAAATTATGACATCAGTTCAAATCGAACAGGGTAAATGAGGATCTTCATGTCCTTGGCTGATACGTAGGCGGAGTCTTGGGTACTTTTTCTTTTCTTGTTATTGGAGTTAGAAGGGGGTTATTTGTGTCTCTTGGAATACTATGAGGGCTTTGAATATATAGAGACACACAGGGCTGAGTATTAGGTAGGGTTGGATTCTTTCTCCTGGTTTCTCCACTTGAACCGGGCAGAATTGTCGCATAGAGAACGGAACTTTATTTCTATTCTCTTTTCTTTTGGTCGAATTCCCCTCTCCCCACGCTTGCCAAGGCGCGGAGACTCCTCTTTGATCATTGGGGTTGGGGTTACGCGGGGTGAATTGCCCTATTATTCTCGGCATTGGGTGATTAGTCCCGCACTTAAATTAGTTTAATGTACACTGTCATATATAAATTCGGCATTTCCCATAGACTTTATCGTAGTCTATTTGAGTCTATAGTCTAGTCTGGACTAGTACAACTATACATTTGGATCATAATAGAAAAACACTAATTCAATTCATCTGACAAATTGCTATGTATTGATTGTAATTTGCAACGGGATCTACAGTACACCTCGCTATAGCTCAAATATACAAGTATGTATGCAAGACAAATATGCAGAAAGAGAAAGAGAAAGAGAAAGAGAAGAAGAAATATCCACAGAAAATAAATAAAAGATCAAGCTTGAAAAATTGAAATAGAAGCAATCTTTTCTGCCCGTCTCGAACGCCTGTTGTGCCGGGAATAAAATACTCTGTAGATCCCTCTTGAATCAACGCCAACGGAAACGCCATACTAATTTCAAAATTTGTGCAGGGGGAATCAATACCCAAGGTGAGAATGTATCAGGACAGGAAGATAAATATCATCGTCATCAAATCATGGAAGGAGGGAATAAAGTCGGGATTCATGTCGTGGTATTCATGTACTGGAATGGGGCGGGTTTTCGGTGCTAGCCGTTCCAGTGCCAGTTTCAGTATCGGTCTCGGTGGTATGAGCTGGAGGAGGAACAGTTGGTGAAGCTACTGCTGCGGGTGTGCTCGCGCCACTGTCAATGGGACTGGATCCATCGACGCCGTGGGCGCGGGTACGGATACGGAATCGTTCACGAAACCGGGTGCTCAGGCGACTCCGGTTGGGGGTGGGGGCTGAATCCTGCGTGACGTCGTCTTGGTTGGCCTCGCGGACGTGGCGGAGCGCGGCAATACGCTCTTCAACTGTTGCGTTGCGCATACGTCGAACGTTCAGGTAGTTTGTTAAAGGGTTGTGAGAGTGACGGGGTGCGGGTGTTTCGGGTGTTGCGGTCGCAGTACCTTCGGCGTTGGTACCCTCTGCGTTCTCGCCGTTCTCGCCATCTTCAGCATCTTCAGCCTTAGGTGGGTTCAGATCGATACGACTGGATAATAATTAGTATTGTATACTACTTTTGTCGAATAATCAATAGGAGAGTTTATATAAACGTACCAGAGAGGGCATGTGCCCGAGACATTCACCAGCCATGGGTCAACGCATTCTGGATGGAATTGATGGTAGCAGGGTAGGACACGTAGATCCTGGCCCTTAATGAAGTCATCCGTACAGATAGGACAGGAGAAGTTGCCTGCATCTGGTGCTGCGTCGGGTCTGGGCTCAAGTACTGTGCTCTTCGGTCGATTGGCTTCTTGTTCGATGGCGGGAGTTTCGGTTTCACGGGGTGTCGTCTCGCCGACCTCGGAATCATTCTCCGAACGAGGCAGAGAATGTTCCCGACCATCCTGCTCAGTGCTGGCCATTTCGATGTCTCTCTTGGCGGCATCTACAGTGTCCGCATGAGGCTCGTCGCCAAATTTGACGATCGGTATACCTTCGAGCATGGCTCTTGCTATGCCCCTCGCCCTACTTTGCCTGGGCCTTCCTGCGACACGGCGTGGCCCATATCGTTCTGGGTGTCGGTGCGCTCGCACGGCACCTGTGACGATGATACCCAGGAATAAAGCTGTAATGATACCTGTAATGCTGTACAGGATGATCATTGCTAGGTCGGCCATGTCAGTATAAAGGTTCGCCCATGTGCATGTGTATATGCATATATGTATGCAAGGAATGTGGGAAACGTAGGAGAAAGAAAGAAAGATTTCCCAAATGGGAGATTTCTTTATGATATTGAAAGACCTTACCAGTATTCGGGCCGCCCCCACTGCCAGTGCTCCCTGAAGGATCACCGCCGCCGATCTCCCCCTGATATGAAGACATACTATTTATGGTGGCTGTAGTATTGCTGGAGCCAAAGATGCCTTGTAGATCGGTAGATGAGTTTAGATTGAGAACGGTAAAGATATAACGGTAGCTCTCGGCGGCGTCATCCGATGTAAAGTTACAATGTGATGCCGAAGCACTGTAAAGGATGATAGCACCGGGCGGATTATCGGCAGAGTCAACGTTGCTGATAGTATTCGCTACCTTCAGTGGACCGGGGTAATCTTCAGAATCGCAAGGAATACAGGCGATTGAAGAGGAATTCAAGTCCACGGAGTCCGATGCTACTACTTTAGTTAAGTTCCCAGTGATTGCGAAAGACTAGATGAGGTCAGTACTCCGTAACAAGCGTAACAAGAGGCAGAGAGAGGGAGTCTGGGTGGTTCGATTAATGGGGGCGAGGAATGGCAGTAGCGAAAGCCTTACCTTGAGGTCTGCTTCGGTGAGATTGAGCAGATGCTGGGTGAGTGGAGCGATAGTCTGGCCGTTTAGGGGACCATCAGCGTGGAGGCGGAAGTGAGTAGCGTCGAAGGCGGACAGATCCTGAGAATTGTTGGATGGCGAAACAGTGACGGTCGCCAGTACCGAAACAGCGAAGAGACAGAGGATAATAAGGGGACCCATTGCCGCTGATGTACGCGGGACTCAGCGGATGCGTGGGGGGGATTGACGCAGTGGCATTAGTCAGGGCCACAAAAAGTGGGAAAAAATCAAAAGAATTGAGAAGTCAGAGGGAGTGGAGCCTCCATAAGAACGAGCGGGAAAACAGGGAAAGACAAAAAGAGGGGAGAGCTAAGGCCGATCATAGCATGGATCCCCGTGGAGAAAGCAGATCCAACTGATTATGACGATAACGGATGCTGGAAGTTCGGGGGTTCCATGGATGGTTGAGACGAGAAGATGATCAGATGTTCATTGAATACGAGTACTAGGAGTCTAGATAGATCTATGGAGGGTGTTCGACTTTTCTTTGTAATGAAAATAATGGAATTTCCCCATTCAGTTGTTTTGATTATTTTTATGATTCTAAGCCGGATGCACCGGTGTTCAGGTCCATCAGGGCAGTGTATCAGTTATACGCTCGGTGGAGGCTGGTGTGGATGTGGTGGATGGCGGGGGTTGAAACATCGGGGCGTCGTACAACGTATTCGTACCAGAGACGATAACGATTGGTGATGAAATGACCCAGCAGTGGTAATTTCCGTAATCTATGTCACGCACCTGTAATCCGCTTTGTTCACGGAAAACCAGATGAATCGAATCCCGATTTGCTTTCTCCATTCAGGTAAGATGATGTGTTGCATCTGAATTTAACCCCCTGAGGCTGTGATCAGTATCCGAGGTTAGATGACCCTAGGTTATATAGGAAACTTTTTCACGCCATTCTCCCACACACTACTCTATACTACTCTATCCATATCTACTTACCCAGTATTCTAGTATTCTAGTATTCTACATAGTTGATCTAACCCCGCCTGCAGATCTGGTGAAATGGATCGTCCTTCACACAACTCGCTTTTCTTTCCCTTTTCTCTCGCCCGTGCTGATCCCAGAGGATTGTTTCCCCCCCGCAGCGCGGCAGCGAAAAGTGAGCTCACACCCAATCGATCTGCAGTTCTAGTCGCAATGACACAAGATAAAAAGAAACCCCCCCCCCCTCCAACTCGCCGACTTGCCAAAACTTTAACTGCCAGTTTCTCATTTTCCAACCCCTCATGCATACATAATACATATTGGCTTATTGGCATATTGGCAGATTGGTGATCACTGTGGGATGGTGATGATCGCTGTGGTCGGGACCCCAAGATGATCTCATAACCAGATAATGAGCTAATCCACCATATTCATTCCTAACTATCTACTTTACCACTTCATATTATTCATATGTGTTTCTTTATATTATTACAGTATTATAGAATATAGTCATTACTATATATTCCCTATATCATAGTCTCTATAACCCGTGCATCAATCCCCGGATGTTCGGATCTGATTTGCGGAGAACCAGAGCGGAGAGAGGTCGAGGCTCTCATCGACCGGTGCAACCAGAACATTGAAGCCCCAAAAAAGAACCAAAAGAAGCAAAAGAACAAGAATAGCCAGTCCAATTTAATAGTCTGTGCTTAGAATGGCCATATCTTGTAGACCATGATAGACTGAGCAAGAACACTTGAGAGGACTTAGTACGAAATGGTCATTAGCCTGAACCTTTCTAGTCTCTTTTCTTATTTTTCTTATTTTCTTCTTCTCTTATCCTACACTTGAACCACTGCTAGTCATTTCCCTATTTTTGATTTTATTCATTTTCCTGAATTTTTCGTGGTTTTTTTTCCTTCGCTTTTTTGGCGATTTAGGTTTTTGCCCGAAGGAAAAAAAAATCGCGGCTGCACCCGCCCCTCTGGTCACAACTCTTCAAAGTCCATTTTCTTCTTTCCCCTCTCTCCTTCGATCGACAGATGATCCACTGATGACAGCTTGAATCAAATATTCCCTTCATTCCGGGCTGCGCGTGTGATGCGTCGCACCATGCCTGCCCAGGAAGATACCCCCTCGGCCTGGGAATCTCGCTTCGACCGAAAACCCGTGTCTTCGTAGGTTGGCCCCATCACAATCCTCTAATTAAAGAATATAAATACATAGACCCCCCAAAAAAACACACCTCTTGCCCCAACTAACCTATCCAGAAATCGTCCGATCGCACACCTCGATATCGAATACAGTGAATTGGCTCAGTCATGGAAAGCCTTCATTAAGCACGTTCCGGCCGAGGATCAGGTGGCATGGGAGGAACGGCCACAGACTGCCGCCGATGTCGAGGAACTGGTGCGCAATCTACAAACCTTTTGGATGTCCCGGCCTCGCCAACGGGTCAGCAGCTTCTGTGATCGATTCCTCCCTACCATCGAGACTCATGGTCACCTCCTCGCCGTCTTACCCGATGGGCCTTCCTATTATGCCCCGCTCCTGTACGGAGTCCTGCAGTCTATAATCAAGGTGGGTTGGGAAACAAAAAAAAAACACACAGCCAGACAAAGCACACGATCCCTCTTCTCCCCATCAGAATCACCGCGATCAAATAAAATCATCCCGACTAACAGTTCTTACTCGGCTTTCATAGGCTTCGTCGAATTACCCCCGCGTTCTCGAGGGACTCCTAGCCGCCTTAACCAATATACACAGTGCCATCGAGGTCCCCAAAGAACTCAACACATCCCATAGGGAGCCCATCGCCAAAATCTACGCTCTCATCTTCTTGTTCTTTAATGAGTTTATGGACTGGTTCGTGCGGAGATCGACCTGTCACCTATTGAGAAGTCACAGCCAGGATGCCCACGCCGATTTTCACCCCTTAGTCACATGTATTCAACGAGAGGCACAAGAGATTTCAGCATCCCCCGAAGCGATGGACGTTGACGATGTATACGATTACGCTTATACCCCTCGCGCTCTATGGGAAGAGTCTCAACTTAGTCAAGTTGGGAGGGAAGGAGAACCCCGCCGACATGCAGCCCAAAATACCATGACTCGACGCTTGATTTGGGATATTCAACAAGATGCAGATCAGCGAGACCGTTTGAGAGAGACCCGAGACCAGTTTTTAAGACAAATGCTACACGACACAAATGAACAACTTTGTCCTGCAAGTGAACAAACCCACGACATCGTTTGTTTGACAACCGCCGCTCCAGACCTTGGTATGAAGACATATCGACCCCCTACCCTGCCTAACCCCCCTCCTTTTCCGGTTGTCGTGTCCCGTATTTCGTCGTGACTAACCCCTCGCCAGTTACCCCCCATTTTGAATGGTCACGAGGGTCCAAGCGTCGCCTTGCCCGCCTCGAACTCCAGAGCGAATCCAAGCACCTCCAACCATATTTCGACGTTGAAGACCAGATTGCGAATCTAGACCCTAACGCCAAGATTGTGACAGAAGGGAGTGTGATCGCTTCCCTACAGAAATGGGTCACTAGTCCCCGCTCACAGGCCCTAGCCGTCGGTGGATCCCCATCAAATGAGCACTTGAGCCCGGTTTCTCTCATCTCGGCATCTTATGCTCTCTGTGCTCGGGAGGCCCGACTGCCGACACTCTCCCACTTCTGCAAACTTCCCGCCAAAGAGGTCTCGGGACAAACTCTTCACCAGCAGGGACTCATCGCCTTGACCTATAGCTTGATTCGACAAATGATCGACACCTTGCCGACAGTAGTTGACAGCGACTCGTTGATTGATTTGACGACAGAACGTTTCCGGCCGATTGACGGCACCCTAGGCAGCTGGGTCGCTGCATTGGCGCTTGTGGACACTCTTCTCCATTTCGCACCGCCTTTACTAGTCTGCATAATCGACGGCATTGACATAATACACGATGAGTCTACAGACGTCGCGCTACGTGGCTTACTTCGCGTGCTCCTCACCCACACCCGTCATCAGCCTCCAAGCGGAGATAGCCCAGGACCAACTTTCCTCTTCAAAGTTCTATTTACAGTTGCCGGGCGTCCTAGTGCGCTGGTTGAAACTATGTCTGAGAATGAATTGGTTCTCAGTGAAGCTACCCTATCCGATGAGCCAGGGACATCTGACAGCGTCCCTAATCCCGACCTTGGTGCTGTCATGACGAATGCATGATCTCATCACGATCCGATGAGACACTTACGAATCTCCTTATATTTTTCCTTTTTATTTTCTCCCGTCTTGTCTAACCCTGTGGAGATTAATATAAAGACGCACTTTTGACTCATAGATTTGCACATTTGGGGTTAATCTGGGCCTGAGGTTCATAATGACTGCATGAAGCATGAAGCAACGGTGATGACTTCGGCAATGCTTGTTTTGGGCTTTGTTTTCTTTCTCCATTTTTTCTCTGTCTGGTACTCTTTTGGTTTTTATTCTTTTGATCTTTTTTCTGCTTTTCTTACACTGTCTTTTTGCTATATGTATCGGAATATTTGCTCAGGTGATACCTTATGTGTGGATTTCTATCTGCTTGATAATCTGTTTTAATCGCTTTCATCGATTCCTGTCTATTTGGCGTCTGGTAAAATTCGGCACTGGATATTGGAATCATCCGTTTTGACATTCTTCTGCGCATCTTGCTTCACCTGTGGTAGACCCTGTACTTTACTGCGTGATGGCTGTGATACCCATATCTAGAAACATACTCTTTTTTCATTCCAAGGTTATTATATTCCTACAAGTATCATCGGAAACCATATTCCGAAAAACGAATAGATTTCCAAGCGAACCAGCTGTTGGTCAACATCAAAATGCGGGTACAAGTGGATAGTAGATGGTAATGTGGGGAACAACATGGAATCACTGGAGATTGAATTCCGCTAATTTCGTACTTCAAGCCCACTCCGACATGCAAAATCAGACCCCAGACAAAGTGCAGCAAGAACCCGAATCTTGAAAAGCCCCAAACTTAAAGAATTTAAAACCCACCCCAACCCAAAAGTGCAATGAACGGCCACACATCAATCCCCTCGAGACACTTCAGTCTAAACTCCATCCAACTAGATGATTTCAAAACCATCTGCTCGCGCAAAGTCGAGAAATCCACCTACCCACTCTCAAGCGCAGTAGATTCAAACATCCCAATCTACGACCTATCACCCTCATGCATAAACCAAAGCACAGTCCCAACCCAAACAATCTCCTCCCTCCAAGATGAATGGCACCACATCCTCCACAGCGGACCAGGCGTCTTCGTGCTTAAAAACATGTACCCCGAATCGCGCTACAAAGAAACCCTCTCCGCCTCAAACGAAGCCTTCAACCGCATAATCGCCAAGGAAAAACAATCCTCCCAAAAGAAAGGCGACCACTTCGCTGCCTCAGGCTCCAACGACAGAATCTGGAACTCATTCAACAAACACGCCGACGAAGATCCAGTCTCCTTCACAGATTACTACTCTAATCCGTGGCTTGAATCCGTCTGCTCAGCATGGCTCGGACCCGGATATAAAGTTACAGCTCAAGTTAATGCCGTTCATCCCGGTGGCGCGGCCCAACAAGCACACCGAGACTTCCATCTGGGCTTCCAAGAAGTAGATGCCGCATCTAGCTTTCCAGCAGCTACACAGCTCGCCTCGCAATTCCTGACATTACAAGGCGCAGTCGCACACACAGCTATGCCATTAGATAGTGGCCCCACGCGCTTCTTACCATTCTCCCAAACATACGCACCCGGCTACCTAGCCTGGCGCCTCGAAGACTTTCGAGCCTTCTTCCAAGAGAACTACGTTGCTCTCCCTCTTGATCTAGGCGATGGAGTCTTCTTTAATCCGGCCCTGTTCCACGCCGCAGGCGCAAATGTAATGAGTCCCGAAAATGGGTTCAGACGCGTTGCGAATCTGTTACAGGTTAGTAGCCCGTTTGGAAAACCTATGGAAACTGTGGATTCTCTACCCATTGTGGAGAAGACTTGGGATTTGCTTTTGGGGAAATATAAGGATGCAGGTGGTATTGCGGGATTGGGGATGGAGACGGAGAAGTTTGGGATTAAGGAGAGGGAGGTTAGGGCTTTTGTTCAAGCTGTTGGGGAGGGGTATGCTTTTCCGACTAATTTGGATAGAAGGCCTCCTGCGCCTAGTGGGATGGCGCCGGAGAGTGAGCAGGATGTTTTGTTGAGGGCGTTAGAGGGGGGGTGGAGTTGTAAGGATGTTTTGAAGGTTTTGGAGCAGATACGGAGGGATGAGAAGGCTTTTTAATTGGATTGGGAGGAAGTAATTAGTACGTTATCATCATGATGTTAGATTGTGGAGTTAGATCTATAGTTAAATCCTGGTTGGAACATTGAAGTGTATAGTTGTGGATTCTTGAGATTGTCGATAGCATTTTGAATATTGCATGTGAAGTACATTTTCCTAGTACGCCTTATATATGGTCGTTGGAACTTGAAATATACATATTACCATAAACTGTTAGTGGATCTATCAGCTGCACTGGCAATCACTGTTCACATATTGATTTGTAGTCTAGGGCTATATTTTATAGTATCAAGTCCCAATTAAGACGCGCGGTCTGGACAAACTCCGTTGGACCCCTAAGCGTGTATAATATGTTGTAAGATCGGAAAAGCCTTCGGAGATGACGACCGATCATTGGCCGTCGCGTCTAACGCCCTGTGGGCCCGGGTGGACCTGCATCCCAAAGTTCAAGGCTTCGGAGTGGCGATTTGAAGAGGGGAAACCTTGTGCAAACAGGTACAGGGGGTGCGTGTGTGTACATAAGTCGTGAGGATGAATCCTAACGTGCATCGTAACAAAATAGCAGTTCTTGCATAATTCATAGTGAAATGAACAAAATGACCAGTGTAATCAGGAATGCAACCGCTGTCACGGTGGATCACCATGGCTGCGAGGAATGCGAAAAAAGCGTGTCTCACATTTTTGTGGCTTTCCCCCCAACAATGGTGAAACACGTACAGGTCGATATTTTCCTTCATCAAGTAACTCTTCGATTAGATCTCTCACTTTTAATTTCCAATCTTTCTAGACCCATCCCCTACCTTGTAAAAGACAAGTATTACACTTCAACATTCAAACCGCCGATCCTATCTCCACCAAATCCTCGGTCCAATCCTCAACTATAGCGTCGTGTCAAGTGCAAAGATCGACGCGCCTCCAGGCCCTTAGACGGGAAAACCGACACACTAAGTCAGACAAGAAGAGACAAAGCACACCAAACAGAACACGCACCGCGCAATCCAGCCAAGAAGACCCAGCACATTTTTCTGGGTCCAATGCAACTTGTGAGGGGGCAAGAAGCCTAAGACAAGCACCGGCCTATGATTTTTTCTCCTCCCTTCTCCACCGCGACTAGACACGCACCAACCAGCTTTAGCTCAGATCGTCCACTCCAACACTTTATCTAATTTTAAGGGTTGGATCTTTTTCCTTCCCTTTTCCTTCTTTCTTTCCCGCCATGCGAAATAAGCTGGGCATTGCACCCAAGCACCTCGTTACACATCGTTTTGAACAAATACCCGATTACCCAGCAAATGACGGGATGCATAATCCCAACGACGCAACGATTGATATTCCCTTGACGGAGGGGCCGTCTCAGGGTTCCGGATGGGGTTCTGGCTCCACGGTTGGGTTGACGGAGGGTGCTGGTGAGAAGCATACCATTGCACCGGGGAGACGACGCAGAACGGATACAGATATCAATGAGATTCGGGGGAAGGCTGCGGAGGCTCCTGATGATGGCAGTATTAATTATGTTGGACGGATTTATCAGGCTATTTACAATTTCAGTATTGTGACTCGGTACATGATCTATGTTATTCCTGTTGGAGCGATTATTGCGATTCCCATAATTGTGGGCGCGACTGCTTCTCCCGATGCGAAGATCGGTGGTGTGCATATTTATTGGTTCTTTACTTGGATTGAAGTCGTTTGGGTTAGTTTGTGGATTTGCAAGCTGTTGGCTAAGTTGATTCCATTTATCTTTATGACTTTGTGTGGTATTGTGAGCTCTGGTACTCGCAAGTATGCTCTTATTCTCAAGGCTTTGGAGTTCCCTATCACGCTTGTCTTGTGGTGTATTGTTTCGCTGGTTACTTTTATTCCGGTATGATTGTTCCCTTTTATTTCTGATCCGTTGGTGGTATTGAATTCGTTGCTAATCTTGATTGTGTGTGTTTGCAGATCATGACTGAGAATCCTGATAAGGAAGCTGGCAGCGACACCACTGTTAAATCTTGGGAGAAGAGTATTAAAAATATCTTGTTCGGTTTACTCGTTTGCAGTCTTATCTTCTTAGGAGAGAAGGCTATTGTCCAGTTGATCTCTATCAGCTACCATCGCAAGCAGTTCGATACCAGGATCAAGGAAACGAAGCGCAATGTCTATCTGGTTGGTCTTCTCTTCGATGCCTCGCGTAACATGTTCCCCATGTACTGCCCGGAGTTCGCCGACGAGGACAGCACTATCATGGATCCAATCCTTGGTCAAGCTACCAAGAAGAACAACAAGCGCTCTTCAATCATGCCTTTGCGCATGGTCAAGGAGGTCGGTCGCCAAGTCGGCCAGCAGGCTAATAAGATCGGTGATAAAGTCCAAGCAGCCGTTGGCAATGTTACCTCAGAGCTTACTGGTAAGCGAGTGTTTGACAACAGCAACACCCACAGCGTTGTGGTCACGGTCCTTGAGCGTAAGCGTTGCGCTGCTGCTATGGCTCGCCGTATTTGGATGTCTTTTGTTGTCGAGGGCCGTGATTCCCTCTTCATCGACGATATTATGGAAGTTCTGGGAAGTGGCCATGAGCATGAAGCGGAAGAGGCATTTGCCATGCTGGACAAGGATGGAAACGGCGACATCAGCTTGGATGAAATGATTTTGGTCGTTACCGATTTGGCACGTCAGCGCAAGGCTTTGAACCACAGCATGCACGACGTCGACCAGGCTATCGGTGTCCTGGATAACCTCTTGCTCTGTGTCGCTTTCATCATTGGAATTCTCGTCTTTATCTCGTTCGTCACCACTGGTTTCGGTACAGTCATTGCGGCTGGCGCTACCTCTTTGCTCTCCCTGAGTTTCGTCTTCTCGACTACTTGCCAGGAAGTCCTGGGCTCTTGCATCTTCTTGTTTGTCAAGCATCCCTTCGACATTGGTGACCGTGTCGACGTCAGTGACAAAGATTACATCGTCGAGCGTATCTCTCTTCTGTTTACCGTTTTCCGTTCTGTTCAAGACCACCGCATGACTCAGGTCCCCAACAACATCCTCAACAGTCTGTGGGTTGACAATCTTACCCGTGCTACTGCCATGCACGAGCGTCTTACTGTTCCCGTGGCCTACGACACCACTTTCGCTGATATCGAGGCTCTCCGCGATGAGATGGAGATTTTCGTTCGTGAAAAGGATAACTCTCGCGACTTCCAGCCCGACTTCAACATTGAGGTCATTGGTGTCGGCGATCTCGACAAGCTGCAGCTGCAAGTTGATATCCGTCACAAGTCCAACTGGTCCAACGAGACCGTTCGTGCCGCTCGCCGCTCTAAGTTCATGTGTGCTCTGGTCCTGGCTATGCGCAAACTGAAGATCCGTGCTCCTGGAGTTGCTGCTCCCGAGGAAGAATCCAAGGATGGCGGTGACGACAATGACAACGACGATGATGGTGACAACAAGATGCGCACTGGTGCCGCTACTGCCGTTGCCACCGATTCCTCCTTAGCTCCCAACACCGCCCAGGCCTCTGGTTTCGACCAGAAGCGTTCATCCGGCACGGTTTCCCACCGTGGCTCTTCCCACGCTGCCGTTGATGAAGCTGCTATCGCCGACCGATTGAACGCCCGCCCTCCCGCTGTCAGTGTCAGCCCTGGTCTGGACGAGCAGGACAACCCTCTCCAGCGCACCACCACCGGATCCTCCAGCCAGGGCGCCCGCCAAAGCATGAACAACGGTGCCCCCGGTGGCGCTTCCGTCGCTCGTGAGCCATCCAAGGGTCACCGTAAGGCCGGCACCCGCATGTCCTACGGCGGCCAGGAGCCAATGCCTGCACCTCTCTCTCCAGTGCCTGCAGGTCTCACCCCATCCACCAGCAACGTGCCTATTCTCCAGGCCCCAGCACCCCCAGGCTCTCGCGGAAGCACCCGCTACGAGCCACCACCCCATATTGGACAGCAACAGCACATGCAAGGCCAAGTCCCAGCTCACCCTATCATTGGATCCCCTGAGTCTGGAACTTACAACACATCCTACTACCAGTCTCAACACGCCGACCACGGCAACTACGAGACTGTTCCTCTCGGCGGATTCGGTAGCAATACCGCCGGCCACTACGAGACAGAGCGTTACGACCCAGTCTCCCCACCCTCCGTGTACTCTCCTCCTCACCAAATTCCGGCAGAGACTACAACAACTGCCGAAGGCCCTGAGGGACGCCGACCTTCTTTCATTTCGCGTACATTGAAGCGTGACAAGAACCGATCACCATATGGTGAGCAAGATGCTTAAACGTACTCCATTCCCTTCTCATTTTTCTTTCCTTCATTTCCCTCTCTTTTCCTTTATTTCTTCTTTCCTCCGGGAAACCAAAAGGGATTTTCATAAATGGCGTCAATTTTCTTCTTCTTTTCCTTCGCCCTCGGAAAATTTTCTTATTACGCATTGTGTCTTTGATTGTATGATACTTCAGCCATGTATTTGTGAGATTTAGAACATCGATGATATGCCGATGTATGTCTGTGGGACTTGGATCTTCAAAACTTATAAATTTTTTCCATTTCTCTTATTAACTGGTCTTTTAACTGATCCCATTCTTCAATCCTCCATTCCCATTCTCCAGTAAGAAATCATTGTAGAAGAGGGGATTTTCAACATTCATATTCTATCAATATCAACAGCAACAGCAGGTAAACAGAATCCGCCATATTTCGATGAGAACGTTATCTCAAGCTTCAACCATAGTATCACAATATCGTACAGTCCAATGCCTAAAGTACATGTAGCTAGTCACCAACACCTGTTTACAAAACACCCACATGAACAACTAGCATCTATCTAGTCTCCTTCCACGGATACCCAACCACATCATCCTTTCGCACCCAGATCTTCGACTTCCGCTTGTTCACCACATGCTCAACAAACACTTCCCGGGTATACTGCGCCTTATACTTGCGGATCCACCTTGGATCCCAAAGCTCACTCGCAATTCCCAAATCCTTACAACATCTCACAAGCGCATTAGACCTACATCCCTCCGTAGCAGTAGGAATTCCATCAGGCGAGAAATAATCCTGTTCACCACGTGCAACAGAAACAAGTCTAAAAACATTTCGTAATCAGTAAACCACCTCAAACAAAGCTAAGCACAGCTAAAAAATCCAATTAAATCAACTCACCGTCCATGGCAAACAAGCGCATACTCCCTCGTCACAGTCTTAGGTGTAACAATACTCTCGCCTCTCGGCGCAAGACCCCACCCACCAGGACCAAAAGCCCTATTCAGAACCCGTCTATACTTGATCTCAGGCAGATAAACGATTCCATCAGGCTTGATTTCCACCTCATTCGAATCAATCTCAGCAAGAAGGATATCAGCAGCTTCCTTCGCAAATGGTTGCGCAGAGAGACCGTGGAAGGAGCGGGTCCAGTCGATCTTTTCCTCGGAGGGTTTATCGAGATCGAGGGGTTTATCTGATAATCCGCTCTTGGAGATATTATCTGTTGTTGCTCGGTTGGGGGTTTGTGTTGAGATACGTTGGGAGGGTGTAGATTGTGCGGATGGAGCTGGGGGCTTGGAGTTTGTTGGTTGGTTGGAGCTTGTGCTGTTTTGCTGGTTGAAGCGTGTTGTGCTGGATAGGGTGCGCTTGCCCAGGGATTGGAGAGGGGCTTGGCGGATTGGGGTTGTTTGGAGGGCCTTGAGGGCACTCCAGGGACGGGCGCGGAGGGTAGACATGATAGCAAGTTGGTTGGTTGGTTAGTATGGGGGTGGGAGCTATGGGTTTACGGGTGAAGCTGAATCCTAGCTATAGGGATGACATCACGTGATGAAAATTGGTCTACGTGAATGGGATCTGTAAATATTGAACTATGGACCGGTAAAGTTATTTAGAGATATTAAGGATTGATGCATGATTGGAGAGTTCTTCAATTGTGTTGTTGAGAGTAGAAATACAGTCGTGTTTGGTTTATGCGTCCTTCGTTTCGGTGCGCTGGTCGTTGCCCTGTCGCTTCCAGCATTCGCGGAACGCCTCCATCTGGATGGTTGTTAGTGGTCTCGACGAGTAAGAAGATGCAAGGAGAGTATTTGGAGGGTATTTGTAATGAAAATCCTCGAGTTTTGTCAAGTAGAAGCAATGTTACACTCGAGCAACGGACAAGAGGTCGTACGCCCATTGGTGTCACTCACTTCATCTTTGCAGGCGCGCCAATCCTTCTTTGCGAAATAGCAGTCATTCATCTTGTCTTGCTCAGCTGAATTATGTCAGAAATGAGCTCGTCGTGAGTAAATCTGCGTAGTATGCTTACAATGGCATCCCGTGCTGAAAATGCGCTTGTCCCTATATCTATGATCAGTATTCAACGACTTCAACACCTTGATAACAATTCGCGGAGTTCCATTTACCATTCATCAGGTCCATCATCATCCTCAGCCTCAACACGAGGCTTTTCCTCGTTGTTCGACATTTTCGAAGTATGCTAGAGGAAGAATCGGAGAACCACGGCTGGCCTCGGCAGAGATAAAGCCAGCATTTGTCTTATCGCCGATCGATCAGCGTCACCACTCGCAAACCAACAAAACAAGCAAGTGCAAACCCCAACAAAAACAGTCACGCAAAAGCTCAAAAAAATGGCAACGCCAACTGGCAACGATGCCAATCTCACAGCAAAAAGACTCAATGTCCTAGTCTACTCCGGTGGGCTCACCCAATCTTCAGCATGGCAACTAAGCCGCTTTCTGACCAACAATTTCGACACAGGATCCGGCACGACCGTTGACTCAGTCCGCCACTGTCTTTACACATTACGCCGTTTACTCGCTGCCAATTATGCCGTCACGCCAGTTACAGGTGAGATGCTCCTCAACGAGCCGTGGACCGCTACCTGCGCATTACTGGTGATTCCTGGTGGGGCGGATTTGGGATATGGCCGCACGCTGAACGGCGCGGGGAACAGGCGCATTAAGCAATTCGTTCAAAGAGGTGGAAAGTACTTGGGATTTTGTGCGGGAGGGTATTATGGATCAAAGAGGTGCGAGTTCGAGGTAGGAGATAAGACTATGGAGGTTGTGGGGGATCGCGAACTGGCGTTTTTCCCGGGCATTTGTCGTGGTGGTGCGTTTCCGGGATTCGTCTATCATAGTGAGGATGGGGCTCGTGCTTCGGAGATCGGTGTTTCGAAGGAGGAATTGAATGTTGGGACGGTGCCGTCGACATTTCGGTCTTATTATAATGGTGGTGGAGTGTTTGTGGACGCGGCGCTTTACAAGGATAAGGGCGTGGAAGTGTTGGCGAACTATACGGAGGAACTTAATGTTGACCCTGGTGAGGGTGGTGCTGCGGCTGTTATCCACTGTAAGGTTGGCAATGGCGCAGCTGTTCTCACAGGACCGCACCCGGAGTATGTATATGATTTGCACTATGGATGAAAGATCGCTGACGCAGTTTCTTTAGATTTGCAGCGGCCAACCTCGATCCCAAGGCTGGGGGTCCCGAATTTGCAGATGTTGTCAATGCACTGACTAAAGACGATAAGGAACGTACGGAATTCCTCAAGGCCTGCTTATTGAAACTTGGATTACAAGTTACGCGAGATACCACGACAGTTCCTTCGTTGTCCTCTCTGCATATCTCTGGTCAAGACCCCGAGAAGTCGATAGACATTTTGTCGCTGCTTGCTCCCGACTTGACAAATGAAAACAAGAACGAATATTTGAAAGATGAGAATGATACATTCCGGATTGAGCGACCGGGTACTTGGAACCTGAGCGATTTGGAGGAGGCATTGCCTGATGACGAATCAAAACCCACCGAGGGCATTGTTGATTATCAGGCTATTGTCAAGAGACTTGTTTTCCATGATGATCTCCCGTCGTCCAAGCTCACACCATATTTCAATCATCACGCGTTTCACTCCAATCTTAAACAATACCAATCGGAGTCGCGAGAAGGAGCTTCTCAATTTGGATCTAATCTCATGTATGGCGAGGTGGTAACAAGTACCAACACTATTTTGGAAAAGTGAGTCCTTTTCATGTTTTGCATTTCTCTCACCGACAAGACTTGACGTATTCTATTGTTGGCATGCAGTATCTGACACATTATAGGAATACTAAACTTCTACGCCGTCTTCCAACTGGATTTACAGCCACAGCAACCGTGCAGGTTGCTGGACGTGGACGAGGATCTAACGTTTGGCTTTCACCGGCAGGCTCTCTCATCTTCTCAACAATTGTGCGACACCCAATGGAGAAGATGCAGTCAGCACCTGTTGTGTTCCTCCAGTACATAGCAGCTATGGCCGTTGTAAGAGGAATCAAGACCTATGCTAAGGGATATGAGAAGATCCCAGTGAAGATGAAATGGCCCAATGATATTTGTACGCAGCTCTTCTTCATTCCACGAATACTTAATTCACAATCACTAACACCAAATGCCAGATGCACTTGACCCCACCGACCCAGAACAAAAACGATACACTAAGATTTGCGGTATCCTCATCAACTCCCACTTCATGTCCAATGAATACATCTCTGTCGTCGGAATCGGCGTCAACGCCACAAACGCCTCTCCCACCACCGCATTAACAGCTCTCGCTGAGCGATACGCCTCCCCTGGTGCCGCGGCAGCTGCCCCCGTCACACTTGAGAAACTCCTCGCAAGCATTCTGACTACATTCGAGGACCTTTACATCCGTTTCTTGCGCGCTGGTTTTGACCGTGGCTTTGAGGCTATGTATTACCAGGACTGGCTTCATATGCACCAGATCGTGACACTGGAGGAAGAAGGTGGCGCTCGGGCGCGGATTCAGGGCATCACTCGGGATTATGGATTGTTGCTTGCAGAAGAGCTAAGCTGGGGTGACAGACCTACCGGCCGCGTATGGCAGCTCCAAAGTGACAGTAACAGTTTTGATTTCTTCAAGGGATTAGTCAAGCGAAAGGTCTAGTTTTATTTCGCATTACATCAATTTGCTTGGAAACAGATACTATTTTAAAATAAAATGAATGCAAATGAACATTGAAAAATGCTTCACGCACAAGATACAAAATTGTGATCCAACACGACAACATATAAAGCTCACAAAAAGCCCCAGGTGCCCTAAAACACGACTATGACCTGTTCGTGTGTTGGTAATTTCTCGGATCTCATACTGGCGTGCTGCCGACTGTGCGAGTACTCGAATAATACCAACGGGCAAACATTCCAAAATCGTGCATTTAGGAGGATTCTACTAAAGACTAAGATACAAAAATGAAAAGCCGTCCAGATAGCCCAGTTTCTCCAGTGGAGTCAAGTTCAACGACCTGAAACCCGCACATGGGCCTCTTCTTGGAGATATCCCAGGGTCATCATTTTACCCTTAGTTACCAAGTTTCCAACATTTTGCCTTGGTATGGCCCAACTTTCCGCAGTGTTAACACTTGGGTCTGGAGCCTCGTGAAGCCGAATTTCCACCTCGACGAGTGGAGGAACTCGTCGCAACAACTGAGCTCGAATTGCGGCAGAGTTCTTTATTTCGAAGATGTCTTCCATGGCCAACATAATTGGAGGGGGGGTTCCATTCGTACTCTGCGCCAGGCTGTTGACGAATGGCTTTAGGGCTACCAAAGGTATGACTGTCTTCACTGGATACAGACATCTTGAGCACTAAGGAGCGCGGTGGACGAAATAGTACGATAGTGCATTAGCATGTATTTGCGTTTACGGGCGGGTGTTTGGGTGGCCGTTGGATAAAAGCTGAGGCCTGATGAGGATTGTAATGTAGTATATATGACAAGACGAATGAAGTTCATTTGAGAACGGCAAATTGAGGATTGTGTATTTTTAGTTCCGAGGGCCTGGGAGAACTGTGCAGCTTTATAGATATCACAAGTTGAATTAACATTCGAAATCGAAGAGAGTTAATTTTATTCCGCTGATAGTGAATAATCTCGAATATTCCATTTTCCAGGTGGCACAGTGAAAAGGGAATATTCCAAACGCAGCTGTCAAACAAAGCTTGCTAAGGCGCCATTTGATGCACGATGCAGGGGCCCGGGGTGGACTTATGTCTTAGACATGGCATGTCGCCCTGCATGCATGGGAGGTTGGGTTTTCGAGGCACGCAAAGTGCTGAGCATTAATAGGCATGAGATATGGAAAGAGTTTTCAAGGCAGATGGAAGAGCTGTTTCACCCCCTGAATTTAAGACAGCATTGCACAGCATTTCAAACGAGTATCTCGAGGTTAATTAACATCTAAAGAATTAATTATGAGGTTATATTTTATGATTCAGGAATGAAATTTGATTTTACCCCGCTTCTGCGAAATGAAATTCGAACAATTGACATCGTATTTCAATGTTCATTTACATCTAATCCGCTAGTAAAAGTTTGATGCCTCTGATGAAAGAAATATTCTATCCTATCAATGTAAGCTAACCATTAAAAAGGTCCCTCAGCTCCACTAAGTTTAATGATCCCCACTCGGGAATGTGATGTACATTGAATCGACCGTCAAAATCAAGAATTATTGGCGCAAGAGAAGCTCGAGCTGCTGGGATTGTCATATGTTGACTTCCCAGCACTGTAAAGACCAAGACCACACTATATGAAACATTACCAAAGTTTCTCATCAACAAAATATCTATACCAACGCGCCTACTCACCAAAATGAGTCCGACACAGATAGCGAGTGTATTCAAGAAAGTGAGAAGTATCTTCCGGGGTGACGAAAACCACATGATCTGATTCAGATGGAATCCAAAAATAAACGTGAAGATGAATGTGAACCAGCTTCCAAAAAGAGCAGTCTAGGAAATTTATTAGCTTTGCACATAATTCAAGATGTATCGGGGATATTTGAGAGGATTTCCATACAATCAACGTGAGCATGGAGCTGAAATTTGGAATGGCCATTGCAATGATCCATGCGATAATCCACGGCGCAACAGCGATACCTACCCACGAGCTGACAGCAACCCAATCCCGCTTGTGCATGCGATCTGTGCCGGCGAACGCATGGATCTTTATCGATTTCGCAGCGACATGGCTGTTGATGACTCCTGCAGTGACAATCTAGATTGTTTGAGATTAGAACCAAAATTCTTTGGAATATACGGCTGTGCTGAATGAAAATATTACTGTTGGCAGAGCTACCCCTAGACTATCCTCGATACTAATGGGCTAGCTGATCCCAGAGCCGGGGGCTCGACACTCGCTCCTGCATAGCGGTAGATAACTACCGATGCAATAATATACAAGGTCATGTCGACTGTTTGAAGGAGGGCGAGGGCCTTAGGGAAGTCCCTAGGGTTTTCGAGCTCGGCCATGAAGGTAAAGAAGGTATTGTGGCTGACTAGAGTTATCAAGTCAGAGTTTGTTCTACTGAAGATGACAAGACTGACAAACCGTATGAGAAGGCAATGTTTGCCGCTGACATGAAGCCAGTTACCAAGTTTGTTTCAACAAGTGGATGGACAACGGCACCGGGATTTTCAATACCAAGCGCAACCATGGTGATAATAACTGCAGACAACATGCTGATGAAAGCTATGAAGAAGGGTAATGTTAGCTCATGAAATTATGTTAAGCTTTGATTGCGCAATTATCAAACTCACAAACAAGTGAAAGCCAAGACACGTTTGCCAGAGTCCGCGGCAGCGACAAGAAACAGGAGAGGATCACCCCGACGACACCAAAGACAAGTGTACAAGTTCCATGCTTAGTGATTACATTCATTGCCACAGTAAAAGTCAAAATATGACTTGCCATAATGAAGATAAGAAAGAGTAGTTGTGCTGTTCCAAATAACTCCCGACCGAATCGACCCATTAGCACTTCGCCTGCATCAGCCATGCTTCAAATATGTGGGTGTCTCCATTTGAATTGTCCGATGATATAGCCTGTATAGGTTGCCAGAAGACCCAGGCCAATGAGGACAATGAGGGCCGGGACAAGTCCCAAGCCAGCAACAGCTGCTGGTAGAGATAGAATACCCAATGAAATTGTCTCTGCTACCATAAGAAGTCCGCCTTGCCTAATGAGAAAATATTCTGTGAGACTCTAGGCACTAGTTAACTGCGCTAGTAGTATCGAAGTACATACCACCGTTTTAGAATCTTATATTTGACCTCCGCGTTTTCTTCGTCTCCAAAGGCATCCTGCCGCTGGGGTGTGAGATCTGGCTTCTCTATCTCGTCTTCGTCATGAGGAGGTATCTCATTGCGAATATCCGTGTTAGCAGGTCGAATATCGACAATTTAAGACGGGTGAGTGGTTGTTGCTCCCATTTTGAATTGAATAGTATATATTGAACAGATCGTTGAGAAAAGGAAAGTAATCAATTGTCGCTTCTAACTGGGGATCTAAAAGGAGAACATGACGCAGGATCCATATGCGGACACATCCATAACAGCCGACTTTGCCACACCCAACCTTGCGGGGAAATGTAATTCACCTTCCAATTTCGATTTCGAGATTATATCTATGGGGCATATAAGCTGGAGAAACGGGGCCAGTGGACCTGAATATAAGATATCACCCAGTGAAACCTTCAAATTCTACAGGGAAGATCAAGCATGCTATGCCGTACGTAACAGCTAGAAAGTTATGTTTATCATTTTGAAGGAAAAGCATGCCTAATGGGTACATTTTATCGAGATATAAAAACACTTATCTTTGCTTATCTAATTATTTATTAGTGGCATTTGATGTTTCTATTAGGGCATAGTAACAGTGCTGTTGAAGCCGAGGAATCACCGACGATAAGCTAGGAATTGAAACAAAACTTGGGATCATTTCCCTTTCATTAAAGGCTGTTTAATGCTACCCCAGAAATGTTCCCCAGATGACCCCATATCAACATCGGATGCTATTGCGTAAATTCTGGGGTATTTCTACCTTCTCATGATGTTATGGTCGGAATGACTTGCTGTTATCGGAGTCTCTTGCCCAAATTGTGTAAGCAACTTTCACCCTCACGCAAAGGGACAGAGTGTGCTTGAATGGGGGAAAAGAGACAAAACTACATAGTTTATGCAAGCATAATTGCCCTAAAAAAAGGTATTTAAAAATTTCCATCATATGTTTAATGCTAGTTGTGTGAATAAGATCTGTACAGAACTGTGGTTATGTTGAGGCGGTCTCGTCGCCTAAGAGCTAAGCGTAAACTGGAATTGACACCATTGGCCATTGGAGATTCAATTAAATCATGATCGTGTAGTATTCATTGCAAGTGAGTCTAACTCTATAAAATATAAGACAAAGTTCCAACTTAAGATTTACAGCTTGTTACCCATGTTAACATGGACAGCCTTGATTTGACTATACGCCTCCAATCCAGCCTCTCCAAGCTCACGACCAATGCCACTCTGCTTGACACCTCCAAATGGTACGCGAGGATCGCAATCCTGGCTGCTGTTCACCCAGACCATACCGGACTCAAGCTCAGAAGCGACACGGTGCGCACGCTCCAAATCCGTTGTGAAAACAGAGGCACCCAGACCGTAAGAGGTATCGTTAGCGCGTTGAATAGCTTCCTCCTCAGTATCGAAAGGCAGGATCACAGCAACAGGACCGAACACCTCTTCGCGAACAATGCGCATAGAGTCCTTCACATCAGTGTACACAGTGGGCTGGACAAAGTATCCGTTCTTGTTTTCTGCCTTAGCAGGGACATGGGCGGCACCACCAGTCAGTAATGTTGCGCCTTCGCTCTTAGCAATTTCAAAATAAGACAGAATACGCTCATATTGCGCACGGGTGACCTGTGGGCCCTGGAATGTTGCAGTATCCCATTGGTCGCCGATCGATACGGCCTCCACGGCCTTCTTGAACTCCGCTAGGAAAGAAGGTAGAATATCACGGTGCACGAAGATTCGAGATGTAGCAGTGCAAATCTGGCCCTGGTTTGACATAATACCGAAGTGCGACCACTTAACAGCTTGGTCCATATCCGCGTCGGGGAAGACCAGCAGCGGTGACTTGCCACCTGTCTCGAGAGTGATATTTTTCAGAGAACCGGCAGCAATCTTCATAATTTCGCGGCCTGTAGCTGTCGATCCAGTGAAAGCGACCTTATCAACCAAGGGATGCGAGGTAAGAGCGGAGCCCGCCTCACGGCCATAACCGTTAACGATGTTGATAACACCAGGTGGGAAGCCAGCCTTGACAACCAGTGTAGCGAAAACCAAAATGCTAAGAGGTGTTTGCTCAGCAGGCTTTAGAACAACAGTATTTCCACATGCCAATGCAGGACCCAGCTTCCAGGCTGCCATAGCCAAGGGATAATTCCATGGGATGATTTGGGCAACAACACCAATTGGCTGGCGGAGGGTATAAGCGAATTTTTGAGGAGTGGTGTTGATAGTCTGACCGAATGTCTTATCAGCCCAGCCACTGTAGTAGCGGATGGTTGATGTTGCCTCGACAAGATCCTCATCAAAGGTAACATGGTAGGGCTTGCCTGATTAGACTTAGCGGGGCTGCGGAACGGCAGAGCATAAAAAATATGCGCAGTGCATGTGGAGTGGATCGGCGTCTGGCATGAGCATCACGTACCATTATCCCATGCGTCGATGGAGGCAAGAAGTTCTCTGTTTTCCCACATTAAGTCGGCAAGTCGGCCCATCAACTCGCCTCGCTCGGTGGCCGGAAGAAGCTTCCATGATGGGTGCACCAGTGCCGCCTTTGCGGCCTTCACAGCGCGGTCAACATCATCGGCACTAGCTGCGTCGACGCTGGCAATTGGCTTATCGGTACTGAAGAATATGTCAGTTAGGGAACATATCATACACGATGCACGTATCAAGCTCACGCAGGATCAATAGAGGTGATGGTTTGTCCGGAGGTCGCTGAAACAAACTCGTTGTTGATGAAAAGCCCGGTTGGCTGCGAGTAGTGGTGCCCATTAGGCGTGACAATATCCACCGAAAGACCCATATTTGCGATATAACAGGAACAGACAACAATGATTCAACGTTGAAGTAGTTCTATCACAGATAGGCCGTCGACTCCCGCGATATATATGGAGGGGTTAATTCCAAAGCTTTGTGTGGGTCTAGTCCGTTCCAGGCAGGTTTTTCCGTGGGGAAGAGCGAAGTGGGGATGAAAGACGGAACATCAGCGAAGCATAGATAGTGGTAATTAAATTTAGAACCCCGCATAAACATGCCTATAATGGCGGTAGGCATAAAATCAGTAGTGCAAATCATGATCACGCTCCGTCAGTTGATTCCGGCTGTTTTGAAATTTTTGTCATCTCACCTTACGCAATAAAGTTGCATTCAAACTTGGCCAGGGGACCTGTGATTCTTCATTTAATTGGACTCTCAAACCATGGCCAGGAGGAAAAGGAAATGTTGTGCAGTGCTCAGTGGTATGTAATCCTAGATGAAGCCAAATACTTGGTCCGGATTGGAATGTCAAGGCCTACAAGGGCAAAACCGCGCCAGGAAGGTATGGTGGGGAAGAGACCTATGAGTGAAATCTCTAATTATTCAAGCTGATCAAGTCCGACTCTCTTCACACAAACATTAGAAGATTCAAATTGAATATAGTTCCCTTGTGTGGATAGTATAGTATACTACTAGGTGGTATAAGCCTGAAGTGGGTGGCGTATGTGTCTGATTGGATGCCTCCACCTGGGCAGTACTCATGGTGGCACAAAGTTTGGGGTTGTTTATCCCCAGCATTCGATATACGAGGACGAATACGATTTACTTGACGAGAAACACCGGAATGTCCATACATAAGCCTAAATGACTCTGGACCATGGTTGCATGAAAATTCATCATAAGGTCATGCATAAAAATGCTATGATTGAGTTTTGAGTGGCCGAAGTGGGCTTGTGTGTCATGCTGTATTCGTAGCAATAATTCAGAGGTTATGCATCAGCGGCATTCAAGTTGCACTTATGCTGCGGCCTTAGAGTTGCGATAGAGCCATGGAGTGCATTCAAATAAAATCCTTTTTGAGGCGAAGGTATGTAATCTAAATATGTAAAAAATATCAAGCTGATGATTTTGTCATTCTAAAAATCAGCATTTTGGGAACCTCGGGATAGCGAGAGTCTCACATGATAAGTCCGTCAAAGACCTGGAGAGTTGTCTCAAGGGCAAAATTGTGATTGATACTAGTACATAATGTAAATGGATATTGGAATGATATATATGATCAATCAACTTGAAGTCTTTGACAGACTTCAAATATACCAAGAAAAAGAGGAAGTGATCTTCAAGTTGACACTAAATGAGTATAAAAGCTGATATGAATCCATATATACTAACAATCGAATTGAATCATATCCAAACAGTACAAACAAAATGAAAGTCCTCACAAAATTCACATACGACACATGAAACAAAATACTGGAAACTGAAAGATTCAAAAGATATGAACAGCAAATAGAGACAAGAAGTTCAGAATACAGTGCGAAAAAGGAAAAAAAGGAAAAAAAGGAAAGACAAGGAAAGAAAAAAGAAACATGATGGAAGTGATGGAGGTATGCAGCCCCCCGAGATTTGAAGCATGTTTCATAACGATGCCAGTGTAGGTATAGAACACGCTTAACTCCCCATTGATAACTTGAAGCCACAGTAGCTTGAATTCCCCATTATCAATCACGATCGTACTTTGTGGTTCAAATTTCTTTATTTTCGTATGTTTTCCAAATCAGGAACAGTGGAAAAAGCCCGAATGCTCAATCTTCAGCAAGCTTCGAAGTTCCAGATGGAGTGTAGGAGCTTCATATTGGCAATGGATTTTGGTTGGCCCCCCACTTCCATTGTGCTAAAATGGCTGCGACTCGGAGACAAGCCATTGGAGGATCTCATGAATTTTCTCCTCGGCTTTTTTGACCATAGGGCTGCTTATCGGCTCTACCGAACAAATCGTAGGGCTGGGTATCACCTTCTTCCATCTGGTAGAAACGGACATATATTCCAATAGCCACTGCACCATAGAGAGTAGAGTCTGTGTGCTTCTTCGAGGCTATAAAATTCAAATACTCTCGAAGCTGCTCAAAAGCCTCGAAGCTGCTCAAAAGCCTCGAACCATTCGGCATTGCGTGTCTCATAGTTCAAACGCCATGATGGTTCGAAACTTCGAAACCTCGCCGGTGAACTTCTGAAATACTCGATAGTAAGATCGGCACGCAGACCTACCGCATCGTTTGGTTGAATTTGCGGGGTGATGCCGAAGTTGAAGGAACTGGTAAAGTATTCAGAAGCTGTCAACTGTCCAATCCAAGGAGCTGCGGTCTTTGATACGATCATAGGAGGCTTGGGCAAGCTCTAACTGCATGTACTAAACTCAAGTTAGCTTTTTATGCAGAGACCTCTCGGAAACCACTTACATGGAAAATTGTTGAATGGAGGCATTGGTCCACCGAGTGATTTCTGTGAAGCAAATCTAGTTTGATATTACCAGCTGTTAAGATTGAAGGCTATATCTTTCAATTTAAAGACAACCCGGCGTTAGTCCGGAACCCCCTGTAGGACTCGGCGATTTAATTCTTAAAGTAGCTCGTTGGTTTATCTCTGCCTTCCTGCAAACTATTTTTGTCTGCCTGCAACCCTTCAGAAACCGATTGGCCATGGTTAAATCTTGATATAGTGAGGCAAATAGTGAGACGACTAGCGAGATCATGAAGGATCTCTATTAGGTATGGCTCTAAGCGGCCTGCTAGTCTGTTTTGACAGGCGGCCGTGATTTGATTTGCATGGGCGATCTACTGCATTGGCGATACGCTATTATCCAATATCGAGGTTATGCATTTGGAAAGCGCTCTGAAAGGCCGCGTTGATGGATGCGCTCCCTTCATTGAACCTAGATTACATGTTATCTGGGGCGGAAACCCAAGGATATCTCATAGTTTCAAGTTTGAAACGCCGAGCAAGGCACATCGTACCAATTAAGAATTTATGCATGGGATGGTCCTTCGGTGGAGCCGCATGGGCGCTAAAGGGCGGGTAGGCCTTATTCGCTCACCTTGACCTTCGGTCTTCCCCTCATACTTTTGCTTCCATTTGATCCGGGCTCACAAGTGTCCCAGAGAGATTGTATGATCTTACATACGTGCGTCACTCAGCAGAGCATATATGCAGCATAACCACCTACCGCCCTATTCGAGAAGTGAAATTCCTGTGATCTGAGTGCGAGGAGTGTTATCGTCAAAGTGAGAGACCATAGCGCCATCTTTTTCTTTCAATTCTCATTGCCTGGAAACATCATTTACGTCAATTGCGACTCAAACCATGGCCCTTCATGCCCACTCAGTGAAGGATCCTGGAGATGTGTGTATTCTCTTACAGCATTGGCGAGCTCCGCTGGGCAGGAGATACGGATAGCAATGTCAAAACTATCCATGCGGGCGGCACGAGCGTTTCTCCGATGAGAGATTACACCAATTCAAATCCAATGAATGTTTTCAAGGCCAAGAGTGGGCAAATCTTCCCTAAAGCTTTCATATCTCCAGACTCTGAAGATACGCCACGATCTCTCTTTCGACCTAGTATGGAGGAAGAGCCCAAATTGCTTCCATCTGAATGGACATCGTCTGCACGGCGATAAATCCATAGATCCTCTCTAAACAAGTTCCTGGTTTGCACAGACGGTGCCTGCCTGAGGAACGGCGCTCACGACGCGAACGCGGGTTGTGCATTTGTTTTTGCGCGTCCCTCAAAATGGCCTTATTTCAATGTTGTGCGATTCCTGCTTGAGGATAGGGATTTGAATAACCAGATGCACCGACGCACAAGCAATCGGGCCGAGCTTCGGGCTGCTATTCACGCATGTCAGGTTCCAGAATGGACCAGAGAAGGATTTGACACCATGGTAATTGCAACCGACTCTGAGTATGTTGTCAAGGGTGCTACGGAGTGGATTCATGACTGGATCAAAAACGGCTGGTGGAGATCACCAGGAAATCCTGTTGAGGATCGGGATCTGTGGGAGTGGCTACTTCGAGAGATGGATCGATTGGCAAAAATGGGCATAAGTGTCGAGTATTGGCATATCTCGCGAAAATTGAATGAAATTGCGGATAGACACGCCAAGATTGCTGCGAGGAAAAGACTGTGATGAAAATTGCGACTGGAGGGTTATTAAGATTAAAGTCTCAAGGATGTTACGTGAGGTGGTGCTTCCTGCACAATCACTACTGGTGCGGGTAGATGAGCGTGAAGTCTTTTGTTTTGTTCCTTTTACACTTTCTATTATTTATAGTCTTTGTGATAGCCATTCCCCTTCGTTGGAGCATGCTTCAACTTTCAACTCCATATTTTATTGGTATCCATAATTGCGATGCATTCTTTTCTACTCAAGCGTGAAAGTGAAATTTTCTTTCCATTTTACTCTTAGTTTCGAATGGTGTATCCAAGGGATATAATAAACTTGAAGCTTGCATCCTCTATGCTATGATACCACCACGATAAAAACCTACAACATGGGAAAGAAACCAAACCATAATTAAAGATAAAAATCAATAATCAATTTCTCAAAACGCCTTTTCATTATTATTATTATGGAAGCTTTTAAACCAAAATTATCTGACAGTCAAAAGACTTTCCCTGTATGAAACTAGGGAATAATCTACACTAGTCGCTTGACGAGATTTACAGGAGATGGTTGAGGCTGCATTGCGCATTCAGGTCAAGGTTGATGAGACCAACCTACCGATTGTTGATTAGCTTCTGGTAATACATCAATACTGAGAAGACTGAGACTTTACCTGTTCGACATCGTCCTGGGAGCAGCAGTAGACATCTCCACCAGAACAGTTGTCACCGAGAAGACCTGGAGCAATGTTGCCCAGAGAGATGAGACCAGCATTGCCGTTGCCGCTGCAAACAACTACCTGGTCGCTGGAGCAGGTGGTGCTAGAACCTTTGTCAGAGGAGGATCTAGCAATGACCGCTGCCGCGATAGTGAGCAGAGTGATGGTGAACTTCATAGTAGCGGTGGTGAAGAAAGAGTAGATTTATAGGGATAGAAGAATGTTTAGAGGATGGATGGATGATAAGGAAAGAATTGAATCTACAATGGAATTCGCGAGTTTAAATATCTTTCAGGATCAGAGATGTGCTGTTGAATTCTTCATAGAAGAATCAATCAATCACGGATTTCCAGCTTGGTCTATAGCTTGACCCGTATAGTTCTATTTTGTGGTCGCTTTCTTGCATGACGCGGATATTTTGTGAAGGAGAACCATCTGATTGGAAAATAGCTTTGTAGTTTTAGTGGAGGTTGGCAAAATAAAACTTGGAATTGATTCAAGCCAGCCGCCAAAGTGTAGGTTTTGAAAGTCAATTCTTGATCGAGAATCAGTAGATGAAAACTTAATCTCCTACAAGGTGCGGTAGTGGCGTGGTGAACCATAGTTCTGCAAGAGTATGGTTGGGGATCTTGGCGGCTCCGGATTTGGTTACCTTGCGTTCGCTCTCGCTCTCGCTGACTCTCATCCTTCACGATACTTTGCCACCAAGTTAGGAAGGGTCATTGTTCGTGAAACCAGATAATTTTACAGCTAATGAATGGGTGATCTGGACGTTTTCAGGTGGTGCTGGCATTGGGAAGCAAGTTCTTGCTAGATACTCGCCGTGAGATCATGATTCCAAGATTATGTCTTGGCTCTTTTTATACGATGTTACTTCAAGGTCCATAGAATTCAACTTTGATGTATCTTGCAATTATTAAATGGTAGAATCTGCGGAATAATGCGAGACTTTTTACCCGTTATAGTTATCTTGCAGTGTTATGTTGCTATTCTAAGAAGGTGCGTTACACTCGATCGATGACGGCTATAGCTGACGATAATCCCGGTAGCCAATGGAAACCCTCTTCACAACTCCAAACCACCACACGCTATGGATGGGCCTTGCTTCCGCTTCCCCACAATTACGGGCGTTCCAATATCTGAACAAAGCCCTTAAACACCAGTCGCAGAAATCTAGTTCGTGGCAATGCACATCGACCACTCGATTAGCTTCTCTGGTGCGTCAAATGGCATTGATTGCTGCGGAGAAAACAATGATTATCTTCAAGATCACTCATTTCTTGACAACATTCTATTATGCGAAAACCTGGTCTAGGTCTAAGCTAGGCTATGTCTCAGCTGCTTTCCGGTTTTCACACAAAGTCGATAATATATCGACGTAGGAATTTTACTGACTCGGGAGTCGCCGGGTTTCCCCCAGTGACAAGGAGCATACAATAACATTACTGGGTACCTAGGGTAGTTCCACCTCTTCTCCCAATGTTTTTTTTTGTTGATCATCTGGACTCTTTGAGATGCATTCGCTACCCTGGGAAGCAGGAATGAATATGATTCTATAGAAATACTATGTCCAAGTTGAAATTGGAAGGTACCACACGTAAGGACCGAACTGTAATGGAGAGAGAAAATACATATTGGTTCAAATCATACCTTCAAATCAAGTTGCCATTATCGCAAGGGGGGCTTTTGCAACATTTCTATTGATTTCGCCCACATTCTTAAAAATATAACTCCAGCACACAGATCGTAGCCTTGGCAGTCTCTGGAGTTGAAGCAATGTCAACTTTGCGCTAAACCTAAAATGACATTCCATCTGGCTTAGTCATATGATCTAACCACATCAACTAACTAGGTATAGCGTGGAAATTCTTTAAATCTACCACGCTAATCTAAAGTAGGCATAGTGCGATGTCCCAAGGACTGTTCTATAGCTATATACTTCAGGCAAGCTATAATATTACCTACTATTTGTTGATTGGTTTTATTTAACAATGTAGGTAGCACTTGCTATAGTGATTCCAGTATTTTACTTAGCTGCCATTACTTTGAAATCAGGCATCAACTGAGAATGACTTATGGCCGCTCTGCTCTTCCGTAGTGTGTGGTGCGTGTAGTAATTTGGCAACAGTTGACTCAGCACAACGATACTTAAATAGCCTGAGACGCATCTAAAGCGGCAATATGGGAGGAAGAGAATCGAAAGTTGATGATCAGGGCAAAAGGACAGGAGATGGGGTCATATCATGTGTGGGAAGCTGAAGCTGCTTTCGATCCAGAGCAGCCATTCTATTCGAATGCTCCACCATGTGCGCCGATAATGGCACATAACAGTGGCAGATATGACCCATTCACCGAGTGCACTCCTGTTTTCTACCTCACGAAAGAATTGACTCCCGAGAAAGATATTGCAGTCAAAGCCGCTATTTACAAAGAGGACCCGGGCTATGGGAATGGATTTGGCGAATCGGAATATTCAGACTTTGATGATGAGTATGAGGGTGACTGGGGAGATATAGGCAATAGGAAACGAAAAGACTCTCGGTTTGTGCCATGGGAGGACGATGATGATGCAAGCCTAGATGATATTTTCAATATTCTTGTCGATGTCTACAATTATCTAGAAATGGGCCGCCAATGTCTTAACAGCTTTTATATTGACCGGGATTCTCCTACAGATGGATGTCTGCTTCTAGTCCAGGCCGACTTCTATCTCTCCGAAAAAAACTACACAACTGCGAGGCATGATTGCACCCACTCTGAGAGAATTCCGATATATTCGGATTCCCGCAGAAAAAGCCCATATTGCAACTGAGGATCTTGACTCTGGTCAACGAAATATTGACCAGATGGGTCGGGGAGGTGATGAGGGCAGTCATTCTATCCGACCTGACTGGCCAAATCAGCGAACTCTCGTGCCAGATCCCCCGTTCAGACCTGAATTTCCAAATTTTCCAGATCCCGGCAACAACTTGAAACGCTGTTCTCGAAGGGAATTGTTTAGGGTAGGCTGATGATACACACATTTCTCTTCTATAGACAAGCTTTCTCAATTCACATATTACATGTATGTCTGAGTTTTAGTGAAGCGGCTTGATGAGTGACTTTTTGACTTCTTTCCACTTCTCGAGATCTAAAGGTATGTAGTATATGGATGACAACGTAAATTAATAGGGAATTATGATGTTGTAGTTGAATTATATAGAAATATTTCACGTACGTTCGCACTGCAAAAAAAGGGTGCTTGTTCTGAATTAATTCATGAAGACGTCAATGATTTTCGAACGAGAGAACTTCGACTTCAAACTTTCCACCGAAGTTCAGTTTTATGTGGCAATCAAAGTAGTGTTAAGTGTTGATCGGAAATCACGACTACTAAAGCCAGCTTTGAAAGTGAACTTTCCAGTAGGAATACGCCAGTCCTGAGCAACAACATCCCAGTAACTCACATCCCGGCGCATCAACTCAAAAGCGACAGTCTTTTTCTGACCAGGTCGAAGCCACACTTTATCGAAACCACGAAGTTGGTTAGGTGGAGTGCCAGCTGGGGTCGATGAAGGGAATTCAACGTAAAGTTGGGGAACAGCATATCCAGAGATATGTCCGGTGTTTGAAACCTCGGCCTCAACAGTGTAGACAGTCTCCCAGAGAGCAGGGTTTCCACCAGGCTGAACGGGCTGCTTTTTAGGGAGAGCAGTGATGTTCTTCGAGACCGCAGTCTTGGACTTGAGGCTCTTCAAACCATAGGTGGTGTAGCTGAGCCCGTAACCAAATTCGTAACGCACGGGGATGTTGTGCGCGTCAAAGTATCGGTAGCCGACCTCAAGCTCCTCGTCAAACCAGCTCTGCCAGTCCCAGGTACCATTGGTCTTCACGTCTGTGGTCAATGGTGCATTGTAGTCGGACTCATTGTAGGCAATAACGTATGGCAACTTCGCAGATGGGTTGACGTCGCCGTAGAGTACGTCTGCGATGGCGTTTCCGGTTTCTTCACCAGCATAGTGCTGGGCAAGAATGGCAGTAACGTTTTCATTGTCGGCGAATGGCATGGTGTTGATACCACCGGAGTTTGTGATGACAATTGTGTTGTTGCAGAATTTGGCCACTGTTTCAACGACAGCATTGGCATTCCAGTCCAGCTCCAAAAAGCTTCGGTCTTCACCTTCAGCGGAATAGGACTTGAGGAAGACAAGACAGGCATCTGGATGTTGGGGGATAGCCAGAGATGACAGTCCAGTCTCGACAATTTGAGTGTTGTTCAGGTATGACTGAACCAGAGTTCCGTCCTTGCGGGCGCGGGCAGAAATAGCCTCTAGCGGGTTGGACAAGTAGGAGAATCGGCAAGCACCAGAGCTTCCTGAGTTGGCGAGCACACCGTACTCAAAGTCACCCAGTGTGTCTTGGCCTTGAGTCAAGGGACCGGCATCATTTCCAGCAATAATGATGTTGCGAGGCTTGCGCAGGGGCAAGGCATTCTTCTCATTTTTCAACAAAACAGTAGATGCGGAACCGTGCTCGCGGATCATAATGCTGTGGTTACCACGGACATCACGGTTGGTTGGTCCAGTGAAGTTCCACTTGTACTGCCAGGTATCCACTGGAGAGTCAACGTTGAGGGGACCGACCGAGGCGTCCACACTCGGGTAGTTCTTTTCCTGTCCAAGCAAGAAGTAAGGCGTCATGATACGAAGAGCCATATCATCCAAACGGTCCATGCTAACAGTTCCATTGTGGATTGCTTCGGTCAGATTCTTTCCAAAGAAAGAACCCTCGGTCCACAGCTCCCCGTAGACTGTAAAGCCGCCGGGCATGGTCATATCCATACCGCTCTCAATCGATGCCACGCCACTATGGGTAGCACCCCAGTCCGACATGACATATCCCTGGAAGCCGAGCTCGGTCTTAAGCAGGTGGTTGAGCACATATGAGTTTTGGCAAGAGTGGGAGCCGTTGACACGGTTGTAAGAACACATAGCGCTGGCAACGCGAGCACGGACCGCATTTGCAAACGGCCACATATAAATCTCGTGCATAGTTCGGTCATCCAGGTTGGAGGAAACTGAATCTTGGATATATGTTGTTGCATTGGCATCAGCGGCATATGTGGGGTTGCGCTGCGTCTCTTGCTCATAGGCAATAAAATGCTTAGCGTTGGCTTGGACTCCAGCATCCTGCATTCCGAGGATGGTTTCCTCCATGCAAACACCGGTCAGGTAAGGATCGGCTGCAAAACCTTCCCAGGTACGACCATTGTAAGGACTGCGGCCTAATGGTCCACCGATGGGACCGAGAATGACATGGGATCCCTTTGCCTTGTGCTCCTCAGCGAGAGCATGGGCTCTTTCGTACAATAGCTTGCGATCCCAGCTAGCAGCTGCTGAGACGCCACTCACGAAAACACTGGAATAACTGCCTTCTTCAATACATTGTGGGCCATTTTGGAGACAAAGTCCACTGAAGTTGAGACGAGGAATGGGCAGGACATTTCCAACGCAGGGACCAGGCTGCCCCGTGGCCATCCATGTCTTCTCTTCAGATGTGAGTTTGTTCACAAATTGCTTAGCCTTGTGCAGAGCAGTTTTCCAGCCGCCAGTGCCATTCATCTTGGCTGCAACATGTTAGACAATCGCCTTGTGATAATACCATCTACAAAATGAGTTTCTGAGTACTTACGTGAAGGATATACCGCTGGAGAGTGACCATAAGTGCTTAAGATGGTAGTGTTCTCTGGCTGGACATAGCTGAAAGCTGTGCCAGTATGGTCAATGGGCGGAGCCTGGCAAACATCCGATCCCAGAGATGGAGCTACTAGGAGCAGCAAAGCCCCTAGAAAGCTTGGTGTTGACAGCATCGTGGTATAAGCTGCTTCAATTCTTCAAATTACGCTTGAGACCCGAGTTTCTTCAATTCGGACTTGAAGACAGAGAGGCCGACGCGACTTAAATATATTTTTCGGCCATACCCTCTACCAGGGTAGATGGAAATCCCTCATCTACCACCCCGGATGGCTTACAGGCCCACTATGATCCGGAGAAAAGGCCTCGTGCCGACCAGAACCCCAATCAAAACAGGACAGGAAATTTGCTGGTAAGTGATCGGCAGGCCAAGCCCGGACTTCCTCTTGGGACGAAGTCAAAAAGCTTCGCAACGGGAAACGCGGGTTACCGATCTGAAAAACAAAATATTTGGCCGTCTCATCAAGATTTCGGCATCCCGAGATTGCCCCTGGTCGCAGCATTCGGTGCATATTCTATTGTGTGTATGTTATAGCAAAACCTCGAGTTTGTTCGTGCCCGTGGGGAAAGTATGGAGAACCCTGGAAGTGAATTCACACTAAAAGACACAGTGAGTGGAGTTCGTAGTAATGTGACGTCGCGGTGTGCCGCGCTCCTTGAAATGACGTGGGATGACTTCTCCTCAGAATCGACCCGGATCAACTTCGGCTAAACCCCCACGTCCCACTGGCACTCTTCGGCATTCCGTCTTTTCAGGTACATTTCCAGATTGGCCTCATATGCGAGACAGAGTCAATATGATTTGTTGATTTTGATCCTTCGTTCTGTAAATATCGATGGTAAGTCAATTCAAACGTTTGTATAACTGAAGAAATCACTCACCTTCCTCATGAGGGCAAGTCGGAGAGACCCCGAGGCTTAACCTAGAGAAGCCTTACTTCCCCACAGAACCCCACGGAGACCGGCTTTTACCTGGCATTCTGGGTCCCGGAAAGATTATACATCCGGGATACAGCCGACTTGACGCATTGACAGTGGAAAATCGCCATCTTTCCCGACAATTCCCCGCATGTCTCCACCACAATTCAGTCTGTTGTCCAATTAGTAAGTTCACTCCAAAATGCCTCGCAGGTCGATGATTGACGTGATCTCGAGTGAAACGCTTTTAATATGCAGATATACGAGCTTTGGGTAGTTCTTACGACATTATTGCTGGTGAAGACTTCCAAGGTTAGAACTTGAAACTGCTGTAAAGTTGAATATTGTTCGCGGAGAAACTTTGTATCATATATGTAAGGAACAAAATTATTTTGACGCAGGAAAAAAGGATCTGTTTACATTAAGATATTTCGACTTGAAGGACATCAAAAATGAAAGATTAAGCCAAGTTGGGCTATCATGTATATCCACAGGAGGGAATTTCGTGACGGAGTCCCCCGGACTCGATGTTTTCCTTTCATGGAAATGGATGTCTATTCTAGACAAAGAATGCCAATGTCACGAGGAGCGAGAAAGCCAAAGCCAGCTTTGTTGTGGCAAGGCCAGATGATGACGCAGAAGCGCCATTGAACAGAGGAGCGCTGGTGGCTGTCGTGGAAGAACTGGTTCCACTTTGGGAAGCGCCTGCAGAAGAGGATGCCAAGGCGGAACTGCCAGACGAGCTTACAACCGTGACCATAGTTGAGTCAGGGGAGGAAGCTGGGGCGACTGGCAGCACAGAAGTAGAAATTAGGCTTCCAGTTGTTCCAACACTGCCGGACCCTTGAGAACCGCCTCCTGAAGTTGGCAATGGCGTTGAGCCAGATGCAATAATGGTAGTGGATTCGGGGCCAGTGCCTCCAGAGCCGCTGCCTGCGGTAGATATAGAGTCAGAACTGGAGCCAGCGATAACACTGGAGGTGGTCTGAGTAGCTTCCGCTGCAGTAACAGGGCAGACGGTGGTGGACACGGCAATAGTCTCCGTAGTAAAGTATGTAGTCTTCTCACGAGCAGGGCAGTTAATGACACTAGATGGACAGGCAGTGATAGTAGAGGTACGTGTGCTGAAAATGGTCGAAGTAGTATATCCCTCATCACCTGTGCTGGTAATAGAAGCAGGTACAGTTCCAGTACCAGTTACAACAGGGACACTGGCAGCTGTTTGAGCAGTCTCAGTGGCTGTTACTGGGCAGATGGTTGTTGAGACAACAATCGTGTCCGTTATCGTGTAAGTAGTCTTTTGTCGGGCAGGACAGTCGGTAACACTGGACGGACAAGCTGTGATGGTAGCTGTGCGGGTGCTCAGGATTGTGGAGGTGGTGAACTGGTTGGTATTCGAGGTGGATCCCGAGCTAGCGGTGATAATCGTCGTCTCGGTACCAGGTGGAGCAGATGTAGAGTCGGTGGAGGTAGAGTCAGTAGAGCAAGTAGAGGTAGAGCCATGGCCAGTGGAGGCAGAACCAGTGGATGTAGTTCCAGTGGAGGAAGAACCAGTGGAGGAAGAAACAGCGGAAGTATCACATGTAGTGGAAGAGCTGGAGAGAGACTCAGAGGTTTGTCCAGAGCCGGTCCCGGTTGTTGCAGTGGTACTAGCTGATGAAAAAACATGGCTGGATTGGGAGGTATATACGCCAGTGGTAGATGATGACTGAGTTGACTGCGTAGAGCAAGGAGAGGTTTGGTGAGTCAGCGGCGTAGAAGTAGGAATGGCTGTAGTCGTGGCTCTGTGGCTAGATGATGGAGAGACTGTGGGGCTTCTCACAGGTGTCGAGCTACCAGAGTTTGAGACGTGGGGAATCGATGAGCTTGGTGAGACAACAGGGGATGTTGGATGAGTGACTGGCAATGAGGCGGAAGAGCTGGCCCGAATACTCGATGAGGACTGCAGTGCAGACGAGGACGAAACAATGGATGAACTTGAAAGACTCGACGAATGGGATGGCGATAGTGTCGGGGTGAGAGTGGGAGTTGTAGTAGGAGTCAGGGTAGGAGTGTGAGTAGGTGTAGCCGTGGAAGTTGGAATGACGGTAACTGTGGTGCATATACTCTCGGTTGCACCTTGAAGCACAACGTTGTCGATCTCGATTGCATCGCCAGTATATGAGGGATTAGCATTACAGTAACCATAAATCTCAAAAGTATGAGTACCAGCGCTCGTTGGCGTGAATGAGCCAGATAGAGTAGCCCAGTTGGTGGTGGTGTCAATCACAATGCCGCCGGTAGAACCAAGAAGCCCAGATGTACTGAAGGAGTCCATGTACATTGAGAAGTAACAGGTCAAAATTGGATCGCTATAAGCATGGGAAATGCGGTATTCAAATGAAACGGCATAGGTGGTTCCGGGTAAAAGATTAGACAGGCGTTGATACAGTAGAATCGTAGAGCTTCGGACGTTTGATGCCTGTAGATACATGCTGCCATCTGCTGCATCTCCACTCACTACGGAGCCCGAGGTCCCTGAGGCGAATCCCCAACTCGTCAGTCCATCCTCAAAAGATCCATTCTCGATCGATGCCAAGGCGGTACAGGTGACAATCTCCTCTGCGGAGGTTATTATGGACTGGGAGAAGAGGATACCCAGGGTCCCGATCAATGTTTGGAGCTTCCACATCTTGATCTGTTATCAAGAGACGAGGCAAAGCAGGAAGGCGAGTGAATAAGGTTCTTCGGGGAGAGTCAATATTATCGAGCGATCGGCTATGGCGAGTAGCGATAACGAGTGACTTCAAAGAACTGGTGATCCCTGCAAGACGAGGATGCAATTCTGAACACTCTGACAGAGTGCAACGAGGACTTAATAAGGACCCGTGAATAAACAGGCTAGAAAAGCCTCGTCGTCGAAATTCGGAGCCCCCGAGACCAACTTGGTCGAGATCTCTTGATTTTAATGCCATCTTATGGATCGTCGGCATAAAGAGCCAAGCAGTTGGCGGATCGTCGGCATAAAGAACCATGTGGTTGGCGGATCGAGGCATCTCAATTGACGCTATTGAAATTATCTAACCATATACGGCCAATCGAGCTCGATACCACCCTTCGATTGGGCGAAATGAGCTACAGACCCACATAAATTCAGGAACAGTTGAAGCATAAACAAGAGGCAAGAAACCAAGAACAGGGAATTATATCGTTATCTCGCATGTTAAGTCTAGAATTCTCGGTAGGTACTTGGTATTTTGCAAGCTTTCTGACTTTGTTATCGGACATTTCCGCTACTTAGCTTGGACCCTTCGCTTGCTCTACGCGAGGTTCTGTCACTTCCAGTCTATTTTTACCATATTAGCAGATCTTCACGCCCGGGGAAATTAATTATGTGTGATCAAGAGTATACTTGTCTATTTCTACAGAATCAATATTGACCGTCTTGTTCCCCGTAAAGCAATACCTCGATGTACGCGACGCGATTTCTTTGTCCTTTCCCCCAAAAGGCCCAAAGGCCTATTCTGAGCAAGAAAGCATAGGGTTTGCTGCGTTGTCCGAAAGGCCTGATATGGTAATTGATAGCGAACGGCCAGGATTCTATGCTTTTAAACGTGGCAATCTTAAATTTTTGGAAGGTGGCCAGACGTTCGCGGGCGTAAACAGGGGAAATTTCCCGACCGACATGCTAGAACCAATAGGGCCAACTGGAAAACAAAGGAGCCGAACAGCAGCGGATTGGTTGACAGTTTAACAAATCAAAATGAGGTTGCCGTAAATTTCTGTTGGCTAAATAAAAATAAAACCCCGGATTCTCATAAGGCCTACATAAATAAAGATGGATATTTTAGCGTTACGGGGTAAAACAAAGCGTCCGGAACTTGAAGTCTGTATATTAGCCACATGCACAGTCGCCTCCTCGCACCTCAAGCCACACTTTTCTTCTCTTGAAAGGCTAGTTGCTGATCATATGGTGCGAGCGCCACTTGATACCAAGGATCTTATCGGCCGTTGTGTTATTCGCAGTCCAGCATTCTCCAAATGGAGGCTGAAGCTTGCATTCGAAGTCGGGATATTTCTCCCTCACATAGTCAACGACTTCTACCCAAGATATAGGAGATAAGAAAGGATGATCTCTGTACCGGTGTCGAGGTCCGTCTCAAGTATCTTTATATGGGCGTCAGCGATATCGCGAACATGTACCCAAGCATTACCGAGAATGGGGATTTTTTCATTCAACGATGTCTATAAAAAGGAGTTCATTCCCGCAACATCTTCCGCAGTCTGCTACATTCTACTCCGTCCCATAACAAATGCTGGATGGAAGGATATAATTGAGTAATGGGGGGACTGGGTTTTAATGAATCCCGCGTAGCTTGATGCGCTAGGATCTTGGAGCCAGCGTACATGATGGCGTGCGCGGGAGGCCCTTCAGGTAAATCCATTGAAAGGTCTACCGGGATCACTTCTCCTGTATTTTCTATATCTGATCGGTTATTTTTCTTTACTAATGGTGTTCAAGTGATAGTTATCCAACCTTTCAAGGTGGTCCCTTGGCTTACAATCGCCGTTATAGGTGCCAATGCCACTCCAGACGATATGATGATAACTTTCTTAATTTGTTCAATTGGCAAAGCAGCATTCAAGATAGACAAAGTTCCTTCAACGCTTGGGTTGACGTAGTAGGCAAGAAAATCAACACCGTGGCCCGGCATGGGGGAGGCAATGTGAAGAACATGGTCGGCGTTACTCAAGTCGGGAATCACAACAGCTTCAATATTGCTGGTTACTTCAGGACTAAGGACAGCCTCCTGCTCGGCTTTGCAAATACTTAATCGTACACGGTAGCACGCTTCCAGAGCGGCGGGTATAAGTTCTGAAGCGATAAATCCGGTTGCGCCAGTTAGTTATGAAGAGGAGGGGATTAGCCATTTCGACGACAATGTTGGGAGTTGAAACAAAAGAGACCAAAGACCAAAGACCATAGAATAAAATGATCCGCTTTATTTATAGTATTCGTGGCACGCATGCTACCTCCAGAGCGGATAACAATTTAAAGCCATCTACGTCAAATGCCCTCACTTCCAAACGAGGTAATATCTGCGAATTGTACCGCAGATCTCGCGAACAATTGGACGTTGTCAGAACTCCCAATAAAACAACTGCCCTTGGTCGCAAACTGGATAACTTGTTTTGATTATGCAACAACATACGAGGCCACCATAGAAACTGGGGAAAATATCTCACGATACTATTAGTGTTTACCTCTTATGGGGGTGAGTGTTGCTCTTATATTGAAGGTATACTTCTATAGAAAGCACCCGGAAGATAAAACTTTCCCTTTTTTTGGCTCCTACCCTTCTACAATCATAGAAGTCTACTGGCGAGGCTACCTAGCCATGCGACCGTGGCCTAGCACCTGCAACCAGGAAAGGACCCCGACGTCGGTTCTGGAAGGGAGTAGGTTGGCATACTGAGAGGAAAGCGATGCTATTATGTAGATCGGGTACATGCAGGGTCTTCATGGCTTCATACATCCCATTGTTGATGATCATATCGAGTCCCCTCTTCTCCCCTCATTTGACAATCAAGATCAAGTCTTCTCGGTGTGCCACCACGGTGACCACAAGCGGGCAGAGTGGATCTCCATGAATGACGAGGCCCCTTTTAGTGTGGCCTAAAGGGGTTTAGGCTATAACGAATCATGCTAGCAAGCGGTTTGATCGTGCAGTGCTATTGGTCAGATGATCTAGAGTGGACTGAGATATGGAGCGACCCGGATCCACATCGTCTAAATGTGTTGCCAAGTTATCACCGATGGATAAATCATTAATTTCTAGCTGCAGTGGATCCATCAGCCACCTCTATCAATCTATTGAGGAGGCTGGGAAGATGAAGCAATGTGATGCCTGATCCAGATCGAGTATTTATTCTTTCGGTTCCCGGCAGCTTTTAAGATTCTGCCAAGAAACTCAGCGCTTCAGATCGGCGCTTCAAAAATCGACATGCACTCAAATTTTGCACTGTCGGCCGTATTCTGGGCTGCTATATTCTCACAGGCCGCTGCCCAATCATATACAAGCTGTGACCCTATGGAGAAGACCTGCGCCGCTGATCAGGGAACCACAAGCTCGGAGCTACACTACGACTTCACACAAAGCTCAGATCTCTCGAAATGGAATACAACCGCTGGAACAGTGACTTCCACTGACGATGGAGCAAAATTTACGATTAACGAATCAGGGGATGCCCCGACTATTGAGACCGACTTCTACATCTTTTTTGGAGAGGTCACAATTACCATGCAAGGCGCCCCGGGCACTGGTATTGTCAGCTCTGCTATTCTCGAGTCAGATGACCTCGACGAAATTGATTGGGTAAGTGGTCACTTTGAAAGATTTCAATTCCTTCATACATACTAATGTGTTGGTTCCATGTAGGAAATCTTAGGAAGCTACACTTCCAAGCTTCAAACCGATTACTACGGAAAGGGTGACAGTGGTTCCTACGACCGCTGGACTTGGGTCGAAGCCACAACACCCCAGTCCACTTTCCATACTTATAAATGGGTCTGGACCGAGAAACAGCTAACCTGGTCGATCGATGGCATCGTCGTCCGAACTCTAACCTACGACGAGGCAGTACACAACGGCGCCTCGCGGTACCCCCAAACACCCATGAGCGTCCGCATTGGAATATGGGCAGGCGGCGACTCTAGCAACAACGCGGGTACTATTTCGTGGGCTGGAGGCGACACAGACTACTCTGACGGTCCATTCAGTATGTACGTGAAGTCAGTCTCCATCGTGAACTATAACCCAGCCGAGTCATATCGCTGGAAGGACAAGTCAGGTTCAATGGATAGTATCGAGGTCATTGGAGGTACAAGCACAGGCGCCAGTGCTTCCACTACTGGATACTATCTCACATCTACCGGGACAGCTCCAGCTTCTGTGGCCGCTGCTTCGGGTTCACTTTGGCGCTCCCACCCGTCAGGCGCTTCACCAAGACCTGCCAGCAGTTTTACTTTCTCTCTCGATGGTCTCGGCGCCTTGTCCATCTTCGTCACCTTTTTCATGGTGATGATCTGGCTTTGAGGATATGAATTCGTTTATGAAATTTTGATTTTAGCGTGCATGTTGGAATGAGGAATCTTGAATGTTTGAAATGTAAATTAACCACAGTGGCACGATAAAACAGTCATTGAGATATTATGTACTTTATGATTATGATTGAATTAAGTGATTTGTTTTTACATAAATATTGCCATAATCTTTAGGCTGGGCTCTTAAGAGTCCAGTGATGCTGGAAAAAAGACAGAAAATTCATTTAAAAGGAGCACAGGTAATGGACAAATGAATAGTAACTGGCCCCCCTATTCGCCGAGGCCGAAAAGCTTTAGACAGGATGACCTTCACTTTTATTATTGCCATTTAATCATTTATTGCGTCATATCAATCACTGCTTCCCCAACAATCATGCTCCCCTGACCCCAAAAACGAAACACAGTGCCAAGCTCCGATCTAGTCCAGGAAATTTCCACGAGGGCAATAAGATTATCTGAATGTCGTAGACACTCAGGCACTCAGGCGACAAAGCTACTCAAAGTCGAGACGATCACTGCCCGATTCGGTTATACCACTGTCGACTCTAATTGGCCCAACTCTGATGGGGCCATTTTCTCCCTCATCCCTGGAGATCTATAGAAGTCAACCCAGAATGCGACACATTTTTTATGTACCAGGCCGTAGGTTGGCTTTGTTCGCATTGCCCCTTTTCTGCTTGCACAGGTCGAATCCGAGACCAAATTTGCGCTCTCTAGTCTCTTCTTTTCACACACATAAATGGGCCAGTAATCCCACTCCAATCCACCTGATGGATATTTCTTTTACACCACCCGGCCTTCACTTTATCCATTGAGCATCTTATCAAAGCATGGATCCTGCAACTGTGCATGGCCTACCGCGGAAGGCTACCGGCATCAAATGGGCACTACTCCTTGTCGCTGCCCTCTCGTCCATATTCCTCTTTGCCCTCGACAACACCATTGTTGCTGATGTACAGCCTAAGATCATTAACGATCTAGGAGAAATCGAAAAATTGACATGGATCTCCGTGAGATTTGCTTTGAGCGCCGTGGAAGTCCAATTGCTTTGGTAGGTTTCTTCCAAGTTTCGGTTCCACTCATACATGCTAATGCCTGACTAGGGGTAAGATATACACCCAAATGAACATCAAGCTGTTCTTTTTAGTTGGCGTCCTTCTCTTTGAGGTTGGATCTGCGGTTTGTGGTGCCACTCCGACCATGGATACACTTATTGTCGGTCGCGCATTGTGCGGCGTTGGCGGCGTGGGTATCTACATCGGTGCTATGAACATCATCTCACTTAGCACCACTGAAGCTGAGCGACCAGGTTATCTCGGACTCGTTGGTCTAACCTAAGGACTCGGTACTGTGTAAGCGCTCAGACATTCCAATGATACCAATAATTCATGAAATGCATTTCTGACAACTCTTAGCCTTGGACCCATTATCGGTGGTGCGTTCGCAGGCTCTAGCGCAACCTGGCGATGGAGCTTCTATATAAACCTCTGCGTGGGCGGTGCAGCGGCCCCTATCTACCTGTGGTTGATTGAGCCATATCTAATATGCGGAGTTTCTCCTTCAGAGAAACTCCGCATATTAGATATACCTGGTGCTGTGTTGAACGCCGGTGCATCCGCTTCTGGAATTATGGCTTTTTGCTTTGGCGGATGAGTATACAGCTGGGAAAGCAGTCAGATTATCGGTCTCTTTGTCTGCTCTGGCTCTCTGTGGATGCTGTTCATCGTACAGCAGGTCTTCTTGAAGTCACCAGAGACACGCCTTTTTCCTCGCGAGTTTCTTCGATCTTACGAACAAGTGATATTTTTCTCGTTAATCGCCGCAGCAGTCACTTGTGCCTTTGTCCCAGTATATTTCATTCCATTATACTTCCAATTCGTCTTTGGAGTCTGCTATCTCAGCTGGTGTTTGGTTGCTGCCATTAGTCTGTATAATGGTATTTGCCATAATTTCTAACGGTATTCTTATGGGGATATTAGGCTACTACCTGCCATGGTATCTATTTGGAGGTATCTTGGTGGTCATTGGGGCTGCGCTAATGCAGACTGTTGATCTGGAAACGAGCACCTCCCGAATCTACGGTTATAGCGTTATTTTCGCTCTGGGTACTGGTCTTTTTTCCCAGGCTTCCTTCCCTGTCTCACAGGCCAAGGTATCCGTATCACAGGTCACCCAGCCTACGTCTTTTATCAGCTGCGGTCAAATCACAGGCATTGCACTCAGTCTATCCATTCCAAACAGTATATTTCTCAATCAAGCAACCTCGAAGATCTCTCACACAATGTCTGACGACTCACAAGCTGAGATTCAGCAAGCCATCAGTGGGGCCGGTGGTCCGTTTTTAGCACTATCACCACATCACAGCAGACCGCGGTCCAGGAGGCATTGGTCAGTACTATCGGCGATCTATATTCTATGCTAGTGGCAGCAGTTCTCTGACCATTGTGCTATCTTTATTCATGGACCGCGAGAAGCTCTTTGTGCAAGGACCCAAGAAAGACGCAGAGATGGCCCCGGATATACCTGTCCAGGAAGTTGGGTGCCCTGCTAGTCCTGAAATGACCGAAGAATAAATTCAACTATCTATATAGGTTGTTTGAGATCCTCTCTTCTTAGTTGGAAGAAAGATACATACCACGATTTGCTCTTTGCGTGAAGAACGGAAGCTTTGTCTTGTGAAACTAGCCCTACAAATTTGATGTGAACTAAACCTTTGAAATCGCCTGCGGTCTTTCTAACCTGATAGATAGTAGGTCGTCTGCTAACTGTCACAATTCTTTCACAAGAGTTTTTTGTTCGAATCCGTCTCTACGACTGATACAAGAATGGGTTGCTAATATACCGGGGCAATGGCCACGTTGTCAGTTTAATGAAGAAGATAGAAAGACAAGAAGAATTTTTCGAAGAGGAAGAACTTTACTTGTCGTGCCAATGGTGAAGGGTGATTTCAACGAAGTTTTAAAACAGCAAGTCTGTATTAGGTAGTGCGCTGTACGTATGTCTGCTTCAAAATTCTCGGCTATGGGTATCTCTGCAATCATCTTTGAGGTAAAGGATTAAATCTCATCGTGTCATCTGTCTCTTGTCCTATGAACAGCTATCTGAAGATTATTTTGCACATATTAGATATTATCCTCAAGTTTCTACATTATAATTTCATATTATTTGTAAGTTTATCCCTGGTTTCCCTGTTTTCTCTCATATGGCTCAACACATAACATACGAATAGCAGTAATAAGGTAGTAAGAACATTTGAATACCTACCATTAGATACCAGGCTTCAACTTGTAGACGACATGCACAAATTATGTAGTTAACCATCCATCCGGGTGAGGTGATGACTAGCCCTATGAGATAGGGCGTAGGAAAAGTATAATCAGAAATGTAGAGCTTTGACAGGCGGTCTTTGAAGATGATTATATCCAATTACCTAGCGGACCCAAAAGACTTGACAGGCAATCAAAACCACCTCCCAAAAAGAAGCCATTGATCTACATTCATTCAATCGCATACTAGACCAGACCAGCCAAGCGGCCGGGGGTTTTCTTACAACTAAGATAGCCCCGGAGATGGGAAAATTCCTAAAGGCGCAATTTCCAACGACGGCTAGAAAAAATGTGAAATGGAAAGACTGAAATAGAAAGTTACATTGCATTATAGCTATCTAAGAACAGTGATATCTGAATGTTGAAGGACGCCATAAAGATCCCTATAATTCGTTGTGGTATTAATCATAAATTGTAGTGAACATTGGTATTTACAAAGCAAGCCCATTTATTTCTCGCCCCTCGCGCCCAAAATTCTTAGACTTTACTCTCTGTCCATTGTCGACACCATTTCTCAATCGACTCAGCCTCAATAGGCTTCATTGTAGCAAAGGTTGGGCTGGCAGCCTTGGTCTTTTCAATAGCAAATCGAGCAAAACCCTCATCGATAATAGTTCTGAACCAAGGGAGGACGCGGTTCTTCTCATCCTCAGCTTCCTTGGATAATTTGTTCGGAAGAAGATTTAACATATACTCCACCCATTCTGAGTATTGCACCACTCGTGGCGAGGAAATGTACATCTGTAGTACATCCGAGAACTTCGATGTCGGGCTTGGTTGGGGATGAACAATATTGTATAGCTGCACGTTGGGCGTGCCTGTTTGGTAGTCGTCGTGGGCCTCGCGAAGCGAAATTTCTTGGATGACGTCCGCTACTTGGTCTACCGGTATCCAGTTGAATGGACCTGGATGCGTGGGAACAAGCCCACTAGCCTTTGAAAGAATGGATAGCGAGTGCAGCCAGTCGTGACTCTCCCATTTTCCACCTTCTGGGAGCTCAGTGGGGCCTGTGAGTTGACCAATTCGTAGTATTGAGATAGGGACTTGAAGCTTGGCACCTGCAGTAGCGAGGTATCTTTCCGCGACTTGTTTTGATTGTCCATAGCCTGTTGCCATTGAAACTCCAGAGCAGTTGATAACTTCCTCGGGGACAGGGACAATCGGCGAGATGGCCTTGCCCCACCTATGGACACTAGTGATGCTTGAGATGAAGACTACGCGCGGACGAGAGTCTGCGCAATTTGCAATTTCAATGGTCGATGCCACACTTCTCAGGATTTGGGGCGCAAACGTTGCTAATGATAAGCCGTAATGTACTGACCATGCACTGTGGATTAGAACGTCGGCGTGTTGATAGATGTCTTCTAGATCTCTGTCGGGTATGCCGAGATTCGGCTTGGAAAGATCAATAGAGACGAATTGTAGCCGCGGATCCCTGGAGTCAATATCCATTTTCATTTCATCCACACAAGCCTCGAAAAGCTTTTGACCGTTTGATCCGCGATCCAGGCATTTGATCTCTGTCACTCGGTCATCGTTCAGCAAGCTTTGCACCATGTAAGGGCCAAGGCGTCCCCGGCATCCTATCACCACCACCTTGAGATCTTCCGTTTTGAGTGGCTTGGGTGGGTCGGTCCATCTAGGCTCCGGAAGCTGAGATATCATTTCTTCCACGTAACCGTCCACTCCATGGGGAATTTGAGATTCCCCTGTCCCGCTCTTTTCAAAAACCGCATCAAGTGTCGCGGTCGCTAGGTCCTCTATGGTGGGATTGTCAAAAATGGTTCGCATCCAGAAGTCGATGGTATTCTTTTCCTTATCCATGCGACGGGAAAGGCCAAGCTTTAGCTTTTGTCCAAGCTCTAGTACTGCCAGAGAATCCATCGAACTAGCAATGAAGAAATCGTCTGTTTCTCTGAGTCTCACATCGGGCCGAATATCATGAACAACAGATCCGATAAATCTCTTCGCTTCGTCGGTCCAGTAGTTTTCCAGTATTCCGAGTTCACTCTGTTCATCAGTCGTGCCGTCTACGAAAGCGGAGGTGATATATTCAGCGTACAGCGATTCCGTCGGTTTCCGTGATATTGTACCCTTAGGCGATCGGAAAAATCCTAGATTCGGTTGGCTAAAAGCAATTCGCGACCGTCTAACTTTGCCATGAGCAGGCGCAATACTGTTGGCCTTTGCAATGTGTGGCCAGATGGCGTCAAGGAACTCTTTCTTGCTCATGCGGTCCACTTCGGGGGCAGCCCTTGGTTCAACGAGAAGCATTACCTCTGGACGATCATTTCCAACAATGAGGGCTCCAGCAACTAATGGATTACTGGAAATAATATTTTCCATGGGGATAGGCCAAACCTTCTGATCATTCGCAAGTACGATAATATCGTCTGTGCGAGAGTGGAAGCTCCAAAGACCAGGTTTCGTTGGATGAGGGACAAAAAGATCTCTGGATCGCCATGTCTTCACGTCGGGAAATGTATGTGAGAGTGTTCGCCGTCCACGAAATTTTTCATCGTTGTGCAAAACCATTTCGTAGATGCCTTCGTCCACCTCCTGCATGTCACATTCCTCTGCGGGGTTGGGTTCTAAGTACTGCCACTCACCTCGATAAGGAAGCAGCATTTGAATTTGACTCATTTCAAGGGAGCCGTAGACTTGACAAACGTCTGTCACTTTATTTAGTCTGTCGCCGACAGCCTTGGGCATGATGCCTCCACCGTATATCACAAAATCGAGAGATTCTGCCTTTCTCAAGGAGGACGGCTCGCCAAGCCATTGCTCAAGTACTGTTGGCGGCAACCAGAGTGCTCGAACATTTTGCTGTTCCATAATGGCATCTAATAGAGTACCACTAGGTGCTCCATATGGCGGGCCCATTACAACGGTGGAAGTTGGATAGAAAGACGGAATAAGAATAAACGCTTGAATACCAGCCAGCTATCATCTTGTCAGCTTTCCAATAGCAAGGTTTAAGGGAGAAATGATATATCAACGCGTATCAACTGGTCGGGAATAGCATAGACTCACATGGAAAGCTGGGAAACATGAATAGTAGCGACTCGAGGAATCAAACTTAAACATTGACGCGTTTTGCGCGCGTCTTCCATCTGGAACAGGGACGTTAGGGTCATTATCTGTGCATGATATGGCCGCATGTGTATAGTTGATGAGCTTAGGGGGTCCTGAGTAATTAAGAGTCAGCCTAACAGCCATGGATTTACCAACTTTTCACTGGCACAAAAGTTGACCACGAACCGGTAGACCCAGATGAATGTAAGAGCAGGCATTTTTCATCTTTGATATCTTGCCACGACGCCTCAAAGGGATACGACTTGGATTGCGACTTCAATATTTCCCAAAGTGTTGGTACCTGTTTGCAAGATATAGATGGATCGAATTTCTGGAAGCTTTTGGCGAGCGACCGTAAAGTATCTGAGAAGAGAAGTGCGGATACATCGGCCTGTTGCAGGAGGCCAAGATTCAATATGATTGGATTCCTCGAACTGAAGAAAAATGTCTTTAATTAAAATGATATGTTAGAGCAAATTCACGCGACCTTTGGTTTTTTTTATGCCAACATACTTTCCACCGGCATTTGATCGCCGCCAAAAACAAGATCGTATACCGCAGATCACTTGGGCCAATATACGCGAGAGTTCGTCGTTTGCTCGTGGCTTTCAAGTTTTTACTTAACCACCATGCCATGTGGTTCACTGCATTAGCCACAGCTTGCACCGTAACATCTTCGAATCCATTGTCGACGCCATCAGTCTTGAAGATGGAAGCAAACACCCGATCGGGCTCGTGGTGGGCATAATAATCAATAACGTGGGGCAACAATCGCTGACCCCTGTATTTCTCGGCGCCTTCGGCCCATGTATCTTCTTTGTTGTTGGTGATCGCCATGTTTGGTATTGGGTGGTTACGAGATCACGTTCACTTTCCAGGCGAAAGTAAATTATGCGTCTGCAGCTTCACTTCATGGTCCCTTGAAGGATGCACTTGCAAGGAAGTTTTGAAGAGAAATGGTCAGGAGCTGCGACTGGAGCCCACGAAGGTGGGGAGGCACTGTAACCTTTCGGAAAGACGCTAATGCGCGGGCGTGTCGCTTCTTATTGCCCCTCATTAAAGATCACCATCCCCAATAAATTTGGGTGCTGAAAATGCCACTGATGGGTCTTTTTTGCGATTGAAGATCTTCGCTTCTCATAATCTTAAATATATCAGAATACCTGGGTGGAGAATCTCCTTTGGGAATGTCCCTCGTGAGAAACCATGTTGTTGTGAAGCGGAAGGATTCTTCCCCACCAACTCATTCAAGTTCTGGCCCCCAGCACTAGCCAGACAGCCGAGGGCCGCCCCACGATGTTGCTTTCTGTCCAACACTGGTTGGCTCTTTTCTTGTTAACTGACTGTCCCGAGGTTTGTTTTTGCATGTTCAATCACGAAATCTGCCCCCTCCTTACCCCTTGCTTCAACCAACGTGGCCAGAAACCTTATGCAACTACCCTTCAACTACATAAGGCGCCAAGACTCATGGGCAGTACCATTGTTTTATTTCAATTGTACGGTCTATACACTAGGTGCAAAATACCAGGTGCACTACACAGAACAGAAAAAAAGTCCCAGCGGAGCAGATCTGGCAGCTGGAGTGGGGTTCCGGTGTGGAGAGAACCCATCCATGCCCCTAATTGTCACTATCACTGTCTCGGCTGCAGTATTCGGGCTATCACCGCGGATCTTTGCCGAAAGCAGCATAGTTCACAGCACTGTAATGAATACTGGTGGATATGTTGGCAAACTCTTTATCCATCTTCTTGCAAAAAGGGTAAGTTGTGTGTTTAGCATATGAACACGAACCATCCGGTTCTAGCTTCAAAATTACATACGTGCCCTACCTAGTTCCAAAGTTCAAATTCCGAAGTTGATTAAACATTTCTGTGAAGTACGTAATAGGGTATAGCTTCCAAGGTTTATAGGTATACAATGTGGGGCAACTATCAATATTCGTGTACTATTGAGAAGCTAAAATTCCGCTTTAAGTATATTGATCCTTTTGGGATTGACATAAAACAGCTTTTTTCAATTCAAAGTTTTCAATAGAATAGCCGCGTTGAACTCTACTTGTGGGCCCAATTCTCGCTTAAAATCAGATTAGCTACATTGCTAAAACCAGGATGTCAATGCTTCATACTTCTTGTCATTACTTCACTCCGTCTCAATGCTTCGGAATTGCCGTCAATCTTGTTGGAATTTCTTAGAAAGTCGTATTGTATTGGCAGTGCCCTATTTAACTTATAGCACTCACTTTGGTAATAACGATGTGTAGTTTTATCTGACACCCATAAGCTTTCTTTGGCAGGGATACAACTTGAGAAATATACGAATGTTTATTGCGTCCTACATGATATCAACCTTGTAAGAAGAGAAGGTGCTACAAAGTAAGCCTAAAAATAATTGCACTGTCATTAAACATTATCTGTGCTCACTTGACTGTCCATTGATCTGAAATTTAAAGCGATGATATAGAATAAAGAGCAACATAAGATGGATAGCATGCGGGAAGCAACAGCTTATCCCCTCTTGAACACCTAGCCATTGATACTTGCGCACCATCGATAATAATGTCTTTCTCTATACAGTCTCTATCCTACACTCAGCAAGGTCTTTCAAGCCTTACGATCGGAAAATCCGAAAAGACATGTTATGGTCTGCTACTGAGGGGCTACTTGATTCAAATGCTCGAGAATAGCAAATTTCAACAGTTTCCTGCAGACTACGACCAAGGAAATATCAGTACATATGATGGCAGGATCCTACTTGCTCCGCATACAATGAGAAGTGTGCAATAGCTTAACAAGGTTCATACTGCGCATGAAATTCTAAATTTTACACAAGAGTTACCTATTATAGCAACTACCAGCTGTGTTGAATGAATTACGATCAGAAAATTGTAGAGATATGCAGCCCTTTGAATACTTGTATGAATGCGAGAAAAGGAATATCATCATGTAAATTGTATGTATTGTATATTAAATAACAGGAGAATGCTATTAATTCGCTTGTTTCATTATCATTTGCAGAAGTAACAGAGCCATTTTCGATCTCGATGGTCCCCATATCACTTATCACCACCATCTCTTAAAAGTCGAATCATTTAAGGAAGGTTGGCGGGGGTGTAGCTCTGGTCGGGCTTGACAACCTTACCAGCAGCAAGCTGCTTGTCGGTGTAAGCAGGCCAGACAATCTGGCGGGTCTTGTTGTCAACAACAGACAGGGTGGTGAAACCGGCACCAGCACCGAATTGACCGCTCCAGCCAGAGGTGATGGTGAAGTCACCGCAGGTGGTGGGGCCGCCGTTGAGCTCGGAGGCATCAGCGCCCTTCACGACGTAGGTGCAAGACTGAGCAGTACCGGAGCCAGTGGCAATGCCGAAGGTCCAGGTGCAGGAGGTGTCGGCGGCGTTGCAGACACGCTTCATGTTGTCGATGGTCCAGGTGGAGGCAGTAGCCATCATGGAGACACCAGCCACGGGAGCAGCCAGGACGGCTGGGGCGGCGAAGATGGTGGCGAGAAGAAGCTGAGAGAACTGCATGTTTGCGACTTTGTGGATTGGAAGAAAGGAAGTGTGGTTTGAAGTTTGAAGTTTGAAGTTGGGAGATGTAGATGATTGTTTGCTTTGTGGATGAGAGAATGAAGTTTTTACGGGGAGGATTTGGCTGCTATTTAAGTGTTTTCTTCTCTATAGAGCCCCGGTCGTGAACTTTAGTAGCAACGAGCAAAGCCCGAGCAGATCATGGTAAACTTTGGAGATCCTCACTGTTGTCTCGGGGAAGTCTCTGAAAATAGATTCCGGGATCTCACCACCCGAGATAGGTACTATGTTGGGCTTGAAGAACTAACTGTACATGTGGAGTACTTGGATAATTCTCCGCCACTTCACGCTATATTGTGTCAAAGTTATGTATAGGTGAGACATTCGAGTAAAATCTCTCACCAAATACACATAAACTTCCATTGAGACTTGATTCTTATTTCCTTCGGCCCATGTAGCTTGGATAAGCAATGCATGTTGTAAGACATCTTCGACACCCACCCAATTAACAACTCTTTCCCTGCAGGACCACCCGCGTGAACGAGCCAAAGATGTCGCTTATACCCTTTTTTGTGGCCATAGCTTATCACCGGTTCAGGTCTAGCGTCCGGTTCGATCGCCCCACACCGATCAAGTTTCCAAGAAATGGAAAATACTGGTAAACCTGGCGGTGTTGGCTCTGCCCCATTCTATTTTTGGAATATTCACAAGGTCCCCATGAAGAAACCCGAGCATAACTACCCTGCATTCCAAGAAAGGCCAATAACCAAGGGAACTTGTTCAGAGGCCGGAGACACCGTGAGTAAGACATCGCTAACCACAGCCCGCGCTAGTGATGACTAGTCTTTCCCTCCCAAAAGCAAGAATCCATCGACCAAGTAGGTTAGACGTGATTAAGAATCGGGCCCAGTGGCGCCCATTTAGGCTTTTGATCTGCATATCCTCTGTGCGATGTAACTGTGTCTTAGATTTTACCCCAGAATTGGGCGTGCCACGGCATTCGACGTCCGTCGGTACGAGCCACGCTCGATTCCACACTTGGCTTACATCATATGGCATCGGCTACCCTCACCAGCCTAAGTCATCGATACGAGATGCACATGATCTCAAGAGTAAATCAGTGGCTAACTGGTTTTCTTCAAGACCCCGAGATCATCAGGCAATCATGGGTCAGGCGTCCCCGCATGCTAGCGGATGCGGGCGAGATGACTTTGGATCCATAGGAACTTTGCGAATCTAAAATTACTCCATCATTCACCACACCTGATCATTATTCACGGTCTCTTTCAAGATTTGCTTGACGGTAGAAATATTTGGCGAGGTCTTCAGATCGATAATCTGTCGAACTACGAATTCATAAGGATTTAGGTGCTACGATTCCATGATTATGGATATTGCTAGGTCGATCAGAATTTACTGTGGTCGCCAAGATACATTTCGGGTATGATCACCGAAAACAAGATAAGTAGCGGGGCAATTAACGAATGTCTGACCACATCAGGGCAGTGAAAGTGGTAGCCCTGGGCAAAGCGGGCCATATTCTGGAAAGGATTTTACTGGTCAAAGATTCACATACCCGCTTAGGCTATTTGCTGTTTGTTGTCTACCTTGAAGCTACTCGGATCACTTGACATGCCTCTATTCAATAGAGAAGAACTCAAAATCCAGCTGTCTGCACGTTCGAGGGGGTATGAAATCACCCAATAGCTTGAGACGGTACATAAAGCAATCATACATATATTTAAACTTAGCCTCGCCGAGCTATAGAGGGGAAATGCTATATTACTAGCTCTGCTTCATTTTCTCAGTATTGAATCCTCCATAAAATACTAGTACTAGTAGCCCCTCAGGTCATTCAGTGTACGAGGACTTGGAATTCAAATATTTGAGCCACGTCACGGCCACACTTCGAAATTGAAAAGTATGTCTCTTTCTGGGAGTCCTTCACCGACATATTCAAGTTCTTCATAATTTAGTTTGCAGAGGGACTTCAATAGTACCTGGTCTTTCGATTTGACTGCAGAAACAACCTTGGAAAGCAGTTCAAAACTTTGACAGTAGAACAAACCTTATCACCTGCCAATCTACCACTTTAATAGAAATAGCGCGTTTGATATCTCGTACAATTGGCTCCAATCTCTTATGCTGGGCAGACTGATGGAACCGGGAGTTATGACGATAGTGGAAGTGCAGCGGAGAGAGTTAGTGGGGGTTTGATGACAGCTGGGGTTACTGTATCGTTGGCGCTGTTTATTTCCCTTTGAGAGCATTTCAGTTCAGTCTAGCTTTGACAGTTTTTAGTATACGTATATCAATCATACCCTTTTCAATGTATCGAATACGGCCTTTTACTTGAAACCACCCATTGAGAGTTCCTCTGAAATTCATACATTTACGAAAGAATAATCGCTTTATTACGAACTTGAAGTTGACGTGTGTCTTTGCTCAAACCCTATGGAATTCAATGTCGAAAATGGTCACATTGGGGACGCCAGTCTGTCAATTATCCGTTTCATTTTCTCCTTTCCACAGCTAGAGAGTAGAACAAGGTCTGTCGGACTTCGACCTTCCCCATCTAGAACGTTCACTGTCGCTCCGGCAGTCAATAGCGCTGCCACAGCAGCTGCGTTCCCATGGGAAGCAGCGATATGCAGCGGCGTCTTATGATTGTCATCCTGATAATCCAATTGCGACTGCTGCGAAAATGCTTTTAGCAGAACTTCAAGGCATGTTCGAAACGGTGAATCCTCTCTGCCTTTATGTGCGTTCAAAAATACGTGGAGTGCGCTTCCGGATTCTCTCACCATAAATTCTGCAGCGGGACCATGGCGAAAAAGTGCAGATTCGACGTCCTTAGGACCAGAAATTAAATACTTCAGTCTATTTATGACAAGGGTACAGTCCCTGGTAAGTATCCTCGCAAGAGTGGTCTGTTGGTGCTCGGGATTTCCTCCCCTCGGTCCCGTCCTCTTGTTTATGTCTGCGCCGCGGTTTAACAATGCATTCGCTATGTGCAGGTTACCTTCAATAACGGCACATGTAAACGGTGTAATGCCGTAGAAGTCCGCGGCATCAATGTCAAGGTCATATTCTAAGAGGCGGGTTGTGAAGAAAAGATCGGGATCACCTTGTTGGGCCACGAGGTGTAAACTTGTTGTTTCCATGTCTATATTTGTTTGTTTGATCGACCACGTTGAACACTTCAGCTTCGGATCGGCTCCTGCATCTAGTAGGGAGATGAAGATAGACTTTCGGTGAGTGTGGATGGATTGGTGGAGGACTGTCATGCTGTATTCCCCTTGGCGTCTGTTGATGTCGAGGATTTGCATACACTGCTTGGACGAGAGGAAGTATTGTACCCAAGCAAGCCTCTCATAGAATACTGCAACGAATAAAGCATCTAGCTCGTATACATGGCCACCAGTAGTATCGACTTCCGCACATGTGACGTCGAATCCGCGGGCGATTAAGAGATCCAATGTATCGTTCACTGCTCTTGGGTAATCTTTACCGTGAATTATGATCATCTCGAAGGTTGAGCCCAGGGACAAAGCTCTGCTATACACGGTATGTCCAGTCACACTCTGTTTGTTCAAATTGAACCAGCAATTATCTAATATAAGTCGGATCATGGGCGTATTGTGGTGAAGCATGGCTAGATCGAGAGGAGATACTTGGCCATCCTCACTGATGCTTGTCGGGTTTGCGCCTTTCTGAATCAAAATCCTTGCTGCCGGGAGATTTCGTCTCGCAACAGCGCGATGAAGAGGAGTTCCGCTTGTCCAGAATAACGAGGGAAATTTGTCAGCCCGTGATGCCCAAGCCCCAGCCTGAGCCTCGAGATCTCCTCCCGCGTATAGCAAACTGTCAATAACTATGCTCAGTTTATTAACAGTCTGTCCATTGAAATGAAAATCCTCGTCTGGGATATTAAGAACCCAATGTAGAGGTGTCTCGTCGTTGATGTTTGATATATTAGCACGTGCTCCCTTTGCCACCAATTTGAAGGCCATTGGGAATTTCCCATTCCGGCAAGCAGCGAGCAGGGGCGTATCTCCGTTGTCGTTGCGTGCGTTGATATCAACAGGGAATTCTGAAATGAGAATTTCTGCTACTTCCGGAAGTCCAAGCATTGCACAGGCATGGAGAAGAGTGTTTCCACTTTTCAAGCCATACATATTCCACAATATGGGAGATTCGCCTCCTAGTGATATCATGTTTTGATAGAGGCTAGGGATATCTTGGATGTCAAAAGCTTTCTCGCTGAGATGAAGACCTGTACCGTTTCCGTAGAATGTTCTGCTGCTGAGGAAGAGACTCTCCGGTTCGCTCCGAGTTTGGAATTCTAGGTTTGGCCAATACTTTGCATAGTCCAAGGCCGCAGTAACGGATCCATTGACGACTCCGTTGGCGAGGTACTCGTTTGCCTTCTGTTTTAATTCTGAAGGCCAATCTTTGTCAAAATAGTCGTACGTCCGAAGAATTACTGCTTGCATCGGAATGTATGAGCTATTGGCAAGCGATGTAATCCATTTCAGTGCTTCGGTTGGATCATCGTCCAAGTCCAAGCCCCCGTCGCCTATAGCGACATCAATGACTCCGAGAGCAAGTGGAATCTGGTCTTGATTGGCAAACTTATACTCAGACGAATTGCTCATTTGCATGGCGCTACTCCTGATATGTTTCATCATTCGCAAGCGAACAGGGAGACATATGTTTCTTATGTTGAAAAGGTCTCCAGCGGAGGCCAGGGCGTTGCTGGATAACTGCGGTAAGGCTTTTGAAATGGGGCGCCACTCGCTACTCAACCCTCGAATTGCAGCACGAAGCTTCCGCTTTAGAGGATTTTTCTGAATCGTGTACGCGAGAAGAGTCCATATCTCCTCAATAAAAGGGCCGTATTCAGGACGCAAAACTATGGAAGCCTGTGCATAGTGAAGCAGCGGCGGGTTGGCAACCTTTGCCTGCTCGACACCTCTGATGTCTTTTAGCAAGACATTCTCGAATGGATTTTTCCCTTCCAGAAGGACTCTCCAGAAAAGAAGACCTAACGAATAGACATCGGTCAATTTGAGAAAATAATGCGGGTAGGGAAGTTCTCTTCTGAACTCAGGTGCTATCCACGGAATTGTTCCCCCAAGCAGACAAGCTTTGTCGTCTTTGATATCGGCTAAAAATACTGCAAAACCAAAGTCGCAGATCTTCGCTTGGTATACACCCTCGTGCTCGAAAATTAGCACGTTCTCAGATTTAATATCTCCATGGACAACCCCCGAATCATGCAACGCGACAAGGCCATGGGCAATATCAAGGAATATGTTTCTCTTCTCATGATAGGACAAGCTGTTCGCGCTTTGAAAGCTAGCCAGGTCGCCCAGGTCCGATCGCTCAAGGCACAACTGAGGCGAAAGACTAGGCTCCTCTCCAGGCCAAAACATCCACTCAAACGAAATGAGCGAGATGATATTCAGGTGTTTGCGAATCGGCTCATGTGTCAAGACACGAACCTCGCGCAGAAAATCCATCGCCGTATCGTGTCCCTCCAGGCCCCAGGATCGCACGTGTTTTCGGACAACATGAGCTCCATTCCGGGACACATTATTGACCATAATAGTATTAGTCGCGTTGATGATCGACGCCGAGTAGCCTTGGCCAACAAATCCGCCGCTATCGGCCTGTGTATCCAGTCGGAATATAGCATCAGTATTGTTTGTAATTTCTCGACAATTTCGACCAATCCATAAACCCATGACTGCCAGCTGAGCTACAGCTATGTCTGAGGAGGGTAAAACTTCATTATTAACCGTCTGAGCTGAGCTCTCGCGAATCCATGAGGCTGACAAGCGGCGCGAGCTTGAATCGGGATCGAATGAAGATTTGGAGAAGTCCATTTCGATGATATCAGGTGAGAGGTAGTTGATGATACGAAGTTGCACCACCACAAATTCCAAGTTTTGATGGGAATGCCATCTTAGCCTTGGCAAACGCCAGAAATATAATCATGGAAGCTGAAGGTTTGTCCAGAGAGAGAAATAAAAAGCGAGCCGCTAATCGCAAGGCAGGGTCGCCAAGCGGGAGTGGCGCACAGTGAGATTGGATGCACGGGGCACCTAGCGGCTTACATTGATCGAGTCGGACTTCAACTTCTTTCGTGACAGCAACCTAGAAAATCAACTTGCAGGAAATCACAAAATGGAAGTGGCAGGTCTTGTTCTAAGTGTAGTCGCCTTGTTTAGCTCTTGCCTGAAGGGATACCAGCTCGTCTCTGATGTGAAGAGTGGTGAGCATGATTCAGCAATTCTGCTCTGTCGACTGCAGATTGAGGAAAAGAGGCTTATGATCTGGGGAAAGACAGTCGGGCTTGCTGAAGAAACATGTCGCATTCCTATTCAAGATATCGATATGATTGTTACTGTTTTGGCGGAGATCAACAGTATCACACAGGACGCAGCAGTGATGAAGAAGAGATACGGTGCAAGTCCAGAGCCATCAAATAGCATCGTCGCCAACAATATATCTGTTGAGTATATCCAAAGCTCTCCAGTCTACTTGGATATTCGCCGTCGAATCGACGAAAAAACTTCGATCGCCAGGGCAGTCACTTAAAAATGGGCTGCGTTGGGTGTTCGATCGGAAGAACTTTGAGAAGTTAGTTGTCGACTTGCGTGAATTGAACAACGGTTTATATGCGCTGCTAGAGGGAGCACAAAGACTGTCTTCTTTGAGTAGATTCAATGAGATATGCTTATTATCCTCGGCCAGTGATGATGTAAACAGGCTTGCTGTCATCAGAGACGCCTCGAGTACATCATACGAGGGCCTATCTCGCACTGTCGACCAGCGCATGCACTTCTTCAAGTTGGAACAGTCATCAATTGAAGTTCCCCAGCTAGGCACTTTGATACCCGTCGATCAACTGGATTGGGTGCGATCTGAATCTCTGAGAGGTATTGCTCACTTTGAGGACGAAATGGTCCTCGTGGAATGGAGAGGATATGCCGATGAAAACTACGATGGCCAACTAGTGCTCACAGTTCTGGAGCAGAGAATAGCTGAACTGTCAGTTCTGCTCGGTCGGAAGCCAAAGCCCGAGGGGTTTCAGGTGATGAACTGCATAGGCTACTGCCACGACGAGCCTAAACAACGATTTGGATTAGTCTATAATCTTCCAGTTTTGGAGGCCGACGAACCACCGGAGATTGTATCCCTTTATGACTTGATCCATTCTCAGGCTGACGCTGACAAGGTTTTTCCAAGCCTGAATGATCGATTTCTACTCTCGCGAATCCTAGCCAACAGTCTACTGCAGCTCCATACCACATGTTGGCTTCATCGAAACTTGCGCAGTTCCCACATTCTGTTTGTGAAATCTGGAAAGAGCATGGACTGGCTTCAATATCCATATCTCTCTGGCTTTGGATATTCGCGATTAAACAATCCCAAGGTAGTCTCGCTGCCGGTTCGGCCCGAGGATGAGGAAATGGCATACCAGCACCCTGATCTGACCGATGACCCACGAGTTGGATACCGACGAGATTACGATGCCTATAGCCTGGGTATCATTTTAACTGAAATTGGATTCTGGCGTCCTATCTTCAAGTTTCGAAAGCTGGATTACAGTGCGAACAGGAACCATCGTCGCTTGTTGGAGTACCAGCTCACGGGCCATCTTGCGCATCGAATGGGTCAGCATTTCGAGCAGGCCGCCAAGCTACTGTTGACAGGCAAGGCGTATGGAGACTCGAAAGTGGAAGGCGAACAACTTATCGCATTTTCGCGAAATATTGTCTCACAGCTTGACATTCAGAATCTGCACTAACATATTGGTAACAAAATATGAAACGAAGCATGGGATTTACTCCTCTCGAGTAAGAAAGTAGAGGCGGAACTCGCCAGAAATCATGAAGCGCATCATTCACGATGCATTTCTGTAGAAGTAAATTACAAAGAAAGCTCTCGTATACCAATATCCGCGTCGGAGGCATTGATCAATTGATCTAGATGTTCAGAAGCGACAGGTGCGCGTTATCTGATTGGCGGAGATGGAGACAGAGAAGTGGAGTGGCAGAAAAGGCTTTCTTAAGCGGTGTAGCCGTATCTAGGCATCCAGGCACTCTCTCCCCAGCGCACGGTTCGTAACGGAGATAGATGATGTACATCGATCTTACACTTTCCTATTTCAAAAGACTACGACATTTCAAGGAAACCTAGCGATTGATAACGGAAATAATTGAATTCCGGTGTTCTTCCGACCAGTGGGGGTTTCCATAGAAGAAGCTGTTTCCAATACTCGATTGAGCGTTGAAGGGAAAGCGATTCAGGACAGTGGCAGCATCGCAAAACGGGAAAGACTTTCCGCCATGTTCAGATGGGCGACACACAGACAGAAAGCGACTCCGGCTCATCGAGGTATACAGAAATCAGACTGTTGTACTTAAATAGCATGAATGGAATCTACAACTGATTTCAACTTTTAAAATCTACCTTTTATTCAATCCAAAATCCTTCTAAACCTTCACACCTTCAATACAACACAATGGCTGAACTCGGCGGTATCATGGTGGCTTTGATCACCCCCTGGACAGACGACCAGACTAAGATCGACGAAGGCCGTCTCCAAGCACACATTGAGCATCTCATCAAAGCCGGTGTCCACGGTCTCGTCCCAGGCGGCAGCACCGGAGAATTCACAACAATGACAACCACAGAGCGCAAGCAACTCACCGAGCTCTGTGTTAAATTCGCTGCCGGACGCATCCCCGTCGTTGCAGGTACAGGTAGTACCTCGACCGCAGAGGCCGTGGAGCTCTCCGTGCACGCTAAGCAGGCCGGCGCCGCATCCGTTATGGTTGTTCCTCCCTTCTACGATGCTCTCAGCCTTGAAGAGCTGCACGAGCACCTCTCTACAATCCATGAAGCCTCCAAACTACCCATTATGTACTATAACATCCCCGCTGCGTCAGGCTTAAAGCTTAGCCCCGAAGAGCTGGCCGGTCTGTCTAAGTCTGGCGTGAAGTATATGAAGGATACGTCTGGCGATGCTCCCGCTCTGACAGAGATGTTGGTTGCCCACAGTGATAAGATTACTTCGTTCAATGGATGGGATACACTTACCTTTTTCGGATTGGCTGCTGGCGCACCGGGTGGAGTGTGGGGTGCTGCGAACATCATCCCTGAGTTGGCTGTTCAGCTTTATGATGCTGTTTCTGTTAAGGGTGATTTGAAGCTGGGAAGAGAGCTTTGGGCTAAGGCTTGGTCTATTTGCAAGTTTTTAGAGTCTCATAACTATGCTGCGGCTGTGAAGACTGGTGTTGAGTTGACGGGTCAATCTACTGGTGGTTTGCGAAAGCCGTTTTCTTTGATGAAGCCTGAGTTGCAGGCTGAGTTCAAGCAGCTTATTGCCAATGCTGGCGTGAAGACTGTTTAAATATTTAGTTTTTGGATTCTGTGAATTATAGGGTTGATGAACAAAGATAGAATGATACCATGAAAATTGCATAACAAGATGATTTCTTGAACTTACCTTTCACTACTAGTATCTAGACAAAACTTTCCCCTCGCCTCCTTCGTATATAAAAATTTCTTAAAATATACAGGGTTCTTATTGGAGTTATTAAACCCCTTCAAAATCCTTGATGGCGTAGAATAGTTGAACTTTCCAGGAATTTAGCGAAGGCTCCAGTTGCCAGACAACATTCACGTATGCAGCGACTTGACGAAAGCTGCTAGTGGTGATATCCTCATTCTTTCTGGTTGGTCATGCAAAAATAGTATACATAAAATGTAATAAGGAAACTCGTTGCACGTTAATGAATCAACAAAATAAAGGCCATATGCGCTCCTCTTTCGCAACTTCAATCCAGGATAAAATTGGATCAGCTTTGTTCGTGACTAAATGCTCATCTTGCTTATACCACACTTTCATCAAGAGGTCTCTTGCAATCGCAAAATTTGTGAACCCACACTTAGAGCTCGCATTATTCAACCACTGCATGATAGCTTCTCGCCTCGGCGAGGTAAGAGCTTCCGATCCAGCAATAAATACAGGCCAAGCGGTTCCAGGGCCCATTTGATCATCATCTGAGAGTGAGCTACCACACTCAAGCGCGTTAATCACATTATCAACATGGCCCTGGAGCACGGCAGGGTGGACCTCACGGATGCGACGATAGAAGAATACCATGAGGGCCTCGTTCAATGCCTCTAGCATACATGCCTGAGGTCTTGAGGTAGGTAAAGGCTCTGCGGCACGGCCCCTTGCGCCTCGAAGGTGCAGAGAGCAAATCATGTTCTCTAAGCGCATGCTTCGGCGTTGAAGCTTTTCCCAGGCATCCATGCTCACGATTCTTCCTGAGCTTCTTGCGACGCGGAAGGCTTCCAAAACATTTGCCAATCTAGTGGTTTGTGATAGTAGACTGAGCCATGTCTCTGGGATTCCATAAATTTGTTTATAGAGGTGTTCGGAGAAACTGCGTGAGTCGTGGAGATGAATGTCATTGTATCCAGTTGCGGTGTCTTTGGGCTCGTCAATATTTAGATCGTTATCGGAACTCTGGTTTTCCAGGCGGAGAAAATCGTCAAGCCGAGGATTAGCCTCGTTTGCTGTCGTTGTGTTTGAAGTTGTTGTTGTTGTTATTGTATTGGCTATTGGAGCTCGACCTGAGGACCCGAGGTTCTCAAGACACGAATAAGAAAGTCCATAATCGTGTAAAACGAATGTGCTTTCGCCAAGAATACGTAGCCAAGTATAGACGTGATGTAAAAGTCGAGCTTTCTTGGAAATTCGACTTTTAGAAAGACCTCGTAGGCGCAGCAGACGCTCTGCGTCAATAAGATAGTAGCGTGCATGTTCTTGCTGCCCTGATAAAATCTGGAAGAATAAGTCAGATTTGTCATCTTCATTAACAAACAACAACGTAACTCACAGCATATTGTGTTAAAATATTTGCAGCCATCAGCTGATCTTTGTATTTGGCCTTTTTAGGCCCTTGAGTTTCATGCTGTAAGGAGATCTGCATATGATCCTTGGCATTTTGATACAACTGGTTCACAACACTAGGCCAATGGTCATTAGATTCCATCATTTCTTGATGAGGCTTCAACGCGAGATCAAGTGCAGAACAAGCAAGCAGTCCGTAAAGATTCGCAAGCCGCGCATGACTGACCCCATTCGTTCCAAGGAAGGTCGAGTCCCCAAAAGCGACCACTGCAGCTGGTAGGTTTAATATCTTCCATGGTGATTTCATCCCACCCGGAATTGCCATTATTTGGGGAATAACTACATCTTGAAAATGTTTCAAGAGAAACTGTGCATGCTGGAGAAGATCAATCCCGGCTGAATGTATCTCCATGGGTATCTGATCTTGATTCGAAGCTTGGATCGGATCATCGGTAATATTCGAAGCAAGTGGTAGCAGGCCTGCGTCTTCGTCGAGGTCAAATGATATGCCATTAGGCATGCTTAAAGTAGGATGGGTTATTGATCTCGACTGTCCAAGGTCAAAGCTCAGAAGATCAGACCAATGAAGAAAATCGTCCATCTGCGATAAGGAGTCAAAAATAGAAACAGGGCTGGTATCTTGCAGGACATCCGGAATGACGGCAGCAGTTGAATCAGCACTAGTGGCGGTATCACTTGGAATAGTATTATCTTCGTATGTTTCAGCTCTTTTCACCACCTCACCCGCTTCAACTTGTGGCTCTGCAGCTGATGTAAATTTCAATACTCCAAATGGACCGATAACCACATCATCTTTTGTCGCATTGTCGGCGTCTCGCGATCTCAAGTCAATTTCTGATAACGACGCATCAATTGAACCCGAGAGTAGATCTGCTTTAAGAGCAGTGCTCATAGAGAGGCGCGATTGTTCTTGAGAAATGATTAGCCACCGCTATCGATTGGCAATTCCAACCTTCTTTCCCCCTTGCATACCTGTGTAGAGATGCCGACGAGCTGCGCGAGGCCCATCTTCCGCCTCCTCACTGCCATCACCATGCATCCAATGAATGCGGTCGGAGAACCCTTCACATTTGATCCCGACATCCCGACAAGTTCGGCAAGCGGGCCGTGTCTGATCGCATTTGACGTGTCGGCGCCTGCAAGTGGTGCATCCACCCAGGATATGGGATCGGCGGACACGCGGTCGCGTCGCTCTAGCCATTTCCTTATGGCATTACTTGCAAATGGTAGTAGTTTATCGTTCAAATCGGTATGTTCATTCCTTTGGATTCAATTTAATTCAAGCAGGGAGGCAAATGGCATAGGAATCCGGAGAAATCAACCCGGAGTCTCTTTCCCTTTTCATTTCGCCACCACCCCTCCCTTATCTTATCGTTGATCTTCCCCATACCCCGCCTCGAAGATTCCTTTCCAATTTTCATGATCAACTTAATTTGATAATCTAAATCTACAGGGATGCACTTCGAGCAAGTCGATCCGCTTCAGCCTTCACGGTCAATGGGATCTCTTGTTCCAAGGTGTGGGCCTTTTGGGTCCAGCCCAGCAGCGTAGTAGCTCTCTGGGACTGCTGTCGAGCGTTGGTACCCCAAAAGACACTACCCTTGGCAGTCAACTCATCAGCCTCACTGGCACTGACGCTTTTCACGGAAGCGGAGTCAATCAAGCCAAGACCATGGGCTGCTTGAGCCACATATTCTGAGATTTTGCCAAATGACTGTTGAAATAATTAGTCGAAAGAAAACCAAATGCAAGTAGAACAGTTCGAATATAGCTTACCAGCACATCAGAATTACCAACAAGATAGAGGCCATCTTGGTTCCAAAGAGCGCCCTGGGCACTCTCAATTGCCTTCTCAGCCAGCTTGGCAAATACATTACTCAAGTCGGTAACGTGGATGTTGCTCCAGGTGCTTTCGCCTTTACCCACCTGCACCGTCTGTTTAGTTTGAATTGCCACCCTGGAAAGCTCTGGAACCTGGATACTGCGCTGGTTCACGGGGCCATTTCCCTTTCCATAGATGATGGGAGGGAAGACAAGTGCAGTCTTCACGCCGCTAACGTTGATAACGTGATTATCCACGACTCGTGTAGCTGCGTTTTGCTTAATGATCTCGCGAATCTCGTCGGCATCATTAAGATCATCATATGATTTACCAGGTCCTTCGCCAAATTTCTTGTTAACAATATCCGGGATGGATAAAATGCTTGCGCCAGAGACCTGGATCAAATGGCCTGTACCACTGTGTTAGCGCCGTCCTTTCCACCTAGACATTGCAACCACTCACCAGGCTTTGGGCGGCTACCGAGGCCCCGTACAATAGCCTCAATGCTAGGAATGTGCTTGTTAGAAGCGGCATCTTTTTTTAACAATTAGTATAGTTTTGTTAATGAAACTTCGTGTTCTAATAAGAGACCAACTTACTAACAACCACATCAGCCTCCTTGGCCTCATTCTCAATCAAAGATGTGGAGTCAAGATCCCCCAAGGCAACTCGAACCTCAGGATACTTTTGTGACACAGTAGCAGCCTTCTCAGCATCGCGCACCAAGACACTAATCACATATTCAGGATGTGTTGATGTCAACATGTGGAGAACCTCTCCACCAATATAGCCTGTGGCTCCTGTCCTACAGCGAAAATCAGCACGTGGATGAGCCTGGCTTGCATAAACACGGTTCTTACAGAAAAATGCGTGCCATTGTGATTTTCTGATGATATTATAAGCGCGAGGGGCGTTGAATCGTATTCAATTGCTTGCTTGCACGGGAATCTTTTAATACACAATGAATGCGGGGCGGTTTTGGAATAGGAAGGCGTTTCCGAATGTCGTGATAGGTCCCCGATATGCTCCGCGTTAGGAAGGTAAAGAGCAACTATATTTTTGGAAGGCAATTGGACTCTGCTTCCAAATGAGGAGGTATAGCTATAGGTATTGCGGGCTTTGGGGATCTTCCTTATCTGCTCTTGTGATCGTAGAAATATTTACAGTCAACTCAATCCGCTTTATTTAATACTTGTCTTCACTACACACTACACAGACACTTAATACGCATTACAATAACGATCAATATGTCGCACCGCGGTGAGACTCTGCACAAGGATGTGTGCTGCATCGCCGACTTGAAGGAGATGGGCGGCAAGAAGCTATCTCCAATGTACCGAGGTAAGTTTTGACAAGCTCAAGCTTCTTGTGCCTATATGCTAATTGAATAGATTATTACAATGGGGGTGCAATGGACTTAATCACGTATATAGAATTCCTCCATTATCTGGCAGGATCAATGAAGCTAACATTTTTGAAGTCTCCAAGAAAACGAAACGGCATTTGATCGCTACAAGATCCGACCTCGAATTCTAGTTAATGTCGACAACATCGACACAAGTACAGATTTCCTCGGCAGCAAGGTGTCCCTTCCTTTCAGTTTCGGTCCTGCTGCGTCTCATAAGCTCGCACATAAAGATGGAGAGCTTGCAACCTCTCGCGCGGCCGCAAAATACAATATGGGTATGGGATTATCATCCTATGCCACCTACGGATGTGAGGAGGTTGCTCAGCAGGGACTCGGAAATCCATATTTCATGCAGATGTGTGTGCTGAAGGACCGATCACTCACAATCCAACTATTGGATAGAGCCAAGAGTATGCATCGCTCATTGTATTCTGATGTTTTTTCAGACTTGTACTAATCAACCCCTATTATTAGAGGCGGGATACAAAGCCTTGTTTTTATCCGTCGATGTGCCAGTTTTAGGAAAGCGCATCAATGAATATCGAAACGAGTTCCGTATTCCAGAAGATATGGCTTACCCCAACATTCTCAGCAGTGGGGCCGATACATCCGACCGTACAGATTATGGTAAGCCCCCTTTAAAGCTGACAGGCATCCCGAATTGCAAGGCTGATTGTGATAGATGCGACTCTGGACTGGGAGACTGCGATCCCATGGCTCAGGGAACACACATCGCTTCCAATTTGGCTGAAAGGAGGTAAGTTAGCGCTTTGTCTTTGTTCCTGAAACCGAAATATTAATGAAACATTAGTATGTTCCCCTGAAGATGTGGAGCTGGCCATCAAGTACGGTGTCGACGGAATTGTGATTTCCAACCACGGAGGCCGACAACTAGACGGTGTCCCATCTACACTTGACGCTTTGAGAGTATGCGCCCCTGTCGCGAAGGGACGAATTCCCATAACACTCGATGGAGGAATTCGGCGTGGATCAGACATCTTCAAAGCCTTAGCGCTAGGGGCCAGCCACTGTTTCCTAGGCCGAATCCCTGTCTGGGGATTAGCCGTAAGTTGCATCAACTAAGCCAAATTGCTTGAAACAAAGTACCTGTATAATGTACTAACAACAGCAGTATAATGGCCAGGAAGGAGTGGAGCTAGCGATCAAGATCCTTCGCCAAGAACTAAGAATCACCATGGCGCTGGCGGGGTGAGTACATGTTCTGTTCTCCGCATCCATCCTGAACACCTATAACTAATCACCTTATTCATTTTCGTTGTGTAGATGCCGTACCATCAGCGATATTCAAAAAAGTTATCTCTCCATCCTGCAGCCCGATGGCATCCTCGCCAAGCTGTGATTTTCTTTCAAGTGACCCAAACATTGGATCAAGTGGGCTGCCAAGACCCTTGGCGCTCCGCCAGCCTTCTAGGGCTGGCACAAGTGCTGGCGTGTCGTCGACGCGCGTGTGCGCACATTCCCCAACGACGGCTATTCGGCATCGAAAAGAGAATGGTTGTGTGGCTGTAACATGCTCGTTTCGTCCTAGAATAATGCTGTGTAAATCGTTTATAGACGTGCGTACGAATATATTGAGGCTATTCCAAACACCTTTGTGGCGGTGTATCCCTCGCGGCAGGCATTTTCAGTAGGCAACACCATTCTGATTAGTCCGACGCTATACTTAGCAGCACTGTCCACAGGTGTCACGAAGCCGCTCGTCCTGCATGGCAAATGGTCATTGGTATGTTTCTTCAGCCCAGCAGGGAGAACCCTTCCCCACGGAACTGGTTGGCGCACTAGCCGAGTCAGTACTTAATTAAAGTCGATCCCCCCTAAAACACAAAAAAATAGTAGAGTTACCACTGTTTGACTTTTTCAATCTTTCTTTCTATTCCATCTATCTATCTTCCTATCCGACATTTCAATCACCGTCGCCATGTTCAACTTCAACTTCTTCAAGTCTTCTCCTGCCACTGAGGCTGAGGCCACCGAGAACCGCTGGAACCCTGACACCGTCGCTATGCAGCAGCCCACCAGCCCTGCTGCCCCTTCTACCAACCAGAACGTTGTCTCTGAGCAGCCCGTATGTTGAGTTCTAGTCCGAAATTTCGCGAAAAAGCGATCATAAATAATGCAATCGATACTAACATCTACTCTTCGCAGTCTACCCAGGAGGGAATGGAGCTCCGTGGTGGTGGCGGTGGCGGTCTGTGCTGTGGAATGTAAGTTCATCCTCATCGCGTGACATTTATCAATCGCAAATCTAACAATCTTTAGTTGCGCCGGTCTTGCCTGCTTCGAGTGCTGCGAGATTTGCTGTTAAGCAATTACCCGGAAACAAACAATCCAGAGGCTTGGAAAGGACATAGGGTCGATGGCTAAGCTTGGTTCAAACTAAGCCTATTGAATTCAAAACCTGTGGACCTATTCCCAGCATGTTAGACGATCTATGCGATATACCCGAACATATATGCAATGAATATTTCAATATCACAATAAGCTGTGCTTGCAATCGTATTCCTCATAAATTATAAACACATTTCCTTTCATAACCAAATAACCAATTTTTCTTTGTCGCATATTCAAATAAGTGGTCGCTGATGTATGGCTCCCCGCAATGCAGCATCCACATCCCGCACCCGAAATCCAGGGGCACGACCCAGAACCCTCATATTGGCCAGAAGAGCTATGAGAGATAAAATAAGTAAGAGTTCAATGGCTAGACTCACGCATCGGAATACTCACAGTCAAAAAAGCACTCCGCATCCAAAGTATACGTCGACCCACTCAAGTCATGCGATATACTCAACTCGCTCGGCGATGTGTCGCAAGAAGAACCATACCATTGAGATACGGATGCTGCAGGCGAATAGCCATAGAGGGTCGTTACCGTGATAGCAGGTACCTGGAGCCACAAAGATGAGCCATCTAGCACGATACCCAGTTGCGTCAAGTATCCCTGTACATCATGGCAGTCGAACCAGTCACCATCCAGATCAAGCGCATGCAACCGGTCCTCTTTACTCATTAATCTATCCACATCATCCAGCATCTGGATTCCAGGTTCCTTATCTCCACTCCAATCTTCATCCCAGTCCTGGATCCCACCTCGTCGCAGGATCCGTACTAGTCTTCGGAGAATTTTTCCCGGTCTCCGCGTGTTCTCTGGATAAATGGGCTCGCCATCGTCTTTCCAGCGTGGGAAATGTCTACCCGCGTCTCCGAGCGTATAAAATGGTAGTTTGTTGCCTTCTAATGGGCTACCTATTTCGGATTGGAGCACGCGTCGGAAAGCGCGGCGCACGCCGGGCATGTCATGAATGCATGGGAAAAGGCCGAATACACGGGTCAGTAGGGCTGGATCGGAATGTGGGCTATTGATCCAGCGGTACGTATGCTCTAAGCAGAAGCGATGGAGACGGCGCGATAGATTTGATTCTTGATTGCTGTAGGTATAGATTGTTGTTGTTGGGAAGAGACGGTTGAGAAGTGGTGAGGGTGATCTGGGGGTTAGGTATTGGTGTGCTTGATGCTGTTTATAGTCATTATTGCTGGTATTGGGCGCTGCATTTATCTCGTCTTGGCGTACCACCTGGTATCCAAACATATCGCGAAGGGTTTTTGCATCTTGAACTGGGCGTTGGCTTAATCTCCCTGCGGGTATTATTGTTTTGTGAATCTCTGCTAGGATCAACTGCTTTGTTCGCGCTAGATCTTGTGAAGGATTTAAAGAAAGTTCGTGAGTCTCATCATTGGTCGCATTCAGTATATCGGAAACATTTTGTAATGTCTGCTCAAGTACGTTGACGCGTGTCTCTAGTGTTTGAATAGTTGTTTCTTTTTTCTGCCTGTATGTACGCTGAGCGCGGCGAATTTGCATGCGTCGTTCCTAATAATTGAATCAACACATGCTCCTCAAAGCTCTGTTCCTGGCTTGATTAAGTGTAGAGTGGATATTACCTCGATCGCAGCAGCATCTTTTGGTGTCTCTAATCTCGGTCGGCCTCGTTTACGCACGGGGCGATCGAGCAGTGGGTCCTTTGTTTCGGGCTCCGTTTCGGTCTTCGACGACTCGGACTTCGCCTGCTCCGCAGCCCCTCGGGGCAACTTTTGCCTCTCTGTCCGTTCTGACGGGCGTAACTTGCCCTGTGCGGTGTTCGGGGATGTGCCAGGAAAGGAATCCTGTATCCAGATATCTTGAGTGCTTTGGGCGTTTCGATCTTCTAGTTCGACCGCTTCGTGGCTGAGTTCCAGATAGGATCTCGCGGACAGAGTTTCGGATGTCATGAAATCCGTTGGTGAGTTGGATTTTCGCATTCTAATTAATTGATGATGCTTCTGAAGAGATATGTTTCTATTGTAAAGTAAGACAAGATCCTATGGAAGGTTGGTTGAATTATGCCAAGCACGTAAGACGATCCAAGGATCAATAATCACATTAATGTTTGACCTCGGCTTTCCAGTGTTTCACATTGCGGCCATGCCGTGTTTGCCATTTGTATAAGTCACGTGGTGTAATGTTGTGCATAGTATACCGTCAGCTATGCAATATTAGGTGACTTAATCAACGTTGCACTAACCAGGTCTTACCCAGTTTGTGCAGTTTGCATTCTCTGCATAATTGGCGTTGTTTGGCTTGTTGGCGCACATTCTCGGTGCAGTCAAAAGCATCTTAATCGGCCTTCTGGAACTCTGCCTTCTGCGGTGAAGTCCGGGGACGTCTGCGCCGTCATCTCGCACTCAAAACTATTTTTACTTTATTATCGAATCCTTTCAATTCCTTGCTTAAACTTTTATTCTAAATTTCTCATTATTTTCTCTTTCATCTTCCACGATTCGTGTCTACATTTGTAGAGTTTGCCGACATGAAAGAATGTGGATACACCACTCCCGAATGGTAGCCAAGCTCCGGGATGCTCTGCAACAGGAAAAAAAACCTTGATGATCAGTACATCTAGTCCACCTTGGTAAATGGTCCGTGTAAGCTAGAACGGAGCAGGACTGAAAGGCCCTCTGAAGTCCGACGGATGAATCGATCTTGACCTCCACCGTAGCTCTCATTGGGTCAACGCATGGATCTTCACGCCGTACTGACTTTGACCGTCCCCCCCTAGTGGCGGTCCAGTGCCGAGGTCGAAATTGTTAAACTGTATTAAAATGCAAACGCAACCCCCCTCTTTCTGAATTAATTCGATATTCGCTACACTTTCTCTTTCTTCCACTCAAGCCTTCAAATGGTAATATTTTAAAGCTTGCTACCATGGCTGTTAATTTTGTGTTGGGCTTCCTCGCTTCCGCGGTGGTCCTACAGGTCATTCGCTATGTCATCAACTCATGGCAAGCTTCACGAAAGGCTCGAAGCCTTGGCTGTGCCAACCCGCCTCAACTTCCTATGAAAGATCCGATCGGAATTAGCACTGCGTTGGAAATGATCCGGGTGGCCAAGGAGCAGATGATCCCCAGCTTGATTACGAGTCGTTACCAGAAAGTTAGCAAGCAAGAAGGTCGCTTTGTGACAACCATGAGTTTCCGCAGCTTGGGAAAAAAGCACACTCATACCGTGGATCCCAAAAATGTTCAGGCCGTGCTGGCTACTCAGTTCAAAGACTTTGAACTCGGTGCTCCTCGTCGACAAAGTATACGCCCTTTCTTAGGCAGCGGAGTCGTAAGTCACCTGATTCATAGACTGGATTGAAATTCTTAGAAGCAGTAACTGATGCTAACTCGATTATAGTTCACCTCTGATGGACAGGAATGGTCTCATTCCCGTAGTATGCTGCGGCCGCAATTCACCCGTGATCAGATCAGTCAACTGGATCTAGAGGAGAAACATGTGCAAAAAGCTTTTGTCGCCATTCCTGCTGGTGGAAATGGATGGACCGCAGCCACTGATATTCAGTCAATTTTCTTCCGCCTCACAATGGATTCCGCGACCGAGTTCCTCTTTGGTAAAAGTGTGGAGAGCCAGGCAGCTGCTATGAATGGTCTTGAAGCTGCCGGCGACAACTTTGCCGCCTATTTCGATAAAGCTCAGTGGACTTGCCTTCGTCGAGCCCAATTCGAATCTTTTTCTTTCATGGCAAACAACAAGGAGACCCGCCATGCGGAGAAAATGGTCTACGAATACGTCGACAAAATTATTCAAGAGCAACTTCGTGAGATTGACAGTGAAAAGAAGGTTTCTGATGAGGAGAAAGGATACGTCTTCCTCGAGTCCATTGCTTCGCAAACCCGTGATCCACTCGAACTGCGCTCTCAACTTCTGAACATCCTCCTGGCCGGTCGCGATACCACTGCTTCGCTTCTCAGCTGGACCATTCTCCTGCTTGCCCGCCACCCTGAACAATTCAAAAAGCTCCGCCAAGTCATCATTGAAACCTTCGGCACATACTCGAACCCCCATGATCTCACTTTCACTGCTCTCAAATCCTGCCAGTACCTCCAGTACACCATGAACGAGGTTCTTCGCCTTTACCCCGTGGTTCCTTTCAACCGTCGCGTCGCCGTTCGTGACACTACCATCCCCCGCGGTGGTGGTCCTGATGGATTGTCCCCTGTTTTCGTTCCCAAGGGTGGCTCAGTCATGTACAGCACTTTCGTCATGCAGCACCGTAAGGATATCTGGGGTGAGGATGTTGAGGAATTCAAGCCTGAACGCTGGACAAACCGCAAGTCTGGCTGGGAGTATCTTCCATTCAATGGTGGTCCTCGCATCTGTATTGGTCAGCAGTTCGCCCTTACTGAGGCTGGTTACGTGCTTGTCCGTCTCTTGCAGCGCTTCGATCACATCGAGGATGTGAACATTGATCGTCCTGTTCGCTATGGTCTGACCTTGACTATGGCACCGGGAGATTTGTTGACAGTGCGCATGCACGAGGCCGACAATGCTTAAAAAGAGAAAGAAGATTGTTTGAATCATGAATGATTTCTCTACTCATTATTACTTTATAATGTCTCTTCTCATATCACCCCTCTTGGCGTCTTGGTCTTGGTCTTGGTCCCATGTATATGACTTTGAACGATTTCCTAGCTTTGGTTCGACTTGGTTCGATTGCGGCATGCAACATGACCCACATATGGGTCAATTTTATGATGAAACGAAATACTTGCACAAATATGAATAGCTTACACAACATTCTGAATGTACCTATTCACACATTTACATTGCCTCTTTCCCTATTTAACAATCCTCTTAACAAACACTACAATCAATACCCTGGATAGCCTCCGCAACAGCCGTATAAGCTGGATGCCTCGATAAATCTGAATAGTACAAACACGGATCACCCTCCCCATCATAATCAGCAGGTTGAATCCAACTATATTCATCATCGAAATCCCAAACCGTCATCCCAGTACATTCCTCAGTATCCATACACGCCGAAACCGTATCATAGTATATCTGAGCCTGCGTAGCCAAGTCACTCGTAGAACAAGGGACAGCAGAGCATCCCACATCCAACTCAGTAACTTGGATCTGTACACCGAGCTCTGCGAAGTCTGACATGCCCTCTAGCTGGCTTGCCTTGCTAGCTCCCCACGATGTACTGTAGTGTGACTCAAAGCCAACGCCGTCAATATACGCGTTATTCCACCCCTGAATAGTTTGAATAAGTGCCAATGCCGCGGTATGCTTTGTTCCCGAGTACTCGATTCCGTAGTCATTGTAGAACAGCTTGATATCTACTCCAAGAGACTGTACTGCCTCATAAGCATATCGGAATGCTAACGGGACATACGCGGCTCCGATCGTTTCATAGAAGACTGTTCATGTTATGTTAGTTGAACCGATATTTGGAAAGTCAAGAGCTACACATACCGTTGGAAGTGAAGCCTCCATCGCTATCAAGTGCCTCGTTCACAACATCCCACGACCAACACCCATCCCCATAATACTCAACCTCAGTCTTAATATGTGTCTCCATAGCAGCGAGAAGTGTCTCATTCGTCCAAGTCCCACCAGTAACCCACGACGGTAACTCAGATGACCAAACAAGATTATGGCATCTTACCTTCTTCCCCGTTGCTTTCGCCAGTGCGATCGTCTCCTCGCCCTCAGCGAAGGTGAAGACACCCTGACTAGGCTCCGTGAACTCCCATTTCATTGTATTACCTGGCGTCGTCTGGCCGAATATCTGCGTCTCGTTAAAAACAGTCATGTAGGCGCTGTCGCTGACTTCCCCGGTAGTAGTATCCATCGCTGTACCGAACCATAATTTGCCAGCTGATTGGGCAAGGGTGTTAAGATAAGGCGCTGATGTATTCTGGGCTTGAGCTGGATTTGAACCCAATGCTGCTATGAGAGCAGCTAGGAGGGTGTGTTTGATTGAAGACATAGAGGGCGAAACGCTGATATTGGCAAGATTGAAGAAGGATGAAGAGCGTATCTTCATGCTGTTGCCGTTGTAATATGGTCCTTCATTTTCGCTGGTGCCGTTTGGAGCTCGGCGCTAGGTCCGTATCAAGACGCGTAGGTATGGGGTGATCTCCGGGTGGGGTAGGTATCTCATCCCTTTGAATTATTCCATTTCAGTGTAATTTCGAGTCAAGTGCACATTTCGTCTCTCTGCTGAGATCGGAATAAAATGCCGTGCCCAAAAATGTTCGATCGCTAGTGAAGGAGGTGGGTATACGCGTTCCATACCCGGGCTTTGTAGTCTCCTTGAATCCGTAGTTGCTCTTTCATTTGATTTTTCCGGAGATCTGCAGGACTAAGGCTATTTAGACTGTCAGAAGTGAAACGCGGACACTTCCTTAATAGGCTCCTTGTTTTATTGACATTTGAGTGTGGATCACTCACATTTTGATCTATTGAAAGAATTTACGCTGAAGAGTACTTAAAGTTGGGTCAACTCAAGATTCCAAAGCATGGATGTATACCTTTGAGTCAGTATAGATCTCAAGTGCTAGACTTATCCGCAACCCCACAGTGTCGTTGATTCAAGCTTTATTGGCTTATTTTCTATCTTAGGGCGTCTCACTAGCCACATCAAGGGATGGATCTATTGAGGACTAGACTTTGGTATGAAATAAAAAAATAATCTTGAATTCACGTCACATCACATTCACCACATTAATTCCATTCACCAATTCACTCAGAATCTCCGAATAAAACAATATAAGCAACACAAAAAACATGAAGAAAACAAAAAAAAAGCCACCTTTGGAACAATTATCACATCAACCAGACATGTAAATCCTATCTGTAAAGTCCTGAGGGGTAATCCAATCATCCATCTCAACAGCCTGAAGAGCTAGATTTTCCGCATCATTATTGCACTGCCGAGAAATCAACCAAAATTGAATCGTCAGACCCCGAGCATACAGCTTCTCGATTTCCCCCTGAAGACACAGCCATAGGTCACGGTTCTTGACAACATCACCGGCTTGGTTAATCCAGTTGAAGCGTATCCAGTTGGTAATGAAACGAGTCGCACCATTAACAATGAAAGGCGAGTTGGTAGCGACGACAAGACGATTGCATCCCTCAGCCACCCAATCCTTTGCCCGTAAAACCCCAATCACAGCCCGAATGCATGCCCGCTCATATGAAGGTAAGATCAATGACCCGGTCGGTCCTCTCTCTTCGACGAGGAAGGAACCTGCTCCGCCAATGGGGTTGCCGGTGAAAGTAGGCGCGAAAACGAACCCGCATCCTGCTCTCGGGTGTCGTCGAAAGCGACCTCGGTCTGATCCCGCGGTGTAAACCAGAAAGCATCGGTTATCTTGTCGGTGGATAAAACGATGGACCATGGGTGTGGCTCGAGTTGAGATGCTTGGGGGGAACAGGACATCTGGGGCCAGTGGCTCCTGCTGGTTTGGGTTGTCGAATCGACCTGGGATCACTGTGCCCACGCCTTCTCGAAGATTTCCTGGAAAAACCATGTGGAATTGCTTGGCTGTCTGAATTCGTTATACGATTTGTTTGAAACACTTCCGATGCTGGTAATGAAGGGTATGAGTTGACAAAAGGGAAGTCTGCTCAGGTGGTCGAGGGGCAGGTTGAAGAGAAAAGAGTTTCATTTCGAAGAGGAAGGAGCCTTGCTTAAATACTCAATAGGAAGGACCTCGAAGAGAAGTGAATGTGGCGGCGGTGAATGATCTGGCCCTATTCGAAGAGACTTGAATCCATTCTGCAGAGTTCTCGTTTTTCCGTGCAGCAGAGGAATTTGAAATTCAGAATCAGACATGGGGTTAATGGTCCATGATACCAAAACAACAAACTTGTCTATACATAATTTGAAGCTGTATCATCAATCGGAAGGCTTGCTGTACGTAATGTCAAACATTGGCATGGAAGCTGCAACTGACTACAACTGAGAATAAAGCATCTGCATGGTATACAACATTTGAAAATTGCCGAAGCCGCTTATTAATTCCAAGCATATATTGATGTATTTAGCACTTGAGTGTCTTCACCGTCACTGGTGGGGACCACGTGTTGAGCAACGGCATGGTTATTCACAGCTTAAAAATATTGGTTATTACATTCGAGTATACCTGCGTGGCTCTAATATCTCAAGTGCTGGAATATCGATGCAACATACAGCTGTATAATCATAATCGCCCGATTCAACTTCCAAGGTTTACTTGGTGATCTGCCTATCCCCTTAAGTTTGAGAAAGGCGGTAGTTAAGACTAAAAACCCTAGAAATGATACAGTTTATTCAATTCGCGGCGAAGCACGGACAAAAGTGAAATGCCAAAATTCTAGATAGTGACTTATTTTTCTACTGCAATAAACTTGGGATCTTGAGAGAAGAAATCATTCATCTATACGGCATTGCGGTACTAGGATTGAAAGGTGTTGGCGCATATTATATCAGGCCTCCAATGCACTTGAATGCAGCTGTTGCTCTTCACTGGCATTTTCGAGCTTACCAAAAATGAGTCATATTTAGTAGCTACCTTAGCACTTAGTCTCCATTTCAATTGGCCACCACATGAGAACGCTTCATTCGTTGAAGGCCTGGAGCTTGTACCCAAAGAAATAATAAATTTCCAGTGATTTACGGTGATCTATACGACAAGAGACTAGGCGCCTTCATTCTTCAAGTGGTCACCCGTTGATACGACTGACTCGGACTGAGTCACCTTTTCATCCTTCTAAGCTTCCACTCCTTTCTTCAAAGCCATAGATAGCTTCATCTCTCATCGTCTACATATACATATACAACCCTGTTGCCAGTTTCTTAGGGCTCTCCTACTACTAGTATCATTCCCTCTTCCGTAGTTCAGAATAATCATTGCATTCTATACGGTGGACTTGCTTGACCAGTTACAACCTCATCAACATCATGGAAAAAGCACCCAACTTGACACCTTCCAGCAAAGACTCAACCCTCACATTCCGCGAAGTCACCGAAGACAACTGGCGCGCAGTAGCAAACCTGACACCTAAAGACGGCCAAATAGGAAACCTCGCGCCAAACGTTTGGTCTCTCGCCGAGGCCCATTACTCCGAAGACGCATGGGTCCGAGCCATCTACGCCAACGAAACGCTTGTCGGTATGCTCATGATGGCTATCTGGGATCCTGATGAAGCCTACTATATTTGGCGATTCATGATTGATGGCCGGTATCAGGGTCTCGGGTATGGTCGTCGTAGTGTAGAATTCGCGATTGCACATATACGACAGCACAATCCTCAAGCGAAGAAGTTGGGGGTCATGTCGACGCCCTTGGAAGGGAAGACGAATGAAGAGAATCCGTCAAGAAGTGTGAAACCTGAAGATTCACCTTATAGGTTTTATGAAAGGCTTGGTTTCAGAGAGACTGCGCCAGCGGATGAAGATGGGGATGTTATGATGTCTATGGACTTCAAGTTGTAGATGTCATTTGAGTTCTTCGCATACTCAAATCATGTTGTATACTATATGTCAAGTTTAGGCTCGGGGCTTCAAGGAGCATTATATCTGAGAGTATGTTGATGGAAGACAATACAAGCAGAATACTGAGGAGTATGGAAGACTGGAGGCCATAACGGCCAAGGTTCGTTTTTGATTTATGCTGGGATTTAGGGGATATAAGAGATACTGAGTAGTTAACTAACTATTCGTTTGTTTCCCCTCTCTTTTCCACACGTCTTCATTTATTTCGTTAATGAATTGATCCCTATCGTTTTACTAAAGGAATGTTCTTGTTATATTTCCTTTCTAATTCAATGGTGCCTATCTATATAGTTGCCTCAATAAATAGGTAACATTCAAATACTTGAAGCCTTGGAAATTGCTCACAATGTTCAAGTTGCTTCCGGTACTCCTGTCTCTACTGGGTGATCACTTAATTGCTGGTCATTCGAGAAGAAAAGCAACCTCGAAAAAACGGACACAATGATTTGGAAGAGGTGTATTAATTCTTATCACGAAATTTTCTCTATTGACTGGAGGCGCTGAGTCTTATGGGTCAGTTCCCAAAAGGGCTACTAGTCATCATGCAAAAGCTCCCGGATGTTCTCAAGGTTTGGATTCCGCTATAAATCCAATATTCAGACACAGAATACTGATGATTGCATTTCAGGAATAAGAACAGGTTGAATCTGCATTCAGTGAATTTGTGGAAGCTGCATCTATTTTCATCTCCCATCATATATCATCAAGAAAGACATACCCACTACACATCTATTCATCGGCCCTTTCTCATAGTCAAAGTGAACTTCTTGCCAGCATCATCTTCCAAGACGAAAACCAGATGGATGAGGACTAAGCCTCAATCGATCCCAGATCGGATCAGGATCGCAAGATGGTACTATTGAGACTTAATACCTGGCTTTTAGCCGATGCATTTTGACGCTCATGGAACAAATTTGTGGAGGGATGTATCTTGTCTGTTCCCCTAAAGGTGCTAGAGTTGTATCTGGAACGAGGGGTGGAAAATTGATTTCAAGATACGAGGCGATTATGGATTTAAATAGTACCCTAACCTCACGGAAAATACCAAAATAGAATCACCTCAAAGCGAAAGTGAAATAAAATTCAAAGATATAGATACAAGAAGGACAAGCCTCCAAAGAAGAAAATAATCACCAATCCATCACCTCTGCTCTATAAAAATTGAAACAGATTCTTCCCCATTTATACCCCTCAACTTGAAGCATCTTCAAGCATCAACAGTCAACAGTCACTTAAACGCACTGGTAGTAGTAAGGGTTCTGGTGCTTGCAGGTATATCCAGGCTCGCAAGTAGTACCACCGGTCCAGTTAATACCACCACACTGGTAGTACTGAGGAACAAGGCTTCCACTTGCAGAAGCAGTAGCAGAGGGCGCAGTAGAAGAGGATGAAGACTTGGCGGATGGGACAACAGCAAAGGTAGTTGATGTAGCCTGTGGAACGTAGACCGAGATGGAGGTCAGAGAGGTAGGCTCACTGGCAGGTGCAACGGGGGTTGATGAGGTGGTTGCGGTCTCGGTGGAGGGGTTAGGTGCCTTTGCCTGGGTGTTTGGAGCGGAAGTAACGGTAACTTCTGCAGCGGTGGTGGAAGTGGTGGCCTCTGTCTTAGCGGCGGCGGTGGTAGAGGTTGAAGTGGACGAAGTGGACGAAGACGAAGACGAGGAAGCAACAGCAACAGAAGTCGAGGTCGAGGTAGAAGAAGTGCCGGAAACGAAATACTTCTCCAAAATAGGAAGATAAGTCGAGTAAGCAGGACCATCAGTAGGCTCCAAACTGTACATGTAAGTTCCCCACCAAGGACCAGCAGACCACCACTCAGCACCAGTCCAGACATCGCTGTTCTCATTCATATAAGAGAGCATACCCTCAACAGCAGTCTCACAAACAGAGTTAACGCCTCCAGCGAACTCTCCAATGAAACCCTTCTTGCCGTTGGTCTTCAGCCACTCGGTAGCGGACTCGAGGCGCTCTTGTCCGATTGTGCTGCTGACGCAGGTCTCGGAGGTACCGGAGCTGTCGGAGTCGAGGTACTGGTGCATCTCGTAGATGATCTTGTCTTCTGTGTCTGTGAGACCGGAGAGGTTGTCGTTGTTGTCGGTCCAGGACCAGGCACCGCTGTAGGCGTTACCTTCGACGAAAATGTATTGGGTTGTGGCGCCGGCGGCACGAATACCGTTGATGGCTGCTTGGTTCAGGTCTAGAACTAGTGTTTGGTCCATGTCGTGGTACTCGTTGTCTAGGTTGATATTAGTATTGAGTCATGGTGTTATAGTGTGTAACTATGGTGGCTTACTGGTATCGAAGATGACCAGATCGTTGTCGGCGAATTCAGAAGCAACTGTATTCCAGAAGGTCTTGAAGTCGGAGGTAGAGCTGATGATGGAACCAGAGCTGTAAATGAAGTTAGTATGTGACATCACTTAAGTCAAATCTGATACTGATTGGGCCTACTTACTATCTTCCATAGTTGTGGGGGTCAAGGACCGCATAGGCACCGCTGTCAGTGATGAAGTTGACAGTCTATACCGACAATCACATTAGCGACAACGATAAAGCCAATTGCATAAAGCATGAAATTCACTCACGGTCTTGAGATCACCCAGGTATGTCGAATCAGGAGTACCAGTCAAACTATCCGGAACAAGACGCTCCATCAAGAAAGGCACACGGAAGATGTTCATCCCCGCATCCCGCAGAACCTGAATCTTGGATGTAGTGGGCCATGTATAGTCCGTACCCAAGATTCCAGGAATAGCAGTACCAAACTCTGCACCAGACTCACTGACGCCAACCCCTAAAAGATATCAGTAACCATTCTTTCCCGTCATATATCTTTCGTAACCCAAACATACAAGTGAAGCCGGAGGTAGCACGCTTCTTGGTAGAAACGCTTCGCTTTCCGGGAATAACTTCCCTGGGGTAGGGGGAGGCAGCGGCCAATGTAGCGGCACTAGCAGCCAGAACGAAGTTTGTAAGTCTCATTTTGGCGAAAGAAGAAAATAATGTAGAGAAAGACTGTCGAGCTTGTCGAGCGAAAGAATGATAGTGTAAATGGAAGTAAAGAATGAAAGGATCAAGAAACCAGTCTTGATCGTTAAGAAAGGAAGGAATGGATTGAAACTCGAACGAAGGTTAAATTCAATTTCAAACTAGATGTGCTGATATCCATGGCTATTTATTATATAGCAATCTACTTACCTGTCTCGCTAATGCCTAGTTCCAATAGGGGCTTGCTGTGTAGAGCCACCTAGAGCCAGATAGTTTTCCAGGCGTCAGCCTGCTGGATTCGGCCACACAACATCTGATACATAGTGGATTCGGCATTCCAGACCTCACCTTGGAACACTAATATGATACATGATCACCGAACCAATTCACCCACGCGTCACGGCAAGATTTCCGTTAAAAGCTACCTGATTGCCAAACAGATTGATGCGGGGCCGATGTTCAAGGCAATATTGGAACTAGAGGATTGCTGGAACCCTCTATAAAGGAGGGCAATCAGCACGAACGAATAATTGATCCCGTTCAGACCATAGTTTAATCTAAATTCATCTTCCAGCAGGGAAAATACAATTCGGAAGAGATAGTGCTGGGTTCCGGAGTGGAGTTGGGATTGACGTGGGGTCCACAGGGGTTCAGGGTCATTTCGAGGAGCTCCACGGCGCGAGCGTGCGTGAGCGGTATAGGTGGAAAATCTGGCTAGAAGGGGAATTGAAATTACTTTGATTCAGAGAGGGATTGGGCCATTCCGTGTTGGGATTGTGGCCGAAGGAAGTGCGCCGAGTAGATGAGCGGCGCGTCAAGATGAAACAGGGCGGAGACTTTTAGGCCACGGATATAACGGCGGATCGCCTTAGCCTAAATTCATTTACATACAAGTTGGATAACTTCGGAGAAACTTGTCGATTGGTATATTTGATTTTGTTTCAAGGATATAAACAATGGGTAATTTGAAAATGGATAATGAAAAAATGAAAAATGATGCTGAGTTCGTTCAGTAGAGAGTAGAGGAGCCATTCAGTATGGCCCGCGCGTTCCTTGTCTTCGTCAGGGATTTCATGCAATGTCGTCACATCATAGCACATTAATTCAACATATTAAATAGAAAAGAGGTATATTGAGATCATTTCAGGTATTGTGCCGACTATTGCTCGATTTGAAACTCGAACGAGCGGTCGCCTTGTCCGCTAGGAACAGCATGCGCATTGTTATCATAAAGGGTTCGCTCAAAGTACCTCACTCGTCCATCAGGGGTAGCGAGCAGGATAGTCTGCCTCTGCGTCCCATAAGGACCACTGCTATAGTCCGGACCTGCGGGTCCGTTCGGCGGGGGCTTATTTCCTTCATCTTCGATTCGGGCTGCCGCAATTTGTTCCGCTTCTCGGTGAACATCCTCTTTTGTCCCGATCACAGGAACAAAAATACTCTTGCGCAGTTCCTTGATGTAAGTATCCAGATCGTCACCTTCTCCTTCAGATAGCCGAGGTAAAGTATCAGTACTGAGCACCTGGAGCAGACGCTCGATTAATTTCTCTTCGTCCTCTTCCGCTTCCACATGGGCTTCAATCGCCGATTGCATGAGTTTCTCCCCATTCAGGATCTTCGGCCATGATCTGTCATCCACGGTCGTATTGCTGAGACCTTTTGTTTGATTCTTCTCTGTAGCGACCCAGGTGATTTGGTCCATATCCGAGGAACGATTGGAGACAATGGCTAGTGGCTCGTTGATGAGACCACATACTAGACTAAAGCCGCCGACTTGTTTGGCTTCTTCGCTCGCAACCATCGACTGCACGAAGCCGTGGGTGCTCTGTTGCTCTTTCGGAGTTGTCAACCAGCCGTTCACTATGACGCCGCGACTATATTGTCCGATCGCTTGACAAGCCTTGTCCTCTCGATAATTGGTGAGCACCGCGAGTTTTCCCTGCTTTGTGACTCCCATCCAAGTTCCGTGGGTCGATCGTGCGAGGTCGCGTGAGCCGAGGACATTGGAATGTGGCTCAGGCCACCAGTCTGGCTCTGAAGTTGGTCGAGAGAGAAATTCCTGCGTCGGTCAGTATATACTGTTTCCGGTATGGGACAGGTCGGTGGGCACATACATCTCTATTGTCGACTACAATCAAGGAATAGGCAGGGTGTGCGGTTGAGATCAACGCGATACACATGGTGCTCGAATACCCGAGGTGCGGGAGTTGGAGAATCCGGGGTTGGAGAAATGCGGGTTTCAGGGTACAATCACGACCACAGATAGCTTTACCGGGACAAGTTCACGGACAAGATGCGAGAAGAAAAGGTGGAACTGTGCAAGCGGGTAGAGAGAAGAAAGCTCGCTGCTCGGTAGTCATACAGAAACCTTGGGCACCGGATGATTGGGCCGATCCGATCTCCACAGGCAGTCTGGTTGTAGATCTAGAGCTCACCACGTAGCCCTGCTTTAGTCGGACCTGACCAGGGGCAATGATAAGAGAGATAACACTAAAAGGATAGAAACACTCCAAGGCTGGTAACCTTTAAACAAAAAAGGTGCAGCTAACTCAAGCTAGGAAAGCAAAGCTTCTCAAGTCCCATGTTTTCCCTCCGTGACGTCAAGACGAACCGTTGACTTTTTTTGGTTTTCAGCCGTTGCGGGTCATGCTTCACCTGATATGGATGCCTACATTGTGGACACTTTGATTTTTACCCTTTTCGCTCTTTCTTTCACTTCCACTCTTCAACGCCCCAGAAGACTTTCTTCTCCTTAAATCCAGGAGATTCTCTTTGATCAGCTGGAAAACCCTTGCTTCTATTAGCCCTTCAGCCTGGGGTTGGAGGGGAAGCTGGACCTTGAACACCTTGCTTATCAACCCCTCGTGATATTTTGCTCTTCCCCGACGTTTTCAACACCCCCACCATGTTTGGAATATTTGCGGACTTCTTGTCGTGAGTGGGAATATAAAACAACTCTGACGAGTTTCCGGATAAGAATCTATCGTACTGATCGTGCTGAATAGCTCCGTCATCACCATCCTCTTCCCCGTCTTCGCATCGTACAAGGCCCTCCGCTCCTCCGATCCTTCACAACTGGCCCCATGGCTGATGTACTGGGTAATACTATCCGTGATTCTGCTGGCAGAGTCATGGACAGTCTTCATTATCGGATGGTAAGCTATAGCTCACAATTCTCCCATAATCTCCCCACTCACAAATTGTCCTCCAGGTTCCCGTTCTACAGCTGGATCCGTCTATTCTTCATGTGCTATCTGGTTCTACCCCAGACCCAAGGCGCCCGACTCCTATACCAAGATTACGTTGATCCATTCCTGGCCCACCATGAACACGAAATCGAAGAAATGATCGGTCGCTCTCACGAACGCGCAAAAGCACTCGGTCTCCAATACTTCTACCAAGCCGTCGATCTCATCCGCACCAAAGCCCTCGGCCTCCCCCCACAACAAGTTGCACCCTCTCCCCCCCGCCGGACCAGCCGGTTACGCCCAGAGTCTACTGTCACGATTCAATATCCCCACCGCCGCGGCCGCTTCAACCAGTACAGGCGATTGGTATTCTGCTCTGAGCTCCGCGTTTGGTGCGGTTAGCTCTGCTGGGCGGTCTCCAGAGGCTCACGAGGAAGGAATGTCAGCTAGTAGTACACTGCTTCAACGACAGATTCAATCGATGACTGGTCTTGATAAGGCGAGATATATTTCTCAGCAGCGCGAACTGCTTGATCGGCTCCGGTCGGATCTGACTAATGAGGAGTCCAAGATTGGTCGTGATGAGCCGGAGAATGATGATTTAGCGTATGGGGCGCCGTTGAGGAAGAATAAGAGTGATAACTCGTTTGATGTGGTGGATGATGAGGATTTGGGATCTAGGGCTACTCGCCGGACTAGTGGGAAGTGGACTTCTGGGTGGTTAGGTACAGATCAGGATTCTTCTGGATCTTCGGACTATGCATCTCGGACTACTGGGTATGATCGATACAATTGAAGATCGATCGGGGGCAAGGGAGGAAGGAAGGAAGTGGACTAGACGCAAAAGTCAGGACTGAAACTGCTTATAGAGAAGGGAAATGTGTTTTTCATTCCTTTTCTGGTTCATCTTTTTGTTTATTTTTCATTGGTATTTTTTTTTCTTCTTCTGTGAACCATCACGCAGATTGGAAACGGTGTTCTTCCCCTCTTATACTAGGGCTTGCTTGCTTTGAATAAAAGCTGGAGAGGAATCCATAGATCCTCCCTACCCCGTTTTTACAGTCTCAGTTCCACTAGGAATGTAGGCTTAAGAAGAAAACCTCGCAAGTTCTACATGTATTCTATGCATGTATCACGGTGATCTGACAGCCGAGAGTGGAGAGCCGAATCAAGCCGGGCAGAAAAAATGTGGCCAAAGTGCGTTCACGCAGCTGCAAGGCGGGAATCGGAAGGAAGACGATCGTAGGAATGCATCCTACATAACTTACACTAGTGAAGGTATCTTACGTATTGTACATACTGGCTATGCCCAGATGTTGTCAGGGCTATCCTGTATATCCCTTTAACACGATTTGTTTATCCCTCGTCATGGGGCGCTATGACCCAACCCCCATCTATGACTATGACTCAAAGTACCATGGTCAGCATGTGTCAGAAGAGTCTTAGTTTCACGAGTTAAGCCTCATCTGTTAGTGACCAGCATAGGCTAGGCACGGCATATACCCAGGTATTGTAGGTAGTATGTACTGCGTGGATCAGCCCACTGTTATAGGATATAGGAGTTAACAGGGAATTAACCGGGGGCGATTGGGCGATTGGGCGATTGCGGCTGGGGGGGGGGATACCCACTTTACACAGGATGGTTCTCGCCCTTTGTGCCCCAGTATGATGAATTTGGGGCGAGATAGACTAGAGAAGATTGAATTATGAGTAAATTAAATGAATCAATGCAAGATTTGAATGACTAGATAAATAGAATGGTAAGATGACAGTAATAGAGAGTGGTGCCTGACTATTAATACCAAATGTTATAGTGTGTTGGTACATCTCATACTTTATCCATACATTATCCATACAGTACTAACGATGTCATGGTGGCGGACTTTGTAGATATCCTCTTTAGTCTCTGCGACTTTTCAATTTTTCCCCATCCTACACAGGATAATATTCCATAATATCCTCAAAATCCCATTTGATCAATTTACATACTGTCATTATTGGGAATCTTTCTGTCTCTTCGAAAGGTACGTTAGGCTTGAAAGGCACAGTGTCGCGTTTCTTTTTTTTCACACCCGAACATTTTTTTTTTCCCACCGAAACAACTTTTTTCCTTGGGGATTTTTTTCTCCTTCCGCACACCCACACAACCTTTGTGTTGAACCTCTTATCACTTTCCTGTGGACCACTCGCCGCTTTTTCAAGTCGCGTTGCTGTGGTTGTCATTTCTTAGTTGATTTGACTTTTTTTTTTTTTTTTTTTTTTTTAAAAAAATTATTAAAAAAATCCCTAATCTCTCTCTTCCCGCAGATTCCAGGTTTGAATGTGGCCTTGAACCGCCTCGTTGATACCCTGACATCACCTCTTAAATTCCCTCCGAAAGTTTTTTTTCCCTCCTCTCCTGCTCTCGACCTGTTTCGTGTTTGACGTGAACACCAACCTGTCTAATGAGCTCGATCCCTTCTCAGTCGGGCGTTCAACAAGGACAGAGCACCACTTCTCCAAAGCCCGCTTCATCTGCCCCCCTGGCTGCGACTGCCCCGGCACCAGCTAAGTCCTACGCCAACGCTGCCACGAAGAAGTCCGCGACGGACTCCTCATCCTCTCCCGTCACCGTGGGCGGCTCAGCGCAACATGGGAAGTCGACTCCCAACGCACCCGTGAACGGCAAACCCATGCAGAACCAATCCTCCCAGCAGGCTGCTTCTTCGGGTGTGACCATTGTGAATGGTGCCCCGACAGCTCCTGCTGCTTCAGGCGACCACTCCAGGAAGCCTTCCGTGACTATCACCTCCGCTGGTACTTCCGGTTATATACCTAATGGCGGTCCTGCGAGTCGACCCAACAGCATTCAGTTTGGCTTCGCCAACCAACAGAGTTCTCCTAACATGGGCAATCCTGCTGTCCCGGCTTCCAACCAGTCGCAATCTGGCCTAGGTGCTCCATCGACAAACCCACGTGTGACCTCGCCTCAGACCTCGCCCTCGCCCATTCCACAACCCGCTTCGAGTGGTGGTCGTCCACCATCGACATACCAGGCACAAGGGAATGTTCCGAACTTTGGAAGCTTCGGTGAGACTGGTGATAACAACGTAAGTTATCGACCCCCTTCCTGTTCTGATTGTTTTACACACCCTTTGATCTTTTACTCTACGCGTTGTCGTTCCGACCTTTCTATCCTTCACTTCTTTTGCAATCTCAAGCGACTTAAGTGAAGGAAAGAGAGAGAGGGCGCAAAAAAAAAAAAAAAACTTGCGCTGTGAAAAAAGGACCAAAGGAAAAAGTGTGTACAAGGCGCATACGTTTCTCTTGAAACGTGGGACATGATCGCGCATGATGGCTTCTTCCCCTTGGAGTGTGCCCCACGTTTTAACCAGTTTGCTCACATAGTTGCGACCAACCCCGCAGGCACCTCTCGGTCCCGGTACACACTTGCGTCGCGAGTCCTCACAGTCCACCCACAGCGACATGAGTAACCACATGGGCAGTGCTCCAGGACGCGGTGGCTACCCCCACCAGGGTGGCCGCGGTCGTGGATTCTCTCAGTCCGGTTACCAGGGACAAATGCAATACTCGCCTGGCCCCAACTTCCGACAGCCCAACCAACCCCGTGGCGGTCCCAACATGGGTCCTCAGTTCCACGGCCCTAACCAGGGTCGTCCTCTGGCAGCTCCATTCCCTAACTCGCCGCACCAAGCCAACCGCAGCCCTGCTTTGGCCAACGCTCATCCGACTACTCCCCAGATGAACTCTGTTCCGATGGCCCACCCCCAGATGCCTCCCCAATATGGCTATGGGCAGCACATGGGTCCCCAAACTGTGAGAAATAATCCACCCCCTTCGCACCACCATTCTGGGAAGCCCGCCCGACGTGGCTATACCAAAAATGGTTATTCTAAACCCAGAGGAAAACGAGAAGACCCTTTGCAGCAGCCCGTTTCCCTCCCACGGCGTCTGGACTTTGCACCGGAAAGCGGCCAATTTGAACAAGTTCTAACAATGATTAAAAACCAGGGTTACCCTTACGATCCCAACTACCCCTATTACAACCCCGGATACGGCATGCAGGGAGTTCAATACATGACTCCCCCGTCGCCTCAACCCCGCCCCGGAATGCCTTACAACCCCCAGGCACCTGGATACATGCAGGGCCAGTACCCTGTTCAGCCTCCCCCGCAGTCGACTCCTCTTTCCCGTACACCTTCCCAAGTTTCCACTGACCGTCCAGGCTCGAGTCTCGGCCAAACTGCTGTACCTGCTGGTGCTCCCGCTTCTAGCCATGGTCACTCTGCTAGCAGATCTTCTAACAGCCCTGCACCAGCTAAGCCACATTTCATCATTCCTTCTGCTAAAAGAAGCCCTATCGTCATTAAGGATCCTGGTAGCGGTGTTGTGAAGACTTTCGGTTCCCCCGCCTCTCCTGCTCGTGCCACTCCTTCTCCCGTGAAGATTGCCACACCTACTTCCACCCCTCCTCCTCGCACCGCCAGTGCCAGCGAACACTCCCGCTCTGACAGCAAGGCTACCGCCGCTAAGACCGACGAGGAGAAGAAGCAGGCATTGAAGGATGCTGTTCGCCAGAAGATCCAGGAAGATGAGGCCGAAGAGGCTCGCAAGGTTGCTCAGGAGTCCAAGAAGAATGTTGCTGATACTGATGCCGCCACTGCTGCTATGGAGGATCTGAAATTGAAGGATGATAAGCCCGCTGAGGCTCCTGCTCCCACCCCCGCCCCGGCCCCGGCCGCCCCTGTCGAGGAGCCCAAGAAGACTGAAGCCCCTGCCCCTACCCCTCCCGCTGATGACGATGAAATCGACTTCGACGCCATTGAGCGTGAGATGGCTGAGATCGAGGCCAAGGAGAAGGCCGCCGAGGAAGATTACTACCGCGTCAAGAAGGAAAAGAAGGAGGCCGAGGAGCGCAAGGAACGCGAGGAGCGTGAGAACTATGAGGCCAACATGAAGAAGGCCGAGCGTGAGGCTGAAGAGCGTGAACTCGCCAAGGAGGCTGCTCGCGCCAAGGGTGAGAGCGCTACCGCTGGAGACGGCGCCAGCAGCAAGGAAAGCCATGACTTGTTCGATTCCCTCAAGAAGGGTGGTTATGGCGCAAGTGAAACTACAAGTGAAACTCCTGATGATACCCCGGTTTCGTCCGAGATGGGTCCTCCTGCTAAGCCTGCCAGCGCACTTCCCAAGAAGAGCGGCTTGAAGTTGGATACTCCCAAGCCTACCGAGCCACCTCGTCCCAGCGCTGCTATGAATTCCTTGAAAAATGCCAAGTTCCTGGAAGATTTGGCTAAGGTCATTTACCCCTCTGCTATCACTGCTCCCAATGCTGCACTGAACACCACTGCTCCTACCGGTCGCCAATTCCATTACGACCGCGACTTCTTGCTGCAGTTCCAAACTGCTTTCAAGGACAAGATCTCCGTTGACTGGGATGCTCGCATTCGTGACACTCTCGGTGACCCCGAGGCCCGCTCCGGTCTTCGTACCCCTGGGCCAGGCACTCCTCGCACTGGCTCGCGAAACGGCAACACACCTGGTGGTTTCCCGATGAACTTTGGCACTGGCGGTGCTGCCGTCGGCGGCCCTCGCAGCATGACTTCTGGTCCATCCATGAGTTCCCGCGGAGGTTTCCCTGCTGCTTTCCCTCCCCGTATGGGCAGTGGTATGGGTGGTCCTGGTATGATTCGCAACAACTCTATGGGCATGCCTGGCCGTCCCGGTTCTAGCAAGGGCCCCCGCAATGACAGCAAGGGCGGCAGCCGCAAGAACCCCAAGAAGGAGGATTCCTCTATGCCTCTTACTGCTGGTCTCAAGCTGGAGGCTCTCCAGGTCTCCACTTCTGGCTGGAAGCCTCGCAGCATTGGTCAACCTGCTGCTGGTCCCGCTCCTGGTGGCGAGGGCCACATGCCTCCCGATGTTGTGCAGCGTAAGGTCAAGGCTGCTCTCAACAAGATGACCCCTGAGAAGTTCGACCGTATCGCCGCTCAGATCTTGGACATTGTTTCACAATCCAAGGACGAGTCTGATGGACGTACTCTTCGCCAGGTCATTCAGCTTACTTTCGAGAAGGCTACTGATGAAGCCCACTGGGCTCCTATGTACGCCAAGTTCTGCAAGGCCATGCTTGAAAGTATGAGCGCTGAGATCAAGGACGAGAACATCCGTGACAAGAACGGCAATGTCGTTGCTGGTGGAAGTCTCTTCCGCAAGTACTTGCTTAACCGTTGTCAAGAGGAGTTCGAGCGTGGTTGGAAGGTCAACCTGCCCGAGAAGCCCGATGGAACTACTGAGGAGGCTCAAATCCTCAGTGACGAGTACTATGTCGCCGCTGCTGCCAAGCGTCGTGGTCTTGGTCTCGTCAAGTTCATTGGTGAGCTGTACAAGCTTACCATGTTGACTGAGCGTATCATGCACGAGTGTGTGAAGAAGCTTGTCGATTACGAGGGTATGCCCGATGAGGCTGAGGTCGAGAGTTTGACTAGTCTCCTGCGCACCATTGGTGCCAGTCTGGATGCTTCTGAGAAGGGTCCTGCTATGATGGACGCCTACTTCGCTCGTATCAGCCTCATGGTTGAGACCCCTAACCTGCCCAGCCGTTTGCGCTTCATGCTGATGGTAAATATCCCCTTATTGTGCCTCGTGGCCATCTATCTGCTTGCAAGAATTCAATCTAACAAAAAGTTACTAGGATATCATTGACCTGCGTTCTTCACGCTGGAACTCCAAGGATTCTGACAAGGGTCCCAAGACCATTCAGCAAATCCGTGAAGAGGTACGTTCATATAACTTCAACGCCCGACCTTATCTATCTGAAGTCCCTTTTTTCTAACTTTGACACAGGCTGCTCGCGCACAGCAAGCAACTGAGATGGAGCGACAGCGCCAACAAGCCAACCGTGGCGGTGGTGGTGGCCGTCCCCCCATGGGTCGCGGCGATGCCCGTAGTGGGTACGGCGGCTATAACCAGGCTCCTCCTCCCGACTACGCTTCTAGCAAGGTTGGTAGCGACGATCTGCGTCGTCTGCGTGCTACTCGCAACACCAACCAACCCATGTCGTTCGGTCCCTCGAGCCTTCTCGGCTCACGGAGCAGCAGCGGCCGTAAGAACCTAGGCCCGGGTGGCAACCTGGTTCGTGGCAGCGATGACAGTGCTGCCAGCAGCCGTACTGGTACTCCTCCTGCCGGCAAGAAGGAGGACAAGGAGGCCGCTTCATCCATGAACGCTTTCAGGTAAGCTAACACCCCCTTTACTACATTCCCATCCCGTTCGATCTAGTATAAAGAAACTAACCATCACCCTCCCTAGTGCTCTCGCCGCATTGGAAGACAAGGATAACATGGCCACCTCCCCTCCCTCTACACACACCTCTCCCGTGCTCACCAAGTCGCAGCCCGCCGCTGCCGAGCGCCGGCCCTCAAAAACCCCATCTAAGGATGGCGAGAACGCAGCATAGATTCCTTAGGAGTAATGATCAACGTTTCCTTTTCTCTCTTGGTTCCAACAAAAGATTTCCTTTTTTTATTCTCCTTTTCCTTTGCCTCTTCGAACTCGTGAAAGTTCAGAAAGTTTCTTTTATCTGACGTTAACTTTTGAGTGAATCCATTTTACTTATCTGTTCCTGTTCATGCTTCTTCCTCCTTTCCCCTTTCCATCTTGCTCCGCTCTTGCTCCTCATCACCTGCGTTATTCAACGCGGTCTCTTTGCATGTCCCGACTGGGTCGGTTTCTTTTTCACGGGACTGCGACTCGAAACCTTCATAGTGTACAATTTTCACATCTTTCTTAACTTGATTCCTTACCTTCTTACTTGTCTTTTTCTCTCCTCTACTTTACTTTACTCTACTCTTCTTGCTATTTAGTTCATTTTAGTCTCTTGGGTCAGAGAAGCCGGTCAGAAATGGATACGGTATGTTTATGTTATGGTTGGTTTGGTTGGTTGTAGGGATGTGCGGTGTCCAGTTCGTTCTGGTTAGGGTGCGATGATGTGAGATGTCTTCTTGCTTGCTGGTGGTATGGCATGTAGTAGCTGCAGGAAGGGCATGAGTTAGTGTAGTTGGTGTTGTTCGCGGATATGATGATGGAGACGAGATGAAAATTAATGGAAATAATTGCTTGGATTCCTTTTTTCTGCTTTCTATCTAGTGTCTGGCCGTTTTCCAATACCCATTCTTCAAGTTGATTCTTTTTCTTCTTTTCTACCCCTCTGGTACCCAGTCAATTGAATTTCGATATATAGACTGGACGGGACTGGACTCCTCGTTTAGAGAGCAATTTGCACTTCATTATGGCTTAAATACTTCGAACTGCTAAGGATGATTTTTGAAAGGCAAAATATAATATATGCATGTTCTACCTAACGGAAGACAGGAGCTGGAATGGGTATGGTGACATGAAAATGATCAAACCAGAACAAAGTCCGGAGGGGTAATTTGCACGCTTGGGTATAATCAGGTCGGGGATAGAAATGAAGACCGGACACAATTTACGGAATGCTGTATTTGTGTGCTTGTGTTTTGTTGTGCTCGTTATGGTATGGTGTATGTCGTGAGTGGAGAAGAGTACTGAATACCACTGACTCCAACAGAAGATGTGGAAATGTGGAGATGAATATGCTATGCTAGGTCATTGCGTTTCGTTCATGGGTTGGTTATTGGCCGTCGCCGGTTTTCTTTTCTTGATCGCTATTGTCTCCCTCGTTGTCATTGTGATCGTCATTGTCGCCATCGCCAGAGACTTCAATGACAGGAATTGAGACTTTGGCATTTGGCGAGTTAATTGGTTGATCCTCTGCAGCCGACTCTGGGCTAGATATGGTCGTTTCCATTGCATTTTCCCTTTCTTTCTCTGTGGGAGTTGATTCATCTGAGTAATTCGATTCAGGTTCTGAAGCTGGAGCTGGGGACGCGGCTTCATCTCGAGGATAAGGAGATGGCGCTCTCGTTGCTTCCTCTGTTGCAACAATGCTCTCTTCTGAGCTAGCCGGGCTGCCGTTCATTGGACTCTTCATCAGGACGGAGTCGAGAGAGTATGGAAGCGGTGAGTGATCTGAATCCTCATGGCTCATACTACTACGTTCAGAGACGGAGAGAGAGCTTCGCGAGTTACCATGGGAATATGAGGCAGGTAATCCGAGTGCCTCCGCAACCTTGGCTTCCTCATCGGGTAATTTGGAGATGGAGCTCTCCGTGCTGGAGCTAGCGTCAAAGATGCGGCCGCCACGCTTTTCACTTAATTCCAATATATGATTATAGCTTCGTCGCGTGGGGTCTGCGCGGCGCTTCTTCTTTTTCTTCTCGCGCTTGGGGGATGGGCGGACAACGATGACTGGAATAGGTGATTGTTGTAGACAGTACTTGGACACTGATCCAGGAAGTAAACTGTGGACTCCTTTCAAATTACGACCACGCGTACCAACGACCAGCATGGCAGGTTCGTAGATGCGAATCTATGTGAAAGTTAGACTTCGATATCCAAGAAGAGAGATATGTGTGTCCAATGGCCACAACTCACCATGCGTTGGATAATGTCTTCCACTTTGCCAACGGCCAGCTCCAGGACCAAGCTGATTGCTTTCTCATCTTGGCTGTTCTTTTGAATAACCGATTCAAATAGTCTCTCTGCCTCTTTGCGGTATTTTCCCTCTTCAATGGCAGCATCGCTGGCCATACGCGAATCCTTCTCAACCGCACGAAGACAAACAATCTCATCCCCGTCGTCGACTAGTTCATCCAGCAACCACTCCAGCGCAAACTCCGAGTAGTCATTCTGGTCTGTCCCACACAAGAAGGTCCTGCTCCGTCGTGTACTCTGGTACCCCTTATGCTTGTAATTGAGAGTTAAGGAGAAATCCGCCGCATCACGATTGTCAAAGGTATCGAACGAGACACCGCGCTCGTAAGTCCTATTCATGAATAGATTAGTTCCCTATTCTTTGGAGTAGATAAACAAGTCTTGTGTGAAGATAGCAGGATAGTAACAGGAGCAACTATCATGGGATAGTTCAAAAAAAGACAATAAATAATGGCCTGCAGGGGGTGGCTGGAATAAAGAATGTAAGCTTGAAAGAACTCACTGAGGTGGTGGGGGAGATAACCCCCGACTAACAGACAAAGGCCTTTGCTCCTTCTCCTGTTCTTTCTCTCTCTCCACAGCATCCAAATCTTTAGCCAACCCACTCTCACCCTGAGACCTCCGCTTATCTTTGAAACTCAGCGAACGAGTGGGCAGCTGCGCCTCCGCCGAACCAACATTGAACTGAATAGACTTCCTGCGCGGGCTGCGTGCTCTCGGCTCATCCTCGAACGTGATTCCTCCGGGACTCTGGTTGGATCCCGCCGGCTGTGACATACTTGCCCTCGACTCGGGACGATCCTCGGACTCAAAAGATGGTTTGGGGGATGGAGGGGCCGACATGGTGCGGGGGTTTGGTCGGGTGGTCCCGATGATGGACGAGTTAGGAATCGGTCCGGTGAAGGGTTTAGGGGATCCTTTTGAAGTCTTTTCTTTTCCTCTTTGGGTGAATAAGGTATTGATCGGCTAGTTCGCTTTGGGTAGTGCTATTGAGTTTGGACTGGAATATGTCTTGGATTATGGTGGGGTGATTGACAAGTCGGGCGTCTTGTGATGGCGTGCGTATGCCTGTCATTGGCTTTAAATGCGAGGGGTAAGGTCATGCATTTCAGCCTCGGGGTAGTTGCTGGTATCCAGGTACAGAACCTTGGAATGTTTCGGATGAGCTACTTGGGATGGAAAGCAGCACGGGGCAGTGACGCTTGCAGCGAGGGGCTGCACCTTGAAATGGAAGGCGGTATGCACTTATCGATAACTAGCATGGATGCGTGTATGCCTCAGGCAGAACATGAAAGTAAACAATGGCGAGGGAAAGCACGATCGTACTGTAACTGGAATTAGGCAAGTACATCTGTATAGATATTGAGCAGTATAGTCCTGTCTAGCTTCGGTACCTTACCCTGCCACCAGAGTCTGGCGGTCTCAAATAGTAGTATGCGTGTGCTATATTTTCATACTCAACCGTGACTTGAATGACATGCAAGATCTCATTGGATGTAGGTATGCATCTAGCTATGCACTTAGCTATAAATAGCGTCCAACGTTGGCGCTTCCAAACTGCCAACTCAGCGCCCAAGCCCACTATTAATTGAGGAGTGTTCCTCTTCGTTCACGTCGATGCCCACAAAACATCTGGCTAGATATGGCGGACCAAGAACCAAGGAAAAAAATCTACAATCGCCTGGTTCAAATCAAAAACTCATGGCTTCCACCCAAAGTCACGCCATAAGAACACTGTATCTAATCCAGCGGCTTCGTTCCTGAAAATCGAGTCACAGAAGCCCGACCAACAGTTGTGAGCAATATTTCGACAGATACAAAACAGGAGGGCGGCGATGTGGTCTCGTCAGACTCCGGGAAATCGAATTCTCATGACCTATAGAACGAAGCATTTCAATCGTTGTCTAAAGATTCACAGGGTCAACTAAAACCCATTTCTTCTGATGCCGAGAATTCTGTCTTTCTACAACCTGAACTCGATAAGTTACAAGAAGATGTCCAACAAAAGCAGGATCAATGTGAGAAGAATGCTTGGAAGTTCAGATCAATGATCACGATATCATTATCCAAGACTATGCAGCAAAAATTGCAACCCGGCTGCAGAAAATTGGAGACTTGGTGATACCGTTCGCCCCCAAAGAGGCATCCCCGCCTTGGGGCGTCGTCAGGGGGCCTTTTGCAGCTCCCAATCAACCACAAAGAACAAATACTCGCAGTACTTGGCACATTTGAGATTTTGGCTCAGATTATCTGCCGCGGTCAAATCTATGAATTAGTTTATACCTTTAATCTCGCTCTCGCAATGCGCTCGTCAAGGTCTACACAGCCGCACTGGAGCTATTAGCACATGCAAATGACCAGCTATCCAAGGGTTTACTGCATCAAATTGTTGGAGAGATCCTCGATCCCAATCAAGCCTCTGGTCTACTCAAAGATCTACAAGGTCGACAAGACGATCTTGACCGGGTCGTCTTCGCATGTGAGATCAGCCGCAGCGCTGAGGCCGATAACTTGTTGATGAGTGCGTTGAGGGAAATCAACACCCCATTGGCAAGAATTGATGCCCGAATAGAGGAACACCTCAGCCAAGTAGATATGGATAGATCTTTGGAACTCCTGGGGAGAATATCTTCTATCCCATACAATGTACATCATGCGGCCATCCAGAGGAATCGCACTGAGAACACCTGTAACTGGATTCTCGAAACTGACCAGTTTCGTTCATGGGAGAAAAGTAGCTCACCTGATCTACTGTATCTATGGGGTCCCCGTACGTATCCTCTTCCTCAAATAGAACATTTAGAGCTGTACTGACCTTTCTAGCCGGAACTGGGAAAACATTATTGATATCCAAAGTGATCGACCGCCTGAAAGAGACTCTGGAAAATCAGAATCATGAAGAATTTGCCATTTTCTATTGCAACCGAAGGGAGGAAATTCGCAGACAGCCACTTTGCGTTCTTCAGAGCATCCTGCGGCAACTCGCTTCCACTTCAAGCAACTCGGATGCTATCCAAAAGAGTGTGATTGAGGCTGATATCAACAATCGGAGAGACGGAGAGCAATTTGACTAGGTCAAATGCAGAGATCTAATACTTAAATCCTTCAATTTGGCCCCACGGACCACATTGGTCATTGATGCCTTGGATGAATGTGACTCTACTTTGCGCGAGAAGCTTCTCAAATTTCTTAACGGTATCTCAAGTGAGGCGACAAAACCTGTGAAGGTTTTCATATCCAGTCGTCCTGATGAAGACATTCGATGTCATTTTCGTGCTGGGCCGAACATTGGAGTACAGGCGGATCACAGTCAGGACGATATCAAAAGATTCATTGAGAAGGCAGTATCGGAGCTGGTGACGAGATTGAAAGATTATGTGAAGAGGGAAAGGAGGTTGTGGTAGTAGCTCATTCCTACGGAGGTATGGTTGGAGCCGGCGCCGTCAAGGGCCTAGGCTACACAGAAAGACAGAAAGTCGGCAAGGGTGGCGGAGTGATCATGTTAGTGTACATGGCCGCTTTTGTTGCCAAATTAGGTACCAGCCTTTTGGATATGCTTGGAGGAAATTGGTTGCCCTGAATGAAGTTGATGTCAGTAACTCTTTTTCCTTTTCCTCCCACTGGTGATTTATTACACTCGGTACTGACAGCACCCAGGGTGACTATTTCAACGCCGAAGATGCAGCAGAAATTTGTTATAATGATCTCTCTGTAGATGATCAGAAGAAATGGGGCTCAAAGATTACGCACACTTCGCGCTTCGTGTTCGAAGACCCTGTCGCGCACGAGCCTTGGCATGATCTACCTTGCATGTATATATTCTGCGAGAACGATCAGGCACTTCCATTGGCCGTTCAAGAGTCCATGGCTACTCTGCTCGGCGACTATAGCGAATATAGATGCTCAAGTTCTCATTCACCGTTTTTGAGTATGCCCAATAAGATTGGTGAGGCGTGTGAGCTTGCGGCCAAAATTGGCCAAGGAAAGTCAAATCAGAGAATTTAGCTTGAGTTATCATCACTCAACCAAAAGAAGAAGAAATTTTTGGAAAATATGATACCAATAGCGTACTATGCAGGTCTTTTGGCGAGCATAGAGTTAGCAAATCCATTTATCGGTCGTACACTCCAAATATTGCCCTTCATCACTCCTGCTGGAGAAGCATAACCAGTCTTTTCATCGGTGAATTTTATTCGATGATTTTGGATCTTTTGGATTGATTCTCAAATTGAGAATTGGATCTCCATAAATACAATCTTTAGTGTGCATTATATCGTATCTTGCCTTATATAAGACTGCGTCTCCCGCCTACCTTTTTCCTAACCGGAACCTGGGCCGTAATTCAAGAGACTGATGCATCTTACAGCCAATTTGTATGGCTTCAAAAGCAATGACAGTACAGAAAAAGCATTGACGAAAAGCTTACGGTCCGGGTTTGATAGGAACCCCGGGTAGAGACTATTAACATAGCATCAAAGGCGTTAACACGGGATAAAAAGGATTGACATGATGCTTACGGTCCAGGTTTTTTAGTAACCCCAGGTTGAAAGGATTGACATAGCTTCAAGAGCAGTGCCCAGATGCTTACGGTCCGGTTGTGTTGTGAACCTGGTTGGAGAGCATTGGATATGTATGAAATTAAGAGGACTAATACCTGCAAGGCACTAAGTATCAACTCCCGAGAAGTATGTATACAAACCATCTTCGCATTCTACTAAAATGCGAGATTTGTCGGACCGATGATATATGCAAGGGCATATTGTGGAATTCAGGACTCTAAATTTCAAGTGCTTGATATCTAAGACTTGAAATAAAAACAAATTATATCAACTGCACATGTGCATGTGTACCCATTCGTAATGCAGATATGAGTAAAATAATCACGACATCTATCCCCGCGTGCGGGCGGGCGGGCACCTCATCTGGACTGGGGCCAAATACACCCCAGAAAACTTGAACAGGACTAGATCATCCCGCAAGAGCAAAAAAGGACAAATCAGATCTAACACCAACGTTGGAGGCATCGGGTACAGCGGAAACGAAAGCTGTCCAGGTGATGTGCGCAATAACACCTGGGCAATTTCGCACCCGTTATACTTACCCGATTCGAAACAACCTTGGAAGCCACCGGCATTGGTATGTACATCCATTGACTAACACAAGGTACCTCTTTGAATCAGTAATCAGTAACTACAGTTCTACTCCGCACAAAGAAACTGTGTACACTGTGTACTCTAGGGCTCCGTACAGGCCACGGGCCTCGTTGAGTGGTAAGAGTAAAATGCGAGATAACGAATAGCCCTAACGCCATTAAAGCCCGAAAAATAAGTCTGCAGATCCCGGGTCCTTATGTACTCCGTACGTTATCTCAGGTTTTTGGTGCGGGGAACTGGAGCCCTAATAATCCCGATAGGATTCCAGGTGCCTACTAATACAGGTTTGAGATGGCCTAACAAGGTGTCTGTGCTCATTTGACATACTGTATCTCTAACTTGATCCTACTGCATACTACCTACCCTGGTTGTATACTGTATTCCCCCAACCCCTTTATTCAAAATGAACAGGGAATATGTGTCAAAGACCGTACCTGAACCAGGTTCAATCTCCACCCAATTATTGCCCTAGATAGAGCCTTCACCACACTAGTAGGTATAGCGGAGGGGCTATGCCGACTTAGCCGCGCTGATCGTAGACTATCGCCCCTTGGCGTGGATCTACCATCAGCGGTGAGGCCCATTAACTTTTTCCTAATGCTGCGCTCAGACCGAGCGATAGGTCACATGTGCCGTGCAACCGGTGTGGTTGGCAGTACACGCATACCTGGGCATGTTAGGCGGATACAGTAGATGAATATGTAGGTAGCCTCAGTCTACGCTATTAATGTACATATTAGTTGTCGGTAATGTATTTACTTGTTACTGTCCATTACGTTAGATTTTAAGGATAATACTACTGAAACAGGAAATTCAAGTCCAGGTTTAAACTGTTTTGTAGATTTGGATGGGTGTTTTGAATGTATCTTTATGTACAGTCCCAGTTGGGATCACAATCTGTGTCCTTTTGTGGTTTCATTCCACTTCTTGGGTAGTCTCAACCTATCCGACCCTGCCGGGAGGGAGAGCTGCCCAATTAATTTGTTCATGGTGTTTCCAGAACCCAGCACGTAAATAAATAAATGAAAAACAAAGAGACGAAAAACATGAGATGGGTGTATGTATGCGACCGTGTGAAATCCAAAACGCCATGATGTAGGAAATGTGGAGATGAGATGAGAAAAAAAAACGTAAATAAATAAATAAATGGTCGCTTCAAATGCCAGTCCGGTAAGTCGTCGTAATCAAGCATCAGGGTATCACAAGAAATCAAGATAAAAATAAGCTATACATGAATGCAGGTATATCGAGGGAAGCGTAGATATTAGTACGCCTCGATGATGGTCTGCTCCTGTGAAACGTAATACCCAGGCTCGAACAGATGGGGTGAAGAGTCACCCAACGGGATGGCAGTTGATGAGGTTTCCTTCTCGTCGAAGGCCTCAAGCGCCGGTTGAGGCGGCGAAGGAGGAAGAGCATCGTCCTCGGACTCATCATCCGAGTCAGCGAGGAGCTCAGGTGGAGATTGTCGTGAAGGCGATCGAGTCAAGCTCAGATCATCAAGGTCCTCCACATCATCGTATTCAAAATCGCTGTCTGTGTCGTCGTCCTCATCCTCCATAAGGATGGGCTCTGGGGCCGGCGCCACTGGCGATGGGGCACGGCGGATAGGAGCATTGATGGCAAAGCCGGAATCCTCGAAATCAGAATCGTCCTCCTCATCACTATCGCTAACATCCGAGTCCAGATCGGAGGCATCTTCCGGGTCCCAGTCCTCAGGCTCTTCGACCACGGTCGAGGCCCATTGAATGTGTCGAGGCTCTTCTTGAGCTTTTGTGGCACCGCTAACAGTTTGGTTGAACCAGCGTTCTTGTTCCCGCTCGGCATCGGCAAGATCAAGCATTAGAGAATCGAGAAGATTGGCGTGGCCAACGAGCAATCGTAGATCATGATCCGCTCGCGAAGCTTCCCGGGTAAGCTTCTTGCGAGCGGTATGGGCGAGGTAGTATGTTTGAGTAATGCTCATCTTCTTTTGTTGGCGGCGACGGAAGAGGGAAGTGAAGTATGGGGAGGTGGAGGCGGCGGAGGCGAGGGAAGAGTCCTTGGTAGTAGGGTTGATAGCTGAGGAAACCATGTTGGGCGAAATAAAAAGATTATGTACTATGGGCAGGTATGACTCGTTCTGCCAAGGTAGTGACTCAATCTTGTGTTCATCCAGTCACAGGCGGTGATGGCACGAGGCGGTGTGCAAAATACAGATATGGGCTGCAACACGTAAATCACGTCACGGTAATCACGTAAATCCAGGGAGGGGGAAAGACGTGTTGTATGTAGATAATGTGGAACCCCAGTTTGTCTGAATTAAATGATGTATCAGATCAGATCGATGTTGTCAATTGGGAGAGATGTGTTTTTTGTGTATAGGAAGAAAAAATAAGATCTCGGACAACAAGAGGGATATCTACTTTTTAAAATACTGACGCCTGACCTGAATTATGATTATTGATATTTTTCTTTTTTTCTTTTTTTTCTTTGCTCCATAAGCCGTATCCGTGTATCCGCTTAAAGTCCGTAGCCCGAGAGATCGTAAATCCCTGGGAGTTAATTATTATGCATTGTGGATCCTAAGCCCGAGAATTATTCAGCTGCCCTTTGTTGCTAACCGCAACGTATCTCCGGATTTCGCTACACCGCTACCATCTGTGCGCCATGCATTATGTCCATGCGTCAATTGAGATTAATATTCAATATTCAATATATCTTCTCCTAGACATATCTATCCAAATTGAAGAGATAGAGAAAGAGTGAGAGGTTGTCAATCCAGGGAGTTCATTCCAATAGCCTGATCGGTTAACTCCGTTGTATGTCCACTTTAGTATCATAATTTTTTTTCTTTTCCTCCGAGCCGCTTTTTTCTTAGTAGACAGAAGAGACCCTGGCCCCACTTATCCCAACGGATAACCAATGCTCCAGCTCCGTGGACGGAGCAAAAATTCCCAAGCACCGACGGGTAGCTTTCGCCCTATTTCGCCGATTACTCACAGTGAGCCAGCGGAGATCCCATGGTCTTTCCATGGGATACTATGCTCATCTAGGTAATCTTTGCATTGTCATTTCTCAGCCACTGATTTCCAATCAGAATGAATCACCTCATTAATTTTTAATGGTCGCATCACATTGCCTAGATTACTCCAGAAGGTTAATTTCCCCAATATTACACGCCTAAATGCCTTATAAATCATTTCATTTATAATATATACATACTTTGACCATAGTTTAATCCAAGGAATCGGTGTTCGATACATATGCTGCCCAGGTGTCAGAAATACTCACGGGCCATGCCTCCATAATCTGGGTGACCCATTGCGGCTGCGAAGGGCAGCAACATTCCCCAGGAAACATGATGACTGCAGGAGGTTATCTCCGTAATGTCTCATAGCCATGAATTTACAGTTAGGGGCTGTGTTCAACAGGAGCTACGCGGGGGCCAATCCCCTGCAATCTTGGCTACCTTGACCGACCCTACTTATCTGCCTTGTTTCCCCCCCAAGAGCCACGTCGTCCTTGCAGCACGCAGAAGCTACCAAATAAGGAGATGCCTGGTGTCGCAAAATGACACCTGGATTATCTGTTGAACATGGATCCTCGCCCAATATTCCCTCTCCTTCGCAATCACTTGCTCAGCCAAGCCTCTTGGAATTCTCCAAGACTTGGCCCAATATGTCCATAACAAGATCCATAACAAGATATATTTATCTTCTTAGTACTAAACGGTCATCAAAAATCATGGTTCAAGTGGGTTATGTCTCGCAGTGGATTCCAATTTTGTAAGCGCTTTTTCCTATTAGGCACAAGCTTGACTTAATTTTTCCCAGCAAAATACTCCACTGTATCCATAGTTGGGCGGGTAGAAGAATTATTTAAAAAATTAAAAAAGCATAATTTGGCAGAATTTGGCAAAATTTACGCCAACCGTAACTAATGCTGAATTTGGTAGTCAGCAACCGAATACGATGGGTCTTGCTCGGGAATTCTCGTAACCCCACTCTGACAATCATAGTTTGCCTTATATCCATCCATACGCCAAGCAACATTAAGTCTCATGCATAATCATCGTCAAACCATTTGTAACAGACGCATGAAACCAAACCCCCTTACCACAATCGTGAAATGATGAGAAGATTTAAATTAGCCAAGGGTCAGAAACACAATTTGAACAGGATCAGCCGATAGTCTGTTCTGGCCAAATCCCAAAACCAAAGATTTGAGGCATCGAGACCTTAGATCTAAAGCCACGTTCAAGTAGATTCCTGAGGGTGATCTCGGATGCCCGGAGTTAGTCATGTTAGTCAGAGATCAATCTCCTTGTGAGGCTCCGTGGCGCTCGGCCTTTCCTGTCAATGTGGCCGAACCCCGACCCACTATTTAACGTCGATGACATCAAGAGTACTTTCGCTCAGCCAACGGGGTTCATGGCCAAGACGATAGTTTACATGTGGCTGGATTGCGGTTGAATCTACTTCTTATTGGACATAGGCATTGTAGTCTAGGGCTTGTGTATAAAGTAATGTCATCATTGAGATTGTCAATTGAGTTCTCCGATTGGGAGCGTAGTGTACAGACGGACGCGTCTTTAATTTTAATTGGTAACTGATGTATATTTTCTGTTTATTCAACAATCTAGAACCATATGCGGTAGAAAGGTTCAATGTCCAGTAGACATACAAGTAGATACACTTCGAGATACCCATCGGGTTGGGTCATCAATTCGGGTATCTTTAGTTTCTGCCATTTGAGATAACATCACTTGCTCCCAACCACATCAAAACGTTCTATCTATACATTCAAGAAGGAGCATGACGCTGGATCTTGCATGCTTTATCATATCCCTGGTTTGCATGAGCAAGTCTACCCGCCACGCATTCAGATGTAGCTAATGAACTGATCACGCTTCTCCTAGCAGTCGCCAGACTGCATCAAGTGATTGCTTTCTTACCATCACGCATGAAATTAGTATTGTATCGCACATCTTGATCCAGTTGACTTACAAAAACTGCAAAAGCGTTTCACAAACTTTATAGTCGTTCACGCATTGCAACGTCTGGTTCTATAGGAAAACCTGCCTATGCACGCAATTGCGCTCTCCGAAGGTCTATTTATTGCAGATCGAACTATTTAGAATATTCTGGACCCGGACTGAAGTGAATTTCTTAGTAAATAGGCAAACTATTCATCCTCATATGAGCGTCGACAAATTCCAGGCGTTCATGCACCATAGTGTGGAGCGGCACTGGGCGGAAAATACCGATTAGATAAGCGGAAGAACGGCAACGCCATTATATCCGACCCATTCCGATTCCGTCTCCCAGATCTGTCGTTCCAGTTCGTAATCTCATGTGCTTGCCCGTGAGTCAAACAACCTTATTCTCGCGGACTTTTCCCTTCGCGCCTATCTCCATGGCCCCGCGTCCGTGCAAAACAAGCTGCGAAATCGTCAAGCTTCTGCCGACTTTCGGGCATTGAAAAATCGCCGAGGAAGAAGTCCGGTGACTCACATACAAAACCTTTTAATGTGGGGCAAACGGCAGCACGGCAATCCGACTCCGATTGTAGATCCAAAAAAATTTGCTGATTTATGCTCAGCCTTAAGGGACTCTGTGTCGATCCGGGACCCGTGGAAGCAAATTTTATGCATTTCTTATGCTTGACTAAGCTGGTTCGTTGTGCCCTCTATGTAACGTAATCCACTACTGAGCCGCCAGAACCACCGAGCCGCTAGGCAATCTATACCTAATAGATTTAAACGCAATTATATCAACTAAAATATTAATTCATTGATATTATAACCTATATAGCTCTATTTGGACATGCGTTTCTTTTATGTCCCTTATTCCTATATAATCCACACTTTGGTAAGGCTCTTGTACGTGGTTGCAAAGGTAGTTGTGGCCTCTGGGCCCGCCTTACTCCTTGTACTACTGGGGGTATAGTCAATAGATCAATAAAGTCTTGAAGCTCTGCAACTGATAGGCTTGTTTCACGTGGTATCTGCTGCCTAGATCTAGTCCTTTTTTACTTCTTCTTCTCTATTCTAGCGTGTAAATCGCTTATTTCTTTCTTGAGAAAAGTATTTGATTGTATATTAATTTAGTAAGCTTTTAAGATCTGGTTGAGTATAGAATTTAGTGGACTTGGTGGGCTCTGTGAGCGTTGTTTTAGTAGTACTTTAATCGAAGATGCTTACTTTTGTAATTAGATATAGTTTAAAGGTATTTTTGGCTTTTACTTACTACCTTGGCTTAAGGGGGGAGTAGGTGTTCAAAGTTAAATATTAAGCTTTAAAATAACTTAATTAGGGTTAAATAGGACTAAACTAGCTACTATAAAGCTATTTTTAATTATCTCCAATTTAAATACTTTATCTTAAGTAGAAGGATAAACTTCGAGAAAATCAAATTTATTGATATAATTAATCCTAATCTATATTTGATTCTCGATAAGTCGACTGTACGAATATTTTAAAACTATAAAATATCCAACATCAAGAGGTTATAAAAGGTATAAGGAATATGCTAGTATACAAATTAGAATTATATTATTTTTACTATAAAGTTTATTAAACTTTAGAGTTAAATAACTTCTGTGACTATTAAGGATTAAAAATTAATATTTCCCTTTTATATAAAGAAAAGTTAAAGGAATAAAGACTTTTTTAAGCTAGTGAAGTCTAATTTTATTAGAGGTCTATCTATTTAGACTAACTTTAAGTTACTAATCCCTTAGAAGACTATTATTCTAATCTTTAATATAGACTTTACTCTTAAAAATAATATATAGAGAAAGTACCTATCCCGATGTATTTATATACTTAATTATAGTTATTTATTAGTGATTTCTAGGTTATAAAAGTACTCTCTAACTATAGTATTCGGCTTTTATTATAATCCTTATAATTATAATTAAGCTTATTATAAAACTAATCTTATTGAAGTTATAGATATTATCTAGGTTAATACTATTTTTAAGGATTGATTTTTGAATAAGATTAAACTATTCTTAAATAATCTTTGTATCTTTATATTTCATACGCTTATAATTATAGTATCTAGAGAATCGGGTTGAAAGCTATAGGTGTCTTTTTATATATTTATTAATCTAATTTTCGTTAACTGTTTGAACTGGGGTTGATCTATATATTAATAGTAGTAGATTTACTATTTCTTGTATAGTAGTAGACTAAGGGGCTGCTCTACAATTATCTATAGAAAGTATCTATTTTTGAAGCGATTCTTCCTCAATTTCAGTCAATTTATAACCGTTTGTATGTGTTTTGCGTCGGTTTTGGTGGCTGTATAGTCGATCGCAGAGAGTTGTATAAGGTATGTTGAAATAGTGTGCTACTACACTAATAGAGAGCTGTTCTTGTTTCTTAATAGCCTGAATAGCTAGTAATATCCGTCCCTCTTGTTCTGTTAATTTTTGACTATTTTGGGTGCGAATTGGTGGTATAGTAGGTGGTTGAAGAAGGAAGGTCTAATTAATTAACGCGTTTCGTGTTAGCCTGGCGGCTCGGTGGTTCTGGCGGCTCGGTAGTGGATTACGTTATATATCTATGCACCTCCAAGGTTGTATAAGGCAGCCTAAAGAGGTTTAGGCTATATCGAGGGCCCTTCTTTTGGCGGTAGGTACTAGATGGACTGAATCCAATTTATATTTGAGAATGATTGACGAGTTATGGGGTCAAGTGCTGTTTTCGAAGCAATAGACTTTAAGCAGAAGCTCCTCAAAAGGTAACGAAAGCTAGTTCCAATTTTCGAATCAAGCACATTCAATTGGTTCAGGACAACGAACATCAAAGAGCAATCATCATCTCAAGATGGACCGACTACAGACCTACACTCAGACCTACACTCGGCACAGCCGCCAAGCAAAAAAAAAATAATAATAATAATAATCAACAAACCAACTAACCCGACTCAAAAAGAGTGGAATCCAAGGGAGGATCCTCTAAAAAGTTCTCCCAATCCTCGGCCGATTCCCAAATCACGGGGTCCCAAACTGGATCACGAAGGGTGCTCGACGAGCAGGATGCACTATTCAAAACTTGTTAGCAGGTAGCCTTTTATAAAAACAATTTCGACACCAACAATAATAAGTCTCACTTCAATTCACCAGTCTGCAGGGCCTCGTTCCACTTCCTAATAGTTTCATCCGCCATCCCATCCCAGTCGTTTGCACTTTCCGGAAGTTGTTCCCTCTCTTCCTTCGAAAGACTAAAAAACCAATTCTCCATGGCAATGAGTAGATTTCTTGACTTATCAAGCAGAATCCAGCTATTTGGATCTTTGTATGCTGCCCTAGCATGATGGAGGAGGGCTTCAGCAGGTTGTCCCCATCTGTAACTACCTGGATCCACGCGACAGTAGATCGGATTGAGTTTCAAATTACCCTGACCGCGTGGATCACCAGCATTCATCTGAGCAGCAGTACGAACATCGAGTATCCTATAGAGATCCCCCCACACAATGTTTTTGTTTGCCCATTGGCGATGTCTTTCCATTTGCCAATCTACTGGTTTTTGGTCGTCCTGGACATTCCGATTGGGGTGGACCAGAAGTTGTCCTTCTTCGTCTTCCTCCGCATCATCATCTTCATCTTTCTTGACTCTGTTGACTTGCTCGGAGGTAGCAGGTTGCTCTGTTCGGGGAGGCGGGTTCTGTTGCTCCGATAGGTTGGTGAGATAGTTCTGCAGTATGGCGATCCTTGAGTTACATGTTTCGATCTTACGCTTCTTGCTGATGCGCATGCGTTCCAGATCTCGTTTTGTGCGAAGAACTTTGATATTTAGACGCTCGATAGAATCCTGAAGTCGGTCAACTTCATCATCGATGTCTCTTTTATCGATTTGGTGCTCGGGGGAGTCATTGGGTTTGAAGTCTGGTCGGGCCATGGTGTCTAATACAAATGGTTGATGAAAAATGATAGTTGGGATTTGCCCAGGATGGATGATATGTATTCTGTGGAAGGATGTAAAATACTAAGAGGGAGAGAGGCTTATGAAGTGCTTATATAGACCAAGAAATTGTTTGTGCAATTACTAACATCATGATTCAGCAATTTTGAGAATCATTATTCAGAAAGACTGAAATACTATACCTGATACGGAGGTGTCTACAAAATCTTTGAAAGTAGAATAATATCACAAAGCAAAATTTAGTGAAATCTAGAGTAGTTTTTATATAAACTTCAAGGTACTATCTATTATGATATAATACAAAACTTCGCATTTGAAAATTTTAGATTCAGCAACAAGAATCTGGTGATCAATGCTTCTTTGAAGCCTCATTTTGTTCCTCCTTCGAATGGAACAAAACCTGCATCCTTTGGGGACCATCCTCTTTGTACATCATATCTTCAAAATTGATACTGTCTTGAATCATCTCGTATGCGTGAGGTCGCATTTGCCCCTCGTATGCAACAATAGCTCGCTCCAAGGTAGCGGAATCAATCTCCGCATCATATACCTGACCAGCATCGTTGGCTAACTCGGCAGTAATATGCTCAAATAACAACTTAGCATCATTCATAGCATCGTTGACGCCCTCGCCATTAGGTGTCGTCACATGTGCCGCATCTCCAAGCAGCACAACACCCGGTGTACGTGTCCAAGACTTCTCATCTACCTTGCCATCATTTCGAAGAGCGTCGGGCAAGTAGATCTCCTGATTCATTCGGTGAAGAAGCCAGGGTCTCCAGGGTCCCTCGGCACCTGCGACAAAGCCACGGAGATGCGGAGCCCAGTTTGAGTATAGTCTGTTGATCGTCTCCCGAGCTTTCGGCATATCATTCACGTCCGCATCTCCGCCAGGTCGTGTGAATTCTGGAGAAGCCTCAACGCCCATGTACACACGGTACGAGCGATCTGACATTTGTTGAACGGCGAGTGATAGGCCATTTCCCATAGCGATCGAGTTTCCGGCACCGACCATCTTGAACGCCGCGTCCCATTCTGGGTTATCCAGAGAGATACAACCTTCGATGAACATTTTACCTGAGTACTGCGGCTTTGCAGAAGTGATCTAAAAAGAAATTAGCAATCTCTCTCTAAAAGTACACACAGCAGGTATAATATTATGTTCTAGAAACTTACCAACTGTCGCAGCTTGCTCCATCCTCCGTCAGAGCCCACGATAAGCCGGAACCCACTTTCAGTAGAACCATCGTTGAAGTGCAGCAACCAATCTGCAGGAGACGAGGATTTGCTTTGGGTTTGGGTTTTCTTCGCGTTTATACGCTCAACACTGCTCAGGGACTTGTTCCATCGAACACGATGCGCAGGAATAGAATCTAGCAAAATCTGACGCAGCTGCAAGCGATCAATCTCAGGTCTATCGCTTTCCCCGCCGCCCTCGGATAGTTGATTCTTCCCTTGCCAGTCTTGTATAAAGATGGTTGATGACTCGTATCGTGCCAACTTTTCGAATTCAGCTGATAAGCCTGCGGCATTTAGTGCCGCTTGCCCACCCTCAGCAGAGAGATCTAGTGTCCCGCCCTGGAACCTGGCCGTCCCCTGTGGCGATACATCGCGTTCGAAAACGACGTAGTCTATTCCGGCTCGCTCTAGAAGACGTGCTAATGTAAGGCCACAAGGTCCACCCCCGACGATGGCAATTGGGGCGGGTTTTGATGAAGACATTGACGAGGTTAACCTTTTGGGGGCGGCGTTGAGGGAGGTATGAATAGTTCGTTGACTAAAGCGGCTGATTGTACAAAATAAGTTCTTATTTGCTTGACGGAACATTGCTTGACGAAAAGAAAAGCTGATCAATGTGAAATTTAAAGATAATACAAAATTCTGGGAGTCGTTGCGTACAGATTATATACCCCAAGGTTCAAGTTCTGGGGAGACTAGACATGTCCGTTCGGGACTTAGAATTCCCCTCGGGCTTTTCTAATTCCCGCCAACGCCCCATAGTAACACCTGGAAAAATGCTAGCGCCTATTTCTGATGGTTCCATGGCTTCCAAAAGTTCAATTGTTTCTCGTAAAATTCTACTGCCTGTAGAATGACTTATTGTTGTTTGATAAGTTATTGCTCACTATTTGGTTGGTTTGACCGACAGTTCAGGGGATGTCCGGGGTATCGCGCAGAAGCCGAAATCCGTTTTCAACTGCAGGATTCAGGGTTATGAGACGTTAAGAGGCCGATATTGACCTCCAGTCTCGCACAGGGCATGTTTAAATCCATAATGTTAGTTGAGAGGGGTCCGGGAATCGTTTTGATGGAAAGAATATAATATCCGGCCTATTGAAACAAGCTATTATCTGAACCATGCGTGCGCTGATCAAGGGTAGGTCGATGTTTATGAATATTGACCGAATTAATAAAATGGGTTGAAGTATAACCTTTGTGTATATTAACAGCGATAACGAACAAATCCCCCAGTATCCCAGGTATTGGACTTATTAGAAAGGTGCTAGGTCCCATAAGGTTATGAGTCTCCATGTTTCTTCAGTACAGGGAGCTATCAGGACTTGCACTTAGAGAGATACCCTTTAGCCTCGTAACTAGACCTGTGCATTTGGGCCCCATGGGATTTTGATTCCATGCACAGGTCTACTCGTAACTCATCGATCCGCCTCCCGCGCCTCTTGCCTTGAACGTGACTCCTACCTCAAGCACTCTTCCTGGCCCGTCCAAAAAGATAGATATAATCAGTGCGCAAACATTCGGCCTTCAATCTCTTATCGCTCAGGCGGCTACAACCCAGGCTAGCGTTTTCCCCACTCAAACAGGCACAAGTAACAACACCGCCAATACCATTGTGCGCAAATCGACGCTGCCACTGCGGGTCTCAGGAAAGCCGAGTTGAGATGCTACCCGGAATGTTTGAGCGCATCATCATGCCAACTAGGGATATGGCAACTCCGCAGTACAACTACCGACCGATAAATGCATGTAGTGCATATATAAATTCAAGTTTCTCTCTTGGGGTGAATTCCGAGAAGCGAATATCTAGTTATTCATCGACAAAAGTCTTTGTCGACTAGTAGAATGTATCTTGAAAAACATGTCCCGAGATGACACGGATCAACGAATAGTACGGGTTGCCTGCGTTACCCATTCCACTGACCTACCTTAAATAACCAGGGTTACCTTCTACGCGGTCAAGGATCATTAGGCTTTATACGACATAACGCATAACGCAGGCTAAAATTTCGACCTCTGCCTTGGTAAAAATCTGGAGCAGGCTCTACAAAGGCATTATTTTCTATCACCCCGTCGAAACAATGGACAAGGGCAATAAACGCAGTTCACCCACTATGTCCTCCCAGCACACTTGGACACCATCATCCTGGAGAGACAAAACAGTCAACCCATATGCTATCGAGTACCCAAACGGCAAGGATAAGGATGTTCACACTATACTACGCCGTCTCAGTCTACTTCCACCTCTCGTTACTTCATCTGAGGCGTCTGAACTCCGAGATCAACTGAGGGAGGTGGCCCTAGGCCAGCGCTTCATCTGGCAATGCGGCGACTGTGCAGAGCTCTTCGAATACTGTGAATCTCGCTCAATTTAAAGACGAGTTCAGCTGTCTCTTATTCACACGGCTTACCGACATCCCCACACTCTTGATTGGACGGATGGCTGGCCAATACGGCAAACCGCGAAATGGACTAATGGAGAGAGTCAAGGGATGCGATGTCCAGAAGTTCCAGGGTGATGTGATAAACTCTATTAACGAGACACGGCGCGATCCGGACCCGAAGCGTCTGCTCGAAGCTTATTTCTCTTCTGGCTGTACGTTGAACTATATGCGATCTACAGCCCAGTCCGACAAATGCATGGAAAGTACAACTGGGATCTAGGCCCAGTTCTGGACCCTCAAATGAGAAAAGCCTATAATTATATGGTGGCTTGTTTGTCAAAAGAGCTTCGCCGATTATTTTCTTTTTCCATTTGGTCTCAAGCCACTAGACTGGTAATATTGAAATATTACAGAGTGTAACACAGACTTGTTGGGCGATTTGGGGATTATTACCACTATTGTAAATATATTACAGCTAGATCAGTACACAGCGAAGCCCTTCTCCACTTAGTGTAGTGCAGATCGTCAGCTTCAGTGCAGGGACCCTGAATCTGTACCACGATTCAGCGAACGCCTTCTTTAGTCTAGGCTTTTAGGCCCTAGTGGTCTGGTAATGCGGAAGTTGTATCGAAAATCTTACTGCCAAGATACTAGGGGTTTTCAGCATTTTCAGCCGTAATAATGCGATTTGGAATGTAAACCTACTAGCGCCAGGTATGGAGCTGAAGAATGATCGAGCGGGAGTCTATTAAAAGGGCCCTGTCTGTCGCCCATGTGCCGAATCTCGAGTCCAGCCGAAAGGTAAAAAGCTTAATAGCTCGGAAGCTTCCAAGATGTTGTTCAATACGTGCAAGTCATTTGTTGTCGCGCTGGCACTCGGCGCCAGCACCACCATGGCGTCAAGCTACCAGAACTCTTCCAGAGCGCTCATGAGCCGTCGCCTCACTGAGTATCAGATGCCGGTCGCTACTGAGACACACGAGTTCGCACGCGTGCCAAACTCCAGCTTCGTCCTGCTGACGCAGATGTCCGACAGCGAGCTCATCAAGATCCAGCTCGACCCCAAGACCGAGGAGCCCATTGCTTTCCACTCCTTCCCTATGGGAATGAACAGTAGCTCCCAGCTGCACGGTGTGTGGCCATCCACCGTCTACCCCGGCAAGATGTGGCTTTCTCTGCAAAGAGAAAACAAGCTGCTCCTCGTCGACCCCGGCAAGAACCTCTCGTCTGTTCCTCACATCCTGAAGACCATCGATATCCCCCAGCCTGGCAACGGCCCCCACTGCGTCTTCGAGATTGGTAACCGCATCTGGGCTGGTCTGAAGGTTGCCTCTGAGCAGACTGGCAAGTACTACGTCTTCTCTGCCAGCATCCGCAACTCTACCGACTACAAGCTGTACGAGGCCCTCAACAGCCCCGTCTTCATCAAGGAGGAGCCCACCACCGGCTTGATCTACGTCACCCAGGACACCGACTCGTCCATCATGCGCATCAATGTCACCAGCAGCGAGACTAAGCAGATGCACGTCCCTGCCAGCGTTGGCAACACCGCCGTCGGAATGATCAGTGCCACCGGTCCCCTGAGCGGTGTCTGGTTCACTCTTGCTGGAAACGCCACTGGTGGTACCGGCACTTTCGGCCACATCGGAGCCTCTGGCGAGATGAACTTCTTCACCCTTAAGCACCCCATGCTCGGTGTCAATGCTGGTCTCCTGCACATCGCCGATGCTTCGACCACCGACGGTGGCCCAGCCCTGTGGCTCCTGTCCACCTCTCTACTTAGCAACGATTCTCCCGATGCGCTGGTCCGCGTCACCTTTGACGACTCCCTTTCCGCCCTTGCCGAGGAGGAGTACATCTCCATGCTTACTCAGAATGCTAAGGTGCACCGTGTTGTTCCTCTGGACAACACTGTTCTCGTTTCTGAACTCCACACTTTCACCCTTGCCCAGCTCACTTACAAGAACACCGTCGCTGGACAGTGGCTCCCAGCTGAAGCTGTCACCAACACCTCCGTCTACACCAAGGCTGGTTGAAGAAAAGTTATCGATGGAATTATTATTGGCATATCGCATGGCCACTTGTGCTATATATAATTAGTTATATATGGTACATACACTACTTAACTCCTAATCTAATCGGATCTCCCACAAGACGCGAAAAACCAGCATATACAAACTTTTCACAAGTAAAACCTCCAGATGCATTTCTGGGTAAGGGAATTCCAATTTCCGTCAATTTCCATATCTATATGGGGATAAATTTTACTTCTAATTCCGAAGACATTTGTCGACGGGGTATCCACTATCCAGTCCGATACATACATCCTTCGTCTCGGTTGGCGCAAAGGGCCTTAGTGTATCTACTCGCATTCGATCGATAGTCTCAGGTATAGGCCGGCTGATATCCACACTAGATCAAGATTCATTCAATCTCGCTGCTACGTCTGATGATTTTGAGTTGCGGTATATTCTTAATTCTATAAAGCGCCAGACAAGCCCAACGCTCTGCCAAACCGAGTGACTTTCCTATGCTTGTCTTTCCGGGGCTCCCCTCATGCAATCTGGCCATTACATGACTACCTAGGTATTTAACACCACAATTGAAGTACTTGGCAGTATCTATTATCTAATATAAGGCCACAAACAATTCGTATAATTGATACATAATATATACTATTGTTATATGGGATCCTGCCAATAGCGACCTAATAGGCCACCCAAGACAGAACAGGCAGCTAGGTAGTGACCAAGTTGACCTTCCAAATAGACTACATATATGTATTTCTATGATATTTTAGTTAATCAAACATTAATAGTGCCTTATTTATTTATCAATTGATACCCCCTTCAAGAATACATTCGTTTAAATAGGTGTTGTAGTAAGTATTGACTCTCAATAAAGGTGACATCCTCTTATCTAATTTATTACTTTCTTATATCACCAGTCTATAGTATCAGTTAGACTCTGGGTCTTCAACCATTTTCATTAGTCCCGGAATTCAATTCTTTCTTATTCTACGACAGCATTCACTCTCATCATAACCATATTTGATTATTCAATCGTCCTTATCACTTAACTTTCCTCTACTATTTACTTTGAATTGCAACCTCGCGCCTGAGGTAAGATATCATCTTATTGATTATACCAACTTGCTATCTTTGTTTTCAAGTTGCGTCTTCTCGCTTCTTTCTATTCAAAATTATCGACAAAGCGCAAAGTCTACGTCGATGCCGGAAATTCAATCCTGTAGCAGAAACTTCCCTATTAGCCTTGGAGAATCTCATCTTTCCAAAACCAGGCGATCACCTGGACGCTTAGCCGCCCCTCATGCCGCTCCCATGAAATCCTCACGAAGAACTGACTTTCTGCTGCCTTATGGGGAAGTGAAGTGAAGGGATGCGACATGATGCGAAGTGAATGAATCATTTTAGGCCACAGCTTTTTCCTCCCCTTTATCCTCTTCATCTTCATCATTTCTTTCCCTTTTCTTCACCCTAAAACCCTAACCTTCTTACTTTCTTCTATTATAGGTACAGGTCTTATCATGGGGCAAGTCGATGTCATCATGTATGCGCCATCGAATGAACACCCTGGTGGCAGACGACACTGGGCAGTATCGCTTCGATCATCCTGCGACGTTTGCCAGCAGGTCAACATTGTCGAACAGCCCAATAGCCTAGCGTCTTCGTTCAGTATCGAGGATGGTCAAGGTGAGAATCCTGGCATTAGCTCACTGATGGAGCGCACAATACCGGCTGGGGAGTTCCTAGACTCGGATTACTGGGAAATACTCAGAATAACTGAAGGATACCCATCCTATTCAGTGAGGGGCTGCCAGTATTGGGAAGTGGACTTTCTCATGTATCCGAACGAGAACTACAATAGAATCATTGAAAATGCCGCCTCTCACCCCACTGATGCAGCTGATCGCCAAATATGGGTCACCCACTGACTAAATCAGTTGGAGGTCAAGAGCCTGGTTTTCTTCGACGTTGGTACTTGGGTACAGTTGGAGGCGTCTCGAGGTGCCTAGGGATACCTCCATGTCTAGGTAAGCGAGGCTATTCCAGACCGCCGATAACCCGAAGTTTTTGAATCTGATACTACTCTTGCAGCTCAGGACTTCGAAAAAAAATCGTGAAAAGGTGGTATGAAAACCCACCTAACGACTCCGACTGCCAAGAGCAAAACATCCTATTTCTCAACAAGTTAGAAAGAGAGCGTGTGATCATTTTCGATGCCGATGCATGGGCAGTGTTGGAGGTATGTCGATGTGCTCCTAGAGAGATTTTCGGTTGGACTGGGTTGGACTGGGTTGGACTGGGTGTCTTTTGAGTTAACATTATTGACAATCATCAAGTCATCAACACTGAGTGATGTGGGGCGAGAGCTGAGGGCAGCTAGCAACCCCCACCCCTATCTAGGAGCAGCAACTCCTGTCAACCAATCTGGCTTCCTAGTCTTAGTCGGTGGTCTTAGTATCAGCTGTGTGCACCGGGCTTATGCCAGGCAGCATGTGCTAAGACAATGAAGAATTTTAACACTACTATCCATGCTCCTTGGTAGTGTAAACTGAATATATGTGAAATTTTTATATCATAATAAGCCATCATCAAACCATGTCTCTTTTGTGTCATCAAGATTCCGAAATACTATATTGAAGACCTAACACCTACTTCCACCCTAAACAGCTCTAGTGGTGGAACAGACGAGTACCCTGCTGAACAAAAGTAATTCCAAGCTCCTCGGCAGTCTCGAAAACAGGGGTATCGTTCTGGCTACCTGTAGGTGCAGCGATGTACTTGACACCGGAGCGGGCAGCACGGAAAACGTTGTCGATGAAGGGGAACTGAAGTGAACGGTTAGCATTACTGTAATAGCAGAAGAACACAATAGAAAAAAAAGTGAGCTATGAAACTTACGAAGGCGTCAGAGGAAACAGCGACCTCGCCGAGCTTCTGCAACCAAGCCTCACGCTCCTCCTGGGTGAAAGGAGCAGGAACCTCCTCAAAGACACGCTCGTACTCGGCCTTCTCGGCGTCGTTTCCTTCGCGGGGAGTCTGGCCTGAGCACAGCAGGTCAATGGCGTTACTCTTGTCAGCACGCTTGGTGCCCTGCTTCCACTTGATACCGATGACACGGTCGTGGAAACGCATCCACCAGTTATCGGCCTTGTCACCAGCCAGACGGGTGCAGTGGATACGGCTCTGCTGACCAGCACCGAGACCAATGATCTGGCCGTTCAGGGCGTAGCAGACAGAGTTAGACTGTGTGTACTTGAGGGCGATAGTGGCGACGGTCAGATCGCGGAGAGCGGCCTCAGGAAGACCGGAGAGGTTCTTGGGGGTGATAATGGTGTTGAAGGTCTTGCTAGGAGAGATGACGACGTCGTTGCGGTGCTGGCTGAGCTGAACGCCGTACAGAGTGCGGGTTTCCTCCGCGGCGGGAGTGTAGTTCTCGTCCATCTGGAGAACAAGGTACTTGCCGCCCTTCTTCTTGGAGAGGATGGCCAGGGCCTCAGGCTCGTAGCCAGCGGCGATAACACCGTCTGAGACCTCACGGGAGATAATCTTGGCAGTGGGGGTGTCGACAATGTCGCTCAGGGCGAGGATATCGCCGAAGCTGGACATACGGTCAGCACCACGGGCACGGGCGTAGGCCTGGGCCAGACCGGAGCTCTCAATGCCCTTGATGTCGTCGACCATGTAGACCTTGCGCTCCTTCTCGGTGAGAGGAACACCGATAGCAGCACCGGCGGGGGACACGTGCTTGAAGCTGGCAGCGGCGGGGAAGCCAAGAGCTTGCTTCAGCTCCTTAACCAGAGGCCAGGCGTTGAGGGCATCCAGAAGGTTGACGTAGCCGGGGGAGCCATTGAGGACCTTGAAGGGCAGCTTGCCTTGGGGCATGCAGGCGGCAGCGGGCTTCTGGTGGGGGTTGGTGCCGTAGCGCAGAGAGAGCTGCTGAAGACCGTTACCAGCGTACTCCTTGCGGAAGAAGGCTGAGATGGCAGTGTCGTAGTCGGCAGTCTGCTCGAAGGCCTTGAGGGCGTACTGCTTGCGGCTGGCCTCGGTGATCTGGCCGGCCTCGAGCTCTTTCAGGAACTCGGGGTAGTCTGTAGGGTCAGACAGAATGGTCACGCGCTTGTGGTTCTTGGCCGCGGCGCGGAGCAGAGTCACACCACCGATATCAATTTCCTCAACGGCCTCGTCGATGGTCACGTTGACCTTGGCGACGGTCTCCTTGAAGGGGTACAGGTTGCAGACGACGAAGTCAACCTTGGAAATCTTCTGCTCGGCGAGGTCCTTCTCGTCGGATTCGATGTCACGGGCAAGGATACCACCGTGGACGGCAGGGTGGAGGGTCTTGACACGGCCACCAAGCATCTCGGGGGCGTTGGTGATAGCAGAGACATCCCTATGTGTTCCCGTTAGCATTGAACAATCTTCAAGTTCATAGCTGGAGTCTGTCCAATTCAGGTATCAACTCACTCAACGGGGAATCCAGCCTCACGGATCATCTTAGCAGTACCACCAGAGGCGAGAAGACGGACATTCTGCTGGTTCAGACCCTTGGCCAGGTCCAGCAGTCCAGTCTTGTCATAGACGGAGATGATAGCTGTATAGAAATAAATCAAATAGCTATCAGCATTGAATTCAATCCATACCCTCTATCCGGGGAATGATATCAAGGCCAAGATTGCCTACCGGACTTTTGAGACATTATGTCGACACTGGAAGAATGGATATACGTTAACAAAACCACGTCCAGCTCGAGGAGACTCCAATTGAAGACTTCCAAAGATCAATTATTTAGAACACATATCACATACCTGAATCCAAGCAATAATGGAGTATATTAGCCTGAACGAGAGTGAAAAAAGGAACAAGTCTGTCCCGCCGCGGGGTCTTTTTTGCATGCCGCAATCGGACACCAATTACAGTACCCGCGTATGAATACGTAATATACGCAACTAAAAAAACCAGACAAAATGGACAAACTCATGTGCAAATGCCCAAGTCTCCACTTATAGAGAATAAACCAATGATAGCCATGGCTGAGTAAGTGGAGGTTAGAAGTGTCCTAAGTCACATGACCACCGGGCGAGCTCAAAAGGAACTTTTGCGCGGGCATCTTTCCTCTTCTTTTTTCTTTCTTCTTCATGAACAACGCAAAATAACACGTTCTTTCAAAAAGCGTTCCAACGAAGACTCGTCTCATGAAGTATGGAAATCGTATAAAGAACGGAGATCGAGTGCATGCACAGTGTCGATCTTGGGTGCAGTACCTGCCGGACCTTCGGGCCCAGTGGAAGGAATTGCAATGATTGACTCTACAAACTTTCCAAACATGAGACTTAGGGTTGTAAAAATCTGAGTTTAGTGTAAATTTGATCGTTGTTTGAGTGGAATTATTTATTTAATATATATAATATATAATATAAACCTAAGCTATTTTCTATTACAATTCTATCTTGACTTTGCCAGTGAAGAAATTTTTCTGTATAAAGCCATTTACATAGCATCGAGCCTCACATAAGAAGAATACAGCAGAGTTTAAACCCTCGCAGTAACTCAAGCTCCTTTGTGCCAAGATTGAGATCAGTCTCGTTTTGTTTCAAGACTTCAGGGTATCTCTGCCACTGGCTCCGAATGCGAGCTGGCGGCCAACATTTCCAAAACACACGCAAGCGCAGAAAATCACACTAGCAACCCAGGTGCGAACGGCGATGCTCTCCTGGGTGATATCTGCTCCCATGGCATTCTCCCATCCAGTGCCGTTGAGGAAAGCGGTTCCCACGGACGGGCCAGTAGATGCTGGGATCAAATCGGGCTTTAAGCCCAGGATTGCGCTCATACCAGCGATGCCGACAGTTGTAGCCAGAAGGAAACCAGTCTGGGTGCGGTCGATCAAGTACCACAGAACAGGATTGGCGAGGGCGAGAGTGAGGGAAGCCTGTGTTGTAGATTGCCAGGGGAGTCGGCGCTAAATTGGGAGGGAAAAAATATCAGTATCCACGCGGCTGGATAGAGGAGAAAAAAAATAAACAAGACAAATCCTGTACTGGCTGACTTACCATAGCAAAAGCAATGCCGACAAATGCGCCCACACTGCGAGCAACTGCAACCCATGAAGGAGTTCGTTCCTCGTTGTCCTCGTCATCCCTCGCATGTTTCTGTTCCTCCTCCCGTACAGACTCAGAATCGCGCCAGCGATCTAACCAGGGAAGCACATTGCCTAGCGCAATACCCGTCAACCCCCAGAAGCCCAAGTACTGCCATGAATCGTAGTAATGGATGTTTTCAAGCTTGACCGGCGTAATCCAATGGTTATCATGCAGGTGGACGGTGATCACTCCATACACAATTCCAAATCCGAACAGCAACGCACTGCTCAGCGCCTGTGGTAGGATCACACCTCGAAACAGTCCATGGCTGAGTCTTGAGCGTGTCCGTCGCAATGCAAATGGTCGCGGTTCAATCGCTGATTTCAATGCGGCACGCTGCGACGGCTCGGGAGGATACTCCGAGGCTGGAGAATTGGCTTCTGTACCCCAGGGGCTCGATTCGTCGCGGAGACCATCGAAGGCGGTGGGTTTGTAGATACCGTAAAGGGTTGAAGAGGTCAGATTCAGGATCGATCCCGTTCGGCTCACGCTCGTGGAAGCTGAGCCAGCATCCTGATTATGGGCGTTGGGGCTGAGGAGGTCAGGAGTGGAAGTCTCGGCGGGTGTAGGGGGTCCAGATGAATCGGCAGATGGAGAGATCTCAAAGGGGCGGCGCGGGCGTGGCCGCAGAATCCTAGGCGAATCCACCATCGTGTGCGTGTGAACTTCTTGCGAGAGGGTTCTTGACACGGCGGGTAGTACAGGGGTTGGAATTGAAGATGAAGGCGGACTGCGTAGTAAACTCTTAAGTTCCCTTTGGGGGGTGGACTTCAGAGCCTCCGATTGTCGGGACCACACTAATCAAGTTGGGGCGGCTTGTTATTCCCACTTTGAGACAACTGGCCTTTTCTTCAGGTATATATGATGAGACAGAGAAAATCGGAATGGTGCAACGCGTCTGAAGTGCATGTGTTAGCACCAAAAATCTCGGGTCAACTCCACCGTAACAAAAGGACAAATTTAATGCAAGGATGACATTCTTACCAAGGCACAACTCAATTTGCCTCGCAAATCAATAATTAACTATAGCTTGAAGTCTCTTTTTGGATTTCTCCCTTCGAAATGAATGAACTCCGTTGGGTAGCGAAAAAGATTTCGAATATCGAATGATCGTAATCGTATAATAAAAAAGCGTTGGGGTAATACGTCAGTCAAACCGCGGCTGCAGGGTCTCCGGCAGTGCAGGCGAAAATATCGGAGGTGTCTTCTAGTTTCTTCGGGCCCGATTATTGATGTGCTGTATAGCCTTAGGAATCCACTCGATGCCGTTGGCTAGAATGAATCACGACGGGCTTCTGCGTTTATGCTGATTTGATGTAATTATCCCGCCAATGGGTGGGGAATCGGGCTTCGGCTGAATCCCGCGATGATCCCGAAGGTGATGACGTTGATTGGGGAAAGTGAAGAAGCTATACAATGATCTTCGAATGAAGATGTAATAACAAAGAAAAGGGTTAGAGGAGATAAAGAGAAGAGAGATGAAGAAAGAGAAACATAGAAAGAGAGGGGATTCTGTACAGAAAAGAGGGGGGACCATGGATCACATGGGAAGTTCATCATATACTGTTTTCTACGGTGGCACTGTGGCAAGCTCCATCGAAACTCCACAATAAGGCCCGCTGAGCTGCAATACGAGACGAGCACCCCAAAGACCCTCACGCCCAGGTTCTCAAAGCTACAGTTTATGTCCACGGACCCTCGTGCTCCGATGCAGCTCGTGCGGGGCGCTTCGCCAAACATGTACATGTAACAGGTTGCTAATGCATCATGACCACACCAGCCGTGTGTGGATGCAGCGTGCGGGCACCTGAATAGAGACAATTGAATTGAGACATTGAGCTACAGCCATTGGGGCCCAATCACTCTCCTCCAGTGGTGGGGCTTAAGTGAAACTGGAGACAACTTCGTCATACCTGGTAGCAGGCCACATGTACACTCAATGTTACTCTCCAGTCTGCCAAAAGTATCAATTTGGGTCTTGCGGGGTGTATCCTCCGTGCTAGCTGAGGCCCACATGCATCATGGCTTCAAATTTCAGGCCGACCCGTCCAAGGAAGTTGACTAGGTATATGCATGGTTACGGGGATTATGCATACATGCATCGTACGGAGCAACATGCAGTCTAACATGAGTATTAGATAGTCGAACCTAGACATTGGAAACCCATATTTGGACCAGGAAGAATAACATATATAGAGAATTACCACGAGAGCAAGTGAACAAGATTCTTTGAATGTATCGGAGCTCTGAGGCCCAAGTGTACAGTGCAGTTGATGAAGTACAGCGCAACAAAAGACGAAACCCCATATTAACCAGAATAATCACAGTTGATCCTATAATATCCCCGAATAAGAAATTAAAAACCAGAAGAAAAGAAAGAAAGAAAAGCACTAAAATGTCATCACAGATATGGGTTAAGTTTGTGTCATCCTTTAATCTTCCATAGCGTCGTCCCCGCCTTCCCGTTGCTCAGCAGCTCCTTCAGGTACGGGAGACGAGCTCTCATGTCGGGCGTAGCCATTAGGTCCATCGTAGGTAGACAGAACCTCATCTCCATCAACGGCGTCGTCATCATCCCCTGAATCGTCCGAAGAATCTCCATCAGCAGGAGAGCCAGCTCGTGGGGCTCCATCTTCTTCACCGGAACCCTCTCCAAGCAACTCACGATCTAGATCGTCCAATTCGCCTTCTATGTCCTCATCACCTCCGGCTGCACTTCCGACCTCGGCACCCGCAGGGCGACTGTGGCCACTCTTGAGGCGTGCAGCGGATTTCTTCGCAGTTCCTGGAGTAGACGTGGGACCAGCTGTCTTACGCTTCGCAGCACCACCACGAGCACGAGGACGAGATCGATTGCTGGCCGCTCGAAGATCGGCCTGAAGTGCGGCTTTGGCTCTCTGGCGTTCTTCGCGTTCCTTCTGTCGGTCCACCTTCGGGCCGTTCGCATCTTCATAATCCCATCGATCAAGACGTCGGCTTGCCTTGCGAACAACAGAAAGGAAATGATTTGCGCATTCGCCAAAATCATCTTCTTCCTCGGGGTTTGGAATTAGGCCACCAATGCCCCATGAGCTCTCTTCGTCCTCTGTGTCATAACTATCTGGCAAGCTCTGGACTAGACGAGCATATCGGGCAAATGGGATCTCATTATTTCGCTTGGCACGGAGTACGCGGTATGCATTGCTCCGTCGCTTGGCGAGCAAGTATTCGATACGCTGTCGGCGATTCTGCTCCACAGCAATCTGGTGTTGTGTTAGAGGGCGTGGTCGACGGCTGGAGGATTGTGTGAGGGATGGCTCTGGGATGAAGCGGTCCATGAGTCCAGACCCAGAAGGAGCAGGAGATGCATTCGGAGTGTGGTCCATCTTCGTTTTCAAAATAAGTCGCTGTTGGCCCACAGCTCGGTTGAGAGATGAATCTCGTTTGATTTGTTTGTTGCGCGGTCGAGATGACCCAGGAGTCATTTCATCGTCGTCCTCATCCAAGCTTCGTTTAGCAGACGGGTGAAGGGGTGTAGACATCGCAGAGCCTCGTCCTCCTAAGCCAGAGTAATCTCCTGCGAAGGGATCTTCGTCGAATCCATATTCTGTAGAAGATGTCACCAAAGGTTAGAATGCATTGCTGTGGTGTAGTACAAGGGTAACAATCGTCAGTCACCTTTCTTTGGGCGTTTTGGAACACGGGGAAGTGGTTCATCTTCTTCGAGGATACCTGAAATTGCTGTTAATGAACCAGGCCAAAAAAAAAAACAGTATTGCACTAGCACTTACGCTTGCGCTCGAGTCTTTTTGTTTCCCCATATTCAAGCTCCTCTGCTGTATCCACATTCTCTTCATTCGCTTGCTCCTCTGTTAGGCTCTCAAAGACAGGTACCTTCAGAGGTAAGTCAAGTCCTTCTCCTTCCAGGCCGGGACCAAATGGATTGTTCAGAGCAGCTTCGCGGGTGAAGTCACTCTCCAAATACCACCACATTAGCCACAGGAACGCATTAGCTCGGCTTTTGCTGCTCAAAGTGGATCGCATAACTAGATCAAAGAAGTCACGGGGCGGGAAGAAATGCGTTTCAGAGACTTTTGGTGCGTATTGTGCCAGAACAAATATGAGGTTCACGGGGTTCGTCCGGGGTACAGAAATCTGCTTGATCTTATCCAGAGTATTCGGTTGATCCACATCCTCGGACGCACCCTTCAGGATGGATTTCAGGCGTGGAGCGTCCTGCAACTGTTTATAGGCATTGGAGTCTTGGTGCGCTTGCAGCGAAGGGATGGAATGATAGGTTCGTAGCTGGGCACGCATTTCAGGGAAAACTGAGAAACGGAACTGTCAGTATCATCGTGACAAGGCAAATACAGTGAGTGTGATTTGAGAATAAGAGCTCACAGTTGAGGGTGGTGTTCATGCGACCAAAGTTGACGAGCAAGCAGACCATTGCCATACTAATCGCGGCCGGCTTGTCATTTTGCAGCTTGTCCTTGAGCACTTTGCTCGTCTTGCTACTCCGCGCCATGGCATCGATGTAGATGTCGGCGAAGTCCAGGTTCTTCTCGCCGTCAGGGTATCGCGTGAATGCGGGTGTCTTGTCCTCGAAGACGAGCTTGAGGAACTGGTACTGGATATCTTTGCGCCAAAGCGGGATTCCATCTTCTTTCTTGAGATGTCGAATCTTATTACCCGAGTATACCGAGCCGATTGTGCCATTTGCCTGGCGTCTGGTGCCGACCGTTGCGCTAGCGGTCATGCCCTGGCCCTGGTCGTCTCCAGCTTCGTCCCCAACGTATGATTCGTCCATTGGGGTGTTTTCGACTTCGGCCATCTTGAATGACGATTGCGATTAAGAAGAACAGATGGTTTGAAATGAACCTTCCTGCGACCGAGGCGAGAATCGAAGGTTTCTGGGGGTGGGTGGTCCCCCCCTAGGAGGCGCGAGTGGATTCTGAAGAAGATGCGGAGATGATGGAAACTCGAGTGGAGATGCGAAGATAATCAAGAGGCAGGTGTAATTCGGAAGATGGGGGGAAGGAGATAAAAGAAACAAAGGAAAAGCGTAATGAAGGTGTGGACAAGGAGGAAAGGAAGGAAGCGGGAAGGAAACAGATGATTGAAGTCTCCATTAGTGGTGAGTGAGTGATAACTACCCGCATATCCAGGATCCGCGTAACTGCCCGTATTGTATATAGCCACCTGGGCACGGTTCATGCCTTTGTAAAGATTTTTCGATTTACAGGTGCTAAAGAATTTATTTTTTCGATACCTTGAATAAAAATATTCCGATCACTTGCCGTCTCATGTTTCAAGGATGTGAGATCCAAGGCAGTCACTAGAGGTTCTGGGATGATAGAAGCCGTAAATACTTATAGCTATATTAGCCCACATGCAATCCATGCAAAGCTCTATAACAATACATATATATCCGTGCATAGTGGAATACAGGCCCGAGGATACTACAGTCTACTCCAAGGTGATATATATAGGGAACACTTTTCAAATAGCATTAACTAAGAAGATTCTCCTTCTTGTAGCGTTGAAAATAATCAGGCCCTTTCTGCTTTTCCGTTCTCCTAACGTGAAACCATGCGAGAACCATTCAAAAAGCGCCGGGCATCTCATCCTCTCCACAGATCCGAGAAAAATGATGCAAGGGGAATTTGAAAGAAAAAAAAATAGCTTTTTTTTTTTTTGGTTCAAGGGGATCAGGTTCCTCCACAGACCCCGGAGGACATGCGCTTGCAGGTCAAGCCAACGCCATACAGAATGCAAAGAATCCCTAAGCCACGCACCTGGCGATGAGACCCAGCAAACGCAAGAAAGCAACACTAAAAAAAACACCAGTCCGGCCACGGCGCACACCCATTCCATTAGCCCGGAGAAAGAGAAAAGCAAGAGGCTTTGATTTCCGAAAAGACAAATTCGAACCGCGAAAACACATGAATTGGTAGCAAAGAAAAGACACGCAAGGAGTTGTCCGCCATAAGATACCGACGCTGACAGAAGTCTATGCTGCAAGATCCGACCGATGCAGCCATAACAGCGCCGAGGTGATGCAAGTATAGGAAAAGCACTTTTTCGAAGAGACTGAGGTAAAAAAGCCGGTAACTCTTCGCTCGGCGCACACGCGTCATTCGAACGTGGTCCCCGAAATTTGGGAACGCTCGAACAAAATAGGGGTATCTGATGAGAGCGGACACAGAAAAGACAACGCATTCTATCATGTTCATGCAATGCAGACCACCGGTTGCTCAGAGTTTTGAAAATAGAAAAAAATGTCAAGAAAACCCAGAGCAACAGAGATCAGACTGCTCGAACGCCCCGTGTCTAAACAAGGCCATATTGAGGGCCAGGAAGAAGTTGGAGCAGATAAAACAGATACAGAAATAAAAAAGGAGATAAGCCGTAAAAAGGAAATCGAAACATAGCGCACGCGAGAGCATCGGAGAAGAAAAGGAAAAAAAAACCAAGGCATAAGATCTAAAATAAACAGAGTCACGCATAGCGAGTTCGTGGAAGTCATGACAAAGCCGTCCCTGAGAAACAGCTAGGAAGAAAACACCTCAGGGTTCGTTCTGATCGTATCCGGCAACGAGAGACAGTAAGGAAATAAGAAAATCGTGGAGCCAATCAGACCCGACGGCCTCGTCATCAGACCACGATTGGTTTACCACCAGGAAGAAGGACCAGTAGGGCCGGAGGGGTTTCCGTAGCTACCACCACCGTAGCCACCACCACCACCAGCACCGCCATAGCTACCACCACCAGCGCCGCCGTAAGAGGGGGCGGCACCACCAGAGCCGCCGTAGCCGCCACTTCCACCGTATGAGGGAGCGCCGCCAAAGCTTCCACCGAAGCCGGGGCCACCACCAGGACCACCGCCGAAGCGACGCACGTCACGAGTGGCGTTGCTGGCGCCACGACCGCGACCACCACCGCGGCCACCACGACCGCCGAAGCCAGAGCCCTCACGAGCAATGCTCTCCAAGAAGGCAGGAACTTCCTGGTGAGCCTCCTTAAGAAGGTCGAGCAAGTCGCGGACAACACCACGGTTTCCACGGTTGAAGAAAGCAGTGGCAATACCAGTGTTACCAGCACGACCAGTACGACCGATACGGTGAACGTAGTCGTCAATGTCGGTGGGCAGATCGTAGTTGATGACGTGGGTGACATTAGGAATATCAAGACCACGAGCAGCAACAGCGGTAGCAACCAAAATGGGGCAACGTGCGTTACGGAACATTTCCAGAGCACGCTCACGCTCACGTTGGGTACGATCACCGTGAATGGCGGTTGCGGGGAATCGCTGGTTGATAAGGAAGTCGGAGAGGGAGTCGGCCATACGCTTGGTCTCGACGAAGATCAGAGTAAGACCACTGGTGCCGTGGGTGTGAAGGATGTCCAGAAGGACAGAGCGCTTGTCGGCGTCCTCAACGTACTCAACCTTTTGAGTAATGTTCTCAGAAGTGGAACCCACACGACCGACGGACAAGAAGATGTAGTCCTTCAGGAAATCACGGGCAAGCATCTGGATGTCACGGGGGAAGGTGGCCGAAAACATGAGAGTCTGGCGGTCTTCAACACGGGGCATATCCTCACCCTCAACAATGCGGCGAATTTGGGGCTCGAAACCCATGTCCAACATACGATCAGCCTCATCCAGGACCAGATACTTGATGTTCATGAGCGAGATACGGCCACGCTCAATCAAGTCAACAAGACGACCGGGAGTAGCGACGAGCAGATCGCAACCACGCTCAATCTGGCGCAGCTGGGAGCCAATGTCGGCACCACCGTAGACGACACATGGGCGAACCCATGAGCGGTAAGCGAACTTGCGGGACTCGTCGAAGATCTGAGAAACCAGCTCACGAGTGGGGGCTAAGATGAGGGAAGTGGGGTAGGCCTTGCGCTGGCGACCATAGCTGAACTGGCCAGAGGCCTGGGCAGGAACAGAAGAAGGCCCGTTCTGGAAGGCTTGGGAGAGAATGGGGAAGAGGAAACCACCAGTCTTTCCGGAACCGGTCTGGGCACAAGCCATCAGATCGCGGCCGTTCATGACAATAGGAACAGAGTACTTTTGCACAGGGGTAGGAGTGACATAGCTCGCGAGCTTGATGTTAGAGATAAGATGATCGTCCAGAGGGGGGTTGGTGAAGGTGTTGACGGGCTCGGGAACGTCATTACCAGAAGCCTCGACAGGGATATCGTCGTAGTTGGAGAAGTTGATTCCGGTCTGCTGCTTCGAGGGGTCGTTGGGGACACCGAAAAGTTCGCGCTCGACGCGGGCGTTGGCAGGGCCGGCGATGTGCTTTCCGTCGCGCCACTGTCCATCTCCTGATCCACGGGCAGAACCGCCGCCACCACCGCCGCCGCTGTAAGAGGAGCCACCGCTGTGTCCTGGATGTCCGTAAGCAAGGGGATCGAAAGGCCGGATTTGTTCCTGGGGGTTCCAGCCAAAATTACCGTTTGAGGGACCGCGAGGGCTGAAGTCGGGGGCGTTAGCGTTAGCCCAGTCTCCACCGCGAGGACCGTTACTATACAAGTAGCATGAGGTTAGTGGAAGACCGGCCGAGGGGTAAAACTGTGGGCACTGTACCGAGGGCCACCGAAGCCGGGACCGGGAGCAGGAGGAGCACTGTCGCCACCACCTCCACCACGGGAACGGAGGTGAGGAGGGATATAGGCAGCGCGTCCCTGAGGGGGGTTGTTGCCTTGGGGCGCGTGCTGGGACTCGTTGATGGAAAGGTTTCCCATTTGAAGACCGTCGGCCATGATTGCGATTTGGTTCGAAAAAATTCTATGGAGTGTGAAAAATCACATCAGTCAGTGGACTGGGTTCCCGCGAGAGGCAAGTTTTTGAATTGGAGATTCCGAGCAGGGAGGACAGCATGCGAATGGAGTTTTTCTCCCGGGATTCACAAAAAAAGGTTCTTGAGTCGTAGGCAAGGCGTAAAGAAATTGAAGAGAAGACGGTTGTTTGTAACAAAGTTGAAATTTGAATTTACCTTTAAAAAATTAAGTGAGGGACGTGAAGATGTAGAACTGTCGTTCTCAGGTTTTTTTTCTTTTCACTTGATAGCGAAAAAAAAAGATCAAGTGTTTAACGACAAATGGCCACACTGGGAAAAAAAGAAAAATGCAAATCTCCCACTTCTAAGAACTCTATGAGCACCGAGAAATGAAAAAAAGAGGGATGGAGTGGAGTTGAAGAAATGAAAAAGGGAGATGAAGAAAGTGCAGTTTGAAGGTTTGCAAGTTTTGGCCTTCTGTGGGAAGGAGGCAAATCATCTACCTCTTAGGTACAGGCCTTGACTGCTTAAAGTGCCTGTGCGGGCAGGTAGCCAGTAGGTAGCGACGTTTGGTATTGTCATATGCAACGAAGGGCCCACTATAGCTAGCAGTGGCTACCGCTAAATCCCAGTGAGAGGAGGGTCTTTTTTCAGTAATATTACAGTCACACAAGCCACCGAAAAGTTTGAAATTTTCTTTTTTTTCCTGGAAATTCTGACCAGTTGATGACGGCGGTCTGGATTATCTGACTAAGAGTAGAGACCTGTACCTTGACTGGCTAGGCTATAGAGTCCCTGGGAAGGGGAGACCCGCCGGGCTATGGCACAGCACACCAGCACTATGATGGTACCATTCATGGATGCCTCCAGGGCTCTCTATGTCTATACACGTAGAACGCTCGTTGAGTTATAATGATATTCAGACATTCAATTTTCTTCACTACAGGCCATCAACGTGTAGAATATATCTACACATACTCTTTATAATCGTCATCAACAGCTGCGCGCTTGCTGTGGCGGCGATGAATGTAAAACCCGACAATTGCCACCAGCACAAGGAAAATCAGTACGGGTTGCATCGAAAAAGATCGGGAGTCGGCCACAGATTCGGTATCGGTTGGGTAGTCGTCATCGTATTCTTAGAAGGAGAAAGCACGCATCAGCCTACCGTCGCCGAGCAGTGAAAACAAACAATTGTTCAACCAGAGCGTGCTGCGGGTTTACAGCTCATCGCGGCTACCTTTGTCCTCGGATTCCGGCTCAAACTCGATCTCTCCACTCTTGAGGATCTTCACGATCTTCTGGGGCTTGGAGCCACCACCAACGGCAACATTCTGGATCTTGTCGACAATGTCGAAGCCCTCAAGAACTTCACCGAATACAACATGCTTGCCATCGAGCCAAGAGGTGATCACGGTGGTAATGAAAAACTGGGAGCCGTTGGTGTCCTTGCCAGCGTTGGCCATGCCTAAAAGAAATCAGTATAAAATATACGAGAAGACAACGACGGTATCAATAGCGTACTCAGAAGGCCGGGGCGGGTGTGGCGCAACTTGAAGTTCTCATCCTTGAACTTGTTGCCGTAGATGGACTTGCCACCAGTGCCGTCATGGTTGGTGAAGTCACCACCCTGGATCATGAAGTCTTTGATGACACGGTGGAAAGAGGAGCCTTCATAACCGAAGCCCTTCTCGCCGGTGGCAAGAGCACTGGGTGGTGGATTAGATTAGTACAAGGGTCGAGGTATAGAAATAATCGAATAAATATGATCATACCGGAAGTTCTCCGCGGTCTATGAAGTTGAGACAAGTCAGCTATGAACTCCAATTGTTCAACAGAGCTTCAGTTTCAACTCACCTCAGGAACAGTCTTGCCATACAGACCCATCACAACACGGCCAAGAGTCTCATCGCCATGCTGGATATCGAAGTAGACCTAACAATGTCAGTTAGCATCGGCTGTACGAGCCCGTTCAGACGACAGGCAATCTACCTTGCTAGTGATCTTGGGGCCACGGGGCTCCCGCTTAGCATCATCAGCTTGCACCAGCGCAAAGCCGACGGCCAGGACCAAGAAAATAGACAAAAAAAGGTTGCGGAACTGCATGGTTGCAAATTACCACTTCACGGGGTGGAGTGGAATAGCAAAGATGGAGAAAGGGATTAAGTAGAAGAGAGGGGAGGCCAGCTTGCAATGGCGTGCGGAGATTCCATACAAAGCTTTGGCACATGTGGTAATATTTGTAAAACAGTTCGCGAGTAAATTCCCGGAAATGCAGATAAATTACCATAATTACACAAATTTGAGTTACAAATACCGGCTACGTTCTGCAAATATCACCCCGGAGAAACACTATTTCCAAAGATTTCTCCCGCATTGACCGATCGGAGAGGCAAGCAAATATCCAGGTATCTCTCAATTGACACCAATTCAGCCCCCGTCAAGATGGTACGTCTTTCTTATCATCCTCTCATTTATCAACTACTAACTTTCTTGCCCAGGTTTTCATTCTCGGCGTGAACTTCCCTGAGCGGAACCTTTTGAAGGCAAGCAACCCTCGATCGCAACGCACCTCCGGTCAATCATGATATCGCCCAAAGCAATTAACTAACCTACGGCCGAACAGAAATCCCTCCAGACTTTCTTCGGAGTCGGAGGCGACACCTCCTCCCGTCTTCTTGCCCGCTTCAACATCCACCCGACATGCCGCGTCGGCGAATTGGCCAACAAGCAGGTTCTTGATCTGACCGCCGTACTGTCTGATATGAAGATTGAGAACGATCTCCGCCGTGAGGTCCTGAACGATATCAAGCGCTTGAAAGAGACGGGTACATATCGCGGTCGTCGCCATGCGTTGGGCTTGCCTGTGCGAGGACAGCGGACGCGCACCCAGGTGGGTTTACTCCATTCTCTCCATTCTTTACATATTTGATTCTTTCCCTGGATTCTCGCTACGGGATACGGTAGAAAGCTTTTTAGATAGGAGGCTCTGCAAAAACTGCGTTTCTCTGGTATTTAAGGGCTCTAGGCTAACAAGCTATATTAGATCAAAACTCCCGTCAGGCTCAACCGGATGGAACGTCGTCTGTAAATTCGCCAGACATCGCTATTATTGTTGTATTGATTTGAATTGGATAGTCTCGCGTCTTCTGTGAGAGGCATGGGATCGGCGTTTTGTTCTTGATTGCTGGCTCTTGATATACTTTTTTCCAAGCCAGCATGGATCTTTGTGAATGTACCACTCTACGAATGTATTATAGGTCTGACATGAGTAAAAGCAACATAACTAAAGCTTTCCACTCTATGCAAATCATGAATTCTTAGTGAATATATTATGGTAGACAATTGAAAAGGTATAGATATCCACATTCGTACGAGTCAAATATAGAACATGGCTAAAAAGGAAAGCACAAAACTAGTACATGAAAACTTTTGAACGACACCACATCTAGAACGCCAATCCCATATGTGCAATCTACTACTGTGTTGAGGAAAGAACACCTTCACCACGGTTGATCTGGATCCGCTTATCCTCACCTGCGCTTACAATACCAATTGCAGGATCCCAGCACACGCTAAAGACCTTAATACCTTCACCGCCAACACGCTTGCTATCGGCCTTACCCTCCTCCTCGAGACTCTTACGAGCAATCGAGTACACACTCTCTCCTACCACGCCATCCTTATCAGTCTTAGTAGAGCGAATATCCCAGATTCGGCATGTGCCGTCATGACTACCACTGATGAGGCCGTATGCGCTATGGGGGTCACGAGCCAAGCTCACGACGGCATTGGTGTGTCCACGGAGTGTCATAGCGGCCACAGTAGTGGCAGAAGCACGGGGATCAATAAGAGTAATATGGCGAGCGGAAGTACCGGCTGCCAACAGGTTGTGCTCGGGCAGATGCTCGAGGGAGAGAAGCGAGTGGGAGGTAGTGCGGGTATCGACCAAAGAAGCAGTGACCAGATCCCAAGTGCGCAGGGAATGGTCCCAAGAAGCAGAGTATCCAACAGTTGAATCCTTCGCATCGAAAATAGCAGCAGACACGGGGCCTGTGTGGCCGGACAAGAGAGCCAAGGGTCCGCGCTGCGCTGCGCTGACAGAGGTGTTCATCTTTCGTCGCTTCGAGTTACGGCCATGGCTTGATGAAAGTAGGTTCTCCGGTGCTGCGGGGGCATCGGCCTTCTTTGTGGACCAGAATCCAACAGTATGGTCAGAAGAACCGCTCATAAGGCGATTGGATGGAGCATGCACAGCCAAAGAATCAACGGCGGATTTGTGTCCGTATAGCTCCAGTTGAGGAGTTAATTTGCCGGTGAAATCGCTCGCATCTTCAGTATACTTCCATAGTCGAACGGTGCGGTCCAGACCGGCTGTGGCGATCTGGTTTGGCGACACAAATTTGGCGGCCTTGATAGACGCAGTGTGTCCACCTTCACTGGGACCAGGCGATGTCGCAATGATCTCAGATGACATGTTCCAAATACGAAGTAACCCATCGTAGCTTCCAGACAAAATTCTTTCTTGGCCCTTGGAGAACTTAGCACCTGAGGCCCAAGAGGCGGCAGGCGAAGCCTCGGAGAGCACGTCGGTAGCGCTAACCCAATCATCATGTTCAAAAGAAGCGATGTGCAGTGGAGGAATCAGAGCGCGGACGTATTCAATCTCGAGAGTTGTTTCGGCGGAGATTCCATTCGCCGTAAGGTATTCGTCAATCGAGGTGCGTAGAAATGTTCCATTGATCAAAAATTCAAACGGGACCGGCTTTTCACTTCCGAGCAGGTTGTTCACCAGGGTTGACAGCGCATAACGTCGTAGACCTTTAATATTATCAGTAAGACAATTCTTAAACCATTGAGTCTATTTTGGATAAGTGGTGCAGAGTATTCTTACCAGTAGGGACGAGAATTGGGCCAGTGCTTTCAGGAAGAGCAACATCCTCCTGCTTGCTGGTCAGCTGCACACGGACCTGTCTTTGCGCAGCTTCCTCAACGGTTGAGTTAAGTTCGTCACTCATGATGGATGAAAATTTGTCCAGAATGGGGGTCGTGGACTCTGTTCTGGTGTGGCTGTCGCTTGAACAAGTCTGCACTGGGTGAGGAAAAAATACGGTGACCGGTGCGGCACAGTAGCGCAGAGCGCGGAGATCAGCCCCACTATCTAGTTAAAAGGACGCAGTCAACTTCTTATATCTGTCTGGACTTGTCGTAATACCTTTTCTAAAGCGTCAGGTCCCTATCCTCAAAGTATGATGACAATACAAACCAATGGTTTAGTTTGAAATCTCAGAATAAAGTCAGAAATACTCTCGATACGTAGTCTAAGGCTAATATTGAAATCAACAATGTCATACACCTATCGGATCTCATTTACCCAAAGGTTAAGAAGGTCAGACATTGGGAGAAATCAAAGGTATAGATCAGAATTATGGATAACTAAGCAAATTTCAAATATGATTCTAAAGTATAAGTGGCTGGTTTGTTTATGAGTTGTAAAAGTAAGACTAAACGCTTCATACCCGTGGCGCTCGCCGAATCTCTGCAATAGCACGTCGGCGATGGTCCGACTCTGCAAATAGAGCGACAATCAAGTCGATCACTTCGTCCATGGCAAACTCCAGACCTAATTCACCCTCAATCCACAGAAACTTTATATCGGCCAATGAACTCTCTAGAATGTTGATTAGATATTGGAAGCGAAGCCAGTTTGGAACATAGACAGCAGTGACTGGCACAGCTTCAGAATCTCCGGTTTGTTCAGGTAGGAAGAGATCCTCCAACTTAGAAACCTGGTTGCAGAAGGACACTAGTTGTTTAGATTGCTCCTCGGAGATGTCGCCGAGATCTTCAATATCCATGATTATCTTGCCGATAACCGTAGATAAGAGAGATCCAATGGACTGAAGCAGTGCGGAATGAGATAGGATGGGCTGCCATTCCTTGTACACATCGCGAATTCGGTCAACACTTGCACTGACGGCATTCTCACACTCTGACTTGTACGGATTTTCAGAGCAATTTCCGAATGCTTGCGCGCCATCGAGCAAGTCGGTAACAATAGTGCTTTGGGTTTGCATCTCTTTGCTGTACGCAAACTTTCCGAATCTTTCCAATGCTTGCACATCGGGACTGAGTCTAGCAAGGTTGTGTTCTTCGATCAGCCCCTGAACACGACCAGCGAGGTATAGACAATCATTGTAAAGATAAATTTGACCCGAATTGAGCTTGAATGCATAAGACGAGGAGGATATGGCTTTGAACATCGCCAAGATCAAGGTTGGGAGTGCGAGTAGACCAGCACCAGAAGAAGCGACGCGAGATTTTGAGTGCCTATATATTGGTTAGTGTTATCGACTTTCGAAAGGAGTTATATGGTCTAGTCATTCACCGAGGTTGAGTAATATCTTTGGAATCGAATATTTGCCGGAGAACAATTTCGAGGATGGAGTCTGGAATGTCGGTAACCGTATAGACTTCCTTGAGAACGACTTCCTTAGGCTTGGCCGGGTCTCCAGTAGGTTTATGGTTTTTGTTTGCTTCGGCTGGAGGCTTTGCCTCATTTGCCTTGCTTTCTTGTTCATCGTCATCATCGCCCCAGCCCCAAGCATCATCTGCACCGTCCTCTGCTGTGGGGTTGGGCTCATCCGGTTTGGTTGTTTCTTCAGTGTCCTCATCGTCGAGACCCCATGCACTGACATCTTCTTCATCTTCATGATTAGCAGTCGGGGCGTCGGGCGCTGGGGCTTCTTCCTTGTCATCATCCCAGTCTGCATCCCAATCATCGACAAGTGCATTGTCAAGAAGATCATTCTCCTCTTGGGATATTTGCTCCTTTTCGATCCTTTCAACTTGCTTGGTCGATCCTTTGCTAGCAGCGATTGCCTTTCGTACGCTGTCAAGAGAATCAACTCGGCGCCGAGTCAACCAGAGTCGGGGAGCTTGATTAACCCACGAAACAAGCTCTTCTTGTCCGCTCCAGCCCCAGGACTCGATCTTTTGGGTAAATTGCAAAACACTATTCAAAGTATGTTCAAAGTCCTCAAGGCCATCGAGAGTGGTTGGAATTGCAGAAGAGAGCCAGCCTGATATCGCTTTCGAAGAGATAGTTTGTATCAATGATTGAGAAAGACTATCCAAAATTGACGAGGGAAGATTTTGTCGGAGATTGTTGAGAATATCTATGACGCGATTGAATGTGTCGGCTATAGTTGTCTCGGAAAGTTCAGGCTCAATGCGAATGGCTGTTTCCGTTACGTCCACAGCACGACTGTTGCTGTCTGCTCGAGGTAGTAGAATCGGATCAATGATTGTTGAAATAAGATCCTTCTGTAATTTTTCAGTGGCAGGATTAAGAATGTTCAGGCGTGAGATGGACGAAATTGTGTCATCTAATGAATCGGCCCCCGCAACAGTGACAGCTCGGAATTGGCTCTTTGCGCGATCAACATTGAGCTGTTCGTCCCAACGTTGAAGTACGGCTACCTCGATCTCATCTCGTAGTCGGGCCACCTCACTTGTAAGTATTCCCATGACATTGGTGTTTGAGAAAGGAGTATCCTGGCCGATTGCTGCTGTTGTAGACTCTAACTGCTCAATGGCCACGGTGATTTGACCAGCCCCCAAGGCAATCCGACCGGACTCCAGCTGTTGCCATAACCGCTGCACCTCTTCCAAGGTTTCTGTCACGGCCTGGTTGAATGCGATTTCCGTCTCGATCAACCCAACTTTCGCATCGGCGTCTTCCACCTTTGCTTGAAGTGGTTTGGTTTGTTCATGCTGGGACACGATTTCCCGCGCAGTCACTCTGGAGCGCTCTATGTCTGCATGGAGTTGTTTCGCTTGGACGATCCACTGGTCGGCATCGAAGGTGTGGTTCTCTCGGCTGAGGGAGCTGATCTCATTCTATAGTTTTGGGGCATGTTTGTTAGGAAAGAATCGACAAGACATATGGAATGACTTAAGCTTACCTCCACCTGTTCTCGCGCCTTTGATATTAACTCCAATTCCTTTGCTAAGCCTGCAGCTGGGAACTTGGCTACCACAATGTTCTCCTCTGGATATGCGCCATCCGTGACAAATCCCAGCACAGCCTGGCAAATGTCACCTGCGGAAGCTTTCTGCGGCATAATGCTAAAGTTCCAAGCTCCGAATTGGCAAGACTCACAGAAAACAAAGAGTTGGTGCTTGTCTTTGATGTCGAATCAAGACGATGATCGGAGAAAGCGGCGAGCTGTCAACAACCGCGTGACTTTGGGCGTCACCGCCCACGTAGCTGCATCTGTGTTGTTCGTGGAGTCAAATCTGGGATCGAAACTTAAAAAAATCCCAAAAAATGACCGAAAGTTGCCCAAAGTATTAAAAACTCCATAATAACTCAAAATCAAAATTAGCTAATTCGGCCGTAATGACTGGCTATCGATAAAATAACCCAAACATCCTGATATATATGCCCCAGTCATCCACCTGGCAGACACCCGCAACCGCTTTGTAAGGAAACGGGATCCAAACTCCACCTAGGCCCAGCACACAGAACAAAGCTTCAAAATCCACCGTGTCTCGGTTTTGTCTACTTGGATTGAGTCGGGTGCAAACTACTCGGTCCCTGTGAGTTGCTCCTGGTCCTTGCTTCTATGGTGTCAACCCCTCCAGAGCTCAAAATTTGTCTGCCCCGCCCACGTCACACATGCCCGCCGCGGCAACTTTTAAAGCGTGTGTCTTAGAAACTCCCTGATTGGGATCTCTTTGGCTATTTGTGCTGCTTTCTGTAGCCTTTTCTGCTGTTGGCTTGTTGCATATTGGCTTGATTCCTCATTCTGGTAACTATTTGGCGCTTTTTTGTCCCAAATCACACTAGACGGCGGGGCTATTCAGGAGCTGTGGGTGGGACAGCTGTCGCCGCGGCGTTATGATATATACCATACTATGTACGCATGAAGAAAGAAGAAAGAAATTACTAACTATGAAGCAGATCTTTAAGCCTTCGGCGAGATATTTACACTGGGCTAGCCCCATTGATCAAGATGTCTCACTTTAAGCTGCTGCAGCAGTTCAAACCGGACTACTCGCCGAGCGAGTTCACTGAATATGAGTCCCAACGTACTGGAATGCGCGTGGTTGTCATCGACCAGCAAGGCCCTAAAGTAAATGGTTACTTTGTGCTTGCTACCGAAATTCATGATGACTCGGGCGCCCCTCATACTCTAGAGCATCTTTGCTTTATGGGATCCCGCAACTACCGTTACAAGGGTTTCCTAGACAAACTCGCTACTCGTGTATACTCTAGTACAAATGCTTGGACAGCTACTGATCACACCGCATATACCCTCGATACAGCAGGTTGGGAAGGATTTGCCCGGATTTTGCCTGTTTACCTTGAGCATGTCATTGCTCCGACTTTGACTGATGAAGGTTGCTACACTGAAGTTCACCATATTGATGGCACCGGAAATGATGCAGGTGTTGTTTACTCTGAGATGCAGGGAGTGCAGAACAATGCGGCCGAGCTGATTGACCTGGCGGCCAGACGTTTGACATACCCTACTGATGTTGGTTTCCGATATGAGACTGGCGGTATGATGGAGCAGCTTCGTGTCTTGAGTGCGGAGCGTATTCGAGAATTCCACCGTGAGATGTACCAGCCCAAAAATCTTTGCCTCGTCATCACTGGTGAAGTGGACCAGAAGAACATGTTGGACATTTTGGATAAGTTTGAAGACACGATCTTAGACGTGATTCCAAGCCCAACGGCCCCATTCAAGAGACCCTGGGTGGACTCCAAGCAGACACCATCCTTGGAGAAGTCTGTCATTGAGAAGGTTGAATTCCCTGAGGAGGATGAGTCTTTTGGCGAGATTGAGATCCGATTCCTTGGACCGGATTGTAACGATTCTGTTCAGTGTATGTTGAAAAAGTAGACTTGTGTGAGAAGATGAATTAAACTAACATATTTGCAGCCGGTGCTCTTAATGTGGCTCTCCTATACTTGGCCGGGTCATCTGCTTCTTTGCTAGAAAATACCATTGTCGAGAAAGAGCAGATTGCCAGTGCCGTCTACTACGCGACAGAAGACCACCCTAGCATCGAAATCCGCTTCACTCTGACCAGTGTTGAGACAGAGAAGCTTGAACAGGTCGAGAAGAGATTCTTCGAGATTTTGAAGGAAGCAATGGAAAAGGACCTCGACCTGAAGTATCTGAAGGAATGCATTGAGCGTCAGCGACGTACCTGGAAGTTTGCCACCGAGAGCTCTGCTTCTTCCTTTGCCGAGTATGTCATCACCGACTTCTTGTTCGGTAAACGTGACGGCTCGACCATGCGGGACGTTGCTTCTCTGAAGGAATACGACGTTCTTGAGAATTGGACGCAGGACCAGTGGCGAGATTTCATCAAGAAGTGGATCTCGGACGCTAATCATGTAACAGTCCTGGGTATCCCATCGCAAAAGCTGTCCGATAAGGTGAAGGCCGATGAGGAAGCCCGTGTCGCTGCTCAGAAAGAGCGCCTTGGCGAGAAGGGATTGAAGGATCTTGCAGACAAGCTTGAAAAAGCTAAGGCTGAAAATGACAAGGAGATTCCAACTAAAATGTTGGCTGATTTCGAAATCCCTGCTACCGAGTCTATCCACTTTACGGAGACTGTCACAGCTCGCTCGGGCGCTGCCTTGAAGGCTGGACGCCCTGAGCATGCTCTTCAAAAGATCATTGATAGCGATGCCAACAAGGCAGACCTACCTCTTTGGATTCACTTTGAGCATATTCCTAGCAGCTTTGTGCAGTTTTCTGTTCTTCTCTCCGCTCAGTCTGTTCCTATTCAGCTGCGCCCTCTCCTTTCCATCTTTACTGAGGCACTTTTCAACATCCCACTCCAGCGCGATGGCCAGACCATTGATTTCGAGCAAGTCGTTGTTGAGCTGGAGAAAGACACCGTTGGCTATGGCCTGGAGGCTGCCCGGGCTCTTGGAAACTCCGAGATGCTTCGTGTTTCATTCCAGGTCGAGCTTGAGAAGTACGAGACCGCCATCGCCTGGCTCCAAGAGCTTTCTTGGAACACCATATTCGACGTAGAGAGACTGCGGGCCATCACTACCCGACTTCTCGCCGACGTCCCCGATGCCAAGCGTAGCGGTGATGACATGCTTGCTGCCGTCCATGTGATGATTCACTACGCAGAAGAATCTATTGTTCGTGCTCGAAACACCCTCGTCAAGGCTCGTTACCTCAAGCGCGTCAAAAAGCTTCTCGCAGACCAGCCTCAAGAAATCGTGAACCGCATGGAGGAGATTCGAAAGTCTCTCTTCCAGCCTGAGAACGTTCGCGTTGTGGTTATTGCAGACCTGGAGAAGCTTCCTAACCCTGTCTCCGCATGGAAGCCTTTCGCCGAGCGCCTTGGAACCAGTGCTGAGTTGAAGCCTATCACTAAACGCCGTGATCTGCTCAGTGACGCTGGAAAGAACATTGGTGGACAATCCTACATTGTCCCCATGCCTACTGTTGACTCTTCATTCGCCTACGCCACCGCCCGTGGTCTCGATTCCTACGACGATCCTAAGTTGCCTTCTCTGTTGGTAGCTACATCGTACATGAACGCCGTCGAGGGTCCCCTTTGGGTGGCTGTCCGTGGAAAGGGTCTTGCTTACGGCACTAATTTCAGCCACAACATCGACACAGGCTTTGTCAACTTCGATGTCTATAGATCTCCCAATGCTCACAAAGCTTTCGAGTCTAGCAAGCAGATTGTTGAGGACCACCTGTCTGGTGCGACACCCTTTGACCCACTGATGCTAGAGGGTGCTATCAGTAGCATTGTCGTCAGCTTCGCCAACGAGCAGATGACCGCTGCCAGTGCCGCACAGGGCAGTTTCATCCGCCAAGTCGTCCGCAACCTACCTGCAGACTACAAGGAGAAGATGCTGAAGAGGGTTCGCGATATTAGCGTGGACCAGGTCAAGGATGCTCTGCGTGGAATTATCCTGCCGCTGTTTGACTCGAAGACGGCCAACCTTGTCGTCACCTGTGGCACTGTTCTCGAAGAGGTAAGCTTTCTCTAATCTTGTTATACCAGATACTTGAGGTATCAATATCAAAAGAAATTGAACTGTTTGTGCTAACTCTTGTATTCAGCCCATCAGGCAAGGCTTCGAAGCCTTTGGATTCGCCCCCAAGGTTCAACCCCTGAAGGAATTCGAGGATGACTATGGCTTCAAGCTTGGTGCCAACGAGGAGGAGGAAGAGGATGATGATGACGATGAAGATGAAGATGAAGATGACGAGTCCGGATCCGAATATGACAGTGACGAGGAAGATGATGAATGAGCTTGCTTAATGATCACGTAGAACTCAGAGCAGCATAGAATATAAAATGGCAATGGAGTCGTGCTGCATGAAGTTACTACAAAGTATCAAAACATCCACAGAGTAATTGACCGACTCTACATGTACATTGGCGGATCCATGACCTTGAAGACAAAAGTAAACGAATCAAATAGCAAAAATAAACGGCTGAATTGACAAATAATCTCACACTTCCTAGATAACAACTAGGAGAAAATGTATAGTAGTTATGATACAAGGCCAAACGCAAGTGGCTTACCACCTCTATGCCCATCCGATAGTAATCGTATTCCTCTCAACCAGTATAAAATGCGAACCAGAAAGTAGTTCTCTCCTGGAACTCCCCAATCCACAAAACATTTCCAATTGAGGCCCCATACATCTCATGCAATGCAATCTACCAGCTCATATTCCTTCGGCCTTTAACGCGGCGCCGTGTAAGAGTCTGGCGGCCCTTCTTCGACTTATTGCGCGCAAGGAAACCATGACGGCGCTTCTGCACCAATCGTGAGGGTCGGAAAGTCACGCGACGCACGCCAAGAGAGGCGGAAGCAGAGAAAGCGCGGGTCTGACCCTGGCCCTGGCTGCTAGCCTGGCCCAGTTGAGTCTGGGCAAGAAGCGAAGTGATAGACGGGGAAATGGTAGGAGTAGTTTGCAGCTTGGAGAAAGAGGTCTGCATTTGGGTTGGTTGACGGAGTGCTGGCGAGGAGAGGAGAGAGGAGAATTGCCTGGAGGCAGCTGGTTGTGATGTAAATTGAGAGAGTCTGGAAAAGAATTGTCAGTTATGTTCAGAGTGGACGTTGCTTCCGGTTGATTTTGATTTGAGATAGATTGGTTGCGTTTCGTCTGTGTTGATGCTGGAGGACTTGGGTTGCATTACATGTTCATTGGAGCTCGGGCGCTGGAGCTTGATGCCCGGAAGGAGGGTAAGGCCCTGCAGCGGAGACAGAGCATTTTGGGTTTTGGTGTCGGTGGGAGGTTTGGACTTGCTGAGAGTGGCTGTTGCGGGCTCGGAGTTGAGATATTGGTGCTGGCGCGGTGTTCGGAAGTCGAAAGAAAATTAAGCGCGGAGCCGCAGGGATGGACCCGCCTGGAGGAGTCAATAGAAGAACAACAGTTCAATATAAAGGTAGTTTTGAACAAATCCGGCTTAATGGTTAAATCGTTCAGAGATTTAAGAGTTACTCATTCTTCAATATAGACTTAATTCCCAGAATTGGGTGATCTATATTCGATCTTAAGAAATTGATGATTCTCAAGACTACCATTTCGGGACTAGTGCCGCCGAAATTCTTTCGCGATTCGAAAAAAAGTTACGGACTTTCTACTCCTCCAGACTTCCAAAGTTCACGCCAGTTCGGCCCCATATACTCTACAAGGCACTTCCGGCCTTAGAGCCTTTCTATTTCTCTGAATTACCATCCTACCAAAAAAGAATCTCAACCACCGCCCAAAATGAACAATCCAGGCCCCACCTCTCTCCCACCAACAACCATCCACAGCTCTCAAAGCATTAGCCAATCTGCTGCGCATGACTTCCTCGCTGCATACCTTACTCGTGCAGCCACAGACCCAGCTCTGCAACCTAATGCCAGCATTAACGAGCATGGCCCCATCTCCCGTACCACCGCCGCAGCACCTAACCTCATTCTCCACAATCTGAAGCGTGTGCAAGCTGGTCTGGCTGGTGAAGTCCTGGGTCAAGATTTGACTGTCGCGAAGTCGAACCCTGGTGAGGAGTACTTGGACGTTCCTGCTGCCAGTGGCGGTCAGACCGCAGAAGGCGAAGGAGATAACGATCTTGAGATGAAGGAGCCCGGGTTTGAGACGGAGGCGGAAGCTTTTGAACAGCAAGAATACTCGTCGGCCGCTGTTGATAAGGAAGAGAGGAAGAAGTTGAAGAAACAGAGACGAGTTGCGGAGAAGAAGGCTAAGGCGCAGAAGGTGGATGAGTCGGATTGATTGACTTCTTTCCTTTGATGAATGGGAAGGTGGGAATTCGCTTTTTGTGTACTTCAAGCTGTGCATTGGGTCGGAGTTGTTTCTTTTCTTTTCTATTTTTTCTACCATACGCTTTTTGGTACATATAAGGACCTCAAACGTTTGTCCATATTTATTTCATGTCTAGACAAAAGTGACATTACTGCTATCAATAGACTATATCTGGTTTAAAATCTTCTGAAAAGCGTGAGCCTTGTCCAGCCCTGCTTTTCCTTCTTTCTTTTTCCCCGCTCTTATATTTCATAGACATGAAGATTTCAGAAATCCCATCATGAATTTAGAATAAATCAAGATCAATACTTCAAAGTAAGAATTTGAGCAACGAGTAAGCTAATACCCATTTACAGTTCACGATCAGCGGCCTTCACAGGCTTCTCGCTGTCCTCAGCCTTGAGGTCAGTGACCTTACCACCCTTCCAGCCCAATGCAGCAAGACGCTCGGTCAAAATTGGGTGTGAGTAGTGGTAGCTGGCATACATCCAGTCAGCCTCCATGGTGCTCAGGTTCTGGATCTGCAACTTAAGCAGCGATGAAGCAAGCTCGTCAGAGAATCCAAGGCCTTGGGCGAAAGTATCTAGTAGATAGTAAGTATTTTCGGCGCGGGTCACAGGGGATTAGAAGATAACTCACCAGCTTCAAACTCAAACTTGCGGCTCAGGATGTTCATTAAAAGCTTGACAACAGCGTCCATAGGCGCCAGGGCGTCAGAGAACAGGAGGAATCCAATCATGATGGGCTGCTCCTTGATGAAGCCGAAGGACTGGTACAGGGACTTGTTGTTGACGAAAACAGAGAACAGGGCGAAGATGTAGAACATGTGGAATTGCGCGATGCCGAAAAGCTTGGTGGTGTGGCTCAAGCTCCAGTGTCCAAGTTCGTGGCTCAGAACAGCAACAACCTCTTGTGGCTCGCTCTTCTCAAGCAGGGTGTCGTAGATAACGATGTGCTTCTTCCAAGGCAGACCGTAGAAGTAAGCGTTGCTGTGGGCGCTGCGCTTGCTGCCATCGATAACGTGAAGCTCGGACAGGGGGAACTTCAGCTTCTTTGCCAGGTTCTCAACGCCGGTCTTGATATCACCAGGCTCCAGGGGGGATAGCTTGTTGAAGAGCGGGAGGATAACAATGGGGTAGATGGTGATCGCGAAAACCTGAACGAAGACACCGAAGAGCCACAGGTAGTAGAAGAACGAGTTGCCGGTTTTCTGCACGATCTTGAGGAGAGCACTGATGATAGGAGCTCCGAGAACAATTCCTAGCATCTGACCCTTAAGCATATCAGTGACCCAGAGACCGAGTGTCTGCTTGTTGAATCCGAACTTCTCCTCGAGCACAAAGGTGTTGTAATACGAAATGGGAAGCGACAGAATAGTGGACAGAATGTTGAAACCGAAGATGAAGACTAGCGTTTGAGAGATCTCGCCCTGAAACTGGCCGGGAAGGTACCGTGCCAGCAACAAGCCGCTGATACTCCAGAGCTTGGGAAGGACATCACCGTAGACGAAAGCGACATTTTGCAGTTGACCGTAGAGACCCGAGATTAGACCGAACTTAGACTTGGCGCGACCGTACGCCTAAACAAATAAGTATCAGCTTGAGGCCAACCTGCATGTAGAGCTTGAGAGTTCCACGACGTACCTGACTTTTATCATAGACATTTTGAGAAACCTCTCCAGCGAGAACCTTGGGAGGGGCCGTCTTTTGCAAGACCTTATATTGACGGAATGACAAGACACCTTCCAGGAGGAACTGGCCCAGGGAGAACCCCACGAGCACGTTCTTCCATGGGAAGAGCGGACGGTCGAGGATACGCGCGAGTTGCTGACACAAATATTAGCAAAGGAGCTCTCAAGCTGGTACCTTTCAAAGAGTATTGAAGGAGGAGTATATAGAAATTAATTCCATCAGGTACTTACCTCGAGAATCCACATTTTGTCAACGCGCGATAGTGTCAAGGGAGAGAAATGTCAAAGAGGGCTAGGTGTTATTGTTGTCCGGGCGCCTTAGTCAGATCCGGGGCCGGATCGACGATGATGCAGGGGGCGCCTTGACCATTCTTACTTGCTGATCTAGTTTTTTTAGTTAACTCAGTACCTACAGGTCTGTACAAGTAGAAATTTTCCCGATGCGCTTCATCACTTACGAGCTAAATATATGCAAATACCTACTTACCTTTGGTTTTTTTTTTTCTGTATGCTCTCTATGACGCTTAACCGGAAGCTGCATCAGAAGGTGCCTTTATCAACTTGAATCAGATAGACCCAGGGTACTAGTGGTTCAAAGGGCTACTAGATAAATGCATAGGTAAACCTGGGCATTCCTACGAAGAATAGATGGCTACAGAGACCATTTATCATTCATTTACAGACTCGGAGAAGTGGGGGTGTGTATTTGGGGGAAATTTTATGATTTTTATCTTGATATATTCAAGTTCTCTGGACCTTGTTGAATACTATATATATCATCTATTACAATGCCCGACGACTTTGAACTTAAAAAATGATATGACGTGCTCAATGGTCTGAATCAAGATTTGAAAGTGAACTGAAAATGATACTTTCATTTGTCTCCAGGGCTAGGACTCCTCATTTTTCTGGAGTAGGGCCGCTTTTTCTTTGAGAATTTGAACCATGTACACAGACAGGTAGCTTCTGTATGTATATGCATAAAGGCGGAGAAATGCACATCATTAGTCAGCTGCATCTGCCCCTCCTGCACAAGCTGCCCCGCCTTCCTCATTCAAAATTTGTCAGAGTTCGAACGGCAGAATGTCATAGAAAGTTCTAATATCCGGGCGGTCAGCGGTTTTTTCCTAGGGCTTTAGACTTGGGCTGGAATCGACATCTTTTCGCCTTGGTGAAACTTGCATCTGAAAATAATCACAGAAGGCAGTACCTATCTTGAAGATACAGTCAAGGTTTTGTTCACCTCATATACCCCGTGCAGCCACTACAGACCATCCATAATGTCCGCCGACGCCGAGCCTACACAGTCGCAGTTCCAGAACGTGGGAGATCTGGTGGAGCGCGACGATGATACCGGTCTTATGTCGGTTGAGAGTCTCTGCATGAACTGTCATGAGAATGTATGCCCTGTCAATCTACAAAAGTGCGCATTTTGAAATGGAAAAGAAAACATCTAACCGGCTATTAGGGAACTACTCGCCTCCTCCTCCTCCGTGTACCATTCTTCCGTGATATCATTCTTGAGTCTTTCGAGTGCCCGCACTGCCACTTCAAGAACAACTCCATCAAATCCGCCGGCCAGATTCAAGAGCTCGGAAGCAAATATGTCCTTGAAGTTGAGAACATCGATGATATGCAGCGCCAGGTTGTCCGCAGTGACGTAGCTGTCTTCAAGCTTGAGTCTCTGGGTATTGAGATGCCCAAGGAGGGCCAACTTACAAACATTGAAGGCCTCGTACAAAAGATGCATGAGAGTCTCGATTCTGAACAAGAGTTACGCAAAGCTCAAGCTCCCGAGATGTACGATGCATTGGTGCCAATCATTCAAAAGTTAAAAGATATCCTGGATGGAACGGGCTTCCCCTTCACCATCTCTCTGGATGATATTACCGGTAACTCTTGGATCGCCCCCAGTACTACCGACAAGGGAAATAAGTACAAGAGAACCGAATACCCCCGTACCCACGAACAGAATGAGGAGCTTGGCCTTAGCGGCGAGAATCAGCCCGCGCCTAAGCCGCTCACCCACTTCGGTGATCCTGAGGACCTGGATCTCGTCGATGGAGTCTACAGTCTGCCTTCGGATTGCCCAGGCTGTGCGAAGGACTGTGAGGTTAACATGAAGAAGATTTCTATCCCTCATTTCAAGGAAGTTTTCAGTAAGACCATCTTTATTCCTCTAGCGTTTATGCCACGATAGTAACCCGGTATTCTAGTTTGGGCGACTGTCTGCACTCACTGTGGATATAAGAGCAATGAAGTCAAGACTGGTGGCGCAATTCCCGATAAGGGCAAGCGTATTACTTTGTCCATTGAAAACGAGGTTGACTTAAGCCGAGACGTTCTTAAGTCCAATACTTGCTCCATGTACAGTGAAGAGCTCGAGCTTGAAGGTAAGAATCTCTTCATAATTCCCGGATGCAGTTTACAGTACTAACTCAGGTATTTTAGTGCAATGCGGTACCCTGGGATCCCGATTTACCACCGTTGAAGGTCTTTTGACCGAGATCCGGGATCAATTAACCTCTACTATCTTTGATATTGAGGATACAGCCCGCAAGGGTGGTGATAGTATGTCTACCAACGAAAAAGGAAAGTGGGAGGCTTTCTTTGCTCGACTTGACAAGGCCATCAGTGGAGAACTCAAATTTACACTCGCTTTGGTGGACCCTCTGGCAAACAGCTATGTGCAGGATCTATTTGCCCCCGCCCCTGATACCCAGCTCACAGTTGAAGAGTATGAGCGTACTGAAGAGGAGGAAGATGACCTCGGTCTCAAGGATATGAAGACTGAGGGTTATGAAAATGACGCAGAGAAGGCAGAGGAGAACAAGGAATAGATGATTACATTTGACAAAAGTAGGATGTTTTGTTTGATATGAATGCATATGACTATTTACGCCATTTAATTACCATGTCACATCCAATGAGATACTTGAACAGCCTAAACTAAATCCTGCCCTTTTCTGCGTTGTGATCGCAAGGCCCAAGGTAAAATAGTTTTAGAGACCAGTATATTTTTAACGTGTTGATCGTTTCAATGTTCATGCATAAATTGAATAGATAGATACTCTTTCCACTCTACATTTTTCGAGCATAAGACCTATACCGATTTACATATGACTTGTCCATGCAGACGCAAAATCAATGAAAAAAAGAAAAAAGAAAAGAAACCTCTTCAAACACAACTCCCTAGAACACACAACAAGATAAAAAAGAAGCATATCTTCTTCATCGTGACTCATTTCCTGATACTCCATGCATTCTCCAGATCTGGCCCACCCCTGCAGCCTCAGAGAGATACTGACCGACAGCATCTCAAAGGGTGGCGAGGGTGTTATCCGGACCAAGGAGATGGAGCAGGATTATAATAAAAAACCTCCTCTCTATTTAGCCGGGGATATCTGTAAATGTCATACTTCACTTTTCCGACTCGTCGTGACCGTTAAAAACTTTTCTGCGCTGAGATACACCGCGAAGCAAAATCCTTGGATCCATCAAGCCGAAATCTTATCCACCGCGAAGGACACAAAGTTTCCTTTGTTGAACTCTTCAGACATGGTGGCAGACTCCTGCCATTGATAGGATCCTTAGAACTGGATGTTTATCTAGATGAACAGCTTTACTGCTGAACAGGCTCCAGAATGTTACCGCTAAAAAGACAGTTAGCTCATTGCCCTCGGAAAGTAGATATCAGCCCAATATAAGAGTTATGACTTACGCAACAACGTTGGCCCAACCAATCAGACGCCAGTGCTTCTCGACTCTTCGGCTGATGGCGATCTTCTCGCCAATTTCTGTGCAGGCAGGGCTGGTCAGGGCAAGCTTAGCAGCATCAGCCTTGACACCGATGACACTATTTGATAAAATGGTTAGCTCACGTAAGTTCATCAAATAGATGTCAGGAAAATTGAAGGGTATCTTACCGAGCGCCAGCAGCGGAGGAACCAATGTTGACCATGAGAACCTCGTTCTTAGCAAGCTTGGCAACCTTGGCTTGCTTGCCATCGGCAGTCTTAACACCCAGCAGGCGACGGAGCAGGAAGTAGTTGACCTCAATCTCGGTGTAGATGGAAGGCAATTGGCCGCGGTGGCCCAGAACAAAACCGACCAGACGATCAGCACGGCAAAGAGTGGGATCAATGAGAGTTCCAACACCAATAAGACCACCAGGAACGGCGAGCTTGAGAGGATTTTGCTCGGCGAACAAACTCTCAATGCGGGAGAAAATGGGACGGCATTGCACCTTTCCGTCCGAGTCCTTAGTGACGAGACCGGGACGAATCTCAATCTCATCATGGAGCTTAATGACACCGTTCAGAATGGAACCACCAGCAACACCACCCTTGAGCTCGTCAATCTCAGCACCGGGCTTGTTGACATCGAAGGAACGAATGACCTAGTAAAAGGAACCATGAATCAGCTATGAACAGTCATTTAATTTATCCGGAATTGGTCCTTACCATCATGTGAGGCTGAGCAGTGAAGTCGCGAATAGGAACGGGAATGCGGGAAATCAGAGCCTCGCAAACAGCGTCGACGTTGTACTTCAACTGAGCGGAGATAGGGATAATAGGCGAGCCGTCGGCCACGGTACCGCGAATGAATTTGAGGATAGACTGGTAGTGTTGCATGGCACCCTCCTCGCGCATCAAATCGACCTTGTTTTGCAGGATAACGATGTGGTTGAGTTTCATAATCTCGATGGCAGCCAAATGCTCGGAAGTTTGTGGCTGGGGGCAGGTTTCGTTTGAGGAAATCAACAGGAGAGCTGCGTCCATGACAGCGGCCTAGATGAAAATTTAGGGGAAAGTCTGTTTAGATTAGGATATATGAACTTACGCCGGACAACTATTTCGAGAAGTTAGAATTATGTATCGCACAGAAAAAGGTGTAGGGTTAACTGTAAACTTACCATAGTAGACATGAGAATATCGTGACCAGGGCAGTCAACGAAAGACACATGGCGCTCCAGTCTGTAACGACCCTCACAACCCTCCCGCTCGCAAGGCGGGTCAACTTCCTTCTCACTACCGTAACTTCTGTAGCAGGTTGGTCGAGGGCAAGCAGGGTTGTCACACTTGTAGACCTTGGCGTTGGCATAACCGAGCTTGATGGTAATGTTTCGCTCCAACTCGTTCTTGAATCTGACAGTCTGCACAGTAGACAGAGCCTTGACGACTGTACTCTTTCCGTGAGCGACGTGACCGATGGTACCGATGTTGATGGTAGCTTGGCGAGCAATGATCTCGGGCGACAAAGGAGTCAATTTTGACAGGTCGAGGCTGCTGGGCTCCGGCTGCTCGGGCAGCTCAGGGCGCTGCTTCTGGGGTGGGGGGATGGACTTCTTCATGGCGGACTTAACGGGCTTGTCGAGGGGCTCTTGGTCGTCGAACTCTTGGGCATTGTTGCCGTCCAAGATAGGCGAGCCGGGCTGGCTCTCGTCGGAGAAATCTCCATTCGCAGCCATATTTGCAAATGAGAATTGGTATCGCACACGTTAAAAACGGCCGGTCTTCGTCTCGGCGCGAAGCGTAGGAGGAGGAGGGGGTGGTTGAAAGTGGCGGAGGATAGAGTGTGAGCCGGATGAAAATTGCAGGGTGGGCGATATGATAATGGAAGAATGTAATGGTGGGGGCTTTGTGCAGTGGAGAGCGAGCGGGCGGTGACTGGGTGTCGCCTCTACAATCAAGTCCGTGTATGGCACACACGACAATTTTTCAAGTTTTACATACTTAAAACTATTTATCTACTATTAGTTCTTGGTATGATTGTGGTAGAATCTACTATCAGGCCTTTTCTAAGGGTGTTGAGTTTGTGGACATCTGGATTGATGTTCTCTGCATGACTCATTTGGGCCGAGAAAATCTTTTTATTGAAGCCACACTTCACCTCTGTATACATTAGCCAGGTGCATCAGATGACATCCAAGGTTTTTGCTATATTCTTATACATTCAGCCAACATTAAGTACTAGTAGTATCTATGAAAATTTTATCTACCCATATAGGTAGATATATGGCCCAATAACTATACCTAGATATGTACCTCCGTATGTAGAGTAGTACCGTGACCTAGGTAGATATGCCCACCAAACCCTATTAGTAGCTTATTTATCTAGCAACGGCTCTAAGTCGTTTTCAGCTAACATGGAATCACTGGCAGATTTAGACTACACGGATCAAACTAGCCAGGACAATGACTTGCTGCTTAGGAAATTTTCTTTTTTTACGCTCATTATGATCATGTTCGCTGTCCTCAAGATATATTTTGGTCTAACAGTACAAAGGGTATAAAGGGCAAATACGGACACGAGTATTTACTCGTCATCACTCTCATCACTATCGTCACTATCTCCCTCCGCTTCATCGTCATCCTCAGAGTCGATCAGCGTATCTGGATCCTCCGCCGGCAGCATAACAAACGATGCCAGACAGGTGACGCGGTTTCCGGTCTCATATGTGGTCAACAGAGCGCCCACTTGGGGAGTGCTCTCCTTGGCCTTTTTGGCTGAAGCGAGTTCTTTGCTGGAGACTCTCCAAATGCGGACCACTCCATCACTGTTGGCAGTCACAACCAAGATTCCATCGCGAAGTTGTTTAGGTTGATCTTGGAGACTCAGGACTTCAAAGTCCTTGATACGGCCCGGGAGGCCGGCTTGCTTTCCACCGACTTGAGCGACTGCGGTGGCATGAGGAATGGTTGAATCAGCGTCCTCCTCGACTTCCTGTAAATCGCCAGTCGAATAGAAAATGACTCGGCCATCTTCAGTGGAAACAGCCAGTAGATCTTCCTTCTCATCTCCTTGTGTAGGCCGCGAAACATACTTCATCTGATGAACCTTGCTTCGTGGATTGGGGACAACTCGGCATTTGGGAGTCGAATCAATTCCAAACACCACGACACCCCATTCAAAAGCCACAGCAAACTCCTCACCAGCAGCATTCCATGCGATGCGTTGACCTTCTCCCTTGCTCCATTTGCCTTCCTTGACACTCTGCAATAGCTCTCGATCAAAGTTCAGCACACCGGCTTTCTTTCCTGTCACCAAATTCCAGAGTCTCATACATTTCTCTCCTTTTCCAACACTCAACATAAGCTTCATACTTGGGTGCACTGCGAAATGATTCACTCCAGCCGGAGCGCCACCTTCCGGTGCTGTGTCACCACTGGGTCGACCATAGACCTTAGGCCGCGGCGCTTTAATGGTTGAGACGACACTCCAATCACGTGTCTTTGATACGGAGATATTGTTATCTTCACCAGCAGCAAGCAGCTTGCTTCTTGAGGGGAAGTTCAAGGCCGAAATGCTGGCGGAATGGTGCAGGAGAGCTCCCAACTCGCGGTTTCTCGGGTTTTCAAGAATCTTATTTCCGGCTAAAGTCGGCACTGTAGGATAGTCTTCGTTCACGGCAGGTGGAGCGGCAGAGACGGAGTAAAGATTAATACGCTCGTCGGTAGAACCGCTGGCCAGGATAACATTTTGCGCTGCGGCTTTGTCGGTAGCCTTGGGAAGTGGTGAGAGGGCAAGACAGCGAATGGCAGAACCATGTGCTTCGAACAAAAAGGTATCAACGCATTGGATCTCAGATTTGGATTCTTTCGAGGTTTCCTTCTTCGACTGGAGGGCAGATGCGGGGATGCCCGCAGTGAAACCGTGCAACACCCGTTCATAAGAACCGGTGATCACTTGGACGGTCAAAGCTGCATCTGGGGTTGCTGATGGTGTAGGTGCGGACTTGACAGTCTTAGCAGGGGATTGAGCGGGGACTGCCTCCTTGGGAGGATCGTTTCTCTTCCGCTTGGCCATTTTTTATTTTGTTCGGTGTGGGTTGACAGATGGATTGTATGTCAATGATAGAAAGCTGGAGCTTAACGGGATTTTTTTTTTCTGCTGGTTATCGATAGGAAGTTGTTGCCTTGACACCTGAAGTGGCCCAGACTTTAAGACCTGCTGGATACACCCTAACTTTACTACTTACACCCCAATATCCCTCACCGCCGTATTTGTAATACAACCTAAGGCACGAAGGCATCCATAATTCTGCCGGCAGCATAAGTACGGTCCGGAATCAAACACACACACTTAAAATCTCCATGTAAAATGCATCCATTTTATTAATGATTTAACAACATTTATTATACTAGCAAGTTGACTCATTCCAAGCTAACCCAAAGAGGAAACAGAGACTAATTTTAAAAACACCAGCAAATACATTTTCAGCCGAATTAACTAGCAAATCTGTTGATCTACGGACACCCAGGCCTTTTATACCCCTCCACACCGCAATTTCCACATATTAGCAGCCTCCTCTAAGATTGCTGAGTTAGTGGCTATTATAAGCCTTGTTGTAACCATTGCTTATAAAACTCACGATCTACAACATCTTCAACGGTATCCAACTACTCCCATAGGCTTAGGATTCACCCCTATAACCCCCCTAAGGCTCCGGGGGCTCGGGGGGCTTACCGGAGCGAATCCGAAGCCTATGATAGTGGCTATAAGCCCTGTAAGCTATATGGTGCTGTATATAACCCTAGCAATATCCATTTTCTCCGATCATCCCGTATTCTTAATTCCTGTACAAGAAGAAGATCTAGGTAGAATTGCGATAACCCAATGGCCTAAAGCTGCCACTATAGATAGAAGAGATAAAGAGATAGTGATTTTCACTCAGTATAATATTAGTTTATTTAGTAGATACATAGAATACCGCTACCTTTACCACATATACAAAATATAGGAATTTAAGGTTTTTCGGTATAGAGAGGAAGATATTTTTTAATTTCTTTCTCTAGACGACAAATGGCTAGAATTAAAACTTTCTATATAATATTTGGTAGTAAAAATGTATGGAATCTATAATCTATAAATCATCCAAATATCTAATCATATAATTAATATTAAATATCAATATATTAACGCTAAATTATCCGTTCAAAGATCTCAAAAGCTCCAAGGAGCGTAGTTAAGGTTCCCTATCTAAATATTAGTAGAGAATTCCTTAATAATTATAGGAGAATTACCTATTAATCACACTTAAATGCCCAGTGTACCGACTTATTCTGAGATATTGCAACCTCACCGAGATAAAGATAATTACATATATAATAGTGTAAGAACATCTTTGTATTTATAGGATTAAGCCATTCCTTCTAGATATAACAAATTAGCTTAGCAAAGATCTCATAACAGTAAGTTTACTGAAATTCCAGCCATTTTTGTTCATAATCTTAAGGAGTTAAAGCAGTAACAACTTTATGCCAGAGCTACTTCATTTTACCCCATCAACAAAGCTTCTCCTACCATATACAACCATTTGTTAAAGGCAGAATTTCCTGTTTTTTTGCAACTTCTTTGATCTCCCATTCAAGATACTACCAAATAGGAGTACATACATAGGCAAGGAAACACTTATTAATATACCACAGACATAGCATATAGTTAAGTGTAAAAACCATTTCCATCGCACTAAGAATTACAAGCTCCTTATCTATAAACACAGTTAACGGCTCCGGTATTGATTCCACCGCTAAAACCAATTATAATTGCTATAATACCCAACAAAATGATTCAGTAGTAGAGTCTGCCATAAAGCAGAAACCAGCAGAAAATATCTGATTTGTTAATATTATTCCCGTAATATCAAGTAATAGCATTTTAAACTTATTAGTTTTAAATATTATATCCATCCAAAGAATATATAGATAAAGACATAAGAATCCAATAGAAGTCCAGTAAATAGCAAATAAAGCAAGTAAGATATAATCTTCATCACATCTATAACGGATACACCAATCCCCTAAGTTTAGGAGATCTTAGAGAAGTACTTAAATAGAAGAGCAGCCGCCAAGTTATTCTTTATTAAGCACTAGCTTAATATTATAGATATCCTTTACAATAACGTTGTTACCTTCCTACCGAAGTCAATCTATAATCTAGCAAGACCAAAGACCATCCTGGATAGCTTATTCAATAGCTAAACATCTTTTTTTACTACTATTTAACAAAGGTAGGGAATATTAATTGCTAATAATAGTAGATAATTATAGCCACTATTTTAAATATCCAATATCCATATATCTCCATCTAAACGAAGGACAACTTAGAAAGGGCAATCATATTTCCATATACGGTATTTCCTGCGTTTTTCTACATCAATTCCCGGTTCCTAGTTATCACAATATTCGCCACCTAGTCAGCATTGATAGGTAACTCAAACTTTCACCCCCCGATAGATATTTAACCGTTTTAATACAATAGCATAGCCTTAGGTAGCTGCGAATCGATTCATCTCCGTTTGAGCTTCATCTAGTGAAGAATACTTAAGTTTCCAGGGCGGAAGTAGCTAAAATAGAGAGAAACTTAGCTCAATATCTAAGGAGGTATTAACCAATACTCCTTCAAGAAATTGAGCTTCCTCGTCAGGAATTGTATCAGTAGTAGTAGGAAAATCATCATAGAATATAGGAGAAGGGGTAACAGAGGGCCTAGGATTAGTTACAAGAGATTCATCAGTTTCAAGCGACATAATAATATCCAAATCACTTTAAACTTCCGGGTATAGTAGAGAAGATAGGAAATAACAATACTCTAAAAAGAAATTTATTTTAGCGAGGAGGAGGTGTCCAAATATATGTTTAAAATAGTATTATTACTTAAAATATTAATATAGTAACAGGAGTAATAAAAATGCACATTCCTGAGGATACTATAGGGCCTCAACAGCCAATCAGCTTCTCTTAATATTTCCGTAAACGGCAGGTCACATACTCACTACACCTCGCCATACTTTGCCATTTCCCCGTTATTTACCTTTATATAGTAACTTTACATATTTTTACCCCTAGTTTGATTCACCACAACAATACTATTTTAGCTCATTTTTTAAAATATTTTTGGATTAGTAAATATATGCCATTTATCAATCACATGTTAAGATATAATTGAAATTAATCAAAAAATAGAATTATCCAGGCACTCCGCAATAGACGTCTTTTTTGATATGTTTTAGTGAGGTTTAGTATGTCCGGCGTCCACCGCCTCACCTGACCGCCATTTTAAATTACACCGCCTTAATACCAACCGATAATACAAATACAGCAGAATTCCCAAAATGGATTAGCCTAGGTGTAAGTAGCAAAGTTAGGGTGTATCCAGCAGGTCTCCAGACTTTCGATGTTGCCTTGTGGCCTTGTGGCCTTGGTGCCTTATACATTGCCCCTTAGTTAACTATTCAGGTTTATGCCTGACTTTCTTTGTTGATGCCTTAATGCCTGAGCTGCAAACGGGACTCCGCGTATGGAATGTGTATCAATACATAATACGTGTCTGACACAGTTACCAAGTGGATGTTGCAGTTTTGCCAACACATCGGAGCTAATGACCATATCACTACAAGTTGCTTAAGAAAGGATACTGAGATACCTCAAACATCCAAGATCTTAGAATAAACATGTAATTTTCCCAGTTTGTTGTTATTGAACAAGATAATTGCCCTACTCTCCAGATACATTCCCAAGACCCTATTTCATCATACTTTTTTAAAAAGAACAAGCGGGCAAACCAAGTAACCATGTTACCGTACCCGTACACTTCCAACCACACTGAACCCGCACTCGCCGACGACTTCCCTTTTTTCCCGCGCCAACCCGTACTGAAAAGTCCTCCCTTCCCTGCCCTCCATCGCTTTACGCGACAACCACATCCATTTCCATCTTAAGCAGCGATCTTTTCGTTCTGAATGACCACGGTCAATCCATTTCTTTTTTCCCCGCGTTAATCGGATGCTGTGTTCCCAAGTTAGACCTCATGCTCCGCGACGAGCTTCTCCGGTCTAAGAAGGATGAGATCGCGTAAGTATTAATTCGAAAAATTATTGTCGATGTGTTCTGCGATGTCTGAAATGTGGCTGGGAACTGATACCTGGATAGAAACTGTTTGTTGTCGCGTAAGCGAAAACTGACCGAATTGTATTATGCGACCGTGGGTTTTGAGGGTGCGACCGCCGATTCGCTCTATAATCAAAAGGAACAGGCGTTTCTCGACGCCAACGACCTCTCTAGGTGAGTCCCATCATGAAATCATTCCCCCGCCCCCTATTTGATTATAGATATTTTTCAATATTTTAATTGTTTGGTCATCTACCCAAATGGCGCGTTACTTACCACTAGCGCAGAGGTCGTTACTTTGACGAATCTACATTACCATCGCCTGCCCACGCGCGCGCGCGAGACACCGCTAAGAAAGCGATCGCATCGACATCAACAAGTGCGACAAAGCCCCAGCCACCTCTTGATACCGCCCCGGCGCCGATCACAGATGGCGAAGCTCCCTCAAGCCCGACCAAATCCACCCAGCGCGAAAAGCCTCATCCGACCTTGCCAGAAACTTCGAAGTCTATAGCATCAACTTTAAAAGATACGAAGGACATTGTCGATTCACCAGATCCTATTAGTAGCCCGCAAGCATTCCTGGGACAGGGCGTTCCGGTCGACGCCGCACCATTCAAACCAAGCGTTGAACAACCAAATATATCAGTGCCGGAAATTCCAATCAGCTCCCAAGGACAGGATGGAGCAGACGTTAAGATCTCCCCGAAGGCAGTCAAACCGGCTACGGCAATCACCACATCCTCAGCGGAGTCGGGTGGTATCTCTGACTCTCTGCTGCGAAAGAAAACCGACCCACGACCCACCCTCACAATAGGCCCTTCAACCACCGACCAGCCACTCTCACCCGCCTCATCTATCGATCCATACTCTAATAATACGCCGGCTCCCGTCACTGCATCTCCCGTCACCAGTCCAGGCGAGGAAGCGACAGAGGCTGGGAAGATTGGCCGCCCGAGTCCCAGGCATGATCGATCTCTGCATCCTCGTCGAAGTTTAATACCCTCGACTCCCGATGAGCAGTTGCGGATGGAGGAAGCACAGTCAATGCAGAATGCGGAGGAAGCTCAGGCTGCTTTGCTTTCTAAGGCGGATGTGAACGAAAATGACGTGGGCACAGTTTCGAATGAGGACGCAATGGAAGTCGACCAACCACCTTCAACGGACGACGTGGAGGAAAAAATCCAAGATACAGCCATCCCATCTGTTGCAGACGATCTCTCACCCACCGAGCGCCCTGCTGAAACAACAGAACCCGTTGAAAACGGCGACAATGTATTAGCGGATAAGGAACAGGTAGTGATTCCACCTACCCAACCCGAGACTTCGCAACCTGAAAGAATGACGACTCGCGTATCATCAGGCGCCATTCGCCATAAATCCGTCTCGGAAATTCTGGGAGAAACGCCGCGCACACCTCACGCAGCTAGTGAACATGACACGCCTGATAGTGTTTCGCGAATGCGATTAAAAGATCGCAAGGATCGTGAGAAGGAGAGAACTCGCCTCGCCACCGTTGTCTTCCCTAATAAGACCCCACAGCAAGATAAAGCGGATTCACAGGAACTTATTCACCGAGACTCGGGGGAGGCTATTGTCAAAATGAACGAAGAGCAGGATTATCTATTCACTTTGTTCCTGAATAGGGCCTATGCGCCCCCACGGGGAATGAATATGAATACTCTCCTAGCATCTGCTCATAAGACTCTGAATACTGGAAATCACCTACTAGAATACCAGGAACAGATGGATTGTCGAACATTGCGCCGTATATACGCCCTCCAGAATGCCAATAGATGGCCATTGCGACAAATGAAGCGATCACCCGAACCTCCACGCCAAGGTGCTCACTGGGATGTTGTTTTGGATCATATGAAGTGGATGCGCACGGATTTCCGCGAGGAGCGAAAATGGAAAATTGCAGCTGCTAAGAGTTGTGCGGACTGGTGTGCTGAGTATGTGAATTGCGACGAGGAGCACCAGACTTTACTTCGGGTTAATGCGAAGGTTCCTACGCCGACATCTGGGACACAAGATGCGACGAAGATGGACGTGCCTTCTCCTGAGGATACAAGTGATGAAGCGGCTATCTCACACCCCACGCCAGATCTCGTTCCCTCTGCTGAAGAGGAATCGGTTAGCGATGGTTACAATGAAGAATCTCGACATGACATTCATGATACCGTTGCTCCCGCAGCTATCTTTTCTCTTGGCTCTGATGAGTTCAACTTCTCCATTGATATGACCCCTGCCGCCGAGAAGCTGCTGGATGAATTGCCTTTATACGAACCACTGCGGATTCCATCGGATCCCAAAAACCCGATTTTCAAGCAACTGCCAGATTCAGTCTGGAAAACGGAGTTACTGCCGGTTTCTAAATATGCAAGCACCAGGATCACCTTCCACAATGGCCAACCCCCTCGCAAACGAAGCCGATACGACTATTCTCAATATGGTTCCGATTTAGAGGCTAACATCACTGACATCCCTCCAGAGCAGACCAATGTCGCTCTGTTCCGACCCGAAAACAAACCCATCCGTGATCGTATTCATCCTGGACACTCGTTTAGACCACCAACTGAACATCCGATGCCATCGGTTGGGTTCTTCGAGTCGCGACAATCTTCACAGTGGACCTTACCTGAAGATGATGAACTTCGTCGATTAGTTAAGGAATATTCGTACAACTGGTCTTTGATCTCAAGTTGCCTGAGCTCGCCATCATTATTTACCTCGGGAGCCGAAAGACGGACCCCATGGGAATGCTTTGAGCGCTGGGTTGGGCTCGAAGGTCTTCCTGCTGATATGTCCAAGACACAGTACTTCCGGGCTTATCACCAGAGGCTCGAGACTGCCCAGCGAACCGTGCTAGCTCAGCAACAGGCGGCCCAACAACAGCAACAGCAACAGCAGCAGGCTAATGGTGGCGGCCAGGCGATACCCCCTGTTCGTCGTCGGACAACCCAGCCTTTGCGCGTGGACAGGAGAAGGTCTTCTCGACACCTTGCATTGTTGGATGGGATGCGTAAATTGGCGAAGAAGAGAGAGACAATTCTACAAAAACAACAACACGCTACTCATCTCGCCTCGCTGAGAAAGGACAATGAAGCTAATAAACCCAAGCCGCCAATCACAACCCCTGCCGAGTTCAGCCGCCTCAAATATGACCGCGAAATGAAGTTGCAAGAAAGACAAGAACAGTATCGTCAGCAGATGATTGCTCAGCAGAGAGCAAATCTCGCCGCTCAACGTGCTGGTCAGTTGCCAAATCAGCAACAACAGGGCGCACTGAACGCGCAAGGCCGAGCCCCCAACAATCTACCACCGCACTCCGCCAATGCCGCTATGCCTAATGGAACACCGAATGGTGTACCTCCTAATATGCAGGCTGGCGCTGGCGTAAACCAAACTCGCCCACAGGCGATACAGGGAATGTCATCAGGGGTAGCTCCGCCCAATGGCCAGCTGCCAGCCAATGCCATGGCTATGAAGATGATGCCTCAAGGTCAGATTCCTCAAGGCGTGGGGGCCAGACCTGGCATGCAAATGCAAACATCTCCAGATAATGCACGTGTCATTCGAGAAGCCACCCGCCTACAGGAGCAACAGCGCCTTTTGCAGTCTCGACAGCAATCTCAACAAGTCCCGCAACAAGGCCAGCCCCAACAAGCGCAGCAGCAATTTCACAACCAACAGTTCGCGCCTCAGGGGTCACACTCGCCTAGTTTGAACATGCCGAATGTCAATGGCGGTGCGAACAACCCGGCAATGATAGCGGCTCTTCAAGCCCAAGGAGGAATGCAGAGTCCCTCTTTCCATGGCGCCACTCCTCAGGGCGTTTCAACACCGTCTCCTCGTATGGCTCAGCCTAATCCCCTCTCTAGTGGCGTGGTCCCTACCATCAGCACTTTCCAAAATCAGATTCAGCGAGCCAATCCCAACCTTCCTGCTGAGCAAGTGAACAAATTGGCCACAGACCGACTCAACCAGTATCAACAACAGCGCATGTCTCAACAAGCTGCAATGAATGCTGCTGCTGGAGGTATGAACCAGGTTCAAGCCAACTATCAAGTACCGCACGATGGAGGCTTCCAAACCCCTCAACAGCCTGGCATGCCCACTGGAAACCCGGCAATGCAGGTACCCCAAAATCAAGGATTTTCTCCGATGATGCGGGTGCCTCAAGCTAATCAGCAAAACCGGGTTGCTCCTACCAGTTCACCGGCAATGAACGGCGCCGTTCCCCAGGCAAGCCGAAGCGCAACACCTCAAACTCAGCGCAGTGGAAGCGCTCAAGCTGGTCCCGTGCAAGGCTCTAGCAAAAGCCCCCATCCACCACCTGCTCAGACGACTACGAGCTAATCATATCACTCAACACTTCCTACCCCTCTTATCACTTCCCTCCATTACCCTATCCTATCCTATCATCTCTACCTCCTACTTTCTTCAACTGTAAATATTTGACTCTTCACCCCCTTACTTTGATTTATTGACAGGTCTTTGTTTCTTTTTGTTTGTTTTCTACTTCTGCGCTGGTGGTCCAGGGTATGGCGCATCTTGATTATCTCTTTTCTCAGCCTCTTTACACCCCCTTTTGATTCCGTTACCGCTTGCGCTTTACTCTATGTCCACCCTCCAGCGTGTTCATTAATTAATGGACCAGATACGACACTGGCTCCCCTTCTACCAGTGACAAATCCCTTAAGGATTTGGGCATGTATTATTCTGGGATAGCGAAAATCCTGGGCTTAGGGTTAGAACCCAGGAATTGATGAACATGAAATGTATGATTAGTTTCGAACTCCATACTTTTTTCCTTTGAGAGTGAAATCTCAGCATTACTAGATGACGTTTTGATGTAGCACCCTTATGCCTGGAGAATAGTGCGTTGCCCCCAATTCTACGTGTACTAGCTCCGGCTGATCCACTTCGGATCAGGCTGACGAGCCATGTGGATCCACTAGATGAACTACAAGTCAATCATCATTTGAATTACTTAAACAATATTGCATGGATAAGAGAACTTGATCTATTATTAAATAGAGTAGGCTCATAAAAGCTGACTAGATCTAGTGTTTATCATATAATCTTCATCAAGCCTGGTCAGGTGCCATCCTACTAGATGTCTGGAGACAAGTTGGGAGGGAGAAAGAAAGTCAGGCAACCGACATTTTGGCTGGGCGACGGGGCCAAATGAAGGACTTGATCTTAATAATCTATCTTCTTTACATAATCCACAGCCTTGTTAGAATAGACCCCATTGAAGATTTCACCAGAGGCAATCTAGGACTTCCAGATGCGGTAAGTAGATGTTTAATTGGCAAAACCAACCATCGCGAATACCTACATACAGCTGGAGGCGAAACACCTGATACTCAAGTCCATATTTAGCTAATGTCTATCTTCGCATTTGAAACACAAATGACACTTTAATTGTAGATTAGTCCTCGTTGTAGACATAGGACGCCGAATGGATGGGGCGGAAGGCAAAGACGGCGGGCCGCTTCCTGTGGCTGTACTGTGGATTCTCTGCAATAAATGATCATACCCGTCAGATTCATATTGTCACATCCATCTCATTAGCTACGGTCTACGGAGTTCGGAGTTATTCAGGATCTAATGAAGCCCCACAATAGTTCGCAGTTGGTCATAAGCTGACGGGCCAATCTATCTTGGCACGCCGTATTGCGTACCTGATTTGGAAGTGGCTGCGATACACCCGAAGGATTCATCGGCTTCCTAAGATCTAAACCCTCAGGTTTGATGATTAGATCGAATCCATAGTGTCTATAGGCAGATCATCACCATAAGACCTGTAGATACTTGTGTTTACTTTAAATTAAACTTGAGCTTCTACACTGCACAGTTTATAGATGGTTTTCAGATAGCACGACTTGGATTGTATAGATCAATATTGTCAACAAAGTAGATGTAGTACTTCCTGCGCTTCTAGGCCAACATTACACAGCAATCTAGACGCGAACATCTTGCCTATGACTTCACTTCTATTAATATGGAGGTCAAAATGCAGCTTATCTCCTGAAATCACTTGGTATGATGTCAAATAAAGAGGGCGGTCGTGGCAATGTGTATCATGTTGAACCCGATGTCACGCATGGCGACCATACTCGACAGTGAAAAAAGGCACATTCTGTGAATCGGCGCCCCGCTCGACCTGGAAAGAGGCCCGAGGTTACTCGATTGGGTCCTTTATGCAGAAGGTCCCTGATGGTTAATTCCTTGGCTTTACTACTCGTGGTAAGTGGGGGCTGGCGGGATAGCGTCATAATCCGGGGCTGGGCGATCATGCAGTATACCCGAACAACAAAGTGTATAGAGACTTTGAAACACAGTATCATTCAACCGTAAGCATAGGGGACTAGAGGTAGTAAAGCTGGGCAACTTAGAGACTCGATTATAGATTCGAAAATGCATAAATAGCAGGTCAATTCCTCGTCCAATTCAAAATCATCAACAACAGCTTCCAATCATCCAAACAACCTTCCAACCAACAAAACAATCCAACTTTCAAACCTTTTCGTCTTTAAGACTCAAAACTACCAACCAACAAAATGAAGTTCACTGTTATCCTCGTTGCTGCCTTCGGCGCCCTTGCCACTGCTTCCTGCGGATCCAGTAAGGCTTCCTCCATACTATGAAGCATTCAGAAACAAGCTTGCTAATCTCGCATCTTCATTTTAGACTACCACCCTTGCTGCAGCGGCGGCTCTTGCGATGACGCCTCTGCCTTCTGTGCTGGCTACAATGACTACTACTCCGGCACCTGTGTTCCCCGGTAAATAACAACGGCCACAACAATTAGCACATTGGCTGGACCCAGTGATGCCCCGTTGTTCAAATGAGCGATCCGACTGGGTTGGATCAGCTCCTTGGGACGGTTTCGACGATAGCGAGCGATTGTTCTTTCTGCCGTGATTGATTGATTGCGAAAGCATTGCCAAGTTTCATAGACCATGATCATTTCTATCAATTTAGAGCGGACAATGGATTATATTTGATTTCGAATTCTTCTTTCCTTTATTCTCAGTAGAAAGCTAAATTATTCACCAATTTCAACATATATATAACAAAGAACAAAACAGGACAGTCTTTTTCAAACTCTTCGATTTTGGTAATCGACGATGCCGCCCCATCGACCTTGATAGATAGGTCTCTAGCATAACTCGATGTACCGCCCAGGTTCTATCGCAATCAATTTATCTGCAGCATGTTCAAGATGATCAGGTGATTTTCATCATAGATATATCAAGTAACGGTGCTTTAAAGTGAATAATGACGTTTTGATTGAATGTGTTAAGGATGTATCGCTATCTGTATCTAGATCTAGATGGGCCTGAGGCTGCGATATTGCGACGTGGAGCTATTTCACTAGGTATTGCCTTACTACCTCACTTCCTTCCCTCAGCTTCGTTGTTTTCGTTGAATACTACTGAATTATTTGATCCAATCATCTTACCGACCGCGTAACAGAACGAGCTTTTAGTATGTCTGTGAATACGCAAATTCTGAGTAGGAGGACTTCACAACTTTCGTACATAGTCATTAGAAAGAGATAGGAGTATCTCTACATTTACTCACCGATTTATCAACAAAATTACGCAAAAACGTACATATCCATATTTATGTCTGGTTTGAATGCCGTGTACTATATATTTTGAATGACATAGATGTGTATGTAAATATCCGCTACGATTAGTTGAGCCACACGATCGCCGCCCCATTTTAGCGCGCGCATAATTCCGCTTTTGCCACCGCCCAAGTCGAGGCTCCCATATCAAGTCTTCAACTTAGGCTTCCCCCTCGACTCTCGCTATTACAGCATACAGTGACCCCATCGCAATGTCTTCATCAGGGGCTCCAGGGAGTCGCAATGGCGGCGGTCCGTCTAAACCATTCTCATTTTCCTCGAACTCGAACGGTGCACCAAAGAACACCGGCTTCAACTTCCAGTCAAGTCGCAACCAAGCTGCCCCAACATATAAAAACCGCTCTCTTCCTCGCCGACCCCAACAACTTGGACACGATGACGACTCGGACGAAGAAGAGCGTGCACCCGTGCACGAGGAAGTATCAGGCTTCGACACACTTACTGGTGGAGCTATTACAGCCGACGGCGAGGCAGTTAAAAAAGAAGGGCCGTTGGTGATCCCAGTCACGAGCAAGAACAACTGGCGCGACCGAGCCGGTGTCAATACAAAGAAGGGCAAAAAGAATTTACTGCCTGCTGAGGTTCAGGCTATGCAGGAGGCCGAAAAGACCGGGAAGGCTCCTGCGGGAGGGAAGGCTGAAACGGAGGGTCCCAGCGTGGCCTATGGACTTAGCTTTGCCCAAATAAACGAGCAGAAGCCCGTTACCACCGGCGAAGATCAACCTATGACAGGTGCAAAACCTCAGGCGTCTACAGCTACCGAAGATAGCAAGCCTCTTACGGAGGATCAGGTCGCTTTGCAAGCTTTGATCCGAGAGAGCAAGGGAGATGTCGAACGCAGATCAGACCTGGTGATTGAGGCCTCGAATGCTAGAGATGAAGAGGAACAAGCGCTCTCAGGATACGACGAAACGAGCTCTTTCCGAACAGACGTTCTGTCTCGTCCTGAACCCGCAACGCTAGACCAATACAACGCTATTCCCGTGGAAGAATTTGGCGCAGCGCTACTACGAGGAATGGGATGGAAAGACGGACAATCTGTTGGACGAGGCAACTATGGTTCTTCTGCTCCTGTTGAAAAATCGAACAAACCTCCTGTCCCACCGAGACGACCTGGATACCTTGGAATTGGGGCTAAGGATTCATCGGGTGGAAAGGGCGCAGAAGCTGAGCTTGGAGCCTGGGGAAAGTCCGCTATGCGCAAAGCTTCCAGGAAGGCAGGCGAGGACAACTCTGATGGAAAAACCGAGGGTGTATATATGCCTGTCACGATGCGAAACAAGAAGACTGGCGAATACATGACGGAGGAAGAGCTCGCAGAGCTGAAGAAGAAAGCTGCATCTCAACCGGAAAAGGACGACTGGCGCGAAAGACGAGACCGGAATCTGGAAAAGAGCGGGCGAGATAACGATCGTGATCGTGATCGCGAGTACCGCAAACGCGATTATGGTGATGATGATCGCTCTGATCGGAGGACTGGGTCTTCACGTCGTGATAGAAGTCGTTCAAGTGGTCGCCAGTCTTCTTCTAGACGCTCGCGGTATGACGATGATGATGACCGCCGGAGAGACGACCGGTCTAGCCGTGATCGAGATCGCCGACGAGAGCGTGATGACGACAAAGATTCTCGCAGAGATCGTGACCGAGTCCGTCGATCGCGAGATGATAGATATAGCAGCAGTTCACGACAATCTTCTTCTCATTCTTCTCGTCATGACCGGGACCGCGATCGAGACCGTGACACTCACCGAAACCGACGTGATGATTAGTTTGATCTTACAAAGCCCTTGTACATGATGAATTTGAGCATCAATTGTTCGGAATACCCTTTTTTACGAACCAAATACCCGTGAATCCTCCAAAACATACAGATACCCTGGATCCCACTATGTAGACAAGACTCAAGATCAAGGAATGAAATATTATAACGAACAATGATTTGAATTCTAAGAGAAAGTAGACATGGCTTTTATCCAATCCCACTCCTGCGGTACTCCCATAAAACAGAGACGCCATTCATATACAAAATAGGTACACAATCACATCTAACCCTCCAACATAACTACTTCCTGTTCATGCTCCAGATCTCCCTTGGCTGCGGGTTCATCTAAACTCCTCAGACCACCGAGTCCAACACCGCCATCCATCTCTCCAAGTACCCACTCCACCAAGTAAGAGTCATCTGTAAGCTCCTCGACACGCTTGTAATGTCTCTCGGTGTACGCAGCCAGGGCACCTAAGATATCCTTTAATCCAGCCGCAGCACGACCATTCTTGCCACGGACAGACTGCGATGCGAGGTCAACGAATGTGGAAGCAGGGTATGAGCGGAACAGAGCATAAAGAATACGCTGCGAAACACGCGAGGTGCGAGCATTGGTGTTCCAGTCACGCAGGCGAAGGAGTAGAGTGCGGAGGTTTGCGGCATCGAGCGATTGAAGAACCTGGTCGATAGAGGGGTTACCAGTCAAGCTGTTTGCTGCACGCGCGCGTTCTTCAGCGGAAAGGGTGGGGTCGTCACTAGCATTGATAGCGGCTGTGAAGAGGGAGAGCAGACGACCAGGGTGGTTCAACTGGAGTGCCAGTGTAATAGCTTCACGATAAGATCCAGCACGGATGTAGTTCTGTAGCTGCTGGTCTTGCTCGATACGCTCGGAGCTGGCGTTCACGGCTGCTGTGTAGGTGGCGGAGGTTGTGTCGGTCCACATGGTGACGGTGGCATCTGCGGCACCAGAAGCGAGGGCGTAGGGGGCTGCGGTAGACTTAGAGGAGGGCTTGACGTCTGAGCGCGAGCCAGATGGGGCAGGGCTAGCAAGAGACCAGACTCTGTCTGTGTGGTTGTCCAGAACGGTCTCTTGTTCGCCAGTGTAGGGACTCCATATCTTTACCAGACCATCAGCGGCTGCTGAGGCAATGAGAGGCCGTGTCTGAAGAGCGTTTTTAGTGGCCTTGGCATCTGCTTCTTCATCATCGTCGTCATCGTCATTTTGGCCCTTGGTAATCTGAGGAGGCGGCAACCAGATAGTTTTCAACACACTGCCAGTGTGGCCTTCGAATGTGAGGAGACAGCTGTAATCGGCCAAAGACCAAAGTTTTACAGTCTTATCGCCGGAGGCTGTCGCAATCAATCCTCGAGATGTGCTGGTCCCGGCATCTGAGTTGATGATAGGGGTGTCGCGAGGAGCAAATCTTACAGACCACACACCTCGTTTGTGACCACGGAGAACACCAATTGGTGAGCCCTCGTCAGCGTCCCAGATCTTCACAGTTCGATCCTGAGAAGCAGATGCAAACAAAGTGGATGAGCTATCGATGTCGAGAGCGTTGATGTCCTTCTCGTGTGCCTTCCGTGTAAAGATTGCCTTGGGGGAGTGTGTCTTGTCTCCCTTAAGCGGGGTGAGCTTGCCGGTATCCCAGCGCTTGATAGTGCGATCCTGAGAGCCAGTGACCATAAATGCAGGCGGATGGTTTACAGGGTCGTTGTATGCAGCACTGCCAACTGGGGGCGGTGCTCGGGGTAGGGCAACTGCGCCCAAGGATTCAGCGTGACCAGTAAAGATGGCAAAGCATGTATAAGACGAGTTTTTGGGGTCCAGGCGCCAAAGCCTAGCAGTATTATCTTTAGCAGCTGTCGCAAGCCAGTGGCCGGACCAGTCAACATCAAGGGCAATGATGATGTCTTCATGACCCTCAAGATGAGCAATGTCGGCACCGAAAAACTCTTCGCCCTCGGCTGATGGTCGATCCTCGGATGGAGCGACAGAGACCACACGAATGCTTTCAGTGTTGGTCGCTAAAGCGAGCATTGAGCGATCTGGACCAACAAAAGCCAGATCAATGATTTCGTCGTCATTTCCAGAAATGCGGCGAGTGATTGCCAGAGGGGGCAGGGTTGAGCCTGGCTTATAGGCTGACAGTGCTTCAATTGAATGCAGACGAATAGTCTGGTCAGCATGAACGGTCATCACGTAAGGCAGACCAGGTGAATATTGAATAGAAATGATACTCTCAAACTCTTCACCTGCTTCTTGCTCTTCAGTAATTTCGCTGCCACGGTTGCAATCCCATACACGCAATTTAGCATTCTCGCCACCAATTACGCATAGCCCACTGCCAGCGATGAAAGATGCGGCCTCCACGCTCTCAAGAACCGGAATAATTCTGCGGGTTTTCCAGGTACGGGCATCCCAAATAATGACGGTCTTGTCTCGGCTGGCGGATAACAGTGCGTTCTCTGACGGGGAAAAGGACAAGCTGCGAACCAGCGAGACATGCGAATCGAGTGTCGCAATGGCCTTCCTCTTATGCAAATCGAATACCCGAACCTTGCCCTCGTCACTTCCACAGGCAAGTCTAAAGCCAGCTGTAGTTTCCGCGGAACCAGCATCCTCCATATCCTCATCATCATCATTCCGCTTAGACTTCTTTTTAGACGAGGACCTGGCTTCGTAATCTCCGGAAATCTCGAAAAAACAAAGAGCCGAAATGACACCACGGTCATTGAAAGTATGTGTGATATAGCCACCACGAATATCCCAGACCTTAATGGAGCCATCAGCACCACCTGTTGCCAACAGAGTGCCAGTTTGATCAATCGCAGTCGTGACTACCGGGGTGGGGTGGGGTTTAAGGGTTCGAACAAGCTCCGCTTCAATGGACTGTGAGCCTTCTCCAACTCCAGAAAGAGAGTAGATTTGCATAGACATAGACCGGGAGCAGACAACGGCATGCGACGCGGACGGTGTTACTAGAAACTGTGTAAGTACTTCATTTCGATCCGAAAATAGAGACTGAACATACTGGCTAAACTTGTGATAATTTCCCCATCCTGGAAAAGACGTTGCCGTCAGTAAACTGTCCAACTCATTTTCTAACCACTGCACTTACTCCTTCTAAACTGGCGAGCTGATCACCAGTCTCCAAGTCCACGACCAAGGCATCCTCGCCCACACAAGACAGCAAGATGCGGCCACTAGCATCAAGCGCGGTACTGCCACCGGTATAAATTGGGCGAATAGTTCGAGACGCCTCAAATGTCGTTTTGACGATAGCTTTAGACATGATTCAAATTTGCGCCTGTTGGCAATTCACGCCATGCGCTTTCTCTGAGAGTCGAGAATCGCAAAAAGCTCGGGCAACTTTTTTTTGGGATGTTTGCCGTGTTTGCACTGCTGATAAGATAATACCTTTACGCAGGGGTAGGTATAGCGGCCCAGATGGCACTTTCCTCACTGCCTTGCTGAAATGACTCCTGTGCTAACATTATTTTAGCACGTTGTATATAATCTTGAAGTTGTTTTTGAAGATTTTAGACCTAAACAAGAACTAACCTAGGCATTTACTACTTAGAGACATTTTTGACAGATCGCCTATCCAAAATCGGCATATACGGTGCATTTTATTCCCAATTTTCTATCTATACAGACACAATTTGCTTCAGCATTATGCAATGTGCCACGTAAAATATAGGAATGGTTCAGTCGTATAGTTCTTTCGAGTTCGTGTCGCCAGACTTGCGAACTCCCCAAGGCAGTTCAAGTTAATTGTATACTCTCGAGATCGAAGGTACTTACATATCAAGATGGTCCGTGCACAAAGCGCCCCAGCCGCCGCCGTCACACGTGGAGCTGCAGAGTCCAGCATCACTTCATTCAAGAGTGTCTCGTCTCGTCTCGTCTTACTTTCCTCTGAGTTATTTCAAATTCAGGACCAAAACATAAACTTGCACTTGAAAGTGTGAGGCAATGTGATTAACTCCCTCGGTGCTGTGTTCTTAGCTCCAGATGGGCCGACGGGCTTATTTGAACCGGCTCGCCCTGGTAAGCCTCCCCACCCCTTCATGATTGTTGATCGCTCTTTACCTTAAATTATACCCCTGGGCTCTATAAATAATACGTCACATTATGTTGTCTCTCGTCAGCTGTAATGCCATTGATTTGGAGTGTTTGTATTTGTGCTTGTGCTTGAACTTCAGCTTCCTCGGTGTCCACACTTTTATGCCTTGAATGCTGTTATGTGATGCGTACCATTGCCCTTCACAAGCCCATTGCTTCCTCTTTTCGTCACATTCTTTTCGCTCTTTTCTTCTCTTCTTGGCTTTTTCGTATTAATGGATTTCAAGGGCCGGTCGCCATACGAGCCTCCAGAGACAGGGACTGTTGATCCCTCGCAACCAGTGAGGAGAGTCTCTCATATCCACTCTGATAGTTACATGCAGCAGTATGATGCACGAGGTCATCCAGTCAACCCTGAATCCAAAACACTGGGTCGGAATTTACGCAGAGCCAAAAATGATATCCTGTCGACTATGGGAATCGTCGTCAGTGGCGAAGACCGAAACACCAACACTTCTAATGAGCAGCAAAAGATCGATCAAATCGCCGCAGAAAATGACTTTGGTTTAGTTATTACTACCTTGGATCAGCTGTTCGTGTTTTTTAGTACCTGGTGGTCATCTTCCCTGACAGGGCGTATTCTGGTATGACAATCACACATCTAACTATATTTCTACCAAGATCTAACATTAGCGACAGGCATTCAAGCATTACACGCATGCTCCGTTACTGGATGTCATTCGCTCCGAACGTGGAGCAACCGGCGTTTTCGGTTTCTACTGCGCCGGTATTCCTGCCTGGGCGGCCTCTAGCACTTTGGCCATCTCTCGCGACAACCCATTAAAACGGGTTTTTGTCATCATTAGGGATTCTGTGTTGGGCTTAACTGGGACTGGGAATATAACACTAAGCCTTCGTGCTTTATTCGGGCTCACCTATTCTGTGTATGTCGTCAACATTGGCCATGGCTCATACCCACTGATACTAACGATCACCTAGAGCACGAAGCTCCGTTCTTATCCTGTCTCTTGAGGCATACATGTATTCTATGCTTCAAACACTCTCACTGATACCATCTAACGCCATCCCAAGTCTCGAACTCTTGATACCATTTGGCGAAGCATCTTTATTCCGACTGCCGCATCTTCCCAATGATCTTTCTCTGCCATCCATTGGTGGCTTTCTTTTACAGTTCATGACCTCTCCCGCCGTCTTGACATTTGTTTATGCCTTTTATTTACGCCCAGAGCTCGAGGAAAGGATATATCGACTCATTCGGCGACAGTTGCCAAAGCCTACGCTAGCCGATGAGCTTTCGATCCGGGTTGCTATTGATGAGAATCTCGTTGAATGGGTAGTACCCACTCTCGGCCGAAGATCAGAAGAAGAAGCTCGTCGTGCGAAGCTCACACTCATGCAAGATATCAAAGAAGAACTAGTAGCTTTTCGAGGATGGGTGTTCTCTTTCTTCGGGCTTTTCTCGAGTAGGGAGAATGAAGTGGAAAAGATAGAAAACCTCAAGAAGCGGCTTGAATCGTTGGAGCAACGAGTCGAAGAAAACCAACGTCGTATTAACGCCAATGATGCCCTCATTGACACTAATAATGCCCGCATAGAGGCTAATGATGCCCCGATTGACGACTATATCGGTGATGCTCTTGAAGAACCACCCGCAACCATTCCTCGCACTGAAGCCAATGATGCTGCATCTTCTTATTTACCACCCATTGCAGAATCTGCCGGTTCTCCCGACACTGAACTAGATCTCGGCATGACTCAAGTACTCACAAATGAGAATCGCCTGTCTCAGTCCCCCGGGGAGATGAGTAATGACTTTTTTTCAGAGATGGCTACTGTTGGGCGGACAAGTGCGCCTTCAAATACCTCCCGCTCCCAGAGTCAACCGAGTATTACGCAAAGAGGCGAAAGTCCACTAGGAAACCGCCAAAACTCGCGATCTAATACCTTGTTTTCCCGCCCATCTTCTCCGGAAACCTCTCCTCCAACTTCACCTCGTGTTCGAGCCTCATTAATTCATCAGAGCTCCGACATCATTACCATGCAACTGGAGCTGTTGGGTAATCGCACTCGCAATCCCCAGCATCAACCGCAGACCCCTGGACAGACAACACTCCGGCCCTTTGGACGAGGTCATCCAGCCCTACGTCAATCATCGACGGCTGGAGACCGCAGATCGATAGCCGACTTTCTCGAGGCGCTGATTCTTAGCCAGGCTCAACAGCAGGCCACACAAGGCCAATCTTTAGAGAACCCTGAAGGTCTGCCCAGGCTGGAGTCAGAAGAAGGCGAGAATTCAGGACTGGATATTCCTGCCGTTCCAAATCAATCTCAAACCTGGGCGCAAGAAGTGGTGAACAGCTACTCGGAGCCGCATCCCGCCACACTTGAAGAACCCCCAGTTCCAGACATGCCTAACATGCCTAACATTCTCCCTGACGGCGTTGAAGAACCAAATGACGACGATGCAACCAGTCTACCGCCACTCATGGAGACAACTGAGGTTGATGACCTTCTTCCTAACACTGAAGTACTACCCCCGTCCCATACTCCGCAGGCTCCGCCACCGGCAAATAAACCCTCTGTCGCTCATAGAGTGACTCTTCTATCAGCACATCCGGTGGACTCTCTTGCATCGCACCTTGCAGCAGTCATCAGTACCATCATCCTCTCTCCCCTCGAATCGCTTTATGTTCGATCATTAGCTCATTCTTTCCTTGCATCGCACCCTTCTGCTGCGGCTCAGGTCTCAGATCTTCACCCCATGCACCTGTGGTTTGGCGGTCGAACTTGGTCTGATGCATTTGCTTACTGTGGAAGACTGGTGCTTATGAGAGCTATGCAAACTGCATTGAGGGCTGGTGTTTGGGGCTTCCTAGTGGGTTCGACAATGAGAATTGGAAGGAAATTCTGTGGTTGGGGAACTTTATAGAATGGTTGATATTTTACCCATGACTCAAAGTGATTCATTTCTTGATTTTTGTATTAATGAATATTTATACTTATCAAATGAGCTGCCGTCACGGTAGACTCTAAGCCTTTCATTTTCATTCGCTTTGCAATAGTAGCTTTTGCAAACCCTGGAATGGCTCATTCACAATAACATAACTAGTAAAAATGGCCACTCTCTTGCTAGAGGCATATCTGTCGATAATCTGACCAGCTATTGCAGCTATTAATACCTCTACTACTAGATAGCACCATATAAGTAAATATGTCACATAATAGGCGGTGCATGAGCCTGAGACAGGTACTCATTGGTTTGATCCAACAGAGTTGGGATAAAATACAGAAGTAAAACCATATTGGGGTCATAAAAATATTCTGATGTATAAAGTTTAAGCATTACCAAACCAACTCCCCCAAATTGCAGCCGTAGATGATACAATTGCTATGTTCTCGTTCATATTTTACTTGGCACCAGCCCGGCCCTTACCTTTTGGACCTGGAACTTTTCTGCGCTCCCAAACCATAAGGTATCCTTCTCGCGTGAACAGAGTCTCACTCTCTGCGCCCTTGACAAAAAGATCCTGGACCTCGAGCCATTCCGGACCTCCACCTTGTTGACGTGCGTTCTGTGCGGACATGGCCTTGTCATGAAGCTGAACCAGCCAGGAAACCTTCTCGCTACCACCACCAGCTCCGGATGATGAACCACCACCTGATGCTGCGTTCACACCCTTTTCGGCGGCATCTTCAGTAGCTCCGGGGGCGGCGATTGATGGGTCCAGAATAATGTTCGCAACTAGGTCGTACAAAATTGGCTCGCCTGGGGCCCCTGCATCAGGATTGGGCTCGACATATGGTGACATGTCAAGGGAACGGGGACTAGGATGTGTGACAATAGTAGGGTTTCGTTCTGAGACAAAGCGGTTCTTGCTGAAACGCTTGATGTGGAAGAGGAGATAAGGAGGGAGGGGGTGGAGAAGGCGGTGCCGAACACGATGGGCCATTTTTTCGGAGGCACTGGTGCCATTATACTTGTTCAGAAGTGTTGTGAGAGGTACTTGTGGGATGATGGATTCCCTGTTTGAGGATTGGAAGAGTGGTGTTGGTGGGAGATCCAATGTGAGAATAAGGAATGGGGTAATTTGGCTGCTAATATCGCCAGATTCTGTGAACACTAGACGTGCGTTCTGGGTGTCGGAGGAAGCTGTGATGGCTTGTGATTCAATCCGTACGCGACCTTGGAAAGCGGCATGAACCACACTGGTGGGTGTCGGGGAGGGCTTCTTGGAGCCGCCGAGGGACAAGTGGAGGTTGTTAAGGAACCAGGAGAGGAATTCCACGGGATCAGATTGTTGGCTGAGTGAGAAGCGCTTAGACGATCGCAGCGCGATCTCTTGCAACAACTCCTGGGGTGATACGTGTGATCGGAATGCTTTTGGATTCCAGAGCTTGCGCACAAGAGTGCTGAAGCGATAGGCGAGCTGAGGAGTGCCTAGTTCGGGGAATTCGTGTAGGAGGAAGAAGTTGCGGATAGGGAGGACGTGAGCTAGAAGCTGAACCACGACGTTCATATAATCATTGGCCTTGATGTTGTTCATGCCGACAAAGCCTACGAGAAGGTTAACAATTATTGCTTTGAACTTCCTTTTTTGACAGAATGTCTTACCTGGTCTGTATTTGGCACCATGAAGGTCCCACGCATCGTGAACCTCTTTGTCCAACTTAACCACTTGATCCTTGGAGTAGTGTGGATCTACCACGTATTTAATATCGTCCAAACTCTTGCTCTTGACTTCATATCCCTCCGGTAGCACATAGACCTTTTTTGTGCCCATGTTGACGAAAACATGGTGCCCGATTTCAAGCGCATGAAAATACGCATGAGACTTGGGGCCACGACCCTGAAAATATTTGCCACAGACGAGACAGGCATATACATTGATATTCGAGAGACTGATGGAGCACAACTTCTCGAAATCGAAATCCAGAACCCCACGATTGACCGTGTCGAGATAGAGATCGCCGTAGCCTTCCATCGGCTGATTTTGACGTTTGGGCGCGCTGAGGGCGGAGGCTTCTTCGTCGATATCCGACAATCCTGAATCATCCTGGGCAGCTTCCTGCAGTTCCTCCCCTTCCTTGTCGGCGGCAGCTAAGATGTTAGCTCCATTGCGATCATCTTGCTCTAGTTGCTGGCCGCTGGCTCGTTGCGCGGGTACTGCGCCGTTTCGGGGGTCATCTTCATCCTCATTCTCGACGCGCGCCTTTTTCGAGGCTGGTGAATTTTGGAAATTCTCCCCTAAGGGGAGCTCTGCGTGTCTCTTTGACATTGCGACAGTGAACTGGAGGTTGCGGAGAATGACCAAAATGCAGAAGTTCTTCAGTTCCGCGAGCTTGAAGGTGGTGCAAACACGTCAAACACCCAACATCGTCATGTCGCTGTCCCCAGCTGTGGAGCTCTTTTCACGTACATTATATAGCCAAGATTACATGTTCCAATGATATAAAATTAAGAAGATTCTTCAATACACTTTTGTAAACTACGCCTACTGAGATTCCTGAGCTACTTGCAATTTACATGGCTTTACATGGTTGGAAAAAGAAGTTTCTCGTTGGTATCCCGTAAAGCAATGTTAAACGTCATAGGATATGATACAACACCCAAGCATGTCGACCTTTAGGCAGCTCGCACAACCTTATCGTTTTCAAAAGGTACCTCTGTCACACCATCCTTTGTCACCACCTTGACCAAAACCTATAGATATGTCGTTAGTAAATTGACGTGACATGAATGGTGATAGGTCAACATACGCCCTTGTAGTCGATCGGTAGTCGACGCTTCAGCTCATCTGTGCACATCTCAAGAAGTTTCATGCCTTCTTCAAGGTTAATGTTGGGGTTGTGATGTTTGTCGAGGAGGGAGAGGCAGTAGTATCTGGATAAGTTAGCATGATCGATCAGGTTCCTACTCTCCATCCGCTGTTGCTCAAGGGCCGAAAGGAAACATACTGGGCATAACCGTGGGCGGCATATGGTACGGGGGCCAGGGAGGCCAAGTAGTCGATCCAATACAAATGAGGTTGTTCGGTGGCTGGATCTACACCTCCCAGCAAGAGGTTGACCGTGTACGGGCTTCGTGATCGCAAGCTGCGGGCCAGCTCTCCTCGGATGAAATTACCGACGGCGGGTGTGCTCAGTTCGCTATCATTGCGCATGGTATACAGTTGGATGTTTGCTTGGATGTATTCGGCGAATTGCACTGGTTGTAACAACCCATCAGCACCTTATCGAGTCTCGTTCCATATTGAAAAGGTACTAACCGGTGTCACCTGCCTCTCCCGAGAATGCCATGAGCGTGTGGTTGTTCAAGGCTCTTGTCTTATCATCCTCGGCCTTGATGATGGTTGGGCCTCGCATTATAGCCTTTGAAGCAGCAATAATGACGAAGTCCTTGCCAGTAATACCCAAGAGAACCTCCCTAGCAAGCGTGATCAGTTAGAACAACATCAGGTTTTGAGATAGAGTAACCACTCGGTTCTTACATTTTTGCGGTTATTCAAGAATAAGAGAAATAAATCAAGAGGAATATGAAAAAAGGCGATGAAATGGAATGTGGTTGGGGTGATGACCGCGCGGTGAGCTTGACGCCTGGAGCTCTCAGCTATCTGGCTGACTCAGCCGCCGCTTGTCCGCCTTTTTTTTTCCCCGAAAAAAAAGTTGAATCCAAGCAGCATCGACTAGCGCGAATACTTTGTTGATTGCCCCCACCCGCAAATTTCGAATTTGCAGGTTTGCAGTGGTGATTGCGGCTGGATAGATCACGATGTCTTCCTTTTTCACCGTACCTGCTTCGCAGCGCAAGCGCAAGAGAGACGACCGCCCTGCGACTACAGCAACCAAGAAACGAGGCGGCGATGGCGACGGTTCAAAGACCCAGCGACCCCGTGAACGAGAGGAATCAATCTCTGGAAGTGACTTGGACGAAGATGATGAAATTGCCTCGGGAATTTCTGGGGACGATTCCGAGTCGGACTCAGATGATGGCGAAACAGCGGCAGACCGAAGATTGAAATTGGCTGAACGTTATCTGGATAACGTTCGCGAAGAGGTCGATGAAGTTGGATTCAATGCGGAAGACATTGATCGAGACTTAATTGCAGAGAGATTGAAGGAGGATGTGGTATGTTCAGTTGCTCTCCGTGTGCTGTTTGGATATGCAATTAATCGCAATAACAGGATGAATTCAAAGGACGAACTTTTCGACAAATCGCTGCCAAACTCGCATTTCCCACGGCTGGCCACTCATTCTTCCGCTCAGATACCCAAACTACTACTTCTATCGCTGTGCATGCCCCATACGTTTATACTGTTTCAAAAGACAAAGTTTTGACCAAATGGGAATTGGCCACCCCAGAGACAAGCACTCAAGATGGCTCTTCGCAAAGGCCTTCCAAACCACAACGCAAGAAACCCAAGCGGGTAAAGTATGCCCGGGGCATGCGCAAGGTGGCTGAAACAGGTCAAGAACATGGCCACACAGCTCAGATCTTGTCTGTCGCTGTCAGCCCGTCCGGAAAGTTTTTGGCAACAGGAGGTGCAGACAACAAGCTTATTATTTGGAATGCCGATACCTTGACTCCTGCTCAGACTTTCCCCCAGCACCGTGATTCTGTCAGCAGTCTTGCTTTTGCCAGACATATTTCGGCTATGAGCTCTGGAGAGCAATTATTCTCTGGCAGCCACGACCGTACAATCAAAACTTGGTCTATTAGCTCAGCCGGTCATGCATATGTGGAGACTTTGTTCGGTCATCAAGATCACGTAAGTTCTAACGAAACTTTGAGTAAAAATGTGAGATCTAACAACCATCTTTAGGTGACTGGAGTTGCCGCGATGACGATTGACCAAGCCCTTAGCGTTGGTGCGAGAGATAGAACAGCAAGATTGTGGAAGGTCGTTGATGAATCTCAACTCGTCTTCCGAGGTGGTGCATCAAGGAACGCTCCATACCGGGAGAGCAACATCGATTGTATTGCAGCACTCCCACCCGCTCATTTTGTCACTGGTTCCGACTCTGGATCCATTTCATTGTGGTCCGTTCACAAGAAAAAGCCTCTTTACACTATCGCCTTAGCACATGGCACGGATCCCATTCCTCCTCTGGACGAACTGTCTCCAGAAGTAAGTGCAGAGACTGCTGCTCACAATTCCCGCCACTTGCGTCCCAGGCCCCGCTGGATTACAGCTTTAACCACTCTTCCTGGTACCGATGTCGTTCTCAGTGGTAGCTGGGATGGTTGGATTCGCGCATGGCGCATTTCAGAGGATAAGAGAATCATCATTCCTCTAGGCCCAATCGGTGCAGGGACCCCTGGCCAATTCTCACCTGACACACCTTCGCAACAACTCAACCAATCTCTCGCCCACGCTGACGCTGACGAAATGGATACGCAAGAGAAGAAGAGTGAGCCAGAACCACTTGTGAAGGGCATAATTAATGACATCGCCGTTTTCGAGCGCCGTCCAGAGTCAGACATGCCCGACTCCAAAGCATCAGCCAAGGCCCAGTCGATTAATGAGCCGCGTGGCCTATGTATCGTTGCAGCAATGGGCAAGGAGCATCGACTAGGCAGGTGGCATTGTTACGCCAATAACTACAGTGAAGCTCCTTCAGCAGGTGGTCGCAACGGTGCCGTCGTCTTCGAAGTTCCTTTCACATCTCTCGATGATACAGAGGCCGATGTATAAAAGTCTACACGTTTTTATTTGACCTTGAACTTCTACTTTATAGAAGGATTGGGGCAAACCACAGCATGTTATTCGGGGTGTGGTGCTTAGGTGTCTTGGAGTAAATGTACCTATAGATTTTACATATTCAATATGAGCAACTGCAACTAACGGCAATACTGGCTGGCCTCAAAGTATGTACTAGTATACTTAGTATAGGTTTCTTTCATGTATCCTTTGTATATGTTATAGTAACTCGTGCCAGGTGACTTAATGGCCATTAAGTTTACGGCCAGGTAACTAGGATGACAAAGTTCTCGAGGGTGTTAAGCGGTGATGATGCAGACATAAATTCATAAATCGTGACCCTAGGGCCTATATGCTCGGGTTATCCTATGAAGAAAAAGAAATACATGCGTGTACATCTGGGCATCGATATATGCCTAGATAAGCTCCAAAGACTGAACGGATCTTAGGTCTTCAAATTCCCTAATATCTTCATTAACTGCCTAGTAGCAGTCTAAATGAGACCCCCAACCCCTTAAAAAAAAATCAAACGAAAAGGGATATCAAAATAAAAACACTCAAAAAACACGGTTCCTTCAAGCCGGCACGGGGTATCGACTTCGCCAATAGAAGTTACGCCATAATCTCACAGCAACAGGGCTCTGTCGAAGACTAAAGTCTGCATCAACACGGAGCAAATTGCGATGAATCTCTTCAACAGTGGCACCTTTTGCAGTGATGGCTTCCAGGAGAACGGGTACAAAGAAAGTCTCCATGTGGCAATGTATTGACCATCGCAGTATTTCGTGTCCCCAATGGCTCGCAGGAAGAGGATCCATGCCCTTGTCCAGAAGAAATCGGAGTACTCGCAATTTGTCATCGGTGTTATCAGACATAGCGATCCAACAACCGCTCAGTCTTCCCAGTTCCAGACCATGATTCATCAGGACTTCTAGAGTCTCTGGGAAGGTCTCTAGGCTCTTCATTCGATTGATGGTGATACGTAATTGGTTGTGGTCTTCCATGGTGAGACGGTATCCTAGTTCAAAGAAGTATTCAACGACTTCATGATTACCATGAGATACCGCCAAATGGAAGGCAGCATTGGTGATCTCAGCTTCTAGTCGTCCACCGTGAGGTAGCTCGTATCGCTCAGCCCAGAGTTTCATCATTGGCAGTCCCCCTTGTACTGCTCTGAGTAATGAGTCTTTGGCATGAGGGGAGTTTTGAGGCTCAAGCTGCACGCCACGTTCTCGTAGCATGTTTACCTGAGCCATATTTCCTCCTTCCATCGCTGCTATCATGGGGATACTCAGATCGCCGGGGTTCCAAGCACTGTGGTGAACATTTGCGCCCCGGTCGAGAAGTAGTTTGAAAATGGCAGGGAATGGCTGCGCATGTGCTAGGAGTGACTCGTCTTGGTACTCTTCGACCCTGTGGAGATCGGCTCCCCTATCAAGAAGTAATCTGACCACATCCAGATGACCTCTCTTGATGGCCACGAAGAGAGGGGTGTTTCTTCGACCATGTTCTCCCAATGTGGGATCAGCACCATTGTTTAGAAGGATGCGAACAACTCCTGTTTGACCCCTTTGGATGGCGATATCAAGGGGATGAAAGCATGCGTGAACCGGGAGAGTTATGCCGTCCAGCTTGGCACCACTGAAGCCTCCTGTGCTGATGAGCTCTTGAACAGTATCCTCGAGTCCCACTGCGGCTGCAGATGCTAGGATTCGAAGGTAAGAGACATAGTCACTTCTCTTGAGGTTGACAACGCTTAGTGAAAACTCGACGACATTTTTATGTCCTGCAATCGCAGCCCATTGGACAGGCCATAATCGCATACCATCTAAGCTTTGTGCGAGGTTTTCTGTGGTAAAGCCTTGAGTAAGAAGATATTGGACCATATCCAGGTCGCCACTGCATGCGGCCTGACATAGTGGGCTGAATTGAAGACCATCAGTTAGAGTTGGGTCCAAGCCTTGATTTACCAAAAAGCGAAGCATTTCGAGATTTCCCTTCTTCTCAGCTGCTTTTGTCAAGAGTGTTGTGCGATATGATGATTCGCTTTGGAGCAATTTGGGATTCGCTTCTAGTAAAATCTTCACGAGCTCAACATTTCCCTTCTCCATTGCCAGGTTGACTGATGAGATCGTGACTTTGGCACCGTGTACTAATAACACCTGTACCACAGAAGCATGACCACCTTCTATAGCCCAGTTTATCGGTGTCCATTTTGTCGATAGATCATGGCGCTCGGGATCAGCACCTTTCTCGAGGAGGAGGTTTACAACAGCAAGATGTCCGTGCAAGGCGGCTGTTGATAGTGGTGGTCGTTTTTCGAATTCTTTCGGCGCATATCTCTCATCAAGCATCGCCAGTGCTTGAAGTCCGTCGACTTCTTCATCTGTTAAAAGATCAGGATGTGCCCCATGCTCTAATAATCGGCTGGCCTTGGCAACATCTCCACGCTCAGCAGCCCATTGCAATGCAGGACCAGCGATAGACCAGGAGTTCTTCCCGTAGAGGGTGTCGTTGAGTAGATGGCAAAACCGACGAGAGGTTTGTGCTAGAGCGTTCAAATTGCTCACATAATCGAGATTATTGGCGATGATGTAGATAAGCTCATTGGGGAGACGATTCAAGGACATTAGGATGGTGGGGTTGGGCGAAAGAGAGTTTGCCCTTGGAAGAGTATGAGGATGAGGATTAAATTAAAGTAGCTTTTAACCATGCGACTTGAAACATGCAGGTAGGCTGAATATCAAGCATTTCAGCAGTTTGCCTCCCACTGTAATATGATGAGTTATTGCTACCTAATTACCAACTTGGTTGTCTGTCGTATTTGGCGATTAATATCCACTTGACTTCTTGCACCTAATTAGCGCTGGACTTGCATGGGATCAGCAACATCCAACGAGACATTCCTTCTAATGGAAAAATAAAACGATATTATACGACGAAAGGAGTTAAGTCATGGGAAATCCGGATCAAGTAAGATTGACATCCTTTCCTATTGTGGTTTAGTGAGCTCCTAATACGGTGTTCTATTTACAATACCGAAGTACATTTGGAGACGCCGACAGGGTATAGATGCCGCAAAATGCGAGACGCGAAGCGCCCAATTTCTTAGCCAATATTAGTAAATGGTCTCTGAGGTAATTCTAAAGAGAATGAGGGATTTGAAGTAATGATCTTCTATAAGTTGTGTAGAGGCTATACCACTATTGGGGAACTGTAGAGCTCTCTATAAGGCCCCAACTTTGTCTATCCGACGCTAGACTCTCTGTATGCTGCAGGGTCCCCAGAAATAAAACCCCAAGGGTTTCAAATAAAGAGAACAATGCGTGTGTATCTTAATGATCCTCCATAAACAAGCTAGCATATGAGCTAAATTAAGGAGCGTTCTCAATTCTCCAACATGTGAACATCGAGGCATGGTGAGTATTGGAAACGATATTGCGAATTACCAAAACAACGCTATACTAGGTTCAGATAGGGGGCGATGTTTATACCTAATTGGGATGGATTTTCATCCAATGCAACGTCATGAGACCCAGCGCTAACCAACACTAACCATGAAAAGCTGTGCGGGGGGAGTTTCAAGATCCACTTAATCCGAAGTACGATGCAAAATGCATGTATCGTATTTCGTACTTGAAGTATCCGAAGTAAATCAAACTTAGCACGTCTTCGGTTTTCTATAGACTCTTAGAATAAGAATTAACTAGGCGTTGTACGTTGAACACTTCATCTTCCTGGCATCGTAAATATACGGTGCATTGATCATGTAAGATGTCGCTTCCACCATTCTTCCTTGCGAGTTAACGATTCGTAAATCGCATCCTCGCTCACCCATCCATGTCCCTCACCCTCGAATTCAACAACTTCCGCCACTCGTCCATGCGCCCGCATCGCATCAGCCATCATTCTTGCTTGTGCAACTGGAACCACCATATCAGTAGTACCCTGTAACAGTAGCAATGCGCCCTTGATTTGGTCCGCAAAATTGCACGGACTACGCTGCGTGAGCTCTGCCTCCCGATCAGCCGCTTCCGTCTTGCTCAGTAGTAATCGATCGACATCCTGACTCTCAAACTTGTACGAGTCAGCCTGCAAAGCTCGTACATCGCTAATTCCGTAAGAACTAATGCCTGCGGACCAGACATCCGGGTACATGTGCAGAGCGCGTAGGGTCAAGTATCCGCCTGCACTGCCTCCATAGATTCCAACATGTGCTTTGTCTGCTAACCCCTCCTTGACGAGGTATTCGACCGCGCTGACCGCATCGGCAACATCTACTAAGCCCCAGTACCCGGAAAGTCGCTCACGGTACTCTCGTCCGAATCCTGTAGAACCGGTGTAGTTCACGGCACATACTGCGAAGCCGCGGGTGGTCCATGATTGGATTTCTAAGTCTAGGGCTGGTGTGGTAGATCCATTGGGACCCCCGTGGACATATGCTAGTAGAGGAGGGGGAGGGCTATTGTCGTCTGCTTTGAATTTGGGGTTGCAGGGTGGAAAGTAGAACATGTGGACGTGCCCATCAGTCAATGGACCGTGGATCTGAGGAGCCGTGAGTTCTTTCGCGACGGATATGTATTCAGGTGGAAGATAAAATGTTGCGGTTGAGGTCAAGACCTTTCTCTCAGCTTTGAAATTTGCAGTGATTGAAATCAAGGCGAGCTCCTCGGGGAAGGCGGTTGCAGTGCCCACGATCGCAAAGGAGTTCTGTGATACTTTACGGATGTCGTAGACCATCACATATGGGAGCTCCAGATCGTGGAAAGACGAGGCTTCAGTATCGATCAGTACAAGTTTGCCGGTTGCGTGGGTGATGACCGTTGCCACTATCGTTTTGGCATCGAGAAAGATGTATGTCGAACTAAATGAACATCAGTAAGAAGCACAACCATCTAAAAGTATTCGAACATACCTGCCAAGCTCCCACTCATCATTTGCAAAATCGGCGTTTTCCAAAGTCTTCAATGATAAACTGCTTTCTTTCTGATGCTTCGGGTCAAAGAAATACAACTGCCAGAAGCCAGTGCGATCACTAGCATAATACAAGAGCCCATCTGGGCTCCATTTTGGCTGAGCAATACTCTCCTGCTGTCCCTTTCCAGCAATGCGAGTAACATTCTCCAGAGATCCATTCTTCCATTGGGCATAGTAAAGAACTGTTCCTGTCCAAGGCATATCTGGATGCGACCATTGAATCCACGATACATACTGGCCCGAGGGGTCAAACTTCGGATGGGAGTAGAAATCGTCTCCCTCAGCAATAATGCTCTCTGTCCCCGCTTCAATATTAATACTTACCAATTTGTTATGCACAAGCGTTGCCTGTGTTTCTGGTGTAGCTTCTCGATGGTCCTCCTTGATAGCCAGGATCCACTCCGGATCAGCGGGGTGGCTAGAGAAATCAGCATACCGGATCCCCTCAATCGCGGAATGAACAAGTTTTGCTTCGCCTGTTGCTGGATTCAATATGTATACATTGCATGAGTCTTCGTCTTCAACAATGACTTGTCCATCGTGGTGCATGGCAATGGAGCCACCTCCGAGCTCTTGTACACTTGCGTGTGCGCTCAGGTTTGTGGGTAAGATATCTTGGGTTTTACCATCGCGATGCTGGACAATAGCATAGCGGCCGTCTTCTGTTGGACGACACTCAACAGAGTAGATGGTCCTGGTTGGTTCCTATTCGCTGTTAACATAAGTCCATTGGTATAGAAGAATGTTTGCTTACATCGACGGCCAATTCGTGGAGTGTGATGCTGTCTTTGGCTAAACGGTCCGCAGTAAGCGGGCTCATCCAGTGGCCGTAAGGTGCAATTTGATGCGACATCCTAATAATGAACTTCAGGATGAATTGATTGATGAAACATTTACTGGGGTGAGTGCAGGATATTAAGTTTCGACCGAGTACCTAGGCACCTGCATTACTAGCTATTTATCAATTTACGATCGTAAATAAAGCCTTCGGATGTCATCTTGATGACTCATGATCTTCTACTTCATGACCCACACAAGAGGCTGAGACCTATAATGACCGAGATACGATTTTTTTTTCTTAGATGCTACTTGCTGATTGGACTAAAGACGTTAAGCCAGAGATTTTTCATTGGAATTTTTAGTCAGAAAAAGCCGTTGTTCTTCTAAGACTCCCTCCCAGTAACTGCCAATGCGCTAGAATAAACTTAGATATCAGGTAAAAAGATGTAGAAATGGTGCCCAGTGTCCGTAGTTGGGGGTATTCGCGCATTATGTTGAAACTCAAAAATTGAAATATGCATAGGTGTAGGGGGGTAGCATTGCATGACGTTAAAGCGATCGCGTCAGTCAAGGTTGACAGCCTTCATTCATCTCGAGTCGAAGGTCCGCAAAGATCATGCACAGCGCTGAGTCCATTTTCTATCCAATCCGAAGCGCCGCGCTATTTGAAAATGATCAAGGTGTGTTTGCAGGTGGAAAAGGCAAACGTATGAGAGGTATTAACGAGGCCATTAATTACTTTCACAGTAATCAATACGGGGAGAATCGAACTTGTTGTCGTCGGTGAGCTGTTCGTCGAACGGGGCCGACAGGTTCTTCATCCGAGTCATCAATGGTTATGGCGGTGCGAGCTGATAGCCCTATATCTCTTGGAGGTTGAGGTATGGGTTGTCGCGCCCTCGGGGGTGAACTAGAGCATTCGTCCTCACTCGGGTCATTCTCTGCCACGTCCATAGAAGTCGGTAGGTACTGCCGGCAACTAATACCCCTGTGTGGAACTTCATCATCCTCGTCCTCATCCTCATCCTCTTCTTCAATCTCATCGGCGCCATATACGGATGAAGATTGAACCTCATGGCTGTCACCTTCGGAGAGGACCTCGTAATTGTCATCAGGCTGCCAGGGTCCTCTTAGTCTCGCAATTGCATCGTCATCTTCGCTTTCCCAGTCGTAATCCACCTCGGGTGCAGAAGTAGGGCCGTACACAGGTGGGTATCGTACAAGAGGGGGAATGCGAGAGAAAGAATGGCTGTAAGTGTGAGTGGTCCCGACAACGGTCGAACGATCGGATTGAGATTCTTCCGCCTCGATGTCTTCCTCGCCCTCCTCTCCATCATCGATGAATGATCCACCGTACTCATCGTCCTCCTCTTCCTCTTCCTCTTCCTCCCCCGCGTCACTGTCAGGCAAAGGGCGACCAGATGGCCAATAATGCGTACTGTGGTTGACACGTTGAGGTTGCCAATTCATTCGGACACCAGGTATGCCGTGAGGGAACGCGTTCATGAAAAATCGGCCGTAATCCATGGGTGGGTCAAAAGACCCTGGCGGTCGATATGAGGGTGCAAAAGGGTTCATCGGTGGCTGGTGGTGGTGGTGATGGTGGTGCTGTTGTTCACCTTCATAATCCTCTTCAGAATCAGTATCTCCCTCGATCATCGATCCAAGATCGCTGTCGCTGATATCTGATCCACTGTAATCTGTACCCTCGGGATCTGGCTGGTATATGTAGCCACATCCTCCGCAATTTATGCCATCTTCGAGCTCGAAAGAGCATAACGGACATCGCGTTACACCGTCTTCGATGTCAACGATTGGTTTGGGTTGCGGAGGTTTAAAAAGTCCGCCAAATAAGCCTCCGCTGACTGGGTCTGTGTTTGCTTTATCCCTGTCAAGCCTGTCCGATTCTTCGCGGTGATTTTTCGAGTGATCTGCTGTAGTATCTTCCCTATCTAGAAGCTCTGGGCGACTAGTGAACATTTGGACGATGGCTCGGACCTAAGATAAAATCGATTAGCGAGATAGTTCAAGAATGAGATAAAAGTCAACAAAATGCATATTGAACAAAACTTACCAAATAGGCGGGCGCAGGCTGAGTTTTGACAGGCGCTCGGCAATCTGGACATGTCCTTTTCGATTTGCCTCCAGCAAACCATGATGCGAGACACTGCGAAATGGTTAGCTGTAAATCCCAAAAGCAAGTATACATAGGAAGTACTTACTGAGTAACAAAAGGTATGCCCACAGGCAATGGTAAATGGCTCATACAGAGGTCGTATGCATATCCCACACTGTATCAAGCCGCGAACATCATCCACGTGGCCTTGAAGGGTGTTCACAAGCTGCAAACGCGTCAGTCCAATGTTTTCAGGCTTCGCGCAAGTAGGGCGGGAACTTACTCCGGAGGGCTCCGCCTCAGTGCGAGCTTCACCCGTCATATCGGCCGTGGGGAGGGGTTTAGATATTTTCTGACCCTAGCGCGGCAGCTCCGGCATCGATAGGATCGTGTTTCGAGGCTATTTCGACGTTGTCGAGCGGGGGCGCGAAGTCGGTCACGGTCCGGTGGGGGTCGGGGAAAAAGTTCAGGTGAAAAGTCCACGTTTGGATGCAGAAGTAAGTTTTAGGCCACCACTCAGTTGAAATGGTGAGTGACTTAAATAGGACGGTCAGAAGCCACGATTTTCCAAGCCCGGGCAAACTGTGGCACTTTGAAGTGATATGGAAGGATCTCAAGAACAATCGTGGTCATTTGCGGCCTCAGGCATGATATTATATAATGCGCTCCCTAGCTGAAATCACGTGCTTTATCATGCAATTTGGTGCCAGTTTCTAAGGGTGCAATCATGACTTTCTTTCCCTTGATTTACTTCTCTCTTTTCTTATGCCATTTATGTTTCCCCGGTTCTTTATTGAATACCATGTAAATAATTTCCAGCCCTAAAAAAAAATCCTCGTTACCCGCTCTTCTTCCTCTATGACATGCTCTGACTACCAACTTCCTTAAAATCCCGCCGCGGGCTCCGTTGCGCCGTTGGTTTGAGGGGTCCAATAGGAAGGGGGCCTGAACCACCCTAACCCACACTAACGGCAGTGATAGTGTGATATATCCACTCCAGCCCTGCCTCCATGGCTGATAGATGGCGCATCGCAATGATATGCCGTGGAAATATGAGGAGACGACGGGCCGACTCCCCTAGTAGCTTAGCATTTTGCCAATATATCCCGGAGATCATTTTGGCTTACAAGCTTCCTAGCTCCTATTTCGGCCGACGGAGTGGTACCACTCCCACTGCTTCGTCAGGTATTGTTAAAGAACAGCGGGTTTTACCATTTAAATTCATCCAAATTTGATCAGACCGGGGGAAAAAGCAAAGATGAAAAAGTGAAATTCGATGATAGAGAATCGTGTTTACTCATTTCTCTTTGATACATTTAGCCTGTGCGTATCGATCTGCTTTCATCGTGAATTAAGGTCACTCCTGATAAGGGAAGCTCTTTTCCACAACTCGAGAGTTCAAGCACTTGAGGGTCTGTGCTTCATTCAAATGTTGAAAGCATGAAGGGTTCCTAGCTGGGCCAATCAATTCCCTTCCTTGTTTGTTTTTGACCCGCCTCGGAATTCCACTTGTCCTGGCGCCTATTGAACCCAACCGCCCCCAATCGTAATAAGAAGATTGGACACACGGGGCCGGCGCCTATAAGCAAACTCGGGCTATTTTCTTCATCTTCCTCTAGGATTTTATTTCCTTCTTCTAACAAAGCTTGCAAGTTCGCCCCCATGTTTCACTAAGCAAAAGAAACACTTATAGATGTTGGTATATTCTGCATGGCATTGCTATGATCTCAAATAATGTTTAGGGATAGCAACTTTTGCTTCAACTTTTGGAATTTCAAGTACGACCAGTTTAAGTCGGTCGATTATATTCCCTAATACTATATTCTTCAAGTAAAGGAGGTCCATGCGTCACGGTGCTGATGCAAAAGTACACATGGGCTTTTCATAAGGACGCCCACGTCAATAAAGACGCAAAGTCTACACCTAAGCACTGGCAGTTATTGGCAGCTTTAAAGTCCTTTGGGGACATTATACCAACAGTCTGTTATCCGCCTATCATAGACATAGATCCCATTTAATGAACCCTGGAACATCTAGAATGTAGAATGAAGCTTCGATGCAAAATTAAGCTCTGATCCATAACAAGCACACTAAATTCTACCCTACATGGTTACTGGATATGAGATTAAATTCCCGATTGTATTATATTATTCAAATTTACCCCGGCGTCTTCAGGGTTGCCTGTCTACATACTTCCCCGGGTCATTGTATTGATGTACTCTCCACGCCAAGCCTGGATCCGCAATTCTGCCGGATAAACACTAACCATCCGATCTCCAATCATCCTCCAGCTCTTTCCAAGCTCATATCAATTGATCCGACACCCACTCCAACATTCACCCTTCAACAACCAGCTAATTGGATTCTCGTTTCGTCCATTTACTGCTAAAAGTGAGCCCCAGAACATATTGCACACATGACGTCCGAATCATCACAGCCCAAGACCGAAGGTGAGGCGTGGCAGAAGACCGATCGCAAATCCTCACAGTAAGTTAAAAGTGTCCCTATATCCCATCCACTAAAACAAACCGTGAGCCTGTTTCCCGCTTTATACCTACATGGCTTTTTACTGGGCTGGCTTGGACTTACAGGCCTTGCACATCGACGCCATGCGGTTATCTACACGGGTGACCGCAGCGAGAACAACGAGCAGGAGATGACTTGCACCGCCAACTTTGAAATCATGACACCACGTCAACTTAATTTGGATGACCGAATTTATCTAATGAGCTTTTTTTAAGTAAAAACCCCAGCGAGTTCTATGATCCTTGCCAAGACTTTGCAGATCGGAGTTTAAAGTGCTTGAAGCGCAATGGATTTGATCGCGAGATGTGTGGTGACTATTTCCAGTAAGTTGGAATCTACGAACTTCTCCTCTATGGGCTCATGGATACTCAGCTTGGCACTGTCCGCTCGAACTTTGTCTGTGCCAGACTATACATGCTACCCATATGACTGGCCATGTCTGAAGATAACCTTGCTGACCTATTTTGCTTTTATAGGGCCTACCGGGACTGCAAAAAGAACTGGGTGAGTTTTATAGCTCGCTTTATCGATTTATATCGAGCTTTTTATCACTGGGGAAACTTCAAACGACCCCGAAAGTTCCGCATCTCAACAACAAAATTTTACATGACTAACGATGGCAATAGTTGAACCATAAGAAAGCCGTTGCCGAATCCAAGTAGCTTCTTCAGTCCTTACCAACATCTTACCCCAGAATTCAAGGAACTTTTAATGATGAAGGCGCGGAATCTTGTAAGATCATGCCGATGGCTGATCTGAAAGACATTTAAGATGCCTCCCGGGGGCAAGAGGGCTCCGTGCTCGGTCTCTTCATACTGTAATATATTGTGCTGTACTCTAATTTGGTTTTTTGTTATTTCTCTCAGGATTGAGATGATTTTATCATGATATTGCGAATATGCTTTGAAATATGTATACTAAATATCATTTTCAGTTATTTTGGGATATCCATATCCTTGGCAGGTTGCGCAATTTGAAGCATAGTAGCATTTTTGACAAATCACTTTCATTAATGCCAAGGTTGATGGCCAATGAGATCTACACCAAATACTGTGACTCTGTCTGTGTTATATGTATGTATGATAAGTCCTCCAATGTTATCGAATGGATCAATCGGGCCTTCGGAGGTTTACTAGTACATATGTAGAACTTGATTTGGGATTCTTTTAGACAGAGAAGCTCCACATATAGTAGTATGTATATACTACATCCGCCGCCGCGTGATGGATGTCATTGTTCTCGTACTTAGGCTGGTATGGTCATTTATCTATGGACAAACGGTGTAGTACCTACAGTGGCCTACAGGCGGTATATACCGTGTGCTTGCTAAGTCAACACGACAAACTGATTGTATAAAAATAATTCAAGTTGGCGTCTCCGATGACCCGGATCGCATGTTTTGTCTCCGCTGGGCATCTCTATTTCTCCCCGACACACCGCCTTCAAATTGCTTCCCCGCCAAAAAAGTACCAGCAACTGTCGCACATTTCTGCTTCAATTGTTTGTAAATCGTCCTTTTTGCAGGAAACAGATTATTCTGTAAGCCGAGTGGCTTGAACAAAGCTCATACGGAGAGCTCATCAGCATGGCGCCTGCCAACGATGCCGTGTTTCTTCGGCGCAACAACCAGATCCAAGATGCTATTGACGGGCAGAATTTGAAGCAAGCCCTCCAGCTGATTGAGAAGCGCATAAAGAAAGGCGAAGAGGGACGTTTCCTGAAGGCAAGTGCCCGTGATATATCCTCATTAGCACCCTGGTGCTCACTGGGAAGCTCCAATGCCCGTCAGACGACACCCTGCTAACAACAATCGCAACAGGCATGGAGGGCGCACGTTCTCTTCCGGATGGCAGATGAAACTCACCAAAAGCGCGGTATGGCGGAAACACTCGATATTTGCAAGGCTGAGCCTCCCACGACAGATATCGATACCCTCGATATCCTACTTAAGACACTGCAGAAGATGGGTGGACATGCGGAGGAACGCAGCATGCTGTGGGAGAAAGCGGCGAAAGCGAAGCCCCAGGACCATGAACTTCAGATGCGATGGTTCACCTTCGCTTTTGATGACAATGATTGGAAGTCGGCGCAGAAGGTCAGTGCGAGGCCATCTCCAGCAAGAATCGAGGTGCATATGCTAATTACCTCCGCTCTTCTCATAGGCCACTATGAGTCTTCAAAAAAACTTCCCGAGGGAGCGCAAATATTATTTCTGGGCCATTTTCTGCAGTCATATGCTTGCTACTGATGATAGAAGCTCGGAAATGGACCGCAAGCTGTTCGGCACCTTGGCGTATCGTATGGCCTCTAAAGCCGCCGCTGATGTTCCCTCCGACCCGGTATGTTTGTAGTTATTTCGGTCTTTGAATATGATTGATGAGTAAAAATTTGGAACTTTGAGAGAGGCTAATGAAATGAGCTAGGCCCAATTATTGAGCCAACCCCGTGCCATTCAAAAGTCAGAGGAATTGCTGTTGCTGGTCAAGATCTTTGAGTCACAGAAGCGTTTTGACGAAGTTGTGAAAATTTTGGATAGTGAGAACCTGGGTATCAAGTCTCGTATCTGTCAAAATGACACGCACTTCATCGCACTCAAGGCGGAAAACTTGGGCGCGTCTCATATGTGGGAAGAGGCTATTTCTTTTGTGAAAGAATACTACACAGTACCCGAAGACGAACAAAAGCAAAAGCAAGTCCGAGATCTCGATGATTGGGTTATCTGGAACCTTTTGGTCGAAGCTGTGAAACATCTTGAAACCCCTGGGTTTGTCTTTCAACGTCACCTGGGTTTTGATTGGGAGCTAACTGCGTATCTAGAACCGCTGCTGACATGCGAAAGTTTGTCGAGAGTTTCATTGAGTTCAACCCTAAGTCACGTAACGCAACTCTGGCACGCCTTGAAATAATCAAAATCGCCATCAAGAAGGGCGAGATGACCATTGAAGACGATTTGCTTCCTATTTGTCAACAATATATTGACCAACACAAAGGCAAGCTTTACGCTTTCAATGATCTTCGAAGGATTTTGGATGGCGATAAAGAGGTTATGGCACAAATGCTAAAATACCTGTCTGAAAATGTCGGCGAAGGCAAGGATGTAAGTTTCCAATTTCCAAATGCTACTCCTGGACCATTCTTACTAACTTCGACATAGGCCGTCGTACCTACTATCAATTCTCTTAAGTTGGATTACTGCCTGAATGTTTCCGCTGTGGATAACCCCTCCAAGCAAAAGCTGGAAGAGTTAGTCACGCGCTGCATGAGCCTGTATCAAAGTTCTGCTACGAACGAAATTGCGAAGACTGAGAAGAACAGTAAAGAGGAATCATCCACTATCGAAAGCCAACCGAGAGATGATCTATGCATCCTTGCAGCCATGGCCATACTGAGTGGAAACAATGACCAATCTGATGCCGCATCGCATGCTTCTTTCGTCCGTGCTGCCGCAGTCCTTGAGCGTCTCATCATCGATTCACCACACAACTACCAGGCTCTCCTGATGCTGGTTCGTATTTACCTTCTATTTGGAGCGGGATCTCTTGCCTTCGGTACCTTCAACAAATTGTCTGTGAAGCAGATGCAGTATGAGAGTGTGGCCCACAATTTCTTTACCCGTCTCGCTACTATTCATCCTCACTCAGCACCCCCAACCGAGGGTATTGAACGTAAGGAGTTCGACCCTCAAGCAGCATTCATTCAGTGTCTCAACTTTTTCCGCACTGCTGACCTGACCACCATGAGTTTCCGAACTCGTGGTCTTGAAGAGGGAAGCTATATCAACGTGGAGGAAATTGTTGAGCTACGAAAGCGTCTGTCGAACAGTATTTGTCGAAGACTATATGCTCTGGATGCCCGCCGAGCACAAAGACTGGTTGGTGGAGATCCATTAGGACGATTTGATGAAATCGGTAAGGATTCCAGCCTTTCTTTCGTGTCTAACACATTTGCGTTTGCTTACTGATGTCCAACACAGCCCGAAATGACGCCCCTATCGTGGATGGACGTGAATACTCAGCATTTATGAGTTGCGAGTTCCCTGGTCAACCTGATTTTGAGCGGTACCTCCGCCCAGGGCCAGCTCCAAGTGTAAGTCTTATTTCCCAAATTACTCTCCGATGGTAAAAAGTACTAATAATTTCTATAGGAAAACTGGCTCTCCTCGGCCAGAATTACAGACCAACTCTTCGACGTGCTGAAGGGCATTGCCATCCAAAAACCATTAACTCCTGAAATGGACCTACCGGACTTGAGTAAGCTGTACGTTTCAGAGCCTACCGACCAGACCGAGGTCGAGAAGGAAACTTCGAAAATCCATTCCGAGCTGCTCAGAGTGGCGACTTTCATGGCTGGGTCCAAGAGCACCACTACTGAGCAAGCTGACAAGGCCCTGAGTGAAGTTGAGGACTGGTTGAACGCGAAGAAGAGGAGTCTTACTCTGAATGAGACTGAGGTTTCCCCTCTCATGATCTCTACTGCAATCTGTCTGCATGACGGCACCCCAACGGCCGCAACGTGGGAATATCTTCATGCTGTTTTCACCCTCCTCGAGACCCTCAAGGCTCTGTCACTGTTGGTTGCTTCAGCTTCGCGAAAAAGTTCCAAATCCGCCAAGTTGTCAAAAGAACGTGTGGACCGACTGACTGGGTTGATGTCCGAGGTATTTGAGCTCAGCCGGTCTAACACTCGTGCTTTGAAGCAGCGCATCTCTGCGCCGGGTGTTCTGAGCTCGATGGTCGATCTAATGATTCAAGGAAGTGAGTCTGACCTTCATTCGAAGGACTTACAGGAAGTACTAGAGTCATCTTTGGGAACTTCTGAGCTCGAACTATTCTGTGGTTCTTTGATGGAAAGCTGGGAGGAGGCTCTGGATGGTGTCATGAGGGTGAAGCTGTGATGAGTGTAACAATTCACGAGTATCATGAGATATTGTGGAAATTCAATACCAAAAATGTTCATTTAGATGGAAATAGAGCTAAACGATCACGACGTTAACTATTTCTTTGATTGGCCATAATGTCTTTGAGGCATGTTATCACTTTTGTATTCATTGAAATAACTTATTGCCTCAGGCAGAAAGTCGAAGTAAAAAAAACAACCTTAGTCATCAAACGTGAATCTTGATTAGATAATAGCCCTAGCCCTAGCCCTTCGCCTATGCATAGAGTCCCGTGCCAAGACCCGCAATTGTGCGGTTCCCGACGACACTAGGGGACTTTCACACGACTCTCTTCATTCCCTTCTTCGACAACCACCGCCAACCCCTTCAGTCACCAACCGTCGAGATGGCGCAGGAACGCACCGGTATCATTGCCGGCACCAACCACGGCCGCGTACGTGTTCTCCAAACTCCCTGCCTGCAAATCCCCGAAGCATCAATCCGGATATCCTGTTCCCTTATCAGTTTTTTTCACGAGTCGGTCTTGGGTCTCAGTTAGTCAATGGAAAGATAAGGGCATGTCAGAACGGCAAGGATCTACTGGAGGAATCATTTGAAAAGAGTCTTGAATGACCAAACAATGTGTGGTGGAAAATTTTCAGATTTGCGACATGGACATGGAAAAAGATCTTTGGCTGGCATCTGAACCCAGACTTGCCTAAAACCGAATCGAATGAGAAAACCGATACACGGGACAGTTCATTTGGAAGGAGCTATTTGCATGGGAGATTAACGTTGCATCAAAACAGACGAGCTAATGATCTACACAGAAAACCACCCCCTTGAACACCCCCAAGTCCAAGATCAGCCGTTCCAAGGGCCAGTCTTCTCGCCGCACCCAGTTCGTCCGTGAGATTGCCCGTGAGGTTGTCGGTCTCGCTCCCTACGAGCGCCGTGTCATTGAGCTGTTGAGAAACGCTCAGGACAAGCGTGCCCGTAAGCTCGCTAAGAAGCGCGTACGTTTTCCCGCCACCATCCTCGCACATATTATATGAGTGTCCGTGTTCGATTTGGTGTGATTTGAATGAATGAGATATGTCTTGAGTTTCGGAGGTAGTGCGGAGCAATTTTGCATATTTGCCACCTGAGAAGATTTTATTCAACCCAGTTACAACAAAGTGCATACTCACGTCTATCTACTGGAGACTGATCTCTCGACATTCACATTTATATCTATATCTACCAATCTAACCGGCAATCGCATAAATTCCATCTTTATGTCAAACGACGACTAACAATATTCTTTTTAGCTCGGTACATTCACCCGCGGAAAGCGAAAGGTCGAGGACATGCAGCGCGTCATCGCTGAGGCCCGTCGTGTCCAGGGTCACTAAATGTCTCAATACCGTGAACCTCTTTTCTCTTTCGTTTAACGACTTGAATACCTGGCGCGCGCAACGAACGAAAAAATGGACTTCCGGAGTCTTCTCTCACCTCCACGCTGGCAGGTCTACTAAGACTGCTTTATCTTTTTGGGCCTATAGCGTATGGCTTGCGGAAGGGGAATGGGAGTTTGATTTGTGACTACCGGTGGATGATGGGGATGGCAAAAGTGGGATCCCTTCCCTAATGGAAGAGAAACCATAATGAAAACATTGTTTCAATTCATTACATTATGTGCCTTTGTAACTCTCGTAGACTGTATGGCCTGGGGTATCCTGTCTAAAAAGTCTATTTCTCGGCTGTTCTATGAATGATCGTTATGCATTTTTGGTAGCAGTATTTCAAGCCAAAAGATCTTGGACGCCTGTGGATTTCAGATGGATCGTTGATCACTCTCCGCCATGGCAACTTGTTTGGGAAATGAATATTTATGCAATATATTGGCCTGGTCTTAGGGAAGCTAAAACATCTACCTAGCTTTCGAAACAATAAATGCAAAGTCCATCGACCTTTCTATCTCATCATGACATGTTCGTTCGAGTCACATCATTTGTAACATCAAAGTCATTGCTCTACTTGATTTCTTCTTTCTTCATTTCTTCCCCAATTTCAGCCACTTAGGCATTCCCTTCTTCGCTCCAGGCTTTCCTGTATCCGAGCTACCACTGGGGCCTGGCTCGGGTTTTGACGTAGCGGCTTCCTCAATAATCTCCGGTGGTTGCTCAATCTTCAATTGCTGTGCTTGGCTGCGGAGTTCCGGGCGCAATATCTCAGATCGTTGTTGGTGTGTAGCCGAGCTTGCATTATCAGCCCAGGTGAAATTTACTAAAACCCGACCTTGCAGTCGGAGGTCTTTGATTAAAAGGAATTCAGTGTCAGGAATGACATTCGCATGTCCAGCACGGCCTGGTGCGGCGGCGGCGAAAGCGTTCAGGGCGAAATTAATCTCTCCGTATGTTGGGGACAGACAGCTTCGTACAAAGCCATGCAATGACTGGCCTGAGTCTGATGTCCCGAATTTGGCAACTACTTGGCTCTGATCTGGGAAGCGGATCTTCACGTCGATCTCGCGGATGTCTGCGCGGCGCTTATCCTCTGCGGCCGTCTTAGCAGCTATCTCGGCGTCTGTTGGTAGGCGCTGGGGACGGGAAGCTTCGTTCAGTTGGCGTTGATGGGCTTTGGCATGTTCGACAGAGGGGATGTAGTCTGCTTCGTTGTATGATAATTGTGCTGATAATGGTATATTTTCAGATGGAGGGGAAAAAACAGTAACTGATCGGTTAGATGCCGAGCCAGTTTGCTCGGGGGCTGCTTCGGGTGCAGTAGCTGGCTCAAATGTAGATTGTTCTGGTTCAGGTTGTGTGGTGCTATCCTGATGTTGCGGAGCTGTATTCTCATTGTTTTGAATGGCCGGAGGAGCTGCAGTTGTTTGAGTTGGTTGTTGCATTGGCGTATCATCTCCGCTCAATTTGAAGTACTCGCCGATCTTCACCATCGCTTCTTCAAGAGGCTCTTCCGTTCGTCGAAAGCTGAGGCGAATAAGAATATTCCCACTATTAAAGCCCAGCTGTGCAAGAGACTTCTGCAAATCTGTGAAGCTTGATAGCTCGCGCTCCAAAACCCGAAGAACCGGAACCTCATAGTACAATCGCCCGGCACCAGAATCACCACCATCTGCAGCGGGCACTCCACGCGCTGTAAGATTGCGTGCAACTGTGCTGCCTGCAACTCCCGCTTCAAAGTTGCGTAACACCAGCCAAAGTGTAGTTGTACTTGGAAACTTGTCTAGTATGCGTCCGTTCGGAGCACCGCGAGCTTCGGACTCTGGTAGTTGAAGGGCTACAGTGACGACGGAGGGAGATCGGGATAGTTGAACCAGTTCTAGCTTTGCTCCAGTGGTAAGGCCTGACAAACGGAAAGAAAGGGACATATCCAGCTGTTTGCGATTGTGCCTGGAAGTTATACTCATTTAGCATGATATCATTCAATGCGGGGGTTCAGAAACACGTACTTAAGAGCATACTGATTGGAGTTGTAACCAAACTTTGTACAAGCTTCTTGCAAAATATCCGTAAGGTGTTTGGCTGGGGTTGTCTTCACAGTTGCCCGCCTGGCCGTGGAGTCGATTACCACGACGTGGGCGCTCATTGTTGCGCGGGCGGGGAATGAATTTGTTGCAAAAAGAGCTCTGAAAGGTTGGTCTAGAAAATTCAACAATCAAAAGTCGAGTCCGGTAGTTCGAGCCTATCTTTAGGTATACAAAAACTGCATACAAAAGCGGGGGAAATTTGTAAGGTGGTGGAATGATGAGAAAGCAATCGAAGAGTTGCGGGCAGATAGAGCCACCGACTAAACAGGCAGCGGTGGTGCGGCGTCATCCATCCGAGCTCGCGCACCTCACAGCTCCCCGTCATCAACACCTCTGCCCCATCAATCACCTCCATCATCCCTTCCCAGCCCTCTATTTTCAACCCGCGACTTTCTACAGAGCTTCAGCAATTCTGTCCCGGTCTATATTGAATAAAAAAATACCGCAATAATGGTATGGAGATAGGTCCCTTGTCCTGTTTGTTAGCCGCGAGACCTTGAAAGCTAACCTCCTTGTCCCCATCACCAGGGCTCTCCCTTCGACATCAGTACGCCCACTTCTCCCCAGACGAAAACATATTCATCAAGGCGCTAACAATGTTCTAGATGGTGGTGCCTGTGTCGCCATGGTGGGCAAGGACTGCGTCGCCATTGCCTGCGATCTCCGCTTGGGCATGCAAGCCCTGACCATCTCCAACAACTTCCCTAAGATCTTCAACTATGCCCCATCCACCTACCTTGGCCTGACAGGTCTCGCCACCGATGTCAATACCGTCTCCGATCTCTTCCGTTACAAGGTCAACATGTACCGTCTGCGCGAGGAACGTAATATCGCACCCCAGACCCTGGCCAACCTAGTCAGTTCATCGTTGTATGAGAAGCGGTTTGGTCCTTTCTTCGTCAGCCCTGTGATTGCTGGTATCAACCAAACATCTGGGAAGCCATTCATCTGTGGGTTTGACAGCATTGGCTGTATCGATCTTGCCAAGGACTTCATTGTGAGCGGAACCGCCAGCGATCAGCTGTTCGGTACCTGTGAGGGTCTGTGGGAGCCAGATCTGGTATGTCATTGAGTTTCTTGTCTCTATTTATCGACATAAAAGCTAATTTGTGCTCCTAAGTCACCCGAGGATCTTTTCGAGACCATCTCCCAAGCTCTATTGGCCGCGGTGGACCGTGACGCACTTAGTGGCTGGGGAGCCCAAGTGTACATCATCGAGAAAGATAAGGTTACCCAGCGTCTGCTGAAGGGACGACAGGATTAAAGAAACGGAGCGGTCATGGATGTTCGAGCTGGTTATTTTGGGCTTTCTGTCGGCTTTCGAGGCAGATTTTGGCGTCTGAGGTTTTCACTAAGTGACGGGGTGCCATGGACGGCCAGGATGGAAATGTTACAGCAGTGACATGAAGACAGTCGAGCTTTCGGAGTACAAGATGTGCTCATCACACGACTCTTTTATTTATCCCCCCTATCACGATAATACACCCCGTCATCAATGTCAATGTCACAGCTTTGTTGCATATTCCTTATGATAAACTCAATTCTTGAAAGAAAACTTCAGTCCTCATTTCTTGTCCTCTATACTAATATCTAGTAACCGTCTCTTCCCTCTACCAAAGCATACGCCGCCCCATCTTTACCATGAAACTCCTTTAGATCCTGTGCAAGTAACTCTGGAACCTCCCAAGCTGCAAAATGTCCACCACGATCAAACTCATTCTCCTTCACAACATTGCCAATAACTCTATACCAAGCCATAGGCCACATAACCAGCTCTTCCTTAAACTGGGCCACCGCAATTCGAACACTTGCAGGCGCAACAGACGCAAGAACCTGTGAAAGCGAAGTCCAATTCGTCACTTCCACTCCCACATTCGAATCCGCCTCATTGACCTCTGGCTTCTCCACTGCAGCTTCGTAATAGATTCTCATCGAAGCCGATGGCCCAGCTCTCGAGAAATAGTAAATACTCACCCAAGTCAAAATCTCTTCATCTGTCCAGGCATAGCCCTCCGACCAAGAATGCAACTTGTCGTATATCCACGCCAGCAATGCAACAGGACTATCGTGAGTACCATAGCCCAATGTCTGTGGTCGGGAAGATTGCTGCTTGGAATAGGCGTTGTCGATGGTAATGTATCCCAGTGTCCTTGCGATGGAGGCGCGATCCTTTGCGGAGAACGGGACGCTAATGAGAGATGATAGGAAACGCAACGGATTGCGCCAGGGATACGGTGGAGGACAGGGAATGAAGTTGACATGGATAGCTTTAATGTGCTGCGAGTAGTATATTGTCATTGTACGGGCAAGGATGGCGCCCCAGTCTCCTCCTTGGATCACTGGTGAAGTTAGCTTGGCGGCTTTGGTTTGGGGGAAATGGGATGTGGGGGTATTTACCGTATTCATCGTATCCTAAGGCAATCATCACCTTGTGAAGAGTTTCAGCGTACTGGGCCAGTCCAAAGCCTCGCTAAAGCGGTCGCTTGTTAGCCATTTAACTTTAATATAGACCAAATTCCACCGCAGTTCAGAGTATATCTACCTTTTTAGCTCCTTGTGAGAATCCAAAGTTAGGAAGAGATGGCGCTATAACATCAAATGATGCGACATCGTCCCCCTTAGTGAGCAATGGGATCAGCTTGGTAGCTTCGAGGAAGTTTCCTGGCCCTGAATAACATATTAGTATGTTGGATGGACTGAACGCTCTTGGGGTGTACATTACAGCCATGAATGAATAACAAGGGAATTGAGCGAGGATTCTCAGATCGATGATGCACAACATGGATATCCAATTCGCCAAATCCATCAACCCAGACAGGAACGGTGAATTGCTTGAGCTGCTCATTTAATTTCTTTTCCTGGGCACGCCAATCGAAGCTCTCGCGCCATGTAGTGACTAATCGTTTCATGTCGTTGAGTGGGACACCCATGCTCCAGCCTACATCATCAAGTTCATCGGGAAAGGTCGCGAGCTTGAGCTTCTGGTGTAGTTCCTTGATTTTGTCATCGGGGACGTTTATAGCGAACGGAGTGGCTTTTGTCATTCTTTTGGTCGAGACGTTTCACCTTCTGCTTGGGGCAATTAACCAATTGCAGACAGTAATGTAGAATTTCGACAAATTTTGCACATATGTGGAACTGTGGAAATGTATACTCTACATCTATGTCTAGACCGAGGGATTGAAGTTCTTCCGATGTTGATCGTTGTTAACCCCCGCCTACGTTGTTCCGCCGATCAAGCCTCGGCATCACACCCAGTGCCTCCCTACTATAGTAAACTTAATTGAAAACCCCATTCATTATAAAGCTTGACAGGATTGAGGCACTGGAGGGAATATTTCCAAGCAGGACGAGTCTCTTGCTCATATGCTCAGTTATAAACACAGAAAAAGTGGCTCAGACCCATTTGCATTACAAACAGGAGACCCACAAGCATCAGCTGCATTGAGAAATCATATCCTAGCTGGCAAAACAATATCGCTAGCTATTCACTACCCAAAGTTGCTGTAAGACATTAAGAATGAGGTGAAGATTAATCCTCATTGCTAAGAAGACCAGGACGCAAAAATGTGATGGTATCAGGGTATTTTACAGAAAACTATTCTTCAATCTGTCTATATACAATGCATTGAATGCTGAAACGTTCATTCACGGTTATCGTTCACCAATCTTCCATACTCCAACATGAGGCGCCACCAGAAAAGTCTCATATCTTCACTGCGGAGTACACGGCGCGACCACTGGTAGCTGCTTTCAGCAATCTTCTTGCCCAGTGCCAGCCCCTCCTCCTCTTGCGTGAAGTAACGAACAATTTCCGGGAAGTCCCGAAGGTCCATGCTGATCGGTATATAATGAACCCATGGAATTAGCCAGTCATCATGCCACTCTTGGTAAAGAGTTTGCTTCATCACGGCCGATTTAGACATCAGCAGGCGATAGAAGCGCCCACTGAGACCATTTCCATCCAGGTCGAGATTATATCGTGCTCTATATCCATCATCTATACCGTCTCTTTCCCCATCCAAAATGTGCAAAACGTCATTCTGTTCCATGCATGCTAGATCGTCACATTGAATGGCGGCCGAAATCCGCACCCGGGTAGAGTTCGAGATAGCCGCAATAGTGGAGGTCACTGGAACCCAATCTGGCTTTCGTTTAGCCGGTTGCTGGGGTCGAAGCAGCAAATCAATTGGATAGCTTTCGTCCATCATCATCAGTGCTAAACGTTGACGCTGTAGTGACCGCCAATTCTCGGAGGTGGAGTGGCCTCCTGTATTTGACCCCGTCCAATAAACAATATTGTCTTTTTCTTCCCAGTCCATATCTTCCCTTTCTTTGTATTCTCCCGTTCGCAGTTTCTCGGCATAAAATGGACTTGGGTAAAGCATATCATTGAAACAGGAAGCTTTTGCTTGAGAAAAGATTGGGACGAGGGAATGGGTGATTGTCATTGACTCTGGATGACGAAGACCAGCATGAATTTTATGAAGCTCGGGAAATTGACAAACGTCCTTTCCCAATGTTACATTGGAGAGAAAGCCCATCTCGGTCAGGAAAGGAGAATGCTTGGCCTTTAAAGAAAAGTCACGCGCCATCGTGTCAGGAGCACATGATAATGACAAAGCATCCCAAGTATCCTGCTTTCCAATATTCAAGAAGTCGACATGTTGGGCAATTTCTGGATTTACTCCTGGGGAAACTGGAGTTTTGTCCCTATTACTGGCAGCATTTAAGGCATGAGACAGGATATCGTGAGGTACAACAACCTTAGCCTCGTCCATGGTGTTCATCGCAAGAGTCAGATTGGGTAGGGTTTCAAGGACCTCCGAGTTAAACCAAGGATTGAAAATCTGCGGCATCCAGGTGGCAGGATCGTCAAAGGAGGGCCTTGTACGCTGGTTAACAGTGAACCGATACATGCCTTCCCCTCGGCTAGCATCAATCACGTTTTCAATACGAGCGCGAATATCAGATGGAGCAACACCCCACAAGGGCTTCAAAACTGACATCATAGAGTCAAACTCGTCCACTAACAAGAAATTGTCTCTCTGAGCAGCTTGAAACCACTTATCAAAATTTGGAGGAGGTTTCCGGCCATATCGGCGCTCGTACTCTGCACAGCAAGCACCTAGCGTTCGAGATTGTCTATTGACCATCGCATTAAACTCAAAGTCGGCCTTTGCAGCAAGGTGGTGAATTGGATGTGTGGATGAATGTAGTTCAGTTCGTAATTGATAAGATTCCAAATGCCATAATACTGAATGTCCCATGAGAATGGGCAGTATGGGGAAAACTGCCATAGCAATAACTCTTCGCCGTGTTGTCGATGGAGGAAGATGAATGACACCCCATACCAGTGATAGAACAGAAATCAAAGGGGATAAGAGGGACACTTGAACTGATTCTGCCAGAAGGCTTTGCATCGCGGTTGTGGAGTATGAATCGATAGTTGCAGCTGCAAAAGTTTGACCACCCATAACCTTTCCATGAGTAAAAACATAGTGTTAGCTGAGATTGATTTTATTGAGTGTATTGATTGAAATATTCTGTAAACACGCACCAAATAGCCAGTAGCTGCCAGTCCTGCTGCAGTGAAAAGCGCCAGTAGTACCATCGGCCATGCTAACATAGACGACGGGGGAAATACCAGCAAAGCTCCTATGAGAATGACAGATACGCGAAAAACTATAACCTCGAGCATCTTTAAGGACGGGAGCTGTAGGCTATTCTCCCGGCACGTATCCAATAAAACAAATGCGGATGATCTCGCCATGACAAAAAGAACCAGAACCAAGGCCGAAGAACCAGTTAAAGGGTCGCTAAAGTGGTATAGGAAGAGTAGGCATAGTAAGCACAGAGCTGATAGTTGTAGGTAGTACCGGAGTCGTGAGGTTGATCGTAATAATTCGTTATGGCCTCCTGGCTTCGGCAAAGTAGGCGATTGTGAAGTTCTATATGACAGTGCAATGGATATAAATGCCGCGGCGAGTGGCTACATCGAGTTAGCCAATATTAAATACCGGTCGTCAAATTAGAAAGCAGACATACCATTGCCAATACTGTATCATGATGCACCATTAAGACACGCGCCCCAGCAATGCAAATTGAAGTGCTCCATGTTATCCAGTTGAAGGCGTATATCTGGTCCTGCGACAATATACCATTGTCGAGCGCCGCTGTCGGCTGTCGTATAAATTTGTGATGCAATTTAATCGCGACATACAAGAATATCCAGCACAAACACTCAACACGAATGTCGAGGTTGTATTTTAGTATGTGTTGCGAGTACTCGATTGTGAGCGCGATAGCGGCGGCGATAGCGTATGTAGTGCTATAATCCATGGCTTGAGTATATTTGTTAGTAAAATTTCAGATTTTGGAGTTAAGTAATGCGATACCCACTAGCTGGTCCATCTACCTCATTTAATCACAGCATGAGAATGCTCCTGGGTTTTCCTTGCCGGCGATACCAACTGCGTGCTAGGGTGGAGCGAAGAAAGAAAGAGAATGATAAGACGAACGATAAGACAGATCAACTCATCTCATGAATGATCAGGTACTGGGCCGAGGCCAGCGAAATGAGATCAAATTCTGCAGGGGAATGGGGAGTGTAGAGAATGCCCAGGTGGCTCGTAGCCGTCGACTGAGGGAGACCTTTGCCTTAGCGCTGGCCCCAACGGATAGCGCGATTCTCACATCTTGAGGGAACGTGCAATTGGCGATGCTAGTGATAGCGCCCCACAATATCTGCACCCCTATCACATCGGCTAACTGGCGGAGCGGTTGAAAAGATACTTGTTAAGGCAAACCCTGAGACAGATCACGTCATGGGCTGGCGCTAACGTAGGCTGAGAGACCAATTATAATAGTTGTCGCCCAGTGTGGATCAAATAGGCCAAGGTACTCCATGCGAGTACGGACTACGCCGTAAAAGCAGGTTAGATTTGCGGCCGGGCGGGAAGATCCCTGTTGAAACGAGCCGTTTCTATAGGGCAACCAAACCCCACTCAGGCCACTGGAGCGTGATTAGGCGGAAGGCCGCACGGCCAGACTTCTTTTTGCGGCCAATAGACTTCCGAGAATCCCGCCGCACCCAGCATTCGCTTGAGGGGCTCACCCGTAAAGGAGGTATCTACCCGATGCCCATGTGCCTATGTGTACACTTCGTATCTATCTATAGCCCTCATCCCTGTACATTTCTGTGATAACAAACACCCTTAACTGTCATCCACCCTCACTAATTATATGAGACCTATATGTGCCCAATTTTATTAAATTACAGCCTAAATATAGATAAACGCCCGGCTATCTTCTATATAATTGTATATGCCGAAGTGATATGCGCAAAAGGCGTGTATAGGTACCATTTGAATGTAATTTGATGCGCATTCAAGTTCGCTCTGCTGGTTCCTAGAGTTCAAGTTGTGTGACCCGGTGCCTGGATTAAAAGTGCCTAGGTGAATAAGCATATTGTAAAATCGTCGGTATTGTGATGATCATGATGTTGCCTGGTTAGTAAGTGGCCCGGCGAGCTCTATAACTTATACTATAGTAGCAATAATTAGACCTCACGGTTTGGAAGATTCTTTATCAAATTCAACGACATTTCCATATGGACTAAGCAATGTTTCATAAGACGTATCTTGAATCCTGCGAGTGAACACTTACAGAATACCAGGCTTTTCCTGCTTTAATCCCTGCTTGTTTAATGCATTAGCGTATTCCTGGACAAATGGGCTTGATCAAGGGCCCCATATAACTAAACCGAAAACGTTACTCTGTGAAATATGGTGCAGGACTGCTCAGCTAGTCACATTGTCCCCCTCACCCTCCCCCCGAAAATTTCTCCCTGAATAATTTCGTTTCTATAGCGGTTCCTGGTCTAAAAGGCAATCAGTTGGTATGAGCGTTAGGCGCGGGCTAAGTCTATTCCTTGATTATCCTCCGTCAAAGTTAAACACTACTTGTACCGCCTGCCGCCCCCAAGAGCCTTGATCTTAGAAGGGAAGCCTTGCTCGCCCAGGTACGATCGTCAATTATCAACCTTCATCCAAATACACACACCTCTCACTCATTATCTCATGTAAATTCTCGCGTCACGGTATGTTGAGTTTGCATTTCGGCTCATTATAACATCCCTGCATCCTACCAAGCATCCAAATACGATTCACACTTGTATATGTTTGGCAAGTATTGACTCCTTCTCAGAAATGCAAAGGTCCTTCACCTGTTCGATTATCTTCCTTTGGGAGTTACTACTCTTGAATAATGTCTCTGCTTCGGCCCCGTGGGGCATGACTTGGTCTGACGATACATTTGGATCTGATGGTCCCTGGCACGCTGTTAAAGTCAAGATAGGCGCCGATGACACAGTAATAGCGATGTATCCTGGGGCATCATGGACAACCTGGGTTCTTTTGAACACACTTTGTAAAAACACAACGGATATCTCATCATACTGCTACGGAGACCAAGCTGGTCTTTTTGATCCTGACAGCTCTGACACCTGGAATGGTGATTCTATCTCTCTATCCCCCGACAATGCGTGGACAGACAGGAAGTGGGGTTATACGGATGCAGTCGCTATGCAAACCCTTGCCTACCGGGCACTTGACTCCATAGATGTTGAAGGAACCGGAACGGCAGATTCGAATTTAATTGCCGTTGAACAGGGGTATCGAACCTACCCTGGTGGTGGGATATACCCTCTAGACGTGGGCGTCCTTGCGTTAGGTGGGCCAGACGTCAATCAAACCTTTGCTGAAAATGATGGCCCTCCGCTGAACGGCACATTTGTTACCAGTTGGCTTTCTGAGCACAACGTGATCCCATCATATTCATATGGAATGCATATTGGCTCTGTCCAATTCGGAATCTCTGGTTCTCTCTACCTGGGAGGATATGATCAGAATCGAGTGATTGGGGACATTTCCATACAACCAATTGATAGTGGAGAGCTGCCAATTGAACTGCTTGACATAAGCATCGGAGTTGTGGAAGGCGGGTCGATTTGGGGATCCTCCAACGTTACCGGCCTGATGGCACGATCCAACACATCTTTATCATCTGGGATGAACGTTGCAATTGACGCAACAAATCCATATATTTATCTACCTCAGAGTACATGCGATGCAATAACCGCCAATCTGCCCGTGTCCTATAACTCCGAGCTCGGCCTATACACGTGGGACACAACCAACGAGAACTACTCCAAAATAATCACTTCCCCTGCCTATTTGGGCTTTACGTTCGTCAAGGATGATATCAATACGGAGAGGATTACGATAAAGGTTCCTTTCGCTCTGCTGAACCTCACCCTCTCACCTCCTCTAACCAAAGTTGACACACCATACCTTCCACTCATGCCTACGGATGATACTCTAGTGTTGGGTAGAGCTTTCCTACAGGCAGCCTTTTACGGTGTACATTGGTCACAGAAATATTGGTTTCTATCTCAGGCTCCGGGTCCAGATGATAATTTTATCTCGAACGTTGTCAGTATAGATCCAACTACCACTACCATTAAGGGGGCCGACGATAGTTGGGAAAGCACCTGGACATCCTACTGGACTCCCCTGACTTCTAATAGCGCTGGTAACAATTCTGCAACAACTTCCAACTCAACCAGCTCAACCAGCTCTTCATCAACTTCCACCTCAGCTGAAGGTCTATCCACGGGTGCCAAGATAGGCATTGGCGTTGGATGTGGTTGTGCAGCCATCGCGATAATTGGCGCTGTCGCCTGGCTTCTAATACGCCGCCGCCGGCAAAGAGCCAAGGCCTCCGAAGGGCCCCCAATCCAAGAGTGTACTGGGCCTCGGCTTGTCCAGCCACAAGGCGTCCCAGTAGAAATTGCTACCCGCCGCCCCGATAGCCGGCACGAGCTGGGCTATGATCCTGGATTTGCCGGCTATTATGAAAAACATAGCTCGGGGCACAGGAGCACAACCACAGATCCACATAGCTCTACTGGGAGATCCGAGGGTGGTGAAAGAGGCACCAGTGAACGTTATGAACTTTTTTGATGTTGCATTCTTGTACTTTTAAGGAAATTAGAACGAATGGTGTGCATCTTAGTGGGTTTGCCGATTCTTCATATGCCAGTGGATACATAATCATGAACAGAGAGACTTTTCCTTTCAAATAGCGACTTTGTTATGGAGTTAGTCAACATGCCTAGATAGTTAGTATAGTTAGTTCAGTTCTATGACTCTCTTCGCGCCAAAATTCTAAGGTTGCAAAGCATTGTCCACACATTTGCAAATTTCAAATAGAACTGACATGATCTTATATTAAGCCTAAGAAATACACTGTCGTCGATTCAAGTTGATTCTCAGTGTACTAGTAGTCGCTCATTGTGTTTTCTGCTGAACACAAGCAACATTTGTTACACGCATCCCTCTCCATGCCTACCTCCCAGCTATAAACAACTAAGGCTCGTTATGGCGATCGGCCACATATTTAATATGCTGTTTGACTTCGTCTGATTTTGGTTTAGGATCCAACTCCCTACTCTCAGCGTTAGCTCCTGCGCGGTATACCTTGAAGGATTCATCTTTATGATTTCCTTCCTTCGGATTGGATGTCGACTTCTGGGGTATTAAATATACAAATCGTTTGTCAGGGGTTTCCTTTTTTGGCCAGAGGAGTCCGGAAGGATTTATCGACCTTCAGCACTCGCTTCATGATCTTGACCTTTAATTTTGAATAGCATGGTCTTGCTGTGGAATACCATTTTGCGCGGATAAAATGATGCCGCGCAGAAGAATAGTTGGTATCGAGTAAGGTTTTTGTTTTCGCTGCCTTTCTCGGTATGTTGTCGCTTTACCACCTCTCGGTCTACTTATTCTTCTATCTTGAATATTGTAGTCTCAACCCCCATTGGCCTCAAGATAATTTAGTAAAATATCGGTTGAGTGTCTAGTAACTTGAAGCTACCTTTACTAGTACCAGGCCACATAAAATCATGGCATATTATGTATTAATCTGTTTATCTATGTTCGCAGGTGCCCGCCCATGAACACTGGCAGTCAGCCCGAGTGTATACAGTATAACTATGGGCCTACTATCAATGGATGTCATACCAGTGCTCAAGTGCGCCGGACCTCTACATTTCGATATACTAGTAGTACATACCTATACGATCTCTCAAATCGCAGTAATTGAAAAATTTCAATGCTACGAACGAAATATTGCAATCCATACTAAAGCTCTAGTTTGCTGAGAGTACCTTGATTTCAGACTTTTAAGTATGCGAGGGAACTACTGGTAGCCGGCCAATATGCTTTGTGGAATATTACTGGGGCCAATAACCTATCCAATAGAAAGTATAGGAGTGAGACTAAGCGAATTTTGGTGCTTACTTTGACTTCTAAAGCAACATCCAACATTTTGAAAGGCATATATACTCTTCTAAACTAATATTTACTTCCAGGGCTATCCGCATGCAGACTTCTCGCAGGTACATGCTTAGTAGACACCAGTAAAGACATGCTGTGCATGATGAATGATTCTTGTAGGAAATTACCGAATGGACCTTTAGAATGCATGATTTCTAGGCAATCCAAAACTTCAAAACCCCGAGGCAAAGAAAAGGAGGTATTGTACAATTTTTTTCATGCATCAATGTTGGACGAACTCACAAACCTTGAACGCGATTGGAAAACCCCACCAATCCACTCTTCAAGTCATGATACCATTCCAATTTGGAGCTGCATCGCATACAGTACACAGATCCATAATTCGGTAGCAAAAGACATCCGACCGTAGCCTATGGATACTGAATGCTGGAGTTAGGGGCGCTCCTAATAGTGGGGGAAATATGCGAGATCAATCAACTAAATGCTCGGTGGCAGAGAATCCAACCAATAGGTGATCTATCACCTAGCACAGCAGGATTTAGATTTTGACCGGACCAGATCCAAAAGCCCCGCATTGTCGCAAGTGAATGGAAAGTGCAGGGGTATCCTGGTTGATAAGCCGGGCTTCTAAGCCCATGATATGCATGTACAAAATTTTAATTTTTTTGTCTTTGTCTTAATTTAACGTGCCCACGTACGGAGCCAGATTCTATAACGTAAAGATCATCATTATGGGCCTGGTCTGACGAGGTGGGAGGATTGGCCCCTTCAGTGAGCGGGCCTAGTCATCTTTTAGTGTATTTAGGTACTTTTAGGTGCATTTAGTAGGTCTTGGTACTTTCCGCGACACGAGTACGAAATCGGTTATGGTTTAAACATTTTTAAAATTTTTTGTGATTAACAGATCTGATTGATCTCCCCCGCAAGATTTGTTGTTGTGGTCGGACTTGTATGAGTATTGAGGTATAAACTTCAATGTTGTGGTGGTGGTATGAGCTTAGGTGTGGCTGTTTTCCACCCCTTTATCTTCAGTCACACCAGACACAACTCGGTCTAGATCCGCCGATCGTGCGGTTGTCCGTCTCCGCAGAGGGCACAGTGTTATGAACCCATAGTACTTTTTTTTGTGGCTTGGAATTTTTACTGTATGAATTGGGCCATTGAACATCGAGAAATTTAATGGTGATTTTTTATTGCTTTTGTATTATTTTGACAGCTGGAGGAGACAGCATTGAAGTTCGAGGTCAAGTTCCTTTGTCCCTGTTTCAGCCTGAGCGACCTGAAAGTGTCTAGACCGCCCCAGAGACTCGGAAAATCCCCTCCTGTCCCCCTCTTGCACCAATCCCAATCTCTCTGTCTGTGAACACCTTGAATTGACCTCTACAACTTGTGTCCTGGGAGTGAGCCATGGTGTGTGCTACCCCGGCATAAACCTTCAAATTACGACCAAAATCAAAAAAGAAAAGAGAAATTCAAGACAGCAATCACCCAAAGAGAAACTAAGAACATTACAACCCCCCCCAAAATCCCACATGGATCATGACCGACTCGCCCGAACCCGATGCCCCCAACTCCCTTCATTCTCGTTCCGCCATGACATTTCCCTCCTGCAAATCCGAATGCCTTACTGAAGGTCTCGCTACAGTACCGGAGGATGGGGATATGCAGTTTGACGCGTCTGGCCGATCCTGGCAAGACGGCGCCCAGTCCGCCGCCATTGAACACCTGGTCTCGTTGAAGCAGGGCTTGAGAACGTCAGATACCGAGCTGTTCTGGAAACGGCTCATGGAGGATATCACATCGATCAGTAAAGCACAATATGGCTTTGTTGCCCGCCGAGTACACGGCGGGGAAGCCATAGCGGAACTGGGCGGGCGCCGGCCGTCCCTCTTCGGAGCAGTTTTTTACTACAATGACGGCTATCAAAATTTCGGCCTACAACGAAACCGGTATTTCGCAGGTGGGAATCCTCTTTTGCACATGGACCACGAGCGACCGTGCTTGATCCCCGAAAATCTGAAGTCCTTGGTGTCCTTCGGAGATGATCAGTTACCTTTTCCTGCCGAGGCATACCTGGCCATTCCACTTTTCTCAGAGGGCAAATGTCTTGCATATCTTGGTTTGATGTGGTCAGCCGAAGGTACGCGGAATCGAAATTTGTCCTGGTCGTTCCTAGAAATGGTCTTGCATTCCCTGGAGGATATGATTGTTCAGCGGCTACTGCAGGATAAAGTTTTTCCAGAGCAGGAGACCTGCGAATTTCCACCTGTCCCTCCAGTTCCTCAACAACCACAAACAGCAGACTCTCAACATACCTCCGATTTCAATTCGCAGCCACTGAAACCTTATGCCCGCAGTTTGTCTCATGAGTTGCGGACCCCCATGCAAGGGGTGGTAGGCATGCTTGATGTAATGCATGCAACAGTGCGGGAGGCTATGGAGAGCAAGACACCCGTCAAATCAGGTGGGATTTTTCAGGCGCTCAAGGAAGGTATTGAGATGGTACAGGACAGCGCAAGACGTGCCGTCGAAGCAGCCGATAATGTTGTTCATGCGTACGACCTAAACATGCAGGTTCCCAAAACACCCACCCCGCAACAGGAGGAAGAGAATAACTTTTTCCCTGGTCCAAATCCACCGCCCGAATCTGACGAAAGTCGACCAAGCATCTTTATCGAAGGCAACAATATCGCAGTGAATCCATACAAGAGGCGGCGAAGTCTTCCTCTAGACATGGCTTCATGCTCAACACGCCCCGCCCGTAAACAAAGAGTCCGTGCGGCATCATCGCGGCAAGAACTGTCACCCCGCAGTGAAGAAGTCAAAATCGCAGTACACGAGAGCGACCAGATCGTTCACGCCACTCCAGCCCGGCAGATCGAAGAAGTCATGGCACACATGGTAGATCCGCGTCCGTCGATTGCCGTCCGACGTTCTGCACCTCACCTCCTTCTGGAGGGTATCAACATGAACTTAAGAGGCCCGGCTTTACGTTTCACCAAATTGCGGGATTTGCTTCGATTGGTGATTAATGAGTCGCTTCACGTTGGCGGTCGCCCTGATTCTGCCGAGAGCAATGCTACCGATTTCGGCGAGAAGATTGAGATTCGATCGAGATCCTCCAATGGCGAGATTTACACCAAGACCGTGGATTGGTCTGTTGATCCGGCATTACCTGATACACTTCTGGCCGACGATCGGGATCTTGCTAAACTGATATCCTGCGTCTTTTTGAACGCCATTAAATTCACCAACAATGGCACTATCACTGTTTGTGCAACGATGGACGCCAAGAGCAACGATGTCTTGATTCTTGTGCGAGACACGGGCCCAGGCATCCCAGCTGCGTTCATTCCGAATCTTTTCAAGCCCTTTGCCCGGGAAGATGCGTCTACAACTCGAAGCAAAGATGGATTGGGTCTTGGTCTTCTTGTGGCCAAGGGACTTTCAAGGAAGATGGGCGGCGATTTGATCTGTGTTCGTTCATCAACCACAGGACCCGATCATGGCTCTGAGTTTCAAATTCGAGTTCCCGTGAACCAGCATGATGCTTACAGTCGTCCTGGCACTCCACTTGAAAGAATAATGACTCCACCGATTTTCAACGAACACGTCAGGACCGGTAGTGGCAGCAGCTTTGTTTGGGAGCCTACATTATCGAGCTCACCTTCTCAGTTACAGCACCAACAGCTTCAGCAGCCAACGCCCAGTACTGCCGATGAAAAGTCATCTGAGAGTCCGTCTCCGCCCCTAGTAGTAACTCGCCCTCAACTCAACCCAAGTGCTATCTCCCAAGACGCATACGACAAGCGACTCGGAGAAAAATACCCATTGCGTTTCCTCGTCGCAGAAGACAACCGTATCAACCGACGTGTGCTGGTCAACATGCTACGCAAACTGGGGTATCGTGATGTTCTTGAAGCGGCTGATGGTAGAGAGGCTGTGCAAATTGTTGAAGAGATCCTCTCCGCGTCCACCTCGCCCACCGACTTGGCCGAGTTCCCCAGCACCCTAGAAGCACCAACCAAGACCAACCCATCACCCGCCGCAGATATTAAACCCATTGATATTGTGCTTATGGATCTCTGGATGCCCAAAATGGACGGTTACGAGGCCACTTCTCGCATTCTTCAAATGGTTGATGACCACCACAGCCAGTCCTCTGGTTCTAGTAACGCATCCCCAGATGCCCCCAACCCAGATCCAATGGACATGGACCCAAAGCCGAGTTTATTACGCCTGCCGCAGCCTCCTACTGTTCTTGCCGTGAGTGCAGACGTCACTGACGAGGCATTGAACCGCGCCTCCAGAGTGGGAATAAAGGGCTATATGACAAAGCCATACAAATTATCCGATCTTGAACGATTGATCCTCGGGTTCTGTGGTAGTCTTGGAGACACAGTCCCGATGGTGACAACGTAAAAACCTTCACGCATCCACCCATCTATCCAAGCATTCTTCCATCCTCTTTTCACTTCCTTCTGGCCCAGCATTCAGCAGCCAATATATACCCATGGAACTTCAGCGTTCCTCTTACATTTACATTTAACGTTGCCATAGTGCTCCGTTTGCATCTTCATACAGTGCATGTCGCTGTTTGGCGAAGATTATCTATCTTGCCATTGTTCATCTGGCGTCATTTGTTCTTAGGCCATTCTTCTTTTCTCTTCCTGCCATATACCAGCATATTTGGCATTTACATTTCTATACACCTGTTTATTACCCTTTACTCTTTGCCCTGGACATAATGAATGATGAACCCTCAATCAACTATCCTATCCTTTAAGGAAAATGTGTCTCTGCCTTCGTTTTCACTGTGATGGATCCAATCTTGTCTTGTTACATGCACTCTCAGAGTCCATGTCTAAAGCAACCCTTCAAGTTACTTAGTACATTACTTAGGTAGCAAAAAGACCAACATGAAAGAATAAAGCTGTCATTACATCCATTATCAAAATCGACATCGCGCTAATCATGCGGATCCAAACACTCCACGCCCCATCTTTTCTCGTAGATATAGACCAAATGCTTCCTTCCCTATCATAACAGATCCATACTTCGAACATATGCTCTTTGAATACAGCAACATCCGAGGTAGATAACCTGTTAAAATACCAGAGAATATATTTCCAGCAACGAAGAGAACCCAAACACCCTATTTAAAACGACTAATCAACGAATCCTCGATTGAATCGGACATGATACAACAAGAGCTGAAACAAGATGCAAGGTGTAAGTTTGGTATAATAAACCACAAAACAAATCAGGGCTTTAAAACACATTCAGAATGGCATGTTCGTTTTTGGTTTTGGTTTTCAATCAGATAATCCCCACCACACTAAGTCAACTTCTGCTTAATGAAGAATGACCGCAGATGCGAGAGTTGCCATGCACAAGCAACAGACAGAATAGCCAATTGGATCAGGGTCCAGCGGACAACACGGGAGTTAGTAGTCTCGGACTGATCACGGAACTCGGCCTCACGTTCCTAATAAAATAAGATAATTAGCATTGCACTGACAAAAACTCGGGCCCTTTCACTGGGCTTTGGGTAGAAAGAAGAGTATCCAAGAACAGAAGCAACTTACACGCTGGTAGACCTGCTCCCTTCGAATATCATGTAAACGACCATTTAGATCCTTCACACGCTGCACGATATCCTTCATCTTATCCTTGTCTTCCGTCTCAATCTTAGAAGTCTCTCCAATCGCAATGTCAAGGGATATCTTAACCGCGCCGGGGGTAGTAGCGAGCCACCCAGTCGAGGCGTCGGTTTCAGCCGTGAAACAAATCTTGTGCTGACCGGCATCGGCAGCGGTGAAAGTGAAGCGGCCGGAGTGGTGCTCGCGCTTAGAGACGACGCGGTGGTCATTATCGAAGGTCTCGTCGACGGTGATCATGATTCGGACGCTGTGGTCGATGGCGTAGACACCGGTTGAGGGATTGACAACATAGCTCGCGAAATTTCCTATTTAACGAAGCAATGTTAACAATGTCATTGCGATAAGACCAGCAATGTGTAGAATTGAAATGCAAGTCTATCAATTTCTATCTGAATTGATTCATACCTGCTACCAGGGTGTCCTTTGGCAAGTCCTCGTAGAAGCACTTAGGTTGACGACCATCAGCATAGAAGTATAGTGCATTAGCCGGGACGAGGAAAGAGAGAAAAGAAAACAAAGCCAGTGTGGCTGTTGCCCATGACAAGGGAGCCGTGAGAGCCATGTCGTAGAAAGTATTCAAGGTATGATGCCCAGCGATGGTATTCGGACCTCCCTAATTGTTCTGGACAATCAACAATCTGGCTTCGCGCTTGATCTACACCGCCTGCTGGTTTCGTCTTCCCTGTTCCGTCGCGATTTTCATCTTCAACACGGGTCTTTCATCATCTTTTTATCGGCACAGGGGTAATTTGTTCTTCTGCTTCTTTTATTTTATCGAGTGAGATTTTAGGAAAAGTGGTTTTCGTGTTCTGTCTCATATTGAATCTCCGAAATCATCATGGCTGCCGCTGCGGATGTGCGCGATATGCTGGACTTGCCCGCTGAGAGCCAGCCCAGACCGCATAAGAAGCAGAAGGTGGTTGAGAAGCGACCAGGTTCGTGACTTTTTATTCAGACTTGAGGAGTTATTGCTAATAGTTGGTTTCAGAGGGTATTACCCGTGAATTATACGCGTTATTGGGTGAACGAGCGCCGCCTATCGCTATCAATGAGAACAAGTACAAGGGGCGTCCGAAGTGGATGAACAAGCTGCGGGTGCGACCATGGTATGTATCATGAATACTTCGAGGAGCAATTATGGGATTCATTCTTACGGCATCTTACTAGGCGCATGTCACCATTCACGAACGGCGCTCGATCTGACGGACTAGTCCTAAACCACTGGCAACGGAAACACGAATCCACACGACCACCCGCTCCCGAGGGAACCGAGATGGACGTAGACGAAAAGAAGGAGAAAGAAGAAGGAAAAGAAGACGAACCGCCTAAACCCCTCGAACAAGAATACAACTTCGCCAAATACAACATCAAAGCCCGAGTACCAAGATCATACTCCGAGGAAGAATACACCCGCCACATACAAAACAACGACTGGACCCGCGAAGAAACAGACTACCTAATGGACCTAGCCCACGAATACGATTTGCGCTGGGTAATAATCGCCGACCGCTACGATTACCAACCACGAGTCAACACAGAAGCGGAAGGCGACTCAAACGCCCTAGTTCCAGCAAAACACTACAGAACAATGGAACAGATGAAATCGCGCTACTACTTCGTCGCAGCGACAATGCTCGCAATCGAACATCCACCGTCCGAAATGTCCGAAGCCGAATTCGATCTCCACGAAAAGATGCTCAAATTTGACCCGGATCGCGAACGAGATCGTAAAGAACTCGCCGCTCTCCAATTAAACCGTACAGCCGATGAAGTCCGTGAAGAAGCAATGCTCCTCGAAGAACTCAAGCGCATCACAAGTAACGAGCAGAACTTCGTCACAGAACGCCGCGAGCTCTACTCACGTCTTGAAGTACCTATTAGCGTCGGAAACACAACTATCTACCAGTCCAGCCAAGGGCTCTCACAGCTTCTTCAGACTCTTCTACAAGCTGATAAGAGCAAGAAACGTCGCTCGATCCTTGGTCCTGAAGGCGCTGTAGCTAGTCCGGCTGGGCAAACTCCTACGCAAGCTTCCCAGATGAGTCGTGGCGATACACCTGGTACTGCTGCTGCGGCGGCGGCGAATAAGAAGGGTGGTGCAGCTGCTGCTGTGCCTTCTGCGCGTGAAATCCAACAACCAATTCGTACACTTACGCCGGCTGAAGAGTCTCGATATGGCGTGCAGCATCACGAGCGCGTTTCGGCGGGCGTTCAGTTCCGTAGTGATCGTGCTCAGAAACTGACGCAGGCGAAGTCGAATGTTCAAACTTTGAAACTTGCCGGTGCGCTTGCTGAACTTGAGATTCCTGTGCGGTTGTTTATGCCAACGGAGCGTGTGTGTAAGGAGTTCGAGCGCCTTATTCAATCCGTAAATCTTCTTCTGGACGCGCGTAAAGTTGCTGAGAAAGTTGAAAGTGAAATTCGTGTTTTGGAGGCTTCGAAGGCAGAACGAGAGAAGAAGTCTGCTCCTACTGATGGATCTGGGCATCCGGAGGTGAAGACTGAGGCGGAAGAGGGGACAGGCGTGTTGGAGTCTACTGCTGCGGATGCGGATGCGGATGCGGATGCAAAGGAGAATCCTGCTGATGGTGACGGACAAGGTGATGGTGAGGAGGCTTCGAAGGAGGGCGAAGGTAATCACAAGCGATCTGCTAGTGTGCTTAGCGGTGGAAGTAATAAGAGCTCCAAGCGGCAGAGGCGGTAGATTTTTGCGCGCGTTCTATTTCTTCAATCTTGTCTTTTTATATCATTGGGTTTTCAAGGGGGGCATGATTGGGGATCTCTGCAACTTGCTACTGCTACTGTACAATACACCTGGCGCTTGGTCTGATACCTCTTGTACGATTAATGACACCTTCCTGCGGAAAAGTACTACTGCAAACCATATCTATAATTCGATTCCGAACGCGTTTCTACCAGTTGATAATAATACATGCGTTCCAAGGTTGCTCTTCTGGATATAAATGGGGTATCACCGAACTTGCTGCCATGCACCTTGGGCTCAATATCCTCGCCACAACACGTATACGTGCATCATAGCATTCGACTAATTCGACTTGCCCAACGACTTCCTTCAAAAGAGCCGGGCATCTCAAGACAATCCGGATCATCCGTCGTATTACTCTTCGTTGATACAGCCCGCTTGACACTGATACTCGTCGAATCACAATCCTGATACGGACCGGAAGAACCCTGTGACTGCTCTTTTTGATGAACATTGGAGACTCTTCTGGTTTCTCTAAACCGCGAGAATCTGCGTGCCCACCGTGCAGCGCGAGAGCGATTAGGTTGTAGCTCATGAGCTTGGTCTTCGTATTCACCGTGGTAATTTGTGCCGAAATATTCTAACTCCGCTTCATATGAACGAGGGATTGAGAAAACGCCATCTTGCAAAGCCTCTTGATGGGAAATAGCCTCGAGATCCGCCTTCTGTTTCCGTGCCTTTGCTTGTGCGTTAGCAGCTCGACTAAGACTTGCCCATTGACGGGCGAAGCTGTCAATGTCTTGTCCCTGGGTTGTATAGTGAGAGCTTTGCGGGATCTGACAATATTCTTGTTGTACTGTGGCTGCCAACCCGAGGGCGCGAAAGTTTCTCTCGCTTTCTTCGACCACGCCATTAATACTGCTTTGTTCCTGGCTGGAATGATTCAGAATAGCCCTGATATACGCCGGAACTGAGTAGCCGTTGTTGGATTTTCCAGATTGAATGGACATTGGAACCGTGGCTGCCTCATTCCCAAGATTATTCGAGTGCTCGATAGCTGGAGAAGCCTGATATTGCCGAGCTGATGTTTGTCGAACCTTTTCGAGGCGCACATGACTTTCAGATAATCCCTGGGGGTCATTTAGTTTTGTGGACTCCGCCTTCACGGCGGGTGCCTGGCTCACTTGAGGAGGCGAAGTACTTTGCTCATGCTTTTTCGGAGAATTTGCCTCTTTACCTGGTACCATATTATAGCCATATCCTACACGGCGGCCTCCAGACATCCAACCAACGCTCACTTTTCGTGCAGGAACATGGCCAGTGGGTGGGCTTTGGAATTGTGGGGTACCAGAATCGTCAGAATCACAATGTTCTTGAAATCTGCTCATGATTGTGTTCCGAGGAGCTGGAATATCGACGCTTGCACTTTCAGATGAGAACGTCATTTTCATATCGGAGGGTTTATTGATAACTATACTGGGGAGTTTATTAACTGAGTGGACCCCAAGCGACACGCTCCCTGAAGATGGATTTCGTTGTGAGTAACATGAGGATGCATCTCGTTGATCCATTCCTTGGTTTGGTGTTTGACTCCCAGAAAGCGTTGAAGGATCGGTCTTCGGTCGAAATTGAATATTCTCCTGCGAAGAGCCCATCGACAGTCTACGTTTGTTTTTTCGGAGTAGGTCGACCATCGACGGGCTGCATGACATGACCTGGGACGACTGGGAGTGAGAAGCAAGTCGATTAGAAATACCCATTTCACTCAGATGTACTGTGCGAGGATCGGTAAAAGATCTGGCTGAATTCGAGGGCTGCCTGGTTTTGGAAACCACAATGTTTGTTGATGGGCCAGGAAGTGATCCCGACGATCCTAAGTACCCTAAGCCATACCGCTCGCGACTAGTTTTCAAGAATTGTTTCCAGTCAGTCATCAGATCTCGCCCATTGTTGGTTTCGGAGACATTAAGGACGGGCGAGTGTTCTGAATGAGAAACACTAGGCTCTGGGTGGGTTGGACATAAGGATGGCAGTGACCTCACGAAATTTGGGTTCGTGACAGGGTCGGCTTGTGGCCGTTCATCTTTGGGTGAAGCTGCTTGCTGTACTCTGGATTCATCGAAATTGAGAGCAGTATGGAATCCTGTCGGTGGCCCTCGAAGAGTACTGGGAGGTGTTGGGATGAAATGCAGACCAAAGGCAGACTCCTGTGACTCTGACGCATTTCGATTATTTGCCTGCGCCCACCGTTCAGCTTCTGAACGCTCTTGACTTTGCTCAATTAGATCACTAAGCTCCATTCGCCGAAGTGCACGGCTAGCGGGAGACCTTCCCAAGAAGTCGGCATAAGTCGGCGTTGCAATGCACTGTGCATCACTGTCATATCCTCTCTCACTCATCAGACTACTTCTATAGTTCTCCAGTATTTTGAGATCGGGTTTCGGTCTTGACGGGACGGTTCTCGATGGTTTGAAAGAAAAAGGAAAGACGAATTTGCCATGCTCCCGGGAGCAGCTTGACGCTCTGGATTCTCGAGAAAAATGCCGGCGAAGTATACGAGTGAGACTCTCTGTTTGCCCTTTCTCTGGGTGACTTGTCTTGCGGTAAGCTGTTGAGCCTAGATTTCTGAATTAGAACTTTAAGTAGACCTCAAATAAAATACAACATTAGTGATCAGTTTACCATTCTGGCTTTGGGGGATTCCATTTCCATCAGGTCGTGGACCTTGATAGGCATCGCGAACTTGCGACGGCGATGCAGGTCGCTCTTTTCGCCAACGAGGACAGATGAGAAACGTCATTTCAACTGAGAAGCGAACTTCAAGGGAAGAAAAATGGCCAATACCATTTGTGAGAGAAATAGGCTCATGATCTTTACAGTTATGTACAGAAGGTGCTCCTTGGCTGCTCCTTCCTAAACCCGCACCACACCAGATCAATGCCTGGATTAAGCTTAACCAGGGTCAACCTTAAACCTTCCCCACCTTACTAGACAAGGTCCATGATAGTCACTTCTACAGGCTATTATTCGATTGTACATGTTAACACCCTAGTTCACTTCAAATTGAGAAAAGAAAATTTGACCGTTCCGTATGTACATGTCTGACTAGATTTTAGAAACTGTATTTTGGCCTTTTGTATACGAGAATCGAACTCTTTACGCTCTGGAGTCTTTACTTCCCTATTGATGCCAGTCATAATGGCAGACGCCAAAGCTATATTTCCTCGAAAAATGGGGGAATGAGGAATGGGGCTCGTCAAAGTGAGTAAATACTAAACCTTACAACTGATCTTCTGTTTTCTAGCCTTTTCATAAACCGGCGGTTTAATTTGCCTAGGTTCCAACATATCCCTCCCACCATACAGGAAATGGCACAACCTACTGGCGAGACTGCATTGTTTACAACCCTCTCTTGAACACTATGGCGGACCAAGGTCAAATCGACCCTTACTTTTCGCTGGCACTGGCACATACACCACAGAACACCATTACATCCTTTGGGGGCTATATGACTCTGGGTGGCCTTCCGCCAGTCAGGCATAGTTCATAGTTTTCAACTGTCCCAGTGGAAATCACTACTCAACTTCCATTGTGGTATACACCCGGAAAGAAAACACTATCCTACTGGAGTTTGACAGTTAAAGATGTTACACAAGGCTCATCCTCGAACAAATTGACTACCAATTCGACATCTTTCCAGGCATTCGTCGACTCGGGAAATGATAAATCGTATCTTCCTGTCGAACTTGCCAATTCTATCAATGCATGCTTCGGTCCACCAGCAACTAAGAACTCTGGGGGGCGACAATTGGTGATCAGACATTCTTTCACAATGGCTCCGATATTATTCATAAGACCACCGAGGGTTTGTGTATCGACCATGGGCTCTTCTGAAGATTTTACCGTTGATGGCCGGAATTTCAACATTATCGGAGTCCCGCTGTTGAAAAATGTCGTTGCTGTGTTTGATTTCGGAAAGGATCAGATGCGATTCGCCAGAAAATTCTGATCCAGCTGATACGGGTTTTATGGGATGATTGAATTCTGTAACTTAGTGACTTTTTTTTCGGGCTTGAAAATTTAAGATTTCTCGTTCAGTTCGTTTTCTTTAGTTTGATACTATGTTGCTTGATTTCGTCAGAATTAAATTGTGTACTGTATCTAAACCGAGTCTATTGGGGTATAAGATCGCTCTGTATAGTCTACGCAGGGAGCTGGGTTGACGTAGAGCTTGGGACTATCTATATACCGCCTGCAGCAAGGCGCAGATCTGGGGCGTCACACCGCCGTTATGTTGTTATGTGATATTTATTTCAATGAAACATGTTATCGTTTGCTAGACCGTAGAGACCTGCATAGTATTATTGAAAAGTGATATTGGACAATGAGAATGCATACTTCTTTTTTTCTTTTAGTTGTCGAGAGCATGTCCAGCCTGAGTATGGGATTCACCAGCGGAAAGCGGAAGGGTGTCCCTAATACAGCCAATCGGTGACCGAACCAAGGAGTGTCCCCTCCAGATGTCACAGATGTCGGCGACTGATACAGACGGGGCTTTTAAGTTTTACAAGCTCAGGTGAGAACGGTAAGGAGCACAAAGAGATGGATAGGTTCATTAAACTTCTTCTTTAATGTCAGACTGTAGGAGCACTGTTTAGTATTCACATAGAATCCATCAATTTCTACAACTTTCGCAACTAATCCTGAATTCTCGTAATAAATCCCGTATAAATCCCGTACACCAGACACAAAGATACAACCCCTCTATTGACCCAGAAAGTAGCTTATCGCCCCGTGTCAAAATGGCGTGATCCCACGCCGATCCCGGAGGTGCATATTTTTTGTAGGTGGAGCACCCGAGAGGGTCAAAATAAGTAAATTAAGTAAATTAAAATAAATTGAGTCAATTGAGTTAAGTAACACCGAACATACAAAGCCATTACCGTACCTCATTGGTCTCTGACGACGAATCCCTCCCCAGACCGTGGTGAGCACCGTCCACCGTCCGCAGATCCCCGGCTGCTAGCTGTTTTGCTCCGTGTACGGGCAAAAAAACCGCCGTGCCCCTCTATCCTGTTGGGGTTAGCCCCGCTCTGCTCCCCCTCCATTTTTCTTCTCGCTTTTTCCCTCTTTCCCTTCTCTTCTTTTTCTTTTCCTCAAGGTCTCGGGCTCTTATATTTTTCATCTTTGAGATCCCGTTTATACCCTTCCTTTCTTTTCCTCATTCATCACACACAACCGTCAGAATGGTTCAATCGTATGTTCTATATACTACCCCTCGCTGCATCGACTGCTGGACTTCGTGCTAACATGTGTTTGCTAGATCTGTTCTAGGTTTCCCCCGTATGGGTAAGCTCCGTGACCTGAAGAAGGCCACTGAGTCTTACTGGGGTGGAAAGTCTACCCGCGAGGCTCTCCTTGCTGAGGGTAAGCGTCTCCGTCTGGAGCACTGGCAGATCCAGAAGGAGGCCGGTGTCGATGTCATCCCCTCCAACGACTTCGCTTTCTACGATCAGGTCCTCGACCACATCCAGCTGTTCAATGTCATCCCTGAGCGTTACAGCAAGTACAACCTCGACCCCCTTGACACATACTTCGCCATGGGTCGTGGACTCCAGAAGCCAGAGGAGCAGATCGATGTGCCTGCGCTCGAGGTAAAAATCCCCGTTAAACTAGTTTATGGACTAGAGTGAAACTAACAGTTTATATAGATGGTCAAATGGTTCGACTCTAACTACCACTACGTCAAGCCCGCTCTCTCCGACAACCAGGAGTTCAAGCTCGCTGCTGACCCTAAGCCCGTCCGTGAGTTCCTCGAGGCCAAGGAGGCCGGCATTGTCACCCGCCCTGTTATCCTGGGTCCTGTCTCCTTCCTTGCCCTTGGTAAGGCCGACCGTGGCTCTAGCATCAACCCCATCACCAAGCTGGCTGATCTCCTGCCCGTCTACGTTGACCTTCTGGCTCAGCTGAAGGCTGCCGGTGCCGAGGATGTTCAGATTGATGTAAGAACATGCTAAAACAACGAAAACTTGATAAATGCAATTGCTAATTCTAATAGGAACCAACTCTGGTCTTTGATCTGGCTGCTGATGTGAAGAGCAGCTTTAAGGTTGCTTATGAGAAGCTGGGCAACCTGGGTGCTGCCGCTCCCCGCCTGACCCTGGCCACCTACTTTGGTGACATCGTTCACAATGTTGAGGTTCTTTCTCATCTCCAGAGCCTCCACGCCATCCACGTGGATCTGGTTCGCAACCCTGAGCAGCTCGACACCATCATCGCTGCCCTCGGTCCCAAGCAGACCCTCTCTGCCGGTGTCGTCGATGGACGTAACATCTGGAAGACCAACTTCAAGGCTGCCATTGAGAAGGTTGAGGCTGCTGTCCAGAAGCTTGGCAAGGACCGTGTCATTGTCGCCACCTCCAGCTCCCTCCTCCACGTCCCCCACACCCTGGACTCTGAGAAGAAGCTTGATGCTGAGGTTCGCGACTGGTTCAGCTTCGCTGTCCAGAAGCTTTCCGAGGTTGTTGTTATTGCCAAGGCTGTTACTGACGGCCCCTCCGCCGTTGCTGCTCAGCTCGAGGCCAACGCCGCCTCTATGCAATCCCGTGCTACCTCCAAGCGCACCAACGACCCTGCTGTCAAGGCCCGCCAGGCTGCTGTCACCCCTGAGCAGCACAACCGCCAGTCTCCCTTCCCTACCCGTATTGCTGCCCAGACTGAGCACATCAAGCTTCCTCTCTTCCCTACTACCACCATTGGAAGTTTCCCCCAGACCCCTGAGATCCGTGTGACCCGTAACAAGTTCACCAAGGGCGAGATCACTGCTGAGCAGTACGAGAAGTTCATTGAGGAGGAGATCCGCAAGGTTGTCAAGCTCCAGGAAGACCTTGATCTCGACGTTCTGGTCCACGGCGAACCTGAACGTAACGATATGGTTCAGTACTTTGGTATGATAACCCTATAATTGCCTTTCATGGATATCCTTGGACTACTTGCTAATACAGATCCGATTTTATAGGAGAAAGGTTAACTGGTTATGGTATGAATCCTATACTTGTCTTCATCTCATATTTGGACCACTTGCTAATTCAGACGAAAAACAGTTTTCACTACACATGCGTGGGTTCAATCGTATGGCTCGCGTTGCGTTCGCCCTCCGATCATCGTCGGTGACATCAGCCGCCCTGCTCCTATGACCGTGAAGGAGAGCAAGTTCGCTGCCTCCATCACCAACAAGCCCATGAAGGGTATGCTTACTGGTCCCATCACCTGCTTGCGTTGGTCTTTCCCTCGTGATGATGTGCACCAGTCCATCCAGGCTCAGCAACTTGCCCTTGCTCTCCGCGATGAGGTTGTTGACCTTGAGACCGCTGGTGTTAAGGTTATCCAGATCGATGAGCCTGCTCTTCGTGAGGGTCTTCCCCTTCGCACCGGTACCGAGCGTGAGAAGTACCTCAAGTGGGCTGTCGATGCTTTCAAGCTTTCATCTGCTGGTGTGACAGACTCAACCCAGATTCACTCTCATTTCTGTTACAGTGAATTTCAAGACTTTTTCCACGCTATCGCCGCCTTGGATGCCGACGTTCTGTCTATCGAGAACAGCAAGTCTGATGCCAAATTGCTCAAGGTTTTCGTTGACAGCCAATACCCAAGAGAGATTGGCCCTGGTGTGTACGATATCCACTCCCCTCGTGTTCCCACCGAGGAGGAGATCAAGGGCCGCATCGAGGAGATGCTGGCTTACCTCCGTCCCGAGCAGCTCTGGATCAACCCTGACTGCGGTCTCAAGACCCGTAAGGAGGTTGAGGCTAAGGGACAGCTCCAGTCCATGGTGGCCGCAGCTAAGGTCTTCCGTGCCAAGTACGCCAAATAAATCTGTGCACATAGTGCCTGATTTGATTTCCTTTGTTTCAATTCCTATAATGTGTTAATTGAAGGAGGCGGCAATCAACCTGCCGTCTCTAGCACGGGAGCTTTGTTTTTTTATGCATGAGTTATGAAGATGATACCAAAAGTTCAACATACGGGTTTCAACGGTTTTGTGGTTTAGAGGGCACCAAAAGCGGGTTTACGGAGTTTCAACATGACTAACGATTTCAACATGGGTGCTGCCAATGCAGGTGCCAATCATTTCAACAATTGCTTGTTCTCTCGTCCTTGCGAAGCAGTTGCTGTCGCTTGGACCTGGAGAACAAGAACCTTTTTTTACCTGTGTAGAACTAGCTGTGAATATACTGCTTTTTTTATACCGAACACTACTATTTTGCTGTGAACCTTATTGTAATTTGATATCCCAGACCTTTCTTAATGGACCTAGAGGGTGGCGATGTAAGAATCTTGTAACTTGATTGGCTGAGGTTTCAGACCCCGGCTCCGAATAATATCGGCAGCCCACTTGCATCTATATAGACACATAATGCCTAGGGGGTTGAGGGAATGGTTTCGCACCATGGTCCATGGCTTCATTGCAGGTAATCCAGAATCATCATAGGTTTAGTAGAGTACTATAATAACCATCTGTTTCTGAGATAAAAATTCTTTGAAGGTAGTGCCTTGGTTGCTTTTTAGAAATAACAGGGCTCACGCTTCACTATAGCCCCCTTTTTATATCTATTTTTGTACGTAGTAGTTGTAAGAAAATTATTATGTTCACGAGGTGTCAATCCCAGAGGTCTTCGCAGACAGCGACGTTTGCATAATTGCATTCAAAACCTGAAGAGCATATCGCTCAATATGAAAAAGGAGACAGAATCAGGTGGATATCAAAACTGTAGAAGCTATGAAGTTCTTCCCCAATGTCCTGTCCCATGGCCTTGTCCCCAGTTCCGTAATCATCTTCATCTATTCAAAATTCCCCATCATGATGTTGATGATATCTGCACCATTCTTTGTCTGGGTTTGTCAAAGCTTCCTCGTCGGGAGACTCAGACACAATTAGTTATCGTTAAGCCTATACATGTAGCCTATGTACCTCCCTTAGTAATAGTGAGATACACCCGACAGGATCCTAGTAATCGATAAAGATGACTCGGTTCGCTTTTGGAAAGACATTTTCTTGGTAGATTCTTCCGAGGATAGATAATTTTACGGTAGTAGCTCCTGCATAGAAAGATGTGTATATTCAAGATCATATATCTGCTAAGAATATTAGAAATATCAGTGTTTCCAGAATAGGAACATAATAACTGGAAACCAAAGATATACCATGGATGACAGAGACTCTGAGGGATGGAGATTAGAAATTCCACTACTTTCCATCTCTATTGATTCCCCGAGTCGCCGGATACCAGGTGAGTATTTGTCCTGCCCATATGTTCCATTCAATGTAACATGCCCTGTGATTGTATCATCTTCCAATAGAATCCACGTCTCAACTTCATCTTCCACGGTTTCCTCATTGATGACGATTTGTCTTCCACCACGTGCAGCATCACCATACCCTCCATAACCGGTATGGCGGCCGTAGCACATATTGAGTCCATTTCCAGACAGGTTTTGGGCAACAGTGCTGCCATCCCACTTGAAACACCTAATTAAAATGGTAAGTACTATGGAATTACTGGCTAATCTTAGCAAACTTACCAATCGTTCTCATGATCGTGGCCGCTGAATGTAGCCATAAGGCCGGATGTATTCAGAAGAGCACGCATGAACTCTGTATCCTGGCCTACATAAGGTGTATCACCGGATCCTTGCTGAACCACTGTCTCACCATTGATACCAGGAGCCCTGTTTGGATCTACTCCATCGTCTTGGTATGCGCGCATCGCATCCGCAGGGATATGGTAGAAAGCCAAAGATGGAACGACCTTGCCGTATTTGTCGTGCAGATTGGCATTTGTCTTGGTAAACCAGTCGGTTACCTGGGACAAGTCAGCAAAATCCCCGTATAAAGCATTTTTCACGAGCCCATACCGATTGGTGTACCCAGTCGGGCCTATTGCTTGAATCAGCATCGACATCGTCGTCATCTTCATCTTCTTCACGTTTGGAAATTCGATTGGAAGCTACACGCCCACCCTTTGAATCAAAGAACCATAGTATCAGAGCGGGAATCTCGCTCTCAGATTCATCAGAAGGATAAACCGGCAAGTAATAGTTTGTAACCCCAGCATCTGGGTCCGAGACCATGCTTTGCGTCAAGCTATTTGGGTACTTTCTTTCCTGGTCATACACATCTTGCCATGGATCTAGATTTGGGTTGCTATCATGGTTTCCGTAGGTAGAAGCCCATACATAACCCTTCTTGACCAATGGAGAGACAACTTGGTGAACATATTTGTTTGAATCGGAGCTTTTGGTTTGTTCGCCCGAGACCAAGTCTCCATTTATCACCACAAGTTGTGGCTTCTCCTTAGAGAGAACATGTGAAATTACTTTCTGCGTAAGGACATCTTTATGCGAATCTAAATATTAAGTTAGAATTGACGATGTTTTCCATGGTCAATGGGCTAAATGGATCTTACTTTCAGCAAAATGTAGGTCTTCAAAGATACTTATTTGAAAATTTCCATCCTCTGTAAATCGTAATGTACGATCCGGAGTCGGAGCCATAGGTCTTTGCATAGATTTACCAGCCCGACCGATCGTTTGAGCCAGCAAGTTCGGAATGTCACCCATCCACAAAGCCAAACAAATGCAGAGGCAAGCAAGACCTTTTATTTCGCCGCGTCGCCGGCGCCAAGTCGCAGTCAACGGGGCTACAAGCCCAGCACCATCTTGCTTGCGCGTGCTTCCGGTGTCCATGTTCTCCCAAAATCCATCCTTGGATGCAATGGAAGCTCCCGTTTCCGGCAATGAACCAACAGCACGCCCCGAGTGCCAAGCGGAGAGTGGATCGTTATGGTATGATTTCTCATTCATGGCGACCGGTTTCCGCTAAATTTTGCTGTAAGCCCAGACTGATGACTGGAGATATCGGTGATAAACAGCGGAAATCGATCAAGGTCGAGACAGGAAGATGACAGTCGAGGCATCATCCAAGCTTGGCGCGTGCATCCCCGCTTCCTCCTCCGAAAGGGTCTCCCATGGATGGGGAATGTGGGGCCACCATAAGCCATTGAGAACACATTGTTGATGCATCGTGGATTCGACGCCACGCGTTGTCTAAGCCACTTTGTTCCAAGGCTACATAATAAAGCTGTTGTTATCTCAACTGCAGATTAATGCATGTATCCTTGATGCATGCTTAGGGCTGCACCTAGGAGTTACCTATATAGGATATAAGAGGAAGATCCCGACTCATATTATGACGAGTTACAGCTTGGCACGAACAACTACCAAAATACTATACTCTTAACTTCAGCGCTAACGATTTATTCAAAAGATTTCTAGTCTATGACTTTGCAATGCAGGACTGTCTACGGTACCTAGTTGTCCAAACGAACACCGTATAGTATTCCCTACCCAAGTAGGTACATCTGGGAGCCCATGTATGCGGGGAGCCTTGATCAAGTCTTACTCTAAAACCCAAGTGATTATTATGTAGACAAACAACTTGAAGCTCTTCTGGCCCGACTTCAAGCGTCAACATTTGCCCAAAAAGTTGTAATTTTCCCCTCTAGAGCTTCCACTTCATATTATTCATGGATTCGACAAGGCTTTCTGCCTTACATCCAAGGCCTCCGATGCACTGACTCACATTCAAAAATTTGCAAGCAAATGTAAGCACAAGATTTGTTCAACTTAGTATTCCTGTTGAGCATTGGATATTCATTTTCTGCTTATACTCTGATCAGGATAAGATTCCTAGTCCTCGTCCAAAAAGCGAAATTGACAATCTCGTGTCACGATGTTATTAAAATATCGGCAGCTGATAGTCCCACAACAGACCTTCTTCCGCTCTCTCTATAACTCTAATTTTAAGGAATATGCAACTGCTGAGTTCCTGAACTCTGCATCTGCTAAGTTCGTCAATCCGAGAAGCCATTTGGTCGCATCAGACAAGGTCTCCCAGACTTTCGATGCCGAGATATTGGCAGGTTTGGACGACCGGAAGGTGCTGTCTCTGTTTACGCTTGGGTTCTTCGGTGGATTTGTACTCAGCATCGAGAGGCTGTTTCTGAAAGCTGGCGCTTGGAGATTGCTTCCTGTGGGTTTTACAAGTGTGTCTACCATTACCCTCTGATACCTTTGCCCTGCGATATGGAAGAAGCAGAACTAACGGGGAGAATCAGCCTTTCCACATACATCTCAACAGCCTGAGGTTTGGAAAGCCTCTCAATTGTGGCAAAATAGCCTCTTTCCGACTGGAACTCGACTTTTTGGCATTTTCCAATTATTTGAAAGGCAAATTTCTGATCTATCGACTTGTTTGCCGGGCAATACTGGTAGCCATGTCGATTATGCCTTTGGGTCTGATAACTACTCCTTTGCGGGATGTCATCGGTTCCGTATAATGAGACTGCAATCTACGGAGGAACACGCAAAACCACAAGTCCAGATCAGCGTAGAGGGATTTCATTGTAATCCACAACATAATCATGTCTCAATGCCTAAGATTGGAAAATGGTTCCATTCAATCTATGCTAGGTTGCTTTTCGCGAACGGGGTCCAGTCGATCTTAAATGGTCGTCCAAGAATGGAATCAAGGCAGGCTCAATAAAAGTGATATTGGGTTTGGCCGATTTTGTATTATAGTCCAATTTGTATCATAGTCCAGTTAATCTCATCTATTTAGACTTGGGGGATATCTTGCTTCTCACAAATCGTAATGAACGGCGCAAATAATCCCGCAGCAAACATAAGACCTTTCTGCGTGTCATGAATCGCAATTGTTGAAAAGGGCAGTTTCTCTCCCTGTGAGTCTTCGATGGCCTTTGAAATCTCCCATTTTCCATCAACCCTCTTGGGTGAGATACTGAGAATTGTCGATGGTGCGACGACGTCGTGAGGATGTTCGAAATTCTTCAAAATGGCTATCGCATCAGGAACAGCAGCAGCAATGAGATTTCCATCCTCATCGAATGAAAGATTGTCGATTCCATATCCAACTGGAATGGTATCCACTTGTTTCAGTTGCCCATTTTGGAGCTGGTGGATAGTCAGCAGGCCCGCTGAAGCCTGTGAGACATAATAGAGACCGTCACGGCTTCTTGCAATACCATTGGGGCTCCGCCCTTTTGTATCAGCAATGTGACATTCGCCCACATCAGTGCGGCAGTAAGCGAGACTCCCTAAGCCATAAAGAAGCTCAAAGTCACGGAAGGTACCCGTTTTGCCGCTGTGGTCGTTGGTGATTACAAGTCCAACTCCGTCGGCGTCGACGGCCAAGTTATTAGGCGAGACGAGCGCATCACTGGCGATGGTCTTCACATACTGGAGCGTCTCAGTGGCCTTATCTAGGTCAAATACCTCAATAGTTGAATTCGCCCCAAAGGTCCATGCATCTAATAATTCGCCCGTTGCAGGATCCACAGGAGGCTTATGATTGATCAGCCAGAATCGCGTTGTAGAATCCAGATGGCGCACGTCAAAGCCATGAAGATCCAATGAACCCGGATAGTCACTGATTTTCAGCTGACGTGGGCTCAGTAGACCGGATTCAGGGTCCAGATCGTCGATATCGAAAACCGCGATATGATCAGTCAAAGATCGTGCAGAAACATTGTACTTGTTTGCCCCCGGTACCCATCCCTGACGGGACTCGACAGTCGTGCATGCGGCGTAAAGCTTTCGGTCATGATGATCTAACCACATATCCTCACATGCTTCTAGGAGAGGGTGGTATACTCGAGAACATGCCCAGGGAAAATCCTCGATTGGCTGGATTTGACGACCTATCCCAAATGTGACGAACAAGATAGTATGTAGAAATTGGTTGTAGCAAATAGAAAATACAAGCACCAGTGCGGCCCAGAAAAGAAGCCGTAATGACCAGAAGCCTTGCGGAGAAGCCATTTGGGGCGTGACTTGAAGCCTTAGTAATGGAAACGTAGGGAAGATGTTTAATTTGTTTTTTGGGGATTTCTCATGTTTTATGTCTTCTATGCAAATCCAAACAAGCCCCGGCATCCCGCAGTCCCAGGCGAGTAACGAGGCTCGGCGTGTGAGCTGGCCCACTCCGCGATTACCCCATCTGGTATGGAAGGAAGTGCGAGCCGTGAAAGTCCGAGCGTCGAGATAGCTTCGACTAACAATCGCAAGAGTAGGCAAAGCAGTCCAATATTATCCAATTATTATTCTTCCTTCTCTTCCTTCTCACGCTTTCCAAGTGTATATGCAAGTCCGCCGCCGATCATGTTCACCAAGCAAAGAGCCATTGTTCCTCCACGAACCGCTCCACGAACTCCGAATTTCTTTGTAAAAGGCTGTCGCCGACGGCTTGCCAAGAGTAGATATAAGCCTGACCATGCGGCACTTATACCAGCTGAGTCTGTTTTAAACCCCGAAATATTGGCATAGCTTGTGAAAAGAAGGGCGGGCGGAAAGAGCATGGGGAAGAACTGGTACGGGCGTGCATGTTGCGCAAAGATGAGTGAAGCGAGCAGGGTCGGAGGCATCGAGTGTTCTAATAGGCAAATGCAATGGTTAGTAAGACCCAATTTTAGAATCCATATAATCCTGTATATTGTAGAAGTCTGAGACTGCCTAGAGCCGAGTCGGTACTTACCACCCCATGCTCGGAAGCGCTGCACGAGCGTCCGCTTGGTTTCCTCCGCAGTTGATTTGTCTGACATGATCTTGAAAGGGTTGAAAAGTTTGAAAAGAGCCGGATGTAATTAAACGTGAATGTTATTATTTCCCTTCAATTCTCTTTGGCAGAGTCTCAATCGCTCCCATGCAAGAAAAATGAAGATGCGAATGGGGACTGAAGGTTTGGCGTGGTTATCTATCAAACGATAAGCGCGTTGGCGCTCCCGCTTGGCGAAGACACCTAAGACTATACTTTTTCCGCCTCGCCCCCGAGTCTCCCACCTTCATCGCCTGCATTTCGATCTATCGCTACGAGCGCTATAATATACGACCCCGATTTTGTCGATACAGGCTTGACTTCTTTGTCTGCTTATTGGGGAACTGGGTGCCTTCCCCCCTCCACGTTCTACGCCACACACCCGCGCCCTGTGCACACCCCTCGGAGTGTTGATACGCAGGTTACCGAGACATTCCCTTTCGACCATTCACAATGCCGGCCGCTACAGCATCCGGCTCAGACGCCAAAGGTGACAGTGCCAGGTCGCGCGACCATAACCAGGGAAACCAAGACCGCAAATACACACCTGAACAGAAAGCCGCAGTGCTTCGGATCCGAAAATGTACAACAACCGCATTCTATGAGATTCTTTCGATTGAACGCACAGCGACAGACAGCGAGATTAAGAAGGCCTATCGCAAACAAAGTTTGTTGACACATCCGGATAAGAACGGCTATGATGGTGCGGACGAGGCGTTTAAAAGTGAGTGGAGATATAGTCGACGGATCCTTCGATTTCGGCTTTGACTTACACGTGGTAGTGGTTTCGCGGGCATTTCAAATTCTTTCAGACTCGGATAAAAAGTCTCGCTACGACAAATTTGGAGGAGATCCAGATAGTCGATTCCAACCCAGCCCAGGCGCTTCTGCGAGTGCAGGTGGTTCGCCGTTTGGCGGCGGCGGGTTTGGCGGCGGCGGATTCCCACGTAGCGGCGGTTTCGACGAGGAAATATCGCCAGAAGAACTATTCAATCGATTTTTTGGAGGGGGTGGGTTTGGTGGGATGGGCGGTGGCAGCCCGTTCGGTACGTTCTTGGATATGCGCTACTGCATCACTGAACAAAGGGCTTTTTGAGCTAATATCAATCTTATAGGCGGCCCGCAATTTGTATTCAACATGGGTGGTGGTCCAGGGTTCCGTGTGCATCAGTTCGGAGGAGCTACGCCCCGCCGACGTCCTCGCACAACTAATAACGGACCGGAGCCTACCCCGGATGCTTGGGGTATTCTGCGTCAACTTTTGCCTCTCATCATTCTCTTCATTCTTCCTCTCCTCTCCTCACTTTTCTCCGGATCCTCTGCTCCCGCTGGCCCCTCTTATCGCTTTGATACGGCCAAGCCCCCTCACACCATGGGGCGTACTACCCCCAAGCTTAATATCAACTATTTCGTTAATCCACTCGACGTGGAAGATTTAAGTCCTCGCAAACTCCGGCAATTAGACCAACGAGTGGAGGTGGACTATGTGACATCGCTTCGCTTTGATTGCGAGGGTGAAGTACATTTGCGAGACCGAAAGATTCAGGAAGCGCAGGGTTGGTTCTTCCCTGATGTGGAGAAGATGAAGGAAGCGCGGGCCATGGAGCTAAAGAGCTGCCGCAAGCTGGAGTCCTTGAAGGGCAGGTACTAAGATGTTGGGAAGTCGGATCTGTGGAATCTGCATTTCAAGACTTTGATCTGGAAATGCGCATAGCACATGCGTGACAGACGGCGCTTAATGGTACAATACTGTTTTATTTCACCTCTTAATTCTGTCTCTGTATATCCCTTGGAAATGCATCCGGTCTCATGTTCGGCTTTGCTTCACTGGCGTCGGGGCCGAGTTGTTCAGTCATTGAAAGATTGTCTTCGCAGGAATAGCGTCTGTCTCTTTAAGTAAATACATTTGTTCTAAAAGAAATTAAACAATTCTATACTTAAAAAGATAGCAGACCAAGGGAATTTCAAGACATTTCGACAGTATTAAGCTTATGGTGTACATCCTCCATGCACCATAGTATGCTTAGTCAAAGCACATCAGCAACCCCCAACAGCGAAGAACATGCGAGCGAATCTCGGCGACTATGAGAGAACCTCAAGCTCCCCAACCCGCTCTCCTCTTCATCTTTTATTGTCCATAGCCAGTTAAACATATCTCATCACGCCCGCACACGTGCTTCGTCCTTTTTGATTGCCCGCGGCGACCACTACGCCGGGAAACCCCCCTCAAAGGACCCTTCTCGCCGCACATCCACCTCGAACCACAAGGACTTCGGTTTGTACCTGACCTCATCCGGCCAAGCTCAACTGCGCAGTCAACTTCCCTTCTGTGCAAGTAGGCTTAAATCTCACCAACGGCGAACATGTCAGACTCGCTTTCTGACGCGGATAAGGTTGGTTCAACAGATCTTCCCATTTCAACGATCTCTTAAAATACACGTTGAAGTGACTGACCAGAAATCTTATACCCAATTTCAGATCCGCAACAAGCGCCTGGCAAAGCTTTCCAATCCATCGCCATCATCGCCATCTGTGGGCGGCTTATCTGATTCGCCTCCAAACTCGGCCAACCCCTCCTCCCCCTCACGGTCGCCCATTGCTCGAGAGCCACCCAGTGAGAATAGAACCGCCCCACCATCTTCAGCGCAGACACCTCAACATCCGGAGGGGAAGCGGATCAAGATAGGCACAGCCGATTCAGTTGATTCAGTTCCGGAACGACCACGTTCAACCGCGCCGTCTACTCCGAGTACCCCGCCTCCGGCAAAGCAAGAAACGATCGAGACCTTTGAGGACCGGACCTTGAGTGCTGTATTCAGACTTACCTTGAAAGAAGAGGGACAAAAGGATATAAATGGCCAAAGAATTTACCTGCCCGGCTTGCGGGGCGAGCTACAGGATGAAAGCAAAGAGCTGCGTATCCAAACAGCAATTTTAGACCAGGCGCTCCTTGAGGCCGCTTCCAAAGCTGACCGCGGGCGCCCACTGGATTATCTGCTACCATGTTGGAAACGTATAACAAAGTTACATAATGGGTTCCGACGGACGAGAGACGATGACCCGAAATTCCAGGTGCTTTGTGAGGCCCGACGGCTGTGCATGAGTTATTGCATATTTGGAATTACCATGCCGGAGATGTTTGGGTAGGTCAAATTTACTCAGGTTGTAATCTGAATATCGTCAATTACAATGAACCAACTAACGTCTTCAGACTCGATTCCCCGGAACGCTCTACATTGGTACCACACCTATTACTTGACTTAGACAGTGATAAGAGCGTGGATCCTGGCTTCATTAGCGAGGCGGTTAAGCGATTTGAGGAGGATGATAGTCTCAAGCCTGTCTTTATTGCTGCGGTGGAGGAGCTCAGCTCGGATCTTTCGAAGTTGGATATTATCGATGATTTCAAACCTTATGCCCTGGTTCGTCTACGGTTATAGCGGCCTGTGGCTTTTATTTGGCACTAACAAAATTTGCAGGCGCTACGAAACCTCGTCCAAAATCCCGTTATTGCGGCTGCAATTACAGAGTCGGATGTTTTCAACGCTTCCAAGGACCCTGCACAGTTTGAAAAGGCTACTCTGTTGGGACCTTGGTTCCGCCTATCCCCTCTGCAAGCCAACGTAACAATGTCATATTTCTCTAGCCCAAAGACGCGAGACCAAGGGTATATTTCGAATGCCCAGGGGTCTCTCCGCATGATGCAGCAAATGGTCAGCTCAGACCTGCTCTTCATCATCAACCACATGATTCGTGCCTCCAAAGAAGCCCGCGATCGAGTTCTCGATTGGTTTGCGACTGCATTGAACATTAACCACAAACGGCGGGCAATGCAAGTTGATCCTGAGCAAGTTTCATCAGACGGGTTCATGTTCAACATTACAACATGTCTTGACCATCTTTGCGAACCATTTATGGATGCTTCTTTTACTAAGATTGATCGTATTGATGCAGAGTATCTTCACCGTGATTCCCGAGTCGATATGCGGGATGAAACAAAGATCAATGCCGATCAACATGCATCGGATGCATTTTATTCTAAAAAAGCTGAGGGCACATCAAACTTCATCACTGAGATCTTTTTCTTGACAGTTGCCGCACATCACTACGGCAGTGAGTCCCTGACATCCAAACTTGAACAGCTCGAGAAGGATTTGCGCCACATGGAATCTACCATAACTAAGTTTGAACTGGAGCGACACCGGTGGACTGGAAATCCCATGCAGCTGCGAGTATACGAGCAAGCCTTGAAGAAGTACAAGGACAAACTTGATCTAGGACTAGCCTTGAAGTATAGTCTCCAGGGTGTGCTGTTTGACGATCAATGGCAAGCTCGTTCAATGCTTTTCATGCGCTATGTGACTGTTTGGCTCTTAAGGCTAGTTTCAGGCGTGAACTTCCCCAAGCAAAACATCACATTGCCTCTCCCCGAACAACAGCCCGAGGTATTCAAGTGTCTTCCGGAGTACTTCCTCGAGGATATTGTCAGTAATTTCAAATTCATCATGTGGTGTATGCCGCAGATCATCACCGCTACTCAGGGCGACGAGCTGGTGATGCTGTGCATTACATTTCTGGAGAGCTCTAGCTACATCAAAAACCCATACCTAAAGGCTGGCCTTGTTTCAATCCTATTCCGAGGTACATGGGATCGCCCTGGTGGCGCTCGTGGTGTTTTGGTTGACCTACTCAACTCCATGAAGTTTGCCAATGAGTATATTTTGCATGCAGTCATGAAGTTTTATATCGAGGCCGAGCACACGGGAACTCACACTCAGTTCTATGACAAGTTCAATATTCGTTATGAGATTTTCCAGATTATAAAATGCATCTGGCCTAACCCGCTGTACCGAGAGAAGCTCTCTATTCAAGCAAGCCAAAATTTGGATTTCTTCGTTCAGTTCGTCAATTTGCTTCTTAACGATGTGACCTACGTGCTCGACGAATCTTTCGGTGCCTTCAAAACCATCAATACCACTCAGACGGAGTTGGCTCGGGAGGGCCACTCGATGGACCCGACCACACGACAGCAACGAGAGGAGCACCTGTCGTCAGCCCAAAGAAGCGCCAAGTCATACATGCAATTGACAAATGAGACCGTTGCCATGCTGAAGCTCTTCACAGATGCCCTGGCTGATTCATTCACCATGCCTGAAATTGTCCAGCGTCTGGCTGACATGCTGGATTACAATCTTGATGCTATGGTTGGTCCCAAGAGTGCCAATCTTAAGATTGATAACCTGCAAGAATATGGATTCAACCCCCGTGCTCTACTCAGTGACGTGACCGACGTTTATCTGAACCTCATGTCCAAGCCAAACTTCATCACAGCTGTTGCTCGGGATGGTCGATCCTATAAGCCTGCAAATTTCGAAAAGGCAGCAGAAATTCTCCGCAAATGGTCTTTGAAGTCTACGGAAGAGTTTCGTAGCTGGAGCAAATTTACCAAGAAGGTGGTGGAAGCCAAGGCAGCAGATGACCAAGAAGAGGAGGATCTCGGCGAGGTTCCTGATGACTTCTTGGGTATGTTCATGGAAAGTTCCTTTCTCTACACGATCGTCACTAATAACCATTTTTCCATAGATCCTCTCATGTACACATTGATGGAAGACCCCGTCATCCTTCCAAACTCGCGGATATCGATTGATCGTGCCACTATTCGCTCACATCTGCTGAGTGATCCCCATGATCCTTTCAATCGTGTCCCATTGACAATAGATGACGTGATACCCGGTAAGCCACTAATCACACATGGCATCTTTTCCAATCCTTGACTAACGCCTGATTGCTATAGACACTGAGCTCAAGGCCAAGATCGAAGCCTTCAAAGCCGAACGAACTGGGCGTAAGGCCCCAACGGAGTCAATGGATACCTCGGCCGGTTAAATTCTCCGTGATTTATAGAAACCCAGGAAGATAGAGCGTAGCTTCAAATTATCATGACCGCTTTCCTATTTTGGACATTCACATCACTGCTTCTGTACCTGCTTGCTAATCCCTGCTGTAGCTGTAAATGGCGGGCCTGTGAATTACTATATTCCATGACTTCTGTAGTCAACGGACTGAGAGACATGGATGGCACTAACAATCCATGGCTACTAAAACTTGAAGGGCGCAGTGCAGAACAGGCATGCGGAGCTAAGGGTAGTAGGCGGTCAAGGGGCGGCGCCGGACATCCAAAGTCAGGAAAATGCAGCCCGTTTCTGCCCTGGAAAGCGGTCATCCCCGGTATCAACTCCCCCTTCATGCTTTCCTCTCCAACTACTATTGTCCACCAGCTTTCCGATAGCATTACAATGGGTGCCACCCTCTCCACCAGCTGGGGCGCTATGCCGCCCGTGCAAGATTTTTTCCCACCAACCCCAGCAGCTTATACCGGCCTGATTGCCATTTTCCAGTACTTCCCTATAGTAAGTAAACAAACTTGCCAAACACTACTTCATGCTCTCCGGCGGATCTCCGAACTAACCGCATCCAGTTTACGGTCCTCCAGTGGCTTCTATCATGGCATCCAGCCGGAAAAACTTCTATGAGAAGCTCCATATTCAACCTCCCAGGCCGACTAGCCTGGTGCGCCATGGAAATCATCGGCCCAATCAACCTGATCTATAACCTCTCACAAGCATCCCCCAGCTTCACTGAGCTCCCTATTCAGAACCAGCTCGTTGCCGCTTTATACTGTACACATTATTTAAATCGTGCAATCATATCGCCCTTCTTTTCGGCCCCAAGCATGTCCCCAATTCACTTCTTTATCATGGCGAGCGCCATGACCTTCAACTGGTTCAATTCCTCGTGCATATCAGGCTGGCTGCGCGGATTTGAAAGTCCAATCATTGGATATGAGACTAACGGCGCCCAAGCGCTGGATCCATACTCATTCAGTTTTCTACTTGTTCAGATCTTGCCCTTCTTCGGAACTATTCTTTTCTCTCTTGGTATGGCAGGCAACATTTACTCTGAGACTACTCTCTTCCGGCTTCGAAGAGAATCGGCCGAGCAAAGCGCCTCCAAGAAATCCGATGAGAATTCTATTTCAATCACTGACTCAGACAAGAACACTGGCAACAAGTTCCATAAGGTCTACGTCATCCCTCCTGCTGAGGGCGTTTTCCAAAGAATCTTGTACCCGCACTATGTCTTCGAATGGCTTGAATGGGTTGGATTTGCTCTTGCTGGCACGGCTGTTTTCCCTCTCCCTACAGCTGGGAAGAGTACGCCACCGCCTCTTCATCCAGCGCCATGGATTACCCCTGCGGCTTGGATAGCGCATGCTTTGGGCATTCCTCTCCCCCTTCCTGCTGTGCTGTTTGTGATTAATGCTGTTACGAATATGTTGCCTCATGCCCGATGGGGGAGGAAGTGGTACGCTGAGAAGTTTGGGGAGAAAGTTGTTGCTGGGCGGGGGGCTGTGGTGCCTGGGTGCGCTTTGATGTGAGACAAACATTGTTTCTAGACTTTTTGGTGCGTTTGATATACTATTTGGTAATTATTAATACAAAAGTACATTATTATACGATCTATGACCTAGGGGTGTGAGAAATTAATCTCTAAATATTGGATATTTAATATTTGCATTAGTGGGCTGCTCCTTTCTTCTTTTTTGAATTATGTTAGCTCTTTATGGCATCCAGCTCATTATCCCAATCCCATTTGGGAGATCCTTCGTTGTCGGATACTATAGGGGACATGGCTGGGAGCGGATACGAAACTAGAATATCGGGATCCATTCCATGCTCTTTTCGTTCATCCACGTTCATCTCCAAGATGCCCTCTCCAGACATCGGTGATAGGGGAGTAGAATACCCCGAAAGAGCCGATTGGAGATCTATAGGTTTGATTGTCTTTGAAACGCCGCCAAAGACCGGATTCCGCGGATCCATCATAGACCAATAATCCAGAACAGATCTCAATATGCTTAGTTCGGTCTGTGTAAAATCCTTCATCCGCGGTTCACTTCGAAGTAATATGTCGCTGTATTGTGGGCACTGGATTATAAAAGATTTCAAAGAATCGGACTAATCATAGCCAAATGTTAGCCAGGCCAAATTAATCAATCCGAGGCGACTCACCATAATCTGTGCATTGTCCCACAGCTCGGACATCTCAGCAAGATACTCGAGAGACATTCTCAAATACTCCGCTGAGCTCTGACTAGTAGATGGGTCGGAACTATACAGAAACAGCGCATGAATAGTACTCGCAACTAGGATGCAGTAACTGTAGACTGAAGGAATTGGCATATACCCCGCTGCCTTTGCTTCAACAAGAACAGTGATTAAAGAACCAGCATGAACCAAGCTTCTCGTCCGTGTCTCCTCAAGCCATGATGAGGGCATGTCATAGATTCGGGACGCCTCAACTTTAAGTCCGATCAGAAAAGGATGACTGAGAATACAATGCGCAAGATGATAAAGAGTATGCGAAAGCACCATATGCGCGATCTGTTCACGATCCGGATTCGGCATATCACTCTGTACCCGTGGTTGACCCGGCGCAGCGAGGATAGGACCATTCCTAACTGCGAGCTCTTTCAAATACTCCAAATCTCGATGGATCATGCAGTATTCCGAATGCGAGCTCCACGGAGGACTACTCTCCGACTTGGCCATCATGTACTTTGTCGTTCGTCCAAGACACGATGCCAACCCGACACTAATACCAAACATACCTGAACGAGGCGATATACCTCGAATCTTCTCATTAAACAGCTCACTCAAAGAGATAGACGGGAGTTTCTTCCCACCGCGATAATGCGTCGGCAGATTAAGAAGACAGTAGTCATCGTTAATAGCGGGTGGACGTTGAAACGAGCAGCAAACAAATCGATCAAGAAGATATAGAGACCAGAAGAGATTGCGACGTTCATCTCGTTCCAACTCGGGGAGATGAGAAGCCGGTTCAAGCATCATGTTCAGATCCTGAGCGATTCGAACTGCCATTCCGATTTTCACCCATGCTGTTCGGCGCCGGCCAGCTGTTGCGATTGATTGATTCAGTGAGTTTACTACCACATATTCAGGTATGATATAACTCACCCGTTGCATCGATTACAGCAAGGATAGCTAGTGATTGAATTATATCGACGTCCTCGTTTTCATCTAGCGGTGGTGTTGATGTTGTGATTATTTCCCATGAGCACCGGGCATAGCTGTCGATTGTGGTTTGTTTTCTTTCCATCCATTCTGAGCGCAAGGAGTACCGGGTTGCGGAGGCGATTAGGGCGAGTCGTAGGTGGAGAGGGACGAGGCCGTTTTGGACCTTTTGGTGGAAGAGAGTAGCATTGAAGAAGCCGTAAGGCTTGTTATGGCAGTGGCGGAAGTATATGTCGCATGCTTCGAGAAAGACTTTGTCTGGGGAGGATGGGCTAAGATATGAATGTCAACTTCCAAGGTTCCAAACCTTTTCGCTTTTATTCATATTCTCATATGATTTTGAAGAAGGAAATTCGAACTAGTCAGACCTGACCGTCACTGCATACCTTGGTGATTTCTTAGATGGGTCCATGGGATCTAGGTGGAAGATGTATGTCTGATGCCAGGGAGGACGTTGGGGTTTGGGTTTTTTTGTGGGAAATCAAGACTTGGAGGGGTCTAAAAAGAAAGTTTAAAGATCTTGTTGACTGATTCCCCACAGATCATCACGAGGTAGGATTCTATTACTACATGCATTGAACCTGGGCCGGTAGACCGGGAAGTGGAGCAGGGAGGAATCGGTCTCCTTTGGTCTCCGTCCCCGCATTGTCCATGTTTCCCCGTCTCTAACCGCGCTATCAAGTCTGATTTTTCTTTTAAGCGGGTTTACGTACATTGGAAGAATAATTGAGAGATGGAGATATTAAATTTCTCCCTGAAATACAGGTATACTTATATGAACTAAAAAAAAACCGACACACCGCATACATACCAACCAAAAACAAAGAATTCTCAAGACAAAACACTCGATTCATACTCAAAAAACAGAAATAAATTCAACCCCAACAACAAAAGTCAACGTTCAAGTTGTAATGAATTCCATGGATCCGCCGGCGGAGATGCCAAAGGCAATTCCTGAAGATGCTCTCGAAAACTAGGATCTTTAATATGATCCATATCTATATCCCCAAAGGCCGTCTTATGATCAAAATAATACGTCGTATTGGAATTATCCGGAATTGTAGTCATAAACAGCTGGGACCTACACCACGGACCAGAAAGCCTGTGTAATTCAGGATCTCCAGGACCACGATCAGGCATAACTCCAACTTGTATAGGACTCCAATGAGGCATGATATATTCATCATTATCATCCTTCGCATTAGCCTCTAGCAGGATTACATTTTCAACTGTTTGCGTTCCCAAAGCACATAAAATTGTTACTACTCCTACAATTGGAGGCAGAGGAACACGTGCTGAACTCCGAGTCGCCGTATGCACGCCGCCGGCATATCCAGAATTTGGGACTGCGAGAGCAGCTTGAGCTAAAGATAAAACGTTATTTCTGAATACACACGCCATATCACTGCCCGTGTCGTCTATAAAATCGTATGGAATCTCGGCTCCCTCGCATAGAGGTATTCTCAAGCTGATGCTTACCTAAGTATTAGAAAAAATATGTTAGTCGTGAACTTGTTTAGATACTACATGAATATGATATGTCGATCATAATGTATGTAGGTAGTAGTAGTTTAAATACTGCGATTACATACAAAACGATTGAAATCGCTTAGATTGGCATTCGCCAATTCTGTCTTCATCTTGACGAATTTCTTTGATGGACCCGGCCCATTGAGCTATTTTTGATCATCACGAATTAACAAATCTTCTCATATCAAGTTTGAACATTGGATAACGTGTATTGACTCACCCCTTCGACCCAGAAGCTCTCCCATCCGTCATGCATTCTGTTTACCGCGTAAAATTCCTTCCAACTAAGGGGTCGTGGCTGACAAAGTTGCCTTCCGTGGGACCAGTACGTGACTAGTCCCTGATTCCAATCCAGGGCTTTTGACTTGTAGGCCTTTATGAGAGCTCGTACATTTGGAAGCTGCTTGTACTCATCCGAGTCTTTCTTCTGTAGTGACTCCTCTATGAAGAGCAGATTCTCCAGGCACTGCGCCACTTCAAAGGTATGACCAGGGTGCTTCGCCATAATTTGGCTGCAGAATTGGTTAGTTGGAAAAGATCATTTCAATAAAATTTAAAATGGGTTATATTTTCGGGATCTTACTCTTTTGCGTGTTTCTTTACCTCAAATTCGCTTAATCTGTCCTTGAAAATGAATGGTAGAATTCCATCTTCAATTCTTTCTTTGCATCGTTGAATTTGGCCCTCAATGTCACTATAGAAGACATGTTAGTAAGTATAGGTACCAGTTAATCAATGAAAATTTCAAAACACCAAAACGCTAAAACTCACTTGCGATCAAGATCAAGATCCCACTCATTCCATTTCCATTCTGTAGGTATATTTCGTCTACTCAGAATAGGCTTGCCTTCCGGCGCTTTATATCTTTCTCGTCTGGCTGGTCTTTTTCGTCGTCCCTTTGGGGCTTTTCTCTCTCCGATATAAGTCTTCTCAGGGTCCCAAATCAATTCGCCATGTTTATCAAATTCTACTTCGACTACACGTGGGACCTCCGTTGCCGTCGGAATAATCGTGATAGCTTCGATCTCGAGTTCAGAATATTTTTGACGCTTCTCGTTCTTCTTCTTTCTCTTCATTTCTAGTATTTCAAAGTCTCTCTCTGGTGACTTGGACTCCCGTCGGCGCTTTCCCGCAGCCTTTTGCTTAGAGGCAGTCTTTTCATGCTCCTGGCTGTCAGACTTCTTACGCTTGCTGCCCATTTTGAAATTTGTGAGAAAATACTGTTGTTTATAAGCGTAGAGATATATCGAGATGATGGTGAATATTCCCAAGTGCAAGGGCCGTCCTTTTATCAACAGGCAGTTCCCGAGGGAGTATGATCGTATCAAAGAACATCAAACAACGAAATGAGATTGACAAAGGATACTCGATTATGCTAATAGCTAAAATTATAAAATTGATACAAAGGATTCATCAGACTGAGTTCGAGTGAAAGAGGGAGGTTGGTATCATTCTCACGTGGTTCTGCGTAAGCCACTTGAGATGGATGCGATGCACTTCCAGAAATAGATGTAGAGAACGAGAGTTCCGTTCTATCAAGCTAGCGAAAATACTGAAATCTCCCAATATACTCAAGCAACACGTTTTTGAGGATATCATAGACTTGGGGTTATCTTTCTTTTGTCAGGGCGGGTTGGCAGGACAGGACGCGGGAGCTGCAATGGAAACATTGAAATATTTGGGCAGACTACAACAAAGAGGCATTGATGTCTATTGAAATTCTTCACAATCTGATGAAGAAGTAGGCTTATGCAAAGGCTTGGTTCTATTTCTTCTTTTTGTTTCAGGATCTAAGGAAATGGGTTGATTAAGAAGCCTCAACTTTACAAAGGAACTACACTTTCAAAGAAGGGAACATGCATCTTTTGGATTACATTGTTGCAGATGCTTAAAATAACTCAAAGTATGGAAGAAGGAAGAAGAGACTCGGAGTAGCTTGCATATTCTCAGTCATTCGGTGCATCGAACGGTAATTGATCTCGCTATGACCCAGAACCACTCTAATTTTCGCACTCGGTACCATCGTTGCTTTGCGCCACCAGGGTTAGCATGACAATTTATCCATCGGGTCTTTCAATTGTGATATTCAATGTGACTAGATTACGACTATATGTATGCTTTGTTCGCGATCGAGCTTGAGTTTGACTGGGGAGCGTTTGACGTCTGCAGTCAAGATTGTGATACACGGCGGGGTAAATTCGGAATGCGGCGAAAGAATAGAGACTCGGGAATGTATATGCGAACATCTCAACGGGCAAGGATTAGACATGCACTAGATAGCACTAGATAGAGCTTGATGGTTTATTATTCCGGAAATATCTTTCAATCCGGGGAGTTTCTCATATTATACAATATCTCATGTTGATATGTCGATATGCCGATCATCCAACTCCGGTCGAAAGATAATTTGCAGTATGTAGTTGTACGTATAGCAAGTATAGCAGGTCGATAGCCATAAAAACAACACTTGAGTTTATATGATAAAATTCGTTCGCAAGAATAGTCAATCGGGACTCCGCGTCAGGGTTCGGTGGTCGGCGGTCTCAGAACGATCTGCGAGAGACCCTGGTCAAGATAGTCATAACAATTGCTCGAACTGATCCTAGCATGATAACTCTGCATTCATGTTAAAGACATTTTGCAGCAAGATTCTCTTCAAATCTTCAAACTAGCGGGGTGGTGCAACCCCTGGCTGCACCAGATGAAATTCCTGTATGTTTCAAATGGAAAGCTTCTCCGAGTGGGGGATAGAGACCCTTAGATGACGAAAGGACCCTAGGAAGCAAGCTCGTGTTCCGATCTGACAGATCCAATACATTAGGGGAAAGAAAAACAGAACATCACCGATAATGTGTTCAAGGAAATTAAAATGGTTATCAGGACATGTTCCAAAAAGCGAGTCGATGTGTGGCTGGGCCACCCCCCAGATGCCGTCATCTCGGTTCGCTTCGAGGTCCTAAGATGCAATGCAGGTGGCATTTGTTCCAGCCTTGCACGACCAGTAGTAACCTTCTTCCGCAATGATATTCCGAATCGAATCACATCTAAAATGGGCTTTCCCGACGCCATTTGGGATTCAAATGTCGTTCCATTCACAGGTTAGGAAAGTCGATATTAACCATTGCGGCACATTTTGACAACTCAAATAAGCTTCATTTATTCCGTTGTTCCAGACACGTCCAGAATCCCGAGAACGGTAGACTGTGCGCATCCTTATAATCCGGCACGGGACAGGTATTAATTGGTAGACTGGATAGCGGACCCTGGAGTGGTGTGTGGTGGGTATATCCAGACATTGGAGTGGCGGGATGTCTATGTGAAACACACCAGCTCAAGATTAAGGTGTGTTCTGTATTTTACCTGTATGTGACGGGTGAATTACACCGGGCCTGAAACACTCGGCGCGGGCTCGGGCGCAGTCGATCTGCTTATCAGAAGAGGCCATTAAGTGTCCATGCCGGATTTAATTTCTACTGGGAAAAATCCTGAATCCTGGTTTGGATCTCTCTTGATAGACGAGAAAAAAAAACCCCGAATCCCTCAATTTCCCCCTGTAGAGTGTCGCACCAGTTCCCTCCGCTTGAGTAGATTGATTGTTCTGGCTGATTACTTTTTCAAGTCGGTTGCCACTGTAGTGCGACATTTGTTGACCAGCTGATTCCAGCATGACAACTACCACTCTCTTCTCCTTCTCTATCGGTAGAACAGACATATTCCACTGGTTCCACCAATAACGGGCTGGTGCCTGAAACCAAGTGGGGCAAATTTAGTATACACGCCAGTACTATCCACGCTATAGTGGACATACTGATATTGCTGCAGATTATCCCATATTAAAACCCGATCAATCATTAATATCATTAATTATCCGTGAAAATTGGCCTAGATTACACTTTCCATGATTATTTTTTATACTGAATCAGCCCCACTTAGCCTCCGTAATACTAAAACATGTAGTCACACCTGTGTAGTAGCGTAGTACTATGTAGCCACCCATCCATATCTATCTCTCACTTCCCTTCGTCTTTCTTCCAAACTCCGTGGCTCACTTTCTTTTTCACACTCTCTGGTTTAGAGATCTTCCATTCTTTCTTCATCTTTCCCCCAGCCTGTGAATTGATTTCACAGCATTTACCTTCGCTTTTTACCCACCACTGTCACTGACTCTCTTCTCACATCTTCAACATTTCCAACTTTACCAGATATTGATTATCTTTAAGCCTCATATTCAAAATGCGGGCTGTCAACACCTTTGTTTACCCCTTGGTCGCGTCCCTGGCCCTTGTGGCCAACGCGGAGAACAACGCTCTCCATGCGCGCCATATCAACCGTGCTCGTGGTATCAATGGCACTCCTCCTCCTTCTGGATCTCTGCCCACCATCTACAGCACCGTCTCTTCTTCTGCCACTCCTCTGCAGACTCCCCACTCGCCCTCTGGAAAGCCTCACTACACCCCATCCTCTCGCTCTGTCCCCGCTCCCTTGGGTACTGGACCTGCTGGCTCTGGTGCTGCCTCGAGCGTTGTGACCAGTGCTGCTTCTGAGACCCCTGGTGCCGTCTACACCACGGACTACTCGACCTCTGATATCGTTGTCACTTACACTCTGGGATCCGGTACCTCTACCAGTGTCGTGACCACCACGATCCAGAAGACCAAGACCGATGTCCACACTGTTTACCCGGTTTGTTTACATCCTTCCTTTTGCTCTTCCCAATCCATTTGATATGTACATTTTACTAATTGTTTACACAGACTGGCAGCTACACTGCCCCCAACGAGGGAGGCCATGGCCAACAGCCCCAGGAGACCACTGTTGTCGAGGGTACCAAGACCAAGACCTTGACTCTGGTCGAGACCCCAACCAGCTACGTTACCGAGGGCAATGGTGCTGGTGCCACTGCTTGCAACCAAGCCACTGTCACCGTGACTGCCACTGAGACCGAGACCGTTACTGTGGTAAGTGTTTTCAAATATCCGCTCCTCTTCTCAAGCATACAATATCAGACATCACAAGAAACAAGACTAACATTTTCTCAGGGCGCTGCTCCCACTTCTGGTGCTGGTGGTAACAACGGCCATGATGGACACGGTCACGGAAATGGCAACGGCAACGGTAATGGCGGAGGCGAGTCCACTGGATCTGGAGAGAGCCCCGAGCCAACCAACACCTCCACTGAGCCTGTTGTGCCGGTCCCCAGCGCCACTCTCACCACCAGCCGTGCCCCTTACAGCAACGGAACTGCTCCTTACCCCTCAACCACTGCTACACCTTCCGGCTTCCGCACTAGCTCCAGCGCTATCCCTTCGGGAACTCCCAGCGTCAAGCCCACCCCTAGCGGTGCTCCCAGCCCCTCCGGTACCCCCGGCGGCAGCTACCCTCACTCTTTCCGCCGTCGCTTCATCTAAGCGTGATCTCTCGTTATAGAGACCTCGTGTCCTGCGGTTGAGACTTGGGCTGATCGAGAGTCCTGAGAGTTGATCTTTTCGTTATCTGCTTTTTCAATTTATCTTCTTTTTCGTGCGGCTGCGCGCTGGGATTATTTGACAGCATCAATCCGCTTAATTACGTTCTGTTGGAATCTCCTCTCCGTACATGAACATGATTCGAGCTTATTGATTTCAATTCTTATCGTTACCAAGTGTGAAGACCCCCCTTTTTGTACTTTCTTTCTTTCTTTGTGCCGATGTTTCTTTCTACGAGTTAATGTTGTCTTTTCCTTTCTTGTCCTCAAGGATTAATGAATTGACGATTTTGGTATCTCAGTTTGGAACATCAGTGCCTCTTTATTTTGCTTCTTCTTCCTCCAATGTGACTTCAATACTCTTTAATATTGATATTCTTTGGAGATATGATTTTTTTTTCCTCGGTCAATTCGACAGAACCAGCTTTCACTGCTGAGATGGGAGGTTTAATGGAATGGTGCGCGTTCGTGTTCTTCATGGGATTTTTTTGCTTTATATTCTTAGGATGAATTTGTAACGCAGCGAAGCGTTTCGTTCTGGTGCATCCACCTTTCTGTACAAAATTTGCTTTTGAGTTGATCCCTTTACATGGAGAACATGCTTTGCCTTTTATTTATTATCGCATTAGGTATCTCAATTGAGCCTTTTGTTTTTAATCAGATCCAATCTGTAGACGTAGTGCTCCTTGTAGAGTTAGCTCTACTGGTCTCCGAGCATTCTAGATCTCTTGTAGTTCTGGCTTGGGGCTACCCCTAGTGTGGACCTGTTGATCATTGCGGATCTTCATGTGAAGACTGAAGAGAGATACTAAGAGGCTGCGCTAACCCCGAAAGTACAACTTATCATGTTTATTTACAATTCAAGATAATAATATACAAGTCCCCTCAAGCCCTCAAATAATATACATCTACATAGTTATACACACTCATTCAAACCCCCTCAGGCTCTAACGAATCCAAAGCTCCCATCCCCTCCCGAACAAGCCTCTCCCGCATAACCTGCCACTCCAACCAAGTAACACCCTGCAACAAACAATCCGCAAGATCATCCAGCTTCCCAATCTTAGACCCAGCTCCAGCTCCACCCTTCGTCCGAACCCCCTTCCACCTCCTCAAATACCCATCTACCATATCCGCATCCAGCTCCTCCCCAACAAGCACCCGCTGCACTCGATTCGCATCCGCATTCGCCTCCCTATCCAACCACCTTCCCACAACATCAATCTTCATCTTCTTAACCTCCCTCGCTGTTTTCGCCTCCCTTCCCTCCCTTTCTCTCTCTCCAAGATAACCCACAACCCTCTTTGGCTCAACACCCTCTACAAAAGGCCCGTATCCCCGTTCGGCCTTTAAAGCACGCAAAACAGCATACAGCATCCCCTCAAATACACCGACTCGTATCGTCCACTCTTGCACCGCACTTCCGCCTCCAGATCGGAAACGTTGGCGTTCGATAATGATATGGGTGGGGTTGTATGTTGATAATAGTGTCGTTATTAGTTTATATGCTGTCTCCGCGTAAAGAGCTGGGGTGAATTCAAGTGCTGACGTAGATTCTGTTTGTGTTTGTTGTATTTCAGAACCTATTTTTGAAGACAAGTCTGATTCTTTTGTAAATTCTGAAACAGCAACACGTCGCCATGCAGTTAATGCAGGAGGCGTAACGGGAGATGTAGTTCTGGTATGAATATCCATAGAGAAAGGACATGGCACGACAAGATGTGCAAATGCAAGATTTTGGATCCCCATGTCTATGCTTAAGACTCGCCAGGGATCATTAGGATTATTTGTTTGGTGATGTTGATTCAAGAATGAGCTTGAGATGCGTTGAGTTAGGACGCTTTTTGTGCCTGATGATTGGATTCCTGTTGCGCGTGCTAGTTGCTGGAGTTCGCTTGCTTTGCGAGCTGATAGCCATGTTGGCGATGCAAATGCTGATTCTGGGGTGCTTGAAGTGGACTTGTATCGTGGAAATGATATCAAAGTATTGTAGATGCGTATTGATGTGTGCAGGGGTCTTGAGAGACGCATTTTGGTCGGTGGATTGTTGACTTTGTGCGGATTTCCCGAGATTATCTTCTTGGATGTTCTAGTTTCTTTTTCTGGTTCTTGTGGATGGTTTGGGTCACTTTTTGTTTTCTTTCAATTATCGTGGTCCTCAGGAATTTGTCCTGAAGGTGTTGGTTGTGATGTTTTGGTTGAGTCGCGCGCCGGTTAGAGGCTGAGAATGTTGGATGTTGATTGGCTGATTGAACTGTGGGGCTCAAGTACTCCTACTTTGGCTGTATCTACAGCCGCTTTTTGGCCTTCTAGGGCTTTCGACGACCCTCATAATCTCCTGCAGATAATAACCTACAATTAATTTCATTATAAAGATAAGCCTTGAAATCTTGTTTTCTGACACCCGTGCTTTTCGTGTGCTCTTATATGAATGCACCACACGTTATTGTTCTGCTAAATTGTCTATCTGATTGGGTAATTATGAATGGTAATTAACATTGAAAGCTTGATTGAATTTCAGAAATAACAGTCTAGACTAAGCTTTCGCCCAACAGATCACATCAATGGTGCAGAAGCTCATCGATTCTTGGACCTGTGAAAAGGGCCCCGAAACAAGTGTGCAAAGTTTGTAATTGGCGCGTTTGTAACTGGCAGATCTAGCGCAACTGGTCTAACCGGTGCAACTGGTCCATATAATCTAGCCCGTTCAACTGGTATAACTGTTGCATCTGGTCCAAATAAAGACCCGGATATTGGGGCTCTTCTAGCACGTTCAACAGGTCTAACTGGTGCAACTCGTGGAGCTGGCCCCTTTCCAACGGCCGGGGCTATTGCAGCAGCTCGTGCAGCCTGTGGAGCTTGGGGAACTGGTGCAACTCTATTTTCAAATGCCCTATTTGCTCTTTCAGCAATTCTTCTTTCAATAAATTGAACTCTTTGCTCGTCCCATACTCGACACTGGCAAGTACCCCATCTCAACCCACAAACATAGCAAAAATGGTGACCGCAGCTAATACCATGTTAGTGGATCTAACTGTTTTTCTAGCATATGTAGAGATGTCGGTGATTTCTAAGACTCACAGGCAAGTGATATGGTTGCATCCCTGGGCAAGCTCTACCACTCTTCTACATTTCGAGCATCGCTTCCAACGCTCCTTCTCTGCTGTTTTCAAAAGTTGTTGGATGCCGGTATCCTTCGGGCAATCCATATTCTTGGGATGAGCGAGGGAACGACATGGAATATGGGTTTCTCGATGACATCTCGTGCAGGTACCATGCTCATCCTTGATATCAGTAGACGAAATGAATGAGGAACATACTGGGTCAGCACAATAGAGCTTCTGCTTTGACTCGTATTCAACCGCTTTGTTGTTGAATTCTTGAAGCTGTTCGTAGCTAAGTACTGAAGAAATAACCTGGCGTGATATAACATGGTTGCAGCAGCGGGGTGGGTAGAGAATCTCTTCTTGAATGGCTCCAAGAATTAGTTTTCGGGCACAGTCACGGCAGAACCCATGTTCACATGGTGATGTACACGCAAGTTTATCAACGTTTTCGTAGCATGAATCGCAGCTTAGTTTTCCTCCGGTCATGGAGACGGAGCCCAGGTTTTGAAAAGACTCCGAATCTTCACTCTTTGTTTCCGAGATAGCTAGGTGATCTTCCGAAACTGCGTCCATGTTGCGTAGATTACGACTTCGATAATCAGTCCAGTTGAGTTCGGCGGCTATATCTTCTCTCATTAGGCCAAGGGCAACTTCATAGTCGGTGGGACACCCTTTCCCCTTTCTGCCCCTCTGTGCAGCTTCAAACACATCAATATCCCGGAGTTGAAGCCTCATAGCGAGGTTGAGATCCTTGTCGTCGTTGTCCATGTCTGAATTTGATGGGATATATCAACATGCGATTCAAGTATGTAGCGAAAATATCTGGTATCAAAAGTATTGGCTATGTAGGTGGATCGAAGAGAGGAAATTACAAAATGGAAAGGTCGTAGAGAGAGCGGTGGGAATGGTAGGAGGACAAACAGGAAATCTCCGGCTCAATATCATGTTTTTGGTCATGCGTGTAAAGGTCAGTATTACTACGTCAAGTAGTTCCATTTTCCATTGGGCCAAAGTATAATCAGGTGGTTTTTGATAGGATTCGGACGCGGCAGCTCATCTGGTAGTCGGGGGACGCCTGGCCAAAACTTTCCTAAAATTTACTATAGTTTATTCTAACCAAATGAGGTAGAAGACAAAATAACTTCTTCAAACTCTATTTTATGGACCACCTCATCACCTGAAAAGCCGAGGATTCGCCTGGAGCTATGGCCAAGTGAGCGTCATATATTGCTCGGGCAGTCTCTATGCATTTTAGAGCGATCGACATTGAAGGTTCGCGGGCTAATCACTGGGAGACTTGTCATGACTACGATAATGGAATTTTGCGAAGATTCCAAGCTCTGCTATCTCGCTTCCGGGATCTTTGGGCGATTGGTAATGGGCCACTCATACTCATACGCAAAGCTTGACGAGTGCGGGTGAGTGGCGATGTCGTATTGAATAGCTTGGGTGCTGAACTCTTCCATTTCCTTCCAGTTGAGCAATGAGGGAATAATCCTTTGCGGTAGTATATGATTATAACAGCGGAGTGGGTAGAGCGACTCTTTTCGGTGTCTAATGTATGGCCGCTTTTCGGCCTTCTAAGGCTTCGAAGGTTCTCATGATCTCCTTAAGATAACATATAGTTAATTCCCAAGTTTTTGTGCGCTCTTATATGGATGTACCTTATTATTCCGCTAGATTTTCTATTACGATGGATAATGATGAATTAATTAAGCTTGATTGAGTTTCAGGAACAATAGTCCAGACTACGCTTTGCCCCGAGAAATTGACATCAGAATATTAGCATTATTTGGGGTCATACGGCCGAACGCTAACCCAGCATTGTCTCCATCTATGTATTCATCACCGACAGCTTGAAGCTTTCACCCAGCAGATTCACACCGGAAGTCATGCAAGCGGAAAACCATCATCATCATCATCATCCGAGTCTATGTCTTCGACACCGATAACAAGCCTGTATTTGGCAGGTCGTGCATACAAAAATGTGCTGGGATAGAACACGATCACAAACCTTACATTGTAAGTCCCCGTGCTCTCTGTATTTCCACTGCCACTTTCTATCGTGCTGACATCCAACCTCTTCGTGGTGCAGAAACGCATTGTACATATGATTAAAGGCCTCTTGACGGTGGGCGTTGTCTGCATCGGATGCAACTTCATTATCAATAGTTTGGGCTGCTCTTTGAATGAGTCTTTGCTCATGCCACAGTGGACACTGGCAGGTCCGCCATTCCAATCCACAAATATAGCAGAACTCGTGACCGCAACCAATACTGTGTTACTCTTTATTTGGCTCAAAGTAAATAAAGGCAGATTGAATTTGTTATACTCACTGGCAAGTCATGTGGTTGCAGCCTGTGGAAAGCTTTACCATTCTTCTGCAGTTTGAGCATCGCTTCCAACCCTCTGTCTCTGCAGTTTCCAAAAGTTGTTGGATACCGGTATCGTTTGAATAATCGGTGTTAGGATGAGCTATTGAGCGACATGGAATATGGGTTTGTTGTTGACATGTCGTACAGGTGCCATTTTCGTCTTTGATATTTGCAGACCGATGGACTTGGAGCTGGTTGGATCGGCACAATAGAGCCGAATTTTGGAGTCGTATTCAGTAGCTTTGTCGCTGAACTTTTAATTGCATGGACCAGCTTCGCCTTGACATCTTCTCTGAAATTGCGGGGAGGGTAAAGAATGAAGCGTTCGATGGTCATTCCAAGGAAAGAAGTTTCGATGTCTTTGGTGGCTTCGGAGGGACTTGCGAGGCTTTGCAAGAAGAGAGTAATGTTATTGGAGAGAATTGCATCGGCTGGATAGTAGAGAAAAAATGTTAGTGAGGTATTCACGGTATATAAAATCATGAATGCCTGATCATGAAAGACTGCATCCATTGTAGTCGATCAAAAATTTCCGGGCATGAAAAATGCGACCGATAAAAAGCTGTTAATTTCAAATACATCTTACACCACAAATTCTTTATTACTGCATCTGAAATTATACAATATTATAGAAGAAATATCAAAGTCTTTTTAAGCCATCTTAAAATATTTTTTTAACTAATAATTCAATCAAAAGATATAGATGTTTCTTTAAGAGCTAAAATATCTAAAAGTCCTGTCCTTTTTCTCTTTATATTTTCGAGATTTATCAAAGTGAAAAAAAAAAAATTTATTCTTCAAAATCACTCTTAGAATTCTTCTATAATATAGTATAATTTTGGATTCATTAACCAAGAATCGATGGTGTAAGATATATTTGAAATCAATATCTTTTTTCGGTCGGAAACTTTTGACGAAGGACTGTACCGAGAGCAAGGATTCGATCGCCAGTGGAGGTGACTTGAGTTGTCATGTCATCTCTTGCCAAATAGAGGACAAGTTGAAAGTTGTCTAGGCGCCCTGGGGCTTGTTTTCCCTTTTGCTGGAGTGTATTCTTGAATAATTGAGCTCCTCAAGCTGGAGCTTCAATATAAGGTTATGATGTCGGCTTCTGCCACCGAAAAATCAGTTGTTCACAGATCACCCTGTATTTATTCCCTATCACCGCTCTCATCTTCATTCGCCTGCACTTCTCTCATGGCTCTCAGTGTGTCCTGGATTCTCCGTTGGAGTGGCTTTCCCACAGGCCCACGGCCCCGAATATTAGGATTAATACCTCGGGTTAGTCCAGCGCATATTACAGGCCCTGAACGATTTTCTTTCCAAGACAATCCCACCGGTAATTAGCATTCCGACAAATGTGAAACACATAAGACATTGACTCACGAGTTCCTGTTCTGATGAAAGGCCGGATTCTGAGTGAATCAATCCATTCGCCAAAAGATATATGAGCCGATTGGTCATTATACGCGACGGCCCGAGGATCAGTTGAACTGATTTTTGGATACCCACAGACACGGCGTAGACGATCAGTGACGCGAACTTCAATGTCCTGGTATTGGAGACGTGTCATATAAAGTGACTTGACAGAAATTTCATCCCGTAAGAAGTCCCAAGCGATTCGCCAGAGCCTTTCAGCTTCCTTTTTCTTATCTTCCACTGCGCCGGTCTCGATTTCATCATTCAGCGTCACGAATTTGTACGCAAGAGACTTGAGTGTGGGTGCTGTTGTTCGTAAGAAGTTAATCAATTCGCTGAGATATATTTTAGTGTCCGAAATCCGAAGGTGTTGAAGCCGCGTAAAAGAGAAAGACTCTGTAAGCTTGGGAATATATTGAAGACAACCAGAGATATTGAGCGTATGCAGATTCGGTGCACACGCCAATACAAGCTCAATGAAACCCTCATAGGAAGTCATTTCTTCTACTCTCCTCAAAGTACAGGGATGTAGACTCTCTGTACTCTTCATGAGCGGGATCAATTCTTTCCATTCATCCGACGTCAATGCGAGGCTTGTCAATGCACTTTGGCACCATAACTCACGTGCACATGTATCAAGCTCTTTGACGTATCGGTTGCTGCCAATGATGGCTTGAAAAAGTGCCGACAAGACCCTTGCAGTGACATCGCAAGTGTCTGATTTACCAGGCAAACTGAAACCCCCTGATTCCCTAAAAATACTTGATATCTGTTTTCTGAACAATTTCAAACCTAGACAAGCAGGTGTGAAGAGCACATTTCCTCGGGCGAGGACTTTTGTAGACATATCCCGCAGTCTGAAGGTATCTAGGTTGACGAATCGAAGCATACAAGCTTCTAAAATACTTCACAGCGAGTTAAGAGCAAGTTCGTGATCTGTTATTATGGCTTCGTGTACCTCGTACAGGTTCCTGAGAAGATCATCTCGCTCTTCAGGTCGGCATGAAATACGCGCAGAGAACTCGGCTAACAACCGGGCTTCTGATAATCGCTTGTGATCATCGAAGAGAATTGGTAGAATGATAAGTTTCTTAACGCAAGTCCTGAAAATTTCATGATAGGCAATCTGTTGCAGCTGCCGGAGTGCGTCACTTGTGACAATCATGTATATTGTCCCGTGGTGATGATCACCATAAAACTTTTGAAATTCTTGTAATAATTCCTCGCATGTAAGTCGAAGTGAGTTCAAATCGCGCGTCTCTAGATGGCTGCAGATCTGATCTAACAGTTCGGTCGGAAGATTTTGCAAAGACATGTTGAGAGAAAAACCCAAGAGGCGCAGTTGAGTATTTCGCAGTGTTTCCTTACTGGGGTTGTTGTAGACAGTATTTGCGTGGCAGATCAGGCCACACTGCAGTGGACATTGATATGTCTCCCACTATATTGTACTTTCGTCCTTCTTCAATCCAGTTCGATATTATTCCATTTTCTCCTACTCCTAACTATCTCAACGCGTATTGACTTTCTCGTGCCGATACTGCGGTAGGTCGTTCTCACTCAACTAACAGACTAGAGTGCAAAATATCAGGGAAATGCAGGTTTAGGGAAAATAGGTTAGGGGGTTTGGGCCCACGGGTAAGTCGGCACAGGGGCATATTCAGTGTTCACTCGGGCCTCCTCCGCATGGGTTGATACAATCCTGGAATCTTCCATGAGTTGGGTCACTAGTCACTTTGTTGGGAATGACTATTGCAGGGGAATAAATCTCTTTATTATATAAAACTTATAGTATTAGGGCCTCATCGATATCAAAGGAGCTGTCGATATAACCTATACTACATAAATGGAATAAACGATAATATCGACAAGGGTATTCAAAATTGTACATTATGTGAAGAAAGATTACCTCCAAAGTTATTAAAGTAGATGCAAGCTTGATTGAAATTTTCCTCCTCAAATTCCGCAAGGAAGCCCCAACAGCCTGCCTAAAGTGCAAAGAATCTATAGGAAAACAAAAAGTTTATCTACAGAAGATATCCCAGCCTCTAGTTAGAAGTAGGAGCATACTTAATTCCAAAAGGAACAGTCCGCACAGTCTCATAATCTCTAGGATCATGACGATTACCGAAGATCTTCAGAGCACGCACAACCATGACGTAGTCACCCTCCGGAACATAAGTACCATTCGCCAGTTCACCAGTAAAGGAAGAGCTTGCTGGGCCACTGACACCATCGACAGTCCGTGCAAGGGCCGTCTGGGGCGCAGAAACAGGGAGAACAGTGCTACCGTTGGCTGACTTGACGCCGACGAGGAGCAGATCCGTACCCATGGAAAGGATTGTCTTGAAAATGGGGTAGCTGGTGTTTCCACTGTCGCCATTGTCAGAAGACTTGGGGTTAGGAAGGGTAAAGTGGTGGTTTTCTTCGATGCGTTCCTCGGTGGCGCTATCGACGATGTAGTTGCCTTGTGTTGTGTCGAGGATAGTCACGTTGCGCATATCGGTGGCAACGCCTAGATAAGGAACGGAGAAAGAGTCTGCGGAGCTGGTTCCATTCAGAGTAATGTATCCACTGTATACTGGAATGCGGTGGGGATAAAGGCCCTTAGGAAGGTGAGGGGTGACTTTTAGGACAGTTGAGCTACCGGCAGCGATGGAAATACGGGTGGAGCTGAAGTTGAGCGAAGCACCAATGGTGGTACGGTCAACAAAGTCGCCGAGTTTGTTCTCCTGGGGAATGGTGCTGTTTTCGGGGAGCGTGTAGACAGTAGCAGCGCCGACGTGGCCGACAGAGTAGACACGAGGTGTGGAACCGGTGTTTCTGATGCGGATATAGGCCGGGGCGATGTGCTGAGTGTCGTTGAACGAGATGACGCTGACGTTGAACTCGGTGGTGGTGTGGAGGAACTTGTAGGCATCAATGAGACCGCCACCTTGTTGAGCTACTGATCCGAGGAATGGTGATGCAGTCACGCCGTCGTGGAAGACGTTGGGGTTGGCAGTGGTAGATAGCAGAGCCTTGATCTCGGCAGGGGTCACGTTGCCCTTACCGCGAGCCTCCATCAGAAGAGCAACACAACCAGCGACGTATGGAGTTGCCATCGAGGTACCAGTCTCAATAGCGTAACTGCCCTCTGGAACGGGCCAGGTTGACAGCATGAATCCACCGACTCCCCCAACGGCTGTTGCGGGGAGGATCTGGTTACTAGGACCCCACTGGGTGTATTCGCCGATCTGACCTCCAGACTGAGGGTTAGTCTCGTTGATGAATATGGTCTTGGCATGTTTTTCACTGGTCATGTGCAGTGTGATGTTAGCACCAGATGCAGCAAGCTTAACCCAGTTCTCGCCAGTTTGGGCAGAAACCATTGCCAACGCTGTGAGATTGGGGTTTATCGTAGAAAACTCATAAGTGCCAGGCTCATTATTGTAGAATAGGATGTTCTTAGCACCGGCATTGACCGCATTAGCTTGCTGTTCACTACCGCGGCAGCCACCATAGCGTATCAAGACAATCTTGTTAGACAGATCCGGGTGACTTCCTGTCCACGGTTCACAGGAATCGCCAACAATGGAGGCGTTAATACTGCTTGGATACAAGGCATAAGAACCATTCTTGAAGTCCGAGTCACCTGCAATCTGCCAGCCAAATTCCTTGGTGGAGTTTTGGGTAGAGTAGCTAGCGCCTGTAAGTAGCAAAGGGCTATACTTGTTGTTGAAGGCTCCAACACCAATGGCGGCAGCGTTGTCAACACCGTTAGAACCTAGGAACAAACCGAAGCTTCCGTCATTTCCACTAGCAATGAACGTGGGAAGACCATGGGCTGCCAGCTTCTGAACCAATTCTCCCCACGGCTCATCACTCCAGCCCTTGTACGAGCCGAAAGAAGCGGAGATGATATCTGCTTTGTCCTCATAGGCCCTCTTGAAAGCCGCAGTGATAATATCAGTGCCATAACTGACAGTTTGCTTGCCAATGATCTTATAATGACCCAGAGTCACATTCGGAGCGACACCAGTGAAGTTATATGGGTTTGGCTGGGCGGCGATCAGTCCAGAGACATGAGTTCCTACACATGATTAGCGAAATTATTCAACTTGACTAAAATTCCCATAGACATACCGTGGCCAGCATGAGCTTCATAAGGGTCAGTAGTGTTGTCCAAGAAGTTGAAGCCGAATTCAACCAAGCAACCCTTTCCAAAGCAGCCTCCAAGAGCAGGGTGTGTATAGTCAACCCCGGAGTCCACGACAGCAACGCGAATTCCAGTTCCCAGGTAACCCTCCGCGCGCAGCTTGTCAACTCCAGTCATGACGTGGGGATAGTCATTTCCATCATGATCCGCTGTATCACGGCGTCGGAGGCCATGAGAAGGAACGTTGTGGCGAGTAGGTGCGCCGTGGGCCACGCTAGAAACCTTTTGCTTGGGTTGTTGCAGCTCTCGAACGGGGGAGACCTTCTTCACAGTGGGCCATGAGGCAATCTGCTTGACGACCGCAGCTTCGTTCTTGCTATCATTGAGCAGTGTGAAGGAACCACCATTGAAAAGAGCGAATGACAGGTCGTGGTTAAGGCTAGCCGGAATACCCTTCTTATTCAGTGTAGAGAGAAAGCTTGCAGACGACTATATAGACCGATTAGTCAATTAAAAGACTCAAGATAACACCGGATCAATGTAAACGAACAGTCTTAGAATCAACAAACTCAACAATGTACTTCTGAGCAATTGGATCTCCATGCGCCGCCAAAGCCACAGGGACAGCAGCCAAAAAAGCACCCAACCAAGACCAAAGAGGGGCCATATTAAATGAATGGATTGGGTCCGAAGAATCCGAAAAGAGTGACTTGAACCAAAATCCAAAGAGCGACGACGAGGTTGAAAAGGAAAGAATGTACTCTACTGCATCGTCAAAAAATCAACACGAGCCTGAGATCGGATCACCCATTGTGCTCTGCTCTGCTCTGCTTTTGCTAGCCCCTATTGTCCCGTCTGTATCTGCCCTAACCACGAGCTTATCCAGATTTTGAAGTGGGAACCGACTCTCGTATTGTTTGTGATCGGCGTAGATAGTGGCCGATCAGCCTCTATTACGGCTAGCGCATCGCGCCCCGGGAAAAAAAGGGTCCGGGTGTGAATGGTTCTCGGAAGATTAAAATCTCGATCGATCAGCGCGTCATTTTGAAGTTCTTATGGAACATTCGATTCCATATAGAAGTGTAGACTGATATGTCTAATAGTAGCTGGCGTTGCTGAACGTAATTGATATGTAGAGACTTGCAAGTCCCAGGATATGGAGTACCATTTCTGATTCTGATGACCCTGTCAGATCAGTATTTTATTGTGACTGCGCCACGGAAGGCTTGGCTTGACGAATAAGACCTTCTTCCATTATTCCGGCATTGAGGGCATCGTGGGCCCGCCAAGGATGAAAATTCTCATCCTCATCTCCGGACTTCGCGTCATCGATCGGTTTGCGGGATTTCGCATTGAGTGAGATCTTCGGTGATATTTGAATGTCTGCGTTGCAGAATCAGCCAAGCAGTATTATCATACTAATACAGTATTTCTTGTGGTGCTTTGGATTCATTGCCGATTGAGACCCCTGTGATTGTGGAGATATTCAAAATACCGAGCGAGGCACAAAGGGTCTCAATGTGGTTGGTGATCGACAGGGGCACGGACCATATCTGCACGCGTCAAGATCGATCTGGACATACGATTCGGCACTTAATCTGCATACATTGTTATGGCTATTTTTATCCTTATCCTTATTCTGATCATTGCTTGCATATACGAGGAAGAATTCCAGAACGATTCTCAGTACTTTGTTTGACAAGAGTAATTAGTCTTGATATTCAAATCTAGTTAAGCTTCCAAAGTTGATTGTAGATGAAAAAAAGAAAAACAAAATTGAACCCAATAACGCCATCTTTCTATTTTCCAAGTCCATGCAATGATAGATCTCGAAGATTGATCAAGACATTCAAAAAACAAACAAACAAGTGAAGTCCAAAATAAACACCCCATATTGACCAGCGCCAGTTATTGCAACCATGATTCCGCGGGAGGAAGTAACGCCAAAGAATAAATGCAGACGCTGAAGTGTATATCAAAACAGGAAATAAACAGAAATCAGGAAATTAGGATACCAATGCCATGCTGATAAATTTCGGCTTGCGTATTGGTGTTTGTAGAATATGCCTAGTACAAAGCATATTATACGAAGGCGCCAGTGCCCAAGTCGAGGTCTGCGAGTTCGTCTCGCAGATACAAGAGCGGAGCCCATACGCGCCAGTGTAGAACACCCAGGTGAGCGAGACGCATACCAATGCGCTCTATATCGTGTTGTTGAGGTGGCGCGGGCTGCATGTTATTATTGGAGGCAGGATGCGAGTGAGAGTTAGGATGTGTGGAAGGTCCGGTAGATACCAGGGGACCGGTATTTGAAGAAGCGGGTGCAACACGCTGAGATTCACAAATGGCGAGTGGTGATAGAGGAAGATATTTGCGGGCAGAAGAAATGGTAGCTTCTAGGATCTTCTCGCGCATGGCATTTTGGAAGTAATGGAAGAGATCGGTCTCATTGGAGAGATGCCATTCGAGAGCTGCTTCGATAGGTGAAATGACTTCATCGGCAACGATGGAATCAAGACTACAGGCTGCGCAGGCAAAGCGTGCAATTTCAAGCGCGATACTGCGCATGTTCTGTATCCAGCGTGCACTGCCGCGGAAATCGGGGTCCTCTTCGTCCATCGAATTCATGACTCGGCTCTCCGTGTCTTGGCCATCTTCCATTAGGGACCAGATACGTGAGCGGAAGGTAGAGTATGTTTCTTCGCGGGCGGAGAGGTATCGGTTTCGGGTATATACGTATGATTCGAAGATATACCAGGCGATTTCGAGGTTGATGAGGCTTTGAATCGTGGAGCGAAGTTGCCAGAGTCGATCTGAGTCGAAGAGGAAGGTTTCAGGGAATTCAGCGGGAGGGGTAAATTGAAGAAGCTGATCGGATATTCCGCGGAAGAAAACCTCGAGGGGTCTGATATCCTCTTGTTGGGGAGATGAAATTGTTACAGGGCTCTTTTGCTCGTCTTCTTGTTGAGCGCGATCTTTTGCGCCGAGATACCATACACGTGCGGATTCTACATGGAAACTCCCGCGGCTGATTTTGTCTTCGAAATATTCTTGCAGAAAGGGTACTGTATCCTCGATGAGAAGAACGCGAAAAGTCCGTATTTGGTGATTGGCAACATCCTAGAAAATAAGGTTATAATTAGCTTGAATGTTCTTTGGGTGAAGAAGAAAATAATTGTGGAGCATGTGGGGATCCGCCTTACCAATTTCATTGCCTCTAGTACGCCGAAGAGTGTCCGTAGTCCATTGACGATTTCCTTGGGTTGCTGCGATTGAGATCCCTCTGTGATTTGTTCGAGCATTCGATCTGCCCATTCATCGCGCATCGGAGCACAGTGCGTCTTGAGTAAAGCCGCCATCCAAGTCGCTAGCGCGACCATATCGAGAACACCCTTGCGGATTTGCTGCATGAGCAAGGGCACCTCCAAATTCTGCATAACGCTCGGGTGATCTCGTTCAGGAACCAGAGTTTTAATCACTTCCTGTAGGGTCTCAAACATAGCTGGTAGACGAGGCTCAAATGTGCGCTGGGGACTCTGACCGGATTGATCCTCTGCATCGCCGGGGTTAGCAGCATGATACGCATAGATCGCAATTTCCGTGGCCATTGAATCCCAATAATCGGTTGATTCTTTCCGTTTGCGATGCCCCTTTTCACCTTCCAGATCGGGTTTGAAATGTAGATCACGATCGAAATTGGCGTCCATGCGGAGATTGATGTTGCTCATTATACAGGGCAGATCGAGTTCGCTGAGTGTTTTCTTTGTCACTGGGGGGTTCCGACGCGCTTTGCATATTATTCGCTGCTCTCGAGAACTTAACCCTAGGGCCTTTGGAATTGCAGTCGCTTCTGGGGATGGTGAGGATTCTCTTCGCGAAGTTGTGGAGGACGAGGAGGCAGGTTGGCGGGTTCCTGGCGGGTATGTGAAGGGTGATTGCCGACGACGAAGCGGGCGCACGTTGGACGGTTTGTCATGGCTATGAGAGTCGCGCCTCTCGTTCTTGCGATAATCATTTGAGCGACTGCTCCCAGCTCCATAGGCGTCTAATGGACCGTCGGCACCCTCCTCCTGGGTCCGGGCCTCTTTTGTCCCCTGAAGATCCATGGGGAAAGGTCAAAAAAGACAAAAGAACCGAACAAGGTGATAAGAAATACAAGACGATCTCTGCCCTAAATCCTATGAAATTGTTAGATAAGGTAACATTTTGATCATTTCAAGTTTTTTCCCAATTTTTTTTTAACTTTTTCTTTTTCTTTTCTTTTTCCTTGTGGCAACGCGCCCTGCGCCATCACGAACTCCCCCCAACTTGCAAGGGAATCAGGAAACAGCTTTCTCGGCTGTCTCTCAACCACTGCCTTATGCAACTGGATTTATTTTCTTTCTTTTCTTTTTTTTCCCCCTGATTTTAATTTGTTCCCACTCACCTCTTGTTTTGATCGCTTTGTTTGCCTCAGACAGGCAGCCAATCCGCGTTGCCGACAAAGTGATGCAAGTGAGCTGTCAATTCGCTGTGGAGCCACCGAGGAAGCTTGGATCTGCCGACGATCGGTCCTCGTGGTCCAGACTTCTTTTGATTGGAAAAAAATAAATTGGCGGATAGAGAATTCTGAGATGGTGAAACGAAGGATCTGAGCCTGTCTCCAAAAGCAAAGAAAGAAAATCAAGAAAAGGTGTTGATTCACAATGTGGAACGATGTTCCTGATCGACGGTTTGAAGATGTTTCTTCAGTAGATCCGGAACAACCAATGGGGCTAGAACTAGCACTGGGCAAGAAACGTAGAGGAGGGAGGGTGGTAAAAGCACCTGCAGAGTTCAAGAGCCAAAGGAGCCAAAAAAGACCAAAAAAGAAAAGGCAATAATTGGGCAAGAGACCGGGTTGGCATTGATATAGTCGAGCACCGAACGTTTTCAAGAAAACCAATGACGGATTCGGGTGGACGCAACCATCACATTCCACTGCTGCTACCCGGATGAACCCAGCAAGACTCCTCAGATCGGATCATGCCCCCTATTCTGCATGACGAGACAAGAAACGACGATAGGGGAAAATAGAATAAAAAAAAGAGATATCCAAGACCCATAATAATTTTAAACTCTATGGAAAGGGGAGAGAGGGTTCAAGGGGTTCCGGATGCCGGATTTCCAACGCCTCACTTTTCCTGACGCACTGGCCACGTGAACGCTGGGAGATTGGCATTGATCGGGGAACCACTCTGGTAACTTGACCAGCTTGGTCAGGTTAACAATCATTCGGGATCTGGTGTAATGTTGAAAAGCATCTCACTGAATAGTATTGAACAGATCGAATTGACCTAATTGAGGTGGATGCGCGTTCGGTTTAAAGTTGTTTGTGCCTGGGGATTCAGGCATCACAGTCTATCTCTTTTCCGGTAATGATCGTCACTCACTATCAACATGTTTATCCACTCGGGAACTACTATGGACTCTGCAGCACTTGAGTGGACAATACTCTGCATAGACTGGATACTCATCACCAAACAGAACACAGAAATCACAGAAGTATTACGGGAAAAATCAGAAAAAAAAAAAAAAAAAAACATCAGGTCACATTCAAACAGACATCATCAGACATGACGAGGATTAATTAATCAGTCTCAACCATGTTATTCAGCTCCGTCCGAATCGGGTTCTCTATAGACTTTCCCCAACCGGGAAGCTCTATAGACACCCAAATCAGGAAACTGGATGAGTTCCCCTTCACCATCATGATCTTATTTCTTTTTTCCTATATATTTTTATCATGAAGTTGCAAGGATTCCATCTCCAGCTTCAGATATCCCAGTATTTTCAGCATTTCATTTATTATTCGGCGTGATTCGCGATCGCGACAATACTACATAAGCGGATACCGATACCGATACCACCATGGGGCTGACGACGATCTTCTACTTTTTTTCAATCTTCTGGGCTATTCGAACCATTCTATTATCCCGCAATTCTTCACCTTTCGATACCTCACAATTTCAGGTCCACTCCCTCCCCGATAGCCCCGCCCTACCATCTAGTTGGGCCGGTCGACTACCGGTTCCGGGAAGACAGGGCAACGAGATCTTCTTCTGGCTTTTCAATGCAGAGAATCCTGCATATGACGATCAATTAATCGGTAAGTCCACCTATGCCCTAATTATCTCCAAAAATAGATTCAGCTACCACCGCACCTCACAAAAAAGGGGGGGGGGAAATGGGGGGGAAAACACACTTACTAACCAACTATACTAAACATAGTTTGGCTAAATGGCGGTCCCGGCTGCTCCTCCCTCATAGGCCTAACAACAGGAAACGGTCCAATATCCTTCACCGACAACTCCACCCGCCTCATCGAAAATCCATACTCCTGGACAAAACTAGGCAATGTCCTCTACGTGGACCAACCCGTCGGTACGGGCTTCTCAACCGCCAGCTCACTCGTCCGGTCCAATAGTCAAGTGACAAGAGACTTTGCATTATGGCTGCATGCATTCTTCGAGAAATTCCCTCATCTCCAATCGAAGAACGTCCATTTAATCGGCGAGTCATATGCGGGTATCTTCGTGCCCTATTTCGCTAATGCATTGATGGAGGGAACCGGAAACCATTCAAATTCATTCTCTATCAAGCTTCACTCAATGTCGCTTGGTGATGGGTCCTGGGGAAATGCTGCGGCAATGTCATCCGTTGCAATGGGGACATATATGCATTCACAGAATAGTCTTCTTGGGGTTCCGAATGATATTCTTTCGGCGTTTAGTTCTGCGGATGAGGTTTGTGGGTTTGATACAGTGCTGAACCAGGCAAATATTTATCCACCTAAGGGGAAGATACATATTCCTGGAAATCCGGAGTATATCAATTATCGTCGGCGGCGAAGCTTAGGTCTTTCATCTCGAGACAATTCTGATCTGGGTATTCTGGGTGGAACTTGTGATGAAGCGCCTTCTACTCCGGAAGAGGTGTTTTATTCTATTTTGAACTCAACATGCTACGGTCCCTGTGCATCTTTTTCAACAGCAGAGAACTATATGTATGCGTCCTCGGCGAATGGCTCGGGTCCTTCATGCTTCAGCATTTACGATCTAACTTACGACTGTTCAACTGTTAACCCGATCCCGCTATTAGAGGACTATTTCAGTCGACCGGATGTGCAATCTGCTCTACATGTTGGGGAAAGTGGAGTATACACGGCTTGCAACGGGACTATTCTCTCCACACTCGAGGATAACGACTTTGTCGAGCCGCCGGAGTATTCTCTTCTCCCTTCATTGGTCACGAAGCATAATATCTCTCTTCATATTTATAATGGGGAACTGGATATGCTGATCAATCATATCGGAACACAACTTTCAATCCAGAATATGACATGGAGAGGTGCACAGGGGTTCCAAAGCAAGCCCAGCAGATCCTTTTATGTTGACGATGCGGCGCCAATTGCTGGTATGGAAAATGATACTCTTTCGACTAATAGTAGTGCTAGGACTGGGATCTGGACTGTGGAGAGGGGGGTGTCTTATCATCTGTTTGAAGGGGCTGGGCATAGCGTGTTTGCGACGAAGCCGCAGGATATGTTCTCTTTCGTACGGGATGTTGTGATTGACGGGAGGACAGGTTAGGGGTATTTTATCTTTTCAAGGTTCGGGTTCAGGGTTCAGGTTATTAGATTTTTTAATCCTTCGGTGGGATCCGGACCGGAGAGACATTATGGTGATGTGCATGTACAATACTGAAAAATGGAAAGGAGACTAGATGGCGTTTCGCATTTCAGGTGTTAGTAAGGATCCAAATTGACAAATCATTTAGCTGTATTAGAAGGAGAAAAGGCTTCGGACGATGTCGACAATATCAATACATCATTGAAAGCGTAAATCCCAGAGTATGTCTGGTTCAGAGCAAGGTCTTCGTCATGTGCCAGGGGATTGATTGTATAGGTAGTTTCAGTTTGGATGATCCACCACTTACCAACTTGAATGTATAATTTCTGAAGTCATTGACTTCTATCATTCTTGAGTTGTAGCAGATACTTTTTCTATTCTATTGACTGTATACTTATTCGCACTATATAAGCTATCCGATAGTAACTGTAAACTGGTACTATTCCACCCCTATATCGATCCAACACTCAACTCGAAGCCAAGAAGAGCCACACCCAAAACAACAGAACATTAGCAAAAAGAATCACCATGAGAAATAATGACCCATTAACACACATTATGCATCAATCAATGTAACCATTACTCAGTATTACACCTCGCACCGTCATTTGTTGTCAATTGGCCCCCTTTACTCATCACTGCTCACCATGAGTCAGGGTTACAAACATAAACACTGTAATAAACATTATCGTTCTCATAGTATGTGGGGCAATTGATTATATACTAATATTTGCCAGGTCAGCGTGGACTGTCAAGATCCGGGCTGGTTGGTTTTGGGGTTTTAAACTCCGGGGTGTATTATGACGATACCAAGCGTGGAGTAAGGAGAAGAAGTTCTGAATGAGTTTGATATATTTATTCGATGAATTATTCTTTCTATCTTGTTTTAGGGATCAGAAGAAGAATGGTTATTGCAGGGGTACTGCTAGAAGTCCAAGAAGGCCACTCAAACAAACATCCATATGTAGCGACTCGTAGAACATTAGACATCATAATCATTTTGAGTTTTACGACGAGTCTCTCTCGTTGACCGTTGAACGAGTCTTAATACGTGAGTAATTACTCGAATGTTCCCTTGAATAGGTATTTCTCATACATTTCTCCAGGTGTCTGGTTAGGGATGACATCCGAGTCTACTATCTTGGGGGCAAGTCGGTCAAAACTTGTGGACCTCTCGCAATTTTCTCAACTTGTCTTTCCCACTAGTAGTACGTAGCATATAGGCTTCTAGCTAAATTTCACCCAAATAACTGTAAAGGATCAAAGTAGTACATTGTGCATATATCTATTTTACTTCAAGTTCGTGTGAGTGGTTTCTTCTACATGATGTAGCTTGTGAGGTCGGCACCGCATATAGTTCCAAAAAGGAAAATAAACAAAGCCGATTTGAGAAGCAGAGTGTTCCAGTTAGGTTTAAATACTGTACGTTAGCTTCTTTAGTCCCCCGGATAATGGGCATTTTCATACGCTGTCAAAAAATACCAACGATGACCCACCATGAGTCACGATGACTACGTTCCCACCTGTGCAGATCAGGCCTCAGACCTCTATATCTACTATATCTAAAGGAAGGGCTTACAAACGTCAGCACTAATTAGGCCAAATAATATCTGAAGAAGCATCCGAGGAAATCGCAAGGGACGGTAATATTCATGAGTATGATTGTCCTATATAGACTATTTCACGCATTAAAACCGCGCCATATGATCAAATATTTCCTCCACCAACCCAAAATAAAAGCCATATCGCATTTTCGCTAAATAAATAAAAAAACGAATATCGAGGCAAGACAGATAAAAACTTGTACAATGAATTCTGTCTATGCCGGGTAGTCAATGCATGTAACGGGCGCAAATCATCATCATGAGGGGGGCATAGCAATGGGAACGAGCTAGACTCGACGAAAGTATGGTGTTTGTTGTTGCATTGACAGGAGTGAATCAGCGCGTTGAAACACATCACCCTCGAAGAATTTGTCGCTGTAAGCACTGGCCGGGGTTGAGGGAACAGTAGCCTGTGCCGCGGGACCGAGCGCAGCGCTGAGCGGGGTACTCGGGACAGTAATGGATTGAGGGGACATGCCAGTCGTCAGGTATGGAAGGGAGTGGGAGGCGATTGCGGATGTAGATGATGAGGTTTGATGTTGAATATGTGGCGGTTGTAGTGGAGGGCCGTAGAGGTGACTTGCTGGTGCATTACTGGCCATGTCTGCTAGGAAAGACCAGGGGGATGCTTCGATCAGGCGGCCAGCTTCCCTGCTAGCTTTTTGGACAGGGCGAAGGATAATAACGATATCCTGGGGTAGACGTTGCATACTGCGCACCTCTCGCATGTCTGTCACGAGATCTACAAAGGATTGCATAAATGCCTTGCATAGTTGCCAGAACTCACGCTGATTGCGGAGTCCACCGTTTGGTTCCTTGACTTTCATCGTTGACAGACGTATGCCAAGTGCCTCCGATACCTCTATGCATGACTGGCATCGACGGATGAGGTTGTTCCATAGCATCTGGATCCCTTCAGACTCGCGAGACTTTTCGGCAGCCTCAAGACACCGTAATAATTGCCGACGGGCTAACGGTAGTGCTTGTAGCGCTGCGCTGTACGCAGAAGTAAGTTGGTAGAAGATTCTTTCAAAGATACGCTCTTCTTCAATTTCATCTAATCCAGTCAATGGATTGATTCGAGGAGCGATGCCAACAGGCATGGGAGGGAATGACTCGCCAGAGCGAGGTGTGGCCATAGATGTAGGCACAGATGTGTTGATCAAATTTGTCCGGCTGCTGGACCTACTGCGTGAGTAGTTGAATGATGATGGCGTGATGAATCCGGGCGAGCCATTGACTTGCGAATTTGGAAGTGTCAAGGGTACTTGGGGATGTCTAATGGTTGTGTCGCTGCGTAATCGCCGGGTAGGTGCAGTTGTTTCCCGGGTAGGCGTGACCAATGGCCTCAAAGGCCGTTCTGCTGGCGCCGAAGGACCCTTTTGTATTTCAGGAATGATTGGCTTGGACTCCAGAAGGGTTTTCTTGGCTGGTTGAAGGGAAACGTTGAGCCCAGCGCAAGCATTTCGTAGCTCCACCAAACTTCCATACATCATAAGCATCAATGAACGAACATACCGTGAGTCGGCATTGGAAACAATCTTTGCAGCACTGTTACGGAGCTGAGTTCCAACATGCGAGTAAGCTGCAATGCATGTTTCACATTCTCGTTTCACGGTCTCGTTCATTCCCCGCGTCGAGTCTTGATCGTCGGGTAGAAACGTCTCTGCATTCTCAAGAGCCTCGTTGAGCCGGTCAACATGAGTCGAGGCGTTGTAGAACACGAGCTCCAGACTATGACGTCTGGTGTCATCACGCTTGATCACATTTATTAAGGTGGAAATATGAGAATGGACCTGGAAGAGAGCGAATAAAATCCCCTTGGCGCTCTCGATGACTGGTCCGTCTGAGCCTCTTTCCCCCTTGTGTTCTGGAAGACTGGACATTCGATTGACCCAGCCATCTCGCGGTCGTCGACGGTCTCGAGGGCTGCTAGGACTTGATGAACTACTGCCACTGGCTGGAGCCGGCCCCGCTGGTCGTGGTCGAAGTACGGAACCATGGCTAAGACCTCGTAAATGACTGTTGCGATAGGCCCGAGTTTCATCAAGTGTCCCTAGATCTGTGTTCTTGCGGGTGATTACTCCCATGCGCTTGCTTCGAGCAGCAAATGATGCTTGGATTATGCCTTCACTATTGCTTCGGTTGCGTTCATTGATAAGTGGTGTCGCGCTGGGTCGTCGAAGGCTTTCCAGTTGATAGCTACCGCTTTGTTGACCGGAAGCCATGCGGTAGTGAGTTTTTGTTGCCGCCGGCATTCCTGCCCCTCGGGAAAGAGACGGTGATCGAGAAGACGCTGCTGAGCTATCGCCAGTACTAGGTATGACGGGAAAGCGACTGCTCAGTTTCCGCTTCACTGGCGCCGGCCGAGGTGTTTCAAATGACGAGCTTTCACTAATGGGGAGAGAGGTAAGAGAGGTAAGCTTTTTTGTTCTTCGCGGTTACCTGAAATAAGAGGTAACCTTACCTTGCATCTGTACTAAGCTCAGGTTCTGGAGTTGTTGCTTGTTGCCGAGTCTTTAGAAACCTCTTCAATTCTGCAGTAACCGCGACCTCCTTCTCGTTGTCTGTCATTGCCGATGGTGCCATGTCTGTCTCCGATGTCTCCAAGACACGTCGGAGTGGGGATCGCAGAGGATTTCCAGCAACTTTGAGAATCTGCAGCTTATTCATGTCAGATAAACCGACAGGAAGTTCATCGAGTCTGTTCTGCATAACAGAAAGCACTCGCAATGATTTCAGCCTGCTAATTTCATCAGGCAATATGCTGATTTTATTTCTACTGAGGTCAAGGATTTCTAGCAGGAGTAATTTGTACACCTAGGCACCATTAGCAAATAACATTTTTGACTTTGGGGGAAATGGGCAATTTCAAACGTACCCCTTTGGGGAATTCACGGAAATTATTAGCTCGAATATTGAGGTATCGGAGATGAGAACATTCAGCAAAGCGGTATGGAATATGAAACAGGTGGTTGTTCGAAAGAGAGAGCCTATATCGCAGAGTCAATCATCGTGTTGGTTTAGTTGATCGCCTCGCATGAGATCATAAGAGATCCTGAGCAACAAAGAGAGCCAGGGCGCAGATCAGACATACCGTTCCACTTCATCTTTTATAATATCCACAACAGGCTCCGGTATGCGAACGATATGTGAATGGCCCAGATCAATCGTCAATTTGGGCTTCACTACATCAGTGACTGCCTCGCTTCCCGCCAACGATCGTTTTGTGTCTTGGATCCCACTCTCGACAGCACGCTTGGCAAGCTCGATTGTTTCATCTTGTGTCAATGGTTTCGGACCGGACCCTCGTTTGCCAGTACTCTTAGGTGTGTCGCCCATGGCTGTACCAGGCCTGGACCCTTCTCCATCGAAACTTGGGAATCCTTCATTGTATGACAGTGGTGGCGGTACAAGGGAGTCGTGTGGCCCTTTTTCGTTGTCTTCATCCTCGGCTGGACTTGGGTATGACCGGGGACCGCGAATGGTGTCTTCGGGGCGATTCATTGTGGACATCATTGCTCGTCAGCGCTATGGTTATGCGCACTCGGTTTTGAAAGGGCGCCCAAGACCAAAATCCTCCAGTATTCGACCACTACCAGCAGGTGACCAGTACTTTCAGTCCAAGCATCCTCATTGGGGTAGGTGATTCCAATGGGTGGATCTGATTACGTTGTCGCGCGATTCAGGGCAACGCGGTAGCGTAGGACGTAAAACAGGAGAGCGAGCGATCAAAGGTACGTAGGTCTTCCGGTCGGGACGAAAGTTGAAGACTTGTAATTATCCAGACGAAAGTAGCAAGGCTGTCCGTGTATCACGAATGGTGCCTCGAAGATCGGACGGGTAAAACGCTCGAGGCAGAGGATCAGCAGCGACAGGATAGGAGGGGATCGGTAGGAAGAATGTTGTAATCGCGGAAGTAAGTCGGAGCTAATCGAAGGAAAATGTATACTATACAGTATGTGTACAACCTCTTTGCTCGGTGGTATTTAGAAGACAACGCAGTCCAGGCTGGAATGAAGGGAAGTTGGAGAGGCCGGAAGTGCTGTGATTGGGTGACACCCAAACCCCGAGCTTTTGGGATTAACGGCTTCGACTTAATTGTAAGTGTTTCACCTATCTGGCACGGCCCACCGGTTTGACTGTTCAACTAGAAACGAGAAACAAATAATCAGTACAAATCAGGAAAATAGAAACATGATAACGTTCTCTAAATTAATATCCCTTATAACATTAGTATTTGAAGATTCAATTAATATCTCTTTAGATAGGGCGGTGGACTACGGTCTTTGCTGTGTTATCATGTAGAGGAGTGGAAACCATGTTGTCTCCTTCAACGGTTTCAATAATACAGAAGGATGAATAGATGAATAATATAATGTACATGACCATATGAGGCAGAGTATCGAGGGACTAGATATAACAAGCGAATCAACGCGCAACGTATGCCAGACATGCAAAGGGCTTTGGTTAATTCTGGGTGAACATCTACTGTTCAGCCTCAGACTCTGGAACATCGAGGCTTGCAGTGTCCTCCTTGTCACCCTCTGACGCAAGCTCCGGGGCACCAGATAGAGCTGCGGCTCGTTGTCCAAAAATCTGTGACTGTAACTTGGCCCATTCCTTCCATTTCTCGTATTCTTTGTTCTCCAATTCCATACCAATGTCCAGGTACTTGGGTCCGAATTGAGCTCCGGTCGCCTCGGCTTCCTCCGCTGCAACTCGTCGCTCAATATCCTCCTGCAGGCGGAGTCGATAGAATTCTCGACGGGCAACATCGTAGGCGCTTTCCTTGGTCATGTCGGGAACGTTGTTCAGGAGCCAGAGTTGCCGTTGAACGACACTAAATAGAAAAAAGAAAATCAGCTACTGTACACAACCTACGAGCTTAGATGAGACCTGAAGCTGACCTTTCACCATCTAATCTTTTTCCAGGCTGTCGGAGGCGGCTCCAATCGTAATTCTCGTGGTCTTTTCCTGTGCTCTCAACAAGGACGCGAGGGCGAGCAAGTTCCCAAGGATGATCCTTGAAGAATTGTGTTCGCAGCTCGTCCTCCTCATATCTGACATGGACGGGCTGAAATAGGCGACTGGGCTTCTTAGATTTGCGGCGTTTTTCTTCGACCTCGAGCACGACCTGCGGCTGCGAGGATCCGGGGAGTGTCTTCACCCGCTGTCGGAGCAGCTGGTGCTGCGGGGGGCGGTTGCGAACAAGAGCTTCTGAAGGAGGAATATCACCGACGACATTGACCCATTGTGGCAGCTTGTTGATCTTTCCGCTGGCGAATTGGTTGATCGCGGTCTGTCGTACCCGAAGGGCTGTGAGGTTGATTTTGCCCATGATGACCTGGTGATCGGGGGATATCTACACACAGCCTAGAATGCCTGTGTAGACGCGATGCGTAAAAAATACAAAATTAAAGAATCAGTAATCCGGCCCGTGGGGCAATTGAAGGGGATGGCGCGCGTTTCTGATCGTGAAGAAGCAGAGGTTGAGCGGTGCGGGAGTCGAAAAAGATACGATTGGCAATACTGCGCGCCGATTGGCCAGCACGACTCCGCCGCAAAGCCAGAAGGTCCGTTCATCAAAAAAACACCTTCCTCTACTTCAATCCAACTCTCACTTTCTAATTCACATTTCTTTGCTTCCAAGGGCCGCGAAGGAGTCTCACTAGATTCTCGGTTCGGTTACCAAGCCTTTTCTGGGGACATGCAGCGCTGATTTGGTGCCACAATGTCTGCCATCTCATGCCTCATTCCATTAGGTCCCCCAGCTCGCCGAGCCTGCGAGATCCCTACAAACCGGCTCTGGATGATCCCCTCGTCTCTAAACCCAATTCAATGTCTCATCAGAGACTCCCTCTGTCCCGCCCTCCCTCTATTCGAACCCTCTCTACCCGCCGGTCTCGCCCTAGTGTCGCGTCAATAGCAGACGTTTTTGTTGGCTCGCTTGTCCTGGCCGGTTTCTGCCACGAGCATTCACCACGAGGCCGAGGCTTGTCAACAATATCTTTGGCGGCATCAGAAATCGATCGCCGGGGGTTCAGGAGGAAAGACAGGAAAAACCATAATGAAATCCCGTGTCGGAGGCGCTGGCAGTTCTCGGCGTTCTCGGTCCACCCGTCGCAACCTCAATCGCGGCTCGGTCACGGTTTAGCACAGGTGGAGGAAGTTCGCTCGGAGGGGCCCGTTGCTGAATTCACGAATATAGAGGGGAAAGAGGAGGAGGAGGATAGTTCCCATATGCTTCCAAGATTACCAGAAATCCCGGACAGCAAAACGCAACAATTCTCTGAAGACCATTATTTCGATACAATACCGAGCAACCTTCGATTGATAATCCCTCCGAAAGAAAATTTACATTATTTGATAAATCAAGACGACACAACAGAACCAGACATGCCAGAGAAACCGTCCCCCCGTCGAGACGAACGAGTACAAAAAGCTATATCCAGCCTACTAATGCGACATTTGGGTTGGAACTACAACTGGAAGAAAGTTTTCGATGCATTGGTGCCCAAACCAACGTTTGTTCGAAATGAAGATGAAACTCGTGATGCAATAGAGATTGCGTCGGTTGCTGCGCTTGTTGAAGCATTGCCTAGTCGGAAACAGTTCAGCGCACAGCAGCTTTTTAATTTATACAGGCAAATGCCAACCCCCGGAGTCGCTTATTTGTCCAAACGTTCGCGTGGCACACTTTTGAGACGACTTGCGATGCCTCCCAATCAACGCTGGTCAGACTCACGTCGCTATCTCGCATTGGTGAATGATATGATTGCAGCAGGCCATCCAATGTCGCTCTCTATGTGGACATCTGCAATCCACTTGGCTGGTCAGAGCAACAATGGAAAAGTTTCGAAGCGTCGGCTGGTTCAAGCTATTGGACTTTGGCAACACATGGAGCATTTCGCTGGAATTCGTGCTGACAACGTTGTATTCACCACTCTATTTGATACTGCCATAAAAGCCGGTCAATTTGTTGTTGCCAGCCGTCTAGAAGACGAGATGCACAAGCGAGGTATTCAGTTTGGACGCGAAGGGCTTGTATCGAAAATCCTCTACTACGGAATACAGAAAGATTCGGATGGGATCAGTGCCACTTTCGAGGCATTTACACAGTCAGGGGAGCTCGTTGATACTGTTGTGTTGAACGCTCTGATAGGATCTTTCCTTCGAGCCGGCGACGTTGAAACTGCAGAGCATTTGTACAAGCGAATGATGCATGTGCAAACCTCGAGGTACGGAGGCTCTCTGAAATCAAATGCTCGTTTTACAAACCAGCCTAGTCTCCGCACGGACTTCTCGTCATATCGAGCAGAGACTAAGACTCTTGGTCGTCTATTGAGAATGTCCACGCGACTCAAAAAAGATTTTCCTGCGGACCACAGTGCTCTTCAAAACTCTCTACCCATGACACCCGACACGCGGACTTTCTATATCTTGCTTCGTTATTATGCGCGGGAAGCCGGTGACCTTGACATGTTCATGAGCATTTTACGCGACATGGAAAGGACATTTGAGGTTCCACCCCGCCATGTAGTATACCTCTTTCTTTTTGAAGGGTTTGCTGCTCATGGACGCCGAAAGAAAGCATGGTCGGTGGAGAGACTTCGAAGAACCTGGCTTGGTTTCATAGATGCCGTCCGTGACTCGAGGGCCAGAGTTTTCGCATTTGACCTCAAGAACCCTTATATGACTTGGGAAAACCCGTTGGACAAAGAAGACCCTGTAACTGAGAACTCTGCCAAAGAAACATCCGACGACCGCAGCTCGTTTTATATCCAGTTGCCATCAACGAGTACGGAAGCCCACCACAATGCACCTGGACAAAGCTCAGCAGTTTCCGGCGACTCCCTTGAAACACTTGGAAACTCCGAGAGGGGTCAAGATTCCCAAGATAGCGCCAATGAAGAAGACAGTCACCCGAAAGAACATGCCTTCGAGTACGACATGGATGATCCAGATAGTTCTCTCAACCGCCAGGATATTGACCACGCAGCCAAGCGGCTTCAAAATGGCGTTTTTGTGGGACGACAGATGGCCATCGCCATTCTGCGGGCATTTGGCTGCTGCTGTGGTCCTCGAGCGGTCACGGAAGTCTGGTCACAACTTGAGCCAATGTGGAACTCTGAGAATCGCAAAGAAAGCGATACAGCTGCTGTGAAGGATGTGCTTGACCAAGAAATGTCTCGACCTCCACGACGCATGTAAGATATGATGGAGAGCCTGTGGACGATTGTGATTTTATATTTGTACATTACTACCCATTATATACCGATTCAATTCAGCGATTAATATATTTTACAAGGTCTTCAGTCTTCATCTAAGTAGGCTTTTGATACTAGTATCTTTAGACTCCTATCGGGTGTCCCAACATGCTTAATCAGTACGGAGTAGACGACAACATGGAAGCTTTATGATGGATCAGAACTGAATACGAAGAATGTGCTACAATGAGTTAGACGTGCATATCTAGCTGCATGGTTACAATATCGAACTCAGATTTCACGATAGATACATTGGGCAGATTAATTAATTGATTATTGAATAATATTTTCTATAAAATAATGCAATCAATTTTCACCTTGATGTAGGGGATCGTACCTCGTCACGTGAATTCGCGTCGGCCTTTCCCACCTAAAGACGCGTACGGCGCAATGCTTGCTCAAGTGTAATCGACAGGTCACTTTCACGTCTTTTTTTGGCTAGGAGAATCCACGTCCAAGTCTCTGCTATGCTGCCCAATGGCTGATAAAGGATCATTTACACGGCGCAGGCCAGATTTGGAATTTTACCTGCACCGTGTCTTTCGCAAAAAATCATTCCGGTAAGTGATGCAATTCATCTTGAGATACGTAGCTTGAGGCTAACGCCCCACTAGTCCTCTCCAGCGAGAAGTCATCAAGGCAGTCGTTGAAGGTCATGATGTCTTCCTCCAAGCATCTACATCCTTTGGCAAAAGCTTGTGCTTTCAGTTGCCAGCCGTAATTAGCAATGGGTGTATGGATCTTCTTCCCAGTTGCTACTTTCTGTAGCGGAGGGTTAACGTTTCTTCTACAGTGACAGTTGTGATTTGTCCTCTCCTCGCGTTAATGGTAAGAGATTCAATGTTGAATATGAACCCAGCCATGGAATATTTTCTAATAAGAAACAGATGGACCAAGTCAATGCTCTCAAAAATATAGGAGTGGAAGTCTCAACAATAAACTCCAACACAACCATAGCAGAGCGACGTCTTATTCTAGACGATATGCGCTCAGGGCATCCACGGACACGTCTTTTGTACGTAACTCCAGAGTTGTGTCAAACAGACAGCTTCCGAAGGAATCTTCAACTCGTACATCGTCAAGGACAACTTGCTCGTGTGGCCATCGATGAGGCCCACTGCATGAGTGAATGGGGCCATGACTTCCGTCCAGCCTACCAAGAGCTAGGATGGTTCAAAAAGAGTCTTCTCAACCCACCAGTCCCAATAACAGCTCTAACGGCAACGGCAACTCCTCGAGTTCGCACAGATATCATTAACATGCTAGGTTTAGATCCAACAAACCTCAAACTCTTCAATACCCCATCTGCCCGCCCTAACATTCACTACGAGGTCAGATATCTCGAAAATTACGAAGGGGATGAAAGCGCCCAAGTCGATAATCTCCTAGCATACATCAGAACCATCAAAAAAAGACGAGAAGCCCGTCTCGGCGTTCAGGAAGCCGCCCGCCAACCACCAATGTCGGGAATCGTCTATGTTGGCCTACGAACTGTATCTGAGCAGCTTGCATACCGGTTATCGCAAGACAAGAGTATCTCTGCGGTAGCTTATCATGCAGGTCTTGCGCCACAGGATCGAACTCGAATTCAAGCATTGTGGACAGAGCCCAAACAAGCGCCACAAACAGGTGACAAGCCAAGACCAATGTTCTCGATCATCGTCGCTACAAATGCTTTTGGTATGGGAATCGATAACCCTCATGTTCGCTTTGTAGTGCACTGGACACCGCCGCGAAGCTTTGAGGGATTCGTTCAAGAATCGGGTCGAGCTGGTCGAGACGGGCGCGCAGCTGCCTCTCTTGTCTACTATAATTTGAATGAGCGTGATCGTATCATCGATCGTATGAATCGGGATACGGAGAATATGCGAAATCGCGGAGGACCGAAGGACGTTATTGCGAGTCTGATGAAGAATCAAGAGGCACGCATGGATAGCTTTAAGAAGGTCGTGCGATATTGCGAGAGCGTGACTAGGTGCCGACATGATCTTATTAAGGATCTATTTGGAGACTTTGAGCTGGAGGAAATGGGTTCACAGCAGCCACCTTCCTCACAGGCAGCCAGAATGGATGGTTTTGGAGGACCATGTTCTACGCCTTGCAACTATGCTTGTGATTTTTGCAAAGAGGGTCGCGTGTCTTTGGGAAAGCGCAAAAGGACGATGTATGCATCTGATTATATGATTGACGAGGGATATGTTTAACAGTAAGGAGTGATGTTATTTACGCCGGACGATCATCGTGTCCAGGCCTTTTTTCGCCCTTTTTGCATCCTGCATGAACCTAACAAGCTTGCATGGTTTTACTGTATAGTATGGTTTTTGATTATTACTCACTTAGGGGCCATCCATGTATATAACCCACTGGCATCTGAAATGAGTGTATATTAACAATTAAGTGAAAATCTTTCCTGTGATCCTATAATATGAGTATGTCCAGTTCAGGTTTCATGGAATGAAAAAGGATAAAACAAGACCTCGTGAGGGAAACCTGTTCCCAGGCCCTCTCAACTGAGGTATATGCCGCCGGACTTGCCTTTTGAACAAACCTGAAGAGACACCGATCAAATTACAAGAAGGAGAGAAAGATAGAAACTGCTATTTAGCATAGAAATCACAACCCATAGAACTTGCACTAAAAATCAAGAATCGCTTTATCCTTTCTTCACATTTGAATGATCAAGACGAAACTTGCCATTTATTTTTCGAGCTGCCAAAGAGGCGCATTTTTTGTCCTGCCCCAGAACTAAAGACCAGGTGGGGGAGGAACCTGAGTAAATCAAATCAGCTATCTCATCCCAAACGCTATTCAATCCAGTGAAGAGTTGTGACTTCATACCGCAGTATAGCTGCCTCCGCCGGGCGGAGGAGGAGGTGATCCAGAACCTGGGGGAGGAGGTGGAGGAGCTTCGCTAGCTGGCGGGGGAGGAGGGGGAGCTGCCGCCTCCGTCTGTTGTTGTTGCTGCTGCTGGGCGGCAGCAGCTTGCTGGTAATACTGGTAGTATGCCACATAATTCTGATACCCACCATAAGCAGCGTAGGGGTCAGTAGCTCCGTAATACTGCTGAGCGTACTGAGCACTGTAGTCAGCCATGCTAGCTGCGGTAGCGCCTGCTGCGCCCGGAGTGGTGGGACTAGCAGCCGCAGCAGGAGAATGGTGCTGGTGCTGTTGCTGTTGCTGGTAGTCATTACGGCGGTTATAGCCACCGCCACCACTACGGTCACCACGATCACCACCACCGTGATACCGGTCACCGCGGTCGCCACGGTCACCACGGTCACCGCGATATCCTCCATAGTTATGCTGGGGTGGGTTATCTTTGAAATTCTGATACTGCTCCTTGACGTTACCAAGGAGGTCGAGGCAAAGCTCCTTAGCAGCCTGGACATCGTTCGCGTCCGGTCCCCTGTTATAGTAAGTTAAAATTGTTTCATCACAAAGTGCAGTATTGATACTTACGCGACATGCAAAAACATGGCTTCGTCGCTTTCTCTTCCAGTGCTAGATTCAATGAAACCAGAACCACGACCCTTTATCTGGACACGACAACGGGTCTTCTGCTGGATATGTTTGACGTAAGCACCACCTTGACCGACAACCTGGGCACGAAGGTTGAACCCAGGAATAGGTTCAAGGTCAATTGGAATACGCTCATCAGGCCATTTGCGCTGTACCACATTAGTTGAGTCTTTCATTATTGTTTCTGGTCAGAGCAGACACTTACACGGCCGTACTCATCCCGCTCAACGGGAGTCTCAGGCTCTCGACGGCGGAATCTACGCTCATCAACCAGATTTGGGAGTTCCTTTTGAATAAGGTCATCAATGATTTGGACGGCTTTCTCAAGACCCTCCTTTGTAGTGCTGGTGATGTGAAGAAAGAGAGGTGGGTTCTAAAACGATCAGCATTCAGTTTCATATTTCTGTGAATTGAAAGAGCATGACTTACCGCGGCAGTCGACATATTTTTATCGGGGTAATAACTTCCTCGAGTCGTGACATCTTGTAGAAAAGTGAGCAATATGCCTCTTTAATAAGAAATAAGAAATAGGCAAGGAGGCGTACCAGCGCCGGTTTCATCTTTAATCTATAAATCACGCAGTGGAGGTTAGCAGATGCAGCAGAGGGAGTTTTGGATGCTATGCGTTTAGTTGGTCTTGAGTAAGCTTTATCCAACCAGACAGGAGACATTTAGATAAAAGGGGCAGGTTCAAGGGGAGATATTCCAAGGTGTCTTTCTCGTCCATAAAGAAACAAGTCTGGAAGATCAGCGGAATGGCAACAGGAGAAATTTACCATTTGTTGAGTAGAACCCTTGGTTAGGGTGTAGCGGTTGCGTAAATCATTGATTTCGACATCCTTGATATAGTCTCCATCTGTGACATAAACGTCCTTGCTGGAGCCGTCTGCGCCGGCCTCATCGGATTTCATACCAGGGCTCTCGGTCTATGAAGGCACATGAGAATTTATTCAAGTAGATTCGAACAAGAGAGGGTATTTACCGTGCGAATAGGGGGAACATCAACATGCTGGATGCCCTTCTTTGCCTGCAGCTGAGCATTGATTTTGGCGGCGGCAGCAGCTGTTCAGAATGGTAACAAATTGTCAGCGATCTGAAGAGATGAAAGAACTCAGTAACGAATGTGTATGGAGCCACCTACCTGCGGCTGCTGCTGGATCTGAGACAGCTGGTTTCGACGGTCCATCTTCTGCCGGGCTGCGAGCCTCACGACTCAAAGGGCTTCGAGTGCGGGTGGATTCCGACTGTTTCGCGGAGGGAGATCGCGAACGACGATCGAATCGTGAACGACGGGGTTCAGCTTCGGTTTGGTCAAAGCGGGAGCGCTTGGCGCGGCGGTCGTCATCGGCCATGGTGGAGTATGCGAATAGCCTAGCGGTAAGTGATGGAGGTGAGAAATGCGAATAAGTCTCCCCCCATAAAAAAGTCCAGATCAATCTCGGGAAGGTGATATCGTTTAAAGGAGATAGAATGTGAGGTGAAACCAAAACAAGAAAAAGGATCAAGTGAAAGCCCCAATTCCTGGCTGAAGGTAGATTCCAAAGGTCGGCCCGTGAAAATGCCAACAAAGAAAAGAGAAGAACCCTAGCACTTCTTGTTGGATTTTCCCAAGTCTGCATCTGATACAAAGCGCCTCGAGACTAGGCCGCTCTAGGTCATGTGACCGTGCAGGGCTATTAGGCTAATACTATTGAAGACTAGTGTAAAATGACTCAGCACTGGCCGAGGTCGGAACTAAATCAAAAAGAATCCGGAGAGTCTGGAGGTGATTCATCGTACTATTCTTTGGTGTTACTGAACTCCTAAGATGGCTTTCAGGCACCCATTGGCGCTGTCTGCGACAGCAGCGTCGACCCTTTCTTCAACTGCAGCTGCTGCCCGGTCTCGCACCGCTACCGCTCTGCCCCGATTCACCACCATCCGTGCCTCATCCAGCTCGACGTCTGCTCTGGCCTACAAGGCATTGCACCGTCGTTCTCCTCTCCCCTTGCCAGTCAATGAGACTTCTTCCCAGTGGGATGCTCCTACTGCCGTCTCGTCGATTCTCTACGAGACCCCCGTGCCTCCTTCCAACCCCCCTAAGCGTCATGTCCTGAACTGCTTGGTCCAGAACGAGCCCGGTGTTCTGTCCCGTGTCTCTGGAATTCTGGCCGCCCGTGGCTTCAACATTGACAGTCTGGTCGTCTGTAACACTGAGGTTGAGGATCTCTCCCGTATGACCATTGTCCTGCAGGGCCAAAATGGTGTCGTCGAGCAGGCTCGTCGCCAGCTTGATGACCTTGTCCCCGTCTGGGCTGTTCTGGACTACACCGACTCCGCTCTTGTGCAGCGTGAGTTGCTGCTCGCCAAGGTCTCTATCCTGGGTCCTGAGTTCTTCGAGGAGCTTCTCCAGCACCACCGTGAGATCATCACTCCTGGTGAAGAACTAGGCAAGAACCAAGTCTCCTCCGAGGTTGAGTACCACCCTCGCAACCTGCCTCTCAGCCAGGCTCTCCGCCACAAGCACGAGCACTTGGATGCTATCACCCGCCTGACTCACCAGTTCGGTGGTAAGGTTCTGGATATCTCTAACAACAACTGCATTGTTGAGGTGTAAGTAAATCGAATTTCTATGGCTTGCTAGCATTTTACTAATTTGAATTCTGTTTAGGTCTGCCAAGCCCAGCCGTATTGACTCTTTCCTCAAGCTGGTTGGCCCCTTCGGTATCCTCGAGTCTACTCGTACCGGTCTCATGGCCTTGCCCCGCTCTCCTCTTTCTGAGCAGAGCGAGGAGATCGAGAAGGACGCCGCCGATGTCGTCGACGCCAGCACCCTGCCTCCCGGTTAAATCGATTGTTTCCATCTTCCAATCTAAAAACATACATACCCAATATGATGGTTCTCCGTTGTGCACTGCTAGCTTCCCCTGGCTTCTGTCTTTAATTATTTCGAGGTTTATTATCAACATGTAAAACGAATCATATCTTTCACCGAGTCTTTCCCTCTTTGACATAGATACACTTGGTACCTAGAGATAGATATACGTGCTGCTGAAACAAATGTTCACTCTGATTCTAGGTCAAATTTACTGATAAGCTTATCCAAGATATCGAACTCTATCTATGCAGTTGAGACAAGGCAAGCAATCATTTAACCCGCAATGACCACGGCAATAAGCAAAATGCCGCCGGTCATATATGCATATCTATTATAATTTTGTTTTGTTTTTGTACAATAAAAACCCGAAATTCCCGAAATAAGCCAGCATCTTAGAATCTGACCTTCGCCTCGATTCCTTTGCCCCGGTAAACGACGTGATCCTCATAATCGCCTACTTTAATTCCGACCTTGGCCACCGTATCCATCGCCAATGACTGGCCCAAAGCTCGACGCAGAGCATCATATGCACCTCCTCCGAGGACCAGATCAACTGGAAGGTGCGGCGACTGTGATAGACCTGGCAATACGTTGAATGTTTCGTTGTAGTTGATTCGGCCGACTGGTTTGTTTTCATCATAGAAAGCAATCGCGTGGATGGAAGTAATCCCAATGGTAGTCGAAGTCAATGGGGAGAAGAGGGTGAAGTCGGCTGTTGAAGACCAGATATGGACCTTGAGAGTATCAAAATATTAGCATAAGACGATGTTCAAAGGCGTGTGCTTTTATAGCGGGGCTATACCGTTGCATCTTGGATGAAGTGCGGGTGGCTAGAGTCGCTACTGTCACCGTCATCGTCATCCGGTGTTGATATTTTAGGAAGTGGGACCTCAAATTGAATAGAGGACAATGCTTTTCCAAGTTCTGGGAGAGCAGGAATACTTCCTTTGTATGTTTCAATTGTGACGCTGGTGTTGTCGCCTATTAAAACACGTTAGGTCATGAGGGTTCGACGCGCGATGTCCAGTTTGAGAGCTACCTGAAATGAAGGATGATATGAGGGCTCTTCCAGCTTCTATCCCGTTAAAACCACCATTTCCTAGTGGGTTCCACCACACTTCTATGGAAGCATTGGTGTTATTGCCAGGGACGAGAGAAAGATTCCGCGCAACGACATGGCCGACAGCTGTGCCATTGTATAAGACTCGGGCATCAGCAAATGGAACAGTTGCTGAATATTCCGTGGGGTTTGTAAAGTTGACAACAGTCAACATAGAGAGCGAGGATTGATTGGTCTCGCCTACTTCTAAAGAGACAATTTGGGGGTTCAAATGCTCAATAGAATTGCCCGACGGGACTATTAAAAAGTCAACGACAAAAACCCGAAAACATTGTAGAATTTGTACTATCTAATTCACGAAAACATACTGTTCACAGGAACATCCCCATCTGCAGGGATCCCACGAATGGCAAATCGGCCCAATCCAGTTGAGACCTTTGCATCTACATTCGCAGCGACATGCAAAATAATCGCCTTGCTACCAAAAAGCATGTCTTGGACCAATTTCGACAACAAGTCATTATCAGTCACCTGTAGTGGTGCATCCTCAATATCAAATTTTACAAGTAGCGCCGAGTCACCATCTATATCTTCCACTATAGTGGAGTTAGCATCTTGCCATTTGTCAATGTTCAGGTTACCGAGCTGTTCGCCCAAGTAATAGACATCTGTCAAGGCTCGGACACGAGGAACTTCCACAGAAAGGTTCATTTCCTCTGGAAGTGAAATGAGAACATTCACGACCCCAGAAACAGTGGGCTGCGCATCTGGGCTGCCGGGTTCAGCGAATGGGTTTGGAAGAGAGAAATGCGTATCGGACATAGTGAAATTCTTCACCAGATTGTCCAACGCAGTATTAGTGAAAGGTAGAGGAATGGTGACGCTGCGAAGAAGGTCCACCATCCAGTCTGGAGCTTCAGATGATGATGGCGCATCTGCTCCACGGATATATAGTGTTGTTTCCAGTCCTTTGATGTAGCTGGAGACCAAGAAGTCCAGTGGAGAGGCTTCCTCGCCAGGACAGGCGGTAACCAGCTCATCAGGAAGTCTCTTTACAACGCCTGTAAAGTTCACATTGGTGACTTCATTGCGCTCTATATTGATTGCACCCGTCTCTGCATTGGCCGCCAAAATATAAGGGTCTCCCGGCGAGCAATTGGGTACGAGTATTTCGAATCCAAGAGCAGGAATTGTCAGGGAAACCGGCGAGTGGAGCATTGCATTTAATGAAGCATCGACTTCCATGGTCCTGTTCTCGCCATCGTGGACGTTTAGTTGAACAACCTTGATGTCTGGCAACGGTGGAAAGTCTTGTTCTACTTCCAAATTAGTCAACCTGATAATTGATAATTGAAGAATGTACCCACCTTCAAATGTGACTGTATCTGTTATAACTTGAGTTCCCAGCCCGATCAGGCCCGACTTCAAGTGGAGTGTTGCCTTTCCCCTTACTCGAAGACGATCTAATCTACCTTCTACCCAGTCCATGGCAATCGCGTGAATTCCCTTAACGTCTCCAGCCGTCAAGTCCGTCAAAACGTCAATCTTATTGTGATGACCGTTCCGAATGTTCAGTTTGATGTTCGGTATCGTTGCGTTGCCAATCAACACGTTTCCATACTCCGGTAGGTAAACCTCGAGTTCGGACTCGCCTGTCTCGACCTCTTTTGCGATCCATGTCATGAAGCGGCCGATGTTTCTAATCGATGCACTCTGAATGCGGCTCGAATCCATGACAAATTCACCTTGAACTCGGGCACGAACCCCATCAGGAGTCGTCGAGTCAATGGAAAGTGTACCAGGCTTAAAGACAGCAGCCCCCTGTCCATACTCTTTCATCACGGCCGGCGCGGCGAATGCACAGACCAGAATAGCCAAGACCCCAGTAGTTAATAGTGCAAGTGAGATTATTGTTGGCCATCGTACCCGGCTCTTCTTAACGGGCGCATTCGAGAACCCTCCCTCATGAGACACAATAGATGGCGATATAGATTGCCTGTCTTCTGTCTCGTAAGATCTTTCTCCTGCTCCACGCGATGTTTCCCCGGTCTCGTATGTTCCTTCTAGCGTGCCATATGATCTATCTTGAGACCCATAGGACTGCTCTTGTGACCCAAAAGATTGTTCTTGTATTCCATGGGATCTTTCTTCGGTGCTGTTTGACGCTTCTCCTGTCTCAGAAACTATTCCATCTGCCCCAAAAGCTATTCCATCTGTCCCAGAAGATCTTTCTCCTGATCTATAAGATCTCTGTCCCGATCTAGATGATCTTGCCTCTGTCCCAAATGCTACAGATTGTCTTGATTCTGTTCCGTGAAACGTGGTATGAGATTGAGATTGGGTGGATTCGGACCGACTAGAAAGGGTGAAGTGATCATCACGACGCAGCAGGGGTGTGGATTCAGAGGACAGCACAAAAGACCGATGTTGTTGATGAGCACCTGGGGTCAGGTCGGAAGAGGACCTGCCCTCTTCATCCAGCAAAGGCCGACTTGCCTCGTCAGCCATCCTGGCCGAGGAAATTCAAGTAGATTTCAGGCGTAGATGTAGGTATAGGTATGGTTTATGTCCAGCCCTCTCGTGCGGTGTTGGGGCGATGAGTGATGTAACTCGGCTGAGGGTGGATAGCGGGAATGACGATAAGCATCCGATGAAGATGCCGCTTTGCTGCCTTATAGAACAGGCATTCAGGCTGCAGGTCTTAACTAAATTCCGCTTGTCATGGGAATTTACGTATATTTAGCATCTAGAAAACCCTCTACGCGAGCTACCGAAGATACTGTGATCACAGAACAAATCAAGAAATTTCGGTCATTTATACCTATTGCCCATCCAGTTTGAGCTTCTACTCAATTGCCGTGACTCCACTCTTTAAATGCTTATTCTGCCGCCTTTACCGCCCAGTCTGGCTACGGGAAAAGATCCTGGTCATATTTAAGCTTTACCGCCTTTACACCGCTACATGTACTGTAAGATCTGTACATGGACGATTGTTACGCCACTGTAGAAAGACAAGTGGAAAGATAGATAGATAGATAGTCTTGGAAGTGGGTATCAAAATCAAAGCTTTTAAAATAGTAGCATCTGTAAATGAATAAATTTCTTTCAGAATTATAAGAATGCAACTAACAGAGAACTCCAGAAGACCTTAGAGAACGTTTATATCTTGAGATATCGAGGCTAAAGGTTGTCACTGTATTACAGGTAGTGTGGTTTCTGCCGGTCTAAAACTGGCCAAACTCTGGCGCACATCTGCCTCCGGATTTTGACCTGTTGAGTCATTGGCCATTCTCTCCACAGTCCCTGGGTGCCATTTCCCTCTTCCCGCTCTTCCCAATTGCATCTGCATATACCCTTCGCATCATAATATCCCCCTCATAACATTGCCCATCATGGCTAGCGGTCTCAAGGCTGCTGCCCGTTATGGCACCCAAAGTGTATTGGCCGGCTCTACCTCTTCCCTGCGAACATTCCAGGCTAATGGACTCCGACGATTTGCCCACCAGACACAAACTTCTCCTGCTACCTCTCCCTTCGCTCCTCGTCACCTCCTCTCCATTGCAGACTTGACCCCGACCGAGTTCGCAACTCTGGTTCGCAATGCTTCTTCCCACAAACAAGCTATCAAGTCTGGGGCTATTCCCCAGAGCCTCTTGGGCTCTTTGTCCGGCAAAACCGTTGCCATGATGTTCAACAAGCGCAGCACCCGTACTCGTGTTTCTACTGAAGCTGCCGCCGTTCAGATGGGCGGACACCCCATGTTCCTCGGCAAGGAAGACATTCAGCTCGGCGTGAATGAGTCACTATACGATACCTCCGTTGTTATTTCTTCAATGGTTTCCTGCATTGTCGCACGTGTCGCCAAGCACTCTGACGTTGCCGATCTGGCTAAGCACTCTACTGTCCCCGTGATCAATGCCCTCTGCGATTCGTACCACCCTCTTCAGATTATCGCCGACTTCTTAACTATCTACGAGTCTTTCACACCCAAGGCGCACGGCCTTTCCAGCTTGGGCCTTGAAGGTCTTAAGATTGCTTGGGTTGGTGACGCAAACAACGTTCTCTTCGATCTGGCCATTGGCGCTACTAAGATGGGTGTCGATGTGGCCGTTGCTACTCCCAAGGGCTACGAGATCCCCTCGGATATGCTCAAGGTCATCCAGACCGCTGGTGAGGGTGTTCCTTCTGCAGGCAAGCTTACTCAAACCAATGTTCCCGAGGAGGCTGTTAAGGATGCCGATATCCTGGTTACTGATACCTGGGTCTCCATGGGCCAGGAGGAGGAATCAAAGAAGCGCATGAAGGCCTTCGAGGGTTTCCAAATCACCGCCGATTTGGCTAAGCGTGGAGGTGCCAAGGAAGGCTGGAAGTTCATGCACTGCCTGCCCCGACACCCTGAGGAAGTTGACGATGAGGTCTTCTACAGCCCGCGCTCCCTTGTTTTCCCCGAGGCGGAGAACCGTCTGTGGGCTGCTATCTCGGCTCTTGAAGGCTTCGTCGTGAAGAAGGGCAAGATTGTTGAGTAAAAAATGGGAATGCGATGACCAAATGGAGGTCAAAATTACCCATGGTTCCTTGGTTCGTCACGGAAGAGCAATGACGTTTTCGGGATCTATGACTTTTCATTCTTCGGACTGTAATTATTCTATGAAGCTTAAAAAAAACTTACGATCTATGACCACAAAGACATCTGTCGCCGTCCCTTCCGTTGCAGGGCAAACTATATAAAGTAAGCGAATTACGAGCCTGCTGATTGGTTCAAAGTTCGGCAGGCTCGGCATTTCTTATCTTTAAAATCGATATCCGGTCTCTATGCTAGTAGATAGTGTCCATCCGAAATATGGTGGGGCTTTCGGAAGCTTGTGTATGGGCTACATAGCGGGGCTTCCGATCGCATCAAGGAACTTCAGGTGTTGAACAGGTTCTAACTCATGTTAATATTAAATTGAAACGGAAATTGTGGGGTTTCCGCATCTATTTTAATGATCATTGCCTATAGAGCATATAAATCTCATCTAGTATGCTGGAGTTAATAGACATTAGCGCATGATTGGGAAACTGAATACAAAAATTCTCCGGTGGCACTTGAGCCTCTTCTTGTGCAGCGATCAATGCATAAGGTATAGTACAGAGACACACATATACGATATTCCCTGACATCCGGCATCTCAGAACCGAAGGTTTAATGATTTCTCAAGATCGACCGGGAAATCCGCTCCCTCCAAACTACAATGAAACTCGGAAGAGCTAGTCATGGCATAACCCCACACTCTCTCCACCTCCGAAGGCCACTTCCACCAAGTGCTTGATCGGATCTGGATTCGTCACAGCGGGGAGATGCCGACATCCTTGGAATCCCTCCAACTACATATAACTCACCTCTGAGCATCATCAAGTCTCTTCATTCATATTTCTATCATTGCATAGTCATTGTCTTATAGTGTTTCTTCTACTTTATATCCAGCTTTGAACCAAGTCTGTCTATAAGCATTTATAATCTCCTCCAATATGGGTTTCGAAAACAAGCGAATCGCCATTGTCGGCGGTGGTCTGGGAGGCATGTCCTTCCTGAACGCCTCTCTCTACGCAGGATTAAAGAATGTGCAGCTCTACGAGCAAGCCCCTCAATTTGGCGAGGTCGGCGCCGGCGTCAACATCACATCCAACGCCAACCGCGTTCTTGATGCATTCGGTCTGCAAGAGAGCATGACAGCCAAGTCTTCCCGACAGCTCCCTTGCTACATGGAATATCACAGCTACAAGGACGGTGAATATCTGGGCCACATTGAAGAGTTTTCTTATCCGCCAGCTCGTCTCCTGCACCGCGCTCATCTACTCGACTCTCTCAAGGAGCGTGTGCCCCAATCCAGCCTGAACTTGGGCAAGCATCTTGCCTCTGTTGATCGCAATGAAGGCAATAGTGCTGCTCCTTACACTTTGCACTTTGAGGATGGTAGTACCGCAGATGCTGATATTGTTATTGGATGCGATGGCATTAAGTCCAATGTTCGTCGTGATATGGGCTTTTCTGACTCTCCAAATTACTCTGGCCAGGTTGTATACCGCGGCTTTGTTGATTATAAGGACTTGCCGGAGGAGACTGCTCAGCTCCTTCGAAAGACTGTTAACTTCCGTGGTCCGAAACGCCATGTTCTGGTCTTGCCTATTGGTAACAAGGAGACTCAAACAGACCGTGCGGCTGTCATTGGATTTATGTCGGAGCCCCTTGAGGCCTGGGACTCAGAGAGCTGGATGTCGCGCTCTGATATTGATAGTCTCCAGGAGCATGTTCGTGACTGGTGTCCCCAGGTTCAGGATATTATTGCTGGTTTGCGCAAGGGCTCGCCCGATGGAAAGATGTTGAAGCAGGCACTATATGTCCGTGATCCGTTGGATCATTGGTACGAGATGAAGAAGAACCAAAAGGACGCTGGTATCATTCTTCTGGGTGATTCCGCTCACTCGACTCTTCCCCACCAAGGTATGATTCTCTTGTATATTGTGTTTTATTTTGTTTGAAGAACTCCGCTGATATCTTGGAAATAGGCCAGGGAACTTGCATGGCTATTGAATCTGGTATTGCACTTGCAACCATTCTTCGTCACTGGAAGAATGATAATCTGCAAGAGGCCTTCGCTTTCTATCAAAATCTGCGCAAGCCTCGCACAGACAAGGTCACACAGACCAGCTCTGAAGCGGGAAAGCTGGCTAGCTCAGACTCGCCGGATCAGATGACTCAAAACTTCAACTCCGAAGTTCTTGGAGAACGTATGAAGTGGATCATGGAGTATAATGTGCTGGAAGATCTGAAGATCAAGGGCGCCGAAGTCCTGGACTTTCATGACTCTCGACTGTGAATAGTGACGGATGAAGATTATTTTTCAAACGTAGATAATATAACCTTTTGTGTATAAATCAAATATTTCTCTTATAAAATGACCCATAGGAGATAAAATAAACTCAAACATTGAGCTTCCAATGGATCTGCACATGGCATTTCCAACACTGCTGTGGGTATGACTACAGTAGTACTATAGGAGGGGATTGCTGCCAACGAGCGCAAGTGATTCAAGTTTATATCAGGAGATTTTTGGCCACTGTGACCAACAATTAATAAATGGGTATTTGAATCATTTGTTTTAACATTACATCACGATCATGATATGATCTTCAATCTGAGTTTCTTGGTGGTGCCATCCATACAAGTTGGCAGGACGGGCGGGATATGGATATAGTTCGGCTATTTGAACACGACTAGGCTCTACATATTGAAGTCCAGCTCAATCTAAAGCCCAAATCGTTGTTTCAACCCCCCCAACACTCATACAGCCAGATTAAGAACCTAGAGTATTCATGAATTAGCCTTTTATTTATATTCACATATCCACCGGGCCCCCATCTAGATGCTCGGTCAATTGAAAGTGCACGGTCATTTTCACATGCCAGCCGCACGTGCAACGCCTCCGCATCTTCAAGTTGAACCTTCAACTTCTACTCATCGACCAATTCCCAAGATTCCAACCATCTGAAGGTCTAAGCCGTAATGGAGGTAAGTTTCTTCTCGACCCATCCCAAAAAAGATTTCATCTTACCAATAGGACCCCCCAGTTCCACAACACAGGCAGCTTTCCAAAGCGCCGCTCCTACCCCAACCTCCGCCATATCTCCCTCGCTCCACTTACTCCACGATTCCCCATCGACGATGATATAGATCAAGCAGACTATTTCAACTACCACGCTGACGAACCAAATTCAGCAGCCGGCAACAGAACACCAACGCGATCGTCCTATCTTTCCAGCATCTCAGTCCCGAGCACACCACCTATTCTCTCCCACTCACGAAGCACATCACGAGCGCGTCACCACACCCGAAGCAAGAGCTCAACTCGCGCGGTCCCAGCAAGCGATACAAATCTATTGAACCAGCATGTTTCCTTCCCACTTCATCATGCAGGACCTAAGAAGCGATCCAACGCAGCAACAACCACCCACTCAGCTAAATCCGATGCAGAATGGATGCTCCGCGCTGGGATAGCACTTGCCTCGTCCACCCGCGAAGAAAAAGGTCAAAGCTGGCTATCTAAACGTGAGAGCTCGACAAATCTCGTTTCTGAAATACCAAGCGAAGACAATAATGCTCCACATCACCGACACCACCAGCGCACTAAATCCGGTGCATCATCGCGGAAATCCCGTTCCGGTGCTTCAACACCTGCATGGTCCCGCGCTAATAGTCGTCGTGGAAGTCGTGTCGGGTTATCAATGACTACTATCCCGCCTGTATCATCTTCTGCTGCGGGGAGAATCCACAGTCCCAGCGCTACGGGCGTAGTGACACCCGAAGTTCGGGGCCGAAGTAGCGGGAGTGGAACGGGACTGGTTCCAGATTTCGTGGATGAGAAGATCCGTGCTGAGATGGAGTCGTTACAGGAGCGGGATCGGGAGGGATTAGCTGTCGGTGGTGAGGGTGCATGGGATGAGGAAGAAAGCGAGTCGGAGTATGATTATTTCTCGGATGAGACGCAGGAGGAGTTTGATGAAGCGGATTTGCAGCTTCTTACGCGGGAGCGCGGATTTGGGCTTGGAGGATGGATTGATAGGCTGGTCGAGTGGACTTTGTTCGGGGTGGATGAGTTACCTGTTGTGCCTTTGTCGACTGGGAATAGGATTGGTGCTACTGCTACCACTACGACGGTTACCTTTGAGGAACCCGTGTCTCGGGAAGATCAGGGCGACGAGAGACATGATTCCTTGTCGTTGCATTCTGAAGGAGATCGATATTCTTTATCTGATGATGCTGATTCACTTTCCTATACGGATGGTGAGTCTGTTGTTGGTCTTGAGAAACCTGGTGGAAAGGGTGGGTGGGAAGATGCGAGCTGGTTGTTTCGGGTTGTGAAGCGAGCATTAGTTTGATTCAGCGAGAAAAGAGCGTTGCTATGTTTTCTTTACTTTCTTTCTTTATACACGTATAAACCTGCATATCATTTGAAGGTTCACAAGTCTCTAATATCATGAATTCACGTCATAAGTCAAGTTTCGGATTATCCAGTTTGAGTTTCTCTTTAATTATGAGTTTTGAATATATTTAACGGGTTGAAATATTTTCGTATTTCGAATAAGCTACATATGTATGTAGACGACAGTTCTCTAAGAACACCCCAGCTGTATGTGAAGAGCACTCCGCCCGCATAGCACAAGATATTTTCGACAAAGTATCCAGTTAATCTATAAAACGAGCATTGGAATGGCGCCAACACGAAGAAGGGAAAGAAAATAGTCGCCCGCGTATTGAACGTTGTGCCTGGAACAGAAGCAGGACAGAACAAATGCAAGAGCCATGCTGAGATAGAAGAGGCGTAAAAGCAAGTTGGCAGGAGACGAAAATTGACAAGAAAAGAAGAACACGAGGGAAAAGAACAAAGACGGGTGTACAGGACTCCAGGTAGCGCCGGAAAATAGAAACTTAAGACAAGAAGGGAGGCACGCCATTGGACATTGCAATGAAAAAGCACAAAGGAAAAGAACGAAGTGGGTAGAAAGATCGAGCCAAGCCACAGGAATACCCCGTGGGGGAAGACGATGAAAGAAAGTTTGGATGTAAAGGAATGCGGGTGAGTGCGTTCATTAGATATTGGAGAAAAAGCCGAGGTTGAGACGAGATCATTGTCCAATAAATCAAATTTACGGAGAAAAAAGAAGAAGAAAAAAAAAATAAGGGAAACAGTAATTGTCGGTAATTCGCCTTTGCATAGTATAAACGCCAATCTGAGACCATGTGGGATTCTCTAAAGGTCATGCAGTAGGTATCGTGATCGTGGCATGCGTGGTATTGTGCGGTTCGTAGTTGATAGCGGACGAACCGCTGGGGAGGCTCACGGTGGAGTCAATGCGATGTTTTTGAGTTGCAGCTCGATGAGCGCGATGTTGTCGTTGCGTAAAAGGGTCCTCAATCGTTGGTGACCGAGGGTTGGATAGTCGTGATCTTTATGAGTCACCATTTTCACCAGGGTCCAACTTTGACTGGAGTTCCCAAGCCATAAGTGCCGGAAAGAAGCTGGTCCCGTATGGAACCAAGATCATTACCGCCAGGGCTATTATGAATCTGAGAATCTGGTCCGTTCATCCATCCCAGGTTGGACCCGAGTTCATTAATTGCTCCTTGCAGTTTTCCTCCCGAGGTTTGGTTGTGCTTGGCCAGTTTCTGGTCCCAACCTCCATATTGAAGTTGAATACCTCCTCCACGCTTAGCTGCTTCTCGGATCACCAGGACCCAGGCCTTGCAGATTTCATCGTATGCCGAGTCCCGCTCGATATTGTTCTGTGGTGTGCTCCAACGAGGCAAGGCGTGAATAATATCGGTTGCTCCGTCCAGATAGCTCAAAGAGACGGAAGGCTGAGGCTCGTTGGGAGGAAGGAAGTTAGGGGTGAAGTCGCTTAGAGCCTCGAGGAGGTTGGTGAGTGGCTGTCGAACTCGGTTATATGCGTAGTCGGATTCTGTACTGCCACCCAACGGGAACGAGGACTGCAGAGTAGCCTGGTAGTTTCGAAGCACCTGGAGGGTGCTAGAGACGCTGGGTCGGGGAGAGGTTTGGGCAACTTCGTCGGCAAGCTGGGGGTGGCGCTCACACATGGTCCGCACCACCGACCGTAAGGCATCGGTGTCCAGGGTCTCTAGCAAACGAGGAAGGGAAAGAGGTCTGCCTGAGACGTTCGGGCGGGTGCGTTTGTAATTTCGGAAGGCAGGGAGCTGGCGAGGAGTAAAAGCAGGCGAGTTGGTGGGAGAGGCAGACATCCGTCCATCATGGTCGTTGCCATCATCATCGGCTTTCCGCTTTCGGCTGGTGTAAGAAGAGGGGGTGGACACTGATAAGTCAATTAGTATTTTGTTGATATCTGAAAAACACCTCTCAAGTCATAAAACATGAGCAGAGACGAGGGATCGTACTTATTCGGGAGGGAGAGAGCCGAGCGTTTTCGTAGAAGTGAGGAGGAACAGGAGGCGTGGCCACCAGACTGTTCATGATGACAGCCGGATGGCAGCAAAAATAAGTCGAGCAAGTCAAAGGTAACGATGGAAAAAATTGAACGAAGGTGAGAAACTAAGGGGGAACCTTGGGGAAAAAAGGTGCCCAAAAAGGGTGAGGTGGGGAGTAGAAGTGCAAAGAAGGTAGAGAAGCGGTGGAGAAAAGATTAAGGCGTTGCGGGCGGCAACGCAGTCCTCCTGTGCAGGTTTCAAGGTAACTTCTCAACGTTGCAGAGGTCTAGTAGCTTTCTGCAGCTAGAAAATTTTTAAAGAAAATTATGTAAAATATGATTAAGACAATAGTAAGACCAAAGTGCAGCTTGTCAGCAAAGAAAATGCTAAAAAGTCGAGACATAATATCGCATCTGGCAAAGCATGACGAATTCCATGTTATCGGGTGACCTAAGCCACATTGAGAGTCAAGGCGTGCTCAGCTTGAATGTATGTATATATGGACCTCGGGATACTACAAGTAGTTAGTCACTGCACAGTCTACAATAATACTAGTACATCGAACTAGAACTAGCACCTATATATCATGGAAATAGCAAGCAGCTCCCATAAAAATTGGTCTTTCATTTCTTTTAGGAAATCACGTATGTGAGGAACAATAAATAAAGAAACATGAACCGCCCGGGGATATCATATCTACAAGTACAGGGACTGGGCAGCCACGATGTCACGACGAATCTTGGAGAGCGCAGCCTCAAACTTGGATTCCAGGTCCTCACTGCCCATGACTTTGGCAGCCTGTGCCATCTGTCGCAAACACTCCTCCAACCGCCGGAAGACACGGATTAAGCTACCTTCGTAGACATCGGTCATTTTACTGTGAAGATGGTTAGTTATAGTTCAAAAAGATGTTTATCAATAATACGTGAATGGCGATTGAACTTACCAGATTTCTGCAAAAGACTTGCCATGTGCCCATTCGTACATCACCTCTATCAATTCCCAGTGGAAACTTTGTACATACTCGTCCTCGTTCAAAGCGATTTTGCTTTCTTGGGAAATCTTGGCGACGGTCCGAGCCTGTTCTTGAATCTTCTTGAGGGGTTCGGCTAGCTCCTTCTTTTGCAGTGGAGGCGCCTCTTTGACCTTCTCCTCGAACACAAAGACACTCATCAGGGCGGCAACTTGTTCAGGCGTAAGATCATTGAAGAAACCGTCAAACAGCAATTGAGTAAGGACCAACTCGTCACCAGTGCTAATCTCACAAGCAACACGAGCTTTCAACTGGACGACATCGCCTTGAATGAAATCCAAACGACGAAGCACACGCTGGCGACAATGCAATTCATCAAGTTGTATGACATTTTCAGCATCACTCTTTTTCTTCTTGGTCGCTTTTATTTGGTTGCCGATCTCCACCTTTTCGGCATACTCGCTGTAAAGCTCTTCCAGTCGTGGGGAATTGTGTAAGGGATTAGCCACAAGTCGAGACTCCAGAACCTCAATCTTCCGCAGAAGCTTTTTGAAACTGTCGTCGGTGATCTCCATGTCTTCAATAGGATCAAAGACAGGAACACCATCGGGGAATCGCCTGTGGACCTCATCGATAGACCTCCTCACATTATTACGCGTTGAAGGCTGTTGAATGTCTTTAGGCAAGTTAATCCTAACATGGGAGATAGAATTGAGACAGGTGAACATCATAGGGACAACGACGGTGCGAATTGATTCCCCTTTTTTAGCCGGCTGCAGACCAGTGGGAAGATCTTGGAATGTTTTAGTTCCAATGTGAGGTCCCTCAGCAAGATTGAGCACCACATCAAGCATCCATTCTTGGTGCTCAGAATGCCTCTCTGAAGAGTCCTTAGGTGACTTCGAGTCCTTGGCAGACTTTCGTGGATAGACCCTAACCACAACACCCCAACCAAAATCCAGATCTTGAAACTTGACATGCACCAATCGACCGCTCGGAAGATAGGCGCGAGCGTGATTAGGATGAGAAATAACAAAGCGAACGTCTTCAGCAAATTGATCTAATTGTTTTCGGATGTCGTAGTATTCACGAATGGTTCCTTCATCAGATATGACCATTTCTGCCTTCTTCTCTTCCAGTTGCTTTAACTGTTCTTCGAAAATTGCAGCATTTCCTTGGTTTTGAAATTGCTTAAAACATTGCTCAAGCATGTAGTTCGGGGAGATGCCCTCTACACGCATCAGATTGAGGATCATGTTGTACCCCAAGTGGAATGCTGAGTTGAGTCGGTCCTGTTCACCACGCACAATCTCCTTGGCAACTGCTGGGTCCATTTCTTCGCCAATCATCATGATAACAATTCCGCGGTCATCGAGACCTCTTCGACCAGCTCGACCAGACATCTGGATGAATTCGGAAGGAGTGATCCAACGCTGACTTGTGCCGTCAAATTTTCGAACACTAGTAAAGACCACAGTCTTTGCAGGCATGTTAAGACCGATGGAGAAAGTTTCGGTGGCAAACAGAACCTTGATAAGACCTTCCTGGAACAAAATCTCAATAACCTCTTTGAGGATAGGCAGCAGACCAGAATGGTGAACACCGACACCTTTTCGAAGAAGAGGTAGAATGTTTTGGATCTGCTCCAAGCCACGATCTTCAGGTGAGAGCATTTCAATGGCGCTGTTGAAAACCTTAGACACCATTTCCTTCTCAGAATCGTCGTTGAAAGCGAGTTTCTTTAGCTGGAGGGCGCCTGCTTCGCACTCTCGCTTGCTGAAACTGAAGATAATAACCGGGTTCATGCTCTTCACCATAACCATTCTGACGATTTTGTAAATATCAGAGACCTCCTCGTTACCACCTTTGTTTATTTTCTTATCCTTGCCCTTTCCTTTCATTTTAGCATTCGGGTCATTTGAGTCAGCGCCCTTCTTGTCTGCAATCGTACTCATTGCTTTGTCGAAATTGTCTTCTCGGAAATCACCCTTCTCATCTACAATGAGATGCATGCCTTCGGAGCCGTTGGGAAAAAAGTAATGTTGGAGAGGCGTTGGGCGATAATTGGTGTAGACAACGTGGCAGGGTTGATTATGCATCTTTGTGACCCATTCGGCAAATTGCATGGCATTGGGAATGGTTGCAGACAGGAAAACGTATCGAACCTTATCAGGTAACAGAATAAGTGTCTCTTCCCATACTACACCGCGATTTTGGTCACGCATGTAATGAATTTCGTCAAATACAACCCATTGAACTTCGCGCATGATCTCGGAGCCGCGGTACAGCATAGACCGAAGAATTTCGGTAGTCATAACAAGACATGATGCGGTGGGATTGATGGTCACATCGCCAGTCATCAAGCCAACGTCGCCAAACTCTGCTGCAAACTCACGGTATTTCTGATTGGATAGGGCTTTGATTGGACTGGTATAGATGACTCTCTGGTTTTGTTTCAAACTTTGCGCAATGGCGTATTCTGCGACAACTGTTTTACCCGCACTGGTATGCGCCGAAACCAGGACACTCTCATCCCTTTGAATCGAATTAACGGCAATTTGCTGGAAAGGATCAAGGGTAAAAGAATATGTTTTGGCGGGGTCTGCTGGCGGCTTATGCTGGGAGATTGGCACATAGGGATACCCGGGAGGAACTGAAACTTCGTGGCGAACTTGATGTGACACGACTAATGACGAGGCGTCCACAATTTCTTGAAGTCCAGCGCGGCCGGCTATCTCGACCTGTTGTTCAGTTTCGAAGGCATCGGCAACCAGAGGCGTTGGTGCTTCATCAATGCGTTGTCGCTTTGTCTCTGGCTGCTCGATTTTGGTAACAGGCTGTTCCTCATCTGCTGGTTTAGAGTCCTCCATGACCTCGTCTTCCGGGCTGTCCTCCTTCTTCGCATTTGTTGGAGACCCATTTTCCTTGACATTTCCGTTCACTTGACGCTTCTTGCTCTTGTCTTTCTTTTCCTTCTTAGAGCGCCGCGGAATGGCCGCATTTTGTGCTGGCGCTGATGGCTCAGCATCGAAGACGTCGAAGAGCTCATCCATCTCCAGTGATTACTCGGTGCAAAAAACCAGAGGCGCAGAAGAAAAGCGTCTGGGCTTGCTTTTTTTTTTTGGAGAAAACGAAAGGCGGTGAGATGCGGATAAAAAAGAATCAATCACCAGTGGCTGGCGCTAATCTTGTTCCGCGTAGCACGTGATTCTCGGCGGGTCTATTTACTGAATAATGTGAAGCCTCCCGCCCCGAACCCCTCTACTCCGTACTAAGTGCCTATCTAGATTTTATGCCTGGTATATTTCAATGTCTCGATTTTCCGATTATCCTGATCTACCAGATAATAGCTGTCTTGTGAACTGCCCGGTCTTTTCGCCTACAACCACGACCCCGGCGCCGCCTGCTATCAACTATAGCTCTTCATGGCAATACTTCAAGGGTCTATTATTATAGTATCATGGATTCTTGATAGCCAAAAGTGGCTCATCTCGGTACAAATATGAGACTGGATTCGTTGTAAATTAACTGAAGCTGTGTAGCTTGGGTGGGGGGTTTCACGACTTCACTTCTTCATAAAGTACCTCAGCCAATATCCATCAATATCCATGTCTTACTACTTGTTAAGACTCTCAATTCCTCTTTTCAGAGAAGTTTCTAAATTTGTCCATCCATGACCATAAAATGACATGAGAAGTTCCTCGGCCCTTTTTGCTGGTATGATATCCATGAGATCTTCCTGCTCACCTTCTGGAACTCTTGGTACAGGGGCATGGGGGCGTAAATTACGCAAAATGTTGGTAACCTGGGTCCAGTTAAATGGCGAGCTGAAAGCAAATAGGCGCTCAGATTCCAGCTCGGGGCTCAGAAGAGCGATGACGTGCATTTTCGCGTTGTCTTGGACATCGACGAACCACTCTGACAGCAAATTAGAAGAGCTGATTATCGGGGGGGGGGTTCGGAAACTTACGAGGAGGAACGTTCTTGATCGCACTTTCATTTCCTTCCAGTAAATTTGCCGTAATCTTCATCGTCGATCCACCAATATTTTGGTGGAGAATTGGGCCGATCTGCAATCATGTGGTAAAGTGAGCATTCAAATTATATCCATCCTGTGGTATGTATATGGATAGACACAAACATTTGTATCTGGCAACACTGAATTAAGCACGAAAGAGGGGCTGTACTCCTTCATCCATTTCCAAGCTGCTCGTTCAACTTCTGTCTTCGAGGCCGCATAGACCATCCAGTGCTTGTTTTCAACTGGGGTGTGGATTTCCCAAGCCGCGTTGACTGCTCCGTAATTCCAAGTCTCTAATAAGGGAAGAGAAGATAATTTAGCTATGCTCTCCGTAAGTATGAGACCAGCATGTACCTTCTGTCACCTTTATCCCTTCTACTCCAGGATTTGGCAGCAGAGCTGCGCTCGACGAAGATGTCAGAACGAACCTCTCAACAGACGTCCTCGAAGAAGCACGGAGGAGCATTCTCATTGCCGTTACCATTGGAGGTATCACCTCGTGTGCATCTGGTCTGAATGAAAGATCGGAGGCCTATAACCATGAGGAACCGCCCACTCAGTGGTTGAAAGACGTATTATATATGAGCTTACCACATGAATCACGCCACTGATTCCATCCAGGATACGAAGAAGGACATCGTCATCGTCTAGCCTTGGCACAACGACGCTCTCGAATTTCCCTGGGCCGTATTTCGACTGGAAAAAGTGGTCTAACCATGGTTTGTCGTTTCGTACAGTCCCTCGAACGCGAAGCCCAAGAGTAAGCAGTTGGTCAACGATATGCGAGCCGATATAACCGTTTGCACCAGTTACTAGAATCCAGGACGGAGGAGATATTGCCCACTTAGAATTCATCATGATTCTACTACCTACCCATATAACCACCCGAGTTGAGAGGAAAGTAGTAGTTTAGGTAGCAACGGCTTTGAAGACTCGGAGGAGTAGAACATCGAAGGTTGAAGTGATGGATGAGTTAATGGAAAATGTATCCAGTGATTTGAGCCCGTAGAATCATGATATTTAGTGAGCATCTTTTTCGGAGTTTAGGGAAACCACTTGGTTTAAATTACGATATCCAAACAGGTAGAAGAAAAGGGCTACTGCATACCCCTGCACCCGACAAAGAATGGGGTTGGAATTTTGACGAAAGCGGCTTGGATCAGCTCTCGGAATGGGTGTTCATGCGATGGACATTATCATGAGAGCTCTTCCTACATATCACTTACATAGGCTTAGCTACTATTGGCAGCTCGGTAAAGTTGCAAAGAGGGGCGCATTACATACATGGACATTGCCTGGCGCATCTCAACATTTGAACATCAACATTTGAACATTTGAATTTATATTGTTGAAGCATGGCTCCTGATTGGCTACTCGGGACTGAGCTTAAGCCGGGATCCACCGATTTTGAAAGGAGGTCATGTGACTCCATCGTGCCATTCCGCGACTTTATCCGCCTGTCTAGTCGATCGCTCACTTCCTACTCCTTGTGCCATTCACTCCCCCCTCTTTGCAAAACAAGGTCGGTGCCAGTGCCCCACGATCAAGCTGCCGTTGAATCAACGAATTGACAACATTCTAGATGTACGCCTCCTCCGCTGCCCGGGCCCGTATGGCCACCGTCGCCCGCCGTGGCTTCTCTACCACCCGTACCCAGTTCGGCAGCCCCTACCACTACGCTGAGGGTCCTCGCACCAACATCCCCTTCAACCCTCTCACCAAGTCCTTCTTCTACAAGTACTGGGCTTTCATGAGTTTGTACCCCCGGTATCCCGACCGCAGACGGCACGACTAACTCAGGGTCTTCTCTAGTCGCTGGATTCGGTTCTCCCTTCGCCATTGCCGGTAAGCTTCAAGTTGTTCCGACAATAATCCAGCGCAATACTAATGAGATATATCTACTAGTCTGGCAAACATACAAGACCCGCTAAGGTCTTGTTCTGTACCTCCTCTGTGACGGCTGTGCGGAGAGCATCGTGATGGAAGTTCCGGAAATTGGTATCGAAGGAACTGGAAATCTTGTATAAAGTTAGAGAATAAGCTGGAATTTTGATTACACACGGAATTACCTCAATTGTAGTTGTGTAGAAGCTGTAGTGCGTGGCTGGAACGACGTTGAAATCTGAATGAAGTCATTGGCTGAGCGGATGTGGAAAATCAAAAATCTTTGGCTCGGCGTTGATTTTGTATCAGTTGCGGAGCCACAACCTCCTCACCACAAATTCCGCCTTGAACATTTTGATCGCTCAGATCAAGCACCTTAGACCAGTAGCTTCGGCCCTATCTTCTTTTTTTTACTGATCGGGCCTTATAAACTTGAGATCTGACAGTCCCATGGCGGGGTAGAGAGTCGGGACCTGATACCAAAAAAAAAAAGTTGATACCCGCCATCCAAAATGCGCAACCTCAAAAACGTGCGTCTCCAAGAGACGAAGATACTAGGTGAACTGCCATTGACTGCGACTGCATGGGACACCGCTTCTGATTCTGTTGTGTGCACCTTTGGCCCATCTGAGCACAGCCCTGTCATCGAGCTCAGAAGAAAGCGCCCAGAGGTCGTTTCCGCTGATCCACTGAGATCCAGTGAGTTCGAATGCCTCGCATCTTGGGATGCACCATCTCCCTTACCAGATCTGTCATGTGATCGAGTTCTTTCATTGCACTACTTCGCGGACAACTTGACCGCCATCCTAGTGCTGGAGGGTGGTGATATTGTCATTGTCCGCGAAGAGCCCCTCCCAGGAGAGGACAAGATCGAAATTCTGGGATCAGTTGATGTTGGAATTACAGCCGCCGCCTGGTCTCCTGATGAGGAACTGTTGGCTATCACGACAAGAGCCCGAACATTCCTGTACATGACTCGGGAATTTGAAAATGTGGCTGAAATCACTTTCTCCCAAGCTGATGTCCAGGCTTCCCAGCAAGTGTCTGTGGGTTGGGGTAAAAGGGAGACACAGTTCCAGGGCAAAAGAGCCAAAGCCCTTCGGGACCCTACTGTGCCAGAAAAAGTCGACGAGGGCAAGCTAAGCAGCCTCGATGATGATAGCACAACAATTACTTGGCGAGGTGATGGAGCTTATGTTGCGGTGAATACTGTTGACGAAGGTACCCGTCGAGTTGTACGAGTGTACTCAAGAGAAGGTACTTTGGATAGCGTGAGTGAGCCAGTGGATGGGCTGGAAGCCGCTCTTAGCTGGAGGCCATCCGGAAACCTCATTGCTGGAATCCAGAGATTGGATGACAGAATTGATGTTGTGTTTTTTGAAAGAAACGGTCTTCGCCACGGTCAATTTACTCTTCGTTTGACAGAGGAAGATCGTCAAACCTGGGCGTCGCGAATCCTCTTGTCATGGAACATCGATTCCACTGTGCTGGCAGTTCGGTTCAAAGACCGCGTTCAGCTCTGGACGACAGGTAACTATCACTACTATTTAAAGCAAGAGATTCCAATCATGGTCGAGCCGAATTCCACAGTCCCGTTCTCCTTTGAGTGGCACCAGGAGAAGGCTTTGCGAGTTGTTGCTGGGTCATCGGGTATGTTTTATCTCAAAATCCTGACTGGGAAGCATAATTAACAATACTTAGGTACCATACTTGAAATGGATTACGTATTTGATATGCATCATGGCTCTACTGTGATACCCGATGATGTTGGTGCCGTTGCCGTTATCGATGGCAAGAACTTGAAGCTCACTCCACTGAGACTGGCTGGTGTGCCACCACCTATGGCTCATAACGAGTTGAAAGTGGACTCCAATGTTATTGACGTCTCGTTCAGCAAATTGGGTAATCGAATCGCAGTGCTGATGAGCTCAAGGCTTTCAATCTTTCTGTGGTCACTCAAGAGTCGCCCCGTACCCATCCCAATTCTCGAATCTAGCTATCCTTTGTCGGAAGCACCGGACAGCAGACCACGACAGATTTCCTTCGTGAATGACAACGAAGTCTATGTTCTGATGAACAGTGGACCTAACGCCAGTCATATTGAACAAACGAATCTGGAGACTCGCGAATCTCGCACCGTGTACCAGACAGCCGACTCCGAGCAGTTAGCGTCAATTTTCACTGGCATTGGGCACCAAGCTTTGTGGTTCTCGCACGCAAAACAACCTGCCAGATCTGTCACATACTCGAGTATCGACACAGCTGGCAGCGGTGAAGCTGTCATCTCTCCTTGGGATGAAAGCCCCAGTGTCGATACCCACTGGGCCCGTGTCGTTTCAATCTCAGATACCGAGGTACTTCTTCCTGCAACTCAACGATTAAGATGACATGCTAACTCTTCTTCTTAGCGAATCTTAATAACCATGACTCGGTCCGGTGGTCTGTACGCTAACAAGCGGGTTCTTGCAAAGAATTGTACTTCTTTCTTGCTGACCCCAGCACATCTTCTATTCACCACTTCCCAACACTTGCTAAAGTTTGTTCATCTGAACCATGCAGAAGGTATATACAAAATCTCCAATAGTACCGGTTTTCTTGACTGCTCAACTCACAAATCGCCCACAGAAATGGAAGTACCTGAAGATACACCAGAAACAGATGAGCGATGTCGAAGCATTGAGCGTGGATCAAAGCTGGTGTGTGTGATGCCATCAGTTTTCGGCGTCGTTCTCCAGGCGCCTCGAGGTAACATTGAGACTATCTATCCCCGAGCGCTAGTGTTAGCCGGTATCCGTACGTTCATCGACCTGAAGAAATACCGCTCAGCATTCCTGGCCTGTCGTAGCCAGATGGTCGATTACAACATTCTTCATGACTATGCCCCCCAGCAATTTATGGAAAACATTCTTCTTTTCATTGAGCAAGTTAAAAGAGTCGACCATATTGATGACTTCCTGTCTCGCCTGAGGTAAGTAGCCGCTCCCGGTCCCATGAAGAAGCGATCTGGTCTAACCGATTATTAGTGAGGATGATGTTTCACAGACATTGTACAAAGATACTCTCAAGATTTCCAAGAATGAGTCTGCGGTGGTTGCTCAGCCAGATGCACCTGTTGCTTCTAAGATTTCCGCATCTCCCAGTAAAGAAGGCAAGATCAACACTATCTGCAATGGATTCTTAACCGTTCTGCAAAACCGACTGGACACAAATTTGCAAAATTTGATCACTGCACATGTGTGTAAATCGCCACCTGATCTGGAAGCTGGATTGAAACTTGTTGCGCATTTGAGGACCCAAGCCCCCGAGCAAGCAGACGATGCCATTGAGCATATGTGTTTCTTGACGGATGCCAATCGTCTCTACTCCCATGCACTGGGACTCTACGACCTTGAACTCACTCTTCTTGTGGCTCAACAGGCCCAGCTGGATCCCAGAGAATACCTTCCATTCCTTCGCCAACTGCAAACATTACCCGAGATTCGCCGTCAGTTTGAGATCGATAATCACCTCACTCGCTTTACCAACGCTCTGGGTCATCTTTTTACTTTGAATGCGCATGAAGAAATCCTTGGCTATGTGGCTAAGCATGTTCTATACAAGGAGGCCCTCGAAATTTACAAGTATCACCCCGAGCAGCAAAATGAGATTCTACATCTCTACGCCAACTATCTCCAAGGCGAATCCAAGCACAAAGACGCCGCCGTTGCTTACGAATCTCTTGCAATTTACGATGAGGCGTACAAGTGCTACCACCTTGCTCATCTGTGGCGCGAATCTGTATACTGTGCTATGATGGCTTCCCTATCCGAGGAGGACCTTAACGTGCATATCAATGCTCTCGCCTCGACTCTGATTGACGAAGGCCGCGACTTTGTTTCAGCCGCGACCGTTTATGCAGAGCACTTGCATGATATCCCCACAGCTGCACAGCTTTTGTGCCGGGGTTCGAAATTTGCCGACGCAGCTCGCCTTCTCGCATTGCACGGCAAACAGAACCTGGTTACAGAAATTGTCGACTCCGGCCTTGCAGAGGCAATGGGTTCAATGACTGATCTTCTTGCCGACTGCAAAAATCAACTCAACGCCCAAGTACCCCGAGTCAGCGAACTGCGCCAACTTCGTGCCGCAGATCCCCTTGCATTCTTTGGAGGTGATCCTACAGGAGGCGAGGGTGGTGTCGACATTCCCGACAATGTATCACTGGCTCCTACAGAAGCAAGCACTCTTGCTGGACGTACTATGTTTACTCGGTACACCGGAAAGACCGGAAAGACCTCGTCCTCCCGCCACACCTCAAAGACTCGTCGTCGCGAGGAACGCAAGCGAGCGAAGGGTAAGAAGGGTACCGTCTACGAAGAGGAGTATCTGGTCAACAGTATTAGGCGACTTATGGAGCGAGTCAATTCCGCTGTTCCAGACGCGGAGGTTCTTGTGGATGCGCTGTTGCGACGTAACATGCGCGAGCGTGCAGCTGCCATTGAGAAGGCTCTGGAGGATGTACTTAAGATGTGCGCAGACTGCCGTGACGAAATTTTTGAAATCCCGGCTGCCGAGCCAGTTAAGGATGAGGATGATGATGAGCCAGAGATCCAGGTCAGTAGTGGCGCTCGTGTGCTTGAAGAGAGTATTGCCGCAATCTCCGGAGGTGCCGCCGGCCGTAAAGAGGCACCCGTTGTGAAGGAGATTAAAAAGTCTTCCCTGCTTGCTTAGTACGTGGGGTGATTCGTTATGCATTTTATGTCGTACATGGAACATTGAATATACAAAAATTTCTTGAATTATTAAGCTCAATAAATCAATTCCACTTCGCGTCTACCTAAGGTATGAAGATAGTAGAAGAAACCAATCTTGGCAGTATCCTCTGTGCCATCCCATCTCAAGACTAAGTCCCTTCGGATATTTACTCCGTACAGTTACTATATTCCGGGAACTTGCTAGTAGAAGCGGAGAAACAAGGATTTTGCGTTCGGTTGCAGATTAGACCTTTGAGATCCATCACTTCAACCTCTTCACAAAAACGTAAAATCCCAAACTTATTCTTCTTCACATACAACTGAATACTATAATCGATGAAAATTAACTAATTGGGCGTTAAATAACCGTACATGGTCCCTGAAGATGATTTACAGGGGGGTGAACGTGTCTATAAACCGGGTATCTCGATGGGATCACCCGTCGGAGCTCCGCCCTTGCATAAGCCCAAAGGATCAGTAGATTACACTACGCGAATTAGCGTCGTTGCTCTGTAACAACAATCTGACCCAACAAGCCATTTCAAGGAGCAGATCCTTTCCAGAAGGGGGTTGGTGAAGATAGCACCATGCCAAACCAAGCAATCTAACCGTGTTAGTTGAGTAATTGCCGAACCCACTGACAAATGCTTAGCTTCATTTCCGTAGGCGAGGCGTTGTCTCAAGCCCCATGCAGAGGCCGTGCACCTCTCATCCAATCAGAGTATGAAATGCAGTTGAATTTGTTTATCCCGCTCGTGGGAGGTGGGGGCGTCTGTTTATCGCTAGGAAATGGTGCTGGTACATTCGTTATGTATTTGAAGGGCCCTAATTCCTTCGGGGTAGTTTCTCGTGCAGGCGCGCTATTTTCGGTTTCACGATGCTTGTACGTCAATTGTCTGTTGCTTTGGCCATCGTGGCTTTAACTGAGGCTGCTCCTGCTTCCGTTAAGCATGTCTTGCATGAGAAGCGGGAAAAGCACGGTTATGACTGGGTAAAGGGGGATCGGGTCGAGGGTGATGCCGTTTTGCCCGTTCGCATCGGTCTGAGTCAAAATAACCTCGAAAAAGGATATGACTACCTTATGGAAGTGTAAGTGATTGACTGGAATTTTTTCATTTGTGCTTTGCTCATTATCCAATATAGGTCTGATCCGAACTCTGGTCGTTATGGGAAGTATTGGTCTGCGGATGATGTGCATGACATGTTTGCACCATCGAAAGAAGCCGTAGATTCTGTTCGACAATGGCTTGAATCAAGTGGAATCGACCCGTCTCGTGTTGTCCACTCTGACAACAAGGGCTGGATCGCATTTGATGCTTATGCACATGAAGCTGAACGGCTGTTTCTGGCCGAGTTCTATGAGCACAAGCATGCATCAAGTTCAAGTATGAAGATTGGATGCGACCAGTAAGCCTTTCAATATTGATATTGACTAGTGCGGAGATTTTAATAACATTTCATTACAGATACCATGTCCCAGAGCATATCCAGGGCCACATCGACTATATCACACCAGGTGTTAAGTTGTCGCCAATTGTCAAGAAGCAAACTAAGGCGAAGAGGGCTTCTCAGATTGCCCATTCTAAGCCTAATTCCAAGGCTGCATCTTCTGCTGAAGACCACTACTCCATTCCTGCTAAAGCTAAATCTCTCCCGGAGGATCTCCAGGCTTGTGGATATAACATGACTCCTACTTGCATCAAGGCCATGTACAAGATTCCCGACTCCAAGACTGCTGTCAAGGGCAATTCTCTTGGTCTTTATGAGCAGGGTGATTACTTTGCCAAGTCTGATCTTGACAAATTCTACAAGGAATATGCCCCTTGGGTTCCCCAGGGTACTTACCCAATCCCAGCTATGATTGATGGAGCGAACTATTCTGTTCCAGCTTCCAGCTCATTAAATACTGGCGAGTCTGATATTGATATTGACATGGCGTGAGTATTAAAATTTCTTCCTTTGCTTGACAATGTATACTAATTTCTTCAAAGATTTGCTCTGCTTTACCCTCAGTCAGTGACTTTGTACCAAGTTGATGATCAAATTTATGAGCCAGAGGAGGTTGCAACTACGAACCTCTTCAATACATTCCTCGATGCTCTCGATGGCGTACGTTCTATCTTCTCACCTCTGATACCATAGCTAATGATATTAGTCCTACTGCACATACTCCGCCTACGGCGAGACAGGTGACGACCCAAGCATCGACCCTGTCTACCCTAACCCATCTGCTGGTGGCTACAAAGGAAAACTCCAATGCGGCATCTACAAACCCACAAATGTCATCAGTGCGTCCTATGGCCAATCGGAAGCAGATCTTCCAATTGGCTACACCAAGCGTCAGTGCAATGAGTTCATGAAACTAGGCCTACAAGGTCATTCCATTCTTTTCGCATCTGGCGATTATGGTGTAGCCTCATTCGCAAATGATGGAGCTGCCAACGGATGTCTAGGCCCAGAAGGCAAGATCTTCAACCCACAATATCCCTCAAACTGCCCCTACGTAACCTCAGTTGGAGGTACCATGCTCTATGATTATCAAACTGTGGAGGATGGGGAGAGCGTCATGCACGTAAATCTAGGAGGCACTGCAACAAACTTCTCTAGCTCTGGCGGTTTCTCGAACTACTTTCCTCAGCCTGCATATCAAAAGGCCACTATTGAGAAGTACTTCAGGAAGGCTGAGCTAAGTTATCCGTACTATTCTGAATTTGAGGTCGATGTCAATACTACCAAGGGACTTTATAACCGCATTGGTCGTGCTTACCCGGATGTCTCGGCCAATGGGGCCCAGTTTCGTGCGTACACTGCTGGCGAGAACTACCATTGGTATGGAGCAAGTTTGGCGTCACCTTTGTTTGCTTCGGTCCTTACTTTGGTAAGTCAAGTTTTCAGTTATCTGCTTATAGAATATAGCTGACAATTGAACTAGATCAACGAAGAGCGTCTCTTGAAGGGCAAGGGCACTGTTGGCTTCATTAACCCAGTTCTCTATGCTTTCCCCGAAGTTCTCAATGATATCACCAACGGAACAAGTGCCGGATGTGATACTAATGGATTTGCAGCCATTGAAGGGTAAGTACCCAACAATCTGATATTCTTTTAGATGAAGTCTCGCATGCTAAACCTTCACAGATGGGATCCAGCAACTGGCCTGGGAACACCGAACTTCCCCAAAATGAAGAAGCTTTTCCTCAACCTGCCTTGAAAGATCTAGTACTAGTATGGATAGGCTAGGAACTCATTTCACGAACTTGAACTTTAATATATCTCAGAAGCATTCTATGTATAGGGGATACTTCACGGCTGATAACTTGAATGCAAGATTGTTATAGGTTTATCAGAGGATTCCAGGCTGTTGATTCTAAAACGTAACTCTGAGAATAATATTTTCATTTCAGAACTAACAGGAGCCGCAAATTAGGCGTAGTCCCACTTAGATTGTCCAGGGATAGATGAGTTTAAAAAAGGGCGGGATCGTATCCGGCTTCGAGTCTGTGGCAGATGTTCTTAGCTGAGCAGATTCGGTACCCATTATGAAAGACAGACTTGAGGATTTTGAATTTAGAGTTGTAATTGCTTAATGGCTCATTAAATGAACTTTAATCAACGCTATGTTCGAAACTGGTGGTCAAGTCGTCTGTTGGTATCATGTCTCTGGAATCCAAGTACATACTAATTAGTAGTTTAACAACTTTCAACAATATTGCGATTAGACGATTCAAGGCCATGAAGGTGGGTATCATAATTTTATGGATCAAAGATATTCTGTGGACTCCCCTCTCCGCTGGCGAAAAAAAAACAATCGATATTGAAATTTGCCGCCTCAATCGGAAAGAGATAAATACATTCCTTGCGCCAAATTTTCACCCCGTAGTATACACCAAATTCTTCGCCAAGAGCAGAACGCTGAAAATCCCCTCAAAATTGGTATATTTGATCCTTTGTGAATCCCAGGTGAGCTAAAATTCCTGGTGTTGACCTTGATCCAACCAGTGAACTCTCCATAGCTGGCGGTCCACAAACGAATACTTTCGTATCCTTGCTCGTTTGAGAAATAACACCACGGAGTAATTCTTCATTAACATAGCCCTTATGCAAAGACTTTGTGTCCTCAGTCAAGCTGCTAACCGCAAATGAATAGTTGAACCGATCGGGGAATCGCTCCTTATACTGCTCCAGCTCTTCCTTAAGGAGTAAATCTTGTTCTGTGTTGACACCGAAAACCAAATTGACCTTAGTTTTTTCTTCCGGATTATTCAAAATGCCCTGAAGAAGCTGATAAATGGGTGTAATTCCAGCACCACCGGCGATAAGGTGTACTTGTTTAAATTGATTGGGAACCCATGAGAACCCTTTCAGTGCCGCGGCAAATGTTAAGGTGTCACCGGGTTGAAGGGAATGCAGATGTGTACTGGCTTTGCCATTTGGATATTGCTTTACCATGAACTCAATGGATCCGGGTTGATCTAGGCATGGTGTTAGTTCAATGCTTGCTTATAGATCATCAAGTGACATACCCAGAGCACTGATAGGGGTGTATGGCCTCAACACGGGTAACCATCGGCCACCAGGTCGAGAAATTGTGAGGAGAGAAGCTGGGATATACTTGTTAACAAAGCTCGAGGTCACATTCAGTAGGTTCGGCAAACGTACATGTTAATGAAAGTCCACTCTTTGCGTTCTCATCGGGAAACTCAAAAACCAATCGTTTTGTGTTGTGATTCACAGCTTCAGAGCTCTTCAATCGCAATGTAGTAAATCCAAATCCTCCAAAAATCTTCTTAGGCTCATTCGACTCCGCATAAACTGAGCGCGTGCCAAGGTATGCTCCAACACCAACAACTACAAATGCGGATAAGACTGCCGGTCTAGCTCGGAGTCCTTGTAGGGTGAGTCGTGATGCTGCCATGATGTATAGACTGTATGATATAATACAACAAAATCAGAGAAATTTCAACCTTGTCTAAAGAAAAAAGGGAGCAGCGATTAATATAGGAATGCGACAACTTTTTCTATTAGTTCATAGATGGGGGCCAATACGTTTCCATTTCCGGACTAGTGCGAACCCCCGGTAAAAGCCGACTAAACCCGACGATCAACAGACCAGTCAGAGCGCGACTCAAAGACCGAAGGTTAATGCCCAGTGCCGCATCGGGGTCTGGGTCGGTGCCCTTTGGTCGCGTTGGTTTCCGAACACCGACTTGGTCTATGATTCAACAACCACAAGTAAATCTCAACTCGTTATAAAGCAACGATTCTTTCTGTAGTATTTCTAACTACTATAAAACTTCATTATCATTCAAATATTACAGCCCGCCAACCAATTAAGAACAAACGCTTAAGTCTCGAATATGGCCTCAAATATGTTCGGTTTCCGCCTTGCACAGATAGTGGGTATATCGGGTGCAGCATGGCTAGCTGGTACGTGCAATCTCCAGAAGGAATCCTGCAAATTGGCAAAAATCCCCCATCTCAAATATGCAAGCTAACCCCATCGCAATTAACAGGAAACGTAGCTAGTCTCAGCACAATCGTCACACCTGTACTTCTCCAATCACACAAAGAAGACAACATATCATCAAACCTACTCGCAAAACAATGGAAAGGCCTCTTTGAGAAAGGCCGCTCAACAAACCCTCCTGTCGCTGCGGGGACCGCTTCTTCCTTGATATACCTCGCCTGGGCTGTTCGGCAGGGATCCCCTCTATACAAAAGTGCAGCCTATAGCCGCAGTGGGCTTTATATCGCCGCTGCGATTCTGACAGTCGGAATTGTCCCATTCACATTTGTCTTTATGGGCCCGACAAATGATGTGCTTATAGAAAAAGCGCGATCGACGTCTGATTCCGACCCCGAAGTATCGGAATTGATTGAGAGGTGGACTCGACTTAATTTCGGGAGGAGTTTATTGCCTCTAGCGGCGGCTGTTTGTGGAGTCGTTGCAACGATCATTTGAGATGGGGTTTGAATAAAAAGTCAGAAAATACTAGTAATGGGACTACAGGGTGAAGGATTTAAGAAGAGAGCCACGGCTATACAATTGTCAATGTATATATATACCTATCAATTGAAGGCGGAAATTCCCAAGCTTAGCCTAACAAGTGTATATTATCAAAATATTGCCCGCGTTTACGGGTAATCATAGCGGTAATGGGGAAAATCCCCGTTTGGGCCTATTTTAGACCGGCAGATAACTAGTACTTTGTGATACCTGTAATACAGTTGAACATCCCTGCGGCCCTGGAGGCCCTCGATATCACGGACTAAGCTTCAAATCTACTTTCTGGAGGTATATCTCTAACAATAATATATTTTTTTCGTTTCAAACGAGCTAATTAGTATAATATAAAATGTTTGTAAAAGATATTTCTTTATTAATCTTTCTACTGGTCTTTCTACTGGTCTTTCGACTTGTTTTTCAAGTCTGCACATGTGTCTATGTAGAGCCTACATTACAGATAGCGGTGCATTAGGCGGTACAGATTAATATAGGGTCAAGGGGATTATTGCCCGCTGGCCGCTGTGGTCCTGTCACGCCTGTCAACAGGTTGGAGCTCATTACGACCCCACGTCATATGGATTTGATGGTTGCTGTGTTAGAGCTGGAGCACAGCAACAGAACTTCATCAAGAAATGCCATTTCTTGGGATACGGATTCAAACAATGTGATGATTGCGACACATGCTGAGAGCTCTAAACGGTTCAATGGGAAGTCATGTTTATGGCGTCCTCTCCGTGAGGTATTATCCAAATTAATATGAGCCGGTGATTGATTGCAAATGTCCATAATATGATAATTGGTTGTAAACTATGTTCTAAAATTATCCGACAACCCGAAATTAAAGGAGACGACGAAAGCCACCTGCATCATCTTTTGCAATAACTGGAGTAAGGATTCCTTCGCAGAAGGAAATGGGGTATCGTCCAAGTCGTTTAGCAAATCCACTGGCATCTGGGATCATAAATGTCGTCCCAGTTTTTTTACTGGTTAACCATCTCGCCGGTCTCAGATACAAGATGGTCTTCAACGGAGATAGGTCCCTCTCCAACACCAGTCAGAATGACACGACTAATGCCACTCTTAAGGACGTCAAGGACACGAGTGTCAATATTTTCCAAGGCAACACCGGGAGCGGTGAGATTAGCCAAGGGCTCATAGAACGGACCGTCCCAACCGGTAACGTTTGTGCCCAAGATCGCCTTAACGGTGCCGGCAACCAGTTCCGAGTCCTTCTCTTCGTAGTAGATGACAGAATTGGGACCAGCATCGTAGGTATAAGCAGCAACGGTTCGGCCAACAGCGCGGTTGATATCATGCACCAGGCGGACAGCAGCGCGCGAGACATCGTTCATATAAAAGATAGGGGGCCATGAGTCCAGACATGTAGCATGGAAAGTGTTGGAGTCACGCATAGTGATTTCAGCAAACTTGGGGAAATCGCGGACACGAATGGCATCCTCAATGGCGGCCATACGCTCAGGAACAACGGACGACACCCTCTGGGCAAAAAGCTCGGATGTTGCGACAGTGGTCTGCATACCCTCTGTGCTGGGCACGTCCTTCTTTTCAGCGCTGACGACAAGAACCAAAGCTCGCATCTCGGGCCAATGGGATGCAGGAGCAACCTCCTCGGCCAAGCTGTCACTTCCATCGGCAAGTTCACCTGAGCGCCATGCGACATAACCACCCATAAGGGACCGGCAAGCAGAGCCTGAGCCCTGGCGTGCGATGCGGCTCAGCTCTTGAGGAGACTGAGGTAGCTGATACAGATCAGCTACAGCGCGAACGAGAGCAGCAAAGCCAGCGGCAGAACTGGCCAGACCTGCTGCGGTGGGGAAGTTGTTTTCGGAGACAATTCGGAGATGGAAGGTCGAAAGCTTGGGAAGCGAAGAGTCGGCATCTTCTAGAGACTTGCGCAGAGCACGAAGATTGAAGAGACAGGCAAGAGTGCGCTTGGATGACTGAATTTCCTGCGGCTTGCCGTTCAGGTTCAAAGTGTCCTCAGCGGGGTAGGAGGGAGAGCAGGAGGCGGTGGTCAGGGTGCGAAGAGATCGTTGCGACAAAGTCACCGAGAGAGACGAGTTTGTTGGAAGGTTAAGAGTGGTGTCACGCTTGCCCCAGTACCTGAAAGGTTAGAAATTTAATTCAAATGTCTTCACATTTCGAAGCCAACTGAGACTCGCCCAATTTGACTTACTTTATGACAGCAATATTGACAGGGGCAGTGGTGGTGGCCCGGTAAACGGGCTGGTTAGATGGAGCAGCCATTTGAGCCTCGTATTAGATCAAATAAATTAAATCGGACAAAATTCCCTGCGATTGCAAAACAAAGAAAATAAAGGGGGGTTTAAGGCGGGGGATTTACTTGGGCAGATGTTTAGTATGCACGAGGCGGTGAGGGCAAAATTATTGCGCGCCGATTTTCTGCTGCGCCGATCATTAATCGCATTTCCAATCATTCCACCTCATAACATAATATCTTCAATTACCAACCCAACAATTTACTATGGCTGCTGGTGCAAGTACACCCTCTGCATCTGCAGAGCCACCAGCGGCAAGTTGCCCTGTTGACCATAAAACTCGGGAGGTCTGGTTACAACAACACGGAAACTCATCTCATCCTTCAACACCTGGGTCATCCCTGGAGCAAGGCCAAACACCAGCCAAGATGCAACGACCACTGTCAACAGACCGAGAAGTCAGCACTATACCCCGTGCTGGTGAAGCAGCTTCTGGGAGGGTCTGCCCTGAAGGCCAAAGGCAAGCCCCGTCCGCGTATGCCTCATCCGAACAGGCCGCATCACACGGTTGTCCCTCGAACGCGGAATCCGAAACTGGCCGCGATGAGGCCACGGGAAACTGGATTTATCCATCTGAAAAGCAATTCTTTGAAGCCTTAATGCGCAAAGGCAATACACCTGGCTCTACTTCCTCCGCCTCTGAACTCGCAACCTCAGTCGCCTCGATCATCCCTATTCACAATGCCGTTAACGAGCGTGCATGGCAACAAATCTTAGATTGGGAACAAAAAGCCCCATCAACAGATCCTGGAAGTCAGAAGTGTGGTGGACCCAAATTATATTCCTTTCGGGGGCTCGGAGTCGAGCCCCAGTTTCTGAGCCCTCGTGCGCGAGTCAACGGGTGGCTTGGCTATCAACGGCCATTTGATCGACACGACTGGGTAGTCGAGCGGTGTGGTGGAGAACAAGTTGAGTATGTAATTGACTTCTACCAAGGGAAGTCTTCGGGCACTACGGGCCAGCCAGGTCTGACTGGAAATGCTAGTCCAGGCAAGCTTAGCTTTTACCTGGACGTTCGGCCCAAGCTGAATACATATGAAGGTTGGAGGCTACGGTTCAATCGATTTGTAGGCCTTTGAGCCTACTCACCTGTTTGAATAAGTAAAGCTGACTCGAATCCTCCTTACGAATATTACAAGGTGAGAATGGACTATGGAATGGACTGGTTCCAAAAAGAATCAGATGTATAACTCATGTATAACCACACTATGTACAATATTGCATTAAAAAAGCAAACAGCATGAGGGAAATGATATTCTCAATTCTGGAAACGCCATAAATCAGAGGAACAAACAAACGAAACATTGTATCAGGGCAGTGGCTCCCGTGGGGCTAAAATCGTATTATGCATGAGGGATATCGTGCGCAAGCAGAAATGAGGGATAAAAGGGGAACCAGGTAACGAGCAAAACTCAACATCGAGGACCTCCTATCCAAGGACAACTGCGAGCACGATTATAGCCAGTATTATGGCGAGTATGATGAACAAACAACATGCCTTGCTGCGCGCGTTTTTTTGGTATCGATTGGCACTTCGCAGTTCCGTATTGGCGCCTCGTGTGTCACTAGTCACCTCTTCCAGACGGTGGTCTAGGCTGTCAATTGTTTCGCCTTGTCCTGCCACCATCTCGGCCAATGACTCGAAGAGCTCTCCCAAATGAAGCGTATCTCGCTCAATAGCCTGTATTCCTGTCTCTCGGTGTTCGATCAGTGAGGCCTGGAAATCCACCTCGCTCTGGTTGGCCAACTGGGGCTCTAGAAGCTGTTGCTCTTGAAATTGGGGTTCGGCATCGCCATATGGTTGTCTACCGGCCTCTGAGTCTCGCTGCGCGGCCTGGGATATTTCGCGGAGTTTTTCTTCTCCTCGACGATTCAGGGTGTCGAATTGAGCTCGGAGGCTTTTGTATTCGGTCACTAGCTTATTCTGAGTCATTCGCTGCGTGCGCTATAATGAATGATATTAACAGGCAAGAAATAATCCATAATATGATCTGAGACTTACGTTGACATATTCCCATTTATTGATCTTGTCAAACCCTTCTCCAGCTTTCTTGAGTTCTACCACTGATTCCTGGAGAACGTTGCGTATGCGTTCGTGTACTCTTGGGCCGTCCAGTTTTGTACCCAGGCGAGCAATATCATCATCTAAACGAGAGGTCTTGCTACTCAAGTGTTGTAACTGCTCGCCGAGGGATTTGGCCAGTTGGTCAAATGCTGGGTCATCACGGTAATACGGATCTTCATCTCGGCGCATCGTTGTAGGTTGCGACTCCAGCGAGTCCAGGTCTTGGTAAGTCATTGCCGTGGTGTTAAAGAGCTGAAACTTTCGACTGGAGACGAGATGAAGCACACCGAGGAAGCGTGGTTGGCTATTCTGCCTGTTGCTTGAGGAGTGCAGGTTACTCCTCACATGACGTACATACTTGTACTAGGCCATAAGAGGTTAGCTTGCTATCGCGTGACTCTCCGCCACAAGACCACTTTCAATGTTCCTAGGAACAGCATTGGTACGCCACAATATCACCTGACCTATTTTGTGGCTGATGTGTTTTGATGCCTCAAAATATTCAATGATCCGAAATCAGCAACTTTCAATCCTATCGCTCTCCGCGCTCACCTTACTGTTTGTCTTGACCACCAGCTTAACCGCTGGCTTGGAAACCTTTATCCTCAGCTTCATCAGTCTCTGGGATGGTTATTCAGACCATGTTATAAGTGTTGTTCCATCCACGTCCCACCATCACTTTCCCCATCCGACGCCAGCTTGCACATTATGGCGGTCGCTCAACCTCGGCCGTATAGGCGCATATTGACCTCGGCGCTACACCGGCGCTTTGTTCATGCATCTGCGCTTGCTCTTCTAGTCTGCTATGGCATAGCAATTGCAATCGGTGACAAGTCATCATGTAAGTCGATCGAATCCCCAAGGCTTTGTTTTCAATTCCACTTGATTGTACCTGACACTTGTAATTGGTTCAGTTTTTTGGTCATGGTTCCCTATCGGCTCATGCGGTATCCGCACCGTCATGATCTTTGTATCTTCTCTTTCCGTCTTTGTTCTTCGCGTCGGCCAAATGCACCTTGGTTCAAGAACTACACCATCCTCGCTTAGCACGTTTCGATGTCTTTTCCCTCTGCAGATCGCGCAAACCTTTGGCTGGTACATCTTCTCGGCCTGGTTATTTACTGAGGTTTACAGGTGGTCTTCTCCTCCTAGCGCCGAATTGGAATTTGTGAAAATGGGCAGGTGCGTGGCATACCCCGACCAGAAATTCAGCACGAACTGACAAAATCTAGGCTACACGAGCGCTCGCATCTAAACGAGCGGCCCATCTACATTCACACATATCACATCATCTTGGCATGTGTTCAGGCCGTCTTCCATCTCTACTACGATTACGACAGTATTCCGGTCCCGGTTGTTAAACGCTCGCCGAAGGGCAATGACCAGCGAACACATCCCGTGCCGCAAACTTTGAAACATATCCAAAGCCTGCTTCTGCCAATGATCTTCGCTGATTTCACACGAACGGCCATCGTGGCAGGTGCTACCCCATTGATATATCAATTATTCCTTCGCCATACCGCTTGGAGCTGGTCATTGTGGTTAGCCAAGCTCATTTGGCCTATCCCCCGCTCGGCTTCACAGCCTGAATCGTTCTTGCCCCCGAGCTTTATTCAATTGATTTTACGTTCTTTATTTTCGGGCTCTATGCTTGTCTTATGCTGGCAGACGACCAACCTCTTTTTCTCCGTTTTCATTGGGAAAGAGCCCCTCAAGCGTGGGCAGCCGCTCACAAGCGAAGCCAAAGATCCCAATGGCAGTCTTCTGAACGGTTTGAAGGCTCAAAAGCCAGTTGTGAAGTCATTTGCCCTATGGGAGCTTGGTCTTATTAGCCAACGGTTACCCGAGCGCCGAAAGGCTATCTTCAATGAGATCGACCGCGACAACAGCACAACTTGGTCCCAGGTTCTAACGTGCTTGACGGAGGTCATCAAAGGCATCACTGTACGGATTGATGCTAGCAAGGCCCCTATCTCTGGCCCTGGCCCCAAACCATCGGCACAAGCTGCATCCTTTCAACCTACCCTACATACTCTCCCTCGATTGACGGAAGCCCCGAAAACCGAAAACGTCTTTGCCGCTTCCCCCAAGGCCAGTTCTCGCCAGGAGAAGTTCGGCGAGGCCTTTAGCTCCACTGCTAAGTCCTATGGAAACTCGCCAGACTGGACGCCTCAAGCACGAGCTCGCGCCCGCAAGGTGTTTGACCAAGCCTCGTCGGCTATGTTGAGCCCTGAGCGTAAAAAGAAGCTTTTAGCATCATCTGAAGAACTGAAACTACTTACCGGAGGATCTTCTGCCACATTTAAGCCTGAGAATGTCCATCCCATGCTCGTCCAGCTCCTTCGATCACCCATTGGTCTCCCTTTCCGCCAATCTTATGCTCAGCGTGCCTCGAGCATCGTTCTTGGATCACCTGATTCTTCTCTAAGTTCAATTGTTGATGCTGTGGATTCCTTAACTCGGCTCTTGATTGCCAGTCTGGCAGAAGATCAGTACGGAAAAGTCCAAGCTGATGTGCCATCTGTTGTGCGCCTTTTCACCGAGACAATCGTCTCCCTGGAGGCGTTTATCCACCAGGGTGGGCTGGATGCACACTGGACCGATGTTAACTTTCCTCCTTCGAGTAACACAGATGCACAAGCAAAGGCTCGCCAAGTTCCCGGTGTGGACCTCGTTTTAGAAACATTGAAGAGTGGTTTAATTGAGTTGCTGTCATCCTTCAAGCCCTACTTTCGAGATATTGGACTCGGAGGCAAGGACCTGAGGTTAGCTAAGGAAGCCACGGGCACCGATGAGGAGGAAGAGCCGTAACTTATGCTCAAATCCTCCTAGTCCGATGGAATTTGACGTTTTCACGTGTATTAAAAGCATCCATCATGAAGACTGGTTGCTCAAGTTATGTTTTGTACTCCTATGGTAGTTGGCTTCGAGTGGACAAATGCATGGTCAGGCGTTATTGTTTTTCTTTATTTCTTTTCCAAGTTTCAACGAATGTGTATGCCAGTTGCAAAATCTAGAGTCTACCCACGCTCTTTAATTAGGATTATAAAGTTGTTCTTTTCCCGCGGAATATCGGCCTCCATGTAGACTCATGGCTTCATCCTAGTCACATGACTATCTCAACAACTTGCATTTGCAACATGTTATCTTCGAAACCGGAGTTTGACCTCGACACCGGCACGATTAACATCTCTCAACATTTGAAGATTCCAGTTTCTCGAAGCTCATCCCACGCTACTGAGATCATGTCCTTGACCAACGTGTATCACCTTCGCCGAGTCGCAGATACGGCTGCCAAATCATGCCTAATCTGCTACAAGCCATCCACCAGTGTGTTGATCACACCCGAAAATAAGGTAGAGCCTGCAGAACCCCTGCAGTAGCCTTTATACGAGCTACATGCTACTTCAATGTCGATATTGGCTTTCTTTTTACACAGCTACTGACCGTCCATTCAGGATTTCTTCTATGTGTGCCCCGCACATCTGCAAGACCGCCACTTCTGCACACCCATAATTGACACGGAGGGCGAGGCAAAGCGGCAAAAGGAAGAAGCAATGGCGAAAGAAATCGAAAATGTCAAAAAAGAATATGAAGAAAAACAACGACGAAAGAAAGAAAAAGCCAAAGATGAGAACGATAAGGAGAAGGATGACTCGAAGGAAAAAGACAAAGATACTTCGAACTCCAAATCTGATGAGAAGGAAAGAGATGACAAGGTAAGATCTTAAAATGTGGCATTTACAAAAGCCATGGCTGTTAATCGCTTCTCGCCAGATTGATTCAATAAAAATCGCCGGCACCGAGACAAAAACAGCCGACTCACCTCGGATTTTTGAATTGCATAAGTTTGTTTCTTCTGTATAAACATGCCTGAACTCCTACTGATATCTTTCGTAGGACTTTTTATCAAATGCGGATTGATCGCTTACGTGGGATTGAGATGGCCAAAAGAAACCAAGAGAGAATGAAGAGTCCCTCTCTGTTCCCCTCTGTCCCTACTCGTGAGCTCTAAATGTCACCGACGCATCCAAGTTGGTCATCGACACAGCTTGAAGAGCCAACTTGCAGTGGAAAGTTTGAAAGTCTACTCTCGTGATGTCCAAAGAACTCCGTGGGTTGCTCTTTGTGAGGGACCAGGGCAACTTAGCAAAGTTTACTTCAAGGCTCCCATGTCCCATTTTGTCGGCAAGGCCGAATCTCAAAATGATGCATGCCACCCTTACAAGGAACCCCTCATCTACAAAACCGTATGACGCATGGATCGCACCAATCCCCCACTAAGGCTCCCAACCTAATCATCAAATCTCGTCATGTAAACGCCCTCGCAGCGGGGCATACTTGTAATTATGCCTTATGAAGCTTGAGCGGGTGCCTCGGAGCGGGAAACGCCATACTATCGCGCAGACCCAGCACGCACGTTCCGCAAATACGCACATTGGATGATGCACAGCCCAAGTGACAAGTCACTCTCTGGGGGTTTGAATCCTGCAGGATGGTTTTCGTTATTCTAGACAGCCTTTCCGTTCGGATTTACCACACTTCTTGCCCTTTTTAGTGCACATACATATGTAACTTAATATATAGTAGATATTCTCAAAGCAAGGCCTCCCATCAAGATTAACAAAACGCCTAGCTACCTTAGGCAATACCACACGACCAGAAGCATGATCGTCTCTGTAAGCCTTACCAGGCAGATCGGAAACAGAAAACGTGACTTCCGTGCCGTCGGCACCCTGGCACTGCGTGTGCACGGGTGGATTGGAGGGAAGAATAAGCACTAGAAGAGCACTCCCGTTGAGGCGAAGCCCGAGAACCCCTCTTCTAGAAACTGGCCCCCATCAGCCCTAGAGGGCTATCACCTGGGTTATTACTCGTTTTTGAGTCGACCCCCTCCTCTTGGAGGTAATCGGGTTGTTGAGTAGGAGGGGTTATAGTTTGCGAATGGAGAAGTTGGTGTAGGACGCCTTGTTGGGCTTTCTTGTCGAATCCTATCTCGGTTTGCTGCATAAATATGAAGCCTTGTATTGGAGGAATCAAGTTACACTTCCAAGGCTCTTTCAACATGAGAATCGCCCCTCAGACTTGAACAGGGGTGGGTGTAGTAAAGGTCTTGATATGGCTACCGTGCAATCCCTAGTATAAGGCCTATACGCTACGATATGCACTATGTGTTGTATACACATCATTGGTCCCGATTATTCAGGCCAACACTCATTTCATCATTTGCGTCATGCCGATTAATGTATGCATGACATCCAAATATAGTTCCAATATTCAAAGGTTGCGTATAGTATTCTGGGGTGCCCAGGTGGACCTTGATCAACTTGCGATCTATTACTAGTCACAAGACATCGAAGACAAGCGGCAGCCTGGCAATGCCTCCCTCTTAGCTTTGTTTGTCTCGGCTTGGAAGCCCGCTTTCTGGCCGAACTATAGCCTTATGGCATTATGATACTGTGTGCTGATGATCTAGACCTCGAGATGTCGTAAGTCAAGCTAGGTTTCCTTGTACTTTGTTTATAGCCGATGTAAGAACCAATTTACTACAATCAGTCTAGCGTTCTACTAGCCAGCATACGTAAACGGCACAGAGTCAAACTTATTATCAGAATGATCTACCTATTCCTTTTGATGAGTCTGATCCAAATGAAACAGCTCATTATCTCAATCGAGCAACAGACGCGTAATGATGATATCTTGGCAGCGCCTACAAAGGTATATACTTCGTAGTAACCACCAAGCTGTTCACCGCCAAGCAAATGCCCGTGTCAGCTTCAGTTTCAGGCTCCCCTGACCTAAGGCTTGTACGGTAAAACTGACATGCATAGCCCTGTGATCCCGTCGAATTGGGGAGTCACATCGTAGGCCTACCGCGGTGCGTCCACATGGCCGCAAAACAAGGTAAAGACTGCGACTCAGCGTCAGCTTGAAATTGTCAGAGCGAGGTGCAAGCCGATCTGGAGTCCTTAGTGGGAAAAGGAGGGTCCAGAACTGCGGAAGTCTATCCAGTAGTGTTGGCACAAATCGGGAACTATGATATCAGAGTGAGATGCTTTTTATCGAATATGAATGTGACTCCACTGGAAGCTGCGAGCTCCCCTTGCAAGGCGGTGCACTGCCCCTGCCCCACCCCCACCAGGCTGCTGGTCCCTACCAATAAGCCAGCCCCGTTGGGCGGGTATGTTGTAGCTTGTTGGCCACAGGCGACATTCTCAAGGCTACCTAACGGACATTGGAGGAGCCTTTGATTCCGTATTGAGTGCCTGATTAAGCCGGAAGAGCGGATGGAATGTAAAGTTAGATAGAGGGTAACTTGGGTAATTTATTGGCTGTTTCTTATTCAAAATGTTATTCCAAATGTAGTCTTATCTGTGTTTTTATATCGTTGTAACTGCTGGAGAACATATCTTAATAGTAGATCTCTTCAAGAGCAAGAGACTCTAGACATAAACCCCAGCACCTGAAGAGCGCAAGTATGTAATGACGGGCTCAAAACCCGTATTACGAATACATGCGTTGCAGTCGGTGGGGCCAATAGGGAGGCCCAGGAAGAAGACCCACTTCAAATTGCACAGCCTCCTTCACCTTCAGCAACCTTGGCAATTCATCCACCCAGAAGGGGGAATTCATCACCGCCTCGGTCAGGTCCAGCGTCATTGGCGTCTGACGATGCTGATCCCTTAAGAATGAAACATCACTGCATGGAGAGCGCAACCCCTCGATATTGCGCGCATCTCTGTCTGAGGATGTGGGGCGATAGAGTGAACAAACCGTCTCGTGGGGACAAAGGGAAAAAAAGAAGGGGTACAAATGGAAAAGGAAGCAAGTGGACCCAGCTGACGAGCAGCGTCGCGCCGATATTATTCAAGCGTCACCCTGGTGTGGTGTGCTTTAGTGCCCCCAGCCCCGAGTCATGTCTCGCTTGACGCGCGACTATGTACGTGTGTTGCTCCCGTGAGAATGTCTCGGTCACCGTGGCAAGGAGCAGAATCACACCCGGGTAAGCAACACATGCGCAGTTGGCCACGAGCTTTTTTTAGGTATGCTTCATGCAGCCCTAAGCTCGTCTGGCTAGGCACTCAATTGGTGTTCAGGATTACGGCGCCATTGGGCTGGTGCCAGGCTTGGCTGTCACACATCGCCGACTCTGTATCACTTTCTTCCAGCAAGCTTGTACCAGGTCATTGCTCAGTCATAGGCTGGTTGGATGGTGGCAATCCGGAGTATTCTGACCATTTTTTAGCTCTTGATCATCGTAGAAATGCAAGAATATGGCATGGCGAGTAAGGGACCACGGAAAACGGAGTCCAGCCAGCCCTGTTGACTCCATCAGATCCTTTCATGGAAACCATGATCGTGGCTTTTTAGTTCGTTGTTGAAGGGACGGCAGAGCCGCTAGCGTATAGTCTAGCGTGTCTTAAGTGGCTTCTGTCTTGCGAATAAAATGGTGATTCGTAGGTCTCAGCTGGATGGGCTCGTCGGAGGATTTAGCCCTCGGGCCACTAGGTAGGGCTAGAACAAGATCCCGATCTTTAGCTCTAGAATCCTGGAAGCGGACCTGTGGCGGAGATCTAAGCTTACGGAGTTCCTTGTTTGTAGCCTGGTTTAGACACCTGGCTGGCTGAATATGAGACCCTGTATGTTGTACACCGTCTAGCGAGGTTTTGCCTCCCCATGACGCAAGTGGCCCGCGCAAATGGAGTAGAAAGAGGTTGAAGGAACGGTGTATAGAGAACGAGAACCTTGAGTGGCTTGACATATGGATCAATCGGATCTGGTAGTTACATTGTGGGGTCTGCTGATCATTGCACTTATGCAGCCCTGGAAACCCGACTATACGGAGAATAGAACTACAGCCAAAAATAGTAGAGAATCAAAATAGATGGGCGGATTTCGTCTTGCAGCTTCATGACTCGTAATTTTTATGTGCATTTACATCTTCATATATGTTCGAAACATCATTTCAGAGGTTTCCACGCCCTGAACCGGGCTGATTAGGTTCAGTAGACCGCATCGCCGGGGGAAGACGGATACCAAGTGCGGCCGGGGGGAGGTTGCCTGATGCCAGGGGTTTGATATCAACACGAGCTTTCGCCAGGCCGATGGCGGGCACGACCCAGCTATTGCAGCTGCACTGCATACCTTGCCATGCAAATTTTCCGATATTAGCTCCACAAGTAGGATTTGGGCAGGCTAAGCGCCCGGACAAAGGTGCATCTCCGGTAAATTGTGCGTTCGGGTTCGAATCAGAAGCGGATGGGTACAGGCTTGAGCGCATCCATTTCATAGGATGTAAAAAGATGTGCGCGCATTCTACGTTGGATCTTGCCTTGGCGTTCTCACGCTTTTCCTCTTCATGTGAAATGATGTACTTGCTCGATGCTATTCCTCGTCTATTGGGAAATTAGCTTCTCTCTCCCTTCTTCGGACGGGTAAATCAATTCTTCTTTCGGGGGATTATACGAACCGGCATTTGCGACACTTAAGCTCCACTTCACGTTCAGGAGTTGGTTGAGCTTGCTGGATTGAAGGTTGATCGTCTTCAAAACGCACAGACTCCATTTCTGGGGCACGGCCACATGCTACACTTTCCTCGACCTCTCGACGGTATAACCATCTTTGGTAGATTGGGTGCTCTGTGACGTCGTCTGGACATCCCATCTCATGGTAAAGTTCTAACTGTTGCATGAAACCATCATTAGGCTCACAAAGTGGTCGTCCTTCTCGGACAAGTTCCAGTGCGGCATGCGGTGTAAATGAAGCTTCATCGCGCTGCTGGTGGAGCAAATAGGCAATGCAAATTGTTGCAGATCGGGACTTGCCCATCGCACTAGATATTTTGATTAGCATTTATTTATCCTTTCTCAAATAGGCAAACTCGACACGTTGGAGCGGTTCGCAAACCAAGAGACATAAAGGCGATCAGATAATATAGCAAAAGCAATATGACGCACGCGCCAATAAACACTCAATCGTAACGAGCTAGGAGAAAATAGCAAAAATAGAGTCGAGGAAAATCACTTACCAATGTACGAAAACACCGCCACCGCCATCTAGACCCGACTGAATGAATTTGATGGCAGCTGGGAAATGCTCCAGGAGATTTTCATAGTCGACATCATCGACATCAATTTTATGATGTTGATAAGATGAGAATATTTCATCAGAACCGAGACGTAGCACAGATAGAACATGAGTAATGTTTTCCCTTTCGAGAGCAGCTTTGTTCTTCAGAGATAATATACTATAAGCGGTGAAGGTGTCAGCAGTCTGTAACTAGATCGAGATACGCGCTTTGGAGGCCCACTCGGCAAGAGAAATCTAGTCGAATCAAGCGGGAATGAGAGGGAACTGACCCTCCAACGAAGATATTATGACCGGGGATGCGATTCACTGCCATGGTAGCGAAGGGCTGTGCGATGCCCAGTTGTGAATGAATAAAGTGCCCAGTCTGTTTTGATTATTCAAATCTCGGCGTTTTGCTCTTCCCAACGCCGTATCGCGATGGACCGAGGTTTAAGCCTCACGGGTTAACCCGAAACGGACGTTAGGGCAAGGGTAATGTAGTGGCAGGTGACATTGATGCCTCAGGCTACATAAAATTGATTAACGTATCTGTTATCTGTTATCTAAGGAGTATGGAGAACGCGCTTTTCTACAGGAAACATTATCCCCCGCGCGATCAGGACCATAAATCTTCAGATTAACCACGACCACATCCTTGGTACTCTACGTACTCCGTTCTGGGAATCTCATTACCCATGAGCGGGGTCATTAAAATGAAATGCGCACGATCCCTTTCGTCTAACCAATCCTGGTTGATGGTCCTAACATCCTTAACACGAGGGTGATGTGGATTTGACCCATTAAGCTGGATTTACCCACCCGCAACTCACTCCGCATTCCCAAAGAATTGAATAAGACTTGCCGGACCCAGTCCACGCCGCGAGCACTGCCGCTTGAGACAAGAGAGGGTTCTCGGTTACGGGTTTCCATTGGCTCTGTTCATTTCCATCGACCGCACTAAGTGCTCCGTAGCCGACCATAATGTCTCCATACAGGAACAAGCGAATCCACGCATCGACTTCCCAAGGACAGGATCTGTCAATCTAGCTGGTCTTGGTCAACCCACAGCCTCAAACAGATTGCCACAATAATCGTCCCTGGCGTCGTAATACATTCAGCCCATTTCCACAGGCAAAATAACGGTACATCCAATGGAAAGCAGTCTGCTAACAATGCCACAATGCTTCCACCGAGTCCAGCTGTGCGGTCCACGCCGCGTGGGTGGGGCCTAACAAGACCTCAAGTCTACACACGGATGCTCAAAGAGCCGATTCGCTTTGCGCACTGCAAGGGGTGGGTTCAAAATGCGACTTACCGCGGGTAACTGCGGGCGCAGGAACAACACAATGGGTGTACGTACGGAGTAAAGAACTAACACGCTTTATAGTGAGGCTGACGCGGGTGTCGCATCATTTTGCCTCCCCGAAGCCCCGAAGAACAGCGAAAATACTCCCTAAAAAAGAGGCGCCCTGGCGCAAAGTACGCGCATTTGCCACCAAGCTGCAGCCTTCTAGGGCTTAGGCTCACACCCACGCCCTACACCCCGTAGAGTTCACACGGAGCTGGAAAGTTAACTTTCTGACGACATGGAAATTCCCTGTTGACGTTTGCCAGTGGAGCGACAATCACTTCCTAAACCGTAGCACAGAGCCACACATGGCCAAGGAGCTTGACTGTCGACTCTATGATCTACCCAAATTGACCGCGACCATCCAGTTATCATTGTGGGACCTATTACCGACTACATTAGTTTCACTTTTGAAGATGGGAACTGTTCGACCACAAGACACACTGCACAGCATCAAAGTATCGGCAAGCCAGACCGCAACAATCCCGATCCGGCGCAAGACCCTCCCTGGTTGTACGGGAAACTTGTTTTGGAGCAAATACCTCTGGATTTATTGGCGAAACTAACAATTTAGGACGATCTGATATTTCAGCCTTTCCTGACTCCGCAGTTCCGTAGTGCTCCATAGTGTTCGAGTTAAAATGTTTTTATGTTTTTACGCAAAAGGGCAATGTTCTAATGACTCCATTCATGATAAGGTCTCCATATTTATTGCTAAGCACTTAGTCTGTTATACTAGGCCGAGGTAACAAAGGCGACCTCGAAAATTGGTAGTTCCTCAGGGGTATTTTACAGTATTATATTGTGGTTTATAAATTCAAATTATATGTATTTTGTGTTATATTGACGAGACAAAATTCCAACATTGGCGGACTGCACCCGAGGTAATGTTCCGATACTTTCTTTTTTAGCGAACATATAATCCTTGGATCCTTGGAAAAAAACAGCAGCAGATCCAACCTTTGACGATGTTAAGCTCAGCCAGAGCTGGTGTGGAGCACAAGATGACTCAGCACCGCTCACGTCAAGTCTACAGTAACTGAATGTTGCTGGTGTTGTTCGGTTCTCCTCGTCCAACAATGTCTTACTTTTAGTGTCCCAGTCATCGAAGAGTATGACATATTAATTGTGCGTGTGGATACAGTAGCTAGTGGATGCGCAAAAAAACTCCCCTTGCTCATGATCCCAAATGACAGCGGACCATCAGTGTGGCAGTGCATGCATGACTGGGCCCTAAGTGGGTCACGCTAGGAAATCAGTGGATCTGCAACAACGACTCACGTCTGTCCCTTTCATGTGGGGGCAGCGAAAAAGAATGTTCTCTCTGCTTTTGAAGACTCCTGGTCCAGTCGTCCTGGAGGAGACAAAGATTCTTGCCCGGAGCCCGAATCCTTTGATGCATCGTCCTCTGCCCCCCAAAAAATGGTCAATTCTAGCTTGCTTCGTTGTGTATCCATTTTGCATACTAGATCAGGTATGACAGTGCTGGTCATGGTGAAAGATCCTGTTATTATCCTCCCAAACGGCGATCCCGGCAAATATAAGCCTGTTGCCAAGACTTCCCAAGACTCTCCGGTGCATATTGTCACCGGCCATCAACATTTTCTCAATGATTTTACCAATCATGTTTCTTCTCTTGTGGAGATCTCCGTTGTCGTGGCCGCTGCCCTCCGATTATGTATTGTAGTAAATGTGTAAAGCGTCAGCAGAGTGGTTCTCTGACATAACCATGGTTTGTTGAGTCCTTAACTCCATCATAGAAATCTGCTGCTACTGTACATGTCTGATTAATTTGGCTGTTGTCAACAGTCATCCTATACCATACAAACGGTAGAAGGACTATATCGTGCGTGGCAGAATGTTATAAAGACAATTTATTTGTCTTTCATTGCGCACATATTAAATCACTTTCCACGCGGCATCAGATCAACGTGAGGCGTCCTGTATACGAGAGATTTCAAGGCACCCTCCCCACTCTGGCGTCAACCTCACCGCATAGATAGGGAAGGTGTATAGAAAAAGCTCGGGCTTCTTGCTTTCTTTTTTGCTTGGACGAAGTACTCTTTTCTTTTTTCTTTTTTCTCTTTTCTTTTTTCTTTAAATTTTTTTTGCCTCCCGTGTTCAATGCCCAGGTTTTGTTCGTCCCCCTTAATACCCTGTGGAGGTCCACGGATGTACGGAGTATGGAGTAGAAAATTGTATTTAATGGGAACCTCTTCGGTGACCACTATAGGCGCTGTGTTCTATCTAAGACTTCTATATTTTCTGGAAGACTTGGTAGTTCCCAAGGTTTGCAAGAAGGTTGAACCACGGATAATCAGTGTTGCAGTATCTGATTCGAGACGAACGGAGTAAAATTACAGGAACCCGGAGACTCCCAAATTCGGTGCCTCCTAAGGCTGACGAGATAGTTTAATTTGTTTGGCGCCAGCCTTGTGTCTAGGGCTTAGAGGATGTCATTCCAACGTGGCCATCACACCCTTCCCACGCGGGTTGGACAGTGTGTAATCAAGATCTGATGATCCCATTCCAAATGCCATTCCCCGTTCCCCACCCATTTCCGAAAGGCTGATTCAAGTTGTTCCATAACGTTGGTACTGGTATGTAAGTGGCTTACCAAGTACATACATATACAGGTATATGTACCAGACACTCCCCATTTTGCCTCTTTAAACACGTCAGAACCCCCCCGGCAGGTTAAGTCCGACCCAAAAGATTCAAGTCCATTCATTCGTCTATGATTCCTCGTTATTTGCCTCTTGCGGCTTGTAGGTTCCAGAATCTCCAGCTTGGTCTCCTCTATTTCTTCGAGTTCCTCATTTTCCCCCCTTCCACCCTACTCTTGGCTCAGCTCGGAGAGGATGAGATCACCGCTATTGTCCCCAAATTGATTTTAACTCTTTTTTCTCCCCCTCGAACCGTGCGATCCAATCATCTACATCCTGCACCGCCATCGCCCCGACTTTTTTCTACTGCCCGATTTCCCGTCTACTGGGGGCGCATTACTTCCTCTTCCCTTTCCCATTCTATCACTAGTGTCGCATGGAATTTTCTTTGCATACACTCTCCTTTTAGCCAGTTTGTTGTTCAACCCGAATTCCAATTGTTCAGCTAGTGGCGGGGTGTCTCTCCAAGGATTAGAAGCGACCTTTATACTCGCCCCAATTCCTTCTTTTTCTTTTTCTTCTTCTTTTGGCATCTAATCGCATGAACTTGGTCTCAGCCTTGTTTCTCATTTTATTTTATTTCCCCCGATTTTTTGCCCTTGAGTACAAACAAGTGACCGCAGAAGAAGAACAAAAGCGAAAGCAAAAAAGCCCAGCTTTCCCTTGTTTTCTAAACGGTTTACATTTTCATTAAAGCCAAATACCCATTGATCCAAAAAAGCATGCGTGGAACCAGTCCCGCAACTTGCCATTGATTGGTTTCTATGGGAAACAGACGGCTTTTTCCACAGGGCTGTGTGTCACTACTGCGGCGAACGTATCATATATCTCATGAGGCGAATCGCTGAACCAGGGTCTCGAAGGTAGGCTTTTCCTGTCAGCCCTATTCTTTTTGCGCTATTACCAGGTCATGTCTTGCTTTTCGGTTCCACTAGTCTAACTCTCCGACTTAGTATCACAGCCAGCCGCATGGTATCTTGCGACTGCTAACATCCCCGTCGCCACCTTCGAATAATCGCCTCGCTTCGCTCGCGCTTGCTGACCCATTTGGAAGCTGGACTTTCTCATCGGAGGCGGGGTGAGGCTAGTCAACAGTCCACATAGGAATCTGAACTGGTTTCACGACCGACGTTTGCGCTCAACTGGATTGGGTTACTGCTGCGACACCGGATCTTGATTCGATCCGCTTATTGCTCCCTCCTTAAAGATTCGAAGGTTATTATCTCTTATTCTATTTATTTTTTCTCTATCTTCTTGGTTAGGAAGTTTGAGGAGGAAAGAAGCAGGGAAACGAAATATTCGCCGCCTCGGTCTTTTAGTTCATTTATGGGAGCGCGCTAGGCATCTCTTGCATACGTTCTAGAATGGACCCAAGGCATACGTCTGCACCGAACTTTTATGACTTCAACGACCACGATTACCGATATCCACCTGAACGAACCCCACACACAATGCCCGACTTGCCATTCTCATCATACGGCCCGCGACCTATACCCTCTCGACCCGCAATGCATACTGCGCCCCCTCCGCTGCCTCCACCGCCGAGAATCCGGGACTTGGAAAATGGTTATGATGTTGGCTGGCTCCATGCCAATTCTGAAAAATCAACTGCTGCTTTGCCGCCGATAAATCCGAATTCGAGTCTATTTGGTGGACATCGTCGACCTGATTCTGCCCCGCGAAGTGATCCAATGGTGGTGGACGAAATAGAAGGAAGGCAAAGTGTATTTCCCTTGTCTCGCAGTCCGGAAGCACAAATCAAAATTGAACCTCCGCCTCCGACAGACGACGGATTTCCCAATTCAATGTCCGTTACTTCTCCCTCTGGCCCAATGTGAGTTATATTGTCAGACTACGCGACGGCATATTGCATGTCCACATCTCTGCAATTTGGGGTTCGCTGTCAAATTGACTAGCAGATGCACTAACACGTTCTATAGATTGAAAGGAGAGCGGGATTTCTCTTTAAGGAGCGTGAAGGATTCTTCAAATGCATATGACCAACATTTACTTTCCAAAATTGGAAACTCATTATCACCTCGAGGTTCTATAAGTCATGGATCTGATCCTCGTGGTTCGATTTCAGCACTTACAGTTCCATCTCGATCGCCTAGCAACTTACCCTCGCCTGGCCCATCAGAAGGCTCTACTCTTGATGTGAAATGGGCATATAGCCCTCAGTCAGGAGGTGTATCACCAAGATCACCTAGATCAAGCATTGGATGGAGGGAATACATTGAGGGCCGTAGCCCTGGCCGCAGTCCAAGTGTGGAAAGCAACGCACCATCTGCAGCCCTGGACTACGACTATATGCGAGACGTGGGCAGAAGACGCCACCACGGAAAAACTCCCTCTCGAGAGGATAGTATCAGTTTACCAAGCCGATCTAACCGAGGAAGTTATGACCAGGGCGTCTTTTCAGATATTGAAGGAGAATTTGGATCGGATGATCCCATGCTACCCCGGCCGTACCTGGACGAGCCTATGCCGCCGCGACAGTTTATTCTTCGAGAGCCAACGCCGCCTTATCCTGAAGGCTCAAGGCAGGGAATGAAGCGGAGAGCTTCGTCTCCTCCACGGGAACCAATGACTGACGACCGCCATACTTTGCATGTGGCTACTAGCAACGGAGATCTGTCACAACGAAGAACTAGTGGACAACCGTTCACAAATAACTTGACGGTTAACAGCACCTATGCGCCAAGCCAGCGGACTTTGTCCGCGGCATCGTCTTTGAGTATCAGAACTTCAGAATCCTACTCATCCGCCCTCTCTATTGGAGGTAGCAGCATGACCAGTCTCTCGCCATATGATCGTCCATCACCAGGCGGTCTATCTCCCAGCTCAGATCTCGACACTTTCCATGAGAAGTCGATTCTCAATCCCAGTTCCCCTGTTGGTTTTGTTCAACAAATCCCAAGAGTCGTGACTGGTTCGAATTCGCTTGAGCCACCCCCTACAGATGCCACAGGCAAAGTTCCAGTATTGAGTATTCCTAAGCCTGCCTCAAAGATGAGCGGACTGTTCATCTGCGATTGTTGTCCAAAGAAGCCGAAGAAATTCGACAACCCGGATGATCTACGGTAAGCCAGAAGCAATTTCTTCTGCAAAAAAGAATTCTCCCCAGCTAACATCAAATCCAGCGCACATGAAATGGAGAAGCAATACTCCTGTCAGTATTGCAACAACCGCTTCAAGAACAAGAACGAAGCGGAACGCCATCAAAACTCTCTTCATCTTCGACGCCATTCGTGGTCTTGTGCCGCCCTCCCAAGCTTCCAGGCAGCCTTCCACGGCTCAGTAGCCCCGTCTTATCAAACAAATGCGGGCCCCTCACACGACACATGCGGTTACTGTGGGGAGGAGTTCCCAAATTACCCTCGACCAGACTGGGATGCTCGGTTCGAGCACTTGACAAACGTGCATAAGTTCGGCGAGTGTAACAACGCAAAGAAGTTCTTCCGCGCAGATCATTTCCGACAACACCTTAAGCACAGCCATGCCGGTGCAAGTGGCAAATGGACAAATATTCTCGAGAACGCATGCATGAAAGAGGAAATCCCTCCTGAGCCTCGAGATAAGAATCCCACTTTACACGCCCCTTCACACGGGCCCTCCGGCTCCTTGACATCGAACACAATCGATGAGGTTCTCACAGAACAATGACAACCAGTTTACCCCGCCTCTTGGTGGTTCACCGGTCTTTCTCTTTGCACAAAAAGTGCACTTTTCAATACTTGTGCTCGTCTTCTTGCATCTTCCACATACCTGTTATGTTCGGTTTACCCGAAGCTCCCGAAAACGCATATGCAAATATAAAAGTGAAGTTCTTCAAAAGTTCATGAAGGCACTGGATATTACGACGTGATACGATCTTTGTTTTAGTTTCGGCGACTGTTCCCGGTGGATGGTGGGAGTTTCCTGGGGGCTTAAGGTACAGCCATTATGTCTATACTGGTGCATCACCTGGGTGGTTTTACTTTTTCGCCATGAGTCGGAGTATTTTCGTTTTTGTCATCGGTGGAGTTTTGCTTGTTCTGGTGAGCCATGTCTCTTGCATATATTCCCCTTGTATATACGTTCGGAATTTAGACCGTTCCTGTGGATTTAAACCTCTCCAAGTGTAGTTCTAATTCGTAGTTATATGTACCGGGAAAACATACAGCCTTTTGAAGGTTTCAAAGTTAGTTATTATCGTAATTATGTGTACATATAAGGCTTGCTGCATGCTAGGACTATTGGAGACGTGGAAGATCTACTCTTGCCCGTTGAAGGTGGAGAATGGCATTGGGTCTAAGTGGAGATCTTCATATTCCATATTTACCGTATACCTCATCAAGTGACGTTTTACAGCACCAATATAATTTTATTTGAGGTTCTCTGCCTGAAATTCCTGCTGAATTTACTGTAAGCAGATAATAGCCATGAGTAGCAAATTGAGGTCTTGCTAGCTGGATTGTCATAAACAGGCAAAGTCGACTAATCACTACGGAATCATGCGACGAGCCTCATGAAGAACACAATCAAGTATACTTGACAAAAGTCAGTAACAGGCACCAATTGAGAACTTGCATTTTTCTACCTAGAATCTCATCAGAGACACCTCCCAGCGCTTGAGCCCCAAACCATCTAAATACGGCCTAACAATCCCTGTCACCTCACCAGCGGGGAATCAAACTTTTGTTCCCCAACCATCCCTTTCCACCATTAATCCAAAAGATCAGTAACCAGATCCACATCTCAAATATGGCAGTCCAATTCTGCAAAGGATGTGGCAATATATTATCAATATCAGCCTCAGAAGAGATCGAGTGTATCTTGTGCGGAAAGATCGCGACGAGTGAGCTCGAATCACTTCCTGTCAAGCTTCTTCTAACATCTACCTTTTTCTAGATGAGCACCTCACCTATAACAACGTCTCGACTTCATCTAATTTCCCATCTCGCTTACGTACCAGGCTCCTCTCCCAGACTCAAGCTATTACTCAAAAGCAACTCGAACGCCCTGTTATGGAAATGGCGTGCTCTAATGATAAGGCTACTTGGTTCGAGGCACAGCTGCGGAATGCGGATGAGGGCACTACGATATTTTATCGTTGTCTGCAGTGTAGGCACAGGTACTGGTGTCGTCTTATTCAAGACGAAGAGGGAGATTGAAGCTGACTGACTCTTTCTTATTTTAGATGGTCTGAGCATAACTGAAATGGCGAGAAGGGGATATGAAGCACAAAATGGGGAATTAATGTGTTATCGGGGACCGGAAAATGGCCATTGAGTTAGGGTCAACAGAAGAGAAGACCGGTGATGAAAAGGGGACAGAGAGGGAGTTTGGGATGAACGAAACGCGCCAGGATATATCTCAGCTTTCGTGAATCAACGCTCACAAATAAATAAATATCTACTCCGTCACACTGTCCTTGATTACACGCAGAGCACTCGTCTTGTGACCGGGATCAATAGCCGCAGCATTCTGCGCGCGACGACGAGCATCAGTCCAGAGCATAAACTCTCCATAGCTCTTAGGCATGACATTGATATCCTTCTCAACCAAGAATGTATAGTTGAACATGCCGGTTGACTTCTTGGTGCCGTGCTCGACATCTCGAACCTTGGTGTCAACGCGTACCTGAACCTTTGTGTACTTGCTGCTGTCACCTTCACGCTCCTCGGGCTCTGTGTAAGCTACTGTAGCACGGAGGTACAGTACACTTCCTACTGGGACGGGGTTCTCGAAGGTACTGGGGTCGAGTGCCAAGAAATTAGGTCTTGCGTGGGCAAAGGATGCTGCGCAACAGAAAGCGAGCTCGAAGGATTGCTTTAGGAGGAAACCACCGAAGATCATGAAGTTGTGTCTGTTGCGATCTTGGGGTTGCATGATCATGGCTGATTTGAGAACGGTGTCACTCATGAAGACTTGATTTTGGGGGCGGATGACTGGTTTCTCGGGATCTAGAAACTTGTAAGTTACTGTCATTGTTCATTGCTGGGTTTGAATTGATTGCGCACTCAGGTAGGACATCTCTTTTGTCCACATGGAGTGGATGAGATTACTCTCCTCGTCATCGGGTGCTTTCTCGAGCAGACTACGAGTTCTGAGAGCCTTCTTGTTTTTTGAGTTCTCTTCGCCTTTTTGATAAAGACGCTTCTCTTCTTCGGTTTCAATAATTAGTGGCGCCACAGAGGCAGGCCTGTTTAAAAAGAAAGATTAGCGATTTATGAACGTTCAACCATAAGACAGGTGCACGCACTTTTTGGTTACAGGATCTAAAGAGACCATGGTGAAGGCACAGGTGATCAGAACATCTTCAGGTCTAGGCTCCTGGCCTTCAGGGCGGACCTTGAGAACCTGACACGAAATCTCCATACTGGATCGGCCAGTAGCATAGGTGACCTGGCCACTGAGCTCGAGATCACCAATCTCCATCAGCGGGTTCTCAATTGTAATACGATCCACAGCAGCAGTGACGGTAGTGACTCCATCACCGGTGTGACGGTAGGCAATAACACCAGCCAATGCGTCAAGGTCCATCAGAAGCGACCCAAGTCTAAAGCAACATTAGCACCGACAGGAAACATCATAAAAGTCAGACAAAAAGCATACCGAATATGCCCAGAGGCATTGAGATACGTGTCCAACAGCCATTTATCTTGCGCCAATGGGAGAATCTGAGCGATGAAAATTAGTCACTTGAACTCGAAAATTCGAAATAAGTCGTAAGCATACAGCACTATATTGGCTATCGGACATCTTTTTCGGTGTCAGATCTGGCTTGACGATAGGCGCTGCCTCCTTGCCCTCCTGAGAATCGCGAGCAGCCTCACGGCTCTGAGTCAATGCATCAATCCAAGGGGTCTTGACACGCATTGGCATCCAAGTCGGTCGAAACGCGGCATTTGTCGGCGTTGAGTGAAATTCCCTTGTGCAGTTGGCAGATTGCTGTGCGATGGCAACAGCGCGTACCGGAAGCGCTGTAGGAGCGAGACATTTTGATCGCGCGAGAGCGCTTCTTCTTCCTGCAAGACTGAACATGGTTTATGATTATTTGAAGGAGAGTGTAATGAGTAGAAAATATGTATTAGTATCGGCGATGACGCTGTTGGCCCAGGTCGCGAGCCAGATCGGGTATAGCGCCCGGCTACCAGCCGGCAAAGAAACCGGGGAGATTCGGGATTCGTGACTGACAAAGTGCCGGCTCGGCGAGAGACGCCGAGTTCATGTATGGTAGATCGGTCGATCTAGGACGTTTGGCACTAAAGAGTTCATTCTATTAGTCACTCTGCAGCTATTCTAAAGAGCCTTCGGGGTCTCGAGCTGGTGGGGCATGGTGTTCTAAAGCTATCTCAAGCTTGGGCTTAACACTTTCTATCATTTATCTCAACGAGATTATTGAGGTTCATCTGATTATGGCGTTTGCACATTAGTAGTGCTCTAATATTTAACTCCAAGACTATTTGTTGACAGCGATCTTGCGCCCAGGTGAACTACCTAAGTAAGTCACTCGTAGCAGTTATTTCGTTCTATATCCAAATTTCAAGTTTACTCACAATGATTATTCAACCATACTGGAGGTTCTCCCCTCACATGATTGTTATTAGCATTGTTTATTATTTTCAAAGACTATTATAACGTCCATCATTGCATATTAAGTGAACCTCTAACATCTCTGTATATAGTCCACGTTCAACTTACCAAAGAAGCTTGAGGACCATCATGCGGGTCTACAAAACAGCAATCCTCAACACTATGTCCAAAAGCCAAATATAGTTCAATATCCGAGATCCAGATAATGGAGTTGATTCATCATTAAATGGCGACGAAGCCCTGTTGGTCTCTCTCGAGAGAGGCAGAAAGAAACAAGAAACATAGGCAGCCAGGCAGAGGGAGGTCTGTCACGAGTAGATATAACACAATTTATAACAAGTTCCTTCTTCTTCTCGGCCGACAGAATAATACTCGTGCGACCTTGTACATGCATAGGATTACTCGATACACGTTGTCCACATACTGACCTCACGCGATCTCGGGGCTCTGTGATTCCGGGAAGATTAGATCGGCGGTATGTATTATTTGTTCTAAGTATTGAGCCTGTACGAAGCCACAAGATTTAGCTAGGGCGCATATAGCAGTATGATAAATTCAAAATATCATTCTCACGAAATCTTCGCTTTCTCCATCGCTAATTTTCGAGAAACCGTAGCTTTGAGGTTCGTGTACATTTAAGCCCCACCACTACCACCGTGACGCTGCTTGAGCGGCGGCACATGCCAGTGTGCACCTGGGCGATAAGAAAACAGATGTAGAGAACATCAGGTAGCCCGAGTACCTCAAGATGTGAATATTTAAACATTTTCTGATCTTGATTTCAAAATTACATCGCAACCCCAGATACGTCAAATTATGGTTCTTTAACTGACTGGTTGAGTTTCGATTAAGCCTATGTTTCCAAGGTTCTCGCCCGAGAGGTGTGTCAAGATGAAGTCATTGATAAGATCAGCTTGAACTTGATCTATAAAAGAAGACACTGTAGAATACTTATTTCGAATTGAATTATTCAAATACACTGATTATATTCTGCACCAAGTTCAAGAATATTTTTTTGATTTCGAATTCAGAATGAGCGACCCAACCAACCCCCATATCAAAGAGCGCACTACTCCCCAGTGGGGGCTCTACCAACGCGAGAACTTCTGGAAGCCAAATGATGGCAAAACAGCACCATTTAATACAGGTAACCATACCTTAAGCCTTAGCCGATGCACTCAGAAATAATAAGTAACAAGTCCAGATCCCGCAAAACTCGAAGAACGAGCCAAAGAACGCCTCAGCGAAGGCGGCTGGTACGTTCCTGATCCATTTTGATACTACAATGGATGAATATTCCTAACAAAAATCAGGTACTACGCCTCCTCAAATGCAGGAATGTCCACAACCCACCTAGCAAACCGTCAAGCATTCTACCGACACCGTATAATCCCAAACCAACTAGTCGACACCAACACCCGAGACACAACAACAACAATCTTCAACCACAAGGTCTCGGCTCCAATCGGCTTCGCCCCAATAGGAATAAACAAGATCTATCACCCATCCGGCGAATCAGCAGTCGCAAAAGTAGCTGGCGAACTTAACCTGCCCTACTGTCTTAGCACAGCAGGAAGTACATCGATAGAAGATGTCGGAGCCGCAAACGGAGAAGGATCTCCCCGGTTCTATCAACTGTATATGCCCCATGATGACGAGTTGACGCTGTCACTTATTACACGTGCTTGGGAGTCAGGATTCGATGCATTGATTTTAACGACAGATACATGGCAACTTGGATGGAGACATGATGATGTTGCGCATTCGAATTATGCATTTTATCGTGGATTTGGAGCTGATCTCGGACTGTCGGATCCAGTCTTTCGGAAACGGTGTGCTGAGGATGGAATCGATCCGGACACTGATGTTGTGCGTGCTTCGAGTAAGTGGATTGATTCCGTTTGGCATGGACGGGCGTGGAGTTGGGAGAAGATTCCTTGGTTAATGAGGGAGTGGAAGAGGATTTCGGGTGGGAGGCCTTTCGCTATTAAGGGGATTCAGTCGGTGAAGGATGCGAAGAAGTGTGTTGAGATGGATGTGGATGGGATCGTGGTTAGTAACCATGCTGGGAGGCAGGTTGATGGGGCTGTTGCGAGTTTGGATGCGTTGGAGAAGATTGTTGAGGCTGTTGGAGAGAAGATTTATATTATGTTTGATTCTGGGGTTAGGGGTGCTAGTGATGTTGTTAAGGCTTTGGCTATTGGGGCGAAGTTCGTGTTTGTGGGTCGTTTGTGGATCTGGGGGTTGAGTATTATGGGGGAGGATGGGGTGAGACATGTTATGAAGTCTTTGTTGGCGGATTTGGATATCTTGATGGGCATTGCGGGGTTTAATAGTATTGAGGATTTTGAGAAGTCAATTCTTGGTAAGTTGTTATTTAGGATGGCGGCTTTCATTCTGGGTGTTGAACTGACGTTGATTCACAGAGTCGGGACCGAAGGCTTATAATTTGATTCCTGAGAAGAGAAAACTCTGATGAGAGAAGAGGTGAAGAGAAATGATTGTTTCATGGTGATGAATATGATGGGATTGTCCATCTTTATATTGTTTGTGTTTGGGTTCTATAGTACATTAAAGACAATTAAAGTCGCGGTTGAGACTGTTTTTCAGTGTCTCGACAGACGAGGAAAATAGGAAGCAGCTCTATGTACAAAAATGGTGCAAGAGCCTCCCAGATAAAGAACGAATGAGATGGTATGTGCGACTAGGGGATATCAGTGGGTAAAAACAAAATCCGTAAATATGAGCAAATAGGCCGGTAAAACATGTGCGCAAGACCCAGGATATAAACAGGATAACGCCGGGAGAATTTCGAGGCTGTTGACAGGGAAAGAGATGCAAGGAGATGCAAGGATAGAAGAGGAAGGCGAGTGGTTGAGTGATTATGAGACAATTCGGGAGGTCCAATGTGGGTGAAGTTAAAAGAAGCACACTTTTAGACTAGGAAAGCGGCAAAAATTGCAACGAAGGAGGGAATGACGGTAAAAGCAACGCGCGATCCTGAGTTTGTAGAGATTTCTGAGGTGGTAGCTGATGCTGCAGAGGCTGAAGTTGCTGTGCCACTCGCGGTGGACTCTGGACTCGCAGTGGTAGCAGTGGTAGCAGTGGTGGTCGGGGCCGTATAGGTTCCATTTCCAGGAACCGAGGTGCTGTTCCGTGAACCAAATCCGATTTGATCATTGTCGAAGTCAAAAACGGAGTAGACATTCTTCAAGAACACATCACCGACGAGCCAACCATCCACCCCAGAAGCTTGGTAGGCCACAAGGGTCGATACACAGTTGTCTCCGCTCTGGGAACCAATGTAATCCTCCGGAGAAATGGAATACTTAACATTCGAAAATTCGAATTCAATTGTAGCGGTAGAGTCGCACGGGATAATGTAATTATCGCCCGACTTGGAGGATCCAGGGACCATGGCGAACAGGGTAGCGGCATCATCTGGTGGGATCAAAATGTAGGTTGTGCCCGTGTCAATGGTAGCGGAGGTGCTTGAGAAGCCACAAGCTGTGCCATCCACGTAGGCGTCATCGAGTGGAATTGACCAAGTATCCGAGTTAATACTAGTGTAGGTGATATTACCATCGAATTTTGTTGTGTCAACACCACCGAAATTCACCTCCCCAGTCTTCGGGTCATCTACAGCACGCGATAGGCTGAATCCCACAATGTTCGACGAAAGGGAGCCCTCCTCTGCGACAGCATCCATGAAGGAGGGAATAGTCCATCCTGCAGTTCCTGAGCGACCCAAACCTAGAATTCCGTCGAGGGGGTAGCTCGCAAAGGCCGAGGATGCGGAGGTGGCCTGTCCAAATGTAAAAGTCACGTCTAGATCAGCAATGGACATGGTATCCTGACCCAGGTCTCCTTTGATGGTACCACTTCCATATCCGACCGTGATTGTGGAGCTGTTCGATATGTAGCTGGTTGAATTATCCGTATCGAACGTGTGGTGACTGGTGCAAACGCTATCCGTGCAAGATGAACCGAACACCCAGCTGCTTGGTGATCCAGTATCTAGGACCAGCCACATTTGTTCCTTCTGCGACCCAACTTCAACGACGGAGAAATACGAGTAATCATTGCCATTTTGATCAAGTGCTGCGCTGTTGGGCAGGGTCGGGGTGTTGGCCTCCACAATGCTGTAGGTATCATCGCGGCGGACCGGGAGTTTTCTAATGTCGAGCGTGAGTGGCTTGGCGTTTGAGATTTTATTTCCCGCATCCTCCGGTTGAAGCGTCCAGGGCATGAAACGTCTTCGCAGGCCCTCAATGGTTGAAGTACCGGTTGGTGATGAGTCCACCTTGATCTCCCATGGATAGAAAGCAAGCGCGCCTGTTGAAAGGCCTGTAACGACCAGGCATGATGAGAGACGCATGATCCGGCAAAGGGATCTAATAATAAGTGAATGAAGTCGTCATTTGTTGAAACCGATCAAGCAGGCCGTGGTGCGTTTAATTGTTGACCACAATCATGTATCTCGTAGATAATAAGTAACAATCTGGAATTTCTTCAAGATGCGGAGTGGTGGAGGCGTGATCGACGAATGCTCGGGAGGAACTGGTCAGGGGTCCAGGATGAAACACGATTTGACTATTGACGAGATAAAGTGCTGAAGAAAAGATAATAAGCAACTGAAAAACGAAAGAACAAGCGACAATTAAAGGAGATATAATGAAGGATGAGAAGAGTTCAAAAAAAGAAGGTTGAACAGGAGGTTGGAGGGAAGTTTGACCTGCGAGGGGGAAGTGGCGCACAGGTTCCACCCAAGAACTACGGGAACCACCAAGCACCAAAAAGCAGTCCAGTTAACTCCAGTGAGGAGAACTCTCTCCCCTGACAAGCCTGTCTATACCAGACTGGGTTTAGTTTTGGGGATTTACAGCTCCACCTGTTCCCTGTTTAGGGGGAGGATCGTCCTTATCAGTCGAAGCTAGAGTAACTAGACGGGCGCTAGTCCAAGCTTTCTGCTACGTGAAGCGGATACCGAGTCCGTAAGTAAGATTGCAATCCTTGGTAGCGTTTAAAAAAACAAGGAATCAATTGAACGCTTGATTTAGACTTGATTTGAGATTATTCTTCAGGGATCAATATAGTTAAGGGACAGGGTTATTACCTGGCAATACCCTGGACTATTATAATACAAGCATACATAGTAGGTAATTGAATGTATAATTTAAGTATGATGAAGTGCTTTCACTACCGTCGGACCTAGCCACCTCCACCTCCATACCAGGTTATTTAGTGCATGGACCAGCCTCAACTTCACTCAAACCAACCACACCCAGCACATACTTCAAGTTCTATACTTGGATCCAATACTGAGTCCGTTGTTGAAAATTCAAAATTGATTTATTTGGAGAAAAATCAATCCATTCCAACCAGATAAACAGCCTAACATCAGCTGATTCCACCCTCTTTCTCACTAGTTAGAACACAGGTCGGATCAAACCCCGGTCGCTGCTTAACGAGATTCACAAGCGGCAAAAATAGCTTGCGATGTGCCTTTGGTCCATCGCCATGGATAGGACTCAGATACGAGCGGATCTCATCCCAAGTCACCCATTCCCACCGATCGCACTTTTCAGGTTCCAGCAACTAAAAAGTATCTGTCAGACCTCGGATACGCCCAGAATCCAACAAAACAAAACATCCACTCACCTGGGGTTCTTGATTGTTGCCAGAAACATGACATCCCACGAAAACAGTAATATAATGTTTTCCATCATCAACCATGACATCATTCGTCGTCGTAAGAAAATGAGCGCCCGAAACCTTCAGACCGGTCTCTTCGAGGACCTCCCGCGCCGCGCATTCTTCAAAAGATTCGCCGAATTCAAGATGACCTCCAGGGAAAGCCCAGGTACCTACAAAAAAGCTTAGCCATCTTCATATGACACAAAGATCACACAGATCTGTGGAAACTTACCGGCACCGTGGCTATTCTTTCTCCTGCCAAGAACGACTTCACCCTTCTTATTAAAGACAAAAACACCAACACCGACCCTGGGATTCATATTGGAAGTTCGAGGATACGTGTTCTTCCTCTGTCCGAATGATTGAAAGAGGAATGAAATTATTTAAAGGGTGAGAAGGCTTTATATACGAAGGTCGATTACACCATGTGACTTCCCAAGGTTCTATGTTAGGGGGCTCTCGAACAACTATGTAAATCGTACATTGTACAGCACCAGGGCACTCATGCATTATGCTGGTCTGAAGCACCAATATCCTGGTAAACAAAACTAGGCCTTAGATGTAAGGCCTGTTGGTTAGCACTACTTACATATGGACTTGCATCTCAGTACCTCTCCAGGATTTGACCCATGCCGTCGTGGCTGCATTGTTACCCGGCCATGCACGTACATGAAATTGCCTTAAACCAACAACCTTGGGACACAGTGTTGTAAAAAGTTCCTCCAATTCCCTGCTATATATACGCCACATGAAACTATATTATGCGTGTTGCTTCACATTGCCGTTCTGAAGCTTAAATCGGAGTATATCCGAACCTTTTGTGTGCTCAATTGACTTCCGGGGTGTTTTAAGGTGCTTAGAGCTCCCAAAGTAAAAATATCCAAGCTTCTAGATCCATTGAATCTTTGAATGTAACCGAAGCGACCGTGGAAAACCTGATTTTTCGCCACTCTCCTGCAGGTGTTGAGATGCATGTTTTACATCTTTGCTTGGCCATTGAATCCACGTGAGTTTACCAATACCCTGGCTTCCCCCATGCGTGAAGATAGAAAATTATTTAATCTATTTATATTTACTTACAGGACTATTGATGATGAAACAGGGCACTGTGAAGGGTTTGGAGGTGAAATATTGTAAAGTGATCGCTTCACACATGGCCAATTCCATGAGCAACTAGTACCACGTATAGTCAACCTAGTCAGAGATCCTAGTATTCCTTACCCAGGCAGTCAATTCAAGTTGTATATGTCGATTTACAACCTTGCTATATTATAGCTCCCTTTCCTCTTACATCTACCTCTATTTCTACCTCTATTTCTACCTCTACCTCTATCTGCATCTCTTAAAGTTTCTCTCGATTTACAACCTTGCTATATTATAGCTACCTTTGCTCTTACCTCAAACTCTGTCTCTACCTCTATTTATACTTCTACCTCCCCGTGCTGCTCGGTGGGTTCGGTGCTTGCTGTGGGAGCTTTCCCAAGGGTAAGTGTACGTGGCTTGAGATAACCACAAGTTAGGCAGGCATATATACTAACATCGATATGTGTTTTTAGAACGGCTCGGGGTCGGTATCGGTGCCCTCGGCGTGGCTGGTCCTCTTGCTGCCACCGCCCTCGCGGATGCTGCTTTCGTTGCCAGCCGCCTTCGGAGATAGGGATGTGTTGTGTTTGTGTTGGTGGTTTTTGCATGTACTGAATCTCCTCTGTTTCTCCCACCTGCCCCGGGTATGACTGGATGGTGGATTCGCCCTCATCATCTTCTCATACAGGCTGTCCTCCCTGGATGGTGGATTGTTTTTGTCATCAAGCCCGCCTGCTGGAACCCGGCTGTGGATGGCGGGGGCTTGTCATTTTTATTTTTTAGTTTATTTTTGTTTTTGTTTAGTTTGATTCTGTTCTGGTGTCGGGGTGAACAAACCTCTACTATCTTCATCTCTTCAAATTTCTTTCTCTATTTCTATCTCTTTCTCTCACATCAACAGTGCCTTCACACCTGATGTCTCCTCTGTGGCTTCCCAACAAATAGAAGCCCTGGTTATCTTTTCACGTGGCAGCAAAGATCTTGGAGGGATCTACTTTAGTAAATGTCTGTTGTTCAACCTTAGGTGAACGATTCATCTGGTGCCTAACGATCGCGCTTTGGTCCATCCGCTCCCTGTGTAAAATGCATTACGGATGCTATCAAGCGCCCCTCCAAGTTCACTTCCACCGTTCAGCACATCCAGGATTGCAGAGAGATCCGAAAGATGAACAAGCCACCACGGTTCTTTGGAGATGGCTTTCTCCTTCCTTTCAATCTTCATCCCCGGATTTCCAAAGATAACCACAGCACCGTTCGTTGGCTACAACTTCTACGCAGGCCTGCATACTAAAACCACTTGCAAGTCGAAAACCAAGCTTAGCTCGCCCAAGACAGTTTGCCTGATGAACCTGTACGACTCGAGTATTCCCACTATGAACTGCCTGAACCTCGTCGCGTCGACTGACGTTAGGTGCTACCTGGAGTACCCGGTCGGTCCTCTCCGACACGCTGCAGCTAAGAAGCCGAAGGCCCGCTCAGGCTATGCCAAGTCTTACCAGAGCTGCCCCAGCTAGCCCAGTCGCCCCGGCCACAAACTTCGTGATGAAGGATAGAATATTGACCATGCTGTCTGTCCACGATCACCATCATCATACATCCCAACTCACAGATATCCGAATTTTTGCGAGGCGAAATTCTCTTATACCTCCAGGGCTTTATCAGCGCGACGAATAGTATATTCTGTCTACATAAATGTGCCATATCTCTTTACCATATTGTTGAAAGGAAGATGTTCCCAACTGGGTTCAGATTGACAATGCATAGCTTATTTGGACTTTTGTCCAATAAGAAATTAACTCCATTCATGATTTCAAACCATCTCCTCCATAAGAGAAGCGGCAGAATAATGTCCACTAATCATAGCAGCAACAATACCACGGAACAAACCACAAGCATCTCCAGAAACATAAGCAGGGGTATCCAACAACTTCAAATGACCAGATACTTTAGGGTACCATCCAACTCCCTCCAAGGTAGGACCGATCAACTTAGCATTCTCATCCGTGCCAAGATCGGGGAACTTCTTAGCAAGACGCGACAATCCTTTGGTCATGGCGAGACGCAGCTCACGACCGTAGATCTTGTCAAACTGCCCAGTGACACACTCATCTTCTTGTAGAAGACCAGTCATAGGAAGTTCAAAGTGAGAATCAGGCTTCATCATAGCCTTGATAGCAGGTAAGGTTAAGTCCTTGGCTGTGTTTTCGTCAAGGATCAATGTGTTGAATCCAGAATTCGACCGACCGGTTGGGGGACAGTCCGAACGTCCAGAAACAGTGTACAGACCCTTTGTCTCAGTCAGAACTGTTTCTCCCTGTCGACAAACACAGAAAGTACGCCACTCCATGCCCTTTTCGGTCTCCTGGAAACGAAGCTTAGGATCAAGCTGCTTCATATCACGGAAGAAAGCCCGATCACTGGATTGTTCAATGCGGAAGCCAACTTCCAGGCGACGGAAGTTGGCGTGCTCTGTGAGGTTCATTAGGCCGTTGCCTAGCGGTCCGAAGCGACCTGTTGTAATGATGATTCGACGAGCGCAAAGTTCAGATAAAGCGCGGCTGTTGTTTTTGCCAAGATCGGCCACCTTCAATGTGAATTCGTCTGCTTTAGAATCGTATTGGACGTCCTGAACGAGACACTCATTGAAAATCTGGCCTCGAATACGGCCAACCATGTCATCGATCAAATTCATCCGTGCCTCCAAAGAAAGATAATCGGATGGATATGCCTTCAAGACGAAGTCCAAGTCTTTCAAGCCATCAGGACCTTTGTACGAGTAATCCTTTGGGCTTTCAGGGAATGGTGGTGTATCGAGGCCCGCAGCACCGAGCCTGTTACAGGTCCATGTATAGGCTTCTTTCAAGGCCTTTTGATCTTCAAGTGTCCACAACTCAGTTGCAGAGGGAAAGAAAGAGAATTTTCCGTCGGAGAATAGTCCAGCACCGCCGTGACCGCTCGTGGCGTCTGTGGCATCGTATCGGTCTCGCTTGGAGGCGGGCTTTCCTGAATCGAGAATGGCAAAGTCAAGACCCGACTCCTCGAGTTTAGCGGCAGCGGCAAGGCCAGCAGGGCCCATGCCGACGATGATGACATCAAAGATATGCTTCATGGTGAGATTGAGAGAGAAAATTCTTTATAGTTGTGATCCTACATTGGCAGGACGACACGCATTTTATATCAATTTTCCTGGATTGACGACTCGTTCCAATTGACCAGATCTCATAACCTACATGATGCACTTAATCTGATTGACCAGACGCCAAGAGATGTGGATACCTGACTTACTCTCCTGACGTCGCGAAAAAAGGGTTTAGTTGCGTACACCATGCACATACCATCACGGTTGTTCGCATGCCGCAGAATGTAGATCGATGTAAATTTTCAACACCTTTACATTTTGGCATGATGATCTCATGTATGATGAATCTTGCATAATATGTTTCTCAAATACTCAGTTAGTTGGAGAATAAACAATATGCCGCATCTAGATGCTACTATATGTCGGTAGTAGTAACTTGAACTAGGTCGCCCGGCCGAGCATCGCGCCTCACAAATCGAAACGGACAAAACTCAAACCTACAGTGAACCTTGGAAGCTGAGTAGACTTGCCAGCTAGGCAATGTAACCATCAGAAGACTCGCAATAAGACACCAATTACAGAGCCTCGTAGGCGGAATGTCTCTCCATATCCACACTTGCCATTTGCAACTTAGACTTCCCGTGTCAGCCTTGGAAGGCGGGCAACGGAGCGAAGCGAAGAAAGTCTATAGCGGTGGATCCACGTCACCCCATCTGTACCGTGTGACAATGATCATTTCCCAATTTAGATGATATATAAATTTAGTCAGTGGGTACATCGCGTAGGAGAAGTTAATGATTGAGTGGTAAGGACTCAAATGACGAACGTATATCACATTGATCTTTAGCTAGGCAAGGGATACAATCCAGAGGAATGGTTAGAAGGGAACAGAAGCATTGAATAATTCATGTACGCATCTGAAACCTCATACTGACTGCGTGTCTAAGTGCCTCTATTGGCCAATGCTTGTGGGGTATGACAAAGAAAATCCAGAACAATGGCCAAGGGGGAATCCTTTTCCCTTGGCGAGTTGGCAAATGATCGGATTTTCCCTACTACTACCTAATCGTAGGCTGCCTGAGTGGTTTACGTTTGGTTGCGACTACGCCAAACTTGCATATTTCGTGACACATTGTTTTACAATACATAAGGAGCTTAAAATTCCTCATAGCCGCAGAGTACGCGTAGACGCGTGGCATGAGGAATGGAAGAGACATCTCGTGCCGAACCCTTCGGTAGTATGCCCTGCCAAATTCATTTTGTTGACTAGTAATTCATGTAATTAAAACTACATGAAAATCTACAAGGTATGCACATACTAACAGTGGGATCCATGAATAGGTCCACGGGTAAAATCACATGCATGTATGTGCTGATTTTTGAAGTAAAATCTATATACAAAACTGAAGGAAGTGAAATTTTAGCCGAAGGGTTCATACTCTATGCTTATTTTATCTACTTATAATAAGATTTTAACACCATGAAGTTGACACTCGAATTTCAAATGGCGCCACAATTACTACATTTACGAGATATAGTAAGCACTAAGGGGATCCAGGGGCTGGGATAGGCGAGGGTTCACCAAAGGGGAAAAAAGCAAACCCAATGTAACTCTATCCCCCGCACAATAAAGAAGATCTTCTACTTTCCCCAAGTAGAATATATCCTAGTAAAACCGGGGAAAACGCGTGCATTTTTCCTCCATGCATGTAGGGATGGAACTAATACATTATAAGTGGACCTCGGCATACTGCAGTGCTGATGTGATTTTCCCCCAAATCACTACCATCTCACAGTATTTGTTATGACGACGCGGAGCAAACTCGGCATCGACTAGTTTAATTGAGGTTAAAATTCGTGTTTCTTCATACCTCATTCATCTTAGCTTCTCACTTTGTTTTTCTATCGTAGGGGAGCCGCGATCTAGAATGATCTACTGATCTACAGTCGTCGGCTAAGGGGATCTACGGACTCGGACCGTCCGCCCCACTACCTAAATGACCCTAGCGGAGGAGTCGCAACTTACTGTGCTTGCAAGGCTAGACATGCATGCCTGGTCTGAAAAAAATGGAAGTAAAATAAAAGCATTCTTCATGAGGGAAAATTTAGCGGAATGTCTATTTTCCCAATTTTAGTTTAATTTTGAACACTAATTGCTGGGAAACTGTCCCTATGGACCTCTTCCCTCCTTCTCTTCAACATTAACCTCTCATTTTGAATGCATCTACTTGTCGCTACTTCCACTGCCCACTCTGTGGCACACTTTCAATCATAACTTTCCTTCAAGTCAATTATTCCCTCCCCGCTCTTTTTACCTTTGGATACCTTCTCCAACCCCAACCATGTCGATATCAAATCCCATAGCGGATAAAAAGATCATGCCCGTAGCGGAACAACCCGAACCGGTCGTTGAAAAAGAGATCATCGCTGTCTCACCTGCAGAAGGCGACCCAGCAGCGTCATATAGTAGATTTGCCTACTCGCAACGCCTCATTATATTCTTCGTTGCAAGCATTACAGGTCTCCTAAGTCCACTTAGCTCATCTGTTTATGTTCCTGCGATACCTGAAATATCAAAGGACCTCAATGTCTCCGTTTCAGCAATCAACTACACTATCACGTCGTATCTACTATTTCAGGCGGTCACTCCAATTATATGGGCCTCTATCGGAGATAGTCTAGGCCGGCGACGATTATATTTGATGATCTTGTCAATTTACGTGGGATCATGTATTGGTCTCAAATTGAGCAATAATTACACGGCTGTGCTTATTTTACGAGCGCTACAATCGACTGGCTCTGCATCAACCAGCGCCCTCGGCGCAGGGATGATCAGTGATCTTATTCATGTCAGCAAACGGGGTGGCTTCATGGGTACATACAGTGCCCTTGCAGGCTTTGGGACAGCATTCGGTCCAGTTATAGGTGGTATTATGGCTCAGTATACCGGGTGGCACAATATCTTCCTTTTTCTACTTGCATTGTCAGCTACCATGCTACTTATTATTTTGCTCTTCATCCCCGAAACCCATCGATCCCATGTAGAAGACGGCAGCGTTCTTCTTCCACGTTATCTCCGACCACCCCTTCCTTTCCTTGAACCATCCGGCATGCGAAAGGACCACCCTTTGCAGAAGCCGAAGTTCAAAATTGATATTATCGGGCCATTCCTTATCATGAAGGAACTTGATGTTATGTGCTGTATCTTGTACCCTGGCATTTGCTATACTGTTTGGCAAATGAGCATTGTCGCTGCATCTACCATTTACGCTCGTGACTATGGACTCAGCGAGCTTCATATTGGTCTCACTTATATTGCAAATGGTATTGGATCCTTATGCGGTTCCTTGCTGGTTGGAAAGATGCTTGATATCGACTACCAGAAGCAACTTCGGAGAGAGTCCGAGGGGGTCAAGGCACCCCCAAAAGAAGTGAGAAAGATTGAGCATGCTCGCATTCGTGCAGTTCGAATTCCTATCATTATTTTTATTGCTACTACCATTGCATTTGGATGGACCGTTCGATACCATGTCCACATCGCAGCACCAATTACTTTATCATTCTTCGTCGGTGGATTCGATACTTGCATTCTTGCTGCATTCTGTAAGTTTTTCTTGAACTGCCTCACTTTGCATATTCCCTTGGTTATATCTGTATCCTGGTATAAGCAGTGACGAACTGCTCAACCGATGCTGCGCTGCGTACGGCTTCTAAAACTCTGTATTACTCTCCAAGTTAGGGGCTGGGACTAATTATTCTTTTTATTTTAGCAACTCTCGTCGTGGATCTGTTTGAAAAGAAATCCTTCGGTGCAACGGCGAGTATGAACCTGGCGCGTTGTCTCCTCGCTACAGCCGGGACATCGGCCATTGAGCCTATGATCCAAGCAGTTGGTACCGGATGGGCGTTCACTATCCTTGGTCTTATCTGCTTAGTGACCTCTCCGTTAGTATTAGCTGAATACCGATTCGGCACTGAATGGCGCGATAAGAGGAAAGCAAAACTCCAAGCAAGACAAGAACGATCATGAGCTTACTTCGAATATTCGATTTTATATAAATAAGGATCATGACGTTCTATCAAACTTATATTACTGGTACTGGTAATCCTGCAAATCGGTCCATTTCTTACTCTGAAGTCTACTAGTATCTACAAACTGAAAAGAAAGAAAAAATACATAGCTTCAAGTTCTTCTCTCTTGTCATTTTATGTGGTATGTTACCCACCGGCTGTGTTATGACACTGCCTAGTTACTATTACCCGAGAAGGAAAGGATGATGTAAAACATAAAGCACAAAACCTTGAGGGTACTTCTTTGATTATATAGATACTACCAATATTATGTGTAGTAAATTAATGAGGAAGAGAGGCATTTATTTTGTGCAACCCCAATATAGTAAATCGTTATAAATTTCGTTCAACACCCACGGGTGTTCGAGTTTCGAGATAAATGGCATCATCGTTCGAGCTTCGGTTGGTAGGCAAGCCCTGCTGAATATCAGAGCGTAATGCTTCAGTATCATCATCCTGATTTTGACTTTGGTCTAGGTCAGTAGACCCCAATATATTATGCTTATTCTTGCGACGGCCACTGAAGTTGGAGTCATAGTATCCTGTGAACAATGTCTTTTCCCGCCCAAAGAAATGTGTGAAAATAGGACGCATAGGAGGGATGCAGCCGCAGATTATAATGACGAAGAGTTCGGAGCCAGACCAGACATAAAGGTTATATGTTTGCCCTGTCAAGGGGAGATGTTAGTGTTTGAGCCCCCAAGACACAAGAGCAGAGCAGCTTACAGGTTAGGTCGGAGCGATCCGTAAGACCGGCAAGGAATTGGATTTTGACAAGGCCACAGGCTGCGGCTCTGTGAGATTGGTTTAGTCTCTGATCTTTGAGAAGGAGGCAATGCGAGCTGAGGAGATACTTACACTGGACCAAGGCCAAGGAGAGTACATGTGGCAATGCGTTGCTTGAGGGTGAGAGACGTTCGCCAGATGATGGGGATGGGGAGTGCGGCCAGGATTAAGTCGGCCATTACATTCCAGGCTATAAATATATTATAAGTCGATGATCAGAAGTTTATACATTTGAACAGCACCAGACCCACCTGAGATAAATATAGCAAAATCTGCCTGTACACTTGTGTCCCAGCAGTTTTGTGCTACCGAGGGATCCCACAGTGCGCGGGGAGGATTACACTGTACGAAGCCAAAGAGGCAGTCCAGCCCGCAGAAGAGCGATGTAGAACCGATGAGAACCCAGCATGTCCATTTTATCCAGTGGTCGTTCGGGCCTAAAATACGTATGATTTGCAAGGCGACCGAGCTCTTGCCAACTGCAAACCCAGCAATTCCCCAGGTTTGGGTGATCCAGTTATACTTTACAGCCTGCAGTTGTTGCGCCGTTGAGAGATAGTACAGATGACGACAGCCTCCAATAGAAGCAAGATAGGTGACGAAAGCGGCTAGTGTGAGGAATAAGGCCTAAATGATATGAGTAAATGGGAAACCTCGATGACTCGGCGGGTATTGTTTATCAAACATACCAGCGCAAAGACCATAACGTAGTCATCAGCGCCAAAATTGCGAATCAGTCTCCTGCCATAGAGACGAAGAAGGACTGCAATAGTGGCAAATGCAGACTCAGTCCAGTATATAGCCACCAGAGCCGGGCCACGGTTTTGGTCACCACCGGGTGGTGCAGCAGCACTCATATTGAATGATACCAATTCCCTAACCGGGGGGCTGGGTATAGGATAAGGAGCAGTTTACAAGCGGCATGCGTGGGAAACCTTACGCCATGTAAACAAGGATGTGTGAAAAAAGCTCCAGGAATAGTGGGGAGTTCAAATGATCGGTGTTCAGCGAGAAGATGAGATACCTATATTTGCCGGTTGTGCAGAACGGCAGACATCCATTGATGTCAGTGGCCCCGCTGTATTGGGTCCTATATCTGGGGCTAACTGAGAAAAGTGTCTGAGGTGGCTAGGGTGACCTCCAGGGCTTCATGGAACAAATTTAATTGGTAGCACCGTGACTACGGCAGAAGGATTTTATCCACCTTTCTGCACTTCGCTTCGTTGTGATATCATTGCAACATGATCGCTCAGCCATTCATAGATCACCAGACTTCGCACGGGCACTAAGTCTGAGTTTCACACAAATATATCCGAAATTAGCACCATGCAGGCACGGGATATTGACCTTGCCAGCTTCCCATGGCTGGTTAGTAGCCACTGGAGCCAGGGCGTGTATTTGGGGGCGGTCATGGGGCTGCTATGCTCGCATTCAGACTTCATAAGCGATTCGTAAGCGAAGCTCGCACTTTCTTCCGCATAAACATTTCAATCCCGTGCGGCTTATGACGAATTTCTTCTTATCAAGAAATAATTGCCAACCTAGGTTAAAATGAAAGTGCTGACTATGGACGTGCGGCCCGCCTCGTCACTCCACTTGCGCGCTGGGGGTGGGGGCCAAACCGGGCTTCGAATAAGTGAGGCCTAGCGTACTCCGTGGGTTGCGCCATGAGGGGTTACCCATACCCAGGTGTATGGCATGCTATGGAAACTTCCTTGTGCATATCCTGTAAAGTTTGGAGCTTGAAAATCTCCAAATGCTACTCACCTGGGCAGTGTGATTTCATATCACTCGCACCGGCAATGATATTAGCCGCTTCTTTGTTTTCGATATGTGTGGGGGCATTGCTTGCACTTACATATCCCACGCGATCAGATACGATCGCGGTGGTACATATTCAATTTAAACCTCAGAATACTCTCATCCAGTCTCTATTCTATTCTCATTTGCCCCTGCACATCTTAATTGAACTATTCACTATCAAACATTTGAACCAAAGAAATGGAAGCCCTCATTGAAGAAGTCCGAAGACTGGCCAAGTCTGGCGATGAGAAGACACGGAAAAATATATTGGATGAATTGAGTGCCCTCAGCACCTCAATCGAGTCTCCCGATGACACGGTCCAGCGCTTTACATTTTATGTATCAAAACATCGTTGGAATAACCCCGACATATGCTGATGATTTGAACAGAACATGCAGCTTGCTGCCATTCGCACTGCTATCGACCTAAAGCTGTTCGAGCTGCTATCTGAAAATAAAATACCCCTCACTGTAGCCCAGATCAGTGAGAAGACTGGTGCAAATCCAGTGTTCCTCGGTATGATTGATTCTCAATAACACAGAACTAGGATGTGTCTTTTTTTAACAGATTAGGCCGCATTCTTCGTTATCTGGCTTCATACCACGCAGTCCAGGAAGTGGACAAGGACTTGTTCACTTCATCAAATATCTCAAAAACATTTTCCCAGCCCGGATTTCAGGCTGGTGTTGGTCATCTGTTAGTTTATTCTGTATCTGCTGCTTGAATAACACTAACGAATCTACAGCTTCGACAATGCCGGCCCGTCTATCCAAGAATTCCCCACCTTCATGAAAGAGAACGACTATCCCGATGTACAAGACAACGTCAAAACAGCCTTTCAAAAGTCTATGAAAACAGACTTACCTGCATTCTTGTGGCTCCAACAGCACCCCAAAAATCGGGATTTCTTCAATTTGCACATGAACGCTAACCGGGAAGGTATGCCCATCTTTCTGGAGGTGTACCCCGTTCTCAAAAGAGCCACCGGCTTGAGCCCCGAGCGCACCTTGTTTGTAGACATTGGAGGCGGAATAGGCCAACAGGCAATTGCCTTTAGGGAAAGATATCCCCAGCTTGAAGGTCGAGTGATTGTCCAGGATCTTCCTCAAACAACAGAACACGCGATACAACACCCTGGTGTGGGGGCTATTGCATACGACTTCTTTACCCCACAGCCTATCAAAGGTATGACACTATTTTTGGAATTCGCCACATGGCTGTTAACTTGAACATCTCGCAGGAGCCAAATTCTACTATCTGCGGAATATCTTCCATGACTGGCCTGACCACAAATGTCGGGAGATTTTGAAGAATATTGTCGATGCTATGGCACCAGACTCCTATATCCTCATTGACGACATGGTTCTCCCGAACGTTGGTGTACACTGGCAACAAGCACAATTAGACATGTTGATGATGGCTGCTCTAGGTGCTCGAGAGCGAACTCATGAGCAGTGGGACCAACTCGTCAAGAGTGCGGGGCTGAAGGTTAACGGCGTGCACACTTACACTGCGAGCCTGAAGGACAGTATTATCGAAGTTGGCGCAGCCTTATCTACTACAAACTAGGAGTCTATAGAAATACATGTAACAAATGAGGCAAAGCCACCTGAGAAGCACGCTGAGATCCAACATTCGAACTATAATCTACCACAAAAACGAATACCACTAGTTCAGCTGCCCAATTGGATGGCAGCGATTCTGAAAAGTCCCGAACACTCTTACCAAACTTGTCACCCCCAATTAAACATTGATAAGATACACTTGCCCTTAAAAGAGCCTGCAGAACAGGTAATCAAAGGATTCAGCTATTCCTTGGCGTGATTTCTAAGGTCTGACATTGCTTTCAACGCGGGTGGTTCAAAAAGTTTGGCCCCAAGAGTGCCAAACTTGACGACTATGATAGACCCACCCAGGCATAGGTAAGGCAAATATAGTCCTCGGCTATAGGCCAGAGCCCCACTCTAACAGCGCGCTGCTGAACAGAAGCACCTTCAAGTCCACTTTTCGGCCCCCATATATTTAGCAGGAAGCGCAATCTCCACTCGTAGATTAAATTTAGAGTTATTTGCCACTGGATAGAACAGGATTGCTGCACGTACTTGATTTGAACCAGTGTGGGACTAGCCAATTGATTACGGCGTACATAGGCGTAAAAACTAGTGTCCCTGGCGGATTCCCACTTGCATCATGGCATCATGTATGTGCGCATACGTACCCTGATTTGACATATTCCGTTCTAGCCATGCATGTGAGCACTTGAGGCGTCTACAATTTTCCAACAGGTCTTGCGTTGGTTTGTTGCAGGAATGTCTCCTCCTCATCAGCCCCTCTTTCCGAAGTTTTAGCCCCAGATGAAGTGCTAGTAGCCTCATCCATTAAAGTTTGTCCCCCAAATATGACATCGGTTGGCATGTGGTGGTAAGCGCCCAGCTCACATTTGACTGGAGCATGAATTGCCGGAAAGAAAAAACCTCAGTTTGACTCGGCAATGGGGTACTTACCGTGAGGGTACATGGATATGTACAAACTTGAGCATGACGGTGTCTATCAGTGGTATATAAGATGGATCGAATATTCGTGAAGATATCACGACACTAGCCATTATCCTGCAAATCCTGTTTTCCGAGTCTTTTGATAAAGACTCTCCCTCCACAGCGCACGGTCATCTTCAAGTATCGTCCAAGCTCTTGAATCCTTCAATTTAATAATCCACCCAAAATGTCGACACTCACTCAACGCCAAACCACCAAAACAAACCTTAAACTAGGAGGGGGAAAGCCTCAAGATGCTAGCACATTCCCTAATGAGATGCCCATCCAAGGCGTTGCCAAACTAGCCCCATCATCATGGGTTCCTTATGTCCAATTGATGCGACTTGACCGCCCAGGCTTCCTTGGTTTCTTCATGCCAACCCTCACAGGCCTTACTGCTGGGGCTGGTTTATCCAAGCCCTTGACATCCCCCACCACTCTACTGAAAGAGTTCGCATTCTGGTGGCTAGTCACCAACCTCATCCGTGGCACATCTTGCACCTGGAACGACAATGTAGACCAAGACTTTGACCGTCAGGTTCCACGGACCCGCACTCGGCCCATCGCGCGAGGTGCCGTCTCAACTACCCAAGCGCATATCTTCACCCTTGTCCAGTTAGCTATTACCTGCTGGAGCCTCTCACATCTACCCCCACAATGCTTTCCTTGGACCATTACCCTGATAGTCACCCACACTATTTACCCACTCTGTAAACGCTTCATGGATTTCACTCCTGTCTTTCTGGGTCTGCCGTTCTCAGCTTCTATGATGCTTCCCGCTGTCGGTCTCGGCCTGGATCCATTTTCTCTGCCTGCAGGATTACTATTTGGAGCGGAGTTCACGTGGACTGTGATTTATGAGACTATCTACGCTCATCAGGATGTCCAACATGATGTACAGGCCGGGGTTAAGTCTATGGCTGTTAGGTTCAAGGACTCTACAAAGACTTTGGCCTCGTGCTTGAGTGTTGTCATGGTTGGATTCCTGGTTGCTATCGGAGTTGTTTGTGAGATGTCGGCGCCTTATTTTCTAGTGAGCTGTGTTGGAACAGCAATTTCGTTGGCTATTATTATCTCCTCTGTCGATTTGACGAAGCCTGAGAGTTGTCTGTATTGGTTCCGGACAGGTTTCTACATTGTGGGCGGAAGTAAGGTGGGTGGATTCGCTGCCGATTATTTGGTTTCTCTTTTAGCTTAAGAGTATCAAAAGAAGACAGTTGGATCGCTTTGATTGTGGATGGTGCTTAGTGCTCATCTATTTATCTATAGAATTGACTTCAGTCATTAGAAGAGTTTATTATATTCAAATCTCAAATACATCATTCAATTTGGAAAGTCCTCAAATTCTCGTTCTCAAGATACTACATGCGCTATGGAATAAAACATAGCCCTCCCAATAAGGTTTAATGTATAGCGGAGATAAGGCCCCACTCTCAAGCACTAACCAGTTTGGACTTTGGCTCCATGGGGCGGTTCATCCCCAGTATTGAATTCATTTGAATCAAGATAGTCCCCGCAGCTAATCTACGGCCCAAAAATCGAAGTCGACTACCGACTCGTTTCTGAAACAATCCCGAAAAAACCCTATAAATCGGAAGATTTCATCGCTGAATTTATATCGCCCCAATTACTGAGCAATGAGAAGTTGCTCACGCAGCATCTGCTGGGTCAGGGTTATTTCAAGTTTGTCTCGGGTGATGAGATCGTGGTCAAGTGGCAGCAGATTTCCGGTCATGGAAGATACATAGAGGGCTCTCACTCTTTGAAGAAGCAGGTGGATAGGACGAGTGATGGAAAGTCTTATATGGAGCAGAGGTATACCAAAATCAACGAGTGTTGGAAACTTTCGCAGTTGAGGCCCTCGCTTTTGTATGAGTTTGGGTATTTGAGGATGTTGTTGCTCAAAAGGAATAGGGGACATCATAGGAATTTATTGAATAGAGACCATGTTTTAGTTTTAGAGCCACGAGTATGTATAAATATATATTCTGTGATGATGAAAATGTTGATTTAGACTATCTATAGCTTACGCAATGCATTGTTTTAGCCAAGTAAGCGTTAGAGATCCAGTCGAACGGCTGGGGTAATGGTTGACCGGCATTGCCCAAATCCAAACTTAGCCCCGGTTGCCTTGTTGATACACCATCCTTCCATAATAATCTCATCGCCATCTTCGAACCACACGAAGCCGTCATTATTCAAAGCTGATAGGCCAGTATGCGGAAGTGAGCGCTCGACCAGGCATGCCAGACCAGTCTTTTCTCCCTTTTGATTGGTACGCTAGAGTTATCAATGCATATCAGCGAGCTCTTAATCGAGTATAGGGGCTCTAACATACGGCACTGGAAATGGTCCCTGTTCCGAAGATATCACCCGTGGTCAGGCCTTCGCCTGCACTTGCAAGGTGGGTAAGCTGTTGATACGGAGTCCAATAAAGCTCATTGAGGTTGGTGTCCGTAAGCTCATATGACTTCCCATTTCCTATTCTTGTTAGCCCATATCTTCGCTCGCGAATAGTGTTATCTCACGAATCACACCGGCGGAGAGATTGATGTCAAAAGTCGCATCTTGGACATCCCCTTTCCATGTTAAATGGGGCAATGGAGCATGATCCTGTTGAACCATAACCGAGCTCTTTACAGAGTCAAGAGCATCCATAGTAACGATCCATGGAGATATAGAGGTCCCGAAGCCCTTGCTGTGGAATGGACCAAGAGGAGCCATTTCAAATCCTTGAATATCGCGCGCCGACCAATCATTGAGAATCACGAATCCAAAAATATGTTCTTTGGCATCCTTGATATTGAGGATCTTGCCAGGCTTCAGGGACTTGGAGATGAAAACTCCCATCTCGAGTTCCATATCCAGTTTTTTGGTCGGCATGAATGAGTATTCTCCGGTCTCGGCCTTGAAAACACCATGGGGGCGGGTCAAAGTACTTTCCACAGTCAAGCTGGATGTGCGACCATTATAAACGCTCGGAATGACACGCCAATTGGGGGACTCGGAAAGACTGAAAATTGCAGAGCACTATGGCGACTGTTAGTTGCCCTTGTCGGGCATAGTCGTGGAGGGAATTGATTGACGCACATTTTGAGCATGCTCTAGCGAACAATAGAAATCCGAGAAATTGGCGGTTTGCATGGGATAGTGGTTTCGAATAAGATCCAGCGGAATGAAGTATCGATTGGCCTTGGATTTATCTTCTCGGAGCTGTAACAGGCCATCGCGTAGGTGTTGACGTGCTTCTCGACGAATCTCTATGTGAAGGGACGCAAAATCATTTAAATAAGGCTACACTTGCCTAGTCAGTAAAGCTGTAACCGGAAAATCGAAAACAAAAGGCAAAGAAAATAAACATATCGAAATATGTGGGGGTTAAAAACAACGAATTACAAGTACCTTGGAGAAAATTGACGCTTTGCCAAATCCTTGAATGGAGTCAAAAAACCCATCGCTTTCCAATGCGCAAAGATCAATCGCCTCGTGGTCAAGTGCGGTTGCACATCTTGGGGCGGGGTTATCGGCTGTCGAAATAACCCCAAAGGGGATGTTGTCGAGAGAAAACGGACTTGAGTTCGAACCAGACATTGTTGCGACGAAGTTGAATTCTCGACTGTAATTGAGGATTGTCGTGAATATCTGTTCAAATGTTGGTGATGCCTGCCCACTTTCCTCCTATGCGCATTTATCTGTTGGTAAGTTCGGCAAAAGGGCCAATCGGGAAGGTTCGATTACGCTGTCAATTTGGTTCCACCTCCACATATCCGATTCCCTTTCCCCAGGAAATGTGGATAGGATCTACCATGTGGGTAAGAAAATTTTTGGGGTAGTGGGATCTTTGGCCCACCCAGCTTTGTATATAGCTAACCCGCGGGGGTCATGGCTCTGTCGCTCAACAACGAGGAGCCTACAGCTATGCCGATAGGTACTTCTGGTACGTTTCTTAGTGCTTTATATTGAAGGCTTTTGTGACTGTCAAACTAGCTTATCATCTCATGGTTAGTGTTGTGATATAAGGCTGGTGCAGATCAGGAACCAAGCCGTCCCATCGGAATTAATGCCGAAATATCTATATACAGAATCAAGTTGATTTCCAATCAACTTGTTCTTCTCGTTGTATATATAGCCTCATATTTCCCTCTAGATGACAATAACAATCAATCTTCCTTTGATTAACAACAGGTTATGAGCCCGGGAGCAATCTCTCGGGTGCCGTCTCTACTCATCTGAGAAACATCTTATCTATCCATCTTGATTATATATCTACCCCGCTTTCAACTCATCAACTTATCATCATGTCGGCTCTGGTCCATGACTCCCCAGACCGAGCCGTCACGGCCATCGAGCCTCTGACAGGAAGCGACAACTTCGCTACCTGGAAACGTCTCATGACCTCCTACCTCAAAGCGAGACAGGTCTGGGACGTGGTGTCGGGCGACCTCCAGCGTCCTGACTGCCTGTTCAAGTACGCCAAACCTATTACGGCGGACATCCACCCCTTGGTGGAGCCCCACCTCAGCGGGGCGGTGAGGCAGCGCGCCATCGACGCGCGCCTCGAAGTGGAGGTCCAGGCGTTCGAGCGCCACCGTGAATGGTCGCGCCGCGAAGCCGAGGCCTACCATACTATCTTCCGTTACTTGTCCCCCCACATCAGCATTCATGTCGCGGGACTCGAAACATCTCGCGACCTCTGGAATGAACTTGAAGAACGGTATCGGCGGATGGAACTCGCCACGTTCTGCGAGCTGTTCGCCCAGTTGCGTGAGACCACAGGCGAGCGCTGTGGCAGTGCACGCGAGTTTGTCGATCGTGTACGGATGTTAGTACACCGGTTGAATGCTATCGTCCCCGGATCAATCGGCGACCGGACGCACATTGCGATTCTGTTGACTCAGATCGGACCAGAATACATCTTGATTGTAGATGCGATCCAAAATGACAAAGATCCAGTCAACCCGACCACGATCGGAAACCGTCTGGCAAATGCAGAACAGACGGTGCAGCGGAAGGACGCCGCAACGCTCCCGCATGGAGCGTCTGGCGCATCGAATAGCCCTTCAATCAATACCGTGCAGAAGAATACCAAAAAGTGTAACTACTGCAAGAAGCGCGGCCATGTGGTCGCGCAGTGCTGGAAGAAACAGCGAGAAGAACAGCCGTCCAGGGACCATGCCCTGAAGGCCGAACGGAGTGTTTCCGGCTCACCAAGAAGCAATTTGCGAAGTATACCATCAAGCCAGGTGGAAGAACGGCAGGGCCCGCCGACTTCCAAGAGACCGCGGATCAATGTTGTGAGGGCGAGGGTGACGACTCTCTATACCCACGCACCGTCACCCCGGTGGATCCTGGACTCGGCTGCCACCAGCCACATCTGCTGGGACCGGAGCTGCTTCAGCAGTCTGCGGCCCCATCGCGAGATGTTGGACACGGCGGGCGATCCAGTGGAAGCCGAAGGGATTGGGACGGTGAAGCTCACGCTCCGGGGGAAGTTCAACCAACCCCTGGTGCTCAAGAACGTATACTTCGCGCCACGCGTCGGGATGAACCTGATCAGTGTGCCGAAGTTGCTAAGAGACCGCTACTCGGTGGTAGCGCACCCGCAGAACGTCTTTGTGCAACGCCGAGGACGAACGGTGGGGACCGCCTACCATGCGGAGGAGGATCTGTTGATCCTGCGGTGCCATGTGAGCAAGAGATCTCGAGAACGAGTCCAACTGGCGAGGGCGCCGACGACCTATGGCCATGCAGATTCCCTGGAACCGCAGGCGGTGGCCATGGACGTCGACAGCCGTGAAGAGTCAAGTGGCGTAGGATGCGCATCGCCAACCTCTGAACTCGGTGGTGAAGCTGTGATACTCGAAGCAGATGCGGGCAAAGGAGTGGACCAGGCCTCCGAAGCGCTATGGCACGCTCGGATGGGACATCTGAACCGGGGCGACTTGAGGGTGGTCCTCCGGCAGACCGGCACTCCGTACCGACCGCTGACGCAGGCGCAACTGCAGGCAACGCCGCGTTGCCCGGCGTGCATGTCGGGTAAGCAGCATCAGAAGAGGAACTCCCGTGCAAGGCGGCCACGTCTGCATTCAACGAGAATTTTTGAATTGATCCACTCGGACATCATGGAGATGCCGATTGCCAAAGATGGCAGCAGGTACGTGATCACCTTTACTGACGATTATTCTCGGGGCTCATGGGCCTATGCCATGAGATGGAAACATGAAGCGCTGCAGAAGTTCCGACAGTTTGAGGCCTGGGTGCACCGACAATTTGGGGCCCAGATTAGAAGATTTCTTACCGACAATGGAAGAGAATATCTGCCGGTCGGAACACACCTCGAACGCCAGGGAGTTGAGTTTGACACCTCGCCGCCATACTGCAAAGGGCAGAATGGGCTGGCCGAACGAACGAACCGCACTATCCGGGAGCGGATCAACACGCTCCTGTCCGATGCAAACCTTCCTCCTTCCTGGTGGGTCGAACTTATAGATACGGTAGTCTATCTGAAGCTGCGCGCGCCAGCATCAATTCTGCGAAAAAGGACACCGTATGAAGTGATTTATGGGAAGCCGCCCTCGCTCTTGCATCTACGCCGGATCGGCTCTCGTGCCTGGGTGTTGATCCCAAAAGAGCATCGAGCCAAACTCGGACCGAGGTCGTCCGAGTGCCGACTGCTAGGTTATTGTGAACCCAACCAGTACAAGCTGTACGAAATCCACTCAGGAAAGACAATATTCTCCCGTGATGTCGAGTTCGATGAGAGGACCCCCGTGGCGCCACTCATCGAGGGGGAAACAGGCAACGACCTCCCGGACAACGCTCCTCCATCATCTGTCTTTCCACCAATGCCAAGTTCAGCCAGCGAGCTGCCAACACCTCCTGCGTCGCCATTACCTCGGTCGAATGAACGAGAGAAGCCGCCATCTGAGCGCGAGGATGAGACACCTCCAGTGATCAATCCAAGCCAACAGGAAACCGACTTGACATCGGATCTTGGGTATTCGATGTATGGTCGCAGACGAAGACCATCACGGCGTCTCCTGGAATCGCTGGGGAAGGTGTACTCGGCAGGCGCATTGAATACTGCACCGGCCAGACAAGCCGACCCGGCAACCTTCCGCGAAGCTGTGTCAGGCCCAGACCAGCTAATCTGGTGGGCCGCCATCCAGAAAGAATATGCGTCGCTTCTCGAACACGGAACATGGGAAAAGGTTCGGCGGGAGGACATCCCCGCTGGGGATCATGTGATTGGGTGCAAATGGGTCTTCAAGACCAAAACCAACGGAACGCGCAAAGCGCGACTGGTCATCAAAGGCTACCGGCAGAAACATGGCATCGATTATCACGAAACGTTTGCGGCTGTGTCGCGCATGGACTCGGTCCGCTGCATCGTCGCCAGCGCCGTGTTGCGCGGATGGAAACTCCACCAATTCGATGCGGTTACCGCATTTCTCCATGGAGACGTCGATTCGTCTATCTATATGGAGTTGCCCGAAGGCTTTGAAGAACCAGGGTACGTGTGTCGGCTGCGCCGTTCACTGTATGGGCTGAAGCAGGCCCCGCGGATTTGGTACCAATGCGTCCACCGCGTCCTGGCTTCTCAGGGCTTCACTATGGCCCAATCGGACAACTGTGTTTTCTGGAAAGCGGACTGCGTCGTTTGCGTTTATGTCGATGACTTTCTAGTTGCTGCGGCAAATACGCACGAAATTGAACAAGTACAACGAGCCTTACAAACCGAGTTCCGATTGAACGATCTGGGCATCCCTCGTTCGTTCCTCGGGATCGAGTTTGACTATCACGTTGATGGGTCCGTGTCTATTCACCAACATCAGTACATCCAGAAGGTGCTCTCCGACTTTGGCATGGAGAGTTGTCAGCCGAAGTCTACGCCGATGAATCCTAAGCAAAGCCTGAATACTCGCCCAGAGGAGGAACCTCCGGATGAAGAAGCAAAAGCTCGCTATGCAACTGCTATCGGCTCGCTCATGTATTTGATGGTTGGCACGCGACCGGATATTGCGTTTGCGCTCGGAATGTTGAGTCGCTTCACATCCCGGCCGCAATCGCATCACCAGGCCGCACTTCAGCGACTGCTTCGCTACATCAAAGCCACGCAATCTCACCGTATCACCTACCGAAATGGTCAATTGATCGGATACACTGACGCCGACTTCGGTGGCTCCGTCGTCACGGATGGAGCATACTCCACGTCTGGCTACGTGTTCCAACTGGCGGGAGCGCCGGTTTCCTGGTCGTCCAAACGTCAGGGGGAAGTGGCCACGTCCACGACTCATGCCGAATACATTGGCCAATACAATGCCATTTTACATCTACAGTGGCTCCGCACCTTTCTAGGAGAAACAAATCTGTATCGGTCTCCGGTCACTAATATCATGGCTGACAATCAATCCGCTATTGCGCTCTCCCGCAATCCCGAATTTCACAAACGGACCAAACACTTCAATGTCAAGTTCCATTATCAGCGGTCGGTGCTGAATGCAGGAGAAATTGACCTGCAGTATGTTCCCACTGAGGAGCAGGCCGCGGATGGTCTCACCAAGCCATTAGGGCCAACGTCCTTTGCCAAGTTCTGTAGTCTTTTGGGAATCGACGTATCCAAAACCTAAGGCAACAAGCATGACAGCGCAGGTGCTCTTTCCACTTTCTTTTCCCACGAAGGTTTTTTGAGTGGTTTTACCGAGGCCTGACTGCTCTGCTCAATTCCAGTATCGCCCTGCTAGCAGGACGATTCTGAGGGGGAATGTTGTGATATAAGGCTGGTGCAGATCAGGAACCAAGCCGTCCCATCGGAATTAATGCCGAAATATCTATATACAGAATCAAGTTGATTTCCAATCAACTTGTTCTTCTCGTTGTATATATAGCCTCATATTTCCCTCTAGATGACAATAACAATCAATCTTCCTTTGATTAACAACAGTTAGAACTTATAACCATGCCCATTTGAAGATGCAAGGAAACTGATCATCACATCTAGATACCCTCCACAGTATTCGAATAAAAGGAACCCCAATTCTGTAGCAGAATCGACCCTAGGGATTCATTCACGTCGATTATTGTTGCTCATGATTGTTGACTCGTCATGGGCCCAGGCAGAAAGGGTGATGTATACGGTGTTACGGCCATGGTTCTGGATAGTATGAAGCACTTCCTACAGCCCGTCATGACAGTCCACTGATAAAAGCAGAGAGAATGGACGAGAATCCGACTCTTGGGCAATCATGGGTCTCGGAAGGAAGTATGGACAAGTTGCTTAAGACATTTTCAGAGTTCCTTAGCTGGCTGACCAGTATTTCCAAGTGAGTTGGCTTGCCAATTTTGTGGTCACAAACAATAATGGTTTATTCTCAGACACTCGCCCAACATCGGCCTTTGGCAACTTGGCAACTGCGTGACATGGTGCGCATCATTGAAACTCGACCTTGCATGGTACAGGCCTGACAGTATATATGATCCCCTAGAAACCTGGAGCCAGGGTCGCGTCATTATTATTGGAGATGCTGCCCATCCCATGCTACCCACCCAAGGCCAAGGCGCGAACCAGGGTATCGAAGACGCAGAGGCTTTGGGTGCTTTCTTCAAGGACGTCCAAGAGGCTCCATCTCGGGGGCAGCTAAACGATATCTTCGGGGTGAATTATTCTTCCCCGATTCCAATTACTCTTGCTAAATAACCTTGGAATATGAAGCACGTTTTCCGGTCCCGCTATGAGAGAGTCAGCCTTATTCAGGCAGGTAGTCGACAAGCTGCCAAGCCCGGTACTATTAAAGGGGAGAAGACTGTTACTATGTATGTGGCCCCAGAACTAACCATATTGTCACTGGTTAAAGTACTAATTGATTCTCTATTATGAATAGGAGCCCAGCTGAGTTTTTGGATTACAATTGTACATATACGGGAGCGAAGAAATGGGCAAGTAGCCAAGCCGTATCTGCAATTTAGACCAGATTTACAAGTTTCAATCTTTTAATTCAGATTTGGATGCCTCATGTTTATTCCAAGTGTATCTGGTTCAATCCAGAACTAAACCCTTGCCAGCTTGGTACCTGACAATTTCGACGTTCGTGGTACTCACCAAAGGGTCTCCTTATTGAACTTTGTCTGCCTCGGATCATATGGTTTGAATAGATCGTTGAAAACATCCGCTTTATGCACTGCTTTCGATCGGCGTGCTCAGTTTTACTCAGTGGGAAAAATGGCAAGGGGTGAGCACTAAATTGGAAAGGGAAATATTGAGCTTCACCTTTTTTCACAACTCCGTTTATACCGAGCAGAATGTTCGCGCATACAAAAGTTGGATAGGTCAATCCGTCGGATGCACTTAAATAACAGATAATATCAAGGATCTTCACTTTCAGTAAAAAAGTTCTGAGGGGAGGTTTTAGAAACTTACTTAGGCTATAAAAGATACCAGTTCTACCTCTGTAGGAAAAATAACTAGTAGTTAGATAAGAAATAGTCTGACTAAAACCCTTTCTATAGAAGATTTTAGTTAGTTTATAAGAATACTAGGGCTTATATATACTAGTATGCTAAAGAATTAGCTTCTGTTTGAAAAGGTATCGTTCTTGGTATTTTTAGGCAGTTTTTCGTATAAAAATTAAATTTAGGAGGAAGGTACCTAGTGCTACTACCTTGCTGGGTATATCTGAGAGGATATGATAGGTACTATACTAGGTTATCTATACTACGCAGCGCATCCAGGAACCCTCGGGTAAACCCATGCGAGGTAAATCTCTGCTCCGACAAGACGAAATCGGATCATTACCATAAACCCTGTGACCATTGCTCGGCAACAGGAGAATTGGTCGAAAGTAGTCGGAAACAGCCCGGGTAAGTGTAGACCCTCGATTGTCGTGTTTGTCGATCAGGCGGGTGTGTTTGGACCTCGGCAACACGAAAATCGGAACAATGGACCCATACCTGCGGCTAAGATTACCTACTGTAGGGAAAACTTAAGAGAAAACTTTAGATTTAGATGACTCATTTATCAATCAATATATCCAATTGAGTTGATTCTGTGGCTTGTGATGAGGTCACGCACAATTCACAAGAAAAAAAAGTATGGAAATAATCCCGATCTCATATGAAAAGACAAAAAGCCAAGGAGAGCACTTCCCCATAGACAAACAATATTACACCACAACGCTAGTTTCAAACAATGAGATGGGAATGTGGTCCATCTCATATACAAGTGAAAAAATAAGTAAGACAACAAATTAGACTTGAAGCGGAGCACCAAGGAAATTCGTAGAGAAGGCAATGGCAATGGCATCACCAGATACCTCAAAGTAATCAGCAGACATCATCTTTTTACTCCCGAGTTAGGAGAGTAAAGTGTCCGTGAGTTACTTCCGAGCAGCAGCCTGTTTCGGGCCGAGGACGTCATCTAGGAATCCGGCCCACAGCTCTTTAACAACACCCGGGGCACTGGAGCCCGAGCCATTGGTCTTGCGCTGCAGTTCCTCGCCAACTCTTGAGCGACCTACAGCCTCGGTTAAGGAGAAGGGATCAAGGTCCACAGCGTGGTTGTCGACGACCTCACTCATCGCGCTGGCAGCGACGTCAGCGCCGGCACCGGCGACAGTGTAGATCTGGGGCTTCATGGGTGGGGCGGATGAAGATTGAGCTTCATGGTGGGAGGTTAGATCGGGAAGGACCGGGACTTGGGGTGAAGTGCGGAAGGGACCCGCTTCGAAGTCGGCCATGGATGGCATGTAGACCAGGTCAACGGTGGAGGAGTCGCCGACGGCCTTGGAGGAGCGGGAAGTGTTGAATTGGCGGGATGCGGGTCTGAAGGTGTATGTTAGCTCCGGGTTCGATTGTGATGTTGAATTGTCTTAGGGCGAGTTTGGTGGGGGATTTGAACATACTCAGAGAAAGCGTTGCTGTTGATACGGCGCATGGCAATGCTGAATGCTCGGGATTGAAGGACATCGTGGTTGGAGAGACGCTCGATCAGCTGTAAAACTGTGGTTAGCTATTTCACCATGACGTATCGATAGGTGGTGGCACATACCTCGGACTTGCTGCCAACAGCACGGAGAGAACGTTGTTGGCATTCGCTCTTCAGCTCTGGGAGGCTGCGAGCAGCGTAGAGGGAGGCCTTGTCAGCGGAACTAGCAGGTTGAGCTGCATGGACGCCGGTGATGTGAAGGCCACGACGGGCAGCAGGGGTGATGGAATGTTGGTGAGAAATCTGGCGCAGAGCACGCAGGGAAGTAGAGCGGGGAGCGGCCATTGTGTATGGTATGATCTGATTGTATACAGATGTATAGAGGGTAATGGGATTTGAGGTGGTATATGTGGGAGGGAAATGGAGAAAAGTAGAGAGAAGTAGGAAGGGGAGAGGGAGCAGTCAGATAAATAGGGTGAAAAAGAAATCGAATCAATGGCGGAACAGGAAGAAGGTCAACAAGAGCGCTTTATACAGTGTACAGTGTAGACCTGCTCACGGGATGTAAATCGTTGGGGAAAGCTATGAATCCACTCTCTTGGCGGTCTGGACCCGTTATCGATAGTTCGAGGATCCACGTTCCAATAATTGTGAGTCTTGACGTACTCTACTCTTCAGGGGTTGATAGGACAGATAAGTGATCTCCTGCTATCTTTCTTTTCTTTGATTAATGAGAAGAAGAAAAAAACGAATTCATCGAGCGGGGAAAGAAGGTTTCATTCATGACGGAGAGTACATATGGCAGTACAACCCGAACAACTCAACAGTATGCTGGTCGGAGATCTACGCCGGTCACCTGGGTATGTACCCGGTACTACAGTTTACCCCGTATCCACCATCACAAAGCCACACAAAGCCAGGTGACTCAATGTACCCGGTACATCGCGGTACCTAATGATGCCATTCCCCTCTGTCGACTTGTGGTGATGATCTTTGCCCCCAATTCCCCGGGGATACTTCGTCCTTCTCCGCCACTGCCATTATTGGATCGTTTCCCGTCCCCCCTCCAGATGCCCGGTTAACTCCTAATTAACCCCCCCCTCCACCAACTGCAAGCCCGGAAAAGGGGGGACCATGATCCTCAATCAGCGTAAGCTCAATGGCTCTTCCCCGCCGGAAACTCCTCACCACCCCTGCACCCGCACCGCGTAAGCAATTCGAGAACTTCGAAGAACGAATCATACGCCCCACAATTGATCCAAAAAAAGGATCTGCCCCGTCCCGAAGTGTTGAGAGACAACTAATTCCTACTATCCCATGACCATGACTCCCCAGGAGCGGTGAGACACACGTGTGCCTCGATCTACCGCGAAAGGAATCACGATCGTGATGATGTATCTACTTCTACTTCTGTAACGGCCCCTCGGAATTAACACAATTACCATCTTCGGTCCCGGTGGGCTGTGGCGGATGCGTCGGAATCTCAAAACCACCCCAAATACATGATCAGCAGACCCCGATATGGTGGCGCATTATTTTCTGCATACTGTAGGTAGAATCTGTGTTGGGCCAGGGGGCGTAGATAGCTAGCTGTAAGGGTCGGTCTGGGCAGGTGTCATCGTCGGCTTGGCGGGGATTCTTCACTCCATCGTGAGATTCTTTGCTGACCCCCTAGATAACAAAATTTCCGAATCTTCTCTCCGGCGACGGCAAATTGGGTGGATTCTGATAACAATCACCGCATGCACTGCATATTGACGCAATCTTATGTCGCCATCTAATAGGGGCCGTGGCCTTCCAGGGTTGAGATGCTGTGAAACCCCTGGGCCTTTATCTTTGCCATAAACTATGGTCCAAGCTTTACGGGAGCGGGAGTCGGTCCATATCCGTGGCTGCAGGAGGTCAAAGATGAAATTCTTCTAGATTATGGCGATGTTTGGAGTTTGGAGTATGGAGTTGTGAGTATCGTTGGAAACCTGGGCCGACCAAGTGTGTCAACGATCGGAAAGTTCCAAACAATTCGTAGATGCAGTAGAGAAACATTCTTAAGTGATGCTAGATACCTGCCCCCTAATGTCGATCGGAGAGATCGTAGAGAAATGCCCATTGATCGCGCTCGCAATAATGATGCAGAATGAATATCCACGAGTCTCGCTTTAGTAACAAGATCTGCTAGACTAAGCTTGTTCAAGCCAAATTCATTTTTGTGGCGGGCTCCACCATCAAGATCTCCCTGGATCTTCCCCACAATACTAGCTCCATGCCAGTGGCTGACATGCCCAATAACAGCACCAGCCTTTTAGACCGAATGGAGAATATTCAACAACACTTATTTACTACTGTGAGGCCTAAGTCTAGTGTTAAAGGTAACTGTATTTAACTAGGATGAAGTAAAGCGAATGAATTGAAGTTTTGATTTATGCATAATACTAGTATATTTCCGTGCAAACTATTTAGTATATGTATGGTCGAAATCCTATAACCATCAGTCTGATCAATTCATGGAAGAGTTCAAATTCTTTTTTCTGATTTTTGGGTTATCTTTTGGAGGCGTGGTTCCCATCATTCCGGTCCACAATCACTCAATAGCATATCCTCTGTAAGTGGGGACGAGATTCCTTCACGGGATGCGTGGAGGCTATCCAAGATTGTTTGGGTTGCTTGCGTTGTCTGAGTTGACTCGTACAGATCTTGAAAACTGGACTCGGTGTTATCACTGAAAAGTTGTCCATCAGACCCCTCCTTTCCTTCTGAATGCATACATTCCGGGAACTCATCAAACTCCTCATCTTCATCACCGATATCTGTGTCCCAGTGTTCGTTCGCATCAAAAAGAAATTCTCCACTGAGATCCATCTCGTTCCATGACCTCGTGGTAGCTTCATAGGAAGTGTTAGTATACGACAGGCTATCAATTGAATGGTTCGAAGGGAAAAAGCGACTTCCGTTGTTTCGGGCCCTTGGTTTGGGGAGTTGAGCCTGAGCCTTCCGCCACAGACTACTAGCGACCCATTCCTTTAGATCTTCCTGCAAGCTGGAAATATGCTCCTGCAGTCTTGGATGCGAAGTTTTTTTGAACATTGTGGCCACCGCTCCTGCAATGACGGGAATTGAGGCTGCACGTTGATTCAATGTCTGTCTTGATCAGCTGTAAATCTCTAATCCAGTCAATATTTAATCTTACCCCGCGGTAATCTCTGTTGAAAATACCAGGTGCCCACTTGCGTAGGCTTTGGAGGCTGTCTTCTCCGAGTACTCGAATCCGGGGCATCTTTGGCGCAGGGGAAATGATTAGTTTCTGTAAGCCGAAGTCGATCAAGTCAAGACATGGTTCAAGATCATAGGCAGTATTCTTTTCCCAATGTAGGCAGTCATCCTCCGCGAAAGTGTCCAAAGGCATCCATCGGCTCAATTCGGGATCTGTCACTGGGCCAGGATGCGGTGTAAAAAGCGATGTTGCGATTTGGGGGATTTTTTCGGGGTCAGACCTAATACTCAGATCAGGAGGCTTGTAAGTTTCTCGAAACAAGTAGGCATACTCGAGAGAGATCTCGATGACACTCATAATCATGGTAGGTACGCCTGGTGGGGGTGGAATTTCGGGTGAATTTTGGAGGGCAACGGGCACGGATCTAGTTTGGTCAGAAAAAAGGGGAGAGCGTAGTCTGCACAGACTCAATGTCACGCAGTGTTGTTCTGGGTAGCCGGGATTTGTATGGATAGTGTTGCGGCTTTTGCATGACACCGTAAACCCGAGCTCCGGCCAAACCTGGTATGAGGGTGTCAGTGAGTTAAGGCTTGTTGGACCGAGTCCATGCAAGAAATCATACATCTGCATTGCACAACCGACTCTCCAATTCCGGAATGAAGTGTGATGAAAGGAACTCTAACTCGAGGCCAAAATGGACCGACAAACGCAGCTCAATGCTTGGGGCCTCTTTGATCCAAGTTGTCTCGGGATCTGGCCATTGTGGTGTTGACTGGATTGTTGAGCACGTGAAGGCTCCTGACTGGCCCAGATTGGCTTTTGCTGTAAAGTAAAGGTGTAGTTGCGATGGCGTGTCTTGTAAAAGGCATTGTCCCAGATCAATTGTGCACGCCATTGAGGGTGTATATAATTTGAAAACCAGTCAAAGTGATTCGTATCCAGAACTCGACATTGTGATATTCCTCAGCATAAATACCTACTCAGAGGCGTTGAAGATATGCCTATAACCCGAGAAGTATGTGTCTGTGGCGGGAAGAAAATGATCTGGATGGTTCTAGCCCTCTAGGGACAAGGAGCTCACAGGCAGCAAAGCACATGACTTTTGCTCTGCGACTTACAAATTTACTCCAATTACCTAAATTAGCCACATTGTTGCCTGGAAGAAGAAAAAGTTTGTTCGTTATCAGATTCCCCCACGTTATATCGTGAAGTATACCTAATTCATTCGCTATTTACATGATCTTGTCTGGGTACAACAAAGGCATCTACTGGTGATCTGAACGATCATGGGTCCTGTACTGCAATTAGCTTTTCGAGGTTTAGGCAAATATATATCCACCTTTCCAGAATCCGAAGATCTTGTGAAAACATTACTCATTCATTTTGATCCTTAGCATGCATGCATCGATCGGATTTAAAAGTGACAATCGCTCCACATCGCTCCACCGAGAACTCCACAATCACCAATGACAGGTACTATCTATCACGTGAAAGGGACAAAGACCTCTTATCGATAAACGTCACGTGCAGCCGCATAAGCTGGCCTTGAAGGTGGACCCCAATCTTCATTCCTCGATCAATTGTGGAATAACAATGCCCGGGGATGAGGGAGAAAATGCCCGTCTCATAGGTCATGATGACCAACATGAGAAGGATACTCAATCCCTTCTATCTCTCTCCGACGAGGAACCTGAAGACCTTATCGTTCACCATGGGCCTCCCAATCCGGCGTCCGAATCGCAAGGACACTCACAAGGATCCAAACGACCGCAAGCAAACCGCCAATCCTCAATATCCCAGCCAGCGCCCGATGGACAACGCCGTACACCACGCACTTTGAACAGAGTTCGTTTCGATCTAGACGAGGAATCGGAACTCGGTAGTCGCCCCTCAGACGAAGATGATGATCATCGGAATCGGCCGGCTGGTAGCTCTGACGATGCGCCGTGGCTGGATGAAGACGTTGATTTCGAATTAGAAGACTGGATGGAGTCTGGGTCGCGACATGGAAGGCATACTGTTCCCCTTCTTACCGATATCGAAGCCCCCAGCGTGACCCTTGCAACTTCCGACGACTTCTTCCCTGAGGACCACCTAGAGAACGCGCGTCCCCGAAGCGGAATGAAAATGGCCTTCATGAATATGGCCAATAGTATTATCGGTGCAGGTATCATTGGCCAACCATACGCCTTTCGTCAAGCGGGAATGACAATGGGGATTGTGCTTTTGACAGTACTGACTGTCACGGTGGACTGGACTATCCGGCTGATCGTGGTGAATTCGAAAATGAGTGGTGCAGACTCGTTCCAGGCGACCATGGAGTACTGTTTTGGAAAGACTGGCCTTATAGCGATCTCCTTCGCACAATGGCTATTTGCTTTTGGTGGCATGATTGCCTTTTGTATCATCGTCGGCGATACGATTCCCCAAGTGTTCGGCGCTATATTCCCATCATTATCCGAAATGCCGTTCTTATGGCTGTTAACTGATCGACAAGCTGTGATCGTCTTGTTCATTGTGTGCGTCTCTTTTCCTCTGTCCCTTTACAGAGATATTGCGAAGGTGAGTGCATGATCGCTTTTATTACGGTGTCTTTCCTGAAGCTAATGCGCAACCGAAGCTGGCCAAAGCATCCGCTTTAGCGCTGGTCAGTATGATCATAATTGTAGTTACCGTTATAACACAAGGCTTTCGCGTCCCAGCGGAGTCACGAGGAGAAATCAGGAGTCATCTGTTTGTCAACTCCGGGTTCTTCCAAGCAGTTGGTGTGATATCTTTTGGTATGTGATCCCTTTGGCCTTCTCTGTTAAGATCTGTTAGCTAATCCATTCTAGCATTTGTTTGCCGTATGTGAAATCGCCCCGCAGAACTTTGGTGATGACCGTATTAACATGCCCCAGACCACAACAGTCTTTTGATCTATGGATCCCTGAAGAGGCCTACCCTCGACCGATTTGCCACCGTTACACACTACTCCACCACAGTATCGTTGGTTATGTGTCTTGCCATGGCCATAGCAGGATTCCTTTCATTTGGGTCGAAGACCCAAGGCAACGTACTCAACAACTTCCCATCAGACAACATCATGGTTAACATTGCCCGATTGTAAGGCCAGATCCAATGGTGACCAAAATGATCTCTAGGCTAACATCACCCAGTTGCTTCGGATTGAACATGTTGACCACCTTGCCCTTGGAGGCTTTTGTCTGCCGATCGGTCATGACCACATATTACTTCCCCGACGAACCCTTCAACCCCAACCGACACCTGATCTTCACCACCGTTCTAGTCATTGCATCCATGGCTGTGGCATTGTTGACAAGCGATCTCGGTACTGTATTTGAACTGATCGGAGCAACCAGCGCTGCTGCGCTTGCATTTATATTCCCTCCTCTTTGTTACCTCAAACTTAGCAGTGCTCCTCGCTGGGAAAAGATCCCTGCCTACCTCTGTCTTACCTTCGGGGTTGTTGTGATGCTCGTCAGTGGTATCTTAGCGGTCACAAAAAGTATTCAGCGTACGTCTTGCCTATTCATGTTTTTGTTGCATGTTCACTGAACTATTCGCGTATAATTTTATCAAGTCAATTACTAAAATTCTTCCAGATAAAGGCAGCAGCGATTCTTAGCTACCCCGCACGTCCAAATGCATTGTTTACTACTAAACCCTTACCAGATGAGGATAAATGCTACTTCCATGCATTTTTAGGCTGACAGTTAAGCCGAAAGGCATAAGCAGTAATTCCGGCCCTTGCTTTTGCCACTGCACATACATCATTTCTGTACATAAATCTATATTCATATCTCATGAGTTTGTGCAAAGATTCTTCAAATGTTCTCTGAAGATGGCCACGTAAACCTTTCAATAGAAATGACCAGTAAGTAAATCTTGAAGAATAGTCTGCCACTGTGGCCTATTTTTCCCGGCTTACACAGGCTGATTAGAATGCCGAAGGTCAGAGTGAGAGTTAGAGTACCTGGTAACTTAAAGGCTAGAGGCAGCAACTGAGTTTAAACTATTTACATTCGAATTTACCGTTGTTTGTTTACCAACTGGGCTACCCTCACCTTTTATTTTCACTCACGCGGGGTTCTTCACTTTCTTCACCCTCTTCGTCGTGTCCACTCTTTCAGCCCACACCTTTTCCCACAGCTCACGCTTCATGGTAACTTGGACACTTCGCTAATTGCTATGTACACCATTATCTGAAATCATACCGACGCGTGTCTTTCATTATCCTCAATCTTATTTTCCCATTTTTCCTCTCAGTTGGATTCCTGCAAGGGCCGAGTCGTCAACATGGATTCAAAGGACGCTCAAGCGGAGCGCTTGAAGAGAATGCAGATGGTACGAATTCTTACAGGCCCAATATCACCTAATTCACAGACTAAATGCTCTCAAAAGGCTGATTTGGGTATACACCGTCGAGATTACATTTCAGCTCGAGACGATCGCAAGAATATCCCACACGTTCGAATGGAGGATCTCGAGGCCGCTCGACAGTCAAACATTCCTGGAACAACTGCCCATGGGGAGGCACAGCGGAATAAGAGAATTCTCAGTGAATGGACAAGTACTTATCGACGAAGGGCTTTTAAAGTCGACACATTGACTGACTTGATTTCTAGGCTTGCATAGGACTGTCGGCGATACGACCAACTCGGACTCCCAGCTGGACAGTTTGATGCATGGCCAGAGTCATCGTGCCCAGCTCAACCTGACATTTCATCATGATGAAGGACAGGCATTCAATTTTGGCAATACAGCCTCTACTTTCAAACATAACCACCCATTACCTCCTATGCCCCCGGGCCGGGGAAGGGGGGTGATAGGCAAGAGAGTTCGACGCGCATTATCTCCACCGTCGTTGGTCATACCCTTCCATCTTTTATTGAAACCGTCACTGATCAATACTTATGCTTAGGTTTGTGGCGGCACCGAAAGTTCGCGTTCCATCTCTTCCGAACTTGATGCCACGCAGGATGGACCCAGCACTAGAAAGCAATGCCGGCTCTGTTTCATCAAGTGGTAGCAGAGGCTCTAGGAGAAGCAGAGGAAGAAGCGTCAGTGGTAGTTACGGTAAGGACTAGACGTTGTTGACAGAAATTGGCGCAATCACTAACGGAGTTCTTAAAGGTACAAGAACCCCAAATGTGAGGCGCACAGGATCATCACGTCCTGAGTATGCAATAGATCCCTTGTCTTTGGGCTTCATATACTGAACTAATTCACAGAAGAAGCACCCCTCCCAAAATTTCTACGCCTCATGATTTTTTGGCAGCGCATCATCGACTGACCACGGCTACGACGCAGAGCTCTTCAGAGCCGTCCTTGAAGCATGGTCCAGAGATTGCAACCAGTAGTCCGTCTCAATCAAAAAGCAAAGCATTGCCAATCCCTGAAACGCCAACACCACCTACTGGAAGATGTGTCAAGCCAAGTCAACCTATTCGAACCACCACCAACTCTACGAAGGCCTTGGCTCAACCCAGAGCCGTTTCAGCCCAGACAAAGGTACCCAGTGAAACAGTAATTTCCTCACTGATAGCGACAAACAAAACTCCACAGACAAACAAAAAACCCGGGAAACTGCTGCCCAACATCTGCCTGTCTCTACCATTACCGATGAGAGTAAAAGAAAACACCCAGAAAGGTACAGTAGCATCACAGGAATTGAGTGGTATTCTCCTTGACAGTGGAGGTTCACGTGAAACAATGATTCCCCAGGCTCCCCAGTTTATGAGCCCTGCTCTTGCAGACCTTAAAGGGCTAGACTTTTGCTTTGAGACTGACAATACAAACTCTTCAGGGGGAGGGGTTATTGATTTCAAATTCAAGGGAAAAGCAAATACTCCAGCAGCTTTATCTGTTGAGAAGAAGGAAGGTGATGATGGGCTCATGAAATTTGTACGCGCTGCAAGACTTCTTCAGGAACTTATGAATGATCTAACCGCGTGCCAGAAACACCCGGAGGCAGTTCTTTACAACTTCCACGATAACTCAAAGCCCTCATCTTCCCCAGAGCTGTCCACCACCAAAGAAGCGATGAAGAATGAAGTTACTTCGAAGCCCACGAATGACCCCACTGCGCCTCCCCAGGAACCCACTCTCAAAGCAATCAAGGCAGCCCCCGCTACGCCATCAAAGCCTGTCTTTGGAGACAGCTTCAAAGGATATCGAGAGCAACCCTATTCGCCCTTTTCCCCGGATTCAAAGGAGCCCACGTCCGAGGAATCGAAAGAGTACGTCGATGCCCCCGAACAGGTCACGCCCAGCAAAAAGGAAAAGCCTCAGAACACTATCACTTCAATGTTTCTTAAACAAGCACAACGTCAAGCCCTCAAGAAGGAAACTGCGGAGGAAAATGTCTTTCTCAAAGCGCCGAAGTCCCCCAAGCGACCCACTAAAGTTTTTGCCGTGGCTGCACCTACGCAATTTCACAATGTGCTGGCAGAATCAATTCATGCACCACCACCTCCAATGGAACTATTCAACGCTCCCACGGTATTTGCACAATCACCCCCTGCTCCCTTGTTCTTCGCACAACAACGCCCCGCACTACCTAACGCCTTTCGCCAGTTCAATAAAGCAAAGACGATTGGTGTGCAGCCCTACCTTCCAACAAAGCTCGCACCAAACGTCTCCGAATGCTCTTCTCAACTTTCTGAGCTACCATTGTCTTACGAGCTTCGACAGCCTACACTTGGACTCAAACAGGACAGCGCTAACACTGTCCTTGCGGGGATCTGTGGTCCCCACACAATTGACCCCGCACCATTTCAAGGTCGGGCAAAAAAAGCTACCGATAATACTCAGAAAGAGAGCAAGACAACTCCAATCAAGCCAAGTGAGGACTCCCCTCCCCTTTCCCAATTATACTCTCCAACATCACATTTTCAAGGCACCGATGAGAACCTCCGTCCCTCCATGCCCCGAGTACTTGGAAACCAACCATTCCAGTCTCGAAAACCCAGCCAGCCTCGTTGAAAGTTCTCGCCTCTATCACAATGCTTGAAAAGTTTAGTGTATTTTAACCGTCCTTCACGGTATTGTTGTTCGAATTCTCGATCCGCTGTTCTGTTTTATCTTGACCGGTTCACCATTTTATCCCTTTCGTTAGCGTGGTCAATTTCCCGGAGGAACGATTCATGGATATGGGAATATGATGAAATGGATAAATATCCAAGAGGTTATTGATTGTTTCATGGGCAGGGGCGGTGGATCTTTCAATAGCAAAAATTAGCCATGTCCATGTCCTCCACTTTGTATCGTGAATCATCTCACAATTAATGAGCCTACTGGCATTTCTGGAGACCCAAGCCCAATAGCTTCCGGAATAGCTACACTGTAGAGCTACAGTGGCGACCGCTATCGCCTTCCAGGCTAGACAACACAAAGAAGCTTTTCTCGAACCCTAATCATATGCTAAGCTAATCCTCATGTGGTTATTCCCGTATCTCCGGGGTCCCTTTGCCTAGTCATGTAGCTGTGCTCTACTAGTATTGATAGTCATTTTTGACATTATAAAGACGCTAGGAATAACTTGAAGTTTCATGTAAGTAGTCTTTGGGGGTTTTCTCAAATAAGGAGAACATCTCATATTGTAGTCAATAGCTATGTGATAAGTCTTCAAACAGAAGAATTCGCATCCCCTTTCGCAGTGGATTTTCACTGAGCGTCGATCTTTCTTCAATTTATTCCTACATTTGCAAAGGGCACTAGGGTTGCGAGCACTGATTTATCCCTTCACTTCAAATATTCGGAAGCCCTCGTGGAACCCAGTGCTCTTCTGCCCAGCTCTCAGCCCCAGCATCCCTCAACTCTTGCTTGGCTAATTGATAATTTGTTTGTCCATGACGCCGCTCCGTCTGTTTGAAATCCTGCTCCATCTCAGCGTTCGTCCAGAAGTAGAATATCACACACGTCTTCGGTTTTTCCCCATCGTCTGCTTTCCTTTTATCCCAAAGTCCTAAAGGGGTGCCTCTATGTGCAACCCTCACAAGTCTGCGTGCGATAGGCCCAAGAGCGTCTTTAGATTCGAGGGCTTTGACTCTAGGCATCCCGTGGCTTTCCTCCAGGCCCATTGTAGCTGAGAAGTGCGCACATATAAAAGAGATACGATAGCTTGGATTCCTCAACCACGGGGTTGGAAAGTTATAATCAAACTCATAGACCTCTGGTAGAATCGATGAGTATCGACATAATGCTGACAAGTAGGTCTCGTATGATGATGAGGCTCTGAATTGATTTAATTCCTCTTGGGATGTCCACACTAGAGAATTTAGTACCTTTGTCACTCGTTAAGGGAAGGTATATTACATGTGATCAGAAGAACATAATTTAAATGTTCCTCGATTCGGCCCCATTTGGAAACATAATGCCCGGGACAATTTTTCAGGTTTCGTGCGAAATCTCCCCAGTATTCGTCCTCTAGACTTGCGGTCTCAGGTACGTAAAATGTGGTAAATACCATCAGCTGCGAAGTTGGCATAGCTACTTATTAGACCGAGGAGATAAAGAAAACGATAACTTCGGGATATTAAACGTAGTATGTGAAAATGGTTCGTGCAAGTGAAAAGTCCAGCGCGCAAATAAACAAGAGAGAGCGCAAGTGAAAACGGAAAGCGAAGTCAGGTTATCGGGCCGGGGTGGAGGGGCCAGGTTAGAGGGGCCGGGGGGCTGGGGGGCTGGGGATCAATGCACCCTACAAAGTACATACTCTAGTATACAGCACTTTCATCGGCGTTCTGATTTACGCAGATTAAACAAAAACAAGCGGCTGTTAGTCTTAATGATTCTATAAGGCTCTGGTTGATGTTCATTTAGAACTGATCTATTCCTGAAATTCTTTCCGGAGATATGTCGATTTCTCCCTAATTTGAAGTCCTTCAAACACGACTTGGAATATTCAGCTACTACATTAGTAGCAATGCTTTACAGTAGCCCCGAGTAGGACTAGTAGACTCTCTATAATTTAATGAATTCTACGAATCAATACGGTTTACAAGAAATTGGGGACCGTCCCCTACTAGTAAGCCCACAGCATCTCCTAAAGATAAATCCCCAATGTGCCACTCCGTTTTGTAGATATATGACTGTCCTGTGTTGGGAATTTCTGAATATATCAGCGAAATTACTTATAAAATGTGGAAGACAGACCTATCTTCGGCTGTGATGGTATAGTGCCCAGTTGGCAAAAGTAGGGAGCGACACAGGAATACCTCGCTTATCAAGATGACTCCTGGCTCCGTTTGGGAAGAGAGTAGGAAATGTAGACATAAAGTAATGGGGATCCTGCTAATGGTTTAATAGCAAAGCCTGTCCTCGAATGCTGTATTGAATCACGGGAGGCGAGGGGCGGTATCTTGTAATGATATTGCCTTACCCCTGGTACAAGCTGAATTCGACTGTGGTTGTGTAGAGCACGACAGATTAGCTCTAAGGGATTTAATTGTACTGAGCAAACGTAAGTTAGGGCTTTGGCGATCCCCATTTAAATTGATAGTGACCGAAGTAGTGATCGGAATGGAACTTTCGGTAGAATGACTGGGATCGAACTCGGCGGCTTGCCGGTTGTTCTTACAATTGCGATCTTCCAAACTGACGCTGTACACGCTATAACCACCTTGTTTATTAATATCACTCTTATCCAAGCATATAATATCTTGCTGTAGACTTGACGGAACAAACTCGTCAGGCCAGTTTTCCACGGTAGAACAAGCAATAGTGACGTCTCGGTTGAGAGTATTGTGTTGAAAAAGATAATGTAGAGCAGCCAGTATCCTGATCTTGTGTACTACCAGGAAAGGTCGCTGCTCAGTCTCAGTTGGAGAGCTATGTCCTATCTAAAAAACTTTGATACGTTCAGTGAATCTCAGATCTGGGCTAGGTAGAATTTGAAGAAGAGGGTTGGGATCCTGCGGTATAATAATAAAATAACTATGTGATGCATGATACTTTGCCACCGATGATCGACTTCTAGGATATAGCTTCACAATCACTCCTACAGGGTGTGATTTAGCTATAAGGAATTCTTCTGTTAAGGTGAGGTCTTTCAAAAGCTTAGGGTAATGCTGGCACAGTGTAATATTGATCTTATTCCTCATCGAGAATTTTAGGATCGTCTCGTATAGAAGAGCAGTGTGGTATATCGAATATAGATTCTAGTAGCTGTCCCACCATCCGCATATATCAAGACTGTCTTCTAACTGCTAGAGTAAGGGATTATTGGCTAAGAGTCGCTGAATATCAATACTATTAATGAGTCTTCTGTACGAAGAACAAACTGTATGTCGGGCAGCAATCGCTATATTATCCTTAAAACGAGTTATAGATTGTCGAACGTAGGAATCGGTTACTTCTAATGGAAAAGTGTACAAAGCCTGTGCCCGGGCTTTATATCCTTAGCCTAGAAACCCCAGACTCTGCTTGATTATAGAGGAATAATTATGGGACTATTTCGAGTAAGAAGATATGGTTTGTAATAATAGAGAACTAGTCCTCTAGTGCTTTCTATAAGAGTTATGTAGAGGCTCAAATAAGTTGGCAGATAGGTTAAAGGCCGACGAAAAGATAGGACTAAAGTTTATTAGAGACAACACTATTCTCGAATCTCTTGATGTGCAGGTGAAGTAATAGGTGACACCCGGATAGGCGAGGAAATTATTTGTACATTCCAAACAGGGAATAATATATTGAGGAATAGCGGCCTCAGCGATTTGATATTTTGTATAATTTAGATTTGCTGTTGAAAAAGGAATTAGAACTCGATAGTGTAGGTAAGGGTGTGTTTCAATTATAGGTGCAAAGCTAGACAATCGATAAGCAGGGCATTTTGGAGGGTAAATCTCTAACGATAAATATACTTTTCGACCACAGCCATCACAACGCCGTTGGGTTAGTGTTTTGAAAGTATGAATACTATTATATCGTGAAAATTAGCTGGGGTAAATGTGGGATTGGGCAGGAAGCGAGGAGAAACTACGCCTAGAAAATAGTACATGTGGCAATAGGCAAAATAATCTCCCGATAAAGATGCAGAAAACCTGTAGAGTAGGATACAATGATAGATAGAGAACTTGAAGATATCTACAGGAATAACTTTAGAGCTCTAAAGCCACCAGAAGCCAGTACGTAAAGGGTAATGTGGAGTCATCACAACGGGTAAATCAGAGAAGCGCGTGGCAAGACAGATATATATGAATCGTAAACCTTTTTTTGCGACGTTCTCGCGCACACGTACATCCACGTTGATTAATACCCTTACTCTCACTTCGTTCGTTTCAAGGCAGGGATGAATGGTATAATACAAAACAACCAAAGTCTTGGCAAGGTACCTTTCTATACGTTGTTACACCTCCAAGGATAGTAAATCGCCAATACGTCATAGCAACTCAAGCACATAGGCACTAACCCATTGCATGATAGCCTAATTATTTGACCCCTGGCAAAAAATAAATATGTTTTCCTATGATAAACAATAGCAAAAGACACCACAGCTTAGGGAGTCGAGATGATAAAATTTAGTCAGCGTCCTGTCACGAATACGTAGAAGAACATGCAGCTGTTCGGCATATCAGATCTATTTCAGAACCTCCTATGCCATAATTATCAATATATTAGGACAGTAGAGATGCGAGTATCTCTCAATACACTGGTCGTTTCCCGCCCTCGCAGTTGAATTGTCGGTAGGTTGTTCCAAGGAGTTTCAAAAGCTAAGACGTGATGAGTGATGTTTCTGGCTGACGTAGAAGGCTTTCACGAGCTCTTGCCGTAACGTAAAGGATTTCTGCTAGAGGATGGAATCGGCGCTCCCTAGTCCCTGCAAGATAATCGCAAGTCGATCACGAGCTCTCGATTTACAGATAGCTGGAGATGCTTTCTGCCTTGGTCTGAGTAACCTAAGTATAGCTCACCCATCCACATTGGACGAGCTTACCCTTCTACTTTACCCCGCAACCTCCTCTGCGAACATTTTTGGCCCCCGACTCCAACAGGAGTAGCCTACTGTCTGGTATCATTTGAGGTCGCTCTTTGTTCCAAAAGCATGGCTGAACAGTTTACCAGCCTTATTGATTCCATCGATGGATTGAGCCTTGCTGATAGGGCATTTGGACTGACGGGATCAGTCTCTGAATGTCCAAGTTCGGCTCAGCCAGGTCTCGTGGAGGCCATTCGGACATTGATACAATCTTGCAAGGATACTTCAGTACACGCACAACAGGCCAAGACTTTGGTCGAAGGCACGCATACTCCGAGCAGCCAGGGCATTTTGAAATTAAGCTCTTTGAGCAGAAGAGCCGCCGCTCTTGTGAGGATCACAGATACAATCGGCGACGCAACAGAATGCTATATCTTAGCTTACATCACATCCCTTGCTAATTCAGGGACACTGGTGCAGAAAATGCTATCGCATTATACTGCCGAATTGAGGAACATCGCACGCGATGTTCTTAATAGCACCGGTGATGACAGCAATGTTCTGCGGGAGACTTTAGAAATATGCTATGGTCAGGGTCTTCATACCTCTGGGAGGCTGCACTCTGATAAATACTTTGTTCCCCTGGGCGAAGCCAATCTTGAATGGCCCTACGACCCCGAACTTCGAGAGTGAAGACTACTATGAGCATGTAGATTGCTTAGTCATGGACGACCACTATGCTGAAGCCTTTCGTGTGCAATGCGAACGCAGATCTAAGAAGGAACGACAGGAAAGGGAAGAATGGATTAGATTTTGGGTTCAAGCGCTGAGCCAATGCCCCGACAGGCCCACCCTATTCTATTCGCCAGAAAGTCTACCAGCAAGCAAGTCATCATTTTGCAGATGTCCCGCGATACTTGTTTAGAGCCTTCGACCATAAAAGTTCAGGCAAAAGTGACCACAATGTCGTAGCTTCCGCTGAGAGCATTTCTGCGATGCCACGTCGCAGCAGAGTCGATCTCCTCTCAAGGAGGAGCGAAAAAATTACGCGAATGCTATATAGCCATCTGACTAAATCATCTAAATACGTCTCTTAGGCTCTGTCGACATTTGAAACTCGTGATCCCTAGCCTCGCGTCCACAGCGATGTATTACTTCCGGTTTACCACCCTTCCCTTTCGACGATTTTCTCTAATTTCAATATTTTTCATAACTTCAGAGTGACCATGGCGGTCCCAGGTAGTATATGACATCTAATCAACCATTGACCGAATATTATGGCTCCGACCAGAGACAGACACTATTCGGCACCAGATCTATCCCAATACGATATTATATCTTTCCCACTAAACGTGGCCGATTGCCGCTCTTGCACTTAGTCGTTCCCCCTGAGCTTCCGATTTAGAGGTCATAGACTCGCTACTGTTCTCAGACTCGCCGTGAGAAGGTCACAATCGAAATGGTGCTTGGCGTGATACTTCATGCGTGGCCTCGGGAGACGCCAGCAACAAAACCTTGGAAGCGACTGACCTATTCTGGCGTATAACTATGATTCAGTCAGAGATACACGCTGGAAAGGGAATAGTGCACCCCCATTCTAAGTGTCATAGTCTTGGTCCAAAGTAGGTAATAAAAAGCCGATCATATCTAAAAAGAATAGTCATACACGTGTAGTAGGCGAGAGTGGCCATTTATTTGATTTAACAATGAATATTTCGGCGTAGAGTTCAACTTTCGTAGAAGTTGTTATTTCGGAACAAATTCTAACCACAGTTTCCAGGATCCAAACCAAGCGGTCTAGATGCCTGATCCATCATACTCGCAGGTAAAATCATCTTGATCAACACAAAATGATGATCAAACAAAATGATGGATCATCAACACAAAATCATGGAGCACCACGAAAGGGATTCAGACTAAGCAAATCCACTCGTAGACATTATGAACCTTTGTGAGAAGTTTTTTCTAGGTCTATTCTGCTTTTAGCTCTTGGGATTACATTTTTCTTCAATATAAATAGTTGCAATATCACCTAATTCTCGCAGCTGCATTCTCGCAGCTTCAGTTAAATATTCCATTGAATGTCTTCAAGTTAAATTCTCCTGTATAAATATTCATCTCAAGAATGTTTGAATATTTTGTCCAATTGTACGAAGGCTATCCCCAAGAGGGCAATACCATTCTTGTCATTTCCATCACGAGCATCTGGCTTTTCCATCAAGATCAAAGATCTGATGATATAGGAGAGGAGGATGAAGAGTTCAACCAGGTATAAACACAGTGACTCGTGTGTATTGCATGATAGGAAAGACTAATGGTTTTCATTCTCCTCCTTAGGAGCACATCCGCATTCACCCAATTCACCCTGATGATAATTTCCCTTTCCTGAGACGACGCGAACCTTTCCATTTCTTGTGCCAGTAACGAGTGAGAGTTCGCTATATCCGGATAGGAGGCTTTGTGGGCCCAACCGTATGGCAGTGACGGAATGGCTTGTTTGAGTCCGGTTCTTTCATACCCTAGGTCATACGGCGTGATCTAAACCCACGGGATCGTCATGTATAACCGGTCGCTGAAGCGGAAGGCATTGCGGTATATGCTATTTTGGGATGAAGAAGACTTTGGTTTTGGTACACGTTTGTCCAGCGAAGGAGTTGATACACTGGGGGTGTACGAAGTGCGGAAGGTTGGCATCGTGAGGATCCGGGCGAAATTGAATGCAGTATAGGAAATGTGCTACACATGTTATCTCATTCGTAATTATCTTGCATCGAAGTCCCTGCGGTAGAAAATTGTCAGATCACTGTGCTACTTTCCTTGACATGACTCATAACTGGACCATTATGTTGAGCATTGTTATTATTCGACAAGGCCATGCCCTTGCGCTCTGGGTGATATCTAATGCTTTGGGGGTTCTTGAGTATTTTTCAATGAAGGCTTACTGCACCGAGGGATAATGTCGGGATTGAGACCTGGCTTACCGAAATCGTTAAGTCATAACCCCCCTGGGGCATCATGAGCACAAAGAAACACGGAGAACGAATGCAAAGGAGTGGCTAGAAATAGAAGAGAGGATATTCAAAATCCAAGATCTTCAATCAACTGATTTATGCAGACGTAGTCGCTTATGGACGCAGGTAAAAACTTTTCCTAGCTGGAATTTTTCAACTCAAGCCCGGTTCACATTTCCTGATGTCCCCTGATGCAGTCGCTAAGAATAAATCCACGGCAACGATGGAAATTGGGACATGTACGAAGTCTCTGAACAACGTTGTCAATGTTAGCGAGGCTTCCCACTGGTCCTAGTCAATTTAAATGACGTGATACCTAGGAATTAGTCGCGCCTTCCGGTAAGACTGTATACTTATTGTTCGTTTTCGATTTTCTTGCCCTGGGTAAATACCGGCCGAAGCTGCAGCGCCCAGCCACGGTATGCACAGCCATCCAGATTCCGGGCGAGCATCATACGTAATGTGAAATGAGATGCAATCTCCCACTGTCTATTTCCTTTTATTATTTTGCCCGGGTGAAATAGATCCGCATAGATATGACACCGAGCTGGAGCCTTCGGGGGCTGCATGTAGACACGTGAATACGGATCCACCAGCAGAGCCATTAAATTGAAGATTGGTACATAAATGCAAATCGACGACAAAGTACGGTTTGAAATGAGAAAGAGATAGCATGTAAAAAGGACTGCCGATCCTCATAAAACGGCCCATATAAAACAAAATAGCTTTGTTGGATCTGTTTATTCATATAATTTCAAAATGGAAAGAGAGAGGTTGATTTTAATCATTTTAGATTTTCCAATCATGCAAAATCCTATACCAAATAGAGTTATATAGGCAGTGTCACCAAAAATACACGCATGGAGAGCTTCTATCTCGTACGGAATTACAATTTTGGAGCGATTGCCTACTAGTACTAGTACACATAGTGTAGACCGAAAAAAAGCGGTTAGTCCCGGACATATAGTGGTCATTGATAGGGTGGTCATTGATAGGAACCATGAAAGTGATCCGTTCGCCGTGGACTTGGACAGTGCCGGAATTTTCACGGCCAATCATAATCAGCGAGTATGTGGTGTATACGCTATGTCCGGATGCCCACACGGTGGTCATGGGGAACGGAAATCAATAGGGTGCAGCCCAGGGGCTGGGAGTTGACAACACATCTTGACACTAGTGTTTCAGCCAGGCGCTTCCCTGAGAAACATCCCAGCCGCGGTGAGCTGCAAACCGCTCAGTGCGTTTATGTGCCTTACGCCGGACCAGCAATCTCTAGCAGTTCGTCTGGAGAACACCCAAGATGTGATCAATCCATTACTTTCGTTAAATTTTAATTCAAGTCCTGCACTAGCTCTTGGATAATATGAAAATCTGCCTCGTGCTTGGCCCTGTGGGCAGTTTAAATTGTTGCATCACTCTGCATGAATTAAGGCTTCATGCCGAGGGGCCAGAAACCACACCCAATTCTGCTTTCGTCATCCACCATTTCCAAGGTTCGTTCTTCGCTTCGTCCAAGAATTTTGCGAGGATCTCAGATATCCACTAGTCTCATCTTATTTTATTCAACATTTCTTAGCAAAAACCTTTTTTTTTTTCCTTGGGCAAGATAGCACGCTATTGCACAAAAGCAGCGTGGGCTCCGCTCCCCACCCCCGGCATATGCAAACCCGTTTCACATGATCCCTGTGGCTGAAAATGGATTGCTCCAGAAAGGTCACTAGTCTCGGAGGTTACCGTTAATGATGGGACCGCGAAAGTTTTCCTTCGCCTTATATTACCGCGCAGAAAGCAGGAACTGCTCGGGGCAAACATGTTGTACATCCGGCCAAGCAACTATGATTCAGGAACAGGCCTATTCTTCCCAAAGATCGCCCACCTTGACGCTAAGCCCCACATTGGTTCCTTCACCCGTATTGTAATGCGGATTCTGGAAGGGCCCCGTGGGCCCAAAGTAGATGCAGCCTCGCCTGGATCCTGAAACCCCGGGAATCAAAAACCCAGTACGGCAATCACTCACCAAAAGTGGACCCCACAGGCCTGTGACTCAACATCCTCTGCTCCCCTCTCAAACATTCTTTCCGTCTGTATCTGGACATCCCGAGAGATTTAGCTGCGGGAGGATTTCCGCCGTGGGACCCTAGCCATTCCATTAGACGAACTTAGCCCAGATCGTCTCGGAAATACCCCGATGTAAACCTCGCGTAAATCAAGACTCACGAATCTCTTGGTCTTGAGCCCTGATTAAATTATTATTTTATTCCGTCTTTGGATCTATTTCAAGACCAATCATAACTCCGTAAATAAAGCCATTTCAACAGCTCGAGGGCCCGTCATCTCTTAGTCCCAGCTGCTGGATCCTGATACCACCTACCGCATTTGAGCTCCACACCAAACCGCTTCGGCCTAGGTAAATTGATCTACCGCAAGGCCGTATTATCTGTACCGTTTACTAAAAACGGGATAGATCATTCAATAAGATTCATCTAGTGCTAATGGAAACATCCTTCCGAGCCCGAAAGCTGAGACTTGTTCACCAGTCTTGCCTGCATTGATCTTCGTAGATCAAACCTATGATCTTCAAACGGTGTAAATTACATCTTTCACACGTAATAAAAATATATGACACAAAAATGAAATGAATAAATGAAAAAAAAAAAAAAAAAAAAACCCGCACCATCGGCCACAGAGATTAGGAGGAGAGAGACCCCGGGGGCCCGAGATATCCTCCAAAGTTGGCCAAGGAACATTTGACGTATTTTTAGCCAATACTGATTAAATTATAGAGCGACGTTAGGGCACCTATACTCAGTGGTGGTAAAAATGCGACCTATTATTGAAAATTTCATTTTACATGTAAGGAATAGTAAACGTGATGTTAAGCCATGATACCCAGTTGGGGGGCAGGTCCTGTTTGCTCCCGATTGCATCTGTGGAATCCATGAGTCTGTGCGAAGTTCTTTGCTTGTTGGGGCGTTGGCCGCTATCCTTTCCAAAATTGGTAGTAGAGCATCAGCATTAATGTTAATGATCATCCTCCCTTTTATTTCCACGCAAAGGCTGACACTCGGCATAAACCGTAAGATCAAATGTCGGATAGCTGTCGGGACTGAAGGATTCAGCCCTCCTTGTTTAAGTTTCTCGGTATTGTGTATTCACCCCCAGGGGTGATTCTATTGCAGATGATTGGCTTGCTAGTATCTACCCATGTTAGACTGATATTGGTGGATCCGTCCAACCCTCGGACTTCCAGATGTCGGAGTTTCCGAACCGACCAAGCTAATCGACGCCAAAAGTCCGAGTCGGCTTCTCTGTATGGGTACTCAAGGTCTTTTTTGGTAGTCTCTCGTTGTAATTTTTGTTTTGTTCATACTCGTGAGATTACACACGGCCCATGGTGTAGAGTCAAGATTATTGGGTTTAATAAGTAGACCTGATTAAGTATGCCCCGCTTTCGGGGTGATCTCCGAATCTGTCCCTTTCTTTTTATTGTTTTATTACTATTTTTTGTCTCCTATGATGACACTACTTCCCAGACCAACGGATACGCCTGCTTCAAAGACCGGCTTCAAGTATTGAACGGGTCAAAGCTAAGGGGTTGTGGACAAACTCACGCTAAACCAGGGGAGGCTAGAGCAGGGTTCGTTTTCTTCACACAGATAATTTTGGATTTTTAATACAGAGCTTCAACTTCAAACTTCGTATGCGCAGCAACCGGTAAGCAACACTCAAAGTATCAGTATTGAATGAAAGGAACAAAAAAAACAGAGGAAAAGACTTTTTTTGACTGCTCTGTTTACTAATCTACACTTTTGCGCATCTTCAAATTATAGCATGAGGTTTCTGTGCTACAGAGTAGCACCCAAACCTTCATGAACGACTGACGTGTCCTAGAAATGAAATGATGGTTAACAACATACTACATAGTATATTCTTAAGTTTTCATACTGTACCATCAGACTACAGGGGGCAGGTCTGTATGCTGAGAATCTGTCTTATTGCTCGTAGTCTCGGTACCAGCATGTTTGGCCATCAGTCGAGCTCTGCCTTAAATGCGTTACGTCGTCTCAGGGAGGATAATCGCTCGTCAAGATGTTTTGGTCGGATACGAATAGGCTTGTAAGGATAATAAAAAGCATCAGCAGTCTTACTCACACTACCCTATGAGATTGCTTTAATTATACGTACTTGGATGGCTTCCTCTGGGCCTTCTGGTGGACGTAGATACTTCCACAACAGCCAGACTAGAGTAATGATACTGATAATGCCTGTCACAAAGACGGCATTGCCGACTTTGAGGTGGATTTGATAAAGTTGAATGAATGCCTCGAGCATCGGTGGAGAGTTGCCGGCAAAGCCAGATGAAGAGAAACTTTTAGATCTGAAGAGTTGTTTGGGCTATCTTATGGAGGATATGGAAGGAGATTTATAGGAAAACAATTCAGTAGCTAATAGAGGAGATGATAGATTTCCAGAGATCTGTCATGTTATGCGATTACCATAACTTTGGAGTAGGCGATAGAATACCGACCGGTTGGCCAGGTAAACGCAGATTGGCACCAGGCCTCGCTCTTTCCCACTCTGGATCCCCCTTCGCTGTCCTGTAAATCCGGCGAGAGACGCACTGACGCGGTCGATTGGACCAATCTTGCTGTCCACTCTTTGTTGCATTCGAAAGACCCACTGCCGCGGCTTAGACTCATCGGAACGAGTGATTCAGCCTTTACGGTGTTGTACGGGGTATTCTTCAGCTTGTAAAGGATATATTCAGTCGATCTTACCATAGATCCTACTATGGTCTTGACCTTACTTCCTCCGCCTTCGCCCGTCTTCTTCCCCTTTAGCTTTTTTTCCTTTTGTGTTTTTCTTTTGGCTCTAAATGATTGTTTTTCTTCAAATGTTCTCTCAAAATCCGTGACAAAGCGGCATCGTATCCTACCATTCACATAAAGTAAATATCCTAGGCCCTCCAGTGGTTTTAGATTCAACTTTATATCAAGACTATTTTGAATGTTGATGGCTTCCTATTATTCTTGTCGTTCGCTGTAGAGCGCATAGTACACGTGGAAAGAACGCAAGATACTAGTTTGATTTTTTTCAAAAATAAATAAATAAATAAATAAAATAGAATAAGAAAATAAATGATATAATATTAATGGCGTAGCGGGATAGCTGCGATGAGCCCCCGAACGTGTGGAATCGGGGACTCGGAGTTCAAGTTATTTGTATTTGGAATCGCACGATCAATTAAATCAGAACTATCACCATCGAATTTATCAGTTCCGGAGTCCCCAGGACTGCTGCTCATGTCGTTGAATGCTTGTTTGTCGGTCTGGATCCGTTTCTGGGATCGCCTGGTTGCTTCTCGCATGCTTTGACTTTTGTTGTAATTCATTTATTTTATTTTTATTTTACCACTATCTTTTGCCACTTGCAAAAGGATCCACAGTATATCATTGGAATTTTTTACTCGTTCGTTTTGTTCTATCACGACTTTTGGTACAAATAATTAAAAATGGGCCACTGTTCCTGGTGGTTGTGTCTGCCTACTGTGGGATGACCCCACTTGACAGATACAGTGGCCGGCAGATCATGATGACCTTTCCCATGTACTCCAGGGAGGCGCCTGTTTCAAAGGTCCTTGTGGATCAGCAACTTGGACGCGTCTGTCCGTTATTCTTGTGACCTATCAGTAGTCATTGCTATCACCAGTCGCATGCAATCTTCAAGTTTATTCATGACACAGGTTCCAAAGCTAAGCCGCGCTACAATATTAGTAGTCACATTCAAGTTGCCCTAGTACGTATATTATAAAATATACTTGTATCATGATTAAATCCGAGGTCACTGTGCTATCATTGACCACACTGGCAGTCATGGGTACGTACTACTAGGTACATACCTGATCGGCGGCTTGAGACTTACTAGCGGAGTTTCTTTTCTCATTTCGGTTTAGCTGCCCCATTCCGTAAATAATAATAAAAAAGAGATCATGTCTGAAGTTTTCCGACCCTCGAGCTCCAACCCGACCCTCGAGCTCCACCCGGGCTCTGCTCGAGGGCCAAGAAATCACAAAAGCTGTTCGAGTCATGTACTAGCAATCTTATTTCATTATGTTTGTTCCCAAGAGGGGCCCCTGTACATCTGTCGAGGTGTACTGGAAGTTTGATTCGTGGGTCTTCCAGACTCAATATCAGTGGTCGGGAAACAAGACTTTCAAACTCGGATTTTTTTATTTTTTTTACTTTTGTTTTTTGGGGAAAGGAAGGAAACCCCGAGTATTGATGCGCTGGCAGCCCTATGGCATAATTTAATCTCCCTGTCGCTAAGCCAACAGCGCACGCTCCCTTTAGACCCCATCTCAACCCCTATTCCATATCTTTCCAATCGTAAATCTTACCGGGGCAGAAAGTTCTTCCCATCCAGTTCTAAGAGGCGGAAAATTATGATCATATTCCTCAGCTATAGAAGAGGATCTGCCACTTGGTCATTTGGGGTACGGATCCGCTGTGAGGTTGACTTCGTCCTTGGGTTACACGTGCGAAGGAGCTCCGTCCCACACAAAGCTTCACGATCCGTTCCGAGCCGCGACTCTAAATTGACCGCATGGCCCTCTAGCCTCGCACTTCATATTTCTTCTGGTAATATTTACCACGCCCACGGGAAAAAGGTCCGCAATACCACCCCCTGTCGTACCAGCCTCTCTTCGTCCACGCAACTTCCGCCTTCGGTCCTCTGGATTATACTTCGAGACTACCGTTGAAGGAAGACATTCGATCACAAATGCTGCCCTGGGAATGAAGGACGATGAATTGATAGCTGAAAAGTCATATTGGGGTATCAAAAGAGTGGAATGCAAGACCAGTCGAGCCTCCGTGGATGAGATGCCCGATTTATATCATTTCGCTCATTCTTGAAGGCGCTGCGAAGTCAGACTCGAACGGCCATTGCCCTATCGCAATCAAAGATTTTGCGGGGAACCGACTCTTGATCTTCGGTATGCTAAAAGCTGGAATCTTTGCTTCCGTGTTTTTGGGCATGGATAATGGCATGGTTGACGGGTCTACGCCCAGCTAAACGGACGTATATCCTTCTCGCATATACTGAGTCAATGATGTGAAAAAACTCAAAAGACCATCGCGTTCTATTTCTGGGGATATATGGATTGCAGTTCTGTTCAAGTTCACAGTCACACCGTCTGTTCGTGTTCAGATTGTGTTCCCGGCTGGGGCTCATACCCGCACCCTGTGGTCGCGACCACCCGCCAGCAAAAACACACCCCAGGGGATGGATACCCTGAGGCTACAAAACCCGAAGGTTTTACGGAAGGCGCTGCTGATCGTTGGTATACTAAATCAGTTTTTCCCGTTCCCTCCCGGACAAGGCAGGTGCGACGCTTCCCCATCACGTGAATGGGCTCAGGGCTCGCTTGAATGCTGTAGTTTCCACTACGCCACTCATCCTGTTGGCACCTCTTGGGACCCTTTTTTAAAATTTGACCATCCCCAGATCACCCCAAGTTGCACGATCGAGACGCGATGGAGTCGATGTGGGGCAAAATATGACTCCACAATTTTCTCAGCCGATTCAATCGGGTAGAGGTGGATCGATCTTATTTTATGGGTCTTCAAATTTACTGACGCCGCGCTGGGCTGTAAATATTGATTTCATGTCGTAGTGTTGCTATGGACTGACTTGAAGCTATTCGCAGTGGTCTGCGGTGCCTCGCAGTTACTTACACGCGACGCCAAAATCCTTGCCTCGCACTAACCTCAACATGTTTTTCGTACAGATCCAGAGGCATACATTTCAGAATGGGTATATCTTTTAATTGAGCCGATCGGACAATATCGGATTTCAGAATCATCTCATGGAGACTGGTGCAGGTGTATTTGAGGCAGATCTCGAGTGAGCAATACAAGCATATACTAGTATGTATCAAAACTAGCACACTAACACTAACACTACTACTTACAACGATGCTACTTACTAACTCGGATGGAAGTTCACGGGTGCCATTATCAATGAATTTCTCTATTTAAATTATATCTTCATAATGAAATTCACTTTCCTTTTCTCTAAAGAATCCCAATCACAATGAATTAACCTTGCTTTATCTCCATTGTATCTCGTGTCCCCAATAACAAAATAACCCGAGCTGCGTGTCGCAGTTTCCCTGCCTATATGGCTCAGTTGATTAAGCACTCCAGCCCCCTTTTGAGTACTACGAGTTCAATCCCAAGTCTTGATTCTTAATTCCAGCAATCTCTTTGTTGCAGTTCTCTGTAATAACTCTTCTGTGGGATTGGATTAAAGACATCGTTTGCATCTGATCCCTCGGGTGTACTTTAGCTTCACTTAGGGCATGCAATGTCAGCTGCCACCTCAACGTTGGACAACCCTGGCTGCTGACTTATTGTTCCCTGATATGATACAAGAGTACGAGTCGCACTCAGAGCAAAGGTACTGGTACTTTTGCATGCTACTTCTTGGTGATTGTCTCGTTTCCAAGGTTTTTTTATTTTATATTTATCTATTTTTTGTGCATGTATCTACTTTCATCCGATTCGCCTACTAGATCAACCCCCCCCCGATTGATTCCTGAATACTCCCTAGCTCCTCATTCGTCCGATCGAAACCTCGAGATCGGCTGCATTTGAATGACCATGCAAAATAAAACAAACATACAGGGCTGAAAGTCCGAAAAACGTAGGGGTTACTACATGTAGTAGCGACGTGGCTGGGTTTGCTTTTTCTCTTTATTTGTTTTTAGCTTGGCATAATCCATGTTGAAAATTTGACTAGTCACGCCGAGAAAGATATGTCTGGTAGTAAACAAAGTATCGGATCTATCTGCCGTCAGTCCGAATCAGGATCCTCTTAAGATCTTCCATCCCCATGGAAGCAGGAAATTGATTGCATCCAGTCGGGTCCATTTATCTCAGAATTTGACTTTGCACAAACATTTTTGGTTAAATGCATATACGAATTATATGCCGAACTAATATATTTCAAGCTTTTGGCCCAAAGTACTGAAGTTGCGTCATTCTAATAATCCATAAAAAAACCATTCATTCAGAAATAAATGAGTATCTCTTTTCTCCTTCACCCTTTGCCAGAAATTTCTTTGCCGGTAGCTTGCCGCTATTTCCCCATATTTCATCTTAGTTTCCAAATTCAAAATCTTGAAATTTTCAAATTTACCCATCTCCGATTCTTACAATTTGTCACACCCGAAGGCTGTGACGTTTTCTCCCCGTCAAGTGCCGGTATAACGCGTGGATGCGAATAGGCTACTGGTCCCGGAACTGATCTTTATCCATCCACGCGCAATCATGATTGGCTTTGGTGTATATGTCGAGTGCCCAGACCGCTCAGATTATGCGAGTTTTAGGCTGAGGTTGTCTCTCTGGCGTTCATAGCGGCTCGGGGAAGTCGGAACAGCAGGCAACCCAAAGTACGATGCCGTTCTTTGGGCTGAAGTATTGTTATAGAGGTATTTGCAAGCCCAGTGCGGAGTATTGTAGCTACCAAGAATCATGGATGGTTCCAGCGCCTCAAAAACTTTTATTCGAACTAATACCTTGTTTGGTTATCGGCTCACTACATCAAACACATGGATATACATTGTTTAATGATTCTTGTATTTAAATCCCGGTTTTCTTCCAAGGTTCATGCATCTGAATCTGTTTTTTTATTTAGCCCCGGTATCTTTTCCCACCCTTTTTTTGCACTTGCGAGCTGGGTTGGGGCTTACCAGAATAGACACTGTAGGCCTTTCGCTTTCTGATCTGGGAGGACGAGCTTGTCCCAGTAGCTTCATAACCCGAGCAACTAGAATCTACCACGAGGTCTCGCTGGAGCGATTCAATATTTGTATAAGAGCTGCAGGTATATATGCTGAGCCGTAGTAATTACCCACTTCAAGTTCATTTTCTTTTGAGGGACGCTGTAATTGTTTTTTGGTCTCTTCTTCGGTGGTCTTTAAGAGCCACTTTTTGATTTCACGAAGATGTGCGGTGAACTCAAACATGCCGAGGTTTGTTGTATAGTATATGGCGAGTATGTAGAAAAAATAATCGAATAGCACACCTACAAGACATTAGAGGATAACAGTCATCTTATATATTCATCAGTATAATAAGAATGTTAGAAAATTAATAGTGCCATTGCATAGTATCAGTTCCCTTGATCTATCAAAGACTCATGCAGTAAACCGCCCCGGCCGTGCAATGCTCTCACATCTTGGGTGCATTCGAGACGCGTCAGAAGAACAAGAAATAAGAAGCAAGACGCACCACAGCGGAAGGTTACTTTCTATTTTTCTCTTCTGTAATTTCTTTTCTCTCATATGTAGCCCGGGGGCTTGGTTCCGGGGACAGTCCCTCGATCTGATCTGCGTGGTAGCCGACCGTACTAAAAATGATCTATTGCAAAAGTCCCATTCGGCTTGCCCCAATTTAAAATAATTTGCTTTATCTGTCCAGCCGCCAGAGGAGAAAAAAGGACTTGGCCAGACCCTGGTCAAGGGACCACTCGTCCCCGGGACAAAAACGTACGTGTCAAGTGCAAAGAGGCAGTGCAAATCCGAGCCCTGCCTACTTGCACGTTGGAGCCAATGTGACATGTAAAATGGTCAGTAAATTTAATGTGTAATTTGTAGGAATTTTCTGTGCGTTTCTTCTTAAAAGATTCTATACATGTACTTTGTGTCGGACTCGTGGCCCGCGGCTCGCGCCGTTGGATGGACCAGTTGCGCATGCAGAGCCTCGAGATGGTGAGTTGATATATCCATTTTGACAAATAAGTCCTCTTTGGGGGTTTGTTTATCATTAAAAAAGAAGATGAAGACGAAGAACCCCGAAAAAGACAACACTTCTTTTTACTTTTGCTCCATGTTAGCGCCGCACAATAAGGGAATCACAATTACAACGGTAGAGAAGTAACAATCATAGACACTCGATACTTCAATGTTCGAATATTTGAAGATTCCAGCCTTGCAAAATTGAGTAGTAGGTAGCTTTGTCAGGTTGAGCTTTAATCTTCAAGTTAGAACTTGAATTCCACCACATAGTGTTCTAAGATATAGTATTTTGAAGATTTTTAAAAAGATACTAGTACTAATAGCCTTCTACTTGTTTTTCTACTCGTTTTCTTACTTCTCATTCTACTGTATGGACAGATACTAGTAGACTATTAGGAATGACATAAAGATTAGCTTGAATATATAGATAGGACCAAACTGTTGAATGAGGTAGGTTTTCTTTCGCTGCACGCTTCCCGAGGTCAGTCCTCCATGTTTACTACTAGTCTATATGTTTACATCTCTTCATTAGTCCCAAGTCGTGATATAGTAGTACTACTACTAGTAGTTGCCCAGGTGACCGAAAGCCACCTGCAATTATCCCACTTTCAAAAACCACTCAAGCTTGGAAGCTTCTTGACAATTTCGATCGACTGGCCTTCTCGGCAGCTTTCCCTTTATTCAATCCAGAAATATCCCTCTCAAACCAACTCAACATTTAAGCCTGGTAAGTGAGAACGGAGTCATCACATGGTCAAGTGTCTCCTACCTAGAAACCTACCATCGGCGATCATAAGCCGGCATTCGCTTAGATGATTCCGGGCTACTCTTCACCGCAATGCTCCTTCTTTCTGCCACAGAAGATGGAATATCTTTGCCCTTTTCAGGTGTTTATCGAAGTCTCGGAGGAACTGGAAGGGCCCACGGTTGCCCACTCTTGCCTGGGTGTCAACAATGGGTGGATTGATCTAGCTCTAAGTAAGTTTCATAATTCTCGTGGTCCAGAACGACCGGAAACTCTGGCAAGACGCTCGGTTGCCTCAAAGGCCTAGCGCCCCCCGACTTCGCTGATCCCGAGTCTCCGCACAACAGGTTTCTACGCGAAGACCTGCACTCGCGAAAGCCGAATAACTTCATACATAATAATATTGTCACATTCCTTTAATATCAATACCAACCTTTGATATGTTTCCTTTCTACAATTCTATCCCGGCTCGTCACCAAACTCTCAGACACCGACCTCTCCTAGCACTGCCACAAAGCACCGAACGCTGACTAGAAACAGTATCCCCGCCAAGTCCCCGCACGACACGTGGAAATCAACACATTCAACTGGTTGGAACTACGCACTTTTACTTGGTTTTCTTTCAGATCCCGCACATGCCTGCACATATACATGGTAATTCAAGTTCTTAGCTTAGCATGTCCCTATAACCCCAGGTCTATTCACTACTAGAGCGACCGGAAGTCATACCGTCCCATCCTCCCGTTCCGTCGCGGCCCAGACGTCGTTGATCGTGAAGTGCTGCTGATAATTGTGCTGCCCGCGTCGTGTGCTCAACATTGGGCTGAGCAAAGCCTAGTGCGAAGTATAGTTCCTGCATTCGGCTATTCTACATCATCTGGTAATCCTTGCCGAAGCTATAATAGGCTTAGAACGGCCCGATCTGTCTGGGAGTTGGTCAGCTGGCCCACATGTGAAGACACTCGGCTTCTAGATAAACTTGGATAGAAACCCATCGCATATCAAGACCCCATAATGGAGCACACACGTTTTTGAAAATATTTGGACTTTCACCGGCAATAATAGCCTGTATTGTGCTCATGCATTTGATGTCATCCTCTAGGATGTACTCGATCATCAACACTCTTCTGTTCTTCGAGCTGATGAAAATGCTCAAAGAAAAGTGTTCGAGTCTATCCATCTCCGCTCACCCCAATAGAGATGACCAAAATATTTTTCAAAGCAAATTATGTAGTATGCATGGCGTTTTCTTCAACCCTGATATCTGACATGGCTGGTACAGGAACCGGAAGCTATGCGCTGAGCGCATCGGCGCCACCATTCAACATACCGTACAGAACATTTGTATTATTTAAGAGGCCTTTTCATGTCCCATGGCACGTTATAATTGAACTTAAAATATGATAAGTAATATTTCAAATTTCAGGGTGTCCTATTTATGATTTCGCAAATACGCAGCAAGCTGGCTCGTTTTCTCTTTTTCTCTTCTTGTACTTCGTATACGTCAGTTTACACTTACACAAATAAAAATAGCGCCGTCGCCCCTCTTGTCTCTTCTCAGGCAGCTTCATTACAGATCTAGCACGGTCAACTTGGTTTTCTTCAAGGCTGATATGGGGCAAGCCATACGGAGTCGCCGAATTCCGAACGTACTGTACACCCGCCCCACTTTCCAATCACGAATAGGTATCACTGGAACGATTTCCTACCATTGAAGCCACTCTAGGAATAGCGTAACTCGTGGCCGTATGTGACAAGCTGAGCTTCAGGTAAGCGACTGAGCCGAATGTTCCTTGCTTCTGTAGTAAACCTTGGCCATCACACCTGTAAAGAGCAGTGTATCCATTCCATGGAAATCCGGATAGTTTAGCCGATAGCATAGTAGTATCAGCCACCTTAGAGGATGACCTGAAAGAAAACGCATACTATATATAAGATTCGTTCCATGTGCCAGGAACGCTCTATCTTTAGTATCAGGACTCATTGCAGGACTCAAAAGTTCAAGCTATTCAGGAACTAACACCTCTAGACTTCTTTTCTTCAAGCTTTACAACATTTCAAATTGAAGGATACTTAATTCACCTTGACTCAATACGATGGCAGCTTCTCAGTATGCCGGTCTTGCTGCTACCTGGACTCTAGAAACGGGAACAGTGCCTCCTATCGAGGGCATGATTGTAATTCCTGCTGGAAGTCTCGATTCGGTCTTTGAACCTGATTTCCGGTCCAGGGTTGATCAGAATGATTACAGGGATGGCGGAAAGTATCGTTGTGAGTATTATAAAATGTCATGAAGAACAACCAGTGTACCATGGACTGACTTTCAATTATTAGCAATCGTGAAGCTGGAGATGTCTTACGAGGGTATGCCCTCTGGAAGTGAAATGGCTTCCATGGGTACCGGTTGGTTGATCCGTCCAGATCTCCTCGTGACCGCTGGACAGTGCGTGTATGATCACTTTGGAAATGACGGTCAAGGCTTTGGTCGAGTACGTGTCATGCAGTGTCATATTGGTTATAATGGTCGCGATTCTTTGAAAGGTCGCTCTGTGCAGACTCGATTTGCTAAGAAGGTCGTAACTACTGGCGAGTGGATTGAAAGTCGTGACAACCGTCATCGTGATGTTGCATTCATACAGCTTGAAAAGCCATTCACGGGGGAACTTCGCCTGTTCTCATATATAGACACGCCGACGAAGGGAGTTGACATGATTGGTGTCGTTGGATATCCAGGTGATATGCACCTAGAGGATAGTGAAGGGATTGATGAGATAGGCGCTCAGATGTATGAGCTGTTTCAAGAAACCCGGTACGATCTAAATGACAACGCCCTGAAGATGTTGCAATACCGTGTGTCTACGTTTGGGGGTAAGTCGATGACTTTTAATGCCCATTCCCTCCCCCTTTGCCCACACTTTAAAAGAGAATTGTGAGTAATCATAAGTTCTTACACAAGTATAGGCCAGTCTGGATCTCCGGTTCTCCGTAAAAAGACACCCCAGGTTTCCATGGGAGCTCACTCCTACGGTGGAGTAGACAAGAATTCGGCCAGCCCTATTGGAGGACAGTCTGGAAATGACTACAACACCTATATTTCAGCCTTCAGTACCTCCTACCCAAGTGTCAAGTCTGTCGCTGGGGTGGATTTTGTTAATCCAAGCCCTTCTGATGTCCCAGACCCAGATAACAATCCTGGGAATGAGGAGGTTTTCTTTGATGATCTCAAATCTATTGTTGGTATTGTTGCTCAAGTTGGAAAAGTCACGTTTCCACTTCCGTCTCCGCTTCTTGGACCTCTCGGCGGACCTCTCTCTGCCGTGGCCGGCAGTGCTCTGTCTGTTGTCACTAATGCCACTGCTGCTGGTTCTGAGCCGGTGATCCTAAGTCCCCAACAAGTGGCACAGAATGCAACAGAGCGGGCTGTTCTCGCCGAGGCAACTCTGCAGTCTGTGATAAGAATTACTGATCAGGATGTGGCCCAGAAACTCTTTCAAGACATGAAAGTAGCTTACTCCAAGTTGACACCCGATATTACCAATCTGGTTCCCAAGATGACTCCCTTGCTGAAGGACTCCGCGCTGCGACTTGCTGTGAGTCAAGATTACCTTCGTAAGAGCGATAATGTGAAGCTTGGTTCTCCTACAGAAATTCCATATTCAACAGATTTTGTCAATACATCATTTAGATCGCCTCCATTTGTGGATGGTTTGATGGAAGCAACCAGACCAGTCGTTGGCGAGGAAGGCTTCTTTGACGGACTCGGATCTTTCCTCAACAAGGCTGTTGCAAAAGAAGCACCATATGGTCTCCAAGGCGCCAAGATTGGGTTGCATTGTTTGGACAACGCTCTGGCACCCTCTGGGGACAACAGTGTATCCCAAACATCCCATGATGACAAGAACGATATCCTAGCTACTACGCTGCTCTTCAAACGAGCCATCATGGCAGAAGCTGCCCTTCGTGCGGTCATGAAATTGGACAAGACTGACCTCGCCCGAGCTTCTGACACTGAAGTTGAGTCGATGTACGGCCCTGGAGGGTTCTTTGGCGACATCAAGTCTACTGTTCAGGTCATTGGGAGCGCTGTATCCAAGGCTGCGCCAAAGGTCATTGGCACTCTTTTGCCAATCGCGGCAGGTGCCTTGGGAAAGAAAGGTCCTGGGTCTTCAAACGGAAATTTTCTTTCCTCTCCACCAGTCAACAACAAAAGTTAAATTGTCGTTTTCCGACTTACATGAGGCTGATGATGCCGGTGTTGCCGTGGAAGTGAGTTCCGTTGAAAATAGTGCCCCTGCTGGGGAGGTCTCCGCCAACTTTCCAGCGGATGAGGTTAAAGATCCCAATTGGGATACGTTGATATTTGCACCCAATCCTGCTCTCTAAAAGAGGCCCAGGTCCTAATACAAGGTGGTGATAATCTTATGGGAGATTGGCACAGACATACTGATACGGTTTGGATCCCTGAGCTCGTACTTGAAGGAACCTGTGAGAATATAAAACTCTATGGTTTACTTCCAATCTTGATTAAAATCCTTGTCTCATTCCAAGGTTCGTGTTTGTATTGAATTCAAGTTCCGGGTCTTTCATTTATCCAGTTCATACCTGTCTCCATTGCCTTTTTTTATTTTTTTTATTTTTTTTTGGTTCTCTATCCCTGCCCCTGTAAGGGGGCATCTGGAGGAATAACAAATGATTAGAAAAGGCTATAGCTTTCTATTCTGGCTGATATTATATCTTTGTATTCCATTTGTCGATGGTGGCGCTAAACCGCATCGCGCAAGAACTTGAATAGATAAGCTCTCTCATTCCTTAAGAAGTGAAGACTATCTTAGCTTCTGCTCACACGACATGCATATTATGTGCATAAGTAAAAGTGACATGAACTTGAAGAATAGTAAGGCCTGGGGATCAAAAAGCTGATAAATTTAGCAGTGACAAGTATAAAGTAGAATATATGCACAGAATTGCCTTTGGATTACCGAAATTCTATCTAGCTTCAACTACAGCTTAACCAGTTGATGTGTCGTCCTTTATGATGCAAATCAGAACCACACGGCCAAATGAATTCCTAGCTGACCGTGGACCTGCTTCGAAGTTTCAAATTGATCTCCAGACACCTAAGCACCACCTTCCCTTTCCGGCATGGTAAACATGCAATGACGCCCTAAAAAAAGACTCAAAGATAATCCCTTATCAAAAACGATAGTAAAATCCGCTAAATGTATCACGATGCGTGCACTTGTTGAATTGCGGGATAGTTCGTGTCAGACTCATTATGCCGCAGGTTGGGGTGGTTGCTGGGGTTGTTCGACAGCAACATCAGACACTCGGGGCCGCTTGGGCTCATTTTGTCCGGTGGTAGTAGGGACGGGGTTCGGCCCGGGCGATGTGGTGGCATTGGTGACATCACTCAAAGGTGGACGCTTGCCGTTTGGGTTATGTTGTGGAGGCACGCTACCTCGATTAATGGCTGCAGGGTTAGGTGCGGCTCTAGCATCGATATTTAGACGGGTCAACGGGCGGTATGATGATGTTGATGGACCTCTGGATAATGGGCTACCCACTCCTGCTCCTCCTCCTCCTCCTCCTCCACCACCACCAGGTGCACCAGGTGCACCGACCCTACGTTGGAGGTCAGTTGCGGGATTGGCATAATCGCGTGAGTTATTTGCCGCTGGCGAAGCAGTTGAAAGCATTGGTCTCTTGATAGGGACACTTTTGCTATGATCAACTCCCGCGGTCTTGCGAATGGATGGGCTCTCTGCATGCGGATCGAATTGAGACCCTGGAATAGGAGCGCCATTAGGGTTATCGCGGAGAGAGTCTGCTACTCTTGCAGAGAAAAAGCCAACAGTTTGAGAACCAGCGGGTACTTGGTTTTGATCTGGGTTAAAGCCAGGAGCAGGCTCTCGCTTAACAGGCGGCATGTTATTATTTTGCATGTTCACATCGGGACCAGGGCGCGCTTGAGGTGGCACAGTGGCTCTAGCATTGGGCATATTATTGACTTGACCGGGCCCCGGCATTGGACGTCTGGGGTCTGGAATGGCATTTGGATTCGGTCGGCCATTTGGTGGTAATGATTGTCGTGTAGGTTGATTCCCTGCATTCCATCTGTCTGGTTTTGAAGGCGTCACTACGCTGGGATCAAATCGCCCTGTAGGCGGTCCTCGTGGAGGAATCGGCCGGTTCATAGGTGTTGGCGGTTGTTGCCGTGTAGGCTCCTCTATTGCGATTTCATCGGGATTTCCAGCAGAGGCAGAAACCACAAAATCAGCCTCATCAAAGACGTCACCTATATCGAACTGTTAGATGGATCACTTTTGCATATCGATTTCAACATACTTCCGAATTCTCCACCATCCTCAGGAATAGCGTTGTTCTGTGGGATGCTACTTCTCGCTAGCTCAGCTGGACGACGTGGCGGTAAGTCATCATCTTCTATGGTTGGTTTTGGAATAATAGGTTCTTTCTTAATAGGAGCGTGGTCACGATGGCGGTGAAGTTCATCGACATCCCATTTTGCCTGGACAGACGTTGAGCATCAAATGCGAGCACATCATGAATTAAGAGCAATGCTTACCGGTGTGGCCTTCACTTTAGTCACTTTGGCGAGGTAGTCCTTATCATAAACACAATTGCCGAGAACATTGCCAAATGTCCTTAATGTTCGCTTCAGCGCGTCGGTGGTCCCCTCCTTTTTCGCCTTTTCAAATGCTGCCGCCTTTCCTTTGCAATTTTCGATGTGACCGTAGCCAATGTCCTATATGGGTCAGAATCTCGAGTTGGATGATAGAAGAACAGCGTATGTTACCTCATGAAAAGTGCCATCCCTCAGTGTCACGCGAACTATGACTGATAAGCCAAGGTTGGTTTTGCCTGTGGTTTGGCTTTCTTCAATCTAAATCATATGATTAGTTTGATGTTAAAATTCCCTCATTTAGCACCACAAATGCATCAAATAGCAACATACAAAGTCGATGTCGATTTTTTGGATTGAGCTGGACCAGCCATTGAACCCAAACACTTCATTCGCAAGACTAATGCATTTGTCTGCTGAGAGATAGTGTACTTTCGCTCCTCCAGCACCCGGTCGGGATGAGATATATTCCGGTCCCAATTTCTTATCAAGTCGAGACTGTAGCGTAGCGATTTCCTGTGCGGTATACTCGTTTATTCGGCGCTGGGGCTCCTCGAAGGGGTTTGCCGTTGAAGCAGCTGGGCCATTGGGCATCCCAATGGCCCTGGGTCCTCCACGATGCTGGTCGCCAACACTGGAAGAAATGCGATCAGTTATCGTATCCATGGGTAATCGCAGGTCCGATTCAATCTCACGCTGGCATAATTTAGGGATGTTGTGGTTTGTTATTTGGCGTGTATGATGAAAGCGTGTCGAGCGCGTCTCCACTTGCACGCGGACCCTCACGAAGTCACGTGGTGATAACCCACCGGCCTAACACCTAAATACCTTGAGTTGGTTAATAGGACTGAATCGCTAATTTTTGATTACTACATTATAAAATTTAGTATTTTAGTTTAAAATTGTAAAAGAGCAATTATTAGCTTAGACTGCGGTATATTAAATCACTTGTGGGTGTGGAATTGGCTACCAGTAGAGAGGTAAACACTGAACGGGTGTCTCTATAGAACTAACAATGGGCGATTCTCGGTATGTAGTAGTGGATGAATATATTTGGAGAAAAGAGGCTTGTTCACGTGATCGTCTTGATTGGTGAATATCATGGTAAAGTCATCGCTTGTTCATGCATACTATTCTACGTATGATATAAGAAGTCATGCCATCCCCCTTCTGTCATACATACAGCTAGCCATTTGGGCCGAACGGTGCTCAGCGGGTCTTGTGAGACCCAGATCATTGAACAACTAAACTGGCACTTGGGGTCAGTCCCAGCTCCTTCAGCGTTTCCCCAAAGAATTCAGCACCGAAGACCTTTCTTGGGAAGTTCTGTGTGAAGCTCTGAACCTCGATCCCATCCTCTGATTTCAGTGCTGCAGCAACTTCGAACAAAGTAGTCTCCACAGGGAGTGTTTTCATGACGTTTCCATTGGCTGTTTGGAATCGCAGACGAGTCTCAGTATATGCGGATGCAGGCTTCGATGCAACCGGGCCAGAGGTGATAGGGGCTGGGGCAGCAGCAGGCGCTGGAGGGGCCACGCCAGCACGCGCCGCACGCTCAAGCTCAGCCTTCCGGCGGCGCTCTTCTTTGTCCGCCTCGATTTTAGCCCTGATGCGCTTTTTAGCGTCAATCTCATCCTGCTTCTCCTTCTTCTTAGCTGCCGTTTCCTTCGCCTGCTGCTTTCGCTCCAGCTCTTCCTTCGCATCCTGGTTTTCCTTATTGCTCTTTCTGCGGATTTCCTGGGAATTCGGGTAAGTAATTGTTCAACGTAAGAATGAACATCAATACGCACTTCGTTTTTCTTCTGGTCCACCTTATCCTGTTCCGATTGCACCGCTCGCTTTGCTGCGAGCTTCTCCCTCAGATCATTGAGCCTTTCTTTCTTCTGCTCTTCGGTCAACGGAGCGATGTCTTCGGTCGACTCGGAGAAGTCGACATGCTGGGACTTGGACGCGTGGAATTCGGCTTGTGCCTGGCTTCGGAATTGCTTGCCACAGTCGTTGCAAACTAAGCTTCGAGCTTCCTCGCCTGGCTTCAAAGCCGGAGCTTCCTCGTCTTCTTCTCCCGCATGTTCGGCCTTGATCTCTTCTAGCGATTTATCCTGGTTTGTTTCGAGCCATTCCAGTGCTCCTTGCACTACCCGCTGCGTCAGATTTATCGATACTGAAAGGCTAAAATTGTTCATAGCTTACATCCACCAGCCTTGGCAACAGCTAACTCAGCCCGCTCTTTGTCAAAGCCCATCTCAATGAGCTGATCAAGGTCGGAAGCCATGATTGGCGGTGTTGACGATCAAGCACGGTAGGGTTGAGGATATGTATATTTGTGATTGGTGGATATTTTCGGTGCGTTGTAATTAAGATAAAGTGTTCTGGAAATTTTATAATGAATCAAGAAGGTGATAGGAACAGGCAATTGGTGAGGGGGATGGGGCATTTGAGCTTTCGGGTGACGTATCGTGAAGGCGGCGAGGGATAAGTGCCCCACTCCAGTTGGTGAGATCCGGACCCAGCTCTATCTTTGTTTGTTTAGACAAGCAAGGAGCAACGTTGTATCAGCGAAGCGAACGAATTCTTTCATTGGCACCATAGGACATGAAAGACTTATGGGCGACAAGACACAATATCTCGCTTATAACAGCTCAATCTGTGCTGCTCTCCTGATCAAAACTTATCACTGTTGTATGCCTTGTTTTCCAGGCAGGAAGGTATCGTTTCACAGTCTTTGCCAGGTATAGATCCACAAATGGCGTTATATTTGAGTATTATCAGCTCATAGCACAGCATGAAGAACATTTTGATGCGGCTTAAGTACGAACTAGACATCTGAGTAATGATAAGGCTCGATCATGAGCTTTTAGACGAGCGATTAGTCTGTTTGATATGCACATGTAACACATGCTCGTTGTAGACCGAATACCGAGGAAGAAAGGACGAGCCGGTGTGCCTCTTTATTTTTTCGCAAAATGAAAGTTTGCTACGTTCAAGAGAAGTATTTCAATTGGGCATATCTAGATTGTTGGATATGAGTTTAGAATAAATTTGAATACTGTGTAATGATCCCAGTGAACAAGACAGAGTGGATATCAGATCCAATAGTTTCTACTCTAAATAATCAGGGCAAGCAACCCCACCACCTCAAAGACAAGCGCTTCACAATAAACAAAGCGATTGGTCGTGGGTATCAATCGTTCTATATTCTTTCAAAAATTATCCCTTGGATTTTAAGACAAATAAATTCATATTCTACTAGAGTAAATCCCATCTCCAAATTGCTGTTCCACGATCTAGATGCAAGAGCCATCACCTGACCGATTACTCAGCGTATCCCGAATGAGACAATCATCAACTCCTGAAGGCACCGACTCCCTTGTCTTGATAACCTCCTCATAATTGTACAACTAAAGGCGCACCTTTTTTCTCGCGGTCTAAGCTACTGCCATCCTCAAACTCTGACCTCCACTGCGCTTTTTACCCCACCATCGCCATGTCCGTTGAGATCGACCCCCCAGAGCTTTCCTTCAAGCGTGAGTTCCCGAGCCCCAAACAAACCGGATTTCAGAGGACAACAAGCGCTGATTCTCAACCTTGTCGGTATGATACACAGGTCCTTTCGACCACGAGGTATGCCAAGTCCTGCGTCTGCGCAATGCAAACGAAGAGGCAGTAGTGTTCAAGGTATGCGCTCGCGTTTTCCCGTTCCCCTCGGGCATTTGTCAGGCATGGATTAAACTAACGGGATCTCGTTTTGTGTGCGATAGGTTAAAACAACCGCCCCAAAACAGTATGTGCCTCAAGCCTTCGTTTACGACTATTCTTCTTGAAGTTCGATGCGCAGTCCTTCTAATCGTTTATGCAGCTACTGCGTTCGTCCAAATTCCGGCCGCATTGAACCTGGCAAGCAGGTTGAAGTTCAAGGTACGAGTAGCCTTGGTGGCGTTAAGAGGAAATAAACCAAGCTAACTAGCTTGATATAGTTCTGTTGCAAGCTTTGAAGGACCAACCTGCCGTCGATGCTAAGTGTAAAGATAAGTTCTTGGTTCAATCCGTCGCGGTTACCAAGGACATGGAGTTCGCGAATGTGACATCCATTGTTTGTCGTCCAACCCCAGAAACGGTGGGATTCAGCCTGTTAACCTATATGACAGTTTGAGAAGGCTTCGAAATCTGCTGTGGTGGAGCGCAAGATCCGAGTGACTTGGTTGGCCCCCGATGCCGACATCAAGCACGAGCCGGTAGGGCTATTCGATATATCGTCAGATTTGCGCATTAATTTAACACCTTTCTCAGTACATTGGCGAAGATCCTCCATCATATCCCTCTCCCGGCGCAACTTACGAGACTCCCGCCCCCAAGAAGAGCGCTGCCGAGCCAGGATCTCCTATTCCTCCCCCCGAATTTTCCGAAAAGCCCAAGTCTGAATCATCTCCGCCTCCCAACGAGCCCTCTGCGTTCAGTTCCGCCAAGGCAGCAGTTACCAACGCACTTCCCTCGAGCGATGATTTGAAGTACCAGCTGGCCGATGCAAATGCGCAAATCCAACGACTGAAGGACCGTCTGGCAGACCAGGGTTTGCGGCAGCGAAAGACAGGCGGCGAGGCAAAGGCTGCTCCGGCTACAATGCAGCAAACACATGCACAGAGCGCTGGCGGTGTGCCTCTTCAGATCGTTGCCGGACTTTGCCTGCTAAGTTTCTTGATTGCCTACTTTTTCTTCTAGTCTTGCCTGCGTCGTGTTTACGTATCCAATCACGACTCGATGACCCGTTTATCCGAGTTTCCCATATTTTGTCCGACCCTTGTCCTCCTTCTTTCTTTGCTCCCTTTTCCTTTTTTGAGTGTCTCTTGAGGAGTCCGCTGTTTTCACTCTAGCATCAGCCTTTTTCTTGTGTCTTCCCTTCTTCCCTTTTCTTTATCCATATTTCTTTTATTTGACAACCCTGTCTTGTATCTCGGTTCTGGATAGCTGTGAAACTTTCCAGTCCGTGGCTCTGGTTCCATTCATTCTCCTTTTGCTTCTCTTATTTTTCCTGTCTTGTCTAATATCACGTTACGATCAACGGACTGAGCGGCTCGATTCTCTTTGTGTGATAAATGATAATCGAATTGCTGCAAGATAAATCAATGAGTGTTCTTGCTGTCAGCTCATATTAAAAAACTGTATACCTTCAACCGGAGACCATTTGGGATTGGTTTCCATGTCTTGAGTTTGCGGTTTCTTAGAATTTATCCAAGAATATCTAGCCTGAATTGTAGATAAATGCATTGACCTGTAACATCTCCTCGGCGCTAGTACATAGTATAAGTATCTAGATATATGTATGCTATATACAACGATTCTAGATTGAACTTGGTGGCGATATCTCAATATCAAATTTCTAAAAATAGCTATTTTGACACTTGCCAAGCACCAATCCGTGCATTCTATTTACGCCATCATAATCACAAACACCATCTCATAATAACATTTGGAACCAACGAAAAGAACCCCATAAAAATGAGGGAATGCTTTTTAACATTGAATCTCACTCTCTTTCCACCCATCACCTTCTTCACCTGCCGGACCCGCCGACGCAGCTGAAATCCCTTCACCACCACGGCCAGTAGACTTCTTTTTCTCCGAGCCACCACCGCCAACAATGCGTCCACCCTGTTCCCGCTTCACACGGCACCAAGGTCCAACATTCTCGTCCAAGATAAAGGTCCAGATAACCCAGACCCAACTGCGGTGGCAGGGCAATGGCTCGTAGAACTCCGCCGCAATATCATGCAACTTATGGAGCTTGGTCCAGGGGATAGCGGGGAAATCATGGTGCTCATTGTGCAAGCCCACGTTGTAGGTGAGAATATTGAGGGGACCATAGTACGAGTACGTCTCCGGTGGAGCGATTGAGTTAAGCGGGTGGGTAGGCGGGGTCTTGGAGGCGGGCTTGGTCTTCAAGTCCGCTAGAGACTCTGTGCCACCTGTCTTGACTTTGGAGAAGAAGTAGTGTTCGGCGATGAAGTGACCGGCGCAGGGGTGGAGGGAACCGGCCAGGAAGGAGGAGGCGATAAAGTAGTAGAATGGGTTTAAAGAGCCGCTGAAGCGAACGAGGAAGAAGTCGAAGGATAGTTGGACGAAGAGGTTGAGAAGATGAATCGAGGTGAATGGAGGACTGTAGATGAACATAGGGCGGACGGCGTAGAAGAGGATCTGGAAGGTGCAGAAGAATGTCTTGCCCAGGAGGGAGTTGAGGAAGAAGGCCTCGACTGCGGTGGGAAGGTCGGTGTCGAGGCCTGCTACACCGAGAGATTTGTGGTGAGTTAGGTGGTATGGCTGTGAAGAATCGATGTTAGCGCTCAATTGGCCTTCTTACGGTGATCTGTCCATTCCGTGAAGCTAGGTTGAGACGTACCCTGAATGCAGCACTATAGGGTAAACCGATGGGAAGGTTGGCGAAGATTGCCAGCAGACGGTTTCCGAGTGGGGAGCGGAATGCCAAATTGTGAGAGATCTCATGAATGGCAAGGAATAGGTTCTGGTTTGAGGTGGCTCCGATAAAGTAGGCTGTGGCAAGGAACTTCCAGTTGAGTATGGGAGTATTGCGGAGTAGATAGGCACAGGTGACTTGGAGAGCCACAACGCCGAAGACAACATATTTCGTCAGGGGTTCGGGACCACATAGTTTGGTCACCTATACCAAAGGGAGAAGTTAATAACCAATATCAAGACATGGCGTGCAATGGCCTGGCCGGAAAGGGAGATGTAGCTTCAACCGTGGTCCGATCTCGTGAAATCCAGGAACCAGGCACAACGCACAATGGCATGCAATTGAAGAGAAACATACCTCTGGATGGGCCTTGATAATTGCCTGTCGTCTTGACCGGTGTGGTTCTTCAGTGTAGGTCCAGAAGAACTTATCCTCGACTGCGGAGGCCTCTGGCGGTGTGATTCTTGTGGAGGTTGGTTCGGAGTTGGGTGTGGCAGACGCTTTCGCCGCGGACACCCGGAGGTGAGGCGATGTAGTTTCAACGACCGATGCCATTGTGAAAAGTTGTGTAGGTCGAGAAGTGTCTACATGGAGGAACAGACGAACGGAGAGAAGGCGGAAGTGGCTCGTTTTCACGTGGGGCGACACGGGAGACGTGGATGGTCTGATTGATTGGTATGGGGCTTGGCGTGATCTACACTGCACACTAAGATTGCTGAGGATTGAGACATTACACATCCTACTGTTTTATGGTATTACGATATTGTTTTTGTTTGATTTGAGTGTAATTGTCGTTGATTGATTGATTTATTTTGAATTGGTTGTTTTGTTTGAGTTTATGATATCAAATCAGTAGTCGTCTCCACGGCTAATGACCTCCTTGACGTTGGGTCGGAGCAGAATGGTCTATGATGTGGTTAGTCGCGGAACTCCAATTGAGAACGAAAAATGAATGAAAAATCTCACATGTTCATATTGGGCTGTGTAGGATCCCTTGATGTCGCAAAGAGGTGGGTAATCTGAAACAATGCCAGATGACACCAAGTTGTTCAACTAGACAACGGTCAGTTACGGGTATATCTCATACTTCTCATAAAACGGTCAAATACATACACCGAGCAGATATTTATCCTGACCCAATCGGTCCAGGTATCGTCGACAGAAAGGCAGGGTTCCAAAGTTCTTTTTGATCACACCAAGGAGGTTCTTAGCGGATGAGAGACGGAGAGGGACATTAGGTGCGTCGCCTGCAAGAGCGTAATGAGAGGTTTCCATCTACCCAAAGTCAGTATTGTTGTCCTCCGCCATGCGAAAGAATGGAAAAATTAGACCTACATCTTCGTGAACGTAGCCTTTACCGGTACTGCCGAAAGTTTCAATGGCGAACACTTCACCTTCCTCCATCTTTGTTTGGTCAGAGCCCTTGACAATGGGCACACTCTTACCGCCGTGGATAACGTGCTGGTCAATGTTGTGTCCGTTCAGGTTACGGATACACTTGACTGGGTACATGGTGCCATTGAGCTCAACCTCGTAACTTTCCATAGCTTCCTGGATGGCGGCACCGATATCGCTCATGCGAACGTCAATTCCAGCTTCCTAAAAGCTGCATTAGTATCAGATAAAAAGAGTTTCCGGAGTATATGTGACCAACCCTGATACCAGTGTTGGTGGCATCCTTGACGGCCTCAAGGAGTGGGTCGTATACGGGGTCGAAGGACATGGTGAAAGCGCTGTCAACAATGCGGCCATTGAGCTGAGCACCGAAGTCAACCTTCATGACATCACCCTGGTTGAGGACCATCTTGTTTCCAGCATTTGGTGTGTAATGCGCGGCACAGTGATTGATACTCAAACCGCAGGGGAAACCCATGCCACCCTTGATATTATCACCCTCCTCAAGGCCCGAGTGACCAGTCAGAGCCCGCACCGAGTCCTCAATGCCCTCAGCGATCTCCGTCAGAGTCTGGCCAGGCCTGATGTTCTTCTGGGCATATTGGCGAACTTGGCGGTGGACCTCGGCACCTTGGCGGTATTCTTGGAGAAAGTCGTTGTTCATGCGATCGAGGTAACGCTTCTCTTCGTTGGTAGTGCGATAGGCGTTGTCGTTCTTGTATTCAACGATCTCACCTTCGGGGTATTGGCCATTGGGGAAGAGATTGGAAACGGGGACACGTGGAGGAGCGCTCTGGACCTTAGCACCGCCCTTCTTCTTCTTCTTGGACTTGCGCTTCTTCTTCTTTTTGGCGGCTGTGGCACAAAAGTCATTAGCGACCCCGCGCAATGGTTTCGAGTATATCGGTTAAACTAGGGTGACAATGGGGATCTGTGGCCAATCCCAATAGTAAATGAACACTTACCACCAGCTGCGCCGGCTTCAGGGGCTCCATCTCCCTCTTCTCCATCGTCGTCAGAGTCGTCTTCCGCTTCACCGTTGGCCTGACCAGCTGCGGGGGTATCCGCGTGTGCGCCATTTTGGCCGCTCACTGCAAACTTGTCAGATTTCCAGATTCAGGGATGGATAAAAGAGTGTACCAACAATTGAGCTCTTGTAGCTTCTCCGTTGCTTCAGCCGCCATGGTATTTATGGAGGTTTGTGGTGGAAGAGGAGAGGAAGAGAGGGGAACCCGGTCCGGGGTGGTCGGGGAAAGATTTTTGCTGATAAGATAGCGCCGCTTTGTATACAAGTGGCGATCCTCAACCTGCCCCAACTAGAAAAGGTTTGATCTTCTTTCATGACTACAGTTTGCGATTTATGACGTGATAAAGATGTCTGTTTAAATAAAAGCTTAAGTCTCGGTTTCTTGCTAAGGCCTTTAATAATCTGATACTAGTAATAGTATATCCTACTTCAAGTTCAAGGTTATATCTTGCTACCAAAGCTCCAAATCCTGAATATTCAAATGCTTAAAAATTGCATATAGCTTCTAAGGCGCCATGATGATTCTATATCCTCTGATTATGTGACCTTCTTAATAGAAATTTGGAATATTATTCAGATACTACCATTATCTTACTACAGTCACATACAAGGGACTAGCGTCCAGCGGGAAAGCTCTCCATTTCACTTATTGTAAACCAGTAGAAAACTACAATACTTATAATATTGCCCTGTACATTCTATAGTTCCAATATTCCAATTTGGAAGATAAAGTAGGTAGATTTACTAATTTAGATTTTAATCATACCTACTGTTCTTAGATAGTATACCTCTAAAAGTGGTTGTGAAATAAGTATTTTCATGCTGTTCATTCTTGTTCTGTAGTGTATGTATCCATCCAGAGTATATAGAAAGGTCTAGAATTCATCAGCAAATATCTTCTTGAAGGCTCCAGGTGTACCAACCTGTCTCCTTCCAAGGTTGCATTCCACGTCTGGTTTCATAACCTCCTGTATAGTTATAGGTGGTGACAAGAAAATAGGCATCGTTAATAGGTGGAGCTATCGACATAGACGTGGCAGGGAACGCGATCTGCAGTTAGCAACTCAAGAGCCTCAGCTCGGGTTGAGACTAACCCTAGTATGGTCACCAGAATAGAAACAGTGGGACTGGTTCTCGCCGTTCTTCCCCTGGCAGCCAAACAAATCGACACATATGGACAGGGCATAGAGAAGGTTTCGTGGCTGAGGCGCTATCGAAGAGAGGTGCTTCATTATTCGACCATTTTTTGGGCACAGCATGCGATCCTACTCAGTACCTTGGAAGAGGTTCTGCGAGGAGTGGACCTAGATGAAAAAACAATATCTCAACTTATCTGCGACCCAAATGACAATGGCTGGAAGGACCGGTTTTGCACAGTCGACTTCGCCACAGGCTAGGGCGAAGCTATGAGCCTTTTATTGGTATCACTCTTAGTCTGTTTGATTTGATCAATAAAACAGCTGCAAAGCTGGGGATTAGTATACCAGAAATGACAGTAAGAGCTCTTTGGATTAATTATTCGGCTTTACGTTGACAAATCGCAACAGATTTGCGCTCCATCAGGCGCGAGAGTTTGGTGGAAATTCCTACTCAGAGAGACGGCTTATAAAGATTTACTAACAAGGATTGACGATACTAATGCGATACTGAAACATTATTTGAACGACCAAGTCATCATGAGCGGACGCAATCACCTCCCCGCGCTTGGGACTATTTGCAGCCAAGATATAAGACCGCACGAAAGCATTCTGCGGAACTTTTCAAGGGAATTGTTAAAGGCACATGTTGGATTTGTGGCTGCAAAGGTGATCATTGTGTGCAGTTCATGTTACAGTCACATCCTCTCAAGGCCGTTGATAGTCAATCATCACACGAGAAGTCCAAATTGCGAATGGGGTTTTCGAACAATGGAGCTACTACTAGCTCGTGGGAATGGGGAGAATTAGAATTTGAACCTTGGCAAACTGGCGGGGCGCCCCCGTTTCCGGTCATGAAGATTTATGCTCCTCTCTTCTTATCAATGAGAGACAGACCGGGACAGGACAGTTCGTTGGCATATTATCGTGCGAACCTTATTCGACAACTCAATATACCATTCATAAAGTAGAAGGCTTTCAGGCTCCAGTCTCAAAACAATCACTTCATCAGGTCTTGTCCCATCTTTCTCGACGAGAGCGAATCCGTATTGCTGCTAGCCTTGCATGTGGTGTATTACAACTATTTGGCAGTTGGTTGAAGCCGCGTTGGAACAGTTCTGATATTCATCTCATTGTCAATAATCATGATAGGGTCTCACTAGATTTTCTTTATTCTCTCGTGGTCTTTGGCTGTCTCGAACCCACAAGACAGAATTACTTCGCGTCCTGCAACATTCAGAAATGACATATTAGTACCACTTGGGTATGCCTTAGTGGAGCTTTTCACTGGAAAGTCAATGGATGCTATGCATCTGCTCGGTAGAGATAACGACGACAAAGACGTCGTAAAAGTTGAGACTGCCTTAAAGCTTATCAAAACCGCGTTATCTGAGAGTGGCTCGAGTTATGCAAAAGCTGTTCGTGGCTGCTTGCTCTGGTCAGATGACGGTTCTCTCTGCTTTGATGAAAATTCTTTCCAAGAGCGTGTCTTCGATACTATAGTGTCTCCTTTACTTCAAAATTTGGTCTATTTTGAAGAGATATCGTTTGACTCTCATGTATAACTGACATAAAGCTTGATTGAAGCAAACCACGAATACACGCATGACTTACTTGAATGCTTTTATTGGGTTTTACGGGCCTGGAGGTTCCGTTTCAGATGAATGTAGGATGGAGATCCCCTCTTCTTCTGGAGAGTGGTGCGGGTCATATTTTGGTCAATCATTTTAGTGAGAGTTCATTAGGTATCGGTGGACTAACTGGGCTCCAAGGTTTTTTTCGAATGAGCAATCCTCCAATGTCTACACGAATGGTGCAACAGAAAGAATATCCTATTCAAAGAAATTCAGCTCCAGATCTTCAACGGCATAGACACAGTCACACAGATGACCACGATACAAAATGACTGTTGAGACACTCTCTGGCGTCATGCCTAGCCTTGTGCGCAATCCAATCATGGAATTTGCCTTTCATTGGACAGATGTTTGGAAAGGAGGGGTGAATTTGTGGGGGCACAGTACAGTAGCAGTCCTGTTATCTAATCTGATCATCTCGTGCCCCTAGGTATGCAGTTTCAAGACCAAGTAATTGGGGGCTGGGCTTGGCTCAGAGCTGTATTAGAGAAAATAAATCAACAAAAAGAAAGAACGGATATTTCGAAATAGAATTTCATTCGAGCAGTCATAGCCCATATTTCTTCTTGTATCATCATATGGCAACGTACCTTGTAGCAGTTCAGCACCCCTTTCGGCTTCACTTATCGTCCAATGCCGCCACTTTGCTCCGGACCTCCCATCCTTCTCGCTTCTCCACACTTCGACCCTCCTACACCTTTTCACATTCTTAACCCCTCTCCTATATTCCCAACAAGCACCTGTACATTCGTCTCACAATGCACCCTCCTCGTATAACTACCTTATCTCTACATCCACCCAATAAATCTACCCGGGCCACCTCAACTCTCCGCACACGCCACACGCGATGCCTGTCAACGCATACGACATGGAAGCGACCACAACCCCAACCACAATACCTCGCACAAAAGTCCCAACATTCACGCTGCCAACTGCGTTATCCTCGACAATTAAAATTCCACTTCTCAACAACAAATGCCTCTAAAGCTCAAGAACCAAACTTCTACAAGACACTTGAGCTCCCTCCCACCGCAACAGCTCAGGAAATCAAAAAGTAACCCCACACCAACCTCAAAGTTAGAAAAGAACAAAGCTAATAATATTCAAGACAATTTTACACCCTTTCCATGCGCCACCACCCAGACCGAAACCGTAAAGACCCAAAGGCGCACCACAAATTCACCCGCATCTCAACAGCCTACAACACGCTCCGCAACGCCCAAAAACGCGCAGCCTATGATCGTGACCACGGCCTGAACAGAACACAACAACCCTCATACCCATCGGGAAGCCATAGCAGCCACAGCGCTGGAAATGGAAGCTTCGCAGGCTCAAGACCCGCCAGCGGCCTAAGTAAACGTCGGGGAACGTTCCAAGGTCCTCCGCCCAGTTTTTACGAACAGGGCGGATACGGGAGAACGGGACGTACAGGGAGAGAAGGAGGTTATAGCTATAGCGGAGAAGAGTTTGGTGGAAAGAGTACTGGGAAGGCGGAGGATCCGGGAAGATCCGATGGGATTCATATATCGTAATCCATTGAGGCATTTTAATGCGCAGGCGCATTTTAAGACACAGAGTGCGGAGGATCGGAGGCGAATTGAAAGGAGGAGAGCGGCGAGGAGAGCAGCTGTTCGGGATGAGGAGGCTATCGCGAGGAGTGGGGGGCATATTGATATGGGAATGTTGGTGAGTGTGCTTGGAATTTTGGTTGGAGCTTGTTGTATTGGAGGGCTTGTGACGAGGTTGCCGCGGGATTCGATGCCTTCTGGAGGCGCGGCAGGGGCTTTGGATGCCGCCGAGGCCAAGAGGAAGAAGGAGAATGGTGTTGCTGCCTCCTAGTGTGAATACTTACTGTATATTACCAAGATAGTTCCAATGCCTAGGCTTATAGACCTTGTATTCCAGTCACCCGTGTCGGCCGTTGGTTGAATATAACTAGGTACAGATAGGATATGAAGGATTTACTGCATTGAGGCATTTACTTAGCTTCACTGGTTGTGGAGCTTTAATACCCAAGCGATTCTACTGGCATAGCACAGAATCCATCAAACAAAGGGAATTTAGATTTGATATACAACGTGTGACCTAGCGCTAGACCAAGAAACACAGATTATCTGGGGTTTTAAAAAATTGAAACCAAAAGTAGATAAAGCCTTAGTTCCTCCACCATTCCATTGCGACAGGAGCGGGATTCGCGAGGACGAAGGAATTACAAACTTGTCAGAGAAGCATGGCTACTTCCGGGTAAATTGAGGTATAGAACACATTTAAGCCTCGAAGGTGAAGCTGGCGCCGACCTTGTGGGCAGCCTGGTTCAGGTTCTGGGTATCGAAAGAGGCACCCAGGCCGAGAGTGACACCGGGGCGGAGGAGAACGTTGTAAGCCAGAGCGGCAACACCACGGTCGTTGATCTTGGCCTAAAAGGGAAAAAGAAGGATGTGAGCTTGTGTTTCTACGTTAGCATAGGGGATATTATATATAAAAACGCACCTTGGCGAAAGAAGAAGGGTCCAGGCGGTACTTGCTGGCGACCTCAAGACCGACGGCGTTGCCGGAGTTGGAGTCCCAGGAAGCCTTGGCACCGGCCTCAACCTGAGCGTTGACACGGTGGTAGTAGCTGGCGGAGAAGAGGGACAGGTTGTTGCTGGCGGTGATGGCAGCGGAGTACTGGGGAACGCTGTAACCGACGGCAGCGGAGTACTTGGTGATGGCGGCCTTGTTGACGTCGTAGCCACCCTCAGCACCGACGAGGAAGCCCTCGTGGCCGAGGACAGCGTCAAGGTTGGCAGTGGGGCCGTTCAGCAGGTCGAAGAAGGCACGGGCGTGCAGGTTGGGCTGCTTGAAGTACAGGTTGAGCTTGGCACCCTTGGACTGCTTAGCGGGCTGGTACTGGGTCAGGATCTCAGCCTTGAGGCCCTTGGCGATGTTGTTGTCCAGCTCGAGCTTGGTGTCGAGAGCATTGGCGGTGGTCCAAGCCTGGGTGAGGGTAAGGCCTGGGCAGGGACGAATCATTAGCTTGATTGTGTGCTTGGCAGTATTGGTTAAAACAAAAAAGAACACCCGACGTGATGCGAGGTTGCCCGATGATGTGAAATAAAACGTCATCGGTCGTCCCTCGCGCACGCCGGGATCGGGTGGTTTGCGCTGGGTGGGGTAGTTATTACCAGTAGGCGCATCGACATACTTGGCCTCGAGCTATAAATTGGGTTGATATTAGCAATCTGGATTGACTATGATGTTTTTTGGGATACCGCGCTTCTCCCCGGGGAAGAGAAAGCGGGATGGAAAAAAACTCACCTGGCCAGCGATGGAACCCTCGTGGGCAGACTTGCCCTTAACGGTGAAGGTAACACCGTTGGGAGCCTTGGACTTAACCTCAAGGTTGGCTAGAAGCTAATTAGCATCACTTCGTGGTTTCCCGAGGGAAAATAAGTCGAACGAACCCGGGCTGGCGTGGTAGAAGTCCTTGTTCAGGAGCTATTGGAGGTTCTATCAGCTATCCGTATATCGCGGGAAGAGGCTTTAAATTTTCCTCAAAGAGCATCGTACATCATTGGCCGCCTTGGCGATGTCAGAGAAAGCAGCGGGGGCAGACATGGTGAATGTGTGTGACGAGAGAAGAATACTCAAGGATGTGGGAAGAGAAAGGAGGTTTGGCGGGTTGTGATGTGTTGGGAGAAGGGGGAGCCACGGGCCGCAAGGCAATCCCGTGATTGATTGGTTGGTGCTCGGTTGCCGGGCAAATCCGCCGGCGGTGAGGCTTACATAAACGTTCAGCTCCGAGGCAGCACTAATCGGGTTAGACTGGGAAAAGCAAAGCAAACTGGTGAACTTTGTCTACAACATCATCTACTATAGTACACCTGTGGATAGTATATTGTGAAAATGCCACTATATACGATAGTGTCAGGTCTTCTCATAACTTTCGTGTTCTCATAATAGGCCACCTTTTTGACCTTATACATTCTCCACCCTCAAAAATTTATCAAATGAGCATTGTAAATCCTCCTGTTCATCTCGAGTCAACTGTAATGTTTCGATCTGATTGCACCCATCAAGAAGTCGAGCAGCTATTATGGCTTCATAGTCATTCTATTGAAACAACATCTCAATGCTCTTGCTGATTTAATGAAAAGGGTAAGCCACCAATCCAAGTCCGGCTGGCATAAAACCAAATTAGACTATCATCATCAAACAAAGAGGTTGGTCCATAGTTCTTACATGAAAGAATCTTGGTAGCCAGTCCGATTATACCCGTAGCGAAGGCCTTTACGGCCCCAAAGCTCCGTCTTTCTTTGCACCTTCAATTGGCTGTGTGATAATTCCCGAGAAACCTTCGGTCATGCCATCCACAACGTTTCTGCCACCGACTATCATGCCACTCTTCCAGTCTTTGACTGACCCATACTCCTTAGGCTTTTCACCGTACATCTAGGGTAATTGTCGAAATCCTTCGGCAGCTGCGTAAGGAATATCAACCGCTGAAGTAACTGCCCGTGAACTTTCCAAAGCCTTTCAGTGTTGCCCCCACCATTTTACTGGCAGTGACTATTCAATTCTGGTTTTCACTATTGTTGATCTGCACCGCTAGGTCTGTTTGTGATGGAGAATTTGAAGATTCAGATGAGTTGGGTGGATTAGCACGAGCGTATTCTTTATATGGTTTTGTGAACATTTTAGTAGTCGATTGAGCCATGTGCGGTCCGGTGCTAATGGTCGCAGAGAATACACCAGTCACTGGATTCCAGCGTCGGTTCTCAATAATTACAGAATTTGACTCGTAGCTGTATGAAACAAGATATTGTGGTCAGGCATTATACCGCCGCAATAAAAATCCATGAAGAATTCCAAATTTAGAAAGTTTCAGCATACCATCGCATATGTTTCGCCTCAATCTTGCCGTGCTCAATCAATATCTGCGCTGCAGGCGCAGAAAGTTTCAAAATCCGCTTTCCTTTCTTAAATCTCAATACCGCCGTCTGACTACGCATCAAATCGCATGCCATCCGATCTGAAAGAATATGACGATGGAATGAATCAACCGCAGTCTAGACCCCGGACTCCGTACCCATCTTGATAGATATGGCTTCTGCTGCCGCCTTTGCTTCCGCCGTAAAGCAATATGTGATGGCCGTCGTTGGGTTCTCAATGTTGAGTGAGGCGTATGGAATTGGTCTTGGTCCTGCCCCAGCTCGCGCAACCATATTCCCCCAGAACGGTTGACTGTGGTTATGTCAATGATGATTCAAACCTTCGTGTCAAAAATAATACTTGCTTGCTAAAGAATGGCACAATTGCCCTGGGTCGACAGTTTGACAGACCACAAGCAGTAGTACCGGAGCCTCCATGGTGAACAATCGCGGCTACATGTTGGAAAAGCCATTCATGTGGACAGTCTTCAATATAGTAGACATGAGAGCTTAGTGGTCCACTGATTTTACTCCAGCCCTTGGAGATAATAGCTCGAACCCCGAGCTTTGCAACTGCTGACATGATTGTGTGAATCACCTCTTCTGGATTCGAGACGACAATACTGCCAAAGCCGATGTACACTGGCGGTTCACCAGATTGTAGAAACTTTTCCAATTTGGCAGGTGGACTGTAGGTAGGAGTATCGTGAAACAAGAAGCCGCACATATCTCAGTAACATGGTTAATCAAGCTTTGACCTAATGATTCCCTCGTGTTTATATACCGATGTGCGACCCCCAATCTTGGGGCTTTGGTATTAACACCGGAGACCAGCAATATGTAAATGGTACCTTCAGAACTTCTGCTATGCGAGGGCCCTCCATATTAAGGACAGGATCTAGATAAATCGAGGCTCACCATTGATTAATCACAGCTCCCAATCTGAGTTTCGAGGTTAGTGATCCGATCGTATACTTCAACGGGTCAACCTACCCCTGCCATGTAAGCCGCTCTTTAACTCCATATGAAACCCAATTTGCCGTTAGCGGACTCATAGATGCGGAGCTGAGGTTAGCTAGAGGGTACGGGAATGCTTTCGTACTGCTCCAAGGCATGGTAAACATAATATGAACAGGAATGCCCAATGCCTGTGCGCAGTGAATGTGCACAAAGCTAGGCGGATTAGCGATGATTTCATCAGCTACGAAGGGTTCATCTGTCACTGGATCATCTTTGATACATGAACGCCAACAGCCATGGAGCATGGCCTGCATCTTCTTTAATTCACCTCCGCGTAATGTCTCCATTTGAGGTATTGGACCTGGATTCTTCACCATATATGCCATGGGCTCGGCTGGGTCCCCTCCTATCGGGTAGAACTCTAGTCCATGTTCACGTACGAAGTTTGCAAAGATATCGTGGGTCGCAATTCGAACTCGATGGCCGTATCGCTTCAATGCAGTTCCCAGTGCGATAAATGATTGCACATCGCCGCGACTTCCCGCTATTTGAATTGCGATGTTCAGTCGGAGTGGAAAATCATAGTTGTCTTCTTGAATGGTATCATTATAGTAATAGCCAGGAGGCGGATTTTCGACCCTGGATTCGAGGTTGATATTGAGACGACCGTTCCTAAATAACAACAGAGAGGCTTAGTTTACTTTCAAAATTATATATCTTGCAGATAATGGAGTAGGGCCCCTGGCGACCATCAGTAGCGTACCAAGTAACACTCTATTATTGTGGATACATGGACTTATCCTATAGGAATAGTGTGTCTCAAATGCCACTAGCTCAATAAAGTCTGGCGTTGGTGAAGTCTAATTTCGTACTCGTACTCGTAATTCTTTCCGTGTATAGCGTGAAACCAAACTGTTCTCGGCTTTTACCCACGCGTTGCCATGCGCCTAGCTTCCAATTACTATGATTCTCAACTCCTCGGTGGATGATTTTTGAAACTAGTCTTTAATGCAAGATTCCTCGTTGCCTGAATGGATCCATTATTATCAGTTAAATCAAAACAAAAGATCCCCCACTCTCAAATACTTAAGTTGGAAATTGGACACATAACCTGGCACCATTGCTCTCGCCCAAGTCTTTCTTTGTCATTGTTTTCACTTATTTTGTTTCCATTTTCACGATTCTTGCTTGTTCAATTCCTTCGATTCCCTTATTCTCGTTATTTTTCGTATGCTATCTTGATTTCAACCACTACTCCACAATGGCGGCATACGAACTTTATAATTATGACCCTTCAACAACCGCAGCAGTCGCATTTGCGGTGATGTTTGCCCTTTCCACAATGGGCCACCTCTGGCAGACCGGCTGCAATAGAAGTTGGTTCTTCACATCTTTCGTTATAGGTGGATGCTGTATGTATCTCGTTATGCACCCTCCATAGAATAATTCTTACCATGTTTCTTCAAACAGTTGAGCTCGTTGGCTATATAGCCCGATACATCAGTGCCAAACAAAGCCCCAACTGGACGACCATGCCCTACGTTATTCAAGAGCTTCTCCTACTGGTAGCACCATCGCTCTTTGCTGCTTCAATCTATATGGTCCTTGGACGTATCATTCGACTATTAAATGGCGATTCGAACTCGCCAATTAGACCATCCTGGTTGACCAAAATCTTCGTGGCGGGCGATGTTATTTCTTTCTTCATGCAGAGTGGCGGTATGATATCTACAAACCTCACATACACTAGGACCTGGAACGAGCTAATTGATCAATTGCAGGCGGTGGTATTCTTGCGACTGCAAAATCAGATTCAAGCATGAACATGGGTAACAACGTGATTATTGGAGGTCTCATCGTCCAAGTCATCTCTTTCAGTGTCTTCATTGTAGTTTCCGTCATCTTCCATCGCCGCATGCTGAACTCTCCGATGCATATGATGGTGAAGACTCAAATCCCGTGGTCGCGCTACATGATGATTCTCTATACTGGCAGTGCCCTTATTCTGGTCCGATCTGCGTATCGAGTTGCGGAGTACGTGCAAGGAAGTACTGGATATCTTCAGAGCAAAGAAGCATTTGTTTACATCTTTGATGCAACCTTGATGCTTCTGTGCTGTATTCTTTTCAATATGTTTCATCCGAGCAAGCTTCTCTCGAAGAAGCCTCAGAGCTACGAGGAAGACTTGGAAATGATGAATGAGTCGGGATATAGAAACTTGTAAAGCCCCTTATGCTCTTTATCATGATGTTGTCTTGGTGGAATATTTTCGCTCTTTGTGGGGAAGTATTGCAATTTGGAGCGTTATCTGGAGGAAGGTTGTATGTGATCATATTTCTTATAAGTCCTTACGCTGTACAATCATTGCTGGCAGGATGTTTCTCAATTAGAATTAGTAAAACATATCTGGCGCCTAGATTGAAATTGAAAATAAATAAAAAATCACGCGGAGCAAAAGGAGAAAAATCTTGAAATCTTACAACGTGTAAAATCCACTTCGTATATACATCAACTAATAGGAAATGATCAGCGGTGGGTCAAGTCTGATACGAGCCAATCGATGAGTAACCACTAAGGAGCCCATAGTAACTTTTACTTGAACGGGAAGCGGATACGAAGTCCATTATCAGTATCTATATCACAACACCTGGGCATGAATATCGCTGGCCAACGCCGCCTCAAGTGGAAGTTCAATGGCGAATAGTTATTTTGGTTTGTATCTGCCTAAATATTCAAATTTCGAGTTTGAGGCAAAAACTTTCAAAGATAGAAGTATAAGTACCATGGCGCTTGCCAACTTGAAATAATTCACATTCACACCCTGCTCAAAACCCCGTCTCACCATCTGATATTTCTCGATTCTCCTCTGTTTTTTCTTTCGAACTATACACAATAGACAAGATGAACTACTGCAAAGAATTCATCAGCTATATCAACTTCACCGACCGTTCGCGCTTAAAGTGTCGCCTACATATCATTATCGCGTCTCTCATCTCTTTAACCTTTGTTCTTATTATCGCACGGCTGGCAATCCCAGGCACACCAGTGACTCGCGTTAACATATGGGGAATTGCAGTTGTATGATTACCATTCTATACTCACTTGTTTGCCAACGCTCTCTAGCAGAATTATCCTAACTGTCAAATGTTGAATAGTGCATCAAAGCGGCTGTCTTTCTCGGCTACCAGGCCCTTACCACCAGTAAGGCACGCTTTAAGCAATGGGCTAGTCTCAAAGTCAATATGATTCTTGATATGATTGACGCTGTGTTTTGGTTTGCATTGTTTATTATCAGTATCATTGGAGCAGGCGGCGGACACAACACTGCTAGCAAGGCCCTCGGCGCGATCGTCGCCATCCTTTCATTGTTATTGTGGTGAGTTTATCCCGAGCTCGAATCGAGATTATCCATATTGTATAGACTACAGGTATTGATGCTAATGAATATTTGCAGTGGCACTGTTGGCTTATTATCATTCATATGTGTACAGGACTATCGCTATTTCAAGGTTCATGGGAGCCTTCCGGGACTCGGAGAGATGAAGGCTGAGGCTGTGGGTGAGATGGCACAGAGTACTAATATCATAGAATGATAGTCTGGGGCTCTGTAGGCTGCTTATGTCACAATATTGCAAGATTCATGACTAGGCTCAATTATTGGAGTGTATGGAGTGTATGGTGTTTCCTTTGTGTAAAATAAGTATTTGGTTTCCGTCTTTTCTTTGCAATAGATTGTTCGAATAGCCACTGGCATTGGGCATTTCTAATCAAGGGATATGTCTTGTAAAATGATACAAACCTGTGAAGATCCATCTCTGTTCTTTATCATGTCATGAAAAGTGATGCAATGGTACGGATAAATGTGTGGGTAAATAAAGAATAATCCCATACAAACGACGGCTCATAATTAACCGATCTTTTCACAATCCCTAAAGGAATATCAAGTATCCTCTAAAGCTCATGCTGCTCAATCTCCGCCTCATCCATGAGATAACCATTCTCCTCATCATCGTCCTCATCGTCTTCACAATCCTCACCATTCTCGGGATCCATAACACACGATCCAGCACGAATATCATCATTCGCCTCCCTAACAAGCTTATCCGCATCAATTCCAGCCTCCAAAACTCCCTTGGCCTCTTCGTGCTCGCCATCCCGTTTCAGATGAAAATTGAGCGACACGTGGGAATCGTCCAGAACTGAACATAATCGATCGGAAGCGACGGCCACAACCTCCCCTTCTTTATTTCTCATATAGTATCCACCATTTTCAGCGGAGGCGGTTGAGGGTGTCTCCATCTCGATTTGGACAATGTCAGACTTTGTGTTGGCGATTCTGATGTTATGGGGAATAGGCGATATGTACCGCGTGGTAGTGAGAAGAGTGGCGAAACTCATGTTGAGAAATATTGAGATGAGGATCCAGGAAATATGAGAAGGGAGCTTCATTTTTGGGTGTTTGAAGGGATTCAGATTCTCAATTGGAGAAGGAAGTTGGAGGGAGCTTTCAAACCTTGGAGGGGCAAAATATTTCTGCCTTCTGTCTGGAATCGGGGCTATGCTTCAGTTTGGGAACGCAGTGGGATGGAGTGAGAGAAAGTTCAGGTTGGAAGGTTGTTGGATGAACTGAGAGCTGGAATACTTGTCTGGCATTGTCAGATGATACCTATTGTGAGTTGTTTACCAGGCAATTATTGTTGCCTAGTGCCTGTTTCAGGGACCTTATCAATCTACCGGTGGACATGGCCCCCATTCGAAGACTCAATCTTCGGCCACAGATTCTTTCAACTTCATGGTATTAGCAGGATACATATTTCGGATTTCAAGCTCCTTAAAAATATAGTTCAGGTTGAGACCGGCCGTTAGGTCTGTCGATGAAGTGAAAATAGATCTGGAGTTTATTTACATCCAATTCTATATAGATCCATTTCTAACTAAACATTGAAATTGTGACTTTTGGGATATAAAAAGGAAACCCAATTTTACGCGTCCACGTTGGTATACTTGGCGTTGTGGGTGGCAATAGCGCTGTAGGTGTCAAAGTTAGTTCTCTGCCATGAAACTTCTCCTGGGAATCAACACTTACCGGCCACTAGGGTCGCTCTGCTTAGACCAAGTCGGGGTCCACCGCTCAACGGTGCCCGCACAGTAAGGGGGGAAGTGCTCGTCAAACATTGTGCGGTACCAGTAGCTAGGAAGGAAAAGAGATCAAGTTAGTAAATTGTTACAAAATGATGCGCGGGGTAGATCGGAACATACGCCTCCTTGGTATCGGGAATATCAGTACCCCACTCGGGCTTGGGGTTCTTCATCATCTCGTCAGTAACTTGCTTCTCGGCGGTGTCCTTCAGGCCATCAATCCACCCGTATCCAACACCGTCACTGAACTGCTCCTTCTGGCGCCAGAGGATCTTATCGGGCAGGTATTGCTCGGTCTCAGGCTCATCAGTGGTGTCGAAGGCCTTGCGCAGAATGTACTTCTCAATGTGACCCTCGGTGATCATCTTATCCTTGGGGTCGTAGCCCATACAGGTGGCCAAGAACTCCTTGTCCAGGAAGGGGACACGGGCCTCCAGACCCCAGGCGGAGGTAGACTTGTTAGCACGCAGGCAGTCGGCCAAGTGCAGGTCCTTCACGCGGCGAACGGTCTCCTTGTGGAACTCCTCGCGGTTAGGAGCGGCGTGGAAGTAAAGGTAACCACCGAAAATCTCGTCACTACCCTCACCACTGAGAACCATCTTGACACCCATAGCCTTGATCTTGCGAGAAAGCAGGTACATAGGGGTAGAGGCACGGATAGTGGTGACATCGTAGGTCTCGAGGTGGTAGATAACGTCGGAGAGGGCGTCCAAACCATCCTCAATAGTGAAGGTGAAAGCGTGGTGCTTGGTACCCAGGTAGCGGGCAACGCTGAGGGCGGCCTCGGTATCGGGGGCACCGGGCAGGCCAATGGAGAAAGAGTGCAGCTGTTGGAAGGTGGTGACAGTTGACAGCTCATTCTCATCGTCAATGCCGACGAGCTCTGTGGAGGCACCATCATTCTGCATCGCAATGCGGGTAGCCTCGTGCATGCGCAGAGTTTCGCGCTGGGCAATGGAAGCGACCAGACTAGAGTCGAGACCACCAGAGAGCAGAACACCGTAAGGAACCTCAGCCATCAGACGCTTGCGGACGGCCTTCTCCAGGGTGTGACGGAGCTCTTTATAGTTGACAGGGTTGGAGGGGACGTTGGTGGGGTCCCACCACTTGGGCTCGAAGTAGCGAGTCATTTTGTCGGTCTTGGAATCGTAAACATGGCCGGGAGGGAAAGCAATGATGTCGTCGCAAACCGGGTGCAGAGACTTAAGCTCAGAGGCGAAGTAGACAGCGCCGGGGGTAGTGGAAGAACGGCCGAGGTAGAAGCTGGTGACACCGATGGGGTCACGGGCGGCAACAACACGGTCCTGCTTCTTGTCCCAGAGGACCCAGGAGAACATGCCATCGAGGTGCTTGGGGGCATCAAGGCCATGCTCCATATACTGAAGAATGGAGGTAATCAGCGAATATTACTTGCATATGAATGGGGGTATTCCATTGTCTTCCGTGACGACGTACCAAGGGAATGATGACCTCGCAATCTGAGTGGGTCTTGAACTTGTACTTGGTTGTCAGGCTCTTGCGCAAGATACGGTGGTTGTAGATCTCGCCGTTGACGGCAAGAGCGAGGGTCTCATCATCGTTGACAAGTGGCTGGGCACCGGAGTCTGGGGAGTATACCACGTCAGCGATTGTCCTTCGGGTTTAATGGATTGATATTCAGCAGTGGAGATATGACATACCGACACCGACAATACTCAGACGCTCGTGGGCAAGGACTAGAAGACAGCATCATTAGCGACTGGGACCACCAACCAACCACATGGTTCGCTCTAGGAGCAATTGACTCACTGGTGTTATCTCCGATGAAGTTACCGCCTGTTAACAAATGCGCATGTTAATATTCCATATCCCCACGATTCATGACCTTTTGAGCTATAGTTTGCGTGGTGACTCACTCCAATCGGGACCGCGGTGACGGCAACTGTCAAAGAATTTACCATTAGCTCGAGGAACTCGCGCCAATTGAGAAACCATTGTTCAAGAAGGTAGATAAACTTACGCCTTGGCCATGCGCAGGGCCGTGGGCTTGAATTTTTGCACATCGGGGTGACTATTGCGACCTGGGTTAGCATTGACTCAACCCACCATCGTGGAGCGTGTCTTCCCGGGGAAGAAAGAATATAGTGGGGTAGTGGGAGGAAGTGGGATGGAAGGCAATTGAGCACATACTGGTGGCACGCGAAGATTCCACACATGACAGGCAGATGACTTGTGTGAATATAATGTCAATTGGTTTCAAGGATGGAGAGATGGGGGGGAGGATTGACTAATCGCAGATATATGGGGGAGTCAAGCGGCCAAGGCGATTTTTTTTCGTTTCTCGGAGAGGGGCGATGTCGGCCAGTCGTTGAGTCACCGATAAGATAACACCGTCCACTAACACCCGGAGCATTACTCGGCATTTTCTTTACTTTATAGGGGTTGATCTATATTCTGATCCAGTCCGATCATTAGAGTCTAGGCTACACTGGGTATCCTTATTAAAATGCCGTTGCGCTGGCAGGGAAAACGCTGAGCAAGGGCCTTTCGTGACCCGGGTGGAGACAGGTTCCCCGGCATGGTAGTGTGAGGCCATGAATAATTCTATTACAATATAGCTATTCCTGCCAAGGTGAAAGCTTGACCTGGATCAAACATCATTACAACTCGTATATGGGTCTATTATATTGGTCTATAGATGCTTAGCTTAGAAGTACACATGACCAACAATCCAAGAGAAGTATGTATATGCGCCAGGATCAGCCTATAGTACGATTACATAATCTGATTGGCGGGGCGATTCAGATCGCATTGAAGTCAATCTGCGCGGCGCAAACAGCTCTCACCTCTAGCTCTTTCAGAGTTGCTCGCCTGTTTGACTTCTCCCCGTCTTGGTTCCCTTTCTTTTAATTTTCTCTTAATCCGGATCATCATCCTTCTACCACATACTCAGGGCACTGCCTTCTTCGTGTTCTCGTAAAATCACCCAACACCAAAAATGACTCTGTGCCTGAATCGTCTCCAAGAAGAGCGGTATGTAACAAATCCGAGAAAAACCGCACTAGGCCAATACACCTCGCAGAATGGTACTGATGACCCTGCGTTATAAAGGAAGCAATGGCGTCGTGACCACCCCTTTGGGTTTGTCGCAAAACCTATCCGCACACCGCAAGGAACTCTGGATCTTAAGACGTGGCAATGCGCTGTGCCCGGGAAGAAGGACACCCTCTGGGAAGGAGGTGTCTACAAGCTGGATGTAATCTTCCCAGATGGTAAGTGGCTTTGTGCATTCCAAGCACACCCATGCCAATAATGCTGACGATCCTTCTTTCGTGCTTCCAGAATATCCTACCAAGCCTCCCAAGTGTATGCACAGCCACCCACCAACCTATCTTGAGATCATGTTCTCATGATAATTTGGACCTCTTGGACCCCCAACCGAGCTGACACATGGCTATTGTAGGCAAATTTACTCCCCCACTCTTCCACCCCAATGTCTATCCCTCCGGCACGGTTTGCCTTTCGATTTTGAATGAAGAAGAGGCATGGCGCCCAGCTATTACAATCCGTCAGATCCTGCTCGGTATTCAGGACCTTTTGAACGAGCCCAATCCGGAGTCACCCGCCCAAGCTGATGCCTATAATCTATTCAAAAAGGATCGTCCTGCTTATGAGCGAAGGGTTCGCCAGGTTGTCAAGGAGAACCCGCCAATGTAGTTCATTGGAAGAGCTACATGCATCTCCACTTCTTGTGTTGATTCTATCTCATGACCCCTTCTGTTTCTTTCTTCTTTCGATTTTTTTTTACCGGCACCTGGAGAGGTGGAAAAGAACTCGTATGCATAACATTGTCTAGTTCGGCAAAGGGAGCATATCTGCTTTACTCAGCGACCGATCACCAGCGTGGCGTTTCTTATCAAATGTATTGGCGTTTACAGATTTCAATATTCCAATTTGATCATGTTTTGTTGTAGATCACAAAAGTAAGATGCGTTACACCCAACACAAACACAAGGATTCTTTGTCTACGCAGAAACGGAGGGCGCGGATGATCTTTGAAGCAGGTTTGTCCTTTTAAAAAGAGCCAAGGTTTTTTATGAAGTGTCTTTATTCTAAGAAAAGATGAGGTACTTGAAATGGGACAAAGCGTGCTATGTGTATAAAACGCATGAAAAACTTATGAAACCCATCTTTCTTGCCTATCATTTGCTTATATCCAAGAACATAAAGCCATTCAAATGTAACATGCACCAAAATAACCCTTGAACAATGCCCCTATACTAAAAAGAGGATCAAACAAAGTCTCTATTCAGCTGGGGATCCTCTGTTAAATCCCAGTCTATAGAAAAGAATAACCAGGAGACAATTGCGGCTCTAAATAGATCCCATTGAGCTTGCAATGGTAAACACCTTATAAAGCCCGTGCAGCCTATGGTCAAGCATCCTTCTAATCATCACTATACATTATATCCACTGTGATTCTCAGCCTCGTCAGGTATCGTTACTACTACAACCCAACCCAAAAGCTACTGGATAGCATAACGTCTCTTCTCACTTCATCATGTGTCACTCTATTGTCTGGTACTATGTCTTCTGCCAACACCTCGATGAGTTCCAATCATCTATGATTCAATGCGAACATGCCACAGTAACAGGATACGAATGTCTCCCCTATTACCAGTTAATATTGCTACTCCCCCTTTCAGGATCATGCCATACATGTCTTGACGAACAGCAACAAAGCGAAGACGAAAGCATCGATGTAGATATTGGCATTGAAGTGTTATTTGACATTGATGAGGAACTAAACAAAGAGAGCTCTCTAAGTGAGGAAAACAGTGTTTTGTGCGCGTTGAAATCTCCCATGCCAGTTCCAGGATATCATACACACCTGTATTCTCCAATGAGTAGTAATTTCGAGAAAGATATCCGCTGGGATATGAAAGAAGAGGTGGATATCTCTGGTTATGATGATTATGATGATGATCTATTCCCATCTCCGTGTTTTTCAACCGGGGGTTCTTCTATATACTCTAAGCTGGATTCAGACCAGAGCTGGTCTAGTCAGGAATGTGGCTTCCCGGATTCACCTACATTGAATTGTGATATTTCTTTATATGATGTCTCTACGCAGTGGGGCATTGCATCCAATCCCTACGAGGAGAAAACATGGCAGTCTAGGATTCCTGTTTTTGTCCCCAAAATGGAAACGAAGGCGCAGACAGAGGCTGAAAGGGTTTGGGATGTTGATGGGCTGGAATTATTTAAGCAGCTTACCTTTTAATTTATAGCTCTTGTATTATGAGGCATTTCAGCAATTACGTGATGCTCTTGCTGGTTTTTGGGGTTTCGAATTGATAGATTGCATGATTTAGCATCTTCGAATGAAACTTATTGTGCTTGCAGGCCAAGCAATGACATTAATTTCTCCTAGTAAATGGTGATCATAAGTACATTAATCAACGTAGATTCCCTCTTCGAACTTTTCGGTTTCAAAGAATCGTGCTGTGATGGTATTTCCATTGAATACTCGTCCTTCAAGAGCGTTTACGGCCTAAATGACATGTCGTTCATTAGTAGTCTGCATATAAATAAGATCAAAAGATGGAACTCACTCGGAGAGCAGATAGGGGGCTTGTAAATTTGACAAAGACAGGTATCGGAGTGCCCGCATCGCGGGCAATGTAAACTCGTTCCACACTCCCGTACTAGAAGCTATTAGTATCATACTTGCACCATCATTAGATTGAAAAGCAGAATTGAGACATACCTTCTCAGAGCATTCTTCTCCAATCTCCTGCATTAAACCCCCACCCTCGCCGTTTTCCAACTCGGCTTGGAGATCCATACCATCCAACATTCCACGAAGAATAATCACTTCGCTCATGGGTCCAAATTTACCAGTATCATTTGCACCCTTCCTCTTTCCTCCAATGATCTTGCCTAGCCCAGCAGGAGTGACAAAGCCTCCTCCCTCGGCATCAGGCCGCTTCTTTCGTTTCTCAACTTTAACCTGTAAAGGCTTTGCGATACCTGACCCCGTAGCACCAAGTCCGGATCCCTTGGTCCAACCGTACTTTGATAGTAAACGCTCCGCAAATCCTTTCTGCCCAGGGCGAAGGGAACGCGATGTATCTTCACCGGTTTCATCCCCCATATCGCCCTCGCCCTCCCCGGCTTGTTCTTTGGCAAATACCTCTTCAAGCTCTGCTTCGGATGCTGGTATATCTGCTGGGGCTGGTGGGAGGGTGTAGCGAACAGGTGCGCGGGATATTGTGGCAGAGCTAGGCTGGAAGGAGTCGAGGGGGCGTGAAGGTGGTGGCGGGGGAATATCGTCTGATGGGGGAGGTGGTATTGATGTGTCGGGATCATGCATATTTACATTGGCATTGCTTGGCTGGCTCATGAGTGCGCGGCGAGTAAACGCATCTTCTCCAGATGCATCTTCCGAGACTGGAGCGGGAGGAGGGGGTGGTACGGCGTTTAGATTTGGCGGTGGTGCGAAGCTACTTGGTGGTGCAAATTGGCCTAGAAATGACTGTCAGTATCTGCATTCGGCAAATTGGCCTAGACAAGTCGAAGGGCATCATACGATTCATGGGCCGGTCATAATCATCGCTATCAGAGTCTATGCTCGGTGAGCGTCTCATCTTATGCGCGTACAGGCGATCCTTCCATTCGCGAACTTCGATAATCTTCTCATCACTATGGCGGTATTCTTCGTAGTTATTCGGTCGCGAGGGATCATAGATGTCATCCCAGTTCTGCGGAGCCGTGTGTGATTCGCGATTATTGTCGTTCTTCTTTCGCTTTTTTCTCCCTCCTCGTTGTCGTTTCTCGCCCATGTAGTTCCCAAAGTCATCGTCCTCCGTAGCAGCCCAGTCAGCTAAGGTGCTCTTCATTGGAGCCGCAGTAGGAGCCGAGGCCTGGCCTGTACCAGGCGGTAGTGTAGCTTTGGGTAGTGATGGCTTGGGCTTGGGTTTTTGAGCTGAAAGCTGCGGTCGCTTGGTAGGTTGAAATCGAAGAGACGCTGTCCGTGGGGGGTAAGAGAGTTAATTTTGACTCGGTGTAAATCATTCAAAGAAATTCACAAGTACCAGCATTGAGTTGCTGCTGCTTCTTTGCAGCGGACTCGTCGGTTTGCGCATCGTTCTCGGAGCTTTGCTTAAAGACGACGGGGGCGCGGGAGATAGTTCCAGCTGTGGGTTCGGCTGGTGAGTCTAGCAGATTTGCATACAACGACATCATTCTTCCGCCTTTCGCGGGGTTGGACTCTGGAGCCATCGTGCCAGTAGTGATTTGGTGTCTGGTAGTGGTTGCAAGTGGAGCTGCTCTGAGTTCTGATAAGCCGGGGCGCGATTGGCTTTGAATGACTAATTAATGCACAGGCCCTCTGGCAGTGTGGTATTTAATTGGCCGTTCTATACCTTCGCGCTTGAGGATTCATTTTTTATCTCATGTACAAGAAAAAAGTTAACATACTCAATATTTAATTACTGTATATTTATATATACATGATTTTCCCACAAAGACAACTTTCGTTTCCTGGGCAACAGCCCCTTTTGATTTTTCATACGTGAGAGACTGGCTCTCTTCAGAAGGGCTCAACAACCAGTGACCTTCTTCCTGGCAGAGTGTTTGTTTGTCGCCAGTAGAGTTCCGGGCCAATGTGAATAGTGAGATTGGAAGGGCTTACTTTCAGAGCCGGCAAATTCCCCTTTCCCTTCCGGCTTTGTTCATAATAACCTATGGACATGATCATCACTTTACCAGGAGGGATCACAATGCCCGGATAGACACACAACAGGTTGCTTTAATGATAAGGTTGATCGTCAACTTATGCAAGCCCCCTGCTAACCGAGTGCACTAGACCCTGTCAGCCTGACAGCAATATCCTGAGGTCCATGGGAACTCGCCGCATCGAGCCTCGAGGCCAGGACCTGTAAGGGTTCAAATCCAAATGAAATATACGGTTGCGAGTGAAACTTCCCACCCTCCGGTGTTGAGCCCACAATTTTCGCACTTCGGGACCTGCTATGATCCACGTGAAGGGCAAATAATTCCAAGGTTGGACCAACATCGTTATGGCGGAGAGAATTTCCAAGAGCGAGGTCAAGATTTGTATGGACAAGGACTCAACAAAGTTCAGGGAATTTAAGGATTTTTTTCAAGAGGGAGTTACATGAATGCCACTAGGCTTTAAAATCGGCGAAGGAGAAACATTTGAAGCTCTTTAGTTGTATAAATAGGTACATAGTGAGTTCATTACATTCAAATCCTCTAATTCTTCTACTTTCTCTTTCCTATCATATCTTCTTAGCAATTTGCATAAAGGTATTCCTTGCTGTAGTCATGGGTATAATTACGGTAAGGCCCAAACTGAGCTATAGCTACCGTCACTTTCAGGAAGATTGGTGGGAATGGACGAGCACAACTTCATCTCCCCTTGACCATCGCTATTCCACGACTCGAATGAAAATCGAGCCTCAGACTCGGACGACCCTTCGGGCTCTGAACACGACCCAGCCCTTACTTACTACAGTCACCCCGATAAATAATCCTAGTCCTTGCTACATACTAGTAGTAAAAGCGGTGAGTTTTGAATACGCGTTTAATATCATATTACACATCAATTGATATGTACACGTCTTTCCAATAGTTTTACCAAAAATCGGTCTAGTTGTCTCTCGTAATACTTTACCAAGGTAATTCGAAAGGCTTAGATGATATTATACCTAAGCTCTAGATGTATACTTAGTATTATTACATCTTTCAAGATTTTAATTGAAGCCGATAGAGGTGTGATTCTGTAGGGCGATGGTAAAGAGATTAACTCTAGTTTAATCATATATCCGGAATACGGCCGTAGCTCGGCTACGGCTATACCCGGAAATAGGCCGATCAAGCCGACGCCAACATTTGTATCTCCATAGTTAAAGCGCCTGCCAATCGCAGCTTAATTTAACCTTCTCCGCCCGAGACCGTAGCTGCGAAATTATCATTGGTCAAACGCGTAACACTTCTCTTCCAAGGTTCCTAATTCCATCCTTTCATACATCTGTCACCGGAGCACTATCGGAGCAATATGTACGCTCGTCTCACCATCGCCCTTCAATCAACCCCCGCTTCCCCCCACACTCGGCAATTGTTCCGCCTCACCTCGCCCAGAATATCTCCGAGCTCATCCTCATCCCTTTGCAAACCTGTCACTTTCCCGTTCAATCGTCAATTTCACCACTTCCAGAAACGCACCATGTCTTCCGCACCTGCTAAGAAAGAGTTCCTTTGCATCCTGCCTGACAAGCCCGGTGCTCAGGCAAAGCGCCTCGAAGTCCGCCCGTAAGTTGACCCCTGTGCCCCACCAAATGAACAGGAATTGATATGGTTGTGTTACCTTCAGTGAGCATCTTGTGGGCGCCAAAACTGCTGCGGCTTCTGGCCGTCTTGCCTTTGGTGGTAAGTTTTGTATTGTTTTTCCTGCGATTCAATTGAGGGGAGGGTGAGGATATTTGATCCCTCGCGCGATCTTGATATTTCTCCCCTATTTAGAGTTAGGCATCAGTATGTTTGATTGGTGCTGACCATTTTTAGGTGCAATGCTTGCGGCGCACCCTGCTGAGGGCGAGGTCCCCACCTTCAAGGGTAGCTCGATGCTTGTTTTAGCTGAGAATGAGGCTGAGGTTCGCACTATTTTGGAGAACGACATCTACTCTAAGAGTGGTGTTTGGGATCTGGAGAACGCCCAGATTATCCCAGTATGTCAAAACATATGTCCATGATCTCCCTTCTTCGTTCTGTGTACTAATACCTCCGAAAATAGTTCAAGTCTGCTATTCGTCAGTCGCTTTGAAGGACGTAGAAGACAAGGGGGAAACTACAGTGTAGTCGGACTCAGTAATGAAACTTCTTATGAAATTTATTAAATTCATCCATGTGTCCGTTGATGTAGATTCATAGCTTGTATCTTCCCTACTTTAGACTACTTTCGTTTCCAGTCATATAAAGGTACCGTTTCAGAATTTCAAATTCGCACCTTCAAATATCCAGCTTATCTATTTCCACATGGATACCTGTTTCATACGCTCTGGATCGTTTGGGCTATCATGATCATGAGCGGCTTGGAAGGCGGCTGTTCGTATATTGGGGTATGAACACGATGCAATCTTTCAACCTACATACCATGTTAGGTAGCTCATACCCAACTTTCGGTGGCATTCGCGGAGACCTTTTCGCCCAATAAAATCTCGAAGGAATGCATAGACAATTATCCAGTCATAACATGGCGCGTAGGTATGCCCCGCACCTGGGCACGGCGCTACGCCTAGCGATCAAAACTCCTCGACATTCCAAGGTTTACCTGTGATGTTGTTGAAAATACAAAGGTGGATACCGAAATATACGTTCCCTATTTCTTTTCTCGCCTAACTATTTACAGGATGCTCTTCAACTGCTTTCGACCTTATACTCCATAGTTTCTCAAGCGCCACAAAAAGGCGGCTGTGGAGTGTCTTCCCAAAACACCGCCTCAATGTGCAACTATTTCAAAAACTATTATATCTATAGTCGTTGCTCAAATCCAAGCGCGCATGTTATAAAGACTTCTTTGGATAATGACGGAGCCAAAAGTAAAGAGTGCAGCTCTTCTCCTCACGATAGATTTATCGTCGTGGCTGGCAATTGCATCTTATGTGACCCCACGGGAGGCGGGGACTTGCCCGACGAATCAGATGAGGAAATCAATGCGATTCTAGCACGCGATTACTCAAAGCCTCATATGAGGACTTCTGCTCCCGAGGAAAGACCATTGCCTTCTGCAACTTCTCGGATGACCTCCTCCCACGATGACTCTGGATACGCATCGAGAGCAACCAGAAGTGCCGAGAGCAAGACTCGAATATCTGGCCTATCTCGTTTAAATGATACAGGTGCAAAAGAAAAATATGCATCGGAGACATCAAATAGAGCGCGCTTGAAAGAACGACAATATGAAACTGATGACCGATCTGATCGTGATGCAGAGTCTGTTTATACTGCGGGTCCTGACATACATCCTCAAAGGCGCGAGGCTTATATTGTCGTATTCGCTGATGAACTGCTGAGCAGAGCTTTACCAGAGGAAATAGACGAAGATCTTATCGGAAGTCTCTGTGCAGCTTTGCCAAAACTTCTGAAGATATTCGCGACCATGGTGGGCGCTGCTGATACAAAACAGATACATCGAGAACTAATGGTATTCATTCGAAAGCATCGTTAGTGAGTCAAAAAACAATGTCAATTTACCTGAGTACCAGGAACATAACTGATCGTTTGCTCTTATTCCAGTCACATTACGAAAATCGTTGAGAAAAAGTTGCTTTCCGGAGCACCCAGGGACCAAAATCCAGACATCGACCTTGACGATCTAGTCTGGACCTGGTTACAGCAAAGCGAAATTTTTGAAGATCCGAATATTCAACCCCATCGTCCGAGCGACTTGCTAGATTCAGATTCAGATGACGAACTCGGTCAAGACAATGAAGCCGTGGAGAACAACTTTCCAGAACTCGGCTCGTATAAGAGATTGGTTTCGAAACTTCCTGCATATGAATGGCTTGTTCAGAGTATTTGGAAAGAAATTCATCTTGCCCCTGTACAAAGTTCTCACATAGGGATTAGAGAAGCAATTTTGTCACGTTTCTCTCGACCTCGACAGATAAGCAGGACAAAATCCGCAGAAAGAATTCAAGCAGACTTTACTTTAAATTGGGATCTGTCTTCTTTTTTACGAGAGCAGGAATATTCATGGGGCCTCAAAGGACCACTCGAACAGGCGCTTGTTATTACTGGATCCGAAACAGATGCTCAGGCCACTACGGTATCTCAATATGTACGCCAGGCGTGGCCATTCTTTGGAGTTGAGGTTCTGCATCTTGTACAACGCACTCTGAAAGAGCTCTTCGAGAGACAAACCTGTAAGAAACAATTGCTCTGCTTCTTCTAGCTTAACTAATCCTGATGTTAGGCTCTTTTGTTGATGGAACCAATCTGAGCGCTTGTTATAGTGGGTCGGAATTTGTATTCTGTGTAGCGGGAATTCCATATATGATTGCAGAGCTCGGTGAACAGTTGGCTTGGATGGGATCAGCTCTCCGCTCATTTAAATCACCCGGTCACCGTGTTGACATGTGCAAATCAGTTTTAATTCGAAGATCTGAAAGCATTAAGCGGGGCATATCACGGACTTTCTTTGATCTCAACTTTCGATTTACCCCCGTTTCCAATGACCCTGGAGTGGAGAAATCCGATGGTCAGTGTTGGCATCAACTTTTCGAGAGCCAGGTAATAGTCAATGGCTTTTCAATCCCCAGAAGACCAAGTCATTACCCAGGACTTGAGATCAGCCTTGATGCCATGGCAAACTTGGTCGGAACAAAGCGTGTTGAGACTTTTGACAACCAGTTCTTCATTAAAGGGTTCTCTGTGATGTTGTTTCCAACTCATTGCGATGACAATTTAATCATCTGGCATATGATCACGAGTAACAATGGAGAAAGGATCACATATCTAGACGCCCCTAACAATGTTGCAAGGAATATCACGCCTTCTAAGCTAGAGACAAGTCGTCATATACTTGGCTGGTGTTCAAAGATCAGGTATTTAGCTGGTAAGTCATTCGATCTATGGGCTCATACATGTTCATTCTTTAATGTAGCCTAGGGACTGCGGATGCAAGCTACACGATTGATCGGTCATGGCTGCAACCACCCAGCGTAAATAGTCATTTCAAAGGTGCTTCAGTATCCGCAGGCTTTGTGGTCACAAGTGATGACAATGCAGTACTGGGGAAAAGAGACCGATCAGACGAAATTCTCCGTGGCACTCTCCGAGTCAGACTGAGTGCCATGTTAAAGAAGTATGTCGTTCTTTGGGATGTCGAAACAAAACGAGGATGGCTGGTCAACGTACCCAGTATATTATTACACCTTCTCCGTGCTTCTTTGGAGTCTAACAAGACAGACGATTTTTCATTCGCCTTCCTGTTCGAACCACAACAATTTCAAGAGTCTCACAAACCACATAGCAGATCTAGCGCACTCGAGGTGCTAATAAATCCTAAGAATCTCAACATCAAGCTATACCAAGATTGCGAAAGAGAGAACGAGACAGACATTTTTTTTCGAATACGTGATCGTGTCGAGATTCTGTATGCCATTCTTGAGAAGATGGTTGACTATCAGGCATTGATCACAGGACAAAACGGAGAGAAAATCAAGACAACCCCACGCAAGTATCTTGAAGGGTGGGATTTCAAAGACATTGCGACAAATTCCGGGACAGCGAATGATTGCATTTACCCCCAGGTGGAAAGGCTCAAAACGGTAGGCAAAACATGGGTTGACTTCACGAGGGTGCTCCAAGCGGTTTTCCTCTTTGGCCGTGGGTTTGGAGAAATCATCGAACCCGCTGAGAAAAATGAGATATGCCAGTACTGGGGAACTCTCCCTTCAAAAAAGTATTATATGGCGGCCAGCATGGAGGATCTAATCAACATGATGGACCGCTTGGGGAATCCTAAATCAACACCTCCAAGGCTCGTGGGTTCTATTTCATGGTATCCTGGGAGCTCGTCTTTGACGGAAAGATGTCCTTGTGAAAGAACGCCACAGGTTCACTCGGAGCTTGCACATACCCTATTACCATCTCATCTAGAGCGAAAACTCCCTATGTGCAGTTCATTCTCATTATCGGCTACTGGGGCTGCTATTTTCGGCTACAATCAAAATGATGGATGGTTATGGGGTGACATTGGAGATCCAGAGCAAGGAGTACCCTCTACATCCGACGACCAGTATGATAGCGACGACCACGGTCAAACCAGAACTTCAATAATTGATATTCCAATACTGAATGCACCAATGGTTGGTGCCTCTTCTTCCGTCATTGCGTCTTATCAGTACAGGGTAGCCATAATATGCGCCTTGCCTCAAGAGATGATGGCAGTCCGCGCTCTATTCGACGACTTGCATCCAAAAGACATACCCAAAGACGAGAATGATAGTAATTCTTACATCTTCGGTCGAATGGCTGGTCACAATGTAGTCACTGCGTGTCTTCCATCAGGCGAATACGGAACCAACGCAGCGTCCAAGGTCGCATCAGACTTGCAAAGAAGTTTTCCTGCCGTGAAATTTATTTTTGTGGTTGGAATCGGCGGAGGTGTACCTTCATCAAAGCATGACATTCGCCTAGGAGATGTGGTAGTCAGCACAGCTATCTTTCAACATGACATGGGAAAAGTGACTTCAAGAAGCTCACCTCTCAATCGAACAGGGACGATCCAGCTCCCCGCCAGATCTCTGCGAACCGCAATCAACTCTATTAGATCAGATCCGAGGATAGGATATACTTCCTTAGAGATGCATATCGCTGAGATAGTGAAACTACGACCAGAATATCAACGGCCCAAAGAGGTGGCGACCCGCGAATCTATCCAAAGTGGCCACTTGCACGCAGAGGGTGTATACACATGCGAGAAATGCAGTTATTTTGAAGCGCCTTGGGCGCCGCGAGGTCCACGCGTCCATTACGGACTCATTGCATCAGGAAATCAGGTCATCAAGGACGCGCTCGTACGAGATCATATTGCGAAGGATTTGGACATATTGTGTTTCGAAATGGAGAGTGCAGGTGTTATGACGACTGGACAATGTCTTGTTATTCGCGGCATTTCTGATTACGCGGACTCGGAAAAAACCGATAAATGGCATAATTATGCAGCTGCAGTCGCAGCTGCGTATACGAAGCTTTTCCTTTCGAATATTGATAACCTTGAGACTCCGAGTCATCGGGCGATTCAGGTTCAGCCTGCGCTTTATTCGAACAAAAACATGTATTCTCCGGAGATGATGAGATAGATATGGAAAGTGTGGAGCAGTTCGTCAGTCTCGAATATGAGGTCGTGCAATTTAAAATATATACAAGATCGAAGGGATGTAATGTCGTGTACAGTTCCTAGGTGCCCCGGTGCATGTATGGCTCGATGGTATCTTCAAGTTTACCCTAGTGCAGCATAACGCTACCTTGATTCCAGGGCTAGCCTCTGGGATGTTCTGTGTCAATTCGGGGAGGAGATGCACAATGAAACAAGTTGGACGAATCCTGTATTTGCACAACAATAAAAAAAGGCTTTATAAGAAAACAAACAGCATGACATGATAATAACAGTCCTCTCGGTCCCTGTCTGAGTTGCCAAATAAAACGCAAAGAGAACAAGGGGGAAGGGAAAAGGTGTCTATCACCATAGACATTCCCCTCCGTGAAGGGGGAGAGTGTCATCGACAAATTCAGTATGAGGGTCTGAAGGACTGGCGAACTCTATAGACCTGCAATCCTGCCAAACAACGTTTTCCACCGTAGCGCCAAGGTAACAAATACACATACACTCCCTAGAACGCGACACGAAGATAAGTGGATTATGGGAAATCATTAGGTTTCCGTCACGAAGCAACCCTCCAATGTGAAAAGGAAAAGGAAAGAAAGATAAAGACAGTATGGGTATGCGAAGGCACCGTGTCTGAACACCACGGAATACCGTGGGCTCCTTCTTGCGGTCGAGAAAAAATGGAGGGTGAATCGGAGACGGACCGGGTTCAAAGATCAACTTTGTAGCCCCGGGCTAGCTTCCTGGGTATGCAAAGGCGGTTATAATAGTTTAGTAGGCCTTGCGACCTCCCAGGTTGCCGGGCTTCTCGTCTGTGTCGATGTGCCAGACGACGTAGTTGGGCAGACCGACGACCTTGTAACCGGCGCGCTTGGCCATCTTAGCAAAGCCTTCGGTTTCGGCCTGGTTCTCGAAAGCGTATGAGGGGAAATTGATGCCTAATGAGACTGTTAGAAACGAACACAATCATCCACCTTTCATTGTATACATACCGGATCGGTGAACATCAGCCTTAACCAGGATGTTGACACCACCAATTCCATCGAGCTCAATTTCCTCGTCCTTGTTCTTCCGCCAGTCACCCATGCTGACCAGGTATGTGCGGCCGGTATCGTACTCCTTATATCCCTCAGCCAAAACGGTATCCGGGTCCAGGTTCTTCTTCAAACGCATGGCCTTGTCTGATTCGATCCAAGAGTTATAGTCGACTGCGAAAGGTTAGTAAAGCGAATGAAAGCAGGTGCAAGAGCAAAAATTGACATACAGCGACCCTCGATGTCATGGCCATCCTGGTAGCGATGGAACCAGATATCTAGAAATTACTAGTTAGCACCAAATTGTTGTAGTAAGTGCGTATATAGGTAGCTAGACATACTTGGAACAAGAATGTCCTTGTCATGGGCCATGAAGTCCTCCAGAATACGCTCGGGGCAGTCCCAAATGTCAACGTCACGCCAGTAAACCCATGAGTGATCTGGTTTAAGCGCCGAGTACAACAGGTAGTTACGTGCACGAGCGATGGCCTTTCGGCGAGGACCCTGAGCAGCAAATCCGTGGCGCTCCTCCACACTCATTTCAACATCGGCGCCAAAATCCTTGCGGACAACGGTCGCGCTGCGGAAACGAACTTTTTCGTCGGCGTGGTTCTGGATACGGTCGAGCTCGGATGCGAGAGTAGCCAGTGTGTCATCCTTGGTGTCTCCGACCAAGAAAGCCAGATCGATCAGTTCGTGGGGATATGTCAACTTATATAGAAGGTCGAAGTATTTCGCAAGGTAGGGGGCGGCGTCACGGAGAGGGGTCAGGATAAGCACGCGCTCACGATTAGCAACGGCCTGGCTGGATGAGTAGATTGGGTTCAAATCAACTTCGGCGATAGAGGTGTTGTTGACTTCGTAGGGTTCGTGGTGGTTGAAAAGGACAGGGGTCTGGGCGTGGGCGTTCCACGCGACCATCTCGTTAAGGGACATCTCCATCGGCGACTTGTTTGAGCCATAGCAGTAGAAACTAATTCATACATGGTCAGTACGGGAATATCGATACGGATACCGAGCAAGGAAGCGAAAGCTGCATACTTTTGCATCTCAGAGGCAGATCTGCTGACGCCACGCCACAACAAAATAACCAGGCCAGTCACGGCCACGGAGACCAAAAACCGAGTCCGGGTTAACAGGACAAGGACAGCCCTCCATGGTGGTAGCCGGGCCTGGGTAGCCTTCCAATTAACTCCGCCTTTTGGCATCAACATCGTGTGGGTGGTGAATAGGAGATGGGTGTTGGGTGTGTATTTGAGATTCTGGGCTTTCAGGAGCCGGAACGGCGACGATCCCGGGTCTCGATCGTTGGGTAGGCCCGTCGGAAACCCCTTGCGGACCAAACGAGTGAGGCCTCAGAGGACGCGCACAGGGCCACAGTATTCGGCGAGATGGAGGATTGGATATAGCGTGTTTTGTCGAGGAAGTGGACAGATAGGGAGGAGGAAAATGAGGAGGACGGGATCGTCGGGGGAATTGCCAGGCGGGAGCGGGTAAAATTAGCAGTCGAGACACTTCAGCCTCTCTCCACGCTTCATGAAATATGATCTACATGGCTTTTTTAATCTAAATAGAAGCAGTAATATAGCTGATTGAGGTTGCATTTTAGTTTCTAATGGTTCATTGATCTCTACCGTCCTATTTCACCCATTAAAGATCTGTGATTGTTTTTATATGATTTTTTAATTTTTTTTCACTTATTTTTTTCCCTAAAAACGGCAAACCCATTTTTATGTGACAGTGCGGACCCTGCATTTATTTATAGCAGCAAGAGACCATAATGTCCTCTATCAAGTCATAAATCCATGTAAGAAAATTCAGGAAAATACTATAATACTTTGTTACTATGAATTGTCTTCAAATCTGCAAGCTCCAACCCCTTAATGCTTCAAGCTGAAATCCCTGCTCATTGCGTGGCACTGACGTCCGGGGTCTCGCCCGGGTGTGGCGTTGCCCCTTAGTCGCGCGTCTTACAACAGGGATACCACTACTGTATGATGAAAATTCCCGCGTTGGTGATCAAAGATAATAATTGTAAAGGGTTCATAGACTAGGCCTGTCACAAGATCCACTCGTCTTGAAAACAGACAAGGGTCATCTAAGACATGCGGAGCAAAAACCTGTTGAGCTCCGCATTTTCAGCCATAACTGGGTCTCCTAACGGTCTAACCCTATTATAGGTCATACCTGGGGTCTGGGGTTGTCGTGGTAAGTTTCAATGATATTTTATCTACTAAATCGGTATTTATGTTAGATTTGAGTCAAGTTTGTATATGATCTATTCGACAACTTTGGATCCATTTTGTCGATAAAGGCGGCTCTCAATCTAAGTTTATATTTTGGATTAGATAGTAGAGTCACACAGTGTATCTGCCTTTAATGCAGATTAAGTCAAATTGTCGAGAACCCTCTCTAAAAGCTATTCTAAACTCTGAACTTGACAGTTGCCCTGACACCTTGAGATCCCATCTTCGGCATCGCGATTTGATAGTCGTGTTCGAAAGAGACATCTCTGGCATCGGTCTCATAAAGGGTCATTTCAAATGAGCGAACCAAAGCCGCAATGACCAAACAGAGCTCGGCATTGGAAAGCTCGATCCCCAAGCATTTACGGCTTCCTTTAGTAAACGCCATTTGGAATCGTTTGCGCTCCCGACCACTCTCACCTAGCCAGCGTTCAGGGTCGAAGGTAAATGGATCCGGAAAGACGGATTCTGCGGTATGTGCGCTAAGCGTGGAGATGCTCAATGGCGTACGCGCCGGGATTTTATAGGATTTCTCAGTATTAGGTGTTCCGGTACCAGGAGTATTGGCATAAGATGACGGAGTAAAAATGAGCTCCTCGTATGCACGACGTCCAATACGTGCTGTTACACCAAATGAAAGACGGTTTCCTTCTTCGATGACTGCCATAAGGTAAGGGAGCTTTTCCAGTTGGGTCCATGAGGCGTCAACTGGGACTGTTTCCAGCTGGGTGCGGAGCCTATCCAGAATTGACGGGTTGGCAAGCAAGTGATAGAAAATTATGCTGAGAGATAGGGATGGTGATTCGGTTCCAGCCAGGGCAAGGAGGGCACCTTCTTGCTCCAACCGGGTCAAGGTTCTTTCCTGGGGTGGAAGGGACTCATTTAGCAAGACGGACTCGTAGACAGCTTCTTTTTCTGTCGGATTTCGGTCGCTTTTTCCATCAGTCCCAGATGACTGCACTTTCATGATTCCAGAAATTTCTCCGCGAACTCTGTGCTTTATGTCAGGAAATGATAAGCATATTAAATTTGGATTGATATATGGACACTTATATCAAATAGGTTGAACATATCAATAAGACCTGGTGGCATCAAGGGTCTACTGACAGAGGTTGGAAGTGCCTCAAGGAAGTCCGGGATCCAGGGGAGATGTTTATTGATATGGACCCCCAAAAGGAGCTGTTTGCTGTTATTCCGAGATATGCCTGCCTGTTTTTCGTCTACTAGGCCGTTCGTCTTGTGAGCGAACAAAAAATTGGTTACGACACTGGTTTCGATTCGATTAGCCCGGTTTTGGTAATAGAATAGAGCGCCGCTTACTCGTTAGAAAATGCGAAAAAGAGATCCGATAGATTGATCTGCGACTCTTCTTTGGCATGACTTGCGACGATCTCAGATAGTTGGTTGACCTTTTCTGTAACCAGATGCTGTAGAGATAGAACATTCCGTTTGCTGAAGAATGGTACTAGAGCTTCACGGCGCAACTTGTGGAGTTTGGCATCTGCTGTGGCCCCTACTCCTCCAGGAACTCGCAAGGCCCGCAATGGATACTCGTATTTGTCTCTCAATCCAGTATAGACTGTGTCCAAGAAGCCAACGTCGTTGATGTGAATTTCGTCCGGGGTGATACGGAGTATCGGTCCTAAATGATTGTTAGCTTCGTAGTCTGGCGCCCGCTAGCTTAAGGACAGAAAAGATACCATATTCAAGGTGCAGTTCTTGGATCTTGAAAATATACTTGCCCGGAAGAACGACATCATAGTAGAATTCGTACCACCAGGTCAGAGCGGCCAAGCGGGGACCCGGAATGTGAGATATAGGGTGGAAAAAAAGACGACGGATTGATTCGACTACCACCCAGAGGAGGGCCACGGCAACGCTGGTCGTGAGGACCTGAAGAACCGCCATAAATTCGTGGCGCAAAATATTTTGAACGCGGGCAATGGGTGAAGTGCAGACAATTAGATTCTAGCTGGGATATCTCTAAGGGCGGGGAAAGGTAGTTGGAAATATAAATACCAACCAAGAAGAGAGTTTCATGGAGCCTGCTATCAACTTGAACCTAATCATGATTCCGGTGAGCCGGTCGGGGCCAAGGACGAGCAATACATGGTCGAATGCAGCAGGGAACTGCGAGCCTTGTGAATATGTGTGACTAATCACAACAGAATAATTACTTCCAATAGCTGCTAGGTACAGTAGAGTCCATAATACATACTAGCCGTACTCTAGATCCAGGGCGCGAACCTCCCCTTAACATCGCTTATACCGGGACCTACTAGTACTGGTGGCTACTACTTTTTATACGAATTCTGATCAACAAATATGGCAGCAAACTATGTATCTTTACTCTTCTATTGTCGATATATCGTGTTGACTTTGAAGAGATTCAACACTTTATCGACACGCACCGTTCTCGCATTCGGATCAACTAAACTAAGTAAGCAAAAAATAGGGAACTCTCGATTAATGGGCGATTCTACTCAGTGATAAATGTTTATAAAGATCGTTCAACATATGATTACTTGTTCTGAATATATGATATACATTGCGCCTGTATATTTGGCGGTACTTTTAAAACTTGAATCTGTGGTTCTCGCACCTGGGCAAGACTACTGCCTTCAATCTGCACCCGTACATGATTATAGTTGATTTTGACAATATTTTCGCACTATATTGACCATTTGGTGCTGAATATCATCATATTTATTCAGATTTGTAGGGTACTCCCATACACCTACCCAACTCGCATTTAGGGATACTGCCAGGTGCCAGTGACCCCAGATATCCATGATGTAGATGGCGTTCCTCATTGCTGGATAGCTTTAAGTTCAATCTTAGGAACTCTAAAATCTTCCAAGGTTGGAATTGTGATGAAGTAAGGAATAGGTCCACGAGCTACACAAAAAATACCGACTAATAGTTAGAACTTGAACAAAGAGCTCTGTAGTTTTTGTCCTGTAACCTCTGGCATTATTAGTCTTATGACTCGAATTATAGCTCAGTTGATTATGGCTGTATCACAAAATATTGTGCCGACGAAGCTGTGTTAGGTCCGCTGGCCTGCATAGTGGAATTACGTTCGGTTTTGAATTACTCTACGTGTTCCCCTCCGAAAGGTCGTCGTCGAACCCGGCGCGGCTTTTTTAAAACGCGATTTTTACTTTTTGCTCCTTTATCTTCTGTATTTGATACTTTAGTTTGTACACTGGAATTTTTGATCTTTATCGTGGAGCACTAGATATCTGGTTTTAGCCGCTATGTATCGCCTGTTGATCAGAAACAGGCTTGTCTGCAAGCGAACTCATTTGGCGTCATATCGCCGATTTCTACGGGCATGGGCGCAACTACTTGATTGGCATCTTAGGATAATTTTCAGGGGTTGCAGAGATTTTTGCTGAAATATTTATGTAGTCATTGACAGTCAAAACTATAGACAAAGGAAAAGAACAAAATCAAAACACCCAACCCAGTCATATATATCCATATCGTCACAGCGCCATTGAACATGAACAAAAGAAAGAAACCTTCAAGTTGGAAGAAACAAAATATATCCGCCCATTTTTTATATGTTGAAGAAAAAATAAACAAAAGAACAAACGAAGGGAAGAAGGGATAAAAACACCGAGCAAAGAAAAGGTAAAGCCTCGCGTCTCCCAGAGAGACAAATTCAACTAGTGTTACAATGCAGACACGCTAAAGGGGGCACAATGCAGCGAGAAGGACGGCGGGGAATTCAAAACGCAAAATTATCACCAAGCCACAAAAGTGGCGAAGGGGGAGGTACGACCGCTGTCTGCAAGGGGGAGGAAATTTGGCGCGGGGAAAGAAAGGGGCAAATCATCAACACATCAGGTTCAATGTAGGCATGTATCATCATCGTCAGCTCAATTCTTTATGGCGACGGAATCAAGGATTGCCGGCGAGAAGCCGGAAAGTGGAAAGAGGAAGATTGTGACAGTGTGAAGGCCGGAGAGGAAGGCCCTGTGACAGGTGGAGAGGCTGTGAGATAGGAGGAGCCAAAACTTTGAGATGTGGAGCTATGCAAGCCGTCGCGGTATAAGGGTGTTTCGGGGGCAGTGTTGGTGGCACCAATCTCGTCACAGAAGACGCGGAGGCCTGGAAGCCCCTTCTTTTGGCGCTTGTGTTCGCGAACATCAATTAGAGTGCGCGGGCTAGAGGTCTCGGGCTTGGGAGAACGGAACATTTGCTCGTAGGACTTGAGCTGGAATTCGAGGGCACGGTTGCGGTCAGCCAACATATCATTCTCTGCTTTGGCGGCACGAAGTTGTTGTTGGGTGGCTTGATTCTGCTGCTGGAGTGATGTGACCAGTTGCTGCAGTTGCATGCACCGAACCTGAGGCTGCAGCTTCTCAGACAGCTGGGGAGTCATCTGCTCCTGTCGGATCAAGTGAACGATGATAGCCAGCATGAAGTCGATGAGGTAGACTGCTCCCTGGACGATGTGTTCCTTAGACTGAGGCAAGCTCTTGGATGGGTTCCAGCCAGCGCGCTCGAGGAAGAAGTCATGAATGCGGCTGTCTAGCTCGCGGTGCAACTGGCTGAGGTTCTTGCGACGGTTTCCCTCAGCAATACGGTGCTTCTCACGCTGGTCATCAGGATCAGTCGAGTCGGCGCTACCCTTGCGCTTACGCCCGCAGAGTTGCTGCAGAGGCTGCTTGCGGTTGTTGTTTGTTGGGGCAATCAAGGTCATGATCTCGTTCTGGGAGAGATCGTTGGGCCACTCAGCAGTTGTAGCCTTTTGAGCGGCGAAGGACTCTTGCCAAGAGCTCTCAGCGGAATTGGCCGGCGAAGGAGGAGCCGTGATGTGGTGATCACTACCGGACCATGGAGATTTGAACTGGAAGGTGTCCTGGGCACCTGGGGTGCTGGGAGGGTATGCCTCCTTGACATGGAAGGGATTGAAAGGACCTCGGGGTGCTGGCTCCACACGAGGAAGAGGGGGAAGGCGCCGCTCATCGCCCAGAGCAGAGTCAGTCATGCCGGAGGTGGCAGACTTCAGAGAGCTGAATATGTCGATTAGTATGAGAGATATTCCATAAAGGCTATAGCTTGAGGCACTCACGGAAGCGAACAGCGTCGCGGGATATCGTCAGTCATCATAGAGCCCATTTGTCCATACATCGTGGTATATATCGTAAACTTGAATAGATAAGGCGTGAATAATTGGTATATGTGCAGAACTTGAAGCGAAGGTCGGTGTCGTCGTCGAGTCAATGGCGTAATAATTTATATACTGAAGAACACAAGAAGAACAAGGACACTGGGTTTGTACTTCAAAGCAACACGAGATATTCACACGGGGTTGGAAGATAATGAGGTCGAAGGTGGATAGGCTGCAAAACACAATGGCAACGTTGTATATGCACAATAAACGTGTGGATATACAAAAAGATGGCAGGTATAGACAAAGAAGGCGAAAGGATCGAGATCCACACGAGGCGAAGACAATGAGTGAGACAATTTAATCCCAGGGATACGGGGTTCGAAGCGTGGTTTATATGTAGAAGACAATTGTGAGAGAGGGGGCATTGTAGTACTTTTGGCTCTAGATCGAATCTATCTCACATCGAAACCCTGAAGCCCGGGCCTCGTACCTCCAGACCCAAGGAGGGGGAACCGTCAACGATCAGGGCCGATCCTCAAAAGACCCCAAGCGCGGAACTTTGGGATGTCATACAGACAGATACTGTGCATAGTACATGGCGTCGGCTGTAGACCCACGGTCAGACGGGGAAGCCAGGCTCGCCTCCCGGGTGGGCTCTGGGCCACCCGCAGACCCGCTTGGAGAGAAGCGTCACAAAATGATCGAGGAGAGAACGAAGACGTCGATTATCTGTCACATCATGCACGGACAAAGCTCATGTAATAATTTATGAGATTGGCGAATCAGTGGAACACGATCGTGCCCCGAGAGAAAGGTTCATGGCGAGGATCCATGGCCCTTGATTTGTCACCGGCCTGGTGGTATCGCGATCGACACGGGGAAGGCTTTTAGTGGCAGTGCGGCGTTGCCCTTACATCAATAGTAATCAATTAATGGCATTAATGACACTATCTGGAGGTTTCCCCGTGCATAGTTAGCCTGGAAACGGTTTAACTCTCTTGGTTTCAAAAAATAATCCTCCGGCTTGTCCATGTGGGATGTGATTGTTTACAGAGCAGCCAGGGGAAGATCTCTAGTAGCTTTTGCTTCTAAATGCGGCGAAAAATAAACCAATGCATGGTCAATGCATGGTCACATAAGTGTGAAGTTAATTCTCCTCTCCAAAAAATTAATAGAATAAAAAATATTAAGAAAATACAGAAAATGCAGAAAATGCAGAAAAAGAAGAGATTTCCCAATCGAGTCCGGGGATCTTTTACTTGCATATTCTAGATCTGATTTTGTACATAAACCCCCACTTCACTTTGGATGAATCATGAAACAACCATTGTAACATGCTGGATGTGAAATTCCTCGAGGTTTCCTGCATCGATATTCAGGAGAACCTACCGTGGGCGTGCCAGGCACATCAAGGGGCAATTCCATTCCCCAGATCGAACCCCTGGGGAGATCAAATCTAGAAAGTCCTATTAGGTAAAGTCAATTTCAACTAAATCGAATCAAGCAAGGATAATAGAAAGTCCAATGGTGTGACATGCGAGGAGGCCTACAATGGAATTAAGGGTAAATCATAAACTATCATTCTCGCCTATACGGGCTACTGCTTAGTGTTACGGTCTTGATATACTACGTAGCCGAGATTAAATAGATCAGGGAGTCAAACTGCGTCAGGATCTAGATCATCACAGAGCATGAGTATTATTGTAGGTAAATTAGGGGTCGAATTGCTAGGGCAAACGAATCACAAGTGTAGGGTCCCAAGATCAACCCCAAAATGAAGAGATCGCTCGAGGAAAACCACTGATTTGGGTCAACCAAGTCCCAGCGACCAGGAAGCATTGCCTGTCAGTCGTCGAATAGGAGGCACGGATTTGATTTGGAATTCGAGAAATGAACACACAGACGTTGGCGTCGTTAGTTCTACAACGAGTCAGAGCGCAAAACAATGCCCTGATGGGGTCAACCCTAATAGTTGCACGTTCCTTTATGATCTCTTGAGAATCATTAACATTTACGGAAATATATGACCTTTTCGATTTTATCCCGTGCTGCTGGGTTCGCTAAATCACTAATGTGGGTCTACTCAATGGCCGGGGCCTGTTAGTTTATTAGAGCTGTCATATTTCCGGTCCCGCCTCAGCCCAGGCTCCATTTAGGGGACGCCCTAAGTCCCCACGTTCTCGAGCACTGGCAAATTTGATCTGCTGGAAAAAGGATTGGGTAATTAAAGATCTCTTAATTACAGGGTGGAATATTCCATGGAAGAATAGGGGATCAACGCACATATAGGAAACAGTGGTTGTTTCAAACCCCAGAAATTTAGATTGGGTAAATGCTTCGTCCCTTCCATCTCCATCCCCTTTCCCCTCAAATTCAACAACATTAGACCTTGACCCATCCTTTGGAACCAATACTCAATACTTACATACCACCGGAACCTGGATGAGGGTCCCGCGGCTGCGCCTAGCACGACTGTGCAGACGGCACGCAGCAGCGGCTGCATGTTGACTGGATGAGAATGACTTCCAGGCACGAACCATTTGAGATCAGACAAACTCTGCTGCTCCGAAACTTCCTCCAGCTCATTCAATCCACGGATCGTCGGAACTTTGCCTCTCCCTACTTGCCATTTTGAGTGACTTGCAGACGTACTTTGTTCACAAAGTGTACTCCGGATAAGCCGACACAGGCATAGACTGCCTATCGGTTGGTCAGTTTTGAGTTCAAAGATCAGAGGTCAAGACTTGGAACCTGGTTTCCGGATCTGGGATCTCGTTCGTGCCTCCCCTGTTTCTGATCTCAGGAACAGATAGATGAGTCGTTTGTCCGTAAAATCAGCATCCTGGTCGATGCGATTTGTGTGGCTGAAGGCGTCAGTTTCCAAGAATATCTACATTACACAGCATTGAACGGGTTCATCCGCTGCGGCTCCAGGTGCAAGGACTAGCCCTGTTCTACGTTTTCGCCTCCACACTTCTCTCTACGAATCATAGCTCAATAACCTCTCTCAGCTACCCTCCTCACGCCAAGTTATTCCCAATAGTATCCAGTAGTGACTCGGCTGAGACCCGCCCGTGACCTGTCAAGTTTCAACCGTCGGAAGATGACATGGCGGGGCATTGTACCTAATATAACGAGAGGCAAATACTCGAATGAGTAACTTCAAGATGCAGGACAATGCAATTCATTGTTTTCAATCTGAAAGCTTCCCTTTCCTCTGGGCAAACCCTGCTCCTACATTTGATCTCCACTCAGGACTGGGGCTAGATCGCCAAGGAGCGTTCAAAAGTACCGGTTCATGCATCTCACCACGCTGCTGCAAGATCAATTCCCTTTTTCACCTCGGATCCGCCACTGTAAACGGATTGCTACAGCAAGCTACTGTACCATAATCCACCAGGACAATTTTTCCAGCTGCATAGTCTCTGGTGTGGAGGCGATAACTATTACGTGTATTTCGATCGGTTTCTTCAGTCTGAGATCGATGTACTTGTGCATTCGTTTCCCCTCTCCGGGATTTGCTCTTTGCCCACTTATTGGATCTATTGCACCCCAGGATACCACGTACTCGGCAATCCGTACATACGTGTTGATTATCCCGCTGCGGAGTTCATAGAGTCTCGTAGAGAGGGGAAGCCAGATCCGCCTCCTCATCCCAGCGAAGTGGCAACCACGTATTCCACTCTCGTCCTAATCCAATAATGGACCAAACTGCATGAGCCATAAAAAGAGAGCGGTACTTTTTTCCTTGCTCAGTTTAATTATTGAACCATCATGGAAAGATGAAATCATTCGTCATTCTTAGACTCAAAACTATTGCATCTCCGAAGGATAATACAAATTCTAACAAGCCACTATCAACATCGTTTAAGATTGATGATGTGCACAAATAATTGTAGTCCGTACATATTATCGATTGGAGCAATCGCAGCAAGGGTAAAGAGATCATATTTTGAGCATCACAGCCAGAGTGGATCATCATGATTCAACTTTATGACATATTCTAGGTTTCTTGAACCAAAGTACTGGAAATGAGCTTCCGAGAAAAGAAATATCACTACCGTTGCACAGACTATAGGGAGCCCATCCGGGGCATGCAAATGACTTTTCTGAGTCGACAAAAAAACACAATTTATTCCCCGAGTGGCCACTATTAGCCTCGGGGAACTGCAAGGACCACAGGTACCATACAGATCTAGTAGCGCGCCGCGACGCATAATCAGTCTCTACTCTAGGCTCTCTGCTTGGAACCTTGGAACTCAAATTTGCCGCATCTGATACATCTCTCATTTTGCCCTTCCCTGAGAGACTCTCTCCTAGACCGTGCATGGTGCTTCAATCCTACTTTACTTGGTAGTGAATGAAGGTTTTTGATTTTCTATCTACTGCACGTCGCGATCGATTCATATACGCTCAGGGACTCGAGATTCCCGATTTCCAGGATATCAAGTTGCCTCCAATGCAAGGCGGACGTATCTCCTATGGGTCGACTTGCGTCTTCATTCAGGTACCCTTTCCACGATATGCAAATAGACCCCCTTTGTAGGCTGTACTTACAGATCGTAAGAGGCACGAATAATGCACGAAAGGCGTGGGAGCTCATTGCCACCAATTCCTCATAACATGCATACTTCCTCCACGAGAGAGGAGCCTTCATCGTCCTTTTCGTCAACCCACATGTGGCTTCTCTCGTACCTCGTACTTTATATGCCAGCTCACAGACTACTGCGAGAAAAACTTTGCCCCAAATCCTTGACCCATAGATGTCGTGGTCTTACTCTTACCCACCGTATGGCCCATCTAGATCCCCAAACCCCGCTGTTCGTCCACCACCCGATCAGATCCCGATTCACTTTCCCTTAATATGAACAAACACTGAAGAAGTGTTGAGTTTCTATTTATTCTCCCCTAACTGAGTATCGATTCGGCCCTATTCGGCTTCGCAGAACTAAGTTAAATCCAGAAAGTCTATTTCCTCTCCGCGGGCCAAAAACAAGAAGGCTGGAGGTAAATCCCTTCTCTAAAAGGCCCCATAAATCCCACCAGAAAGGTAACGTCAATGGCCCTAAATTCGGCTCAATCATCCAAGCAATCAGATACTCTAATCTCCTCTGGAAAATACATGATGACCTCGTCAACCACACGGGAAGGGTTCCATTCATGTGGACAGATCGCGCCTAGAAAAACCCAAATCCGCCGGGGAACAATAAAAAAAACACCCGACCTGTCACTCCTCCTCTCTGGTACCTACATGAAAATGAACCCTTTTCGTTGTGCAGCCACGGTCTTAAGCCACGTACGTGGGTATGGATGATGGCAAAATGAGTAGAATCAGTACTTATTTTGGTGAAGTGGGATTCATGCTTTCTGCGCTCTCATGCACACTACGCATGTTAGCGGGCGAAATGAATCCCGCTGCTCCACAGGTCGAGCAAGTGTGTTTTTGTTCCTTGATTTTACCCTGAGTTTCTACTAAGCATGCAAGATAAGATGACATCCCGATCAAACACCCTCTACTTTGGTCATGAACTTGTATCAAGATTCACAATCGGAATGTTAAGTCATAAGTTTTCTTCCATTTTTCTCTTTCTCCCCAGCCACCAAAACTCACCCTTAGTGTAGATCACTACGGGGCATCACCTAACCGAACCCAATCAAAACGGTCGATTCCCATGAAATTTCACTACTGGATCTTGGATTAAATTGTCTTTTGTTGTAGATCAACGAATTAAATAGCTTAATCCTCATTTCCGTGTGTAAATATCTCGTCAGGTCAATCTATTGTCTTTAAAAAAGTTCGAGCATTTCCCGTTGTTCCTCGGTATCCCGCCCAAACCACCCGCCCTAGCTCGATCAACGACCCCCATCTGAGCCTCGAATCGGATGACGGGAACAATGATCCTAGGTCCCAGCGCAGTGGATTCGACACATCCACTTTATGGTTCGTTTTGCTGCATGACACCGAAACTTGAGACGCACATGGACGTAAACGAGACACTGGTGAGGAGGGGTCCAGAAAGCGGAGAATATACGTCTCGTTTTCTCTTCTTTCTTTTTCTTCACTCCTCTTTTCTTTCTTTTTCCCGTTTTTTAAATGGCCATCGATGATGATGATCGTGATTACGGGCTTAGGGTAGCCCCTCCTCGATCCCCTCTTCCCCATCTCTTTAGCGTCGCAACTTGATGGAGCTCCTAATGCTTTAACGGTCCCCAATGATCCTATGATCGCAATCGTATGCCTTTGTATGGATGGGAGAAAATTCCTGAGTTTGTTGAGGGCCCGTTTCGTCTTTTCGTCTTCGTAGCGAGTTACTTAGTTAACGTATTTTCGGGTGGTCGAGTTCTGACTCCAACTTTTTCACTCTACTTTCATTTTTGGGGGTTTCCCGCGGATGCATGATGCATGATGATGCACAAGAGATCACTTTTAGCTTGAAATTGATTTTCTTGGATTAGCTGTGCGTAGGTTGGGAAGGTAGTATGGGATCTGGATCTGCGATCGTGATCGGGATCCATTGGAGTGGTTCCCCGGTGAGGTGTGGTTCTTCACCTTTTTTTTACTTCTTTCGCTTAGAATCTTGCGTCAAATTTTGCTTCTAGGCTCGGGGCTTTTTCTCATTTTGAAACAAGGTGCATATCTCGGTTTTTGACTGCTCAATGCTTCGAGTGTTGGTTGTCTAGTCTGGCTTGGTTCCTTGTTTTCGGCTCGGAATACATTTCCATCAGATCGATGATTTCACTAAACTTCAAATTCTTAGAAGTTGACCGGATTACAGTTCCCTCGCAGTTGATAGGTTCATAATCACGAGATTTTCCAAGTTGGACCTGATTTCTTGTCTTTCATTGATATTCAATCATGCACATGCGATCCCAACTTCAAGCTGAAGGCTGCGCAAAGGCCCTGATTGAATACCTATGGCCTTGATGATATACAAGTAGTAAACATATCTTTTGTTGATATAAATCCAGTAATGATCTAAAGTTACTAACTAGGTAGGCTTTTTAGTCGAATGGGATTATCCAACATCTTTGTACGTACATACATTATAATGAGTTAAGTGTTTTTTTAAAATAAAAATTTGGAAAATTTAGAAAAAGAATCTGCCATACTTCAACCTCCATGTGTAGTTTATCACTATGTCACACAATTCACGGGTGCTACTATCTTAAATTCGTCCATAAACCGTAAACATCTAAAGCATCGTTGCCAGTCTCTACGCTTAAAACAACAGTCTACAGTAAAAAGTCTCCGCCTCGAATAAGTCTTCTCCCATCATGATGCTGTTTATGGAAAGAAATACGGAATGTCAATTCATCCGTATTATGGGCATAAACATGGGGGCTATTTGATCCTGGGCCCTTCAAATGCTTCAAAATACATAGGTAGCTGTCCGAATTATTGTCCTACGGCACGGCTAGTGAAGACCCTAAACCATTTTCCCATCCGACCCCACATCATCTCAACTTCCAAGGTTCCAGGTTTTATCTTCTGATTCCTAGCAACTCACGGAAAATGGTTTCTTTCACTTACCAGAGTCTGTCGAGGAAGCCCAATGATAGTATCACTCGCATGGTCCGTCTTTTGCCAAACAAAAACAAATATACTCCTATCGAATGCGATATATTCGACTTTGATTTATCGAAGGAGGTCGAGCTCATACCTATGAGGCACTTTCCTATTGTTGGAGAAGTAGGGCCAAGCCCGAAGAAATGGCATTGGGTGAATGTTCATTTAATTTTACGAAGAACCTTCACGCTGCTCTAATCTACCTCCGAGACAATCAGCTTGAAAGAACGCTATGGATTGATGCGATATGTATCAATCAATCTGATATGAGCGAGAAGGTTAAGCAGATCTCGCTTCCGAGGTCATGCGGGCGATACATGCTCAAGCTACTCAGGTAAATGTTTAGCTTGGGGAAAATAGCCAAGAAGGAGAGAAAGCCCTTGTGGGGATTTATTCCTTAGCTGAACCAGAGAAAGATCAAAGACATACAGAAGGATCTATTACAGAATACCGTGATGCTTGTCTTAAGCTGCTACAGCGAGATTAGTTTCATCGGATCTGGGTAAGAAAACATTCTACCACGTAACGGTCGATTATATAAAATACTAATCACAGAATACAGGTACTTCGAGAAGTCGGCGTTGCACGATCTGTCTGGGTCATATGTGACTCTGTTCAAATAAGCGGACAAGCTCTCTGTGAAGGTTTTGGTAAATCGAAACTTCCACTGAACTTTTTAACCAGAATCGGCTCTGTGGCATATCTCATCAATGTTACTCCATTCCGGCCCAAATACAAAACTGATTCAGCTGGCTCCCTATCTATAGGAGAATTAATCGGTTTATATTGCAATCGCCAGGCTACAGAACAATATGATAAGATATACGCATTGCTCGGTCTTAGCACCGATCCAAGAGCGCCATCCCTGCAACCAAACTATGAAACCCCATGGCATGATATTTTGAAGAATGTCGCCAGGTATAACTTCCCAGAAAGCTCTATAAATACGTGGAATGGCATAGAATCTGCTATCATTGAAGGCAAAGGATGGATACTGGGCAATGTCCGCAATGTCACAAATGATAAAGAGAGATATGGGCATCAAATAATTACAATTGATTTCAGTGAAACGGCCAAGACAGTGCAATATGATGAGAAATGGGAGTCTGTATGGGTTCTTCGAGCTTGTGCGGAGTTGATTCAAGATGGTCATATCATCTGCCTAATGCAGGGGCAGTCTCAACCAAGCATTGTCCGATTGTGCCATGATCACTTCGCAGTAAGTGAACCTGCCGTGACGCCCAAGAAAAGCAATTGTATCCTGTCCTCGGAAGAGAACGACACAGCTGACCCGCAAGATATTCTTCTACGATGGAAAATACCCACCTCCGAAGTGAGGACAGAGCTGGAGGACTCATTGTGTCTAATACAGATGACACCCGATTTTCAAGAATCGGATGCCAAAACACAGTCAAGACTGAACTAAATAGCGTCGATCATGGCAGATATATTTAGGCAGGTGCAGGAGTCAAACCGTTCAGGAAAATTTGCCTAAAAGCAAGGCAATAGAGCGCATCGCTGAGCAAAGTGGAAAATATGTCTCAAACATTGAAATGCTCATGGCACTAGCCAGTTATAGCGAGCCTCACGGAATTACTGCTATGAAAACCATCTTCCAACGACGAGGAGATGGAATCGAAATTCCCGAAGAAGTCGACCAAGCAGCAGTCAGGAATAAGTCTCAAGCATTCAGAGTTATGGACTTGCTTTTGGAGTATGGTGGGCAAAAGATTCCAATTTCCGAGGAAATCCTCGAGGCGGCAATTAATCATTATTTACATACTAATTCCCTTCACGTGATATTGATGCTTTTACTTAAGCGGGGGAAAAGCCTGCCAATATCCGAAAGGGTGGTCGTGGTATCAACGATGCATAACAGGATTTGGTGGATTCGGATTTTGGATATCCTCCTGCAAGTCTTTGGGGAGACTCTCCCAATCTCTGAAATAGTGAACCTTACATCTATTGAACCCCTTGGCACTAAGATAAAAGTGTCAAGGAGCTCATATCTTTCCATAAAGCGCATGTTCCGGGTGAAAAAAAACTGGAAGGTCTGGGAATTGAGACATCCACTGGCGGAAAATTGGATACTAGAAATGTTTTTTCCAAACCCCTGAGTTGAGTCTCTCGATGCCAAAGATTTGACGTCACGGGTACCTTCACATTATACTAGAATATGTTGCCACATTCAAATTTTCATTTAATCAAGAGTACTACTTCGTACTTAACCCCAATAGATCCACCCTGTGCGCATGGAACGTGGACAGAGAATACTTCGTGGTATATACCCAAATATGCAACATGTTAATAATTTAAAGTATTCGCAGGTAAACCTTGGAAAGATGCGAGTCGGTATCTCACCTGTAAAAGGACAGGCGAGATAGTGTATTGCATGAAAAACAGGCAATAGACAAATATAAGAGTAGAAATAAGTACACTGGATGAAGAGGAAACCAGATTGAACATGCGAAGGGCCATACATCTCTGATGATGACCTAGGAGACAAATACGAAGGGTGTGGCATCTATGTTTACTGTTTTACAGGGATGCAGCAAGGGAGTTATGGTCTAAGAAATGCAGCCGAATACATTAGAACACAAATTGTGTTCCACTAAACCGAGCAAAAAAAAACGAGCACAGGGCAGGGGGTAATAAAATGTAAACTCCTTTCCGATGAAACGGGGACAGGGGGGGGGGGGTGTCTTTCGAGGACAGAATCCATATTGCGAATTTTCCTCACAAAGACAGAATTATTATCATAAGAACAGCAATACAAGTTGAAAAAACCGTTGCTTGGGAACTTTGCATCTACAATCTTTCCAAAAACATTCCTTCCTCCTCACAAGATAGCCTTAGCTTAGACGAGCTGAGCAAGAGCGTAGAAGACAGCGGCGATACCAGCGACAGGGGCGGCAAGACCGTTGGCCATAGCGGCGGAAGAGCTGGTGGAATCGGAGCTGCCGCCAGAGCTGCTGGAGCCGCTCTCAGTGCCAGACTTGCCGTTGGAGGTGGTGGGGTTGGTGTCGTTGGTCTTGCAAGTCCAGGATCCACGGACATCGCTCTTGTACTCAGACTTGAGGTCGCTGCAAGAGAAGGTACCGTTGGAGGACTCGACGTTGAAAGCACCATCGACACGGGTCAGGGAGCCGAACTTGAGCCTAGAGACAATTCATGTTAGCATGCTAGTCTATCTTTTCGGGAAGGGTGCATCTCCGCCGTGAGAATACTTACATGTAGAAGTTACCAGTGAGGTCAATGGCACCGGAAACAGTGGAGAGCTTGGGCAAGTCGATCTCCTGCAGCTTGTCGTTGCGGCTGATGGAGATACCACCGTCGACGGTCTTGAGAGCGGGCAGAGAGACGTTGGTGAGCTTGGTGTTGCCAGTGAAGACAACGTCACCAGTCTCAGTCAGGTCAGGGGCGTACAGAACATCGAAGTCGGTGTTCCAGAAACCAAGCTGACCAGTGAGGGTCTTGAGCTTGGGGATGTTGATGCTGCTGATGTTGCGGAAGGTCATGGAGGTACCGTTGGTCAGGTTGGGCAGGTCAATCTCAAGGCTGTCGTAGTTACCCTGGAAGTTGATCTGGCCGGTGGCATACTCGAGGTTGCTGATGTTGCAGGACTTCAGGTAAGAGTTCTCGGTGATGTCGAGCTGGCCGACCTTCTTCAGGGTGATACCGTCCAGGGAGGTCAGGTGGGTGTCGATGATGTTGACATCGCCGACATCGGTGATACCGGTAGTGAAATCCAGAGAGTTAACACCGGGAAGAACCTCCCAGTCGATGGCACCAACGGAGCTCAGCTTGGCGAAGGAGAGGGTGGTGAGGGTAGTCAGGCGCTTCAGGGTGAAGTTACCAGTGATGGTCTCCAGGGAAGCAGCAGTGATTCCAGTGACGTTGGCACCGCCGACACAGGTCAGAGTACCGTCAATCTTCTCGATGCTGCCGAGGTCCAGGCTGCCGGAGTAGGACTCCTTGATGGTGATATCACCGTCAATGCTGGTGCAGCTGGAGATGCCGCTGGCATCCGTCTGGGTCTCGATGGTGGTGTCACCGCCTATGTCAAGATTCAGTCAGCATTGGTAACCAAGACCCATGTTTTCTATCTCTTTTTGTTCATTTTGCGATTTGCTTATTTTCCTCCAGGACGCGAAATCAAGGTGTACTCACAGTCGCTGCTGGCGAAAGCAAGCTGGGACGCAGCCAGAGCAGGCAGAATGTACTTGATGAAAACCATGATGATGATTACTCTGTGGACGCGACCGTGTTAGATAATTGCGCTCGCTGTTCGGATAATGAATTCAGGGGAATTCAGAATCTCAAAGAGAATGAAGAACGTACCAGAAAGGATGCAAATTAATAAAACAGGTGAAGAACGAGTGGAAGAAAAAGGCCTCGGAACGAACGAGAGGCAATGGGGGAGAGAGACTTCACAGAGAGAAAGAACGAGTGGACAGGTTTGAGAGAGAGGGGAAAGAGAAGAAGAATAAGAAGTTTGGGGAGGAGAAGGAAAGGAGGCGTCTTGAGTGGAGACCGTGTGTACGGCCACATACAGAGTATAAATACGGGTACCGCAAAACAAGATACCCAAGGGGGAGCGTACAACACAATACCGCATCCGGCTTTTTCCATGCAGTCAAAATCCCCCAAAAGCCGGATTTCGCCGTTTTGGGCGGGTTTTCGCTGTTTTAGTGCTGCTTTCGTCACACATCGTCAACTTGCCATTTGTCCATGCATGGCCCCCTTTCTCCATCCAGTGGATCCCACACTAATCGGCTGCTGGATTTTGGGTCATCGTTCTGCAAGCACTATCTAGGGATAGGAGATGCGAGATAATGAGTCTTATTCTACATACTAGTACCCGGAACTATGAACTATGTACTGGATCTAGCCGTCGAACCCCATGACTGACAATCTTGGAATGTTGTTGTGTGAACTTCTAGAACTATGCCAGCATTGGGTGGCCAGGACTTGCGTTCGTGCAGGAAATTGCCACTCTGCATTAAATAGTTGTACAACCTAACCTGCCTATTGTGCTGGTGTATGTACCTTTTCGGAGCTAGCCTCTGTTCATGTAGCAGCAATTACTATATACGTATACTTATTCGTATACTCTTGAATACCTGCGATAATGAAGGCAAAATGTGATGCTTATGTATAGGTAGTATCTAGCTACATAAGCATAGCATTATAAGATTAATAAACCCCAACCGAGATTGAGCTTTGAAGTCAATGCTAGCTGTTGTGTAAATAGATTAATTAAATACTGCCTTTAATTTACTGCAATTTTACCTCGATTCTCTAAGAGGCTAAGTTTCATGGCCCCATAAGCCGTATCTATCAAAAGTTGTCGTCATCTCTGTACTCAAGCTCGAAAATTCCCCTGATCAACATTGAATTGACCAGACTGAATCGATTTATGGCTATCATTGGCAATTCTACACTCTGATCTGATCTATTGTAATCCCAATTTTTCTTCCTCACTTTCATAGCTCCGCCTATGGAGCTTACCTGCTCAATCATGATAATGATCTTGCGCTTGGATGGTCGATCTAAATTTCAAAAATAAAAAACAAAGAAGAAAAAAAGAAGAAAAGTCAAGCATCAACGGACCCGCTGCTCACCCCCCCCTGCCGCTATCATCCATGGCCCCGGCATGTGCGAGTCTCTGATTGGCACGCTGGAATGATTTACCCTCGATTAATGTTAATCCTCGTTGCGGTCCGAAATATGAATTTCTATCTGAAGCAAAAGGTACATATCCGAGTTGACATGCAAATCGTATGTGGTTTTGTATCATGGAGAAAACAACCAGCCGACACATTAATTTGATTTTCCCTGACGCACAACAATCAATCTCCCTAGCAACACAAGGAGTTCGTCTTACTCTGTACAGATTGCAGATGTCTCTATACCGTGGCAAAAAAGGACATTAGGATCGCTGTGTTACGGGAAGACTAATAGCCAAGAAGGATCTTTCCATTTGACTGATTGAGACCCTGCATTGTAATAGCCAACCAGGGCTGGTTGTCCCGGTCGCAGATATGATACATTCATCGGCACACATGTGCATGTGCGCTGGAGAAACAACATGATTGTTTCGTTTCATCGTGGAGACTGAAGTCCAATGTGTTTTTTGTTTTGGATACGTACACCAAATAAGAGATGAAGAAAAACGAATCAATCTGTTTACGACTATTGATTGAGTCCAGGTCCACTCCATTCCCCTTTCATTGAATACTGTACAGTAGTTGCGACGATCGCCCGCCCAGACTCAAGCTCCCAAGGCTCGTGATCTGCATCGTAGGTATGGAGCTCATGAAAGTCGTCTCCCAGCCCAATTGAGCTGGAAGAACCATCGTGATATTATTTATGGAGCCCTGTCTCTCTAAAAGACCCTGCCAAGCATGTCATCAGCCATAGACCACTTGGCGTGATATCAAAATGGGAGCCTATGAAGTTAATCAAGCAGGATGGTCACATCGCGCATTTCCAATAATACGCACAATACATCGGTATTTTTCCAGTATGGCCCGGCCTGTCATTACACGTAACGGGTGTTTCAGATCGCTGGACGGAGCCAACTTCCTCCGCTTGGAGGCGCCATCGCTCCACTCTGACAACCATGAAAAAGGATCCGCTAATATCGCTAGAACTTCGGTTCTGATATCGACTTGAAGAGTTTTTACTTGACAGAATTAACCCCGGTCGCATTGGCACGGCGAAAATTACCAAGAACGCCAATCAGATCGAGCTATTTGTTGTTCATTACCTGATTCGGGACTGGGAACCTCCCAGCACCAACAACAACTCAACTCAGTCCGGGGGACAAAAGTCCTGCTTTCTCAAAAACCTAACGCCACAAATATGGGTACCGCGCGGCCCTAACGACAAGACTAGTCTTTCTTTGTGATCCAGCTCTGGCTGTTTAAACTATCGTCGGCTATCATGCGCATTTCGCCTCGCATTCCACCCTGCAACCTGACAGATCGGTTTCTATTTTCCGTCGTCAGGAATGGCAGTCTGGCACTTGCGCGGATCATTTCATCTACCGTGCGGAGTGGTGAGAACGTAAATAAGGGGGAGGCTGGGATACATTCTCAACACGCGACCGAATGAAACAAGCCCAACAGACATACTAGAATTGAGCATATTCCTCTGAGGTTGGGCAAGTTCCGAATACTGTAGAAAACTATACCGGTTTTAGCTAGAATGAGTTATTGATCATGTAGACTACACACCGTTGGACGTTAACTTAGTTTTCATTCGGTCGCACCGACAGTTTTGCATCTTGGTTCGAACTTGGATAAGGAGTACACGACACCCGTTGGAGATCTCCCTAGCCTGATTCTGAACCGACACCTCTGGTTGGCGGATCAGTTTTTACAAAAACGTGGACCATTGAATTTGAAACCCACTTTCATGCTGGTTATTTTTTTTTTCTTGGTTCCTTGGACTTTTTTTTTGATACTGGTGAAAGTTTCAAGTGCCAAGTTCATTTGGTATCCGTTGGCTGCTGACGCAAGCCCATGTGCACTAGCCGGAACCTGGCCTTTGTTGTCCAGGCGGCCTGTACGCTAAGACATCACTGATGGCTAGCCGGGTCCTTTTGGTCCTTTGTTGGCATTATAAACTGCCCCCAATGTTACCTAGGTCACTATACGTACCATCTTTTCACTCCCGGGTAGGGCTTTCCTATTTTAGCTACCGCCGCTTTTATGAGGGCGCTCAGAGTCAGGCTCCCTGAGTAAATCTCAGTCCGGGCTGAGGCTCAGTGAGCGACTTAGCTTCATCACGTGACACAGCAGTGCGGTCCAATAAGCACTCACTGAGCACTCACTGAGTGCTCAGTGAGTGTGGTTGGCTGCTCACCGTTCTGTCAATGATTACTCAGAGATCGATTAAAGGCATCTAACGTAATCGGTAAGCGAGCGGCGCAGATAACGCGAAAACGCGTTGATTAATTATTCTTCTATCTTCAACCACCCAACATGCCACCAATTCGCACGCAATCCTCTCGAAATTCGATCAAACAAGAGGGTAGAATAGTACTAGCTATCCAGGCTATCAAAAATATAGAAATCACTACTATTCGCGAAGCTGTACGTTGTTTTGGTATACCAGAAACCTCATTACGCCGACGCTTGAAAGGCCACACAAACCGTGCTGAAACACGCGCAAATTCACACAAATTGACTGAAATTAAAGAAGACTTGCTTCAAAAATGGATTATCTCTTTAGATATATGTGGAGCTGCCCTAAGGCCCTTAATTGTATGTGAAACTGCAAATCTTCTTCTTACGGCTTATGGAACTATACCACCCTTGATTGTTGGTAAAAAATAGGTCTATAATTATATGAAAAGACACCCTGAACTCGCTACTTGGTTCTTAAGACGTTATAATTATAAACATGCGAAAAATGAAGACCCAAAATCATTTATGAATGGTTTAATCTTGTTTAAAAAACTATTCTCGAAAACGGAATTGATTTAGACAATATCTATAACTTTGATGAGACTAGTTTTGTGATAGGGTTAATTACAATTGTAAAAATCATTATAAGATTAGAATACTACAGTCGGAGATTACTTTTATAATCTAGAAATTATAAGTGGGTAACTACTATCAAGTATATAGACACATTAGGGTAGGCTCTTCCTCTAGTAATTATTTTTAAAGGTAAAGTCTTTATTGAACCCCCATATTGGGGGTTCAAAGGGGGTTCAAAGGGGGCTCAGCTCGGGAAATAAACCCCTATTTCAGACATAGTGGCTTGGCAGAATAGTGAAAAGATGCATGAAATTAGTAAGATGCATAGCACAAATCGTGTCTACGGGAAAGAATGGATGTTGTGCGTAGGCAGGAATCCGGAAGAAATGTTTTGCCGATTCCGTGCCTACGGACACTAAAATTGTGCCTACGAACAACTGTAACCCGGAGTATGAGGTGATGCTCAGTGAGCAGACCAGTGTGCTTATGTAATGCTCACTCATCAGGGCGCTCAGAGGCGTGCTCAGTTTTACCCAGTGAGCAAAAAGCGGCAAGGACTGAGCACTAATCCGGAAGTGAAAAGTCAAGAGTTGGGAGTGGAAATCCGGTACGTAGGTAGGTTTGATTATACAATAATATTGTGAGACGTTAATTGGTACCCGGTTCATGAGTGTGCCTGTTCATAGTTAAAAAACCTTGGATTTGGTTCGAAATCATGCGTTCTTGAAAGGATTTCCTTGGAACATATGCGGAGCGGAGTAGATTCGGTCCAATCGTATGACTTGATCGCATACACTTTTACATGGCTGGCCATGGATTGAAAAATACCACGTCGCTTTTCGCCAATGAGCACACTGTATCTTTTGTTGAAAGTCTGTTATATTTAGACCGAATGATAACGGTCGCTTGGTGTTGAGGCTGATTGGGTCGTGGTCAACCCGTCATGTCGCTCGGGCTTGAGCCATCAAATAAATGTCTTTCATTCAATGGAAAATACACTCTCTTTTGACTTCACATAAGCCACTGGACTTATTCGATTTCTCAATATGTACAATTTAGTCTAAAAACTAGCGATTGATTGGCAATTGATATAGAATCCTTCTTGCAAGTCTGGAGCAGCTGCTTCAAGATTTAGTCATCGGCTTAATTCTTGAGCATAGTGCCTTACGCACCTCGCTGTTTCTCATCATAATATTTTGTGTTATCATAAACCTTGAATCCCTTTGCGAATAAGCAATCAAATCTGTCAAAATAATTTCAGAGACCACAAGTATAGGTGATACGGTATATCCCCTTTGCTCAACACACATCAACTCTAAAAAAGATCAGAGCCCTCATGAGTCAAAAAATAATATGCTTTCATCTGAGTTAAAAGACATTTGACAGGCGATAAATAAGGTGAGTGTTGTATCTTCATAATCCAAAATAAAGTTATGTTCGTAGGCTATAACTAATCCTAAACCACCCCGCGATATACGCTTAATAGTAGATGAAGCATCTCATTATTTATCTAAAGTAGAGTTCCGAGATAGAAGACAGGATAAAGTTTTTGAGAAGATCATGATTGTGTCTTATCTTTCGTTAAGCGTGTAATACTTTACCTCAAAGCGAATAGCATCTACATTTACCTTGAAAGAAGATAGTGATGTATGATCAGCATTTATTAAATTTAAATTTTCTGTTGGGAAACCGACTTCGTCGTTTAACCCCGGAACTCTCTTTCTTCATGGCCAGTCGCCCTCCACTTATAACGCCAATCGAAGGCTCGATCAAGCTTTGGATGTGGTGTAAGTTTTGCATTCCATCAAGTCCACACTGTTCATACAATATACGACGCATGCACTTTCCCGCTCCTCTTCCTTCCGCGTCCAGCAAATCACCTCTGCCAATGATATGAAATCACAGCCAAAGTAAGCCTAGTTGCTCAGGCTGGACGGATACTAGCGGGAACAAGGATGTGGGCCTGTCCCTCAACCCTGTGATTGGGCTATTTCCCAAGAGCTGCACTCAACCTCAAAGCTTGGCATAGCCTAACATGCAGGGCATCGTTATTTATACAACTTTTACAGCTTCAAAAGAAGTCAAAACCAGGGATTTCTACGCATTCCGAGTTTGTCTGAAGTTTATTTCTAATCTCTTTTCATGCAATTGTTATTCATTAATAATGGAACTATTGGTTCCCCCTAAGTTTTCCAAGTCAATTTGTCACCCATTGGCAGTATACTTCCAAGGTTGCACATGCAATTTACTTATAATTTTGATCCCCCCTTCGGCTTGATTTTCATTTTATTGATAGATCACCTGGTAATTTGAGCTTTTGTCGCCGTCACACATTCCCTCTTGGGTTTGACAGTCCCTTTTTACTAGCTCAATCCCCTGGAGCAGCCTTCGCGATTACAGACACGTAAAGGCGGAAGATAGATAAGAAGATGTCAACGACCGGAAAAAGCATTCCTAGCAGCCAATTATCTTTATACCAACTCGTTCTCTCGCAAGACACAATCGCCGACAATGTTCTCCACCACCATTGGGAGGGAGCTGGGACTGAAGAAGATCCATACTTGGTTGACTGGCTCTCTGTAGATGTTCGAGATCCACATCAAATGCAAACCTGGCTAAAGTGGTCGATTAGAACGCTCCAAGCTGCCTCCTTCCTATCGATCACATTCGCCTCATCCGCACTCTCAGCAGCCAACCCTCAAATCCAAGAGAAATTCGGAGCAAGTGAGGAGCTGGTCATTGCAGACACGGCGCTCTTTGTTCTTGCTTTTGCAATTGGACCTGCAATTTGGGCACCTCTTTCCGAACTCTTCGGTCGTCAGATTATCTTCCTCATCACCCACGGCTTGACCACACTGTTTGCCGGCGCAACGATCGCTAGTCCGAATATCGCCACACTGCTTGTCCTTCGATTCTTCTCAGGTGCATTTGGCTCGTCAGCAATCTCTAATGCTGGCGGGGTGGTTTCGGATATTTATTCGGCTCGAAACAGAGGCTTGGCTACTATTGCCTTCATTGGGGCTCCGTTTCTAGGCCCTAGTCTTGGTCCGATTACTTGTGACTTTTTGGCTGTATCTAAAGGCTGGAAATGGGTACAGGGCGTTATTACAATCTTCAATGGGGTAGTGTTCTTGGTTGGAATTGTCTGTATTCCTGAGACTTACACGCCTGTTTTGCTACGGAAGCGTGCTTCAACGCTTAGCAAATTGACAGGTGCTGTATACAAAAGTCGGCTTGATACGGGTGACGCCCATAGAACGGCTGGTCAGGTCTTTGCTAAGACTATGGTTCGACCGTGGATTTTAGTATTCTTCAAGCCAATTGTCCTATCACTATCTATCTATATGGCAATCGGTGAGTTACTGGGTCTGTTTATTTGATTTAATCACATGGAAAGTCACTAAATGTGAACAGTCTATGGAACTATGTACATGGAATTTGCTGCATTCCCCATCATCTTCGAGGATACACTTGAATGGCCACAAAGAACCTCAGGCTTGTCGTTCCTGGGAATGATGATCGGACAGATATTTGGATGTATCTATTCTGCTATTGATGATGCTCGCTTCAAAAAAGTTGCCGACAAAGCTCCTTCTGGTCGCCCTCCTCCAGAAGCCCGATTAATTCCAGCTATAGTTGGCGCAGTCACTCTGCCAATTGGACTATTCTGGTTTGCTTGGACTAATTTCCCACATATTCATTGGATCGTATGTGAGATAGGTACTGTTCTCTTCGGATTTTCTCACGTGTCAATATTTTTGAGTGTTGTCAACTATTTGGTCGATGCATATACCGTTTACGCTGCATCTGCGTTGGCAGGCAACGCTGTTATACGGGCTCTTTTTGGTGCAGCATTGTAAGTTATGATGGTTTCTTTGCAGAATTGTGAAGTATAGGCAGCTGACCAAGTGACTGTATAGCCCGCTGTTTACGACTCCGATGTATGAAAATCTTGGTGTTCATTGGGCTTCCTCCGTATCGGCTTTCCTTGCTGTTGCTTGCTTGCCATTTCCCTGGATCTTTTACAAGTTTGGACCGGCTATTCGTCGGCACTGCCAATATGCTGTTGAATCCGCTAGACAATTGGATGCTGCGGCGGAGAGAATACGTGTGCAGGCTGATATTGCCGTTTCTAGCGAAATGAAACCTGAAAATGAGACGGATGTTGTGCGCAGCTCGAGCGATCTGCCCGCTAGCAAGGAGGTCGCAGAGCCATGAGAATAGAGTGGTGGGGAGTCGGAATTCTTGGCTAGGCTTTGGTTGGATAGATTTCTGACACGAACAAGGCGAAACAACTGGATTGATGTGGAATTTTGTTTGATTGTTCCTGAAGTCCTTGACCAGCTGTATAAGGTTAGAAAGTTACGGAAGAGCGATGGTTCTTAAACCTTCCCCGGGATATAAACAGCTAGTATTACATAAAAAAACAATTTTAATGCATTGCAAGATATTCATACTTTTAATCTTTGAATGGGGTACATATAGATAATTAAGATCTGTAAATAAACTTGAGTAATGTACTATATTAATGTGGAGATGAAGATCCAAGACTGGAGCTGAAGACGATACGGGCTTGGCGGGTCCCGAGGGTGGCAGCCTGGAATCCGGGGGACTAGCGACCTTTACTAACTAGGGATTTCTAATCATATTCCTCGATACCATCCATAAAAATCATCCCAACCAGATATTTTTAAACCCCAAGAAAAGAACTACACTATGTCATTAAGGCGGTCAGCTCGATTGGGTTCTATCGCAACTCTCAAACCTCCAGTCCAGAGCTCCCCGCTCAAAGTGTCAAGGGTACAGAACAGCTCGGTCACTAAGCCTCGCAAACCTCCCACAACAAAGAAAGCGGTGCAAAAAGCACCAGTCAAAGCACCTACAAATTCAGGAAGCTCTTACTGGTCCCCAGAACCGCCGGCTGCAAACGACACGACTCAAAAATCAGACGATAACCATGCTACTGATCCCCGAAGCAACAGACCTGTCACCCCGCCTCCCCTCGACCGTCCAGTCGACCCGCATCGAACAAACGTAACGCTCCTCACACCTCACGGTTCCTCGGTGGTCGCCTATCCAGCCCATCTACAAGATGCTTCACCCTCCAAGACCGGCCTACCCCGTCCCACCGCTACAACAGGAACATTACTCGAACAAGGTCTCGCGCATCTGATCGCCACAGATCCCCGTCTCAAATCCGTAATCGAGCAGCACCCGTGTCCATTATTCTCTCCCGAAGGCCTAGCCGAGAAAGTCGATCCCTTCAACAGCTTGACAAGCAGTATCATCGGACAACAGGTTTCCGGCGCCGCGGCCAAGTCCATCCGGAACAAGTTTTTGACTCTTTTTAATTTGGAAAATACTGGGGTAGACGGGGAACGTTCGAAGTTCCCTTTACCTGAGGAAGTCGCGCGATGTGATATTGCGACGCTGCGGACGGCTGGATTGTCGCAGCGTAAAGCGGAATATATACAGGGATTAGCGGAGAAGTTTGCTGCTGGCGAGCTTAGTGCGCAGATGCTTGCTCGTGCTACTGATGAGGAGCTTGTTGAGAAGCTTATAGCTGTGCGGGGATTGGGTAAGTGGTCTGTTGAGATGTTTGCTTGCTTTGCTCTGAAGCGCATTGATGTTTTTTCAACTGGAGATTTGGGTGTACAGTAAGTCCTTAACTCTTTGCTTTCTTATTCTCGATGCCACTTGGGATACCTTGGCTGACAGATCCAAGGCGAGGATGTGCGGCATTCATTGGTCGTGATGTAAGTAAATTGAAAGGGAAGGGTGGTGGTAAGTTCAAGTATATGGCGGAAAAAGATATGTTGGAGTTGGCTGCCAAGTTTGCACCATATAGGTATGGTTGCTTCTTTTCACTGCCAGAGTTATATCACTGATATTAAAACAGGAGCTTGTTTATGTGGTACATGTGGCGCATCGAGAATGTTGATATAGCGGTTCTTACAGGGTGAACCAACATTTGAACCCCGCGGGTGTACAAGATGTAATGTATCCATATATAGTATATAGATACTAATAACCTTGGAAGTATGGCTAAACTCCATTGACTATGACTGCCAGTGTATGATCAGTTGATGAGTATCGACTTCGGAATGTCTCGATTGATCAGCTGTAGTATGCTGGGATTGCAATGAAATGAACCAATTGGATAGACACCAGGTACGGAGCTGGAATCGGAGGGAACCGATTCGACTTGGCCTCAAGTCTATGTGGACTACTGGGGTAGGCGAAAGGCTGGAAGGCGTGCACAAGCATTAACCAAGAACAAAGAAAATCGATTTGTACAGTATCAGTACACCTGAGGATTATCTAGGCACCACCATCTACGGCTGGTCCGTATCCATCGCAAAATAAAATCCTTGAATGTCTATCACACGCAATATTGAAAAGAACCCATCGCCCTTATAATTGCACCGGTTTTTCGTAGCCAATCGCGACACAAGAGCACGCTTACTTGCGGACGACGAGGTTGTCGAGGTCATCACGCTCCTTAGCCTCCTTCTCGATCTCGCGGATGATGGGGCTTAGGTATTCGACGTCCTAGATGGATAATACAATTAGTATATGTTCAAATGAGACCATTGAAGGATATTGTGATTTCAGGGTCATATGTGACAAATCCTTGCAACGGGATTGGCCGATATGGGGTTGGATGCGGGGAGGACAAATTTTGGACGGGGAAAACTAACCTCGCTGGGCTTGATCTGCTCGTTGGCGGGAAGGAGAGTGTGGGAGATAGAGCACTGCAATTGAGATATCTGTAAGTATTTCGACGGCCGTAGACTTGTGAAGGGGGGTCAGGGACGAACCTGGAATGCGCGGCGGATACGGAAGACACGGTCGTAGGCCTCCTTAGGAGGAAGACGCTTGATCGCCTGCTGGACGGTCTCGCTCTCCTCAGGAATGAGGTCGTCGAACCTAGAGATATGTTAGTAACTGTGATGGACGAAAAGTGTCGGGATTAGTGATCTCCGGGTAGCCAGGCATGAGCGAATGCGACAACATGACATTGACGATCGCACCCAAGAAGTGTGAGTATTCTTGTCATTGCAGAGGCTATGATGCTCCCAGTAGTTCGCAATTCGCAGTGAACAGGCATTGGCGTGGAGGGGGAGGGCGATAATTACTTCAACCCGAGACGTCGGTAACCGGCGGCGTCGGTGTACCAGTTGGCAATGGGTGTCATCCAGCGCTTGAGCCATGGGCGCTTGACAATGTAGTTGGCAACGGAGGGGGCAGACATTTTGATTCCCGGTTATCCAGAGGCTCTGGTGAGTGAGGGAAGATAGAAAGGGCGGTCCGGCTGAACACGAGATGACCCGATGTTGCGAGGTTGTGCAAAACGGAAGCTTGAGAAACTAGTCCTATTAAGGTAATATTAACACCTGAGGCAATAATAAATGTCATGTGATTGAACATCACGTGTATGATATGCAGTGTGCCTCAGGCCATAGCGGAGGAGAATGGTAATCAGTGACTCCACCTCGCACCACTCAATTCCCCATGTCATAATCTTGGATTCTACCCTCTCGTTTCTCTCATCTCACATTTCCAACCCTCTCTAGCTCTCCGCGCATGTTGGGTGTGGTATCTTGACTCAAATTTTTATCTCTTGAACCCGGCAGCTTCCTAGATAGGACGAAACTGCAACCCCCACCCCGGCCGAGTCCGTGCTCCGACATCATAGGGCATCGCATTCAGAAACCCGTTCGGAGACCAACGGCTTCAGAAAACTCTCCTTTCCCGAACCACCCCCTCCTACCTTAAGCGCTATATAGGACCTCATACAACTCATCTTCTCATCTTCTTTCCACCACGGTTTTAAAGTTGGGATTTTGGGTTCCGGATCGAGCAACCGATATGCTCGAGGCCGGGAGCCCTCGGTGATCAAGACGGATAGATAAGTGTGCGAGAGAGTCTCTCAACCGTCTCCACGATGAAATCCGACGGCAAGGACAACACTGGCCCTGCCCAGAACCTCCTTGGGGCCTCGCAGAATCCCCATGACGATAACGCTGCTCCTTATGCTCCCGGCAAGCCCTCCGGCAAAGGACCGTCACACTCCGGTCCCACGAGTTGTTTAAAGATTCTATCCACAAAAATTCCCGATAGCTGGGTGGCTCCTCTATGTGGTGGTGCGGCAGGTGTGGCCTCCGGAATCGTGACTTGTCCCCTCGATGTCATCAAAACCAAGTTGCAGGCTCAGGGTGGCTTTGCGCGACGAAACGGAGCTCAAATGGAGACGAAGGCGTTGTATCGTGGCATGATGGGCACTGGGAGGGTGATATTTCGAGAGGACGGAATCCGTGGCTTGTATCAGGGGCTCGGACCGATGTTGATGGGATATCTTCCTACATGGGCAATCTATCTGGCTCTCTACGACACAACGCGCGACTACTATTTCGAAAAGACAGGTAGGACAGCTCTTATTCTTATTTCATTATTTAATTAGATAGATATCCTGACTATCATTACAGAAAATTGGTGGATGTCTCGTGGATTGGCTTCCCTAACTGCTGGAGCCTGTTCGACAATTGCTACAAATCCCATTTGGGTCATCAAGACAAGGCTCATGTCACAAAGCCTCAAACAGAATCACGAGGGGGCAAGAGCCCCATGGCAGTACTCAGGGACAATTGATGCCGTGACGAAAATGTATCGAGTGGAAGGCATTCGTTCATTTTATTCCGGGATGTTGCCTGCTCTTTTGGGCCTCACTCACGTGGCCATTCAATTTCCCCTCTACGAACATCTGAAGTTGGCTTTCACTGGCTATTCAATTGGAGAGCACCCAGATAATGGGAGCTCCCACTGGCTGGGTATCTCCCTCGCTACCTTCATCAGCAAAGTATGCGCAAGCACGCTCACCTACCCTCACGAGGTGTTACGGACCCGACTACAAACCCAGCAACGCAACGCACCAGCTCCATCACATGAAGAAATTGCTTTCCGCGGTGGCCTGAATCATCCTCATGATCGCGGTCGGCCTGTAGCATCATCCTCAGACGGAATGTATCTTGGCCCTCGCTACAATGGCGTCATTCAGACATGCAAGACCATTTTACATGAAGAAGGGTGGCGTGCATTTTATTCTGGGATAGGCACCAACCTTATCCGGGCCGTCCCTGCTGCAATGACAACGATGCTCACTTATGAGTATCTCCGAAAGTACATGCATAAAATTCAACAAGAGGGCCGGGATGAGATCAGGAGGGCGAATGGGGGCGACGGATCAATTATGATTTGTTGAATGCCACCCGTCGAAACAATCTAAAAGAGAACATATCTCCCACCATCCTCGAACCTCGACACCCGAACCTCGACACTCTCACACATGAACATAATACCTCCTTTTCTACCGCCACCGACCCCTACTCCTCCTTCCTCTTAACCGATCTGTACAGAAATGAAAGTTGGACCACTACTTCCAATTGGTGGATTTCTCAGCGCCTCGGCTTTTGCCCTGCATTATTAAAATACCTCGCAAGTCCTAGGCTAGGACTCTGGAAATAGATGGCAGTGATTTATCCTTTTTCGCTCGCGGGTTGTCTTTTGCACGTGAAGCCTCTACGGCCTCTACGATGATCACATGCCCAGGGGGCTTGCACGTCGGCATCCAAGATTTCTCTCAAATTTTGAAGCGCGCTTCCTCATCGTTTCATTGATTTTACTGTTATTGTATTTGCATGGCTATTGCATGTCTATTTGTATATACTACCCAGATTTATTTCCTTTCATTCAACAGCACATCACCACTTCTTACTCAGGTATAGCTCAACATCAAGAAGAGTAAGACAATGATAATTCAAAATTGCGACATCGTATCTTGAACAGCCCTACACATCACACAACCTAAAGGGAATCTATGATTGTGCATATTAATATAAGCAATTTCGATATCTTATTTAAAATGGGCTTGTCTGTTGTAGTGAGTATAGTAGGTCAAGACGCCCATCGGATTAGTTGTTCTTCCGAGCTGTCAAGCACCAATGTCACGTGCCTACGGGCCGGATCATATTTTTATTTTCTTTCTCGCTTAGCCATTCTTTTTCCTCTCTCACTCATGTCTACATCGACACATATCGATACACTACAGCGAGATCTGAATGATTGAATTCTCAGCGATGCATATCCACGTCTAATGTGATGCCAGGATTATGCGTACGCAATCTGACTAACCAGATATCAGCAGGACTTGTACAACAAACTTGACAGCCCCTCGGCAGGAATTCTGATTGTTGGATATCTGCGCCGGAACTTCGCATTTGATAGCACTTTTATGAAATAAGTCCTGTCATCATCTTGCTTGATGACTATTCCTACAGCACGTCTGCAGCTCTACGGGCAACTTCTCTTCACGATTCATATGATGAACTTTACAATTGTTGAACCAGGTTGTTAATACACTTGAACTCCTGGGGAATGATCATTCATACACTGAAAATTCTGATCTATCACGAAGACGAAGATATCATTTACAATATTTACTTAATGCATACCATCAATTGAATACTTTTGATAACTTCGATCAATCTAGTAATATATTAAACCCCATTAGCTTTCGTAATCGAAATCTCCTTGCCTGAAATTTTTACACACGTACTCACCGGGTATCAAATTAATATAAATATTTTGAGGTTGGCATTGGATTGAACCACTTGAAGCTTAACGTCAAGATCATCTACTCGATTTCCCATTCCTTTCTGCTTGACTCTCCTGGAGCGCCTGCTGAACCCATGACGAGTCCTTATCAGCCTGTGTAGCTCGCTGCTGTGAATTAGACCCGATCAACGTCTTGTCCTGTGCATCACGTCTGGCTGTACGGATGGAACTGATGCAGTAGCCGAATAATATGACAGCCATAGTAAACGCTGCGATGGGCGCATTTAAAGACTTTGAGACTCTGGTTAGCTTCTGAACAATGTAGCACCTTGAGTCTTGATATTCGGGAATAGTTGTGGGTTGAGAGCCTTGTGATTTGCCCTTGGGTTAAAAACATACCCCTGAAGGGCGACCGAGGGTCTTATTGGTAGATGCCTTGTTCTGTGCCATCAAGGTGTGTACCAGCCCTGTCAAGCTCTCAATGCTTGGTCGGTCGATTTCTAGCTAGCAAAGTTGTAGCAACCGCGTACCTGCGGGGATGGTCTGATTGTCAAGCTTGTGGAAATGGACTTCGCAATGTCCAGGCAGCCCACAGAGTAGAGAGACAGTGATATTATGACTGCAATTTCGATTCAATTGCGACAGAATAGGCGAAGTGGTCTATTTTCTTGTTATGAACGCGTTGAAGGTGGTTGTAGTTAGAATGAAAGGTGGTGCCAAGAATTAAAGTTCTGGATCAGCTCCGGCCCGATGAGTTGATGACTGTGGGCGGCTGTACAAGAACCCCATTCTCTCTTTTCAACATGCCGAACCTCGAAAAGTGAACTGTATTATCATGTCAAGCCTTCGTCATTCAAACGCTGAAAATTCGTTAAATTGATTGACATTCTAGTCAATTTGCTCTTCAAACGAGACCATGTTTCTCATAACGCCCCCACGACTCAACGTCTTCAATGTCAGCGCTAGTGGGGCTCTAGGGACGCTTCAGGGTAGCGTAAAGTGTCAGGCACTGATTGGGCCATTTGTTACCAATCAGATAGCGAAAAAAGCGAATTGAGCCTCTTGACTCTCAGACTGTAGATTGCAAGTTATTCATAAAATTCCCCAGCCATCTCCCTTGCAAAATCGCCAATTACATGTTCAGTCAAGATGGCCTTCAACCACAACAGCTACCATATTGGCTGGATATGTGCCTTGCCCATTGAAATGGCTGCGGCAAAATGCATGTTAGATGAATCTCACCCTGACCTCGATCAACCCCGCACCGATACAAATAGCTATGCGCTGGGGAGCGTTGCTTCCCATAATGTTGTCATTGCCTGTCTTCCTTCCGGTATCTATGGTACCACTTCTGCTGCCGTCGTCGCTAAGCAAATGATGACCACCTTTCCCAGTCTATCATTCGGATTGATGGTAGGCATTGGAGGTGGTGTCCCGGCCGTCTCACGGCCGTCACCCGATATTCGCCTTGGTGATGTCGTTATTGGTATCCCCAGCGGCTCGTTCGGAGGTGTTGTTGCGTACGACTACGGAAAGACTCTGGAGAATGGAACCTTTTTACCAACTGGATCACTCAACCACCCTCCTACTAGTCTTCTAACAGCTGTGAGCAATCTTCGATCAACATATCTTGTGGGCAAGGGTCAGCTAGGAGAGATCTTAGACAAGGCCATCGCTCAGTATCCCCAGTTTCAATGTCCTGGGCCAGATCACGATATCCTTCATGACACTTGTACTGACCCTGATATTCCTGTGGATTCTGCCCCAGTTGTGAGCAGACCTCAAAGGTCCTCCACTACTCCGCAGCTGCATTATGGTACGATCGCATCTGGAAATCGTCTCATTAAGCACGGAAAGACCCGAGATCAATTGGCTGTCCAGCATGATATCTACTGTTTTGAGATGGAAGCTGCCGGAATTATGGATCTTGATTACTTTCCGGTTTTGGCTATTCGAGGAATCTCCGATTATGCCGATGAGTTCAAGGCTAAAGAATGGCAACCTTTTGCTGCCATAGGTGCCGCCGCATATGCAAAGGAATTACTGGGGATCACCCCCAAGAGCCACGCTGAGAAAGCCGAAAGTATAGCTCCCTCAACAGAAACATCATCTACCCTACAATCTTCTTCTTCTCTACCGCCCGGATTTGTGAACCAAGTCTTCCCAGTCGAGAAGAACTTTGTGGGAAGTCTCACGACGGACACTCTGTTTCCACGACAAAATTTCCATGCCTTGCCAAAATCGCCCGCGCCCGGTCAATTGGCTATCATACACCAGTCGATTCCACACTCCATCCGTCTTGATGCCCCGGGCTACACTTCACTCTTCTCGGGTGGATCTAGCAAAGGGCAGAATGCTTCGGATACTGATGATACGATTACCGTTGATCGATCCAGCTCCTGCACGCTTAATAACTCAAGCGATTGGTTCGAAGCAATGAGCAAACAGAGGAAAGCAAGACAATGGATTGAGAGACAGATGGGTCGCTCAAATGAGAAAATCTATCTGATTGTTGGATTCAGAAGCATGTGGCACCGTGATATTGATATCACCCTCACAGCTGATAACTCTGATAATTCGAGTATTCAGTCTTGTATCGGTGAGGCAGTCTATGCGGTGCAATATCGCCTGCTTAAATTCAAGTGGTACCGCAGGAAAGACATAGATTCTGCAAGCTTACAAAAGGGAAATTGCTGGCAAAGTCTCTACACCGATCGTGGTGATGATGACGATGAAGATGCAGACGAGGCGGAGGACTACTTGGAAGTTACGTTGGATGATGATGTTACGGAGGCATCCACTGCTGGAAATTAGCAGGCTTGAAATGTGGACCAGCGATATCCAGTGGTAGTTGCTAGAACAAAGAGCTGTTTCCAAAGAAATGTGATTCATTATAGATTCAGCATTGCCCTCTCCTGAATTTCAACTATCTAGCTACGGGAGACAATAACGATCACGGGGGGAAGAAAGCCTTTGGCCATAGATAAAATTTGCTATATACAGCTACTTATACTGTAAGTTCTACATAGATAGAAAGACAAATGCAAAGACAAATGCAAAAACAAGTGGAAAAGTCAATGGAGAAATGCATTTTTCCCCGATGATCGCTGCTTTCCCGTAATCTAGCCCGTAAGGCTTCGATTATTGAGTTGATTATCGACTCCCTCAGGAAGTGTTGAGACGGGCTCAGGTCGTGTACAGCAGCGCTTGAGTCTGCGTCTAAGTCAGCCAGATAAATCTCACCACGGTTGATCATATCTCGGATGATGGCAATGCGACAACTCCTCGTCCCATTGAGTAAGAGCATACAGTGAGTGTGGGGACCTTGGCACCTCGAGCTCAAAATATTGCCTCCATCGCGGGTCTCTCTATGATTCGCGCTCTGTATTATTAGACTGCCGTGTTGGGGTGAGGCGAAGGAGACGAAGGTGACATGACGAGTCGTATCTTCAGTGGGTAATATTTGTGGAAGAAAGTAGGATGTAGAAGTTATCGAGTAATACGATGTTGTTGTATGAGGTGTGAAGCTGTAAAAAGCGAATCAAGCAAATAAGTAAGACGATATTCATTATCTCGATATTGCTATCGATATCGATCAACAGTAACTTCAACTTCTAGCCACCGAAATGAACAAACTGAGCCCATCTAAGCGGCTGCTCTTCAAAGTCAGATCGAACTTCTTTAACCGATGAATGGAAGGCCTCAGCAACAGCTCTTCCATCGTCAGCAGCAGACGCTGGTGACAACAGTGACGTGAGATTCTCGTAAAAGCCCACCGCAACACTATGACTGACTAAATCTGGCGCAGGCCACATAGTCCCCAAAACGTGGGCAAAACCAGCAACCTGGAAACCACTAACAAGATGAATAGCTTCATCTAGAAGCTTGGTTGCTTTATTTTCCGCAGTCGAGCACGCAGAGAGATACGCGATACGAGCTCTCTTGAGATCCATTTTCATAATCGACTCTACAGTCAACGCGCCGCGTTCAGCAGTCCCCGGGAGTTCAGATTCTTCTGCCTGAAGTAACAAGTGGCCATTCAGTGGGTTTCTACTGTCAGATACGGCATGGCATGCGAAGTGCACTATATCATGGGATGATAAATCGGACAAGACCCGTCCAGGCTGTGGTTGGATGAGGCTTTTAATAGAAAATGAATCCTCAACTGCTTCTTGGATATCATCTATCTCGTCTTCAACGCCGGGAAGTGATGCATGGCCCTTTGTTGTCGGCATTCCAACCATTAATAGACTTGGCTGAGCGACTTTTGCGTCATTGCTCAACTTTGCGCGAACTTGAAACATTGTCTTAATTGAGGGCGAATAAGACGAGATTGCATATTCGAATGTGTTCTCCGTATCACTGGCTGTTTGGTCACAGGCCGCATGAAATGGTAGCATGCTTGCAATACCGCTTGCTATCCAGCATACCCTGGGCAGCTTCTGCGTCAAAGACTGCGGCTTCAATCCAATTCGATCAAATATGGGCTTCACGCCTGAAGTCCACAGCCAGTGAAGAAGGTCCCTGTATTCCGCATTTTTTCTTTTGCGCTCTGCTGCGTTCTTCGCTTTCCGAGTGAGGTCTTTGTTGAGCCATTCCAACCCCCGTTGACGTGATAGATTAGGAAGCTCGATACTATCAATCTTCTCAGGGGATATAATTATGGCATCGCTTCGGAGATTTGTGATATTCATAATGACGATACACCCATTCTTTGCTCCTGCCCTAATCTCATTCAATTCGGGTCCAAGAAGAAATCGAGACTGTCCCGGTAGTTTCCGTATTTCTTCAACACATTCATTGAATTGAGAAACAGATGAGAGACGCTTTTGAAGCAGCGTCTCCGCTCCGACGCTGTCGATCCTTGCAGAGTCAAATGTTTTATTAATTTGATCTTGTAGCTGTCGGAACTTTGCTGCGTATTCCGGTGATATCGCTTCAAGGTCTCCAAGATTCATCCGATTGCTCATCAACAAGTCTAGAATGACTGTTCTTCCTTTCTCGAGATATTCCAATGCATCATTCAATCTCCCCAGGCTCAAGAGGAGAGAACATGCATTGCCTGCAATCCCAGAAAACTCGCGAACAACGTACTGCTGATCGGTGACGTTGAGTGATCTTGTCGTAACCTGAGGAAGCAAGTCGACGACTTCCATCGCGATGGTGGTAGCTTCTTCCAGTCTTCCCGTATCTCTCAGTTTGTAGATTGCCTGTGAACCAGCTAGCACTCTATCAAATGGGCGTCCACTGGGGGCTTTCCAACCCTCCAAAAATCGATCGATAGCATTCTGCATGTCTTGGCTATTATCTTCTTTCTGGTAGCGGGCGTAGTATCTGGCACCGAGATTGAATGAGTATCCAGCACGGCTTGGGTGATCTTCACGCATTAAAGAGAGCGCTTCTTCTGATTTCTCAATCGCCATATTCAAGTCGACGATATTGGCTTGCTCCTTGTATCTTGCTTCAATGGCATTGGCAAGATTGTTCAGATTTCCCGGGTAATGCATGTGAGTGGACGGCCGAGACGACAACACCTTTTCAATAAATTGAATAGCCTCTTCGATATCGCTCAAATCTTTGGTTTCTTTGAACCTGTCAATCAAGATGTTGGCAAGATTATTCATGACATCCACCTTTCCCAAATCACTATCTGAAACAACCTCGAGAGCAAGTCTTTCCTTGTTAATAGCTTCTTCGAGATCATCTGACGCTCTTGTGCGCATCCAACGCAGCCAAAATGCGTTGGCTAGTCCACTAAGACATCTGGCTTCTGCGGTTGAGTTTGTCTTTGGTGTTTTACTAGCTTCCGCTAGATACACGATGCTACGGTCAAGATCCTCTTGGTGACCTGTTGCTTCAAATCGATCCATCAAAAGATAGCCCAATCTCATTAGACCATCCGCTAAATATTTGCTGGACTTGTCCCAAAGCTCTACAGCCCTCTCGGCTGCAACAATGGACTTATCGAGATCTTCCATCTTGCCCAAGGCATCATATCGATAACCTAACTGCCTTGCCAGTGACTCAAGTAACGAGGGGTCTTCTTCAGATCCAGCATTGATGGCTGTTGCAATGGAATTAACTGCCTCTTCAAGATCTTGAATTTCCCCGTTGTGCTTGAATCGATGCCTTAGCAGATCTGCGTATGAGGCACATAACCTTTTCCAACGAGATTCAGACTTGGGCGTCATACTCATCGCTTCCCCAATAAAGTCAAATGAATTATTTAGGTCTTCAATAATCCCGCTCATTTCATAGCGTAACATGAACGCCATACCAAGGCGGCCTAAATACTTTGCCCGATCCACATCATTCAAATCCGTTGATGATATTACCGTTTGGCCGAGCTCAATTGCCTTATTCAGCGGTTCCATCGTCGAGTCACGCTCATGTAGATCAATCAGACTCTCTGCTAAATAACTAAGATCGTCGGGACTGACCTCATTGGCCTGTTTCTGGAGGTCAATGGCCGCTTGGGTGGCATCTATAGATTTCCGGAGGTCATCAAGGCCATTTGTTGCCTGAAATCTAGCCTTGTAGTATTTTCCCAGCCTGTCAAGCCATTTAGATCTGTCCGGTTCGTCCTCTTTTCCGACCAGAATGGCAGTCTCAAGCTTGTCAATGGCATTATTCAAGTAGAAGATGTCTTTACTCTCAACCCACTTTTCTCCGTATGACATGGCCAGATTTGCGATTAATCCAGATGGCAGTGGCGCCGATGGGTCATTAGGCTTTGTAGTGAGCGAAACCACAAATTCGAACATGTCAATTAGGGAGTCAGGTGTCTGATCACCTCCTTGTGGTACTACTGCGATATCAACAGGAAGACCTTGTTGATGTCGCCTCTGCTGTCGTCGCACTTTGTCCGCTTTCAATCCGTAGAATATTGTAACTGGGTGCCCACGATCAAAAAGTTTTTGGCATATTTCGTATCCTTTGGTCATCAGGGCGTCTGCTTCTTTGAACTTTTTGTTTTGTACGCAGTGTTTGCTCAGGTCTTGGAAAACAAGAATTGCTCGACCATTTCGAAGAGATTTATGCACCTCACACGTTTCAAATAACAACCAAATTGACGATTCAACTTCGGAGATCTTTCCTGCCCCACAAGCAGCATGGCACTGACCCATCAGACTCCACAAAGTTTGTTCTGCTTCGGCACCAATCGTTTTTGTATATCGCTCTGTGGCATATTTGAATATTGACTCGGCTTCCAAAAACTCCCGCTGCATGAAGAGCACCTCTGCTTCGCTTATGAGATGTCGGATTGTTGAGTCATGATCCTTGCCAAAGCTCTTTTCAGATTCTTCTGACAATTGACGATAGATTTCACGGGCTTCAGAAAACTTGGACTGTTGAATGAATATATTTGCTAGAGAGATCATCAATTGGGTCTTGGACTCTTCTGAATCAGAGGACAGCGATATTCCTTTCTGGATCATCTCAATGGCTTCAGTGAGATGGGCTTGTTTTGCCAACGCATCTGCCCGTCGCTTCATGATTCCCAATGTTTTAGGATGATTCCGTCCATAAACCCCTTCATATGAGTCGAGAACTGATGCCAGGACTTTCAATGCCTCGTCATGTTTCTCCTGACCACCGTAGGCGTAAGATAAGTTGAGAAGCGGCGGCAAGAGCCGGACGCTATTCGATCCTTGGCTCTCTCGAATTTTATTCACAAGTGCAACAAGTATAAGCTCGGCTTCTGGATGTTTTCCCTGTTGAATAAAGACAGCAGCTAGGTTACTAGCTACCTGCTGCGTAGATGAATGATCAGCTCCGAGAACGATCTCATAGTGACCCAATGTGGATGTGTAGATTTCTGCTGCTTCAATGTACTTCCTCCTGCCATAGGCCAAATTCCCGAGGGATACAGCTGCTCTGAGCGTTGCTTCATCATCTGGTCCTAGGGTTTTATCGAGTGTTTTCCAAACTCTTTGGTAGACACTTTCGGCTTCATCAAGTCTGCCTTGGGCGCGATATACCATCGCCAGTCTATTCCATGCCACAAGTGTTGTTTGGTGCTCGGGACCCGCAAGTAATGTTCGGGCTTCAACGACACGTGTATGTGTGACTTCGGCTTCTTGAAGCTTGACCAGTTTTCGATATGTGATACCAAGGTATTCGAGGGCGTCAAGAGTTTTCGTATCTTGGAGTCCGCAAGCTTTTTCGTAGCCTTCTGCAGCACGGAATAGAAGATCTTCTGCAGCTTTGATGTTTCCATTTTCATGATGGCTCATTCCTAGCTTGTATATGGACTCCAGGTCCGACAAATGCAGTGATTGTTCATTGTCGTTTAGTGCTGTCGTGTCATGCAGGCTCAATTTGTCGATATGAACAACATTACTCCCCGACATTTTTGCTTGATCACATTGGCGATGCTCAATTGGAACTTCAATCAGTCCAAGACTGTATGGCTCCGGCTGGACGATATGATCGCTTCCTCGCCCCTCACACAGTGGCTGGTCTTCTTTGCTGGTCAACGGATTAGTGAATGCCAGAAAGCCATAAAGAAAAATGAAATCATTGCCACTAATCATGGTTAAGCAACATACCATTAACGTATACTGGACAGCTATTAGGATATCAGATCTATGCAGCTCCGTGGATAGCCTCTCGTTGTTTCATGGAAGTCGGGTTGAAGTCCCGCTGTCAGCAAGCATAATCTAACCCCACTACGGCCTAGCAGGCTGTGCTGCATGCTGCCCAATCAATCATGTCATGATGGTTATAGCACTCCGCCGTGACAGTTGTAGGCTGATCTTAGGCTCATTAGGAATACTCAAAAGTCAGAGTACAGAGAACAGGTGCATCAATATCAACATCATGATGCAATCAATTATTTTGAACTTTCATAGTAAATTGAATTTTTGTACTTCATTATTCTTAGCCGCCTCCAACGCTTCGAGTTCAATAAGGATCCATCCAAAGAGACAATGAAATCGTGGCCTATCGTTACAATTCACGGTTTCACAGGTTGAACTTCTACTATATGCAAGGACCGTTATAGCCCCTCATGAATCCCATTTGGACATCCCGGTCAGTGATCGGGAGGGTATCCGATAACCGATAACGGGGCACTCACACAGACCAGTTACTGACCCTTTTCAAGCAAACTTGAACATGTCGGTTGGTCGGTCTAGATGCTTGGGTATTGCTAACCCTTTGTTTCTCTTTATTCTCTGCTGTTCTTGTTTGGACACCGATTTAAGCACTAACACCGCGGGATTTTCTTTCTCTTGTCCGAGTTGCTGTTATCTCCGAGCTTTCTCGGAAATTTCGCGGATGACGACGGAAGATATTGGGTCAAAGCTCTCCGATGCTCGTATTCCTATAGTTCTATGATATTCTAATTGTAAAACTACCATTAGCACCTGGGCATTCTCAATTGAAATTAGAAACAAAATGAAATCATAGGCTGATTTCAAGTCGACCCCATCACCCTGCCTATCCTGTCTATCATTGCCTTGGTGGTCTAATCCACCATTTGATATCATTTACATTCCATTGGCCAAGGAATGTTCCTTCGGGAAACAAGTTCGTTGCAGAGTCCACCGCGGATAACGTTAATGGCTCCTCGGCCAAGCTCGCCACCGTCGCCCCTCAACACTGATATCATCTTGGTGGATTCAGGTTGGAGCACTGGACCACCCCTCACCCACCTCATAATTTCGTCGTGAAACTAAAGTCTGAAGTCGTAGATTTTCGTAGATTAAAAAGGAAAGCTCATGGGGTAATGAGATACTTAGTCAGCTCCGATGCCCGGCGGTTCGGACTCAACATGTCTTTCCCCATTAGGCCTAGCGCATTGCTGAATAAGAATCAGATTATTTAGCAATGAATTCATCACTCTCCTCTTTTTCCGTATCAGATCTGGTTTCGCCATCTACCCAACTTCATCTTCACTTCACAATCACCCATCTCCTAAAAATTAATCTTACTTAAATCAACCAAATCTTCACCATGTTCAAGCGTCTCGTCACCGTCGCCCCCCGCGTCGGCTCTGTCGCGCCCCGTACCCTTGCACCCCTCTCAGGCTTGCAGTCTATTCAGCCTCTCCAGCGCCGTACCCCGGCTCCTGCTCCCGTTCAGCGAAGAGGATACCACGAGAAGGTCCTCGATCACTACAACAACCCCCGCAATGTTGGCTCCATGAAGAAGGGTGACCAGGACGTTGGCACTGGTCTCGTCGGTGCCCCCGCTTGCGGCGATGTCATGAAACTTCAGATCCGTGTGAACAAAGACTCCGGCCGTATCGATGACGTTGTCTTCAAGACCTTCGGCTGTGGTAGTGCTATTGCCTCCTCTAGCTATCTGACCGAGCTTGTCCGCGGCATGACCCTTGATGAGGCAGGTCTGGTTAAGAACACTGATGTGGCAAAGGAGCTCTGCCTCCCACCTGTTAAGCGTATGTCTTATCCTAGTAGAATATTCGAATGTGTGAATTAATTTGCTGACATTTTTCTCGTTTTCAGTGCACTGCTCCATGCTTGCTGAGGATGCTATCAAGTCCGCCATCTCTGATTACTACACCAAGAACCCCAAGTCCAAGTCTACGGATCTCTCCGGCACAGGCGCTGCCATTCCCGACATGAAGGTCGAGATTGAGCAGACTGCTACCGGTAGCCCCGCTGCCGCCATCTAAAATCGTTATTAATATGGACGGATTCTGTGTCGGGGTTGAGATACACCTATGATGACAACAACGTTCTTTTCTTTCTTATTTGACTTGACTCGTTTTTGAGATGTGATTCCCCGCGAGCGTTGCGAAACACTCGTTTTGATCGATGGATCTTCGGATTCTGAAATAAGAATGGCAATCGTTTTGAGAGACTGGAAATGTTCTCGGCGATAGGCAGAATATTCAAACAAATGCGTCATTTGTTTGCTGTACAGATTTTCCTTTTTCTCTTCTATGCATGTTTGACTGCTTCTTTTTTTTCTTTTCTTTTTTTCTGTGGTGGCGCCTTGGTATCTGGGATCCTCGATCGATACTCTCTTCTTCAAAAGCGGCGGTGCCTTGATAGTTTCAATGAAACATGAAACCAGAATTGTTTTTCTTTGAATACGTAGTGTAAGGTTCGATCGTTTATCTTTGTGCTACATTTAATCCGATAAATAGTCCCACTCCTTTGTAAAGAGAAGAGCAGAATCAATTTTTTTGCTCATGTAAAACTACAAAAGAATCATATATCACTCCAATCCCACCACATGAAATCTTACACTTTTACCATCTCCCTATTATACCAGACTCACACCCTGATCAGCTTTAATTAAAGCCTTGTAATATGTAGTAATGCTAAGTATACACCTCCCAGCTTAGGTATAATATCATCTAAGCCTCTAGAATTACCTTAGCAAAGGTATTATGAGAGACAATTAGACTGATATTTGGAAAACCCATTAGAACGACGTTTCGTGTAATATGATGTTGAACGCATGCAAAACTACCGCTTCTACCGCTTCTATCAAAGAGTAGGATTATTTATCGGGGTGACTGTAGTAGTCAGAACTATTCTTCAATAAAGGAAACAGTTGTCTATTTTTTGCTCTATCGACAAATCTATCTGTACAGATCGCCAAGGTGCGGGATAACAGTGACTAACACAAATGAGAAACGAAACTGGAGAAAGATAAAACAAAAAATATGCACACTTCATGCTCTTCACCAGAGATTTGCGAGAGAAGAGACAAAAGAAACGCCATTGCTGAATGGACAAATAGTCTGATCCAGACATCCATGTCTGGAACAAAGCGGCAAAAAGAAATGGGGATATATCTACTAAACGAAAACATTATGAGCAAGATTCATGCATGAGTACTGGTTAACCGCTGTTTCAAGCGGATTGCAAACCAAATCGACTCTTCAAGCTCAACACGCTCTCATAAACAGAGAGCTTCACCTCCACACGCAAGAATCCAACCCAAGCCGAAAGATAGCGGAAGAAGTTGAGGAAGATACCACCAGATTCCTTGATTTTCTCCATCTGCTCCTCGAAGACAGTGCGCGTAGCATAGCGTGCCAGGATCAGGAATGTGCGCATGGGGCCCTGGCGAGTGTGCAGGTTCTCATCAAGGCTGCGGGTAAGATCATTCGTCTTGAGAATGAGAAGAATGATTCGCGGTACCTGACCCAACAACACCACAAGCTGCTGAAGCATACCCTCGCCTAAAGCTTGAGACATGTGCTTCTTCTCACCTTCATTGCGAGAAGAAACAATGTTCTTCGTCAAAACACGATAGTCGCGACCGGTGATGGCACTAGCGAAGAGTGGGAACTGCTCATCTGTAACACCGGCTACTTTATAAGCATATTCGCGCATCCGGGGAACATCGGCATCCATGACAGCGAGCCAAAGCTTAGCGTAGTTCCGGCGCAACTCGCGCGGAATGTTACGATACAGTCCATGGTCATATAAGATAATGTCGAAGTTCGGGTGACGGCGGTCGGGGTTGGGACGAATGGCAATGTTACCACCGTGCGGGTCACAGTGTAGAGGAGCCTCGTCGCCAAAGATCATTTCGTTAAAGATATGCGCGAAAGCTGCGGAAACTTCGTCGCGGTCGATGTTATTCGCATCTAGGAATGCGAGGTCGTCGGGTCGGCTGCCGGAGATGCATTCCATTACAAGGATGCGCCTTTGCGACCACATAACTATACAATGTTGTTAGAATTCGGTTCTGTATATGAACTGCAGTGGTCTCCTTTTACCTTCTGGGATTACCAAAGGAGCATCGGAGTGCTTCTTGAAATACTCGCTGGCTTCGGTCGCGTTTTGAGCTTCCATCCGGAAATCCAATTCCACTGGTAGAGACAGATCCATTTCACGAGACAACCACTCCAGATCGTATTCCGGGAAGAACCATTTAAGCATTGAGAAAGTGAACCGTGTTAATCCAAGGTCAAGTGGTACCCATTCGGCGAGCGCAGGGTGTTGGACCTTGACTGCAACCTTTTGACCTGTTTCTTTCAGCGTAGCGAGATGCACCTGGGCGAGCGAAGCGGCGCCAATTGGCTCCGGGTCGAATGAGCTAAACAGCTCATCGATTGTTTGGCCGGTATCCTTAATGAACATCTTGCGAATCGACTCGATAGAAGACACCGGGCACTTGTCTTGGAGCGGGATGAAGGTCGTGGTCCATTCAACTGGGAGAAGGTAGCCCATGCTGCTGAGATGCTGACCCAACTTGATGAAGATCGATCCGTTTTTTTCGAGTACACGAAGGGTGCGCTCTGCGCAGCGCTTGTGGCAGGCGCGAATGCTGGCATTGCGGTCTTCGGGGGTGGGGAATTCTTGTTTGAGAGTAACACGATAACTATAGTAAAGTTTTAAATTAGCAATTTTATCCGGTTTTCATTCGCGCGGCTAGATAATAAGTTTCTATACTCACTCATTAATGCAGACTGCTAATGTGCCTACCACGCGACCACTTCGTTTGGCAGCTTCGTACGGATGCTCGAGATAATCCCACCACACCCAGACGGCCAGAGCACCAATACCGAGATTAAGGAATAGTCTGAATACTCTCCGACGGGGGGTTCGGGAGAGCTTGTGCGCTGCCTGTTTTTCCTCCTCGGACAACAGACTCCTCGCTGTCGTGGCAAAGCTGCGACATGGTGGCGCAGCAAAGATGTTCCGTTTAGGCAATCGTGAAGTACATGGCTTCGTAAAGGCTGTGCGCGACGGATATGAAGTGTGAAAGGCGGCGCTTCGAGCTAGACCGAACGAGGTATTGACGATTGAGGCTTTAGGTGTTTGTCGGACCACCAGGGCGGGATTGGCCAGGGCCCGCAGTGATGAGCAGAACGTGGCCCTCATTCCAACCAGGCGCAGTCCTGACGGCAAGGAAAGCAAGGTCAGACAGAAAATATGAACGGCGCACTTTATTTGGATTCGATCATGCTTAGAAACTAGAATTGTATGACCAGGGAGATTTTTGGGGGCGGCCTTCGCCGCCAATCGGCTCAGGTGTTCTCGCCCGATCTCGGGCCGTGGGGGCGTTTCACGTGATTTTGCAGGCTGATATGCGTCTGACGTCATATTATTCTTCAACGAACTACAGTAATGGTAGGGATAATCTTACTGTAGTAACTATCAGCCGCAGAGCCTTTCAGACATTCGAAATATCATTCGCCATGGAAGCATCGGTCCTGAGTAGTAATAAATACATAAACACATAAATTAACATTTGAAGTGCTCTTGGCATTTAGATAATAATGATTATGTCTGATTGAAAAGTATGCGGGCTCTATGTGTAGCATCCAGCGCTAGCCATAGTGCAACAGGGGAAAGAAGAAGCTATTTAAAACACAGATAGATGGTCCTGTGATCCAGGTCCTAGTCTATTTCAAGAGCGCCATGGCCGTTAAAGCAGGATACAGAAGAAAAGAAGCATCGGTGGTGATATAGAAGGTAGTCAGGTCTTTAACTGCCTATTTTATGTCCATTCAGAATCAGCAGTTGTGGGACGCCGGCGTCGTGGAATGATTGAAGGACGACGACTGAGGGAGTTGGGCGCACTGCCATCGTCATTGTGCAACATTTCAATCTGTGATAACCGGTTAGACAGGCCGCGCGCCACGCGAGGCCGTGCTGCGGCTGCACTGCCATTAACAGCAGAGCTGAGAGCTGATAAATTACCGTCTCGACTGCCAGGTCGTAGCGCCAGGGAAGAGCCACTCAAAGCATTACGCGGATGCCGTGGGGTTTCTCGCCCGTCAAATAATGCCCTGGACTGACTTGTGCGGTTGGTTTGGGGGGTAGATGGGGTAGAACTGGAGAATGGGTTGGGTGATGTAGATGTGCTTTTCCTGCGACTGACTGGTCTGCGTTTGCCGACACTATACGTGTCGGTTACTTCATTGGACCGTATTAATTTTCCTGCCATATCTCTAACGAGAATTGCGGGATCATTCTCCAGCTCGCGAATGGCATCCAACAAGCCGTAGGTAGCAAGTAAACCATCTTGTTGTTCACTGGAATCGCATATGCTGGATATGATACGCAATATGTTCAGTCGCACTGCAGCCTTGTTATGGTGGAGCTTCTGTCCTAGTCTCATGAAGAGATCCGGGTGAGCAAATGTCGATGCCACTGGAGGACTCAGTCGAAGAAGCTTCTGTAGAGGTTCAAGGATGTTCTCAAATGCATTGGCCTTGGAAAGTGCCAAGCAGCGCACAATAGCGTCTGTAAAAGAGGTCTTATCTGGACGGCTGTCCAAGAGATGCTCCTCAACCTTGGCAGTCTCTTCCTGTAGCCAAGTGAAGATAGCATCCAAAGCAGTCACCTGCCAGTATGGATCCGCAAGCAAAGAGATGTAAAATGCAAGGCCTTTATTACGCCACAACTCTCGACGGCCAACCTTACCTGACTGTGCCATATCGCAAAGGATAGGCAAAGCAAATTCTTTCAATGGTCTCTCCGTTTTGACGATCTTCTGAAGCAATGGCACGATACCGTTGAGAGCTGCGTCTTCTTGTCGTGATTTGTTCAAGCGACACATATTGTAAATGGTGTTGAGGATTTGGTTTGAAACTTCGCGGAAATGCCCTTTTTTCATGGTTGACCGTAGTAGATCGGTCAGAACATCGATTGCATTTGAATTTTGGAGGGAGTCCAGGGTAGTTGAAAGCATAGAAAGATTCTTGATGAATTTCAACATTGTGACCTGATGAATAGGCGACATTCTTCGTAGTTCTTTGAGAACTCTGTGAAGCACTGTTCGCTCTGCCACCATTTCCTTGACGTGATTCTCGGCCTGCGAGAATATGAAGAAGATGTTGGCGATGCGGCCCTCAATTAGTTCTGCTAATTCACCCTCCTCGTCTAGGACACGACTTAGAACGAGCGAAAGAGGGTCGAGGACGGAGTTGCGGGACAGGATTCTGCAGAAATCATTCTTCGGAGTTGAGCCCTGCGGATGAGTTGTTAGCCATCTGGTAATACATTTCGTAGAGTCCACTTGGAATTACCTGTAATTCGAAGACACTCCAAATTCCGTTAACACCAATCAAAACAAGATCACGTTCGTCCTCATAGTCATCTTCTAAGAACTCAACCAAAACATTGAGACCTCCTGCGCTAACGAACATCTGAAGTGTGAGAGTGGAGGTTTGATACATCTGCTGCACAAAAGCAGCAGCTTCCAGTCTGATCTCGCGGGGATATTTCTTTGATGCAAACTCATTCACAATAGGAATACCACCAACAAAGCATAGATTCTCTTGAACCTCGTAGTCATTGAAGATTATGGCATTTACAACTCGAAGCAAACAAATGACAATGTCTCGTCGCCGCGATGTGTCAAGAATTTCCAGGATTGGCAGCATTCCATGTGCGCTGATAATGATATTCTTGGTTTCGGGAAGGTCGTAGAAAACCGCGAGGAGCTGCTCGGATATATCTGCAAGAACATCCTCATCTTGGGAAGTCTTCAGCGAGCCGACAAGACTTTCAACTTGGTTTCGTAGACGTGCATATTTGTCACGGGCTATATTGGCTTCTAAGTCCATCTCATCAAAGCCTTCTTCTAATTGGGCAAAGGGATCGTCATCGTCGTCTTGATCGCCCAACCATGAATTGTTAGACAGTTTAGAGTTAAGCATTAAAGTGCTGCGGTCCGAACTATCGTCGCTTTCCGTGGCGTCGAATCCCACTTGGCTTGCTCCAAGAATATCGGAGAAATCTTCGTCAGTCTCGTTTTCGGCAAACCTCTGTATCTCAATAGTCGACCGGTCGCGCTTGACAGAGAGCTGCTTGCGCAACTGGGGGTGCTGGCCACTTCGGTCGTCATCAAATGCGTTGTATCCATTTTCACGAACTGGAGACGCAGGGTCGTCATCCTCTTCAATTAGTCCTAGTTTCCGGTCGAGAACATCTTCATTCGCCATGATGAGATCTGTGTAGTCCTCCACTGAATTTTCTTTGTAGAGGACAGCCGGTCGACGCCTCATCGGAGGGACAGGATTCTGTGTCAGAACCGGGACATTTTGTATGGCAGATGCTTGAGGCCTGCTCGTTTGTCGTCGAGTGGGGCTTTGAGATTTGGATGGCTCGGCTGCTGAGGCTCTAGCAGGATATGGTCGTATTGTCTGCAAAGGATCGTTTTCCAGGGCCTGCATCGAGTCCTCAAACTCGTCGAAGCTGTCATCCGATCTCAAGATTGTTCCATCAAGCGATGCAAATGCCTTGAGTCGTTCAGAAGAGAGCATACCCCCAAAGTTATCATGGGGCCGGAGGTGAGGAAGCTGCAATGCGCTAGGTGAGATCGCAGTCGCGAAATCATTGTCCCAATTATCATCCTCCGCAGATTCTGGAGATCGAAATCGGTCCGTGGCTTTGAAAGAAGTTGGAGAGGGCATAGTATCCACAAGGGAATTGCGTTGAGTAGGAAGTGGACCAGCTCCGTGGTCGAATTTGTTTGTCTTCCTCGAAGTGCCTGCACCAGGAGATCGTAGAGCCTCGTTCCATTCCTGTACACTCTTCACGGCTTCTTCATATTCTGTGGATTTCTTTGGGACCACAGAATCAGTTCTCCTGGCATTCATAATCCAAGGGTGTTTTAGTAATTTCTTTGCCGAAACTCGCAGATTCGGGTCTTTCTGGAAGCATTGCATCAAAAAGTCTTTAACGGCCTGTGATATTGTCAGCTTTTCTCTCGCGATTGAGTCCCGAGCAAACAACATACTGGCGAGGCGCCCTGGGGAAGTGGAGGGTGGTCATCATTAACGATGCGAAACAGGGCAGGCATGGGTTGCAAGTTGTGGTAAGGGGGTCTACCCTCGAGAAGCTCGATTACTGTACATCCCAAGCTCCAGATATCTGACGCAGTAGTCGCACCCGACAGCTCAATGACTTCTGGTGCCATCCAATATGGAGTTCCGACCACACTCGACTCGCTCAAGCCAGTCGTTTTGCTTGCTACACCGAAATCTGCCAGTTTAACAAGACCTTCTTTCGTCGTAAGAATATTGGCACCCTTGATATCCCGATGGATGACACCTTGTTCGTGCAGGTACAGAAGTCCATGCAGCACTTGGGACATGTACAGGCCAACCAGATTCTCTGGGAAGCGACCAAAGTTCTTGGCGATGGAGTGTAGGGATCCATTTTCGCAATATCTAAATATGGAGTTAGCTTCATAATTTCGGGGAATGCTTCATTTGTCGTTCAAGGCCGTACTCGAGGATGATATTTAATGTTTCAGCGGATTTCACAAATCCCTGATACTTGACAATATTGGCGTGCTGTAGATATGGTCAATAAAAAAAATCCCTCGCATGGGCGCAAGAGTACACATACATCGAGGTTTTTCAGGAGATCAATTTCCAGCTGAGACACCTCGTATTAGCAAAAGTTTCTAATATGACGAGCAGCAAGCGACCGCATACCATGATAACACGCAATTCGCTCTTAGGAAGGTCCGTGAGCTTAATTTGCTTCACCGCGACCGTCTCTCCAGTATTCCAATTCAGCGCACGATAAACAGATCCGAACGCTCCTCTCCCTAAGCAGTCACCCAATTGCTATATAACTCCAACGTCAGCACCTACTCAGCCCCATGATGCTCGAGGGGGTATAGCGAATGTTGTAAGGAGGGGATCGTACGTAATCCTTGAGTTCTGCAACATCCATAGCCGACGACTTCAAGACCTTTTCATCCTTCGGTTTCTCGTCCCGCTTCGTTGGGCTGGTGCCGACTCGGGCCAATCGCGGCTTAATCGGCGTACCGGGCGTCCTGAGGGGGTGAGGGGGCGCGGCCCCTCATTCCCTTCGCCGAAGCATGAAACCATCACAGAGCTGATCAGGGTTCGTAGGGTCTCAATATGGAGGGTTTGATAAGATCCGATCGACGGTCTCAGAATTCGGATTCAGGTAAACGGGGTGGGGTGAAAGTCAAGGAAGAAGGCAGGTGCCGAGGACAGCAGGGTCAGGGTTCATGTCATCAGATTCTGTGAAAAAAACTCGGATTGTTAATTTATCGGAACGAAACAGAATTCACCAGTCGTAACGTGGGATGGAGAGTGTGCTTTGCATGCAGGCGTTGGGGAGGAGGGTCTCACCAAGCGAACATCACAAGGAGTGAGGCAGTTTCTCTTGATGCTCTATGGCCAGAAGGACTTTCGGGGCGCCGCTGTGTATTCAAGATACCGATCTCAAAATACAGGCCTGCGTTAGACCAAGCGACACGAATCAGGTCAGACAAAGGCGTTCGGAGACCTAAGGGTGCAGGTTTGTGATTGTTTTGGAACTTTCCTTTCTCCACCGCATCATGCAGCGGCTGTGCTGACTGCCCGCCGATCAGCCCTACGCCACTCTTTGATCTGGATTTATGATCTCCTCTGTTCAAACGTCTCTAGGTTAATTATTGCATTAAATAAACCATGATCATTTGACCCAAGTCAATGGTTTTGGCCAAAGCTATTCTATTCTTCTATTCTCCGATTTATTTATTTATACATGTACAAAGGTGGGCACTGGACCCATGGATATACAGCCGCTCAAACCAAACATTGGGGGTATCATTTCTGTGCATCTCGTAGCAAGCGATGCACATCAGAAATCAAATACAGACTACCAGCAATAACAAGGGGACTACCTTGAGCCACCTCGCTGGCCCATTTAAGGGCGGGAGTAAGATCGCCTTCAAAACTCTGCACTTTACCAACATCTGGCATAGATTCGATAGCCCCCTTAAGTTCTGTTGCATTGGTAGGCATAACCCAAGGCATTCCATCCACAGGCCCAAATTCAGCTGTGGCGATATTATCTCCGGGTCGAATGATGGAACGGAAGACGCCAGCCAAGTCCTTTCCACTTGAAGCGGCGACCACCCAAGTCACATTTTGGGATTGGGATCGCAATTTGCGATCAACATATTTGCCGAGGACATCGGCCGATTGGGGATTATGAGCACCATCAAGAAGGACAGGTTCTTCGCGGCCAACGAGAGACTGAATACTGATATCCTCCAAGCGACCAGGCCACTTGACGTTAGCAAGTTGTGGAAGCAATGAAAAGGCGTCTTTTTCTGGGCGAATTGTGCGTAAAGCGAGACGCAATGCTGACACGGCACAGCACATGTTCTCTTTTTGATGAGGCTCGAGGTCTAATCTTTCAAATAATTGTGCGAGTGGCGGTAATTGTTCCTGCACCTTGTCTGGAGAGACAAATGTTGCGTCAATACCAAGCTCTTGAATCTGGCTAGACAAGGTCCTCAACGCAGCCGCCTCATTGGTATTATCAACCACGCAAGGTACTCCTGGCTTCATAATCCCGCCCTTTTCTTGTGCAATCTCTTCAAGTGTTGAACCCAAAAATGCCTGGTGATCCATTCCGATCTTGGCGATCACAGAGACCAGCACATTGCTCAGTATATTTGTGGCGTCTAAGCGGCCACCCATGCCTACCTCAACCACGCCAATTTCGACTTGTTCATGATTGAATATCTCAAAAGCGGTTGCCGTCAGGAGCTCGAACTCGGATGCTCCAATCCCCAACTTCTGGTCTCGGAGCTTGACTTGGTCTTCGATTTGGCGAAAGAGAGATTCTTGAACAACCCGTTCCCCAATTGTAATACAATCCCAGCGATCGATCAAGTGTGGAGATGTAAAGCGACCGCATCGAACACCGTCAGACGAGAGAAGGTGGGAAAGATAGGCGCTGATGGAGCCTTTGCCGTTTGTCCCCGCAATATGGATGGCTTTCCAGTTGAACGGAGTTTGTTGTAGGAGACGCGAAACGCGGCTCAGACCTAACTCAATCATTCCTGCGAGAATCTGTATGTTTATCAGATATAGTCAAGGAGCATGATCAAGCAATAAAAAGAGCGGGGCTTCAATGGCACGCCGACAGCGACAGCTTCAAATTATGGAGACCGAACGGGAAAGCGGAGATCACCGCCTTAATGCAGAACGATAAGAGTCACGTGCAGAATCCAGCCACACGGCAAAAATCCTAATCTTCCCCCTTCCGATCGGAGACTCCATCCATCCCCACTAACTACTGTATCCCCCGGAGTCGCGTCACTTTGTGTTTCTTGAAGTTTCTTTTATCGCATCCACTTTTTTCTGTTTTTTTTTTTGATTTACATATCACACCATCAGTATGGGTATCCCGTAAGTTGAAATGATCCCGCGATTCAAATTGATCGCATGCGCCCGGTCGCCCAGTCAACTGACGATGATTACAGACTGTGGCGCGAGCCGTCCGAGTCAGATGCTCTCAGATCGGCCGCGGTAAAAGATGCTACGGCTGCTGCACGATCTGCCATTCGGCGCCAGGGTTCGATTCGACGTCCCTCGCGCCACAGACGTGGTGCTGGTGGCTTATCCTATTTCCATACACAGATCCTTGATGAGATCCAGCGTGGTTTGGGTGAGACCCAAACGGGTGTGCGCTCTCCTGTGCTGAACCTGGGAGTCAGTGAAGACGGACTAGATCTAGACTCCAGTCGTCGCGAAGCTTTAGGCCGACCTCCCACGCGCCCAATAGCACCTCGCCGGGGAGACACTTCGAGTCGACGTCCTCGAATGAATCGGGAGATGGCTTTGTCTGATCTACTCAGTCGCTCGGAATCTCACTCTCAATCCCGACCTGAGGCGCGCGTCGATAGTCCCTCATTAACTCCCAACTTTGCCCCTGCAATCGCGTACCATACCTCAGTTCCACCTCACCCTCCCTCGGAGTCTATCCGACACCCTACACTCCCTCCCCCTCCCCGCTTGCGGATCCCCGATATCCCTGATCTGACGTCCGATATTCTACTTGGATTCCCCAACGTTCTCCGTAACGGATCTGTCAACAGACCTACTCGCGCGTCTGCCATCGATGGACTTGGTGATCGGCAACGAAGCGTGAGCCCAGATGGAGACCATGAGAACGACGCATGGGAAACATTGCTCACTACTATTACCCCGGATGCTAGCCTTCCTTCTAACGATAACTCTTTCTCTTCGTCGACTACCGCCCCCACTACTACCGGCGCCTCTCGCAATGGCCTACGTCGATACTCTGCTACTTCATCTCAAACATTACCCCCTGTTCATATGGCATTAGACCCTTACCCCGACCACCTCAATCCTTGCGACCTGAGCTCGTCGGATGACGAGGATACCCCCGTCAATTACCACCGTGTCATTGGCCCATCTGGTCTGCCTATTGCGCTACGTCGGCCACCAGGGCTTCCTTCGACCATGGGCAGCCAACCTACTATTCCTACAATTTCCTTTGCCTTCTCGGATTCTTCGAGCGAAACAGACCTCCAGCAAATGCAGGCCATTCTGGACCGTCTTGCTCGCCGTCAAGATATCCCCGATGATTGGTGGGCGGGCGCTGGTCTCTCCCGTAACCTGGGCCGTGGCCTGAACACTGGCACCAACGCCCGTACAAACAACCATGAGCGCGCCGAATGATGGATTTATTGGCGCCCCGTCTTTCTACATAATGCATGTCACAACTATACTACTTGTTACGATAATGGTGTTTCCCTCTTCATGTTTCTATGGTGTCTTTGTCTTTTTGGGGGTGTTTATTTTCTATGACATGGTTCGATTTTTAAGGGCGTTGACAGAGGCCTTATGCTGTTCCAATGGTTCTAGGGTGTTCTGATTTTGTCTTAGCCAATTCTTATCTTCTTTTTCGGGCTGGGATGCACAGGTTCCCCCAAATATTCGATTTCTTGTTTCTGGCTTTCGAAACCCTCTCATGTATGCAAATACCACTTGATGATCGTGCATTTGTCGCTTGTCATGTCCCTCATGGTGACCATTTTCCTGTTATCCAATCAAAAGCGCACAGTCCCTCACATATTGCCCATGTGCATGATGTCATGCTCAGCACCTTAAAGCGCTAGTGAACTATCAGATCTACCGTACATGGATGGCCCCGGGTCTCTTCATTTTTATATGTTATCTTTTTAGACAAAGGGTCGACTCCAACCGGCACGATGGCGAGCCAATGATCTGTGACGTATGTTTCCACGCTTCGGAGCACAGCAGTCCCCACCGGGATCAGTCATAGACGGGCGCCCCGCCAATCCATTATCGCGGGATTCACGAACAAATCTTGACAATGACTCTACACAACCCATACATATAAACAAGATACCAGTCTCTGCTGCTACTGAACAGGCTCATTTTGCGATCCTTGCATCTTCCGGATATTCTACAAAGCGTTCATCCATAGAAAGCTTCCACGTTACATTCGCACGCGACACGACCAAACCTGAGATTGCGCCGAGCCAAGCAGTCTAACTCAGCAAGCATATCCCAAGAGCCCGTCTTGAATAGAAGGCTACGACTACCCTGTTCAGTCTTATCGATACTCTCATTATACTGTATATCATGAATCCCCAGGTGGAGCACCTGGTCAGGAAGACCTGGGGTAAGTGGATTTCCTATCTCCAAATCTGACATCCCCCCTTATCATGGAAGTGCAACCTGGACCTTTGGCCTATTCCTCAAGCACTGACATCCCCGTGTCATCCATATATCCTCAATATTCTCATTTACTAATCGAATTTTTCTAGCCAAGTTCTGTTCCACCCCCGATGACACCCGCTTAATGATTGCCGTCAGCGGCATCCCAGGCTCCGGCAAAACAGCCCTAGCCAACATGATGACCCAAGACATCAACAATATCCACGCATCTGAGAACCCCTCCTCCCCACCTATCGCCGCCGCCATCCCAATGGACGGCTACCACCTAACCCGAGCCCAGCTCTCCGCAATGCCCGATCCAGCCCATGCCTTCGCGCGTCGCGGCGCAGCCTTCACTTTCGACGCACAGAAGTTCCTTGATCTAGTTCACGCTCTTCGGAAACCACTCACACCAGATTCAGCTTCAGTCTATGCTCCTAGCTTCGACCATGCTATTAAGGATCCTGTTGATGATGATATTGCCATTCCGGCTACCTGTCGGGTTATCTTTTTTGAAGGCAATTATTTGAGTCTTAATAAGGAGCCGTGGAGTTTGGCTGCTGGTCTGATGGATGATTTATGGTTTGTGGATGTGGATTTCGAGATTGCGAGGACGAGGTTGGTGAAGAGACATGTTAAGGCGGGTATTGCGAAGGATGAGGCCGAGGCGGATAAAAGGGCGAGGGAGAATGATTTGGTTAATGGGAGGGAGATATTGGAGAATCGGTTGCCTCTTCAGGAGCTTGTTTCGAGTATTTATGATCCTACTTGGGAGAAGTCATAGCCTTTTTGGTTGGCGATAGGTTATTTAGATGGATGGAGATGATGGAAAAGCATTTTGTTAGCGCAATAGATTTGAGGGCATATAGATGATAAATCATGACTTCAAGTACAGAATTATTTTACACCATACCCTGCCTATGATTATCTCGTCTTGTTGCACGAGTCGTACTTGGAAGGTTAAATTAATCTACCACTGCAGTGGCTGGCTGTGACATGTAGTATATAGTACACCAGTCCATTGCCCCTACTTATCATTAGGGACCGTGATGCATAGCACCGGTATATCTGCGTCGGGGCTGAATACTACACCAATCACGATAGCCCAGGCCATGACTTACATTTAATTGTACTTATATGATGCAACTTGAAAGATACTTGCCCTGAACATTGATCGCGAGAGTGTTGAGTCTTTCGGATTAGATATAGACACACTTGGCAGAACCATTGGCTAGTCTCCCTTTGGAATCGGCGGGTAAGACATTGACAACACGACTCTGTTCTTTGGAAAATTCTAATCTATGGAAACCCGTAATTTTTTGAGAGTGGAATACTCCTCGCTTGCTGTATAGTAAAATTGATCATCGAACATTAATTCGATCCCTCCTCGTGCGGCCGATGATGTAGACAATCAATGTGACAACAGAAGCCGCCCGACACCAGTTGTCCCTGACGCTAGGCGAATCTAGGTATAGCGGGGTGCTCGAGCGTGGGGAAGTAGTGAGACACTAGTAACAGTAATACGGTATTGATAAATTAATTCATGGAGCAGCTCCATAGTAAACAGACCCTCTCCTCAGGGTTCTTTACAGAACAATACCACCAGGGTCATGTCAATCAACTGCCCCATTGGGCACGACGAAACTGCGAAAGTTGCCCACATCTTAGGACCCTGACCCTGAGTCCCTTCCATTTCGAGGTCCGCTATCTCCCCTTCGTCACTCTTTGTCCTCTATTTGTCTACACTCATTTTTTTTCGCAACCAGTCGCTCTTTCGATCACTACAGTCCTTACTACCCAAGCTTACTACTCACTACAATTGATTACCTGCGCGATCTTTCCAACCAACTCTCGCTTACCATTCCGATCTGTGAATTATTTCTCATCATCATGTTGTTCAAGTCGACCTTCGCCCTGGCCTTTGTGGCCCTCGCCAACATCGCTTCCGCTACTGTGACCCCGGCCTGTGTTCTGTCTGTTGTCGGGTAAGATTTAGCTAGTCTATCGCGTAATTTCGACCACAATGCTGATGATTCACAGCGACACAAACAACCCCGATAACGTCCCAGCTATCTGTGCCTCCGACTCCCTGCAGTCTGCCATTGAGAAGAAGTGCGACAATGTGCAGTCCTCCCTGAAATTTGTCTCCAACATTTGCAAGAGCTACGGTTACGACTTTGGTAAGGATATCAGAAACTGGGAAATACTAGATCCAAGTTTTTGCGATCGGATATCTCCGTCGCATATATGCCAAGCACTGTGTAAGGCTAACCTTGATTTAAAGATTACTCCTCATCATCCTCCAACACCACCAGCAGTGCTACCTCTACTGGTACTGGCTTCGTCACTGCCACTGCCACCGGAGGATCTAAGGCAACTGGTACCTCCGGCGCTACCACCGGCACCAGCACCGGCTCTACCTCTGGCAGCGGTGCCTCTGGTTCTGCTTCAGCCTCGCCTACACCCTCTACTGCCGGTGCCATCACTGGACACCAGCTCTCTGGCACCACCTTCGTTGCTGCGCTGTTCTTCGGAGCTGCCGCGCTTCTGTAAGAGAGCAGCAACAGAATACGACTTGATCTCTTTCCGCAAGGTACCTCTTTCGGATGTATTGATAGTTAATTGGTTTGGATATGCTGCGTTGAATCTGTTTCCATCTACCTTATGTTTCGAGGAAGGGCGATATTGAGCATGTTGAATGTCTTGCTAGTACATGTGACTTTGTTTCAACGTCCACACCGCTTGTTATTTTAGAAAGGCAAATGCAATTGCTTTTTGGTGTTCCCATTATGGCTTTCCCCCCTCTACCCCTTTCTTAGCCATTGAGTCATGGCTGCATCGGGTTGCTGGGTTGAGTGCAGTAAGGAGGCTAGAACTAAGGGTCGGTGTGTATTTGTATGCGCGAAACCGTCACTTTTTGATCAACAATGCGGGGCCTTCTAGTAGATGAAGTGCGATTGACGTCGGAGTTGTCTGAGCCCGGAATGTTAGGCTCCGCTCGGTCAAGGCAGTACCGATGCCATGCGTGCCACGTCCTTCCGAGCATCGGACAAGCTCAGACACGTAGTCACATGACCTGCACGATCCAAAGTTCGGATTTCCTAAATCGATTAGCTTCGTAAAGATGGTACATTGAAAGTTACAACTCCATCTACAATTGAACCTGCTATTAGGGTTGTTAGAGAGATTGTCTCTTATAAAAAAGATATATATACAGCAGGCTATCAGGGAACGTGTCAAGCAATTTGCTAGTGCCTTAAATAAAGTCAAAATGGCCATTTAGAGAGCCTAGGATCATGGAGCTGCTTGCTGGGAAATATACCCCAACCTACAGCCCACTAGACAGGCCATGCAGCGTCGATCTCAGCCAAAAAAAAAGGCCCAAGCATGGCTAAAGTGAAAGGTCTCAAGAAGACTTTTAATCCAGAGTTTCCCCTGCCTTTTTCAAGTACACTTTCTTGCTTCCAGCTCCATATCTACAAGTTGCGGTCAGAAATCCAGTGTATCAACGCTTACCAATCCAAACCTTTTTCAATCAAGCCCCACTTGGTGCAATAATTACTCAGAAGCTGCTGCTTAGGAAACACGCCAGCGCGAAAAAACGCGTCTGCCCCGGCGACATCAAATATCCTCACCCCTCCAATCCATCTTCCTTTCTTCCCATCCCCTCCTCTACTTTGGAGCCTCCTCATACACTCTCCTCCCTGCCCCCCAAATCTCTAATACCTTCCTATTGCCTTCATCTCTTCATTAATACCCCCTGTGTTTTAATCTTTCTTATTTTCCCACCACATCCTCCTTTTTCCCGCCAAAATGTTCGTTTACAAGAGAGGTACGTGCAATTCTTCCTAACCAAGATTCCTAGCCCTCGACACGCGGGGCAGCTTCCTCCATTGCAGAGGAGGTTGACAGCTGGCGTTGCCACCACCTCGTGAACACAGAACTGACATCGTTTGCCACAGATGGACGCAAGGAACGCGTGCAGTTCGACAAGATCACTGCCCGTGTCTCCAGGCTGTGTTACGGCCTTGACGCAGAGCACGTTGATGCTGCTGCTATCACCCAACGAGTTATCTCTGGTGTCTACCAGGGTGTGAACACTATTGAGCTGGACAACTTGGTACTGCATCCTACCCCTCGCTATGACTATGGAACAAAATTTGCTAACCTCTTATCCACCAGGCTGCCGAGACTGCGGCATACATGACCGTCACACATCCCGACTATGCCATCCTGGCCGCTCGTATCGCCGTTTCCAACCTCCACAAGCAGACCAAGAAGCAATTCTCTATGGTTATCCAAGATCTCTTCCACTATGTCAACCCCAAGAACAATAAGGCCGCACCCATGATTTCCGAACACATAAACGAAATTGTTCAAAAGCATGCCGATGAGCTTAACTCTGCCATCGTCTATGACCGTGATTTCAACTACAACTACTTTGGCTTCAAGACTCTGGAGCGATCATACCTGCTCCGCATTAACGGAAAGGTTGCCGAGCGTCCTCAGCACCTGCTCATGCGTGTTTCTGTTGGTATTCACGGTGAGGATATTGAGAAGGCCATTGAGACCTACCATTTGATGTCCCAGAAGTTTTTCACTCACGCTTCCCCCACTCTGTTCAACGCTGGTACTCCCCAGCCCCAATTGGCCTCTTGTTTCCTCGTTGATATGAAGGAGGACAGTATCGAGGGTATCTACGATACTCTGAAGACCTGTGCCATGATCTCTAAGACCGCTGGTGGTATTGGCTTGAACGTTCACAACATCCGTGCCACCAACTCTTACATTGGCGGAACCAACGGCTCTTCCAACGGTATTGTTCCCATGCTGCGTGTGTACAACAACACCGCTCGTTATGTCGACCAGGGTGGTAACAAGCGTCCTGGTGCTTTTGCTATCTACCTTGAGCCCTGGCACGCCGATGTCTTCGAATTCCTGGATCTGCGTAAGAACCACGGTAAGGAGGAGGTTCGTGCTCGTGACTTGTTCTACGCTCTGTGGACCCCCGATCTTTTCATGAAGCGAGTTGAGGCCAACGCCGACTGGACCCTGTTCTGCCCCAACGAGGCCCCCGGTCTTGCTGATGTCTACGGTGACGAGTTCGAAGCCCTCTTCGAGAAGTACGAGAGGGAGGGCCGTGGCCGCCGTACTATCAAGGCCCAGAAGCTGTGGTATGCTATTCTCGAGGCCCAGACCGAGACTGGTAACCCCTTCATGCTCTACAAGGATGCTTGCAACAGGAAGAGCAACCAGAAGAACCTGGGTACCATTCGCAGCTCCAACCTGTGCACTGAGATTATCGAGTACAGTGCTCCTGATGAGGTCGCTGTTTGCAACTTGGCTTCTCTGGCTCTGCCTACCTTTGTCGATGCTGCTCGTGGCGAGTATGACTTCGGCAAACTGCACGAGGTCGTCCAGGTCCTGGTTCGCAACCTGAACAAGATTATTGATATCAACTACTACCCTGTCCCCGAGGCTAAGAAGAGCAACTTCCGTCACCGTCCCATTGCCCTCGGTGTCAACGGTCTCGCTGATGCCTTCCTTGCCTTGCGTCTGCCTTTCGACTCTCCCGAGGCCAAACAGCTGAACATCCAAATCTTCGAGACTATCTACCACGGTGCTCTGACTGCCTCCTCCGACCTGGCCAAGCAGCTCGGAACTTACGAGACTTACGAGGGCTCCCCCGTCTCCCAGGGTATCCTGCAGTACGACATGTGGGACCGTACTCCTACCGACCTTTGGGATTGGGCTTCACTCAAGGCCAAGATTGCCGAGACTGGTGTGCGCAACAGTCTGCTGGTTGCCCCCATGCCCACTGCCAGTACCAGTCAGATTCTCGGCTTCAACGAGTGCTTCGAGCCCTACACCTCCAACATCTACTCCCGTCGTGTGTTGGCTGGTGAATTCCAAGTTGTCAACCCTTGGCTCCTGAAGGACCTGGTCGATCTTGGTCTGTGGTCCGACAACATGAAGAACCGTATCATCGCCGATGGTGGTTCCGTCCAGAACATCCCTAACATCCCCGCCGACATCAAGGCCCTGTACAAGACTGTTTGGGAGATCTCCCAGCGTAACATCTTGCAGATGGCTGCTGACCGTGGTGCCTTCATTGATCAGTCCCAATCTCTTAACATCCACATGAAGGAGCCTACCATGGGTAAGATTACCAGTATGCACTTCGCTGGCTGGAAGATGGGTCTGAAGACCGGCATGTACTACCTGCGTACTATGGCCGCCTCGGCGCCTATCCAGTTCACTGTCGACCAGGAGGCCTTGTTGGTCGAGGACACCAACGTCGCTCGTAGCAAGAAGCGCGTCGGAGGTGGTGGTGCTTCTTCCTACTCCGCTGTACCCCGTGCCAACGGTGCTGAGGCCGTTATTGCTGCCCCCGTCCAGGAAAGTCCCCGTACTGTCGTCGAGCCTACCGTCGTTGCCCCAGCCAATGTCGTCCCTATCGTTGAGGCTGCATCCGAGGCTGCTGCTGCCCCCGCTGAAGGAGAGGCCGCCGAGGGTGAGAAGTCTTCTGGCGATATCTTCTCCGACGCAGTGCTGCAGTGCAGCATCGAGAACAAGGAGGCCTGCCTCATGTGCCAGGGTTAAATGTTTCCCTTATCGATGACTTTGACGTTTCTTCTTTCCATTTTGCCATTTCCCCCGTTTTGTTCTGGTTGGATCTGCTTTTGCAATGCCACACGCCGTGTGATTTATGTATCTATATTATGAGATTGATGCTTCGATTATTTCCTTTGTTTTCTTTTGGTGGGTTTCTTCCAGGCGCGAATCAAGAATTTTGTTTTACATTTCCTACTAGTTTCTAGTTCAATGACATCTCACGCTACTTGACAAATTCTTTTCCCTCGTAAATCCGATCGCGTAAGATTTTGCCGATCACATTCTATAGCTGTATCTTGTTCCTTAGTACGAGGACTGGTATTCATATTCTACAACTCGAATACTAGCTATCCGGTGCCCATTGGAACCAGTGTTCTCCATTTCCATATCCGGCGATACCAATATCTGGCACGATACAAACTCTGAGAGCGAAAGAATGGATCGATGGGTTCATCCAAAGAGCCGAACCATAGATGCGATAGATGCGATCCAGACTTTGATTTACCCCATGAAGTAGGTTATCCGTGAAGTTGAATCCACCAGTCGAGTTCCTGTTCTCATAAGTTGATGCGCAGTGAGTTGAGCAGATGCAATTAATGCGCTGGTGTCCCTTTGATTTTGGATCTGGGTGAAGATGCCCCTCCGGAACAACCGGGATAATCTCGACGCCACGAGATGGACACATTCCTCATCTTGTCAAGATCTCACATTCCGATCTGTGGATCGTGCATGGTACCTATCAATAATTGAAGCCCCCTATGTACTCATACATCGTTCGTTACCTTTCCCAGCTGCCATAGTAACCTACAATATTCTGTCCACATTCCCCTCTTCACAAGGCTCTGTATCGCACACAAATGCCCTCAATCTTGCAACGTCACTCAACCTCACGAAAGGACAAGTCTAACCTACACTCTACATCTAGTCCAGTCCAGGCCAATTCAATTTCGCCCATTGTACAGAGTACAGAGTAGATACAGTACAGTGTCTAGCCATAATGCATCTTCTCATTCTGGGGTGATCGTCGGCGAAGTGGAGCAACAGCGACTGGTCTAGCGAGAGAGGGGCTGCCGCGCAGAAAATTCAAGAATGGATGTCACTCACCTTCCCGATTGGCCTTAATTGGTCGGGAAAGCGAAGGTCCCGTTGAGTCTAGAATCTTTTTTCGCGATCGGCTTGGTTTCATGTTGTCAGCCACGGATCTGGGAAACCTGGTACCTACTGGCATGGTGGGACGTCCCAGGGCGCGAGCGTTTACACGGGACAGCGATTATATTTCATACATCCATTTAATTACTGGTACAAGTTTCTGGTAGCATTGTGCCTGTAGAGCGGGGTCGACGGTACAGTGTCGGAGGTCACAACAGCTGCAGATACAGATACAGATACAGATACAATCTACGAAGTACTGTAAGATGAAGACGAGCGGATTGCCTGATGCTGGCCCCGGTACCTGAGCGTGAACCTTGTACCTGAATGCTGTCATATTTCTTTGAAGGTCTCGCCTTTTTGTGGGAGTCGCCACCGTAAGCCACTCTTTTTCAAGCCCCACAGGGGTCACAGATGGATATTTGTCTATATGGCAGGTATATCGGGTATAACTGTGAGTACAGGAGATTGAGGGTTGAACAGGGGTGGGAAACCAGCGCACTGATGGGGGCACAAAAGGCCTCTCATGCTGTACACATTCCTTGTATGCAATTCGTAGGGCATCAGCATGGATAGTCCAGTCAGATCACTCAGCTGAGGCTGTTGAGCGTGTTCAACATCGTCTTGTCTCATTGTGCGCCAATTGAAATGCGACGCAGGGACCCGCAGCGCACACATACCCAATACGACCTGTCAGGGGTCTATTGGGCGGCCGAGGCTGGGTGTTTGCAAGCTGGACAGTTGGAAGTTGTTTCCCACTCGTTTGTTGCTCAATTTTTGTTTCCCAATCTTTCAGATCTCAAGTAAGTTGCCGTTTAAGAGATTTCAGGAACCGGAATTGGCAGGGATCAAAATCTTGTGTATAGCGTGGGGAATATTCCCATTGGTGTGATGAGATCGGCAGCTTCAACCGCTGGGACCCATAATTAAAGGGGAAGACAACATTTGAACGGTGCCACCCATTATGGATCATCGTCTGCCCCCTGGCTTGCGTAGGCACAACTCAATTCAATCCAATCCAATCAGGTTGGAGGCCTGAATATCCGGTGCGTCCGATGCTGGTACCTGGTATCAACAAAGAATATGAATCTTTGTATCCTGTCGTAAATGTGGCCTGAATGGTGAATAGGTCAACGGAAATGAAACCCCTAATTTCAAGACCATCTTCATCTCGAAATACATGGATTGTGGCTTATGGAAGATCCATGGGTTCGAACAAGAAATAAAAGTGGAGTCGAGGGTCTGACTGTTGACTGGGCATGTACAAAGCGGGATTCCCTCTTTTTAATTAAAAGCATCTAGATCTCCCCTTCCACCTTCTCTCTCTTCCTCTCTTTTCTTCCTCCCATCTTCACAACGAACAAGCCCATTCCTTTGCTTTTTCGACTTCCCATCCTTTTCCCATCCTTTTCGTCTCGACCTCTCGTTCTTTTGAGTGTTCTTGACGCCGAACTGCTGTGCAGTGACCAATCATTTATCCAACCTTCAACCTTCCCTGTTTGAAGCTTCATTCCTTCCTAAACACAACCAACTCGAAATCATGGCTCCCATCACCAAGACTCTTGCCCTTGTTGGCGCTCTCTTTGCCATTTCTGGCGTTTCTGCTCCCATTGAGAAGCGCGCCGTCGTCTGGGAGACTGTCACTGACATCGTTTGGAAGACCGTCGATGTCACCACCACCGTCCAACCCCAGGAATTCATCGCGACTGCAACTGTCGTCCCAGTGACCACCACTTCATCTGAGGCTACCGTAGAGTCTACTACTGCTCCCAAGCCTGAGGAGCACCGACAGCCCGCGACCACTAGCTCTTCTTCAACCACCAGCACTACATCAACTCCCGCTCCCGCTCCTGAGCCTACCGAGCCGTCCACCACATATGTCGCCCCTGCTCCTGCAACTACCCAGGCTCCTCAGACTACCGAAGCTGCCCCCGCGCCCGTTGAGCCCACCACCACTGCCGAGCCTACTACTTCTACTTCCGCCGCCGCCCCCGCTGCTACCTCCAGCTCCTCCAGCGGCAGCAGCGGTGGCTCCGGCTACACTGGCTCCTGCGACGAGGGCTCTCCCTGCACGGGACAGATGACCTTTTACGACACTGCTACCTCTGCCAGCGCCCCCAGCGCCTGTGATACCACCAACGACGGTCTGACTGAGATGGTCCTCGCCCTGCCCTATGAAGTCATGACCGACAACAACGCCTACTGCGGCAAGACCGTGACCATCGAGTACGGCGGTGTCACCCAGAAGGCTAAGGTCGTTGACAAGTGTATGGGCTGTGACTCCACCTCCATTGACCTTTCTCGCGCTCTCTTCGAGGTCTTCGACTCTCTTTCTGCCGGTCGCATCCACGACGCCAAGTGGTACATCGACTAAATTCACGACTTGCGTCGATAAAAAAATTCCGAATGGGAAATCTCTGGTAGATTCTTTGTTCACCAAGCATATTTTTTATCAACGGTCTTGATGATCTTTTTTTTTTTTTTTTTATATCTTCGTCCTCATCTGAAATTACGGGATGGTTTCAGCTCCAATTTTTCCATTGATTCGTTCTTAGTGATTTCAGGCTGGGTCCTCTTTTTGTCTTTTCATATTCATTTCTTACATTCTTTATGAGTTCCCCTTTTTATGTGCGCTCAGTGAGCCGCTTTACACCTACATGTTGATAGACTCGCTTTTTCTTGTGACAATACTACCGTGATGGCCCATTTCAAAGAACTCAACTGCAACTGTCTGCCTCCCTTGCATGCTGAGCCTGCCACCATTTGGTTCTTTGGTATCCAGCCATTCAAAAGAATCTGATTCAATCTGCAAACGGAGTGTGTCATGATGATATCTACGATGATCATGTCTGAAACGAACAAAAAAGAAAAGCTGGCTTGCATGACTGAAATAGGAATAGGAGTTTGGCATCTACGTACTGTATGCTAGATTCGCATTCGATTTCCTGAGTTTGAATTTCAATAGCTTGAATCAAGTCTCGTTCTTTACCTACCTCTCTCTCTTTGTTATGGTCTTAGCTTTGAGACATCTCAATATTAAGTAGGCAGTTCCCACTATCCTCGTAAGCACTCCCTACTTAGCTTGGATTTAGTGCAGCTATAAAAAGGAAATGACGCAGGTACCTGAAACAAAAGTGGTATGAGCCAATAATAGTTCTTTATTTTGAACGCTCGGCCACCATCGAAGCTGATCTACGCTTTGTTGATGCCTGTTTGCATAGCCTCGTGAAATCACCCCTGAATATCCCATGCGACACAGCCACCAAAGCAACTAAATTGACTTTCTGATCTATGAATGGAAGGTCTCCACGGAGTTCCCCGTAGGAATTCTCCAGTTCGTGTATACAGGTTGAAATTATGTACATATTTGGCAGTTCATAATGCAGCTAAAGACGAGCCCACACTCGGTCAAACTCCACCTCCACATCAAATGTACCCTTAGCAGTGGTCCACAGTTGCGTAATTATCGCTCCACTGGTTCGAGCTATGAGCGAACGGTTCATTCCGCGTCCCATGCTTGTTCTAATATACTATGTTATCGCTAGGTTTCTGGAGTAAATCATCAAGAAATCCATTCAACAAGCTTGCTTTCTGCATATTACGCGTTGTCCTAGTATAATAAACTGCCCAAATATGCTAGGTATTTGTTGTATTCCTGTATAAGAAGAGTCCTTGGACTATTCGTAGAACTTTAATTCGCTCTGGTGATCGTGCTAGCAAGACTTTGTTTTCGACAGCCATTCCTGCGCCTGGTGTCAGTTATCCAAGAATGAAGCTTCGTAGTTATTCATCTCACTTTATGACCTGTACGGTAGTATCATGGGAACAGTATCGGCTAAGATTATGATATTGTCTTCCGTATAGCTTAAAGACTCGCTAAATATGGACGATTATGATGAGTTTTTTGTCGGGTGGAATTACGATATCGAGACTCACTTAACAAGTTCTTTATAAAAGCAATATGAAGTTAAACCTTTGAACCTTAAAAGAAACAAGATAAGCACGTTATAAAATATCCAACGATTATAGTCAATACATTAGTAACGATAGTATCTTACGTACGCTCGACATAGGCGATGACTCTATAACCTTTGAAGCTGCATTCGCCTTGAAAGCGGTTTATATAGTACTAGTAGTAGGGAATGGATATTAGTTTCTGAACAACATCACGTCTTTGACAATACCACTAACTACTAGTATTGCTGTCGTTTTCGAATTGCAGCAGGCTTTTTGCTACGCAGCTTAAATGTTGACATATGAACCAAAAAGTCACATTTCCTCTTAGCTTGCATTCATTATCAGCCCGAGCGTTAGGCTTCACAGTCTCGCTCAGGCGTCAACCGTAAGATACCAATCACAGTCAGGACCAGCCGTCTAGAGTCCATGCACTCAGTACACTTTGTAATAAGCCCAATAATGGGTAACAAAGGCTAAAATTCTGGACATGTGTAATTTCCGACGTGTGGCTTGATATCTCTTGGGCACTTCACTTGATGACGGGATGCTGTTTGGGCCTTGGGATTGATATCTCGGCGTTACACTGGCGCACCAAAAGACCCAGCTGTGCTGTCAGTGGAAAATTTTTAATTCAATGTTTGAACTCATTTATGAAATATTTGCAAAGTACACAAGTACCGTCCTGCTACCTCCGGAGTCAATCGCACTGAGTTGGCCCAGGATTTAAACACGGTAGCCTCGCAATATGCCCTGAATGGATGCACGCTTGATTAAGTGCGGGGGTTGGAATTTTGGAATGTAGCGGAAAGTCCGAAGATTGATATCATCCAATGCCAGTGCTCGGGTACCATGATATACGCCGGATCCTTTGATGGAAATAGACAGACCTTGGCATAGATACAATGTAACTTATTGGATAACCTGGGTGTCGATCACATAAGCCTTGAATGGTAGCCTTGTGCTCTTTGAACTCTCCAAGCCTTGAGATAGACAGTCTACAGTGTAAATCATTGTTCTTGACCCACTCAATTCCATATCTACCTCTCGTCTTGAATAGCCCCCACACACTAGCCCGGGCAACTTTAGGAATATATCCCAAAAGGGACTATACCCAAAAGGGCAGGAAACGCGAAGGTATATGGATATACTACTATAAGTAGGGGGGTGGTCTAGTACTCAACACTCCCGTAAATGCAGGTAGACTTGGAAATCAAATTGAAGAATAAATTTTGACTATCTTCAACTATGTCTCTGGACGTTTACAAAGACCGTGACTACATTTTCAACAGAAATGCTCAATCTAGTGTCCGGTAAGTAGCTGGGCTCTTCGTGCGTTGATCATGTCACTAAACTCCAATAGCCTCAACTATCAACACTACTTGATTACCCAGCTCACCGAGAATGATGTCTTGCATAAGTCAACTAAGGAGCTTATTGATGTCTCAACTCCTCACCGAGTCGCAGACGTCGGGACTGGCACAGCGTGAGTTTGATCTGACACCGCTGAACTAGTATATGAACTCAGTGAACTCACATGAAACAGCATATGGCCACTGACCTTGGCTCGTGCCTTACCTCATTGGCAGGTCGATGGCTTCGATATCTCCGGAGACCAGTATCCATTTGCTGGTTGGGTACCAAGCAATGTCAATCTTTATGAGCATGACACTTTTCAGCCATACCCGGACGAGTATCACGGGAAGTACGACATCATCAACATCCGATTCATGATGACCCTGCTCAATAAAGAGAAATACCATCTCCTTCTACAGAATGTGAAAGCGTTACTCAGTACGTACAGTTCCATATCATGATCAATCTATCATGAATATTCCTTGCTTAAAGCTAGATTCAAATTAACAAATATTAGAACCTGGCGGTATCCTTCAGTGGCTTGATCCCATTCCCTTCAATGTGAAAGCCATCGCTCCCGAGGGAATGGATACACCTTTTACTTCTACAACTGCGGCGATGTGGACCAAGACCCCACCCGACAGTGCCGAGTAAGCTTTCTCATCTTCTGGAGTCTAGCACTTTGCAACATTCTGAAGTGAATGCTAACCTTACCAAGGTGGATCACCTTGAATGGCGATATGGTGAAGGCCGATGGATACGAACCTGTTGCCTGGGAGGAACTTCATTTTGAGGATTTCCATCGTCCGATTTGGAATCAGTGTTCATTTATGTGCCTAGCAGAGATCATTGAGAATTTGGCACAAAGCACGGACGAGGCTGTTGTTACTAAGCGTGAGGCTCTGAGGAAGCAATTGAAAGGGTGGGCAGCGGAGTGTGAGCAGGGAGCTTCTTTGGATACGCCGTGGTTTTTTATTGTTGCGCGGAAGCCTCTTTAGATAATTTGAGGTTTATGACCCGCTGTCAGTCAATATTGGTACCAGTGACTTTCAAGTTCAATATTCAACGTCTATGCTCATGTCTGCCTGGACATTGTCATTCCGTAATGACTCGGTCGAAATTACGCTCTTTCTAAAGTGATCATTGACTTTTGCAAGATTCTCTCGTTGGTTTTTGGCTTCGATGAATGCCTCACTGTGGAATGTTGGACCCACAGTCGATTATTCTCTAGGGTTCTAGTTTGTTTCGAGACGATGTGCTGCAGGCATCTATCTAGGCTGAGCGGCAAACGCGGGCTCTTTCCCCTGAAGAGTAGTTATATATGGTTTGCAGACTTTAATGCGATTACAAACACTGGTATTTGACGATTGCTTTGATCTTCAGCGTATTCCGCGTCACAAGTATGTCGTAAATTCTATTCAAGTGGGTCGTTTGGATGTATATGCAAGATTCATGATCATCTAGTACCACCTGGGAAGGTGACGACTATCAAGACAGTTGTATTCACGAGGTATGTGTACGTGTCTACTCCTCGAACAAGAGAACATAAACTATATCAGTCATACCAAGACCAACGTGAACCATTTTGTTTGTTTAACGGAGATACTCGCAGTTCGCCTGCTCGCTTGGGCCTATGGGCCCCACATTTAGACGCCGGGACCAACGCACGAGAAGGGAGAGAGAATTATTATCCATCTTGGCCACCTTTCACGTCATAATGGATAGAAAGAGGAGACCCTGAGAGACAGAGGGAAAAAAAGACGTGATTTTCTTACGGTGAAAGGTGAAAAGTCTTGGAAGTTGGAGTATAAACCCATTGAAAATTGTGACTGGGTCGCATACGCGCGCGATCTCCGAGATACGTCCCGAGCTATTGGACCAATCTACGGCGGAGCCCGAAGGATCAGCCAACATGGAGACAGGTTTGAGGCGTTTTTCACTTCAATGCTACATTGCCGAGGGCGAGACTCGTCATCTTCGCAGTGAAGGATTTCCGTTTGGTATTGTTGGGTGTCTATCTACTGCCAGGCTTCCAAGGGTCTATACATGTGTATGGTATGGTATTATATTTTTTGTTTTCCTTTTTGGATGAGTATTTTCATATCCATCAGACATTGTGTCACTAGGCAGATTTAACAGGGGTCCCAGCCTGAGATAGATATTCCACATGGTCAACACGTCTCACTTGGGTGGCTTGGGAGGGGAGGGGACTTGACCCACTACCAAGGGAAAAGCCACTTAGAGGGGGAGAGAGGATGATCTCTCGGGGTCTACCTGTTGGATTTAGGGATACAGGGTTCGTCTGTTAATTAGTAGCATCGGTTACTCCGTGTGAGATACCCCGTATAAGTGATTATAAGTAATAAGGGCAAATGAAAAGGGAGCATCCCCTTAATCTATTCCATCGGGTTAATCTATTTCTTTTATTACCACATGCAGTCTATAGATCTCTAAGGGGTCAATGTACCTTCAGCTTAAATTATCCGATCAAACAAGGAACACTAGAAACAGTGAATACGAGACAACTGCCATACAGAGAATAAAGAAAATTTTCAATTGAAAAAATAGAATAAAATAAAAATCACACAAAAACTTGAAAGGCGCAGCATCATTGGCGAAGTCCCCAGCTGAAGGCTGAGGGCAGATCCAATGATCACCACCAATCAGCAAAGGCAGCAACGGCGCCATTGATGCAAGGTCAGTGTCCCCGCCTTAATTGATCCCTCACCTGAAACTTGAGCGATGGTTTGTTCATCGTTACTTTCTAGGGTATGAACAGGCCTCCCTGTTCCCCCCCAATGGGGCTTTTAGTTTGTTTCACCTCCTGCGCCGCAAGGTTCCCGGTTGCCTTTCATTGGCCCAATATGTGGTCCCTCTCCATTATGTTCCTGAGCCGTCCGAAGTCTACACACTCACACGGAGAGCGGAAGTAGTTTGTTCTCCACCGTTGTTCAAGGGTACATATAACCCCGAGGGATGCCTGTCTCCTGAAAATCAAGCAAGCAAGTCTTCTTCTTCCCTCTTTTTTAACCGTGCTGGGCACTCTCTTTCAGCAAACATGTTCACCCTTCCATTCGTACGTATTGTTCCTTTGTATAGTATTCACTTATACTATACTCCCCCCCCCCACACTGTGAGACCCGATCGATGCGATAAGGATAAGGATACTAACGAGCCTCATCAATTAGCTTTTGGCTGCCGGCAGCCTCCCCCTCATTTCCGGGGCGCCGATAGCATCCTCTCTCTACACCAAGTCTGCACGCGCAGAGTCCAGTCCTTCTCTCAATGAACGCAGTACTAGTCTTATTGGTATCTATGCTGCGGTTTTCGGTGGTGATGGTTTAGTTTCCGATGGCTGGCCTTCCATCTCCGAGTGGTTCTCCTCCTTCGATGAACTCTTCGAGGCCAACGAGGACCTCATGTCCTCCAGCTGCGCTCAATGGGACGTGGCTAACAACTCCGACGAGGAGAACGCCAACCTCAAGAAGGCCATCAACGAAGTTGCCGAGTCTAGCGGCGTTGACGCTCGCTACATTCTCTCCATCGTTATGCAAGAATCCGTCGGATGTGTCCGTGTCCAAACCACCGATAACGGTGTCAACAACCCTGGTCTCATGCAAAGCCACAACGGCAAAGGCTCCTGCAATATCGACGGCACTGTCCAGAACCCGTGTCCCTACTCCGAAATCAAGCAGATGATCGTTGATGGTGTCGAAGGTACCACCGATGGTGATGGTCTCAAGCAGCTCATCGCCCAAGAGGGTGGTTCCGACGATGCTACTTCCTACTACAAGGCCGCCCGCTGCTACAACTCCGGTTCCATCGCCTCCGATGGTAACCTCGGCCAGGGCATCGCCACTCACTGCTATGTCTCTGATGTCGCCAACCGTCTTCTGGGCTGGACCTCCGGTACTAGCAGCTGTGAGACCAACACCGTCGGTGACCTGGAGAGTAGCAACTGGACAGGTAGCTCAAGCAGTGGCTCTGGTAGCTCTTCTGCATCTTCGTCTACCTCGACCTCTACCTCCAGCGCTACACCCGAGTCTACTCCCGTCTCCAGCACTGTCCCCGAGCCAACGATCACATCCAGCGCCGTCCCTGAGCCAACAACCACCTCTAGCTCCGTTCCTACTCAAACGCCAGAGCCTAGCCCTGCGCAGCCAACAACAACGTCGAGCCCCGTGGTTCCCACACCAGCTGCATCCAGCACCACCATCCCCAGCGCCACGCCTAGTGCGTCGGCATCGTCAGTCCCTACCTACCCATACGCTACCTCATCATGCTCCGAGTACTACTCCGTCGTTGACGGTGACTACTGCGAGAAGGTCGAGAGCCTATACGGTATTACTGCGTCTCAATTCCGAGGTTGGAACTCGGGCTTGGACGAAAAATGCTCCAATCTCTGGAAAGGATACAAATATTGTGTCAAGGCATAGATTTTTGTTTTCCTCTTTTTTTCAAACTTTCACTTCACTTCACTTTTACATTTTTTTGATTCAACCTTTTTTCAACCCTTGTTTTTGAACTTGAGGCTGTGCCATCTTGATCTACGACGGGTGAACATTTCTTAAAAAAGATGTCTTGAAGAAGACAGTTGGTTATTTCGCAGCGAGGGTCAGGCCGGTCTTGGCCCTTGTTTGCTAGCCAACATGACTTGACGATAGCTTTTTTCCATTTTTTCTCATTTACACTTGATACCACTGCGCGCTGCAGACAAGAAAATACAACAAAAGATCATTCATTTAGATATTCCCTTCGTAATTGTACTGTAAAACCGACCATCCACTGCAGGTTACATGTGCAGGGGGCCCTATGTATGGAGCAACGGGGCGCGACAAGGATCAAGCTAATAAGCAAGGCTCCAGGCCCCAGTGCCCCAGTGCCCCATTGAGTATGGCCCCCGGGGCAGCTAAATCTTCCTCCGCTCTCTCTAGTCCATTGCCAATTTGATTGATAGGTGACGAATCCATATCTCAGTGGCATCGCATACCCCCCGAAATATTCGAGGACACAATTGAATATCTCGATCTGAACAATATCAAAAACCTTCGACTGATAACCAAACAGACTGCACAGTATTGTCTCGGCCCCAAATTCCTTTCCTACACATCAAAGACAAAATTAGATATCAGAACAAACAGTCTCCAGGCAATTAAAGAACGAGCTTCACATCTTGCCTTTCGAAAGGCCCTGCGTCGCCTGATAATTCAATTAAGATTCCAGGACCATGCAGACACATACCCGGAATTCTTCGAACAGACCAAATGCCACACACCACCTGGAGGCGCGCCGACAATTGAATGGCTAAAAACTCCACGGAGCGAGCGGAAAAGCCTATCAGATGAAGTCATCATCGAATCTCTGGTGTATGTGCTGGACCGTTTTCCAAGCCTCGATGAGATCAAATTGGAGCTTTGTAAGGCAGTTAGCCCGGACAAAATTGTGTCGTCCACCCACGGGGACAGATCTCCGTGGACATCTCATGCGACTGGTCTTGTATTAGCTGCCGTGATTGCGAGATCTACGACTTTACGACAATTATCCATGTACAAAGCATGTGGAATTAATAGATCCTTAGATCGATGCTGTAGTATCCCCATAAAGAGAATTAGTGCTTCTCTCAACGGATCGAGAAAAGCTTAAAGGATGTTTCCTTACCACTTGAAAATCTTGGAATGCATATCTCCTGCAAAGACCTGAACTCTTTCAAGCCTATCTGGAATTCGAGTCTTCCACATAATGCCCAGGAATCTGATCTTTCAGGCCTAACACAGGTACTGCAGTGCACGACTAATCTTCGAGAGTTAAGTCTCGCCTTCGATCGTGCCCGTTATGACCATCCATTACGTACCAAAATCCATGGCTATACATCACTTCCTATGCCTGTGAACTGCTGCTACATACCTTTACAAGCATCTCGAACGACATCTACTTGCCCCACCTCAAGCATCTTTGTTTGATCGATTTTCCAGTCACAATCAATGCCTTTCTTACCTTTCTTGAGAAACATGAACAGATCGTTTCACTTTACATTGAGGGGCTTGCTGTCACTGAAGACGAGAGATGTGAGCCCGTTCTCAGCTCCGTTCATACAGACCTCCTGCATCTGGAATCTCTTTCCATCTCATATCTAAGACAGGGAGAACATTTTGTTGAGCTGAATCCTAATCCTATGCTAAAGCCCCTTTGTCCTAGAAGATGGCAAATGGGCCGTATGCATCATATACATTACTGTTCTTCGGACTGAGAGGTGGGATCAGGCTCATAGGTACTTTGGCCGTCTACGCCGTGGAAACTTTGAGAAATCGAAATTTGTTTTCTCTCGATTTTCAGTCTCCTGGAACTGTACTATTATACCTTGGTATGATGGACAAGGGAATACCCCTATTTATGCGCCGATGCAGAAAGTCTTGGTTCCTGGTGTGTATTCCTTTTTATATCATTTCTCTGTGATGTGTGAGAACTTTCACCATGCTATGGCGAGCTTTGATTCTATATTTTACTCCTGCAAGGCCTTCTCGACGACCATAACGCCTTGACTTGAGCCACCGATTATTTCGAAGTATAGATGTACCAATGGACCGTGGACAAAACCGTGTATCAAAACATGGTATATACAAAACAGTATGTATAGTGGGATGATATTCTCGATATAGAAACCTTCTGCATCTGGATGTGATAACGGTCGGTGCAAGTATAAACGCCGTGACAATCCTTGCAGGCGCTAAACAACGTCATTCTTCTCATCTTACTCAGAAAACCCATAAAGGCCCTTGGTAAATCTCACCTGAATGTTACCTCTTCACATTTTTCTTCTGCAGTGTGTCATGCGGTCATTCTGCATCTCAGCAAGGCTACCAGTAAGGTATCGAGGGATACCGCGGAGATACCCCGCGGGGGCCGAGCCGGCGCGTAGACCAAAGATCCTATTCGCTTTCACGTCCTGCATCACAACATTGCAGAAGATGACGTTGAAGGGCTGAGACAAGCTTTTCTTGTATCGGGTATTATGCATTGTGTTTTTCTAGAGGTTTCATTTTGAGATTCTTTGTTCTCGGGCGCTTGCGAACATGGGATGGGTGTGGTGGGTCGGATGTGTAGCCGATGCATATCCTGACACACTTTTATTTTCATGGGGGAATTATGTCCGATTGGTAAGATATCTTGTGGCTGATATTTCAGTTGATTTGATTTGTTCAAATTTGCATGCCATCTTACGAGGCCTGGGGTCAATGCCGTTGGTGGCCTTACAGCATGGAGAGAAGTAGATAGAAGACTGCAATAAACCCTGAAGCCTTGGTGGGGACGCTGTTCGCATGACAGTATGGTTGCACTTTAGATATTCACAGATAAATTGAACTTATCAGTCTGAATTTGATCACTGGCCAGTTCCAAATTTAGAATCAGGAACCAGAGTGACAGAAATTCACGACTCGCAACTCGCAACTCCTTCTACTGTAGTTTTCCTTCCCAGTGCAGTGGCGTGACTACGGTACACTCGCAAGGTAATGTAGTATTAATTTTGAGGCGCTTGACCACCTTCCCATAATTGGCCAGTCCAAAACACATGTGGCAACCCAGTGGACCAATAACATGAATTGAATTCGGCTACAGGAAGCCCGTTCCTGATCTTTTATCTTTAGCTCGGAAAAACCGCCCCCAGAATCCGGAACCAAACTACATCGAGCCTCAACATCCGTCGAACCCCGAGCTTAGCGTGGAAAAAGGGCCCAAATTGGGGGTCCGTCATTCAAACTAGCAACAAAAAAGTGCGATGACTGGCTCCCGCAACGCCCCTAATATGTCTCAGTTGGATCAGTATGGCTAGTTAAGCATAGTAGTGTAGCGAGCTTGTGCGAGATTGTGCATAAGAAACAGGGTACAAAGGGTGCCTAGGCCCCATTCCCTACTTTCTGGCCTTTGAGGTTTGGTGTTATTTATCGCTCGCTTTTCTTTTGCTCTTGAGGCGTACTTTTCCGTCCGTTTTATCTTGGCTTGTATACTGTACGGAGAATTTTAGAGATCTGTGGGTATCAGTTGTCTACCTGAGTCATGTGGGGAGCCTCAATCTTGCCGCTCACATTGGCTTTGCCGTGTGTTAGTGCTATTACGCTGCACAGACGTGACGATCCGGCTGTTCTCGGATTGCCGATTGCTCGTAGTGAAGCGACTCGTGCGCTGCAAAAGCGCAGTTCTGATATCGTTAGCACATCGCTATACAATAATGTATGTATCTTGTGAATCTATTTGGTTGTTTCAGGCTTTGGGTTGGAGACCAAGTTGTACTTGGGAAAAACCTTGGAAGTCGACTCAGATGAATGGTTTTACTAATTTCTCCGATAGCTTAATACGTATTATTTGGTGAATCTCACCATCGGCACTCCTGGTCAGAATGTCTCGGTCGCTATCGACACCGGTAGCAGTGATCTCTGGGTCAATGTTCCTAATTCAACATACTGCTCTGGAGATGATGATCTCTGTGCATCGGGCGGTACTTTCGATATCAAGAAATCCTCCACTTTCAAATTGCTGGACTATGATATGAACGCTACATATGTCAGTGGTTTCTTGGCTGCTGGTCCTTACGTGACCGACACATTGGAGATTGGAGGAGTTACCGTGAAGGACTTCGAGTTTGCAGTGGCCGAACAGAGTTACAATGATGGTAAGTCTCTTTTTGTTAAAGAAAAAGAATCTGTTCCTCTATCTCAAAAATAGCTGCACCGGGCTAATACATTTGGCGATCATCTGCAGTTGGCATTGTTGGAATCGGATACTCGGCATCTACTGATGCTGCTGCGGCCCTGGGAGAGGACTACGACAATCTCCCGGTGGCACTAGCAAAGAGCGGTGCTATCAAGTCAGCCGCCTATAGCTTGTGGTTGAATAAATTCGATGGCACGGGCAACATTCTCTTTGGAGGTGTCAACAAAGCGAAATACCAAGGCGAGCTGCAGACCTTGCCTGTCGTACCGAATGAGGGCAAGTATACTTCTCTGACCGTTGCGTTGACCGAGCTTTCTCTGAAAAACTCCTCCGAGACGAAGAGTTACACCACCGGTCTGCCATTGGCTGTTACTCTGGACAGCGGAACCAGCCTTACCATGCTGCCCAAGGCCCTGGTGGATCCCATTTACAAGATAGTCGGCGCCACTTATGATTCGAAATACGGCGCCGGCTCTATCTCTTGCGATATGCACTCGGCCGACTACAACCTTACCTTTAGTTTCTCGGGTGCCACAGTCTCAGTCCCAATGAGCGAACTTGTTTACTTGAACTATGCCGAGCCTGATTTCGCCAAGGGCGACTGTATCTTCGGACTTGTCTACAGTGAGCCCGGAGAGAATCTGCTGGGTGATTCGTTCTTGCGTAGCGCCTATGTGGTCTATGACCTTGACAACAATGAGATCTCAATTGCTCAAACGAACTATGATGGTGGCGACGATGATATTGTTGAGATTGGTACCGGAACTGCTGCTGTGCCGGGTGCTACTGCGGTGGCTTCTGCTGTCAGCTCGGCGACGGGTAATGGAGCTGTTCAGACTACGGCCGTTTACTCTTCTGGAGCTGAGACTAAGACTGTTCCGGCATCTGCTACTGGTTATGAGACTGGATCTGCGACTGGATCGGCCACTGGGTCCGCTGAGAGTGGTGGTGCTACTAGCACTAGCTCTTCGGCTTTGGGAGCTTTGGCCACTAGCATGCCAAACAATTTACTGTCTGGTGTTTTGGGCGCTGGCTTGCTGCTGGCTCTGTAGTTTTTCTGTCGATAAATAGTGGTTGAGTACTTTTGCATATAATTTAGCATATTTTTTTATATTTAATATACCTGGAAACTTCGGTTGATCATCCGATTGTTTTAATACTTATCTTTGGCTTATAAAAGCTTCATAATTGGGAAGAGAAATTCGAGCTCAATGTCAAATAGATATCTCATAGATTGAGGCCACTATATCTTCCAACATGCCCCAGCAATGATTGTTCTTCTACTCTCGCTCAAGACTTGCTCGATAAGCAATCTTTGCTAGCAACGGCGCCATACCAGCATGATTACATTCGGGTTGAAACTTCTTCTTCCACAGTGCCTCACTATTCTCACGTCCATCCCGCTTCTCAAAGCTGAACCCAGGCTGCTCCACAAAACAATTATACTGTGCATCGGCTCCCCTAAGAGCACAAATTTCATTACTAGCACAGGCCCCAGTACAATCAGGTACCTGGAACCCGCGTGTCCGTCTTGCCCAGTAATCCTGGAAAACACTCGCATCCCCTTCCATGGCAACAGTAACATTGTGCCAAAAGGCAGGCGTGAGTTCAACATGTGCATCAGTCACTGGGGGATTGAGCAGAGATCCATAATCTTTCTTGGCGGAGTAATACGGCACCCACTCTGGTTTTTTCTGTGGGTCGCTGATATCAGCGGTGTACTGTGTGAAATCTAGGACGCCGAAGGTGACGGGATCAATGTCGTAGACTCGGAAAGAAGGCGGGCCGGACGTGGGCGTCATTGATGGCGCAACATAGCCCATTGCTGTGGCCGTGTCCCAGTTTCGGTTTTTATAATTTGAGTACGAGATTTGGAACTCGTCTGTATGCGTATGACCAAAGAAGAGAGCTGCGATAGTTGCCTCGTATCGTTGAATAATCTCATCGAAGTAATGCGAATGATCGTGGAAGTGATCCGGATCACCAGATGGGATATGTGAGATCAGCCATGCGCGCTGGCCGGCTGATTCAGCTTCATGGAGCTCGTTGATTAGCCATTCTAGCTGAGAATTCGGATCATATTCCATTGGCTCGGTGTAGGAAAAGAAGTTGTATTTATAGTAGAAGATGCTGTTGTATGAGATAACGCGTAGGTTGCTGTTTGGGTGGATGGCCGAGTACGAGCCATGCTCGTTTGCACTTTCAACAGATTGTACACCTGTTAGACCCACCCAGTCTGAAGCGAGGGTATCGTATGCCCATTGAGGATTATACTCACTGGGTAGCTGATTTGATGGAAAGAGATTAAGCGGTGCGGCGTCGTGGTTGCCGAGTGCGGCGTATACGCGACCGAGAGTCTCCATCGCGCTGTAGGTCGCGTTAAAGTCTTGTAGGGCTTCGTCTTTGTCCACTAGCCAGACGTCATGGGCTACAACATCTCCGGTGTAGATTGAGAAGGCCGGGTTTAAGTCTGCAATAGCCTCGTTCATGTTTTCTTGGAGTTGGTGCGGAGGGTCACAGTTGGAATTTCCCCAGGGACCACACGGGGCGGAGGTATTTCCTGGTGCATCGCCTTCTGTGTATGATCTGCAGCAGATGGGCTTGGTGCAGTTATAATTGGATCCAGTCTCGTAGGATAAATCAACATGTGTGTCGCTGAAATGGCCAACTTTAATTGGGGGCTTGCCGCTGGGTGGAGGTCGAGTAGTTGGTGGTTTGGGTGAAGGGAAAGTCAAATTGTATGGCCGGACTGCTGGATAGTCACATAGTCCTACAAGACTGGCGCAGAATGTTTTGGCAGTGTGAGAGCCAATTTTCAGATTCGACAGGGAATAATGGACAGAGGGTCCTTCATTAGCAATAACGCCAGCACAAACATCAGAATCCTCGGCCTGGTTATCATGTTAGTTACTGAATAACAATCCGTGTTGATGCTGGAAAAGGTCATTTAATTTCAGTATTGGATGCCCAGATCTACTCACACCGCTAATATCACAGACTCCAATTAAGACATCTTCCATGAAAGACTCGCCAAAATCTGCTACTAGCTTCAGACCACCTAGCAAGGCCTGTGTATACGAAGAGTTTAGCCATTGGAACTTGAAAGACAGAGTTTAAATCACTTCCACAAGCATACCTGACAGCTCGCACAGTCAACTGCTTCTTTGAAGTCATCCCAGATGGTGGATATCCAGCTATTTGCAGATTGAGTGTGAGCACCAACAAGTGATATCCAATAGACGAGCGCCGCCACTAGGATACGCCCTTTCATTTTGTCCAGCGATGACCGTCAAGGGTCCTCGGCTCTATGAGGAGTTATAATTAGATAGATAAAAAGCAATTGAGGTTCATGAGTTGGGTCCGATTCTGAGGTAGTAGCTGAAGGAAAGTATGATTTATATGCTTTCGATTCGGCCAAAACACATGCATGTGAATCTGCCTAGAAAGACAATGCTACAGTTCGCTTAGGACCGGATTGGTTCCTGCAGCTAAGGATTAAGCGATGACGATCTTCAGATCGATGGGAGTTGGAACGATATTCAACACAGTCCATTCAAGTTGTTGTTAACACTAACTATGCGAGCATGGTTCAGCAAAGAGAATTGTTTAGAGAAAGAGCATTCGAATGTCTCGTAGCAAGCTTGAGAACTGCAGCGTTATCTCGTCGGGCGATAGATTTTATGATCTTGACCTGTCTAGGTAGAACTCATGGACGGAGTTTAATCGAGGCCGACGGAGAGGGGTTCTCGCGACCGGATACTTGAACGAGATAGCCAAGGAGACTAACCTGCAACGCTGCACGGTTAGAGAGGGGTATATAATGCACGGGTCGCATGAAGAACATAGCATGTCGAAGTTTAGACCAAAAGAAAATCAATATTTCTGATTCCATAGCCAATGTTGTGTATACTTAACCCGTCATCTGGTGTTCTTCGCCGTTTCCGTGTATCCTTAGTCATGAGAATAGAGAAATGCGAACATTGTAGGGAAAAGGACGCATCGCAGGCATATAAATTGTAACATTTCGAGACTTCTTGGGAGATTCGGCCAAAATATTGCATAATATAATATATTCATGCGTAGACATGAAGAGTGTTTGTGATCACCGAGGACCGATCAGTTCATAGAAACTGCGATGGATAAGATCAGCATCAGTCATCGGTCGGCCCTTCATCCCTGTTTGGCTAATACGCCAAGCTCATCGGAACTGCAAGTGATAAAAAAATGTGGAGATTAATGGGATCTTGATAATTGGTCCGAACCATCTGTATAATCGATGGGAGCTATTACAAGGTTTATAGGCGCGGCCAAGCGACCGAAGCTCAACTGTATAGTTCGGAGATGTAAATATCTCTCTTGGATCTCTCTTGGATAGGCCGCAAGTCCATCTGAACATCTCGGATAAATCCCGAGCTATCGTATTCTCGTTTAACCAGCACCTCTGCAATGCACCTCGGCATAATGGTATGAGGGTTGATGTGTTGGCAGCTGAGTTCACCGCGTAGGGGAATGTGCTCTGCAAAGTACGCGACTAGGGTTCGAAAATGGCGGTCCAGCGGAGGAACAGTGATCTGCCAGTAAATTTCCATTTTTGACTGGGTCTTCCAGCGTTCTACTCTGAGTTTTTGTCGTGACACGAGTCCTCTTGCCGCCCACTGGGTCTTCCCAGGGGAATAAGGCCTCATGAGTTGGGGAATTCCCAAACAAAGTTTTTTTTCGTTCGGATGGGTGGCGCCAACTGTTGAAGGATTGAGGGGTTTATTGGTTGAACCAGACCCAGCACACGCGAGTGGAGATGTGGGAATATTGAAAGTCTCATGGAGCCCGGAAGGGGAAGGGGGAGAGGGGATGGTCAACGCACAGATCCGAGAGTGTATGACATTGTGCAGAGTAAGACATTTAGAGCTTCAGAGCACTCAAATCTCTAAAACCCCAGTATCGATGGTAAAGTAAGAAAAGCGGTAAACAGGAACCAACGGTTTTTCCTCCAAATGCGGGAACCAATGACGCCAGGGCTTTAGCCATGATCAACCCAGCTTCACCTTCAATTTTCTCTTCCCCCGCTTATTTTCAACTGGGGATTTTCCTCTAATTTTACCCTTTCCTTCTTCATCCGTGTGGGGGCCTAATATTGCTTACGATCTTCTCTCTCTTTTTTCCTTAAACGATTCCTTTACCCTTATTCTCTTCCTATCCCTGTTATCCTCTTGGCCACATATATCCCTTTACCCCGGATTCGGCATGAAATGCAGTCTTTAACAGATCCCGATGCTCGACCTCCTTCTCTCAACACCACCAGCTCGAAGACAATGCATTAATCTGTGGATCTTCCGATTTGACTTATTCTCAAGCTTTGCGACTGCGCTGGCCTGACAAGGCCCGCATACGCGTGCAAGATGACCGGTCGCCAACCCACTACACTCGGCGTCTCTATCACCTTCTTCGTGATCGCGAGTGTTTTCGTGGCCCTACGATTTATCTCACGTATCTTCGTGGTGAGGAGGGTCGCGTTACACGATTATTTGATACTGCTAGCATGGGTGAGTGGCCCCGGGGCGCCCACATATGCTCATCGGAAAGCTGCAGCGCCCATGGACCCGGGTTGGATGCGCAAGGACGTCCTGTCATCCACCGGTCATGTGGCTTTCTGCTCTTGCCCTTTCCATCGCAAGTGTCTAGACTAACCTCAAATGTCCAGCTCATCGACTTTGGTTTCTCGTTCGCATTATTCTACGCGACCCGCAACGGACTCGGTTTACACTCACGCGACATCCTTCCCGAGAATGAGGCCGCCCTCAACAAGGCCAATTATGTCTTCACCGTTCTCTACGTGAGTTTCGCATGAGTTAATATTCGCGACGCGCTGTTGTACAATATACTGATCCGATTTTCTATTTTCTGGTTAGAATCCGGCGCTCATGGCTGTCAAGACATCAATCCTTGTTTTTTATTTGACCTTGACACGCAATCAAAAGGTGTACCGATGGGCAAACTACGTCACTCTCGGAGTCGTCAATGCGGCTGGCTTTGCGTTGACCATGATCAATGTGTTTCAATGTCGACCAATATCTGCCGCATTACTCACCAGCCTTCCATCCTATGCGCATTGTACCGACATCGTCACGCTATACCTGTCTTCATCCCCCGTCAACATTATTACCGATTTGGCGATCCTTTTCCTCCCAATGCCGATCCTCACACAAATGCGCCTACCAAAGAAGCAGAAAATCATTTTGGTCATTACATTCAGTTTTGGTTTTTTCGTGGCAATCGTTGATGTTATTCGAATTGCGTTTCTTCAAGAAGCCGCTATCTCTCGCAAACTAGCTGTAAAGTCCATTCACATCCAGAATGTTGGGGCTGAAGACTTCAGCTGTACGATTACCCATTTATTACAATCAAATATTATCCCCGCTGTGGTATCAAGCTAATTCTATCTAGGGTATGCATCGCTTTCATTCATGTGGTCTGTGGTCGAAGTCAATGTATCCATTATCTGTGCCTGTGTCCCCAGTCTCAAGCCTCTTGTCACTCGCCTCTTGCCAAAGTTGATCAAAGATTCCGACGACCCATCGGACCCTACAACAATTCGTTACGCGAACGGAGATGCCACTATCCCTCTACCTGCTCCGATTGCCATGCCAGACTCCGGGATGCCTTCTCCAAACTCAAGTCCACATGATAGCAATGGAAGCAAAGCCTCCCCAGGGAGGAGGGAGAGTAATTCCACCCACCGCCGAAACTCCAATGTACCGATCACTTTGATGGACATGCTGGGTCATCCTGAAACAGGTCCGAATGATACAGAATCCCACACCCAGACCGGCTCGTCTTATCCAAACATTACCTTTTTTGACTTTGTCAACATGAAGAATCCCCACAGCATGCTCAAGCTAAACAATAAAGAATCGATCACACCCATTGCGCTCACCACGCTTCTTTTCTTCCTGTGGGGTTTCGCATATGGCTTGCTCGATATTTTGAATACTCAATTCCAGACCATCGTCAATCTGGACTCTTGGCATTCTCTTGGATTGCACGGCGCATATTTTGGTGGATATGTTGTTGGACCGTTACTTGTTGGTCGTCCGGTCTTGAAGATATGGGGATTCAAATCTACGTTTATCACCGGGTTGTGCATCTATGCCTGCGGAAGCCTAATATTTTGGCCCTCTGCGGTTCTTACTTCCACGGCCGCGTTTACGGTCTCCAATTTTATCGTCGGTTTCGGTCTCGCCGTCCTGGAGACTGCTGCGAATCCGTTCATCGCATTGTGTGGTCCACTGGAAAACTCCGAGATTCGCTTGAATATCTCACAAGGTGTGCAAGCTGTTGGAAGCGTTCTGTCCCCTCTTCTAGCAAAGAAGGTGCTCTTCAAGGACGTCCAAGACGTTGCATCTTTGGTGGACGTTCAGTGGACATATCTTGGTATTGCTTTGTTCGATGTGCTTCTCGCAGTAGCTTTTTATTACATGCCCATCCCAGAGGCCTCCGACGACGACCTGGAAGAGTTGGCAAACCGCCGTCTCGAGGATAATATGACCAAGGTCATGGGTATTCCAGTTGTCTGGCTAACTCTTGGCTTGGGAATTTGGTCTCAATTCTTCTATGTGGCAGGCCAAGAAGTCGTTGCGACCAGCCTCGGACGCTATGTCAGTGCTGTCAATACCAATTCATCACTCGACGCTTTCGATATCCTTACCATTGCTCACACTGTGTTTGCAGTGGGTCGTTTTCTTGCTGCCTTTGCTCAGTGGTTCTTGAAGCCGCGCTGGATCCTCATGGTTTCCTACATTGGCATGATTGTCTTTTCAGTCCTTTGCATGAATACTACCGGATCTACCGCCATCGTCTTCTTGAATATGATCTACCTATTTGAGAGTGGCGCTTTCAGCATTATCTTTGCTATTTCTCTCCGTGGTACCGCGCGGCATACCAAGACAGCTGCCACTTTGCTCACGGTCGGCATTAGCGGTGGCGTCTATTTCCCATTCGCAGAGTATGCCGCATACAAAGCACACAGCATGCCATACTCATTCTGCGTCATCGTCGCTCTCTTTGCCGCTGGTTCCATTTTCCCGTTGTATCTCAATATGGTACCCGCAGTAAAGAAGCAAGTCGATCCAGTACCGAACGAATACCTACGCCGTCATCGCCGCCGCAGTCGCGCACCAATCGAAATGCGACGCGAGAAGGAGAATCGCTCTGTTGGAGGTGTCTTGTCACGCCGACGGAGTGTAGTCACCAACCCGGATGATCTACCTGATTTCCAAATTCCAGGGGAAACATGCCATCCACCCATGCCTCATAATATCACCACTTCCAAGTCCAGCTCAAGCTCTCACGTCAATTCTCAATACTCCCACGATTCCTCAAAACACCGACATTCCCCAATCCCTGAGTGATGAATCTCTTTTCAATCTTGCTATGATCTATTGACATGACTCACGAACACTTCTTTTCTCTAATGCACACAACACTTTATCAATACCCCTTTGCTATTTTATGCCCGCATTCTTGGACGATTGGCCGATTTGCTTGGACACATATCTAGTACCTTGTCTTCGATTTCTAAATGAGGCTACGATGATATACCTGTACATTTAAAGAGATCTTTTGAGATTTGATTTAGCATTTGAGCGACGGCGCCTGGGCACATAAAGAGATCAAAATTAGCTTCTTGGCTACTAATACTAATACTCTTGAATCCACATATCTTCAAACATAAAAGAACCAAACAATCTTCGATTCCCAATAATTGTAATCAACGCTCAACCTCTTCACAAACGTTGAGCCGTAGCTATGCTTCCTTTAGAAACCACATCCCGCATCACCACCAGTATTGGGTGTCTCTCCACAGCACCAGTAGTGGTTATCATCAACCTCAATATTTAAGCACTGGTCTGGTGTGATCCAGAAAGTAGCAGATATCCATTCACCATTGTCGCAGTGAAAACTTTGCCCTCCATCACTGTGATTGATCTCTTCAACGCAGTCACCAATGAGCTCCTGTCCGTAGTAATCACCTCGTCCATCACCAGCGTCAAATTGCGCAATATGTGCAGGGATGTTTCCGGCGTACTGCCCGCTAGAGAACGGAATGCCCTGGGAGGTACAGCTGATAAAACCACCACCTAGAACACCATTGCTGAAGGATAGAAGGGCAGTGAGAGTTTCCAATAGTCCGAAGTGAGAGATTGTCATTTTGGTGGTTGTTGAGGTGGTGGTGGATAGTGTTGAGAGAACGATCCTATATACTTGGCAATCAATAAGTTACTCTCATACTGGCTTTTAGGAGACATCTAACCTGTATTCTTCACGAAGGTAGAAGTTGGTATGGATCCAGTTGTCTTGATATCTCGATGTCTTGAGCTTTAGCTGTAATGGATGAAGATATTGATCCTAGAGGGAAACGCGATGCTTTATATGCTGAAGCCATTCGGATATAAGTTTATATTTTAAGTTTTTCACTTCGTAATTGACCCTTATTATATGATAGAAAATGTTCTCAGAATACACTTTGATACTCCTGAATGCCGATCTCAGAGCCATTAGCTGGCGAAGAAAGATTACGGCCGTAGCGGGGCGGTTGTTCCTGGAAAGGGGTCTTTTGCGGCTGAACTAGAGTTCAGGATTAGAGTAGAGGTGAAAACATTGAATGTGGGGTTATTTTTGTCAGGTAGAAGCCAAATTCCACATAGTCTTTAGTGATGAAGAAAGGTACGGCCGTAGCTGGATCAGGATAACGGTCGAGAAAAGGGTCTCGGAGCTTTATAGCGTAATTCCCGGATGCTGTTTACAGCTTCCAGCAGGGACTTTTAGGGTGGTGCATAGATACAAAATTCTTCTCTATAAGGTTATTCTTACCACTGACCAACTTGTCGGAGTTCTGAGTAGGGCTACGACGATAAACTTTTGAGATTTAATTAAGCATCTAGGTACATAAGTGGAGGTGTCTAAGCAAACCTTGAAATGGAAAGTAAAAAGTAGCAGCTTTACTAGTACCTAAGTACCAACCAGTGGTTTGTCTGGCTATAAGTGAATTTTTTAGAAGTCAGGCCCCGAGCTCTCTGGCTGATGGTCTTCATATTCTTCTCTGTACTCCGTATAATATTCTAAAACTAGCCCCTTTCTCATGCAGGAATGACGTGGCATAACCCGGGTAATAAAACACTCTTGGACTCAACAGAAGAACGCGTTGTGGCTGAGGTCAACCCCGCATCTTTATAAGGCTTGAGCTGCGCTCCCACCTAAGTAATGATGGTTCATTTTAAGACAATTTCTTGTAGCACAAGCCATAATTACCACAAAGCTATCTATATCGGTCTTGGAATTCTATTTCGTATACCATGGACCGTACACAGCCCAAGATACCCCATTCCAAAGACCTGCGCATCAACAGAACCAGGCACCCAGCGAAGGCATCCGCTTTAAAAAATGCAGAAACAGCGGCCCTGGGTAAATCACCTTTTGGTGTCAGCTCTGGAAGGAGACAGACCAGTTTCACCTTGAAGTCATGGGCTCGATCACTCTTAGCTCTCATGGTAAATATGATGCCCCATACTCACCAGGGCACATTGCTCTTTCCGATCCAAGCATGATCTTCTAACAGTAATTGCGATTCACTATAGAAACTACGTGAAGCTATCATAAACGAAGATATATCTGCTGTCACGAAAAGTCTGAACTCGGGGATTAACCCTAATATCCAAATTGGGAAGACTTTGAACCCGCTCGTTGCGGCTGTCGAGGTTGACAATTTGGAATTGATCCAACTTCTGCTCAACGCAGGCGCAGATGTGAACCTGCCTCTAGAGCACGGTCACTTTGGTAGTGTTCTCGTTGCGGCTTGCTACCATGGCAATCACAAGTCCGTTGAACTCTTGTTAGAGGCAGGCGCGACTGTCGACATGCAAGTTCTGCACGGGGACTACGGCACCGCTCTTGTTGCGGCCTGCTGTTCTGAAACAACAAAATCAGCAGAGATCCTGCTAGATGCTGGAGCTAATCCTAATTTCCAGGTAAAAAATGGTACTTTTGGGAGTGCACTCGCGGCAGCTTGTTGTTATTTGACTGCCACGACTCTCGTTCCTCTTCTACTAGAAGCTGGAGCAGATCCTAACCTTCCACTTCTTTACGGGAACTATGGCAATGCTATATCATCTGCAATCAGAAATAAAAGCAGAAGTGCCGCCAAATCCCTTTTAACATATAATGCCTTTCTTGAGCGTTTTTCGGATAATCTATTGAGTCAAATACCTGGTTGGGGCGAGGAGTATTCGACTGGGCTATCTTCTGGGACCAGCGAACTAATTATTTTTGGCACAGAATCCTGGGGTGCTGACATGCATTCTGTTGATTTTCAAGAAGGGAAAGAAGAATTGTGGCTCTCAAGTACCGTGGCTTTGATTTGGCAAGATGATACCATAAAGCTCACAACATTGTGGGACTGGTTGAATCGTTTCGTATCCCCGTCGCTTGGATTGCGTTTGCTGAATGGGATCAGAAGGGCCTTAAAATATGAACGTGATCAGTTCTATAGTGAGCTCATCCTTATTTCTTGATTCCTAGAGAAGCAATGCTAACGAACTTAAACAACAAGTCAATGGAGACTTCTACCTTCAATTTATTGGCTCTCGTCTTATAATGCAGACCACTGGGATAAATAGAGGGCTTTTTGATGCATTGGAGTGGATATGCCTAACAGTCAGACAAGCATTGCCGGACTCAATAAGTATTTCAAAAATTACCGACAGGCGTACAGTTCATCCGCGAACAGTATATGATCTGGCCGAGCTCAAACCCTTTCCTCAGCACGCGGATGACCACAATTGTTGGCAAAAACTTTTTGACTCAGCAGTCGTTGCAGAGAATCACGGCCAACAGCCATGCCGAGGATTGGAAGTGGATTTCAATACCTTAGTTCAACTAGCAGCGGTCGAATATCCAGTCAGCGTTGGTTACGGCCTAGTTCTTATGGGTTACTCAACTGCCTTAGTTCCTATTCAAGAAACGAATGATGGCATGATATTATGGCACTTGGAGGTATCTGATGATGATTTCCAACTGCAAGTTGCTGATCTTGTGGTCATGCACCAGAACGATTGGCTTAAAACCCAGGACCTTGAATATCTTCAGTCAAAAACGGCCCTCTTGGGGTGGTGCACCAAAGCAAGGGTCCTTCTTGGTACAGACCACATCGATCCCCATGTGAATTGGTCTGGAGCACAAAACAAGCCTACGTCATGGCATTGGAAAGGTGCCAATCTCCAACTAGTAGCTCAGTCTGCCTCCCCCTTACAGATAGGGTGTCAGGCAGGTATGTCGTTTGATCGAACTATCAACACTGTTCGGTATAATCCATCTCGGAACTACCTGAAGTGTTTACAGAGCAGTGCAGCTGAGCAAATTGTTCTCTACGATGTTAGCGCAAAGAGAGCGTGGCTTGTATCATTACTTGCGGTACTACATCATATGCTCCTTGTGTATTGTGACTCCATCAATGAGGAATTCCGAGCAAACCTTCCTCCTAGAGCCACGGAGCCTCTGAATGGAGTCTCTGCCTCACTTGATGTTTTGAGTAACGCGGGTGGTCTCATCATACAGGGCACAAAAGAAGACTCTCTAACGGTTCGAGAACTCATTATGGGTTTCTCGGTGAACCTATCCAGGGCGTCTCTTCACAAACCTAAAGGAGCTCAGATCTACGGATATGAGTTCATGGATATTGTGATGGACTCTCCTCAATCCGAGCTCAAGAAACAAAAGCTTGAAAGAAATGGTCTGTCTTGGTCCTCTTTTCTGAACGAAGTTAAATGCCTATTCTGCTCAAATCTCGGTGAAGTAATTGTCGGTGCTCGAGCGCTTGTGCTATCTTCCCCTTGTAACAGTATTCCCGGCGGTTATGATTTCCTTGCAGCCTCTATGCATAGTATAGAAGGACTGTCAGCAAAGTCCGGTGGGGCACACGAAGGCAAAACCCGTCGAATATCGGCCAATCGCTTTTGGAATTTGACTGGGGATCCGTTTGAAAGGTGTAAGCACGTCAAAGGTCATGAGTCCTGTTGGCAGCAACCTGGATGTCTACAGGAGATAGATGGCCGGCGAAATCACCCCTCAAGTAGTAGAGAACGCCCTTTGACGGAATATATCAATGGCGCCTTGGTCTTCGGGGAGCCGGTGAAATCTAGAAAACGAGAGACGTCTCTACTATTTTCTGGGATGTATCAATCGCAAACAGTTACGAACGATGATATACCTACAGGGGAAGTTCAAGTTGGTATGGAGCATAATCCAACACTGGATCATGCGTTCCCAAGGATGGAGATGGATTTTTGATTCTTGACGCCTGTTGAGCCACAATTCCCCTTATCCGGAAATGTCTCAAGGATTCCGAGTACTCTTCATATTGTAAAACCCAAGAAAGACAAAGCGTTCTTCAGATCTATTCAGCTTATGAATTAACAAATTTATGTACATACATACGTTCAAGGAAATACCAACTTTGGAACCTGAGAAATCGGTCCACTTTCATCTGAACCCGTTTACCCGAACCACACAATTGAAATTCGCAGCGTCGCAGATTGAAATACCAAATCGATCCCAGGACAACTCCCCGTGCACGTCATCCAGGCGCAGGTCAGCTGAGCCCTAAAACGGTTGAAAGCCATCCTAGCTGAAATAATCCACTTAGGGCTCTGTTCATTTTCCGAGCCAAACTCTGCATGCGGATGATCCCTCGAACAGGCGTTAGATGGAGTCGACGGAACGTCGAACCAAGATTTCAACCACGGGGCTACTCTTCATAAGGGGCAATGTCTCCCGTGATCCACTTGAGAATGAAATGGTGCCCATATCCAGTCTTGCATGTGGGAGACTGATGGATATCCCATTTTCGAATATGAGTCCTCCGTACTCCATATTAAAATACTGTAAACGTCTTGTAGAAAAAAAAGGAGCTCCATCTTCTCTGAAGTTTGATTATACTAGTACGCAGTGGGAATAGCAAATCCTCGCACTCGTAATCGGCCATGCAATTTGACCTGCAAATAATGATCTACATAGATCAGGTGATATGCAAGGAGGTTCCAATTTATGCACCCAAGGTTAACACAGCATGCTTGAACTCTAGTCTTGGAACTTGATGATGACCTTGTTTCAGATGCTGACAGGCCAAACAATAAATAACGAGATGCACAAATGATTCTGTTCGGAAATATTCACCGTAACCTACGCCCCCACATTACCCAGACAAGAACTGCAGCACAAGCCAGGGGTACAAATGTAAAAAAAAAAAAAAAACCAAATGCAATTCCACCACACCAGGGGGGGGACCCTGGAACCAAAAATCGGCATTGAGCCTCGCGACGATCTGTAAATCGCGACAAGTTCATCAAAGGAGGCATAGTTGATGCTCGTAACTAAAAAGGATGATCTCGGAGATTTTCTTATAAGCATCCAATGATATTGGAGGTCCCCGTCTCCACGGGTGCTTTAGCGCAAGCTAGGCTTTTGTTTCAGCAACGCCACAACTTTCACAGCGGCACGGACTCCAGAATTTCAGCAGCGTGAAACCTTGTGTCTGCTCGAAAACTCCAGAACACTCTAATTGGCCTCGGGGCTCTTCCGGGGCAATTGGTTGCGACTAGTATAGGAATCTAGTATGTTAGCTCTTTCTATTTAACTTGATTTTGACATGATTGCTCTTTTAAGCCGGATTTCTCGTGGATTTCTTTGTGGATTGGCTTGTCTATTTTAGGCCTGTCTTCCGGTTGGGCAGAATTGAATTTAATAGTTATTTTTTCTATTTCTTTTTGCTTTCCAGGGGAAATACAGGGTTATGTGCGATTACGCGGTTCCAGAGATTCGTCAAGTTTGGTACAATCTCGATTCGTGAACCAGATACTGCTTCAATTGCTACCCAAACTCATGAAATGGCATAATTGCCAAAGCTCTATACATAATATTATAATGTTTCAGAAATATACCGAGTTATGGAGTACATATAGGGGGTTCAGTCCAACCCGTCCAAGGGTTAAACCTTTGTGGCCGGGCCTAGGATTGGATCTGGGGTGTCCACAGCGGGAAAAGGACAAACTAGTGGGGTTATAACGAGAGAGAAAAAAAATTATTGTGGTTCACCGATATCCATTCCCCTCTTTAATGTGTAAGGCATCTTTCCGCCAGTCAAATCCACAGTTATCGGCATTGATTTGCACGCAAGGTCACTCTATTGCCTCCACTCCGGCGCCGACTTAATTCAACTCCCGGCCGAAATGACGTTAAACCCCCACGGATTTGGTGCTTCTCCATCGGCGTGAACTCGAGGGACAAGAATCAGAATCTCGTATATCTTTTTCCTGGACCCGACTCCCTGGATCCGAAGGGGTGAAATCAATTTACACCGTAATTTTGATTTTCAATTGATTTTTTTTTTCCTGCTCGACCCCCCTTTACATGCCCAATTGCTGTGATCGGCTTTGGGCCACGGACATGTGAAGATAACCTTGGACTGTAGCTCAAAGGTAGAATCCCATCGTAAATAGGGTATAAATTTTTGTATGGATTGGGAATATGATAAATGAGAAAACTGAGACATCGGTGTGTATCCATCAAGTCTAATTTTGCAATATGACAAGCCCCAGATTAGTTCCCTGTAAATGCACTGAACGCTGGGAAAGATGGGTATCGGCGTGCCGATAATTTCTATCCCAACATGAGTCTTCTTCGTAGTGACCCGTGGACGCCGTATAAACGAGAGGCTTCAGAGGGTCGAGAAAAGATAAAGAAATAAAGACACACGATCGCTAGACAAGACCGAAACGGCTCAATGGGCTCGATGAACGCCTCGTCGCTGACCCTGTAGATTCGATACCTCGAACAGGAGGAAAGAAGATATTAAAATAGGAAAAAAGTGAGGAAAGGTCATAGAGGCGCAAGGATAGGTGGTGGTATTATCAGCCTCGTGAACTTCGAGGCCGTGAGTTTTGAGACGATGAGTCCTGAAGAATATCTGGCGCGCGTGGTCCAACCATCCAGTCTTCCATCGCAAGCCATTCGCTCCAGCTGCGTTCGGCGGCTTCAATCTCGGCGTCCAATGGTCCTTGTAGTGGGCGAAGGAATGGGATCGTTTCTAATGGTGACATGTCGTAGTCTTTCTTCACTGAAGCCCAACCTCCACTCTTCGCAGCGAACAGGTAGTTGCGGCGTTCTTGCTCGTGTAATGGTCCAACCCCATTGCCCCAATCATCTCCAAAAAATCCATGGAGTACTCCCGGGAAGTCCATCCCTGTCGCAACCAGTCGGCGGATGTAAGGAATTAATGAGATGGAGGGAGGTCCGGCTGGGTTCTGGCCGGCTTGTGCTGCTGATGGATCGGATGTAGGGTTCGAGTTCAAGACAGGGTTGAGTTGGCGCTGAAAGGGTAGTCGGATATTAAGGAAGGCAGATAAAGCCTGGACAGGCACGCTATGCTGGGCATGATCCAAAAAGTATCGTTGACAACTCTGATAACGTGGGTACCATTCGAAGATGTCGAAATTATCTTCTGTTCTCCCGGGAGAGGCGCCGGCCAAACCGATCATGGTGGCCGGATCAAAATGTGTGTGCGAGTTCATGCGGGACGGTGAAGAATGAGAAGGTCGTTTGGGTGGCTCTACTGGAGGTTTGCTATTGAAGTTATGCTTTTAGCTAGCGTTCTTTTGTTCATGTCACTGGGGATTGATTTATGACTGCGCCTCCTCGGAATTGGGTCCCAGTGGGGTCGATCTCGGCTCCCAAAAGTCGGCTGTTTCAGCAAACAGCCCCCAATCCAAGGTGCGGGATCAAAGGATTGACAAGTGATATGATAGGTAGATAGCCATGGAATGGATAAAGGGCAATGATACTTGTTTGTAAACAAATCCCTCCCTCGACGAGCAAGTAATGACACTCTGCGCCGGGGGGAAGGAGAAGCAGGGGAAGGCGGGGGAGCAGAGCGGAACAAGTCTTTGAAGACCCCGAGTCCTCGACCAGATTGGGGTTTGTTCATGGACATCGGTCAAGTAAGGACCATCAAGGAAGACAGCTAGAGACAGCTCATGACAGAAGCTTCACTAGAATAGGGATTGTATAGGAGGGGGTAAGGTAATGGAGACTGAAGTGACATCAGGCTTATGAGGTAAAAGAACAACAGACATACACCATGAGAAGAAACCAAAAAGAAAACCCCAAAAACGATAGGAAGGTGGAAAGGAGGAACAGGAGATATGGATTAGGTCCAAAGAAAACCAAGTTATTCTGGAAGGTTCATAGAAAACCGGACGAGTGGGAGAGAGAAGAAAATCGTGCGGAGAGTGGATTCGATGTATACGGAGTATTTTTGGTTTTGAATCGGATCCATCAGAACGGGTCTATCCGGCTAAGCCAATCATTGGAACGAAGTTCCATTCTCAGATCTTACTCAGGTACTGCCCACGGGTCGAGGGTGGATACTGGGATCGATCTAGACAAGGGCACATTACAAGGGAACTAACTGGTTGGGATTATTCATATTATTTCCGGATAATTGGGGTCATTGGGGCTTATTTAGATTCTGGAGGCGTTATCGCAACAGAAAATTATATGCAGAAGAGTGGTCTGAATCCCTTCTGATTCCCTCGACGGTTCTCAAGAATCCTCCAATCCCCCAGCCATCCGGTACGATTAAAAGTGGGAGTTTCTTCCCGGTACCGGTTCCAGGATCCAAGGTTCGATTTTTCCTCCCCTTGTAATCCCCTTGAGACTCTCGGTACCTGAATATTCCAGATAGGTAAAGGCTGTATCCTTGCGCCGGGTAACTCTGCATATATTAGAGAGATCTCATACCCCAGTTACCAAACCTTATTGGCCAACAAAATCAAGACGGTGTCGATTCTAATAACTATCTTACCCACAAGTTTCTCCTTTTTTTGCTCCGTTTGGCTGCCCGAATGTTGACACCGTCAGGCACCTCTAATATCTTGTTTATTGTTTTGCTAGACCGAAAAAAAAGATTTAAATAAATAATAATTCATAAAAATTCATTCAAAATTCAAAATTCAGCGGTCAAATTATCATATGTGCAAATCCGAGTTCAAAGCGATACCCGAGAAAGGGGGCAACTGTCTTCAAATGGGTCCTACCTGTTCGGTGAGCAATGATGTGCCATCCAGATCCTGAGCTAGGATGCCGCTGCAAGGTGCCTAGTCATGATTGGAATTAAGCGTCCACGAGGACACTTGCCTGTGCACTGCCATTGTACGTAATGTTGCCTGCATAAGAGGAGACTGGTCAGATGGCGGTCTCCCCACTCCATATATTGATCACCATGTGCTCTGATCTGCACATCAATCTCATCATATGCTCTTGTAGCTGGCGAAACAACACCCGGTTACTATAGAATCAGATGCTGACTGGGCAAGGATGCTTACTATCTACGACATGCAGATCCTATACGAGGTTCATCATATTTTACCCCCTGATATTAAATGTGATAAAGTCACAAGAGAGAATCATCGAAACAGAGCGAGTCAGAAAAAAAGGAAGCTAAGGGCGAAGGAGGCGCTGCTGATTGACCCCCTAACAACCGATAGTTTGGTTTGCGATCGCGTGTGGCGGCATTTGGACCCAACTTGCTCGGGAAATGGAAGAACTAAAGGATTGATCTCTCCACAAGTTGACTATCCAGTGGAAAGGGACGTTCTGTCAAATCAAGCCTGCCGCATCCTGGCATCCCCTGCAAGATTCCTAGCAGCGAATCATTAGGCGCCCTCCCAGATAAGAAGAGAAAAAATTAACCAATGTCGAGAAACAATCGCGCTGAAATCTTAGACATGGCGTCACTGCATAGCACACGATCGTGAATCTCGTAAGGGCCGCGAGTCAGGCGCGAGCTGGGACCACCCACCGAGCAGTGAGCCCGGTTTACCCCTTAGCGGAGCCCAAGCTGTGACCCAATCGTAGGGACTCCAAGATGAGAAAGTGACAGAGACGATCACTGGGGCGGCTGTGTTCCACATTTATTACGAATTGGATGGTCATGGAGGAAGCGGTTCTAAACTAATACATTTAGGGTGAATGGAAGCTTCCCCTTTTCTGGAGACATTGAGATGTGGCGGGGTCCTGTCAGCTGCATGAAATCCGAGGTTTTACCCAGGGATATGGATATTCAGCTCTTTGGCACGGACGTGCGGCTTCTACGAACAACAATAACATTTGCTTTACTAGTTAGTTGCCTCATCATATCATTATTTCTTATTTCTGCTTCTATCAAGATTGTCTCTATCTGTGCTTCCTTTCTGCCGCTGCCTTCTTGGATTCGAACTAACGATCCCCTGGTTCCTGCTTGACTCCGGATTCCCCTCTAATTTGCCACATGCGGAGGCTCTAAGATCCACTTTCACAGCCATGACAGGTCACTATGGGCATTTGTCGGGCCTCGCTTTGCGATCGCGTGTCACTCGCACTTGAATTAATTAATATAATTATTTATTAACTATGAACATTTTTTCAATCGCAGTTTAGTTTCAGGGGTAATGAATAGGAGAGATGCCCAACTTAGTCAACACGCGGAAACTGTATCCACCGATCGGCCTGGTTACCTCAACAAGAAATGAAAAAGAAAGAGAAGAAAAAGGAGAAAAAATATGAAAAAAGTGGAATTGGGCAAAATGGAACGAAATGTCAACAATCACGAAATTTCAGCCATGTTGATCTCTCCAATCTCTATCTTTGAAAAAAGAGTTAAGCTGGCCATCTGCTCTGCAAGATTCTGCGGGCCGTGTCCCAGGATATGCACGAAGACATTTGGGGTTTGGGGCAGATCCTTTGGCGCCAGGGGCGTGGAGCAGGCTCCTGCTCCTGCACCATACGCGGTGCCATCAATCTCATGTTAAAATATCGCTGTTGGGTATCAACCAAAGACCAGATACTACTCAAATAGTCGATTTTTGACTGCTTTTGAGCCCTTATATCGGTGATCTAAATAATATATCTACCTAGTAATAGCTACTAGTAAACCATGTGGGCCTTGGCGGCGTTCTACAAATGCGATGGTCCCGAGGTCATCGTGCATGAGCAAAAAGCTACATATTGGAGTATATAGCCATTCCTTCTGCACTGCTACCTGATGAACGAGGCTGGGTTTCATAATATCAAAGTCTGTATTGATTTTCTGACTTTAGTCAAATTGTATTTCATTGGATTTATTATTATGTAGCGATTAAAGAAGGTCTGAGCGACAATCTTGGTTTGAAACAAGTTTGCGGTGAGAACATATGGTCAGATATGAGCATATACATGATAGTCTATGCATGCCTGTTACAGTCATCACAAGCGCTTGGTTGACTTTACATTCCTTCAGCTTGAATGGAGGTGCATTCGTAATTTCAAAAGCAATGCACTGAGGGGTTGACCGCTCATGCGCTTCTTCATTAAGTTCAAGTTGTATACCCTTACTGCATGCATGCCGGGCCGTCGCTCTTAATTCGGTGTCCATAGTCATATTACAACAAAATTGCACACGTGCCTTAGATATGTATGCGGATAATTCCAAATTCCAAGTTCCACCAAATGCGACTAGAATTAACCGAGGCTTCCCCAGGTGAGGATCAAAAGTGATCTATCAACTTTGAACCGCGGACGGCCCCAAACAGGAACAAATCACTCCCGACCCATAGAATCACTATTAGCTCGAAAATAAAAATATGGCCGATTGATTTACTTTGTACGGAGTACGAGAAACGAGAATTTCCGATAGGGAAGATAGGACATATCGATATGCATCAATAACACTCAACGAGTTGGATGCGGCTACCTCCACCTCTCGGCCGGAAGATGCAAAGGCATAAACGAAGATCTCGAGTAAGAGTATGTGTCAATATATGACGCCTGTTTTCGTCTTACCCCGTCTTTTCTCTTGATAGGGAAACCCGTCAAATAATACCCCTCCTATCAGTTTTCGATGGGTCGGGATGCACGCTTGTTGCGGAGACCGCCGATACCCTGCATGATTCCAAGGTTGTATTCAAGCGTATGCACCAGCCACTGTGGCTGAGTGGGATTGGCAGTATAGCATTTACTTTGTAAATAGAAGCATGAGTGTAGTGGCTTCAATCGATTAAAAATAACATTCAGCTGAGGGGGACATGGAATGATACTTACGGGCTGTATCATGTTGAGAATCCGGGGTAGTCCTGTGGGCTCCTGCGGGCGCTAGGTACGCCCACGGTCTGTAGGGTTATACCATGGTTGTTGGTGGATTTTAGTGATGGTTGATAGTTCTTTCAAATCAAGCAATCTTTCCTCGTCGAACTTATTTATAGCTATTTTCTAATTTCTAATCGTTGTTTTAACTAATAGTATGAAAGAAATAACGTTAAATCGCTTCTATCTCTAGATGCACTGGAATTTTCAAGGTACAAATGAATCGTCAAGTTGGCCAAATCTAGTCATTGTGCTATTAACTTCATCATACGAGAAACGAGATCAATTGCCACTTATTTTGGGGCTCAAGTATCAGGATTGTAGTGTGAAATTTGAGTCTTCGTGCTGCTTTTCTATGTAAATAGTGTTGTGCACTCGGAGCAGGATGGTAGAACTGAGTTGCTCGCCACCTAGTATGAATATCCAACTGGAGAGGAAGAATTCGGCATTACTCGGAGATGGTTGAATTTCTTTCAAGAACTTGAATGGGGTTTTCAGGAGAGTATCACAGTCCCGGATACTCCGGATCGACTTCAAAGTCGTCTCATACTCTACATATGTACGCCGTTGCTAGCACTACCGACCCCGAGGACCCTGAGGACTGATACCTGTACTTATACTACCGTCCCTCAGTGCGTGCCAAGTGGAAACTTTGACACATAGAGACTACAAATCACCTCATAGATTGATAAGATTAACACACATGCAGTAGCACGCATTAAGGGGATTAGTGTCTTTAACTAAGAAGACACTACTCCGGACTTGGAGACTTAGTTTGCTCCGCATTGAATCGGAACTGGTCCCTGACTTGAAGGCATGTGGACCCCGCCTTTCGTCTACAGCAGCTTGACCGTTGCAGTAATTCGTACTCTATGTACTGTAAGGCCCCGCTCTCGGCTCTTCTCCATTCAGTAGCGAGGATAGTGCATGTGCATATAGGTATAGCTGATGATGCTTGTTTGAGTGTGCATTGCTGACAAAGTGTATAGGTGGATCGTGACTATGATTGCTCTAACACACCCAACGGAAATTATCGTTCATTGGTAAACTCTCACGGCCGAGAGGGCACCTACAAATTCCGGCGCGAATTGATGGGCTCGGGAATGTCGACCGTCGACGTGGAGGGAGGCTCAGCCTCAATTTTGGTTCTTGATCGACAGTGAGGGGAAGAAGTCAATATTGGATTATCAGTGTTTGATCAGTCATTGAATATTATAAGGCGATTGTCGGAGGACACATGGAACCAAACATGAAGGACCACCGTGGCAAGAGGAATTATTGGGTGCCGCCGGGATTGTGATGAGCCGTCCCACAGAACACTTGTGCCAAACCCACTCACCGGGGAGTAGGTACCGTACCAACGATCGCGCAACTGCAGCAAATAGGGTTAGTTTGAGCCCTTGGCATCACACGATGTGGCTCTCTGTGCCTGACGACTCAAGCCCCGGAGAAGCTTGGACTGGCCCCGGGCTTCCTCTGAAGGCTATCACTGGCGACCGGATAATGTCGCTGAGCGCGGCATGGCTTAATAGTACAGGAAATAATGGCAGGGGAGGCAATACTTTGGTTTTTTATTAAGTGGTAGTATGATATAGAATATTTAGTGCAAAGTAAAATATCAATCGATATATTCAATTATTGGACTTTTCCACAGACATTGCCTGTTCAGGTCCGGAGTTGCCACTGCTCAGCCCCCTCCATTTACCCCTCCATATGTACCCCTCCAACATCCCGGGAGGTTGGGGAATCATATGTACCGAATATGAGGGGGTGGATATTAAGGATGGGGGTGGTCATTTTAATTGCTTTTGTGTAGTTGCTTTTTTCCGGTGTGAACATCCAGAAAGATAAAGAATTGACCAGTGTGCATGATTACTGTGAGTCAAACGGTTATGAAAAAGAATTGCATGAAAACCCGCGGCTGGACAGATAAGGTCTGTGGGGTTCCCGGGAAAAAGGGTCGGGGATCTGCGATGTGATTCGCCGCTTGCAGTACAGAGGTCACGTGCGCAAATCCCCCTCCATGACAAACACAGCCAAACAAGACAAACAGTGCAAATCACACCGAACAAGGCAGTTGGTGGCGGAATCATCTGGATTCTAATTGGACTGTGTGCATTGCTCCCTCCATCCTAGTCCTGAATTATCCTCGAATCCAATATGTACAGTAAAGACGAAGATCCTGCATTGAATATCACTGCGTCATGCATATTTATAATTTCCCGCTCTCCGCATTTTTTTGTATCATCTAAATCCCTACCTAGGGGTTTATTCTGTGTGTCTAGGTTACATTCCGGAAAATATCACGGGAGTACTAGATATACTGTGTACAGTATGTAGAAAAAATAAATTAGACCCAAGCCTCCACATCCTGAAGATTTTGTACAAATTCAGAAGGAAAACAAGGAAAAACTCGGGTTCTCAATAGTGAATTGTATGGTCGGAGAGGACCGATCCGAGAGAAGCATAGTAAGAGGTTCACGAATTTGACACGGAACGAGTAGAGTGGAAGAATGGTGGATCCGAGATGGCACTAATAGAGTAGGCCGTAGTCTGCCGCCACCCTGATAAGCCCCAATTCTGTGACCTTAAACCATAAGATAAATCTGTTATGTGGGCCCCGAATTTCGGACGTTCTTCCCACGGAAACCATTGGGTTTCATGCTTTGTCCATGTCCACACGGCCTTTTCACGCCTCTGTGCAACATCCCTCGTAGTTTCGCGGTTGATGGACTGCTAGGATCAACTCCCGTCTTTGCTTCCCACTCCACGTTGGCCGCATTCTATCGTCCGACTCCGGCTTGCTCCTCCTGCCCCCCCCTCTCTTCCGCATCGGGTCTATATAATTGTACATTCCCTCTTCTTCGTTTTTATCCTTTCAACTACTCTCTTCTTCTTCTTCCACTTAATATCTGAATATCGCCCAAGTGCGAATAATTATTTGTCCTATACCCGGAAGAAGAATATAAAAATCAAAAAGTCCTTATCAGCCATAATGACTGCCCAGAACCTCCCCTCCGAGCCCGAGTTCGAGCAGGCCTACAAGGGTATGTTTCTTATTTCTCCCAGCGTATACACTTTCTTTCGAATGCCCAGCCCTCTTTTTTTTTTTGAGATTTTTGTCTTCCAATGGCAAATTATGCATGCCCCTCCTCCCCTCCAAAAAAAAGCTTTGATCGGGTTCTGTCCGATTTAATCTTTTATCCATTCGGCATTCTCGGCAAGTGGTCCTTCGGCAAGTTCTCAGCTAATCATATCCACTTCGCAAACAGAGCTCGCTTCCACCCTCGAGAACTCCACTCTCTTCCAGAAGAAGCCTGAGTTCCGCAAGGCTCTGCAGGTTGTCTCCGTCCCTGAGCGCGTTGTTCAGTTCCGTGTTGTCTGGGAGGATGACAAGGGCAATGTATGTCCAACCCTTTTTTACTGTTTTTTTCTTCTTGGCTTTGTTGCTGACAATCAATGTTCAGGTCCAAATCAACCGCGGTTTCCGTGTCCAGTTCAACTCCGCTCTTGGTCCTTACAAGGGTGGTCTCCGTTTCCACCCCTCCGTCAACCTGTCCATCCTGAAGTTCCTCGGCTTCGAGCAGATCTTCAAGAATGCCCTGACCGGCCTCAACATGGGTGGTGGTAAGGGTGGTTCCGACTTCGACCCCAAGGGCAAGTCTGACAACGAGATCCGTCGCTTCTGTGTTTCCTTCATGACCGAGCTCTGCAAGCACATCGGTCAGGACACTGACGTCCCCGCTGGTGACATTGGTGTCACCGGTCGTGAGGTCGGTTTCATGTTCGGCCAGTACAAGAAGATCCGCAACGAGTGGGTCGGTGTTCTCACCGGTAAGGGCCAGAGCTGGGGTGGTTCTCTCATCCGTCCCGAGGCCACCGGTTACGGTGTTGTCTACTACGTCGACCACATGATCAAGTACGCCTCCGGCGGCAAGGAGTCCTTCGCCGGCAAGCGCGTCGCCATCTCTGGTTCCGGTAACGTCGCCCAGTACGCCGCCCTGAAGGTCATCGAGCTCGGCGGTTCCGTTATCTCCCTCTCCGACTCCCAGGGTGCTCTCATCCTCAGCGGTGAGGAGGGTAGCTTCACCCCCGAGGAGATCAACCAGATCGCTGCCATCAAGGTTGAGCGTAAGCAGATCTCCGAGCTCGCCTCCACCGCTGCTTTCAGCTCCAAGTTCAAGTACATTGCTGGTGCCCGTCCCTGGACCAACATCACCGGCCGTGTCGATGTCGCTCTTCCCTCCGCTACCCAGAACGAGGTTTCCGGCGAGGAGGCTAAGGCCCTGATCGCCTCTGGCTGCAAGTTCATTGCTGAGGGTTCCAACATGGGTTCTACCCAGGAGGCTATCGATGTCTTCGAGGCTCACCGTGAGGGTAACCAGGGTGCCACTGCTATCTGGTACGCTCCCGGTAAGGCCGCCAACGCTGGTGGTGTCGCTGTCTCCGGTCTTGAGATGGCCCAGAACTCTTCCCGTGTCACCTGGACCTCCGAGGAGGTGGACACCCGCCTCAAGCACATCATGGAGGACTGCTTCAACAACGGTCTTGCCACCGCTAAGGAGTACGTTCCCACCGCTGAGGGCTCCCTGCCTTCCCTGGTTGCTGGCTCCAACATTGCTGGTTTCACCAAGGTCGCTGAGGCCATGAAGGACCACGGTGACTGGTGGTAAATCCTGACAATTATCTCTTGAAGATAAACCAAAATTGTCCTTTAACGCATTTTCTTTGTTACAAATTTTGTTGAGCGGGTACTTTTTTTTGGGTAGAGGCGCTGGCTGTTTCTCTGCATTTGATGATATTCCCATTCAAGCATCACTACTGGGTTTGGTCTGCTTTTTGGAACGTCATGATGATAATGAATCGAACGATAATTGTTCAATAACTCCTTTTCTTTCCCTCGTAATACTTGCATTTGTAATTTTGAGCTCCTGAAATCTATTCGATTTCTTTTGTAAACAAACAATAGTTTTATAAACAAACGATAAGATAATGCTCGACTCCAATAACAAATGACTATAAAACCACTGCGAACCTCATGCATGATCAACAATCTGCTCACTCGCAATGCCACTAATCCCATCAATCGTCTTTAATTTCACCAACTCCTCCAGTGTTTCCTTCGGCGCCATCTCGATCCCAAGCCAGTCATTATCATTCTCCGCAAAATAATTCTGATAATCACGACTAAAGTACGCACCCGCCATCATAAAACTAATGGCCTCCATACTATAATCCCCGGCCATGATCCTCTCCCGACCCTCCGCCAACCGAGAAGCACTATCAAGCTGAACAACGGTCCACGTCTCAGGCTTCGGGTCAGATTTCATAATGATATCCCAAATCTTCTTCTGCGTAATAACCGTATCGTGAACCTGCACACAACGATTGACTACCCGCCCAGGCTGCTTGAAGACCCCCACAATAGCCTTAGCCGTAGTTCGGAACGAGGAGATACTCGTTTCGATCTCCCCTCCATCAATTATGTCCATCTTCCGATTTTTGAAATCAACGATAAACGGCAAATCAAAGCTGTATTCTAGGAATCCGCCGGGCGCAACGACTGTCCATTGGAGCTTGTCGGATCTTCCTTCGAGATACTTGTATATCTCAGTGACTGCCACATAGGGTGGTAGGGTTCGCAGCTTAGGTCCGTTCTTCGTCTTTGTGCTCACGGCGTACTCTGCTGGGATGAAGTGTTTGATACCCGCTGCGATGGATGCATCTATCAGGGGCTTTTGAAGCGATAAAGCTGGTCCTGATACAGTTGATACTACTGCGTCGTAGCCGTTTATAGCCTGTAGAAGAGATCCGACGGAGCTGTAGTCTACTTCTGACACTGCTATTCCCTCTGGTACGTCTTTGAGGGATGCGGCCGACCGAGTGAGGATTTTAACATCGAAGCCGGCTTCTAGCAATTCTTCGAGAACGATAGAGCCAAGTCGGCCTTTCTGTTCAATTTCTCATTAGCTGCGACAATTTACAGGTTGTGATTTAATGAATTGAACGACTTACGCCTGCTAGGACGACTTTCTGGATAACGACGGTGTCAGGCATAATCATTGGTGAGATTTGAATGTTGATAATTAGATGAGAGGAAATTTCTGGGATATGAAGCGATTTCGAGGCTCATTTTATATCAATGAACAGGATTCGCGTTTCCTGCCTGTCTAGGGAAAGCGCCTAATCCTTGTAGAGCTGTGTAATAATTGGTAACAACTGTGCACTCCACATTATGGTTCCCCTTATCTAGGCAATTTCCAGCGTGTCCGGCATTTTGCTTACGTTTCGCAGTTTGGGGGCCGCAAATACCGATTTGAAGCACTTTGAGTTGGGTCCTTCAAATACTAATTGGAATTAAGTGGAGAAAAGAGAAAAATTATGCAGACTATTTGTATAGTATTTTCATCGTCATTTTGGCACATTCACGGGCCTTCCATTTAATATGTAGGAAGTAGAATGTCCAAAAGATACTAATGCCTTTGGAATATCAACCCAGTCCACCTGGTCTTTCAATACTTCCGCCCACTCAGGATCTGTCATGAACGCACCAATAGCATCCATGCTGGGGAATTGATACTCGATGAAGCAGTCAAAGTCCGCGATTTGCCAATTTGGTTGATACTCGGCAAGGCTCTCTCTCATTGAGTCGTTGAGAGGTGGTGGGGTAACGAACTATGTGGGGTTTAGTTTGTGAGAAGATAGAATTTCTTGGTAGAGGTACAAACCAGTGTGTACTCGATCACTCCGTGCTTTTGGAAGATGGGTATAGCGAGCGGGACATGTTCATCAGTTATCCATTTGATGAAGGCTTCGTGGGTGTGTTCTGGCTTGCGATAATGGGTGATTGTGAGTTTCACTGGTTGACTTTCTTGTAGCTCAGTCATTTTGGAATATCGATGGTCGTTATCACGAATTTATGACTAGAAGTTATTATTTGGCTTGCTATGGAGGGGGAGATGTCCTTGATTGCTAAATGGTAAGCTGATGGCCGGCCTAACCCATTATGTACTTTGTATGACGTGAGCCCAAAGAGGGGCATTCCAGATTTTGAATGTGGACTGTAAGGCTCCCTAGGCCTAGAACTTTGCATGGTCGGTTTCTTTTGCAATTATTTTAATTCACAAAAACAGGGATATCGCTGATGCATAAGAACATTATCGATAAGTTCTATCGATAAGTGATACCGCCAACTGGACATAGATAATTTTCAATCCACGTGATCTTTTGATAAAGAATGTACCACGTGACTACCAAACAGCCGGACGCCATCCCTCGGCCCAATCATTGGTCTTGCAAGTTCTTGATCTTGACCTGATTCACTGCCAGATGCAAGAATGCCCGGCATAAATCCGATGCTATAGATACGCGTCTGCATAGTCTATATTGGGTACTTGTTATGTGTATGCCCTCATAATGCTGCCGGACGTGGCACCATCCGAAAAGTGGAGGAACTTCCTTCACCAATGTTTAGCGCATCGCATAGACGTGGACGAGTTCAGAGAATTGTCGAAGTTGATGCTCGTCCGCTCTCATGTTAGCGAAAGCGAGCTACTTGATCTACTTTTGGAAGCGCGCGGAACATCATCCATCAATTGGGATCCACTTCTCCCTGTTTATGTCGATGGCCTCTGTAAGGCGGGACAAGTTAAATCGTCTTCAGCATTAACAAGTCTTCTCAAACATTCGTCAATCCGCAACAAAAATGAACCCGGGAGCAAAACTTCTACTTTGATGACCGATGTCAAAGTCATTCAAGATGTTATGCTCTCTATCTCCACTGGGGCTATGCCGCAGACTGTTAATGAAGCCGCTGAGCTTTATTCTGCTACCGTGGAATGGATATTTGCTGTTGTTTCGTGGCACAACAACAATCCAGATATGTCACAACAAGAAGGAAACCTGATGAGTTCCCCCGATGCCATTTCGTTGATTGAGTCGCTTGGCATTCTACTAGCTGCGCTGTCGGGTACGACAAAGGGGCTGGAAACTCTTTCCAGTGACTCTCAAAGGGGTGCTTTGAAGGGATTGAAGCAAAAGCTCGGTCAGGCTCTCTCTGCCTATATTCCTCTCTCTGTCGATGTCTCATTGCCTCTTCGACAGCGACTTGATGCACTCCAGAAAGAATTTAATCTTTATGGCGAACAATCCTCCAAAACATTGGATCATTCTATTGAAGGCATGAACGTCAATTCGCTTCAATTTGAAGCATCCGTGATGAATGGTCCAGTCATTAACACCAGAGCTGGTCTCTATATTTACTTGAACTCTATGCTAGTGGGTCGGCCGTTGGTCGATGACTCTATGCTCATCAACTTCCTCTCAAACAGATACGAGGGTCACCAAGAAGTTCTTGTCATAGAGTTAACCACAGCTGCCTTCGATGTCTTGTGCAATGGTCTGCACCGCAATGAGTCTAATCGGACAATGTTTCTCTTCCGCTCATTCTTGGTCAACAAGCTTCCTGCATTTTTCGCAGCTATGACGGCCGCATCTATGGTCCCGATTAATATGGAAATGTGTGTCTCACAAGTGCTGAGCCGTTTAGACCCAAATTCGTTTCCATCCTTGTCCCAGATGTTCTCGATGCAAGGCAGTAGCATTCTTTCAGATGCTCGACAGGATTTCCTATTTGCCTGTGCATCTCATAGGTTGGTTCAGGAATCCAGCATCGAGCGACTCCTGGGAGAAAACCCGATGCAAACCTTGCCTGTGGGAGGTCCGTACCAAAAGGACGAGCTCATCTCTCAAATCAACAATACCCCTGAACGTGTAGATCAATTGATTGGTGAAATTGAGTTCATGAAAGGAGATGCAGGGGCCATCGTCGGTGCGATAACTGAGGTATGTGTCGTCAAATAGAAAACATTCTCATCAAATAATTATTTACTAACTCCAGTAGGTTATGTTTCACCTTTGCAATGGGAGGGAAACAATTGCATTGAAGAATATTTGCAACGCTCTTTCCCGGCGCCCGCAAACTTTGGATGTAATTTTACTCTTCCGGACTACAAAGCAGGTCTTGCAGCCTCTCTGCATGCTCCTCGACTCCTGGCGGTGGGACGAAGAGCAAAGTGAGAACCAGCCAGTCTACGACGAATTCGGCAGTATTTTATTACTTGTACTTGCCTTTAAATATCGCTACGATCTGAGCGCATCTGACCTAGGGATTTCGAATAACGATTCCTTCGTATTGAAGTTGTTGGACCGAGGCACTTCCAGTCAGAAGCTTCACGAGCTCACTGACAAGCAAAATAAGGATCTCGGAGCATGGATTGGAGCTCTATTTATAGCAGAGGGTATTAACGAAGAAACCATGTCTTCTTGCAGCCCGCAGGAATTCTACCTACTTGTGACGACGCTCTTCGACCAAAGTCTTGGGGCTTGTGAGTCGGAGAAGATGGATTTCGATACATTAAAGGGGGGACTTGAATGTAAGATCACGATATAGCCACTCCAATCTCAAGGCAAAATATCGACTAACATTTCTCCAGATCTGCTTGAACCTTTCTTACTCCCGTCACTGGTGATCGCCCTGACTTGGCTCGGCAACCACATTTGGGAATCAGAGAACGAACCCACAATTCCTTTGAAAACACTTCTCTCCTTGGTCAAGCCAAATTCCATCTCCGGTGAAGCGCAAGCAATTCATCAAACCGTTCTCAGCATAACCGCTCGTCCTCTCGAAGAACGCCTGAAGGATGTACGAACAAGGCACCAGTCTCGCTCCGACATAAAACCGGTCCTAGACGCGATCGATCCATACCTCTCATTCCGACGAGTTGGCGCATGTCATCGCACAGAACTCGACGGCTGGGCAGCACAAACAGCAGGTGGCTTGGCAGGGAGCATCCGAAATACCTTACAGTCAATGGTAATTTGGAGTACCAATTCCGATATAAACATGGCGCCGCAGTCCTACTCTCATCGTCAAATTCTAGCGGGGATTCGTATTCTTGGCGCTTCGCGTGTCCTGGATATCTTACTCGATGAATTAAAGTCCCAAACCGAAGCCGGCAGCGGAGACTTAGCTCTCGACATTGCAGCAGCAATTATATCTGCCCCGATGCCAGAGTCTTTTGCTGTGGACCAAAGTATTTGCCATCCCATGGATCTCACAAAAGAATCCCCGCCTCGTTGCTCGGTTCTCACCTTGAGAGATTCTCTAGCTGTTCAGCATGAGAATGTTCCTAGGGTCTCGGAGAAGGACTCACTCCGCGCAGAGATTATTGTTCGTCTCTGGCGCCGCGTTAGCGTGTTGATGGCTCCTCCATCCCAGGTCTCTAATATTGATGTCAGTAACATCATTCAAAACATGGATCTCGGCGTTGATGGTCAAGACCGTATGGATCTCGAACCTTCTAGTGGGGTTGGTGGTACTGGTATGGTAGACGATGACTCGGATAATATCAATCAAATGCTTGATAACGCCGCGGCTGCGGCTGCAGCTGCAGGAATGGAGGGCAATGTCGGAGTAGGACAAGATCTGGGGCAGGACATGGGTCTGGATGCTGGGACTGCCGGAATGGATGCTATTGACGATGTGCTTAATGCTGCAGATATGGCAGTTGGGAACCCCGAATTCTTGGATTTGGATATGGAAGGAATGTTCTAACTTCTTTGAGGCATGATGGCATTGTGAAAATACATATATATTCGATTCATTCAAGTTCAAACTTGAATGTTGGACTCAAGCGTGTTTCTTGCGATAACTTGAATATCATCATTAGGTATCATTATTAAAACTCCCGCATATCAATACTGAATATTGGCACGACACTTCTCTGAACAACTGGGCACGTAGTAGGCTTCAAATTAAGTCTATGCATGAAGACTTTGAAATTACGTCCTCGTCTATCGAGTTGATTCACTTCAAGTTCATGAGCATAAGTTCATGAATTCCAATCCTGCAGTATGCATCGTCAGCCCTTGATACACATAGCTCCAAGCCGCCTTCTCATTAAGCGATAGAACTTACAGATCCCAGTCACTTTATCAACCTTCCCGACTAGTTTTGGAATTCCAGAGTTTGGGAGCATCTTCTCCATAACCCAACTCGCCGATGGAAGGATATTCTTCCGAGGGGCTATATTCGACATGGGCGCAGCAGCCACGATGCTGGAGATGGAGAGGGCGGCGAGGATGGGAGTCAGGTTCATCGTGTCGGCTATGTGATGCCTTGAAAGATCTAAGAAGTCAGTAGTTCGTTAAGTGACCCTTGATATAGCCATATAATCTCGTACCTTTTTAAATGAAGCGAGCAGTCTAATCGATATAGTAGGAACGATTGTGCGTTAGCAAAGAAAGAGTCAATTGCAATTGATTGAAGCCGGAGTGACAGATAAGACACTCAACAGGGATACCTCAGGGCTCATTCCAATGGGATGCAGGGTTATTAATCTGTTTACCCTCCGACGTGAGGAATCTTCGAGGAGACGCGTTCCCTTGCTCCCGGGTTGTATGTACAGATATCGTCACGAATCGTTATTTCTTCGCGCCCCACTAAATTTGGACTTACAATACTATTCTTTCACCTGCATTGTTTGCTCTCATTCAAATTATGGAATTCTTTTGATCTAGAATCTGGGTACTTTTGTCGTGTTTGTTGTGGCGTGTTCATCTGCATACCGTTGGAGGCGATCAATGCAAGGGATGATAACCTGGACACGTCAACTTTAAGTTTTTCTATCTATCAGATATTTGATCGATTATTCTGTTACAAGTAACTGTACTTATGTTTATTGAGGCAGTCCAAGGTACCCTGAGATATGTCAATTCTTCGGAAATGTCACTAATCCAAATAACTAACTTAATACTATGTGGGAGTAAATTGGTACTATCAACCAAACCCTTGGGAGAACAATGTATATAGTCAATTTCAATAATAGCATCGTCATGGTATATCAATAGAAAATGTGAAAATTTTGAGCAAACTCTATAGTATCAGTTCAAAGGCCACCGGAACGAGGAATTGCATATAGATTAGTATCCAATTCAATTCAACTAGCATAATGACAATCAATGCGCTTCAAATAGGAGACTCAATTGTTATTGATCAATCATTCAATCAAATACTATCCATATTAGCTTGAACAAGTCAAATGTCTGAAGGATCAAAAATACACTTTTATTAAACGCTCGCACTCAACATCCATTTCCATCATCGAACTAAGGCATTGTAAATCTTATATCCACTCTGGCTAGATCGCATTCTTTTTTCGATTTAACTATACAATTTAATTGACCAACAATAAATATACACTATGCGGCACGCCCCTATTATGGGTCTTAATTAGTAGGAACTCAAGGCTATCCACAGGAGTTAACTCGTTCTGGTGTTCATCTTGAGTTTGCCATATCTCTCTCTCCGTCTAAGTGGATAAGGACCAAAGCATCGGGATCCAATTCCCTGAATGATGGTAAAATCCACTTGGCATTTCATATACAATTCCTAATGCAGTGTTCCATCGGAGTACTCCATGAGATCAATGCTGCGGCCCATAAGCTGCCGTGCCTGTCACCATGAAACCAAACCCATCCAAGAAACGGGCCGCACCAAGTGACATCTAATTTCTCCTTCCCGATCAGGCATGGACATGACCAGCCCGAGGAGAAATTCAAGGTGAACGGCAATCTAGTTCATGACCAATGCGATTGGACTTGGAAGATATTTCCTGCTCATTTCCCACGTCTATCGAAAAGGGAAAGAAAAACTAGATTTTTCTCCATTAAGAGTTCGCGCTGTTCGCTCTAGAATGAGACGGCGCCTGCCGATGTCTTTTTCTAGACCTTCCATGAGCGCCTTCATTGTACATCATCATTTAGATGACACCGGTACTCTGGATCATCTAAATGATGGAGACGCCCCCTGACGTTCTCCGTAATGAACTCAATCTTCCCGCGAGGGGCGCTGATTTTCTGAAAATGGGGGTATTTACTCCGTATCATGCGTGCTTTTTTCTTTTTCTGTTTTCTCTATGCGGTCGGAGTCCACTATTCCTTCGTGTAGCCACAAGGACGAGTCTGGCCTGGAGTCTCTGCCACAAAGCGCACAAAGTGGGAACTTTTGTGCTGCCCGCTAGGGTCTTTTGCATGATTTGACAGGAGCTGAACCATGCTTTTTGGGGTCGGTGAAGAAATGCATGGGCGCGCTCGGGCACGTTCTGGTTTCCCATGCAGGAACACGGGTGCAGATCTGCTCATCTTTTGATTTGCTGACAGACCACCTTTCTCCTCGCTACTGGTTTCCTGGCTTGGAGATTGGCCGCTTTCGTGTTTAGTATCACAATCCAGATGGTTTGGAGGGGGTGGTGTCGGGAGATACCATACCCTATGGGGAAGATGGTCCTTTTCATGGAGGATGCCGAAGAATAATTAGTATAGTAAGTTGGGGTCGCGGAAGAAATCCCGGACGCTGAACTGCCGGACCTTAACCCTTCTCGGTACTAAAGGCCCGGAAAATTAATTTTGTGCCTGGAGTTGCATCAACTGTTGAAGAGGAATCGGATGAGATTTCAAATCACATATCACGGAAGTCTACGAGAGCTGAGCGTTACGCTTCTGCAGGGTTTTGGGGTTCGTCACGGTAATGCTAACCGGTGAGAACGAGCCAGGGAAGTCCCCGATCCCAGCCAAGGTAAGATGAACATGTCGAAGTGGAGGGGGAACACGTTCTGCAGTCATGATAGGGGGCAAAAAAGAAAAGTCCCGCGGCCATCTCCTTTTTTGGCTGGCGAATGGAGTTGGGATGGCTGAGTGAGAGTGTCCACTTGATCGTCGATGCAGTAGCCCCACAGAAAGGACTTGGTTAGTGATGTTATTGCGCATCCACTTTGGACCCAGAGTAAGAGCGGTTGCTCGAACAACAGGTTCGTAGTTCGGTAAACTAGAATGAAAAAGACAAAGAAGAGTGGATGGGGTTGATAAGCGGATTCTCTTGACGAGAAGTGGCTCTGAGGTGTAAGGAAAGTTGAGAACTGAAAGGTTTTGAAGAGATTGAAGACTCGTGCACTTTGCACCCATGCATTTGTATGGGGTAAGGCAACGGAGCAGGACCGAAAGTTCAGGTTTATCCACCCATTTCACCCACTTACGCAGGCCACAGCTGATCACCTCGCCACCCACCTAGGAACAAGTAACCGATCTCTGGGGCGTAGAGTCGCGAACCGCGAATCTGTGCTTTACAGTGGAGGAGCAGATCGCGATTCGTGGAGAAGCCCGTCAGCTGGTGATGGTGGGAAATCGATCCAGATTTATGAGTGCAATTGTAAGATCCCAAGTTCCAAAAACTTGTATGTAAATTTGGTAAACACTTTCAAAACCTCAGTAACCAAGAAATCGTATTGGTACTGTACTACGTACGTTCACCTTGGAATATTATACCCACTATCCACCCATGAAGACGACCGTTGCCGAGCCCTCGAGCGGCACAGTATATTAACTTCTCCCACACCAGGGGGTTCACAACCAAACTATGGGAATACAATACCATCATGATCATGCCATGCTTCACACCGAACACCCCATTAAACAGCTGCTTCCCAGCGCCCTGGGCAATCATTCGGAAATCTTTCTAAATGAGAATATGAAGTGCTTTATCACGTCATGCGATCCAGTGAATGCGACCGATGATCTCGTGTTTTCTTTTCTTTCTTTTTAACCTCCCGTCAAATTGCTAGGGTGCTCAGTATCATGATAAGAACAATGACGCGAGACCTATCATCTATTAAGCCCATGTTATCCCGTCCCATGAACCGTGGCGCGGAAAGAGTGGGGGGTAAGCCATGGCCAGGGGATGTTTGTGTTTATTAGGATTCGAAAAAAAGCGCTGTCATCTACCCAGCCGTCCGCATCTTCCATATGATAACTAAAATTCCAGCATTAAGCTTGACTCCTGCATGTACGATTTCGCTAGCTTATCTGTCGCCACTTTGATTCCTTCTAAATTTTTTCTTTGTCTGTGAGAACGTTCTAGTCCACGAGGCGAAAGACTCGTTTCTTCCTAGCGTCCCCTCCTATAGGCCGAGATGGTTTAGTCTCCCCCACACGGACGAATATCCTTACGACTCAGGGGAAATTGCAGGGAAACCGGATTGTGGTCCCGCATTGCAGTTCGAACACGTGTGAGCGAAAATGCCTAGGGTAATTTCTATGCGAACCTTGCTAGACCAGTTAGTTGCCCCTTTACATTTAGAACCGACAGGATGATCGCCGAGATGTTCTGGGTGCTCTGGACTCAAAAGTTTGCCTTTGTACAGGTCTTGTGGCGTGCCGGATCTCTCGGCAATTTAAAAGAATCTGGACGTTGGAACTATTGATCGTCAAGCAATAATATGTAGAGCAGTTATGCAATATTGATCGCTCTATTGTTCTATATAAACCCGTGGTAACGGTCGGAATCCCGGTTCCTATTCAATAGTTCACCGAGACCGGGGTCGAAATGCTGATCATTGTACGGTATATTATTATTCATACGGAGTATTTCGTACAGCGCTGTATATAGAAACATTCTTTGATGTATGCATGTACAATGAACATCACACCGCATAGAGTATATGGTGACAGATTCGGTGGACTTATGATCGCATCTTACATCGAATGCTCCATCGCAATATG